AGGAGGAGGAGGAGGAGGAGGAGGAGGAGGAGGAGGAGGGAAGGAACGCAACCAGCGAGGTATGGAAGGGGAAGAAGGCAAGCACGATGGATGCGATTGCACCCGACGGTGGTCAGCCACCAACAACCACGCAGCTAGATATTGCACCGCTGTACGGAGTCTGGAGTATGACGGCAATCACATACGAAGGTCGCAAGTCCCAGGTATTACGGCTACAGATCACCCAGGATGGATTTGAGTTGCTCGTTCGCTGTCCATTGGACTATTTTAACTGCGTCGAGCTCGTCTCGTCCTTACGTAATACCTACTAGTAACTAGTATCTATCGAGTCACTACCCACTCTCGGCTCTCGCTAGTGACCTATTTAGAATAGTTCTGTGGTTAGCAGCGTGTACGTAGTTCATAGGCAGTTGCTTGTTGCCGGGACACTCAACCATGATGATCCACACAGCCAGCAGATCGCAGCAGCCGAACATGGCAGGTACCATGGATGCACCGAGTCCTTGTACTTTGTATTGCTTCACACCACTGCAGGTACATGCTTCAGCACAGAATCGGCCCCTTGTCAGTGAAGTATTGAATAGCATTATTGCAACCCTGTACGAGGCACGAGGGCTCGAATCCAAACAGATCTCAGCCCCGAAGCTTAGGCAACGGTTTCACGCAGGCAACACTCCACCCTTCCCTAGGCAGGTCACTACTTCGTCATGCTATCTTAAGTAGGACGTTAAACTTCCGTTTCTTATTCATTGAAGTGCTGGTACAATCACCTCAATTCTCATAGCACAATGTCTAGCGCTGGGCTCAGTCCACTTCCTCGAATTCTACGCGTACCCAGGTCCGATGAACCTGACAGACTTGTGCTGCTCCATGTCTCGCCCCCTGGTCCAGCTCCACTGGACTTTAACCTTGCTGCGACCGAAGGAGAAATTGCATACAATGGGGTCGGTATGGAGCGCCCCTGATGCCGTTCCTACGTTTGTCTTTGTTAAAGTTGCATCGGGTACTGAGTCGGCCAAAAACAGTGCGACAGGCTCAGCTGCAGACTTACCGTTCCAAGAATTACCAGGGAACCCATGAAGACTGGACTCAAATCATGTTGTATGCCTTGGGACAGCTAGAAACCTCTACCAATGGGTCGGAGTTGCTATCTGGGGTTGAGCTATCGGCTAGCATCGCTAGACGGGGTAGCGAAGGTAATGAGTTGATCATGGTTATTCGCAGAAGGATTAATACCATAACAGTGAATCCAACCGCCCATGAGCACAGGGATCTGCTGCTGATCGTTTACAGCAAAGGCTCGGTTCTATAGTTTTGAGAGAGGATGACGAGCAAGCCATCCAGCTCTTCGACTGGTCCGCTGTAGCCGTCACAAGGGCCGACTTCCTTGAGCAGCGGCTGTCAACATTGCAGCAACACTACCATACAGCTGAGAACACAATCAACCAGCTAAACAGCCAAATTGAGGAGTTGATTAGTTCTAAGATCCGTCATGAAGACCAGCTAATGATAGCCTTCGCGCAAGTGTTAAACCAGAAGAAGCTTAAAATTCGCAATCAAGAACGCCTGCTAGCTTCGGCGAAGGTTGATATGGATGAGGGTAAGGTCCTATCGGTTGAGATAGAGGAAACAAAAACACGGCGGCTGACCCGAGCAATGATATATATAGTTGGCAATGATCGGGCGGCATCATCGAGTATTGATGAAACCATCAGGGATACTAGGCGTGTGAAACGTGGTATCTCGAGAATAAGCGATGGATTTGGAAGCGGCGACGGCTTTGAAAGATTGGGAGTTCGGACCAAGCATCGCCCTAGCTTCTTAGCAACAGATACGGATGATGAGCCAATTTCCACTCCACAGCCGTTGGAGGAAGAAGATGATACAACTGATGAGGATATGTCCGCGTCATCCAATGTTGAGTGGAGAGAAAGAGGAGAGCATACTCCGATAAAAGCCCACAATAGCCCTAGGACGCAGAGACGGTCTCCTCCTCCACGAAGAGAGCTCCCATTTACCAGGTCGTCAGAATCAAGAAACGACACCGTACGGAAGCTACAGCATCAACAGGACAGTATTGGAGAAAGCGCAGGAGAGACAGACGATGATGAGCTGTGATATTACCGTTGTCTAGAAAATGATGTCCCGGGATTCGCTAGAATGCAGCGGGAGAGATTAGTATAGGCATCAATATCTATTTTTGTTCCGAGCTCTCGATAGTCATGCTAGTACCTGTGATAGAGATCAATTGATGCTATTCCCGGAACAAAACCTTTTGGAGTTGTATGACCTCGCCATTGCCCAGAAGCTTATTTTTGACCTTATGTACAAATTCATCACTACTGATGCGTCCCAAGTTATCTCAAAGGCTGATCGTCAGGAACAATGAAGAAAGAGGCGGTAAGATCAATAGCAAGATCAATTACTGGGTTAGGAAAGGAAGAAAGAAAACAATGTTTAGGTGTTACAACGACAACAACGCCTAGAGCAGAAGAAATAAACCGGGAGAGAAAACTAGAATGTTAATCTTAGCCATACAAAGCCTGGGGCGACATCTCTCCGGCAGCCATGAAGTTGGTTTCGGGATTTCCAGTAGCCTTGGCTGCTGAGCAGCGGGCCATGGTGGGTGAGCTATGATACAGTTAGAAACAGATCGACTCCATTCACCAAGGAACTGTTATTACTCACCTTCGAGAAATGGAATCAGTAAAGTAGAAGTCATCGATAACTCCCTTGAAAGGCGTTCCAGTTGGCTGAGTGCCCTTGTTCTGATCAACTAACTGCACCTTGCTCAGGGAGCTCAAGGAGGTGGGCTCTACAACGTCGTATCGGCGCATCACGGGGCTAATCTCTTCCATCCGATCGCGAAGTGCTTCGATGTCATCGTATGGAAGAGGCGTGTTGAGGAACTCGCTAGTGGCACGAATAATCTTCCAGTCATCACGGGCCGCACCAGGCAACGAAGTCGCCGCCCGAGTGACTTGAACACGGCCCTCCGTGTTGATGTAGGTGCCGGATTTCTCAGTGTAGGCTGCGCCAGGCAGGACAACATCAGCAAGCTGGGCACCTCGGTCACCATGATGTCCTTGATAAATAACAAACGCATCACTCGGGACATCGCTCGAAGCGATTTCATCAGCGCCAAGCAGCCAAACCATCTTAGGTGTGGTTTGGGACACTTCGGGAGACGGCGTAGTAAAACCAACTTCATAGGCTGCAGCACGAGATGCCGCGCGCTGGAGAACGTTGTAGCCTTGCCATTCCGGGGTGTTGAAATTGCTTCCATGCCTCTCAACAAAATTGCCAACGGTCTCAAAGATCGCCTTCGCATCTTGATGTTCGGCCGCAGCACTGCCGACAATGATCATTGGCCGTTTAGCCGCAGCAAGCTTTTCTCCAAATTTACCGGAAAGAGCAGATTTGAGAGCAGAGACGTCGGACCCGAGATGCTCAAAATCGAAAGTACTGTCGAATGCCTCACCGACGAGTCCGATCTCAAGGTCAGAGCGCAGGTATTGCTTCCGGATCCGAGCGTTCAGGACAGAGGCTTCATGACGAGGGTTCGTAGCAACTAGAAGAATAGCGTCTGCCTCTTCGATTCCGTACACCTTGGAATTGAAGAGGTAGTTGGAGCGAACATCAACGCCGTGGGCAATAGGCGAGTTGCCGCCCGGTTGGTCCAAAGCGAGATTGTCGGATCCAAGCTTATTAGCCAGGTCTTTCATAGCGACAAGTGACTCTGCATCCACAAGATGCCCCGCAACAGCCTTGAATTCGTTCTCCTTCAGCTGTAATTTCTGGTGAACGGAGGATATCTCGGTCAGAGCTTGCTCCCACGTGGCCGGAACGAACTTTCCTTCCCGGCGAATCAAAGGTGTCGTAAGTCTCTGAGTCTTCAGGCCGTCACACGCAAACCGGGATTTATCGTTGATCCATTCCTCGTTGATATCATCGTTAAGTCTCGGGGTTACACGCATAACTTCCATGCCTCTGGTATCTATCCGAATGTTCGAGCCCAAAGCGTCATGCACATCGATAGATTCAGTGTGCTTCAACTCCCAGGGACGAGCACGGAAAGCGTAAGGTTTCGATGTAAGAGCACCAACTGGGCAGAGATCAATGACATTGCCGGATAGCTCCGAGTCAAGATTCTTCTCCAGGTAAGTCCCAATTTGCATATCATTTCCTCTGCCAGAGGTTCCCAGTTCAGGAGCACCGGCAACATCGTTCATGAATCGAACACAACGAGTGCAGTGGATACACCTGTTCATAGACGTCTTGACTAGCGGTCCGATATTCTTGTCCTCAACCGCGCGCTTGCCACCAACTTCATGGAAACGTCCGCGGTCGGCACCATACCTCATTGATTGGTCCTGCAGATCACATTCACCTCCCTGGTCACAGACTGGACAATCGAGAGGATGATTGGCAAGAAGAAATTCCATAACGCCCTCCCTAGCTTTGTGTACAAGTGGTGAATTTGTCTTGACATTCATACCTGGCTGTACAGGCCAAGCACATGATGCCACGGGTTTAGGAGCCCGTTCAACTTCGACTAGACACATACGGCCTAAACAATGCTTAGTGGGCTTCTTAACTGTTCCATATTGGTAAAAAAAAACGTACAATTGCCTGCAATCAAGAGCTTCCTAGGACCTGGTTAGTACTCAAAACAATGTTATTGGGAAGTCTGTACTATACTCATGATAACAGTATCTATCACCTTCTGTTAGTTTTGCATACATGACAAATATATACATAGCGCTGGGATTACCTTGGAATTGTGGCGCCCGCCTTTTCGCAAGCCTGGATGAGAGCAGAGCCAGCTTCAAGCCATGTAAGCAGGAGACTAGGAAGCCATGGATTGAGAAATGAAATCACCTTCGACTGAAACTTTCTTCCCATCTAATAATTCATATACACAGTTAGAAAAGCTAGGCAAGTTCAGCGAGCATCATAGCCTACCAATTGTGAGTTCGACCTCTGCAGAGCGAGGGATTGTCGTCGCAAATGTCCTGGGGCAGTTGACCTTGGGGACCCGGACGAACCGGGCGGCCGCACGAGACAACTGCGGCCGCATGCTGTGTATAGAAGCAGACGTGGAAGAAAAAAGTATTATTGAGTAGCAGGCGCAATGAATGTAAAGTCAAGTGGCAGGTGGGACTAAGGCTGCGTGGTTCTTGATGAGAGCACTTTGGCTTGGTTCGGATTCTGCCAGCCATGAGCCGGGCGTCACTCGCAAATTGCCGCCTGCGGATTGGCTCGGGCTTTCGGAAATTATGTTAGTCCGCCATACGGTATTTTTCTTTTAATAAGCCTCGGGCATAATTTCCCTCTTTTTTTCTTTTCTCACCATAACTCATTCACGGGCATGATTTATTGTAGGTGGTAGGGCTCTCCATTTCCCTCCCTCCTCTGCAACATGACCCAAGAATAGATGCACTGAGCTGGAGCTCCTTAGGGTTATTCTTAAAGGATTGCCTGATGAGGGTATAGTTCTTTATCGACAGTCGCTACATTTATTGCCTTTCTGCGGGAAAAAAGAATGAACCAACAGGGATACTTGTGCTATATCGTATACAACATTACATCTTCTGTCGCATACCGGACGTGTCTTGGATTACAGCATTATCATTTATATCCTCATTACTGTCTAATTTACTCTTTGAAAACAAGGAGCAACTGGTGCAATCATTGGTTCCTCTGATTTAGAGGCTCAGCCAATTGCTTCAAGTAACGTAAGAAGCCTTCTATTCTATGTATCATAGCAGAGTATATACTGCTTAAGAAGTGTAAATAACTATTTTGCAAACTTTACGGTACTGATGGATATATATGGCAGTCTACTACCCCATGTATAGCTCAACGTTTCATCTCAAGTAGACAAGGATGTCGAGGTGGACAAGACAAGCCTTTTGTAGCAAGTACAGCTTTACCATACTCGATGAATGTGTTTTTCTCTCATAATATCAATACAAGACCACTAGTAGTCATCAGAATATGTTACAGTTAAATCTCAGGAACGAATTGGCAGCGGATATTATAGAATAATGACAATAAGGGCAGCTAAAAAGGATGCTTTTAGGAATCATTCCGCTGCCAGGTTGTCTCTTGCTTCGTGCCAGGGGGTAGCCACACTCTGGAGTTACTGCTTCCTCTTGGACGAACACGACCCTGTTCATCATCTTCCTTTTTGGGATCACCCATATGTGAGGCAGGGCCATCTGAAGGTTGATGAGAGATCTTGCTTGCCAAGGAGGCATAGCCACTTGAGTCCCATGTTTTCCCTGTGGTCCGAACATTAAGTGGGAGGACGGTTTCCTTTGTGCGGAAATGATCAGAATTTGCTCTCTGATCTGCCAGGTCGTCATGGTTATTGCGATCGTAGAGGTAAAGACCAACGAAAGTAAGAGCGATCCCAAATCCTTGCATAGGTGTTGTTGAGCTTCCAAACCAAATGATCGCAACGACAATCACGAAAACCCTTTTCACCAAAGACGCAACGGAGTAAGATACTGGTGAAATCATAGATAAGAGAACAAACGCCAGTATATTCTGTGCGAAGTGCGACACCCCATTGAATACGAATTCAAGGAAGAGTGCGCCATGATCCAGTGATCCAGTGTTTCCTGACAATGAGATAGCGCCATCCTGCAAAAGGTCCGAGATTAAAGGATACCCTTCACATATAAACCAAATAGGCAATGTCAGAATGAAGGCTAATCCCGAACAGTAGTAAAGCAAGTTCAATTTGTCCAGCTTTCTTCTGCCAGACGTATCTGCCTCTGATTCTGAGCGAGACGCTTCGTTAAACAGCTTCTTTGAGAAGATATTCTGAGAGACGAAGACCAAAGCCGCGACTAATGCGCATAGTATGCCGAAGAAGTTCGTCGAAAAGCCTGTAGAACAAGCAAGCATTACACCTAGGGTTAATGGGACGAGAGAAAGATACGTTGCTCTGGCATATCGGATTCTGAAGAAGACACGATACGCCAAAACTGTGAAAAGAGGCGAGAGTCCCTTGATAGTGTGGACGAGTGAAACAGGAATCTGTGAAGTAGCCATGGAGCTAAGTATATGACCAGCTAATTGAAAAATTGCCAATGGCAAAGCTGTCATGACAACATCACGGGACGGGGGACGAATGCCGTTCTTGAGGGCCGGTATGCTATCTTTTAGCCAAGGTAGCGTGGCCGATAAGTAGGATAGTACCAAGCACCAGAATGCTACGAAAGCAAATTGTATGATTGTAAGCGTTATTGGTTTCGGGAGGGCATTTAAAATGGACTTCGATGAGGTATTCGTCAGAGCGGAGGTCGTATACCAAATGAGACAGAGAATCTAACTTGAGGTAAGCAGCGGTCTGGAACACCATATACAAGACACCGATAATCTTACTATCAGCTTGTACGATACCGGCGCTCGGAGAGCCTCAGCCAACTCTTGAGCATTGGCACTAACGCTGCCATTGCGGGTTCTAATTGTGCTAATTGCCTCGCTGATACTTTTTCTTGATTTTCTCTTCGAATTCAAAGCCGGGCAATGATTATGATCTCGGGGAAATTGTACTTGCTTTCGCGGCTCCCAGCGATCTGTTGGCGCATATCTGATCGACGTGTTTGCATGCGCCTCCCTGGACTCGGTCGTTGTTTCATATACTTCATCGATAAAGGGTGGGAATTTGTCTACCGGACTGGTCATTTGTTGTGAGAGGGACGAAGCTGCTGGGACTTGAAGGTCAGGTAGCCGTATAGAAGAACGTCTTCCAGTGCCAGTCACAATTGTTGTGGTCATCTCCTATTTTAATGCTTGCGATGAACTAGAGCGATGACTGGCGCTGTTAGCTGGCTCCAATCATAACAGTGCAATATCAGCTTACCATGAAAGCTGACTCCTTGTGTTGATAGTTAGGTACGGTAGTTGGTCCGTCAAATTCTCGAGTCTTATTAGGCAGCGACGGGATTATTATTGATTCCCTTATTCAGTAAGCCGGGCGCGAGGTTGTCGAGCTTGCGTGATTAGGAATACGTCAAAGTGGGCAGGTGTGGGTAGTAGAACGGTGCTGTAGGTAAACGTTTGCAGTTTTCTAGATGACGAATCCCCACTGACGAATAAACATCAAGCATTGGGAACACGCTGCTCGCCGCGGGATGCAACGGTTACTTAACTTAGAACAGTTACTACTAAGTACTACCGTCTGAGGTCCGTTTGATTTTGGACTAAGATAGGTAAGGTCTGAAATTACCTAAGCAAAAATAGGAGATACACAGTACCTAACCTTCTAGTTGGTAGTTGGGAGCTTCCATGCTCCGTAGTATGTCGAATAAAAGCTTGGGCGTAGGATTACTCAACATTTTTTCGACAAGTATGCAGGAAAAGTCCCCATGCTAACGGTCTATGGTCACTCTTGCAGTGGACTGTATCAATTTAATGAGTAATATCCATTAATATCTATCCAGGTTCTTAAGTCCCGTACCTGTAGAACCTTTGTGGGAGCTCACATGTCCACATACCACCTACTCCAAGATATAAGATCAATTCAGGGTTTTCCTTGCGGAACTTACAGATAAATCTGGACAGATGCAAGATTAGCCATTCGAAATTCCATACGGCCGTAAGTTCAAACACTATTCTGTACCATGATAATGTATATGTCAATCTTGCCTATGTCTTGAAGCTATGTTTATGGCGCCGTGATGGCTGCAAAATGTGGTCTGTGTCTGAAGATATGTTATACCCATATAATTGTGCTTAATTTGGCATACATAGCGGCCTGTCTATATAGACAAGAGACTGTTGTAATCAACCGTACCGGCTGTCTTTTGTCCTCTAAGATCTAATTTCTTTGGTTAGCATGTCCTTATTTTCCTTAGCTAGGACACTGGGTGGACATATGAAAACATACAGTCTCCGTAAAGCGTCTCTGGGGTTGCCTATTACAGCCTATTGCCTTTATGCACAAGTATATCTCGAGGAATATTTTACTCCCGTCCTTATCCCCAACCCCTGACGACAACATGTTTATTGTAGAATACAGAAGCTGCTAAATAAACTGAGATAACAAATGTATTATCTGGAAAACTCAAACCTATTTGCGATAACCATTAGAATTTAAAGAAAGCTATGATCTATCGAGTATGACCCAACTACTATAGCGCCAATCCCGGGCTAATCTCAAGCATGGTAAGGAATTCCAACTACAAGTCGATTAACATGTATCCAAAGATAGTGTGACATTCTTCAGTCCAGATATGATGCTCTAAAACCAGACTAAGCTGACATAGAAAACTATTCCGACAAAACAAATGACACGCAGGTATCGATTGATTGCTTTAGGAACCCCTCTAGTGGTACATCCAGCAAGCAGCAGCAGCTATTGTCTATGTTATATCCAGAGATACTACATTTCCAGTAAAAGCTTCACATGAAATCAGTGGGATTAGCGATGATTCTAGCTATGCATTGGAAGGACTGTGAAACCCACGACATCCTAGCGAGCCAAGATCAGAAATATCAGCATCCTGTATATCAAGTATATATGCGAAGATATCTACTCAGTACTACTTCTCAGTACCCCTCATAGTGGATAATATATGGGTCTCTAGCCTATATCCGTTGTGATTATCTACAGTAAAAAGCCGCCAGTGTCCAACAAAATGGCCTAACAACTACTTGGGACCGTTCATAATTGTTGCTGAGCTCAAAGATGCTATTTCACTTCGCAGCTTCCATGTCTTATCTTCCACCATTCTTAGTTTTTCTTCCTCGATACGTTCCTCATCGTTCTTTCCCAGAATGCGGCTCCTCTAGGCAGCCTTTGTAAAATGGTTGTTTTTGAGATTCTAGAGCTCTGGATTCCTTGCCTCTAGATACTACCATTTATTCTCTGAATTCCCCCGAAGATAATTCGACGTATCTCCCCACTTAAAGTCATCTGTTAGCTATCTGCTTCGTCTTCAGCTTTCCATTACACGTGGAGGATTTGGATTTTGTACATCCCGTTTGTTTTGATACCATCGTGATTTCAACCTTTCCTTGTCGCCTACAGGGTCTCTCTTGTTCATCGACGCTTCCAGGTTGCAACTTTCGAGGCAGTGCTTTTGGCTCACATTTCCAGCAAGAATGTCTTTACTCTCAGATGGCTCCCCTAAGCTTGGGCGCAAGCAATCTGTAGGGAATATCATCGATAGTAGCGGGAGTGCCATAGCACATGCATTACAACTCGAACGCGAAGCGTCAGTAAGTATTGGGTGCAACTTTTGGAGCAGCCTCTGGTGTCCTTGTCTAACAATATTGCCTACCATATCCAGGGCCACAAACATTCGAACGTTTCAAGCAGCCCTCCAGACCGTACAGTATCCTCTAAAGTTGGGAACTACCATGTCTCGGATGGTGATAAACATGACATTCAGTCCAACAAGGTCAGATTGACCCCAACAAAGACTCTAGCGTCGAGTTCTCACAATCCTAGAAGCAGAAGCTAGAGCACTCAAGCCATGTCTCTTCAACTGGGAATTCGGAGATGGAGAAGCTCCTGGCGAAGCTCTCGCCCAAGCCTCAGTTGTCAACCAACAAGCTTCCTGTAGAGCCAGATATCATTACGAGACTATCTGACAAGCAAACCTTGCTCAAGACACAGGATCGCACATTTGTCAACCACAGAATGCTTCTAGGAGACGATGAAGAGTTGAATGAAACCTCGAGTATACTGCCAACTAGGGATGCATACCAGCCCCCTCACCTGATAGATGTTGACAAGTCAGATACTGCACCAATCGATATATCCGAAGTGCTACGCTTGAAGCAAGAATTGCTTGCCGCTAATTCTAAAATTGCCCTTCAGGAACAAGAATTAGCACAGACACGTGTGATCAAACATACGTTAGACCAGGCACTTGGGCCTCCCTCTGAAACAGACTTCAGTGGGCGTGAGATTACAGAACAAACAATAAGCAATCTACAAAGCGCCCTTAACTCATCAAATCCAACATTCAGCCAGTTTCAAGATGGGTGGAATGCCCAGGATGATTCTCAATCAGATATGTCCGATGCACTTTCAGCCGGAGCGTACAATAGGGCTCGGGGATACTGGATTCCTCCGACGCAGCAAGTGTGTAGCACGAGCAGTGCTTCGGCTACAGAAATACCCTATGGCGAACCATTATCTTTGCCTAACAGTAACTCTTTCGGTGGCGACTCGAACAAATTTTGGGGTAACTCAAGTACGAATCCTAGCATACCTGGTCATGACATCTTCCGGTCCCATCGCGTCTTTTCGGGTCCCTCCCATGGGGCTTACACTTTTGATACACGGCTCTCTGAAGGACAGGCCAGGTATCTCCAAGGACCCGGGCTTGGACCACGCCGTTCAGTCACTCAGGCCAGCCGTAATGGATCATGTTTTCCAACACAAAGCCCTGCTTGGAGCACATTTACCACCGGCTCTTCTGACTCACATGGGCCGAGGTCTCCTGCAAGCAGATCAAATAATGCATACCAACAGGTTGGTCTATATCCTATCCCACAATATCATCAACGGCCGGTTGGAACACCTCTATCGCCCACGGCGACTGAGTTCACTGCCCCTAACCCTAATACGGCACCATGGCCAAGTTCTTCGGTAAGCTGAAGCCTGAATACTTTTGTTCAAATACGGGAGCTAATGCTGTTAGGTGGGTGGAAATACCACTCAGACGTACATATCGCCTCTTGAACCAATCAACTACCGTCGTCTCCTTGACAGGAATGTTTCTTGTGACTGGAAATATATAGTTGACAAAATCGTTTGCAATAATGATCAGCAGGCGTCAATCTTCTTGCAACAGAAACTCAAGGTTGGAACAACCGAGCAGAAATTTGACATTATAGAGGCCATAGTGCACCAAGCCTATCCCTTGATGGTCAACCGCTTCGGGAACTTCCTTGTCCAACGTTGCTTCGAGCATGGAACTCCGGAGCAAGTTGTGTCAATTGCTAATGCAATCAAAGGAAACACTCTAAGCCTTAGTATGGATCCGTTTGGTTGCCATGTTATACAAAAAGCTTTTGACTGCGTTCCAGAAGAACACAAGGCAGTCATGGTCCATGAGCTCCTACGCAGAATCCCGGAAACTGTTATTCACCGGTATGCGTGCCATGTCTGGCAGAAGCTTTTCGAACTACGATGGAGCGGTGAGCCACCTCAGATAATGACAAAAGTAAACGAGGCACTGCGAGGAATGTGGCATGAGGTTGCGTTGGGTGAGACAGGAAGCTTGGTAGTTCAGAATATCTTCGAGAACTGCGTTGAGGATGAGAAGGTGATAACATTCCTTATATCAAATTTCGCCGACTCTTCACTGATCTCCTTTCAATGGGCTACGCTCCTTTCCTATCAAGCATCAAATCGCCAAAAGATGCGAAGCTCTCGAGATTTTCCCCCTATGCCCATAGCAAGAGTTGAGAAGACAAATGCTGACAATAAATTTAGCGTCCCGCGATCGAAGAAGTGCTAGCGAAGATCGATGTTCTCGCACATGGCCAGTTTGGAAACTGGTGTATCCAGCATATCTGTGAGCATGGTGCTCCTCAGGATAAGAGTCGTGCAGTAGAGCACATCATTCTTTGGTCAGTGGACTATAGTATGGACCAATTTGCCTCAAAGATTGTAGAGAAGTGTTTGAAGATAGGTGGTTCCGAGTTTCTGGACCGCTATCTTGCTCGAGTCTGCACCGGCCGAACTGACCGTCCAAGGATGCCTTTAATTGACAGTAAGTCTGCGTGTACCTTGACTATCATAGCCAAAGCAATACAACTCTAACATAAACTAGTTGCAGGGGATCAATACGGAAATTACCTAATTCAGTGGATCTTGATGAATGCTGCACCTCACCAGCGTGAGCTGGTTGCTAGCCATATTCGGTACAGTCCTCTTTCTCACCATGAAATTCCTTTCTAACTCAAAATCTCCGAAGTAAACACATGGTGTCTTTGCGAGGTTCTAAATTCGGATCACGTGTGGCTATGCTTTGCTGCAATCCCTCTCATACGACTCGTCCGGGCCCGGGCTCTGGGATGCCAATCGGCCGCTATAACAACTTCAACGACGACAGGTTCCCCATTGCTGGGCAGCACGGGGGGCGTTTCAGCCGTGGGAGCCAATGGAACCCTAGCTACCCTCCATTTCGCTGAAGGGCTTCATGAAAATAACTCGTTTTGAGACTCACCTCGTAGCCATATATGGTTGTTTATTGACAGAAGGTATTGGCTTCAAGTCGTCATTCCTAAGGTGAGAATTAAGTACCCTGTTGACAATCACCGTGGCTCTGAGACATGTTTTGACGTTATCCTAGCTGAGAAGTTGTCACATATCTTTCTTTATACGCGCTATTCTAGGGATCGGGCAGGGTCATATTGCCTTACGCCTCAAGGCATCCTCCCTTCTTATACCCCAGAGAAAGAAAAGAAAAGGGGAAGAATAGAGAGGGATTGGTCGAGGAGCATGCAGGTAGGAATTGAAGTAACGTGGATTCGGAAACTATAATCTTCTATGAAGCTGCTGAACGTTCTATATGAGTCGGGAAGTTACGGGTGAGAATTGCTTATGCAGGTCAGGAGCTTGGTTTACGAAAGCAAACACTTCTAATCGACCTACTTGTCGGGGTTTACATCCTTATCATGAATCAATGTATCATAGCAGTCACTCATTTGCCTTGAGTTGTTATCCTTCGCAACCCTGTGATTTGCGGGAATGATGCTGTTTGCAGACTGACCACAACCATGCCTTATTTTGCAGGAGCCATGAGGCACAGGTTGCGGATTTTCCGGCCGTGAATAGACGTAGCTGAAGGAGTAAGCAGCAGAGCTCCCGACAGCCTGCCTTTAGGTGTCCAGACCTTCACTACCTGTTCCATTCTCCCATGGCTTCCGTCTCTTTGGCCTCTCACTTGGAGTATCATGTCCTGTTAAGACTGTATCTGGGATTTGCTGAATCCCCGGGATCGGTTGACCCGTTGTAATCAGTTCGACTATGTGTGCGAATGATGAGGGGTAAGCAGGCTCCTCGGAGGACTTCGCTATTTTCTCCGTATAGTTGTTTGACGAAGAGCCGGCAGTGCTGGATTGCTGCAAGACTGGCGTGGCCTTTTGATCTACGGAAGCAGCTCCTACTGGCGCCGACTCCAACCAGGCCTTGTACTCTAAGAAACTGAGTGGCGGTGTGAGGTTTTCTTTTCTGAGACCGCAAAAGACATAGAGACAAGAATCAGTACCAGTACTCATGCAGTATGAATAAATGACGGAGTTCGACACTATGAATCACGGGGGGGTCCGTATGTATATACCTTGAGAAATAAAAGCATTTTGCTTGGAGTGTAAGGTCATCGTTGCGATTGATTTCTGCCTCCGACGCAGGCGACTCCGGATGGCCTAGTATGATCGAAAGCCCGACCGCAAACTCCCGATCCGTGCTGAAAGGATATGAGCTTAATCTTTCGAATTGCTCAACCCCCAATGGCAGAGCCGCGGCCATTTGGTGTGCTCGATGTCGAGCGAGGATTAAAGGCTTCACCCGAAGAGCTGAATTGAAGGCTCACGCAGCTCTAGATTATGATGTGGGCCTCTGGAAACAAGTAGTGACCGTTAGTCATTTAAGCCAGAGTGAATGCTCCCAGTTGTAGCGCCTTGCTGTACACTGACTGCCAGGCCTCTTTGTGGTAATACAAATAGGCGAGTTTGTTGCAAAGTCCGGGATGAAGAATAGCCGAGGTCCATCCACTAGTCCGTGACTGCTACTTACATGCTTAGGTGGGGTTGCCGTCGAGAGCAATTGTAATTTATATAGCTTTTTAGGGAGCTGCTGCATGCATTCTGCCAGCCAGATAGGGCTTGTTCCTGTTCTTGAAATGGTAATCACTGTAACTTCTACGTAAGCCCCTTATATCTAGCGGGAAACCGAGCCTCTGAAGTCGGTATAACGACCACTGGGTCGAATATCTTCAAAACACCTGCATTTGGTAAACGGCATAAACTAGTCTACAGAGTTCGACCCGATAAGCCGGCAGTTTGGTCAATACGAGGTGGATAGCGCATGCTGGGTTCTCTCCGGTCTTTGGAACCTGTGCCCGACTGTTCGTTAGTCTGACAACGTGAATGAAAGTCTTGCCGCGCTACTGAAAGCAAACGTTGCTTATGACCGGGGCATTTCTTCCACGAGTTGAGAAAACAACACCATGCGGTATTTCATTGGTACCTGGTCCGAGGCCAACCGTATGATCATGCGGAGATATTCATACTGTCTAGAACTTCCTGTGATTCAGGCTTCGTATGGGTTAACACCCCGCTCTGACAGCCAGGGCAGTTGTGTACAACCTCATGAGCAAAGAGGTCACAGTCAATGCAGAAATGATTATTGCACACAGTACATTCATAGCGGCTGCTTACACTCATTCCCTTTGTTTGGCCCTCTGTAACTTGCCATTGCTCTTTGGGTGGCACTGGAGGAAAGGGGAGACCACAAGCAAAGCAGACAGCACTGTCCGAAGCACGCTGCCATGGAACTTCCACCCAGTTCATCAGGGGAAACAGATGATGGTATGACCGAGCAAGATGGGTTGAGAGTATCAGAGTAAGACCGCATGAAGGACACTCGGCAGGGAGACCACAAACCTTGCTGTTGCACCGTGAGCACAGGTAGCCCCCACGAGAAGGCGTAGAATGACATGCACACAGGGAAGGATAAGCCTCAACTGTACGAGAAGGGAAACCCATCATCAAGAGAGAGCTCGTGGTCTGTTTTTGGGAGTATGTAGCCGGCGGTGTTGTGACATTCATCACTAGGTCACGAAAATGCTGCTCATTAAGTGCCACACCATAGGCAGTGTCATCCCCCCCATTGGTTTTGTCACAAAGTTCGCGGCAGATGGCTACTTGCGCAGCAAGGCCCACGATCCCAACCCGTATTTTGTCGTTGATAAGTGTAGTTATTGTTTGGTGAATGTCACCTGGGTCAGAGGAAAGGAGTGAACCAAAGATGACCAGGATCTCACGGGTGCCGTGGCTTGGAGTATGGCTGTCACAAGCTCGGTTAGCCTTCGCATTTTCTGAGTATTCGATGCTATCGCAGGAATGACATACAACAAAGCACCTCGAGCCATTTCAAGGCCATTCTGTAGACTAGGGAGACCCTTTGGGTCTTGGTCTCGCAAGGATTGGATGGCACTGATATGCTCAGTAGGGTTCCCACTCATATCACTGACCCTGATTGCGAGGCCATCTCTCAAGCCAAGGACGCCGAGCTGGGAGATGGGATTCTGTTCGAAAAACTCTCTCACAAACTCTTGTGCATACCGTAGGGCTAGTAGGTAGCGCGTCGGTCGGAGATCTTTCTCAGCCATTGACTGTGACAGATCCAGAACCAAAATGAGGTGACGAATTATACCCCGTTGCAGGGGCGTCGTGTCTCTGAGGAGTCTGCAAGCGCGGATACGAGTTCAGCTCAAACCCAGCGTTCACGTATGGACCTAGCTAGCTTATGACCACTCTACCTTTTTCTTTTCCCAGCTTCAAGAAGCCCTTCAACTGTAGAGCTAATTGTGCCATCGGCGCCCTCAACTAAGGTTTCCCACGTTCTTGAGACTTCCCATTCTGCGCCTCCGCGATGCTTTCGCCTTTTGGAACGGAATACAGTCTCCCCTCGAGATCCCCGAGGGATATTGCTCTCGCCCTCATCCTCAGAGATTTCTCCAATGTACTCTTCATCGGAATCGGCCATCTTGCACTAAGTGAAATGGGAAAGGTGGGTGTGTCAACCCAAAAGCGCGTCGGGCGTCGTGAAAGTGGTTGAGAAGGTCTAGCTATGTCCCCACCTCGTGGTTTCGGTTTGACGGTTCCTATCAACAGACTAAGAGTAAGAGGGTCCGAGCTCCGTCGGAGCTCCGTCCCTTGCTCTTTTTCAACTCTTTCAATTATCTAACTTTTTTCCCTGTCTCTGGCACCTGTCTCGCTCTGATCATTATATTAATAACCGTGATTCTCTTTACCCTTCTCCTAACTCTCCGATTTTTCCGATTGTCCGAAGAGTGTCTGCTCCGTAACCTGAAGACTTAACTAGCCATTTTGTATTACCACGGAGTATACCAAAAGGAATTGCGATTCGCTCCGACAGTAACCGTAGGCAGGCAAATTGGCTTCGTCCTAAAACCGCGAGCAAATGTGGGGAAGAAGGTGCATTGTGTCCACCAGGCAGGGTCGCATGAACGCTCATGCAGTCCGTGGTCACTCTCCAATTTATCGTCCGGTCCGACCAGTCTCCCACTGCCCCTCCTCCACCTCCCCCTCCTTCTTTTCTTCAACACGCTCCCGCTCCGTTTCCTGTCTGCTCTACCCTTCACACACACAGCGTTTACATCTAATTAAGCGTGTTGTACCGTCGCCCACCTTTGTAAGGCGCTGCTCGTCCGAAATCCGCGCAATGGCATCGAAGGACAGAGATATTCTCCCGGACCTGTAAGTTGCAGACCCTCAAGCACTTGGTATTCCGCCACCATCTGTGGGCAAACCTCTAACAAATAGTGACAGGGCCAAGCCAGTTCATTACCATGTGTCTCTATTTGACCTTCAGCTTGGCGGCTCCTGGGGCTATAAGGGCATCGTCAGAATAGATTCTAAGATCACTCATCCCACTAAAGAGATCGTGTTGAATTCAAAGGACATTGAAGTTCAGGATGCCGAGGTTCATGGAAAAGATGGTTAGTGGCAGGGACGGCTCAATTGTGCCCATTCACTTGCCATCTATTAATGAGTTTTGAGGGTGATATATTGATTATATTTAGGGACCAAATTGGCAAAGGCGTCCGAGATCACATACGATACGAAGTCGGAAAGAGTCACCTTCACATTTCCTGAGGAGATCACTCCTTCAGACGTAGTCCTGTCAGTCAATTTCACCGGCACTATGAACAATGCCATGGCTGGGTTCTACCGTTCCAAGTACACGCCGGTGGTGGAACCGACCGAAGATACTCCCAAGGAAGGAGATTCCTATTACATGCTGAGCACCCAATTCGAATCATGTGATGCTCGCAGGGCTTTCCCTTGCTTCGATGAGCCGAATTTGAAGGCCACATTTGACTTCGAGATTGAGGTGCCCAGCGGCCAAACAGCTCTTAGCAACATGCCTATCAAATCCGAGAGGAGCGGTAGTAAATCAGGGCTCAAGTTCGTCTCTTTCGAAACGACTCCAGTTATGAGTACTTATGTTGGTCTGCACGAAAACCTGATGCTAATATAAACTGACATTGGAATACTCATTCAGCTTTTGGCATGGGCAGTCGGCGATTTCGAGTACGTTGAGGCTATGACTCAGCGCAAGTATCAAGGCAAGAGCATACCTGTTCGCGTGTATACGACCAAGGGCCTCAAGGAACAGGCTCGGTTTGCTTTGGAATGTGCCCATCGTACTGTCGACTACTTCTCTGAAGTTTTCGAGATCGAGTATCCACTACCTAAGGCGGACCTTCTTGCTGTTCATGAATTTGTAAGACAATCAGCCCATTTGAATGAAATAAATTCAATCAAGCTAATCGCGACTGCTACAGGCCATGGGTGCTATGGAGAACTGGGGACTTGTCACCTATCGAACGACTGCCGTTCTCTTCGATGAGGGCAAGTCGGACACCCGGTATAAGAATCGCATTGCATATGTTGTCGCTCACGGTTTGTTTTGCTTTCTGAAAAAAGCCGCTCTGTACTTCTATCTAACAATGCATCATCCAGAATTGGCACACCAATGGTTTGGAAACCTAGTAACGATGGACTGGTGGAACGAGCTGTGGCTCAATGAGGGCTTTGCAACATGGGTTGGCTGGCTTGCTGTCGATCATTTCTACCCTGGTAGGCAATGCTCCCTGAATGATTACAGACAAAGTACAGCTGATATGGTTTTTGCAACTAGAATGGAACATATGGTCTCAGTTCGTTGTACGCAACTCCCGAGGTAATACACCTTTGCATGACAGGGAATTAATCTTTTGCATAGGCTGAAGGTGTCCAACAAGCATTTCAACTTGACTCACTACGAGCATCTCACCCTATTGAAGTGCCTGTGCGAAATGCTCTTGAGGTCGACCAGATTTTCGATCATATTAGCTATCTCAAGGGAAGCTCTGTCATTCGGATGTTGAGTGATCATCTTGGTCGAGAAACATTCCTACGTGGAGTTGCTGCATATCTCAAAACGCACGCATATGGCAAGTGCATCCAAATACATAAAGGGAAATATACTGACTACGAAATCCAAATAGGTAATGCCACGACCAATGATCTCTGGAGTGCACTCAGCAAAGCGTCCGGTCAGGATGTTACAAGTTTCATGGTATGTCGCTCTGATTTAGCACCTGGCGTATTGTTCTGACTGCCCTGTGAAGGATCCCTGGATCCGTAAAATCGGCTTCCCCGTTGTCACTGTAACAGAGGAACCAGGTCAAATCAATGTTCGTCAAAATCGTTTCTTGTCAACGGGTGATGCAAAGCCTGAAGAAGATGAGACGACTTGGTGGATTCCCCTTGGCGTGAAGTCGGGGCCTAAGATGGCAGATGTAAAGTCCAGCGCCCTTGTTTCCAAGGCAGATACACTTGAGGGGGTCGGACAAGATTCCTTCTACAAGCTAAACAAAGACCTTTCTGGCTTCTACCGAACCAACTACCCCGCTGACCGGTTGGCAAAACTCGGCCGATCCTTGGACCTGTTGAGCACCGAGGATAAGATTGGGTTGATTGGCGATGCCGCTGCCCTAGCCGTTTCCGGGGACGGGGACACTGCTGCCTTATTGGCTTTATTAGAGGGATTTAAGGAAGAGCAGAATTATTTGTGAGTACCCGCTTCGTTAGAACGTTCTGCACCAACTTGCCGGGGTCTACCATCTTGATTCCTGATTAGCTACTAATCCTTATCACAGGGCCTGGTCTCAAATATCTTCCTCCGTTGCAAACTTGCGTTCGGTGTTTGCCTTGAATGAGCCGGTAGCAGCGGGGCTAAAGAAGTTTGCCCTTGAGCTGGCATCCCCTGCTGCCCATAAGATTGGTTGGGAATTCAGCTCAGAAGATGATTACCTGACTGTACAGCTCCGTAAACTACTCATTGGAATGGCTGGCCTTGCGGGCCACGACAAGTAGGTCAATCTGGGGATGTTGTGCGCTTTCATTGCAGGTCTGACTTTCTGTAGTATTATATCCGAGGCTAAGCGACGATTCGAGCTCTGGAAATCTGGCAATAATAAAAGTGCTGTGCATACTAATCTGCGCTCAGTGGTTTTCGGTATCGCAATCTCAGAGGGTGGTTATGAAGAGTACGACGCTGTGAAGCAAGAGTATCTGAATACCGATTCTGTCGATGGCAAGGAAATTTGTCTGGCTGCCCTCGGACGCACCAAAAACGTTGATCTTGTCAATAACTATTTGGATTTTGTCTTCTCAGACAAGGTTGCGATCCAAGACGTGCATAATGGTGCGGTCTCACTGGCTTCGAATCCTCTGACTCGCCACCTTCTCTGGGATTACATGAAAAAGAACTGGGCATCCGTTGAAGCTCGGTTGTCGACGAACAATGTCGTGTTTGAAAGATTCGTGCGTATGGGGCTGTCAAAGTTCGCGGACCACGATATTGCAGCCGATATTGCTTCGTTCTTCCAGAATAAGGATACAAGCGCGTACGATCGCGCCTTGGTGATCGTTGCTGACAGCATCCGGACGAATGCGCACTACAAGGAAAGAGATGAGAAACAGGTCTTGGGATGGCTTCAGGCCCATGGCTACGCTTGATTCTTCTGAGGAGAGGCAACTCATTTTCGGGTCTTTAGATACGTACCTGGTGACTAGGACGCTTGGTAGTCATATAGGTCACATGAATGATACTTAAAGAAAAGTCTGAGTTGTACTTCGAAACATATGACTAGGGGACTAGGGTGGGTCCACTTGCTTTGCCTTGCCTAATTCGCGTAACTACATAGTACGTGAGAAACAAATCCGTCTCGGGGTGATAGCTATAGGGAGCATGGGGGAGGTGAAGGATCTGTTTAATTCGGTGGACCTTCCTAATATGCCGCGAAGATGTATGGTTTGTCAAGTAAATAATGATTTGCGTGTTATCTACTCGTAGCACGTGGGCCACATGTACACACATAGTACGGAGTAGTAGATACTAGATCGAGATGGAGTAAATGCTCCTACAATTTTTATCTCCGTGGACAACATAGGTGAAGAGTTTCTAGCCTGAAGATGAGGTAGTTTTGCGTTATAGGCTGCTAGGTTGCTAGATACAATATCCCAAGTTTTGGCTAAACACAACATAGCCTCTCTGTATGTACTCTTGCAAAGAGCCGTACTCCGTAGTACTTGCGTACCTAGCTAGATATTAATAGTTAATACTGTCTCTGATTGGTGCACTAGGCTGCATTGGGTCATGGGTCTGGGGCGGGCGAGCGTGAAACGGTCATTCCCACCCAGGAGGTCGACACTAGGCATTTAACGGCCTAGCGGCAGTGTTGGAACCTGCACGTTGGGCTCGTCTGCTCTCCTGCAGTCAGCAACGCAACCGCCATTTCAAGAGACCGCTCGGTCACCTCAATAAGTAGTCACTCAAGTATCATTTACAACGTCGGCTTGCTGCCACGATTAATACTACTTCTTCCACCCTTGGTCTCTTCCTTTTCATCAAACATCAACCCAAGTTTCGCCGACGTTGACGCAAAGTTCAACTGCTCCATCATGAATCCCGAGTGGTAAGTGCCCTTGGTGGCCTATATTTGGGCTACAGCTCACCAAGTTCTGGTGATGCTCCCCTGGCAATCAAAATTCATTGGTTTCCCGTCCATGGTCTTGTTATTTCTCCGAATCTCATGCTGACGTTATTGCTTTATAGAGCCCCCATGATTCTTGAACTTCCCCGACACTCCATTTAGCCGGCCCGGCCCTCTGCTTGTGTATCTGTCGATGTGCTAATAGTCTAATTAGATACGATTACCTCTTCAAGCTCCTCCTCATCGGAGACTCTGGTGTCGGAAAGTCTTGCTTGCTCCTTCGTTTTGCCGATGATACCTATACGGAAAGCTACATCTCCACTATCGGGGTCGACTTTGTACGTATCTAGCCACCTACTATGTCAGCCTGCAGCGTGTTGAGACCTGGGGAGATTGCTAATTATCGAAATGCAGAAAATCCGTACCATCGAGCTTGATGGCAAGACGGTGAAACTTCAAATTGTAAGGGGCTTCCGCGTTTGATCATCGGCCGCTTGGCTTAACTAACCGGTACTGTAGTGGGATACTGCTGGCCAGGAACGTTTCCGGACAATCACATCGTCTTATTACCGTGGTGCTCATGGTATCTGTGTCGTCTACGATGTGACCGACATGGACTCTTTCAACAACGTGAAGCAGTGGCTTCAAGAAATCGATCGCTACGCCACCGAGGGTGTCAACAAGCTGCTCGTGGGTAACAAGAGCGACATGGAAGACAAAAAGGTGGTTGAGTACACAGTGGCTAAGGTATGTAGTCATCATTGGATGTCCGGGATATTCAATTTTCCACAGAGGCGATGATTGACATGATATGTGGTCAAATAGGAATTCGCTGATAGCCTTGGGATCCCATTCTTGGAAACCTCGGCGAAGAACGCTTCAAATGTCGAGCAGGCTTTCTTGACAATGGCGAGACAAATCAAGGAGCGTATGGGCACTGCTACTGTCAACAACAAGCCAACCGTGCAGGTTGGCCAAGGCCAGGGCGTTCAATCCGGCTCCGCGGGCGGCTGCTGCTAGACAATTGATGTTCCTGATCCCGCGTTGCTATACGCCATCTTAGCACGGGGGTGACAAAAGGAGCTACCAGGGAGGCTACCGGCGGCGCCCTGCTGCCGGGCAGTTTTGTTTGAATGCTAGCATGATTTCAACTGTTCTTTGCTAGTGATGGCCATAGGGAGTAGTTTTTTCCTGCTTTAGAAGGCCTTCGTTTTGTCTTTATACATGGTGCTCTATGGATAATTTCCCCGAACTGTCTTCCCCGGTTCCCTCCCTTTTTCACCCCTGCCGGCCATCTATTGTTCTTCCTTACTAACTTTTTCCGTCGCTATTTTTGCACGTGGCCTTTCTTTGCTTCAAGCATTTTCTCATCGGGTTCTTTGAGTTTCTCTTAGTTAGTTGGATCCTTTGCGTGATTATGTCAGGGTCGATTAATGCAGAAGTTAATGATACTTAGTGGACATGTTTATCTGCTGGTTCAAATCGAGATCTACTACTCATGAGAATCCACACCCCACCAGTGCCTTAACACATGCAAAACATGTAACTGCTCGGTTAACCCCTATCAGATGGCCCACATACTAGACTGGACTCCCTACTCCCTGTCTTTCAAAGTAAAGCCCTTCTGTTTTGTTCGGTATATGTAAAATCATATATAATTACATAGTAACCTACATCTTAGCATCTTTATATGAAGATACTTTCCGTGATTTAGTCTAGGCAGAGTATAATCCTAAGAATTCTCGATGTATATTTTTGATAGCTTTAACCCTCCCCTAACCTCCTAATAATCCCAACAGTATATAAATAATCTCAAGCTTTAACACGTAGAAGTTCTAGAGAGGTCAATCATGTAATCCTTACTGCACCATGCCGTACTATACCCTGTAGATACAAAAGAAGGTAGAGTAGCAAAAGGGTTGCTAAATGAGTACTGGGATATCCGAGTAAGCGAGGTTTTGAAAAAGGGTAAACCGAGCAACTAGACGCCACTCAAAATGGTAGGGGATGTAGAGTGGCCATTTTCGCTCGTCTTCTGGTTAGTTCTAATAGGACACCGGTTGTTGTACTCCGTACTCAATACTGTTGATACTATACATAGGAACTCCGTATAGGAGGCACTCTCTTTGGATTCCTAGTACTATGTAATCCAGGTAGAACTAGGTCGTGGCCTGCGGCCACGACCTACGGTCTCGCACACAGCTCAAGGCATTTTGAAGCGCATTTTCTTACTAAAGCAGGCAACTCTCTCTAAATTACATGAATCATGTACGCAAGTTCTGCAAGTTATATAGAGGCACGTAGGACCTCACGTAGGACCTCACGTAGGACCTCACCCAGGGCCTCACCCAGGGCCTCACCCGGGGCCTCACCCGGGGCCTCAGGCAGGGCCTCAGGCAGGGCCTCAGGCAGGGCCTCTGAAGCTATTCAGAAAAGTAAGCTAGAAAGAAAAAAAAAACGGAAGGAAATGGCAGAACAAAAGTCACGTTACTGGTGAAAATAAAAGCCAATAAGAAGCTGAATCTGTGACTTTTTTCGACCAATGAGAAGCGAACGGGCTGGCAACAGACCTAGTAGGAGCAAACCTAGAGTTACTCAGCGCTAGCGCGCTTCGTAAATAACAGGGATGGGCTCCTTACATGAACGTGACATGCAGGGCCCCTAGTAATGATACTTGGTACTGACACAGTCCGGTTTTTACATCTTGTTCTCTCATTCTAGATAGCTTTCTTTGCTTTGAATAGCCATATACTGACATGGTATGCTTATATGAAAAGCAATGAGTATCAATGGGGAATTTTCACCGTTTGCAAATAGGAACAACTGTGCATTATGATCATTACAAGATATTCCTGGCCTTCATTACATAAAACGTGAAGTAAGCCTGTTTTTCACCGACAGCTTTTATTCCCTGGTATAAGATTGTCTTCCATAATACATCAACAAAGTGCCCAGAAGAACTTAAAACTCCATGTGGCATGAGGTTGATCCGATCAGCTGATGGAGTTTCGCGTCAGCCGAGGCACAGGCTTCGGCAAACGTCATGAAAACCATCATCTCCCATTCAGTGCCGAGCCATTCTCACACCCAACCTAAACAGCCCCCTTCTATTAGTTATAAGGTGTACATAATTACCCCATTTTAAGCCCCTTCCTCATTTCACTCCTCCTTTTTCAATCCCTGAAACGGTCAATTGGATACTGTTGGCTCATCAAACATAATCTCACCCTTCCACCGTATCTTGTCAATAGCCGAATCGTTTGTATCCCACCTTGAAGGCGAACAGACCTAGGTGCACCCGTACTTCAACCTAGATTTGGGTGGCCTTCCTGACGTATACCATACCTGCTTAACAAGGCAATTTAACGCGCTATCCATGATGTCTCAGTCCAACATTGAAGGGCAAAAGAAGGCGGTCGCAGCTGCGGCCCAGCAAAGTGACAATATGGCACATGCATTGGCAGGGGCTGGAGGTGGTATTTTGTCAATGTTCTTGACGTGCGGCAACACCTCCCGTTAATGAAACCATCGTTGACATCTATATGTTGCAGTTATCCGCTGATAACCCTCTCAACAAGAGCGCAAGTCGAGTCCAAACGCGCGCATTCCACAACGTACGATGCTGTACGTCGCATCATTCAGAGAGAAGGTGTCTCTGGGCTATATTCAGGCCTCGAGTCTGCACTTTTTGGCATCAGTGTTACCAATTTCGTATACTACTATTGGTACGAGTGGACGCGCTCGGCCTTCGAAAAGGCGGCAACACGAGCGGGTCGGTCCTCCAAGAAGCTCACGACGTCTGAGTCCATGATTGCAGGGGCTATCGCTGGGAGCGCAACAGTCATGCTTACCAATCCGATTTGGGTCGTGAATACTAGAATGACGGCCCGCAAGTCCGAGTCGGACCAGGAAGCATTGCCGGGGGTTCCTGCCAAGAAGTTGCGGGCATCGACGATTGCCACATTGATGGACTTGCTTCGACAGGAGGGCCCTAAGGCTCTCTTTGCTGGTGTTCTTCCGGCTCTTATACTGGTAATCAATCCGATATTGCAGTATACTATTTTTGAACAATTGAAAAATATGCTGGAGCGCCGTAGACGCATGACGCCGAAGGATGCGTTCTATCTTGGGGCTTTAGGTAAGATACTGGCAACTTCGATTACGTACCCTTATATTACAGTCAAAAGCCGGATGCATGTCGCTAGTACGGATGGCCCTAAAGAAAGTTTGAACGGGAGCCTGAAGAGAATCGTCAAGGAAGAGGGCTATGTGGGTTTGTACAAAGGCATGTTGATATTTGCAATGCGGAACCCAGGCAGAACTGAGCTAATGTTGGCGAACAGGCATTGGGCCAAAGGTCACACAAAGTGCGATTACTGCGGCATTCTTGTTTGCGTTCAAGGATGTCCTTTATGACTTCATGGTCTCAATTCGGAAAAAGAACCGAGCAATCTCCAGATAGAATGCTGTGTACAAATGGGCTTTTGAAGGAGGATCATCGCAGAAGTACTAGAGTCAGTGGAAGAGGCCAAATGTACTGCGATTCTGTGTCTTGGTCAGACACCCAAGTCACTGCCTGTCCTTGATTGTCTACTCCATACATGATACATATCGTGGTTGCTCCAGTAATTTTGTTCTTCGGGTAGGACAATGTCTAATGCTTAGACATTGGCTTGGAATCGACTTCAGTAAAAAAGAAAAGCTCCAATATTACCTTAACAAAGGCGTCAAAGGAGTCAGTATCTATGTTAGTTCCAGCATTTGCCAATACCAGGCCCTGTCAACCTCTATGAATAGGCAAGGTTAAGAGACTTCACTTACTATACCAAGTGAAGAGAAGCCGCGGCTCGCTTGTATGAGTCGCTGACATAATCAACGCCTGTGATACATATGATTTCGACCGCCTACTGTTTTAAGGCATACAGCACTTTATGCCCTGACACGATAAGGCGCGTTCGCGCGTCGCCAAGCAACTGTCGTATAGGGTACCAATCTTGCTGTTATTTGTCCTCAACACCGAGGGTCTGGCATGACTCAGGTGAGGTCTGAGTGAGTGGCGATTACTCAAAGCTAAGGTACTCCTCGTTGACATGATGTGTTCAAGCTGCGCAGAGCTTTGCAGAGCTTTAGTGTTCCCCGCCAGCCTGTGAGAAGCTTATGTGAGTTAAACCAGGCCGTTCACAGACCCCGATCTGATTTGAGAACTTTTGCGATAGTACGAATCTCTATCCATCTACATTCTGCGATCAGATTTGCTTGTACTCCTATATCCTGGCACTTTTGGCATAGCTACTGGTCGACATGCGCGGACAAACTCAGTGTCTTGGTTTGGAGTGCCTAGTTGAAGACAAAGTATTCGTACACAATGTCCCATATATCCCCGCCACAAGAACCTGAGGATCTATCTGTCATTGAGGAAGCTCAAGTTCTACTCTCCCACTTTATGAGACATTCCTCGCGAGAAACACAGGGATCTTTAGCAGGGGACCGCAGCGATCAGGATTCCGCCCCAGGGGAATGGACAGGCCCTGGGAAACCCCTTTGGACAAACGCTAGGAAGCATGACGGGTTAAGTAGAACACCTATTGATTCTAGGTCGCCATCAGCAGTTGATGGGAAGCACCGCCTGATATCCAGCGCACCGCAAACTCCTGATTCTTCGAGATCCTCTGAACAGGGCAAGCGGATTACTCTATCACCACCTGGAGGTGGACAGAAGATACCGGGTGCTCGACGCTCTGGACGTACAAGAACTGGACCAAGCAACTATTACGATAAGGCTAATTACTTAGGTTTCGGTTCCGATGAAGAAGTCTGTGATAGTCACGCAAAGTCTTCTCCTACCACATCCCGTCAAACTAGATTTTCTAGCAATACGCCCGCATCAAAGCCCTCGTCTTGGGTAAATGATCGCAATGAGAAATCTCGTGTCATTTATTCCTCGTCCCGTGTGCGGATCGTGAAGTCACCATTCGTGTCTCTGGACGATTTGGGAATCTTGGGGCGTGCATGTTATTCTTCGGCACGTAGCCCAGCGGAGTACGCCAAAAAGTATCAGGGCAGACCAGCATCATCAGACGATATTCTTCATGTTGATTTCGACCAAGCGGAAATGGCGGCTGTCTTGGAATTGATCTCTTTTTTGGGGTTTCGGCTGCCTGAGAGCTTGGACATGGCTCTTTCGGATCAGATCATCCAGACTGTTTGTATCTACGAGACTCCACGAGAAATCTCGAAGAAGATTTGGCGCATGTGCGAGCTTGCACAGATCTTATCAGATGATCAGGTTGAAGGGCCTGATGATATTTACACCTGGCTCTCGAGATCGATCAAGCCAGACCAGAAAGACAAGAATAAGCGGCAGGCTAGACGCCTAGTTAGAAAGACGTTAGGGATGAGCAAGAGCAATTGCCATGATGATGGACAGCTTTGTTCTGACGAACGGCTCCGGAGATTGTCATGGTTTTTGCCATCCGCCATGATACTTAGTCGGCGCGAGTCTGATGATATAGATGCCTTTATTGAAGATGCAAAGAAAGGCGGCCTTGCTTCCTGTTCTTGTGTCATCAAAGCTACTGCGTCAGGCGGTGGATCTGTTGAGAAAACCAGGTCATTGAACAGAATCTTGCAGCGCCGTGAGTTAGGAATTTGCATAAAGCAGCAGCTTTGTTCGACCATTATCAAAGACTTCAAGCTTGCAAAATCTTGGAAAGGTGCCTCAAATGATGTGATTGTCTTGGCTTGGGCACCAGATGGGACGAAATTTGCAGCAGGTGCAGCAGCTCAATGCGACGAGCATAATATGGAATACAATCGGAATAACAACTTGATTATGGGCGATATGGTCAACAATCGTCTGACGGAATTGCCTGATCATTGGATCTCTCGCCCCTCGAGCAGGACTGCGGCAAGTCGGACTGTGCATGATGACCGCCTCTGGATGAGCGTTACATCAATCGAGTGGTGGGAGGATGCTCTCTTTACTGCGAGCTACGATAACACTGTGAAGATGTGGCATACTTCTAATCATAACGCTTCGTGTTTTAAAACGCTGCGGCATGACTCCAAGGTGGAAGTTATGGCTCGGTCGAACTTTGAAAGGAACTTACTAGCAACTGGGACGCGTTCAATAGGGATATGGAGAATAGCGGACACAACTTACGTCCCCCTTGAACTGCCTAGGGCGCGATCTAGAAAGGACAGGGAACTAGTGCCCACCTCTTTAGCGTGGGGAGCCATCAAGGAGACTGGAAATATTCTACTTGCCGGGATGTGTGAAAAGGACGAAGCCATGCCACAGACTGGACTGTTGGCGGGGTGGTATATAGGCGAGGCATCAATAACGCCGATGCAATTCTCCCCTAATTCCCAGAATATGTTTGACATCAAGTGGCATCCTACCTTGCCGATATTTGCAGCAGCAACATCGGTGGGTCAGGGTCCGGCCAACAGGAATTCCAAGGAGACCAGATCCTTAGTCCGTCTGTATCAACCCTTATCATCGAAAACTTCCACCATGGAGTTTGAGTGCCCGGCACTAGATATCAACGAAGTCAACGTTTGTCCCACGAACCCGAACTACGTGACTGCCAGTTGCACTGATGGAGTTACCTATGTTTGGGACCATCGACGTCCGGACCAGATCCTTCACAAGCTCCGACATGGAGATCCTTTGAACCAGGTAGACGAGACGATCAGCAGGGAGCAGGCAGATGTTGGTGTGAGATTAGCCCTATGGGGCGATAGAATCGATGAGTTCTATACCGGAGCCTCTGACGGCGTGTTAAAGAGATGGGATATCCTTCGAGCCCCAGGAGATGTGCTCCTCCAGGATACGGCCAAATTCAAGGAGGAAATAATGTGCGGTGCCTTCTCAAAGGACAAGTCCAATCTTTTGATTGGTGATGCTGCCGGGGGGGTCCATCTTCTATCCCCTGGACCATTTTCTAGTGCCGAGGGCCTGTCTATGGAATTCAAGCCTGCATCTCAACCTCAACTACGATTCCCTCACGATGAGTATGGTTCTGATCCCGGGTCAGGTATCAGAACAGGTGCCGAACTACTGTCTTCTGGAAAGCTCGCCAGGCATCCAATCTACGGTGTCGGACAAGGTCCGCGCTATGATGGTCCCTTTGCAGCCTGGGCCCGTCCGGAGAACACTCCTCAAGATGAGATCGCGCAAACCCGGCTGAAACAAGAGATACAGCTACGACAGCTTTATGGTGTTCGCCCAGAATGCAGGATCGGGTTAGATACGGTGTCCCGGGAAGATGTTAAGGCACAGATCAAGCTTGCACATATTCGGAACCAGCAGCGGTATCATAACAAGAGAGCACGTGAGGAGCTTGCAAATCCTGCCCATACCAGGACAAGCTTCATTGATTTAGTCGAAGACAGGCACGATCCGTCACCAAGCTTTTCTCATAGACCTAAGCGCAGGATGGACGATGTTCCTTCAGCATCGGGGGTCGAAGTCATTGATTTGACTGGGGACACTGACACGGAGGAAACCCCCAGTTTCAAGGCTGATATCCATCTCATCGAATTCAAAGCCGCCGTCCAAGAAGTAGAAGAAGAACTTGAGGAAGACTTCTGGTGGCCGTCCAGTGGCACAATCGATGCAAACATCCAAGATATCGACGGGATTTAGTTGTGTCGCATAAATGATGTCAACAGCCCGCCGCTGGCCAATAACATCATGTGGCTGAGCAGCGGCACGGGGCATTGCTGGGCACTGTTCACCAACCTCGCTACTTCGTACCTTAGAACTACTCAGTTTTCTCAATTTCCAGATTCCTAAACACCGAAAAGCTACTACACGTACTACTGGGTTCGGATTTCTGCTTTGCTTTATCCAACCCTTTCGGCCATTTGTGGTATCTTGCGTCCCTCGACTCTAGATGTCATTCGCTCCTCCACCCGGACCTCCGATTCCTTCGGTCCCTGAAGGATGGAAGGCTCAGTTTGATGACCGGTATAAGCAATGGTAAGTCTGATATTTTCTACTGGAAGGCCCTCCACGCTGAAACCCGTGTCTTCTGTGAAGGTTTTATGTAAATTTACGCACCGGCAAATCACAATGGGAATATCCCGAAGAGCTGCCTCAAGCGGAAAATGATAGACCGCCGCCATCTTACGAGGCGTCTGGCTCTGCTGATCGACCTGGTTTGGCTACCACTAGCGACAAGGAAAGGCTGGACTTAAAGACTCAGTACAATCCATCGGGATCTAGAGACAGTACGTTGGCGAGCGATGCCCGGCTGGCTGCGCAGTTACAGGCCGAGGAGGATGCTCGAGCTTGTCGAAGAAGTCCAGCACAGTATGGTGCTGCGTCCGACTATTATGTTGGGGACTCTCGGGTGCAGTCTGCAGGATATCAAACTCCCGAGGGCACGTCTTCCGGATCGAACCAGCAGCGCAGCAAGGGCTTCTTCAGCAAGTTAATGGGAAGGGGCACCGGTGGCAGCAATGCGGGTTATGGGCGACCACAGCAGTCCTATAATTACCCTCAGGGCGGGTACTCTGGTGGCTATCCCTCGCAGCAGGCAGGGTATGGTTATCCTTCGTATCCGGCACAAGGCAACTATTACCCCCCGCAGCAGCCGCAACAACAGCAACGACGGCATCATGGAATGGGGACGGCAGGCGCTGCAGCGTTAGGAGTTGGGGGCGGTCTTCTCGGGGGTCTGCTACTGGCGGATGCCGCTGAAGATCTCTCGCATGATTTCGCTTCTCCGCCGCCTTCCGACTTTGGAGGGGGTGATTTCGGAGGGGGTGATTTTGGGGACGGTGATTTCGGAGGGGGCGATTTTGGAGATTTCTAGACCATCCGGCGAGTTAGGGCATCGAGAGCCATATAGTCGACGTCTTGTACTTATGTCTTTCTTGTGGTGTCTTTTTAGCCCGTTGTTTGCTTACTCTCTTTGTTCCACAAGGCCTACTCTGCAGGAAGTACCACATCTAGATAGAACCTAATGTGCTATAATGTATGATGAAGGTGCATCCTCGGAGCTTATTTTTCTCCCCGTTGGAATCGAATTGAGGGGTTATATGTATCCTTATAATCAATCCTCGTCCAGTCTTCCTCTGCTAGCGGGCAGGCCTCACATGTCTCTGTATCTCATGTTCAGTCTGACCAGTTAAATGGGGAAAAAGATACCATGGCCCGTCAGGCTAGTTAGAAAAGACAATAGATACTTGACAACACCGTTTCACATCCTCATACACCGTGTCCCTACATACGTATCAAAGTTCACCCCCTTCTCCGCGACGCCCCTCCGCTCTCCCTTCCCGTTGCCACTCCCCCAGATGTAGCGGCTTCGGCACCAGGCGCGGGTCTAGGAGTCGCACCGGCCATCCACCCAGCCAAGTCGAAGTTCCCAGGCGTCCCGCCACCAGTCATAGCGCTGCGAGTAGCGCCGGAGATGGGCGAAGAACGGGACTGTTTCTCGAACTCGGCGCGCATTTCGGGGTCCACTAAGAAAAGAGATACCCAGTCAGCAAGAGGCTTTCTTATAGATATATATGATATGTATATAGATGAAGAGATGTAGAAACCGAGACATAGGAAAGAAGAAGAGAGATCCGCGCAGAGAGCCAAAGGAATCGGAGCAGTAACTTACTATTCTCCATCAACTTGGGCATGCCGAAAGTGAATCCCAGCGCGACCAAAGCCATCAAGATCATAGGGTTCTTGAACAAAGCCATCGGAGAGACTATACAGGAAGAAAGGCATCGGTTAGTGACTATTGATTCACAGAAGACAGAAAGTGCACAGAAGGCGCCCAATGGGCCACCACGCCCTCTATCCCATGCCATGCCCATAGGTAGCATGCATGACGACCCGCTGTTTTAGGGAGGAACCATACATTTCGACCGTTCCTCGTAGAAGCCTCTGCGGGCCAGGACCTTCGCATCGACAGTCACATCGGAGGCGACGGTTGTTGTTGTTGTTGTTGTATCGGCGACAAATTTCTCTGCGCCGCGATTGTCCCAGGGATTGCCGCGGAAGGTTTCCCAGATGCCGAGGAGGGAGCCATCGGCGGCGACATCGACGCGGAGAGGGGCGAAGACGTATTCCGGGGAACGGATATCGAGCAGGTAGGATTCGGGCTTGGTGGAGGCGGGAAGGTGGTGGAAGAGGAAGGTCGCGGAACGAGTGAGAGGCGCGGTGAGGATGTGCTGGTTGTTCTCGGTCGTTGTGAGCGTGGTCAGGGTGGCATGAGTGCCGGCCGGGAGAACGTTGGGGTTGGGAAGGACATTGGAAGGGGGAATCGTGATGGTGAGGGCGGAGGTCGCGAGCGCTGGGGTGGAGAGCAGGGCGACCAGGAAAAGGCCGAGCGAGAAAACCGAGAGGTGCATGATGGCGATTGTAGGGGGTTATGCGCTGGATTGGGATGGGTCGGATTCCGCCACGACTGCGGAGGTTGTGGAGGTGAAGCTATTCCGACGCGTGCCAAGCGGCGGCCGGCTAGCTCCTCTTAGTTTACAGATCAAGCGTCTTCGCCGCCCAGCGCCTCCACCCCATCTGGCTGCCAACAGAAATCATGTACGTGCTGGATTTTACACAAGTGGTGAGAGTGATCTCCTGACTTTCAACCAGGACAAGGCAGCTGCATGCTGTGCAATAGTGGGTAAAATTATATACTACTAATCATGGCCTCTACTCCAGCCGCGACCTACGCCCAATTGCGCGTTCCTCAGACACGGAGAAAATATGGACAGAGAAAAGGTGGAAGAAGAGAGCGCTCGGCTATATGTACAGTGTGGACTTGAAAGCTGTCCGTCAGGCCAGCTGCTTCCATAGTGCCGGCCATGGAGAAGTACATCGCCTATGAAGGCGCCAATGAACCCCTCCTCATAGCCTGGCCTTGGGCGCAGACTCTTCGGCCAACGCCTGGGCATAGAGCTCATCCAAGAGCTGACGATACTTCTTCGTGGTCGGCGGACGCTTCAGTTTCAGACTATATGGAATAGACATTGATTAGTATGTATCGTACCAGAAATAAGAGGGGGGTTATCTCACGTCGGAGTCAGCAGGTTATTCTCAATCGTAAACGGATCAATCATGAGTGCGCAGTTCTTGATTTTTTCGTATCCTGCAAGCTTGTGCTTTTTGGCAACCCGGTCGAGATCCTTCAGCACTGCTTTGCGAATCTTGTTGTCGTCAAGGATCGATCTGATGCCCTCGATGTCTGTAGCTTCGATGGTCCGGCCGAGCACCTTGCTGGCAAACGCAGCGAAAGTATCAGGCTGGATGCCGAAGATAGCCACCAGGAAAGTCTGGACGCTATCACCATGGACATAGCCCTGGGCAAAATAACCCATCTCTGACATATAAACACCCTCCAATCGTTCCGGAGAGATATATTCTCCCTGCGCCAGCTTCATGACATTCTTCCGGCGATCAATGATAATGATACGACCCATGTCATCAATGGTGCAGACATCGCCGGTCCGGAACCATCCGTCTTCGGTCATCGCCTTGGCTGTCTCTTCGGGATCCTTGAAATACTCGCGGAAAACGTTCGAGCCTCGCAAAAGCAACTCGCCCCGAGGATACGGCTTGTCGTCAACGGAGTATTCCATATCAGGCAGAGACATCAAACAAGCTTCCGTGCAAGGCACCAACCGGCCACAGTTACCAGCGGTCAAGTCCGAGAGGGATTGCGCACATGCCATGGCATATGTCTCGGTCAAACCATAGCCCTGGATGAGGTCGACACCCAGAGCAACCCGGAGAAATTGATGAAGTGAAGGATCCAGAGGCGCCGAACCGGAGACCATCATTCTCGTACGCTCCAAGCCAATAGCAGCCGCAACCTTCTTGGCCCAGATGCGATCATACAGGGCATGCTTCGCAGTGGCCTTGCTAGGATCAGGGTTCTTCAAATTTGCGGTCTTGGTCGAGACAACGTGTCTGGACAATGCGCCTCTGAAGCCGGGTTGCTCAATGGTTGAGGCACGGATGGCATTGCCAAATCGAGTGTAGAGGCGCGGAACCGACATGAACCCGGTCGGCTTGAGCAGCTTGAGATCATCAACCAGCTCCAGGATGTTTCCGTGGAAATATCCAATGCGGGCTCCCGCCCAAAAGGCCGCATGTTCGGCCATGCGGGCGTAGATGTGGGCAAGCGGAAGGTAAGATGCCAATGTATCATTAGCCGTTTGCAGGATGATCATGAGAGCGCCTGAAGAGGCTGCTACGGCGTTCTCGTGGGTCAGGACTACACCCTTCGGAGGGCCTGTGGTACCAGACGTATAGTTGATAGTGATGGTGTCAGAGGGCGATGGAGGTTTACAAGGGCGATCCACCGAAGCGCCCAGTTCTTCCACCTGATCCAATGTGTAGATGGATACATCTTGCCCAGCAGCCACCGACTCGAGAATGGCACGCTTCGAGTGGCCGGTCTGTTCACCGCCATCCAGGGGATCCAAGCTGACGATGATCTTCAGCTTGGGCAACTGGGGCTTCAGCTTCAGGAGTGTGGGAATATGTGGCAACGAGGTCACGACGCAGTGCAAATCTGCGTGGTTGATGATGTATTCTGTCGCATCTGGAGAGAGAACATCATAGATAGAGACTGAAAACAAGCTTTGTGACATGCATGCGAGATCTAGTGTGATGGAGATTAGAATCTCACGGGCCGCGAGAAAGGGTCGACATACCAGTTAACTGCCACTCCGGGCGATTCTGACACCATAGCCCAATACCATACTGGCCAGGGCGACTGCAGTCGTGCTTGTGATGTAATTCCACTAGACCTGCACCAAATGCAGCCCGTCGCTTTTGAACTGTCTGGTAGTCCATCCATTGATACGGACCATAGGTTTTGGTCGTGGGATCGTATGGGCGCCATCCCAGGCAGTCGTTTTTGGGCAATCGGTTTGCGGTGGACTCGAATATCTCATGCGCGGTGAGAACCTGACGAGTTGAAAGGGGTCAGAATCCGGTATAAAGCGCCATGCTATGGTGGCCGCTTGGTGGACATCTTTGGGAGCATACTTGCGGGTCCAGCGACTTCATGATGCCCTCGGTGGAATTCCATGCCCGGTAGACCTTACTCCGGCCGGGTTGTTCTGTTCCAGGCACGGCGACTGAGTACGGAGTGCCTTTGGGAGGTTCTTGTCGCAGCTCATTTGCGCGAGCGAGGTGGAGAGGTTCTTGGGAGAATAGCATTGCGACGGGTGGAATTTACAACTGGTGAAGACGGGGTTAATATTGAGGAGATAATGCACCAGCAGCTTAACTGGGTCACTAACCATGCGATCAAAGAAACAAGCGAAATCCAATGCCACCAGGAGACTCGAGTGTGGCGCGGGAGACAGAGAGAGTTTGCGACAGCAACGGGTAACCCGGAAGGTATGCGAAGAGAGGAGAGAGGGAGAAGATGGGAGACTAATAAAACGGGAATTTGGCCGGGAGGACAATGGAGGGACAGGAAGACGTGCCTCCGTGTCTCTCTGGGGGATGTCCGCAGGAAGTACGGAGTACCTACCAGTCAGTTAGGACCTACGTGCTGGCTACTATCTGAGGCAACTACAGGACTAGTACCCCGTACGACTAGTACCAAGGGAGCAAGAGGACGACCGTGGACGCCGTGGGCCTCCGGGAATACGCCCAAAGGGCGGGCGCTGAGTGGTTGGTTTCCGGGCGGCCGCCACGCGACGTCAGGACCAAGTTTGACCAACGGTCCAACAGACCTCGGCACTTGCCTGTTGGGGACCCCTCATCCGGGGCGCGCCCCTTCCTTCCCAATGTCCATGTCCAAGGTTGTGGAAAGTGGAAATTTGAAACCTTGAAAAAAAAAGAAAGAGAGAAAGAAAGAAAGTATTGCGGAACAAACGAACATATGCTCCTTCGGGTTAACCCCTCGCCCCAGAAAGTTGGGGGGGACTGACTTTCTGCCCATGCCTATGCCTAATGCCTATTGCTTAAGGGATAACTCTAGGTGCCAGTCGAGTTCCGGGCCCGAATGCGGGCACCCCGGTGTACTCCGTAGTACCCATTTTTACCAATGGGGCATTGGCCATTGTACATAGTATAATTTTGTACCCACGCGCGCCGCCCCCATGAGAACATCCCGCAGATAGATAGCCCATTCGCCATCTCCCTCTATGACATTGTACGGGGTCAATGGCTCAACAGGCAGCATTTTTTGGCTCCACAGACAGGTGGCTTGGACCATGGGCGTTGTACGGACGATCGCGCGAACGTCTTGTGATGATCTCAACCAGCCGACACCTTGACCATCTCACATGCTTGCGTTGCCGATGCCACGGGAAGAGAGTAAAGGGAGATCCGAAAGGCCCTCTGACCCGGACTTGGCCCACTCCCATTTGTCTTGCCTCCATTCCAGCCCGTCACTTCAATGCGTGCACGTGTCGGTTTCATGTGAAGATTGGAGACGCTTGGATGGCGAAGATCTCCGGCTGCTCTCCCAAACTGCCCGAGGATGATACACTCTTACAGTAGTATGGTATATACAAGTGCATCACCTGGAAGCACGCTTACTTAGCCAACCGCATGAATCGCTGCAGGATAAAGTGCAGAATTACCACCACTTAGTACTACATCAGGAGACTCGGCCGAGTCACCGCCACCGGCCGATCATCCACCAGCCATAGCATTTATGAAAAGAAAAGCTACGAACTCCAGTCGAGAGTTACACAGAAGAAAGCAACGACACGCTGTTAAGCGCAAACTTCCAATTCCAGAAAACTGGGACCCTAATCAGTCCGAATGAGACGTTCAGCAGTAGAACCATTCACCAAACTCCATGCCAATGCTGACATCCCAACATTTATACTGTACAAGAGGGCTCTACCAAGAACCCAAAGATATAGACAAAAGCCCTCTAGACCCAGAGGAATGCCTCCGCCTGACCCTCATCCATCATCATCAGTTCATGCAGATCTGTCTCTTTTTTACCGACAGGCAATAGCCGTCCAAAGAAATATATATATGCATGAACCCCCACTTCTATGCGCCACATGTATTAACCAGAGGGGTTCAAGGACAAAGGTATAGGAGATCCCTCTCAACCAACCGGAGGGATCGTGCAAAATCGGAAAATAAAGTAAACGGTAGAAGCGGAAGGTAGAAGGCTGACCACGGGCCTGTACCGAGATGCCCAGTGGGCCCAGGCCCTCTCAACCCAGGAACGAGTGGAAGATTTTCTGATGCCATTTGGTCGGAACCTCGGTTTCCCATGTCTCGTTCTCCACCTGTGCGCGACCTGTATCGATATCGGCTTCGAGTGGGTGGACAAACGATGTGCGAAAGTAGATTTTGTGGCCAAGGTAGAGCACCACGAAGAGAATTAGGCTGATGTAGGCGATAAAGAAGTCCGTGACGCTGAAAGTGGTGATGAAGGATGTGAAACCTTGCGTGATGATAATTAGGACGTTGAAGAAAAGACCATACCAAGAATAGTACGGCTGCCAGATGGCTTTGTACGGAAGGGTGTCACGAGAGATGTTGCGAGCCTTCAGGGCACGCATGAAAGCAAGATGGCAGCCGTTCAATGACGCCCAAGTGATGAATCCTGCCACACCTGCGATGTTGACAAGCCAGTTAAACACAGTACTACCGGCATTGGAGACATTCATGAAACCAAGCAGACCGAATGCTGCCGTGAAGGCGACGCTGAAGTATGGCACGCCACTCTTACTGGTCTTCTTGAACCAGCGCGGGGCAAATCCTTCTTGAGCCAAGCCCAGTAGGATACGACTGCCACTATAGACATTCGAATTGGCGGCAGAAAGCACCACAGTCAAGAGAACCGCGTTAATAATATGGGGCAGAACTTTGACTCCTGCCAGTCGGGCCGCAATGACGAATGGCGACGAGTTGGCATCACTGCCATCCGTCAGAAGGTTCTCGTTGGTGTAGGGCACCAGGATGCCGATGAAGAAAATAGTCAGGACGAAGAAGAACAGAATGCGATAGAAAGTCTTCCGAATAGCCGCAGGAACCGTTTTGCGAGGATTTTCTGTCTCGGCCGCGGCAATACCGACTAACTCCGTTCCTTGGTATGAAAAGCCGGCCTGGATCAGGACTGACCAGAAACCAACGAACTTTGCCACCGAATCAGGATGGACGCCTGAGTAAGGAGAGAACGGCCCGGGATGGACCCAATAGTGGAATCCGAGGTAGCCTTCGTCACCAGCGCCGGCGTCAATGCAGATGGCAAAGATCATAAATCCAACAACAGTGATGACTTTGATACTCGAGAGCCAAAACTCCAACTCGCCGTAGAAGCTGACGGGCAAGAAATTCAAGAGTGTGATCACAACCCAAAATACGGCGACAAATATGGCGATATTGATCGACTCATCCCAAAATTGTATGATCAGGCCGGTTGCTGTCAACTCAAGGGCGAAAGTGCTAGCCCAGGAAAACCAATAGATCCAACCCATAGCAAAGCCGAGACTGGGGTCCACTAGACGGGCAGCGTAGGCCGTGAACGCTCCGGGAATGGGAATGTAGGTCGCGATTTCACCCAAGGATGTCATAACCGAATAGACGATCGTGCCAACGAAGATGTAGGCAATCAGGGCACCGACAGGTCCTCCCTCGGCAACAGCAGTACCACTACCAATGAACAGACCGGTGCCGATGGTACCACCTATGGATTAAATGAGCATGTTGTTTCCCAGTGGGTATCTTCATAGCAAAGAATGCAAGGCGATGTGCAGGCGGAGGACGCAGACTGTCAGTAACTCACCAATGGCAATCATCTGCAGGTGCCTGCTTTTCAGCTTCCGTTTGAGATCTGGCATCGGGTTCGACTCGCGACTGGCGCCATGCTTCTCACAATCGATGTCGTTCAGGTCCGTGGAAGGGCTCATGGACTGAACCTGGACGGACTCTTCAGGCGCCATCTTGCCCTTGTCCCCGTCGGCGGACGTGAAATTGACCTTGTTCCCGAAGGCCATGTTAGACCCTCAGTGGCCCGAATGCTGAGGATGTTGGTGTCCTCGAGATAGAGGGTCAGACGTACAAATTCTAGAGTCGGGAAAAGGGCGCAAAAAGTCAAATCGCGAAGGAGGAGGAAAAAGGAAGCTCGCCGCCAGGACCGACTCCACCGGAACACGGTTCGATTGAGTCACCAAAACTCGGATCCGTCCAGGACTCTAGCTTCTTATAAGCGGGCTCTTCTGTCGCCTCTCGGGGAAACCGCTAAGATAAACCCATCCACCTTCGATCAAGGTACACGGGCTGAGATGCATAGATACGTCTATTATTATTATTATTATGACAGTCGTCGTACCTGGGTTGACTGATCCTCTCCGAAGATAAGAGAGGCGACGAATGACGATGATAGTGAATATAATCGAATTATGTTTCCAAACCCGAAAAGACTTATGTAAAAGGAACAGTCAAGATGAGGGGGTCGATGGGGTGGGGGGGGGTCACCACGCCGGATGCAACCTCGCGCAAGAGTCTAGTTTGGAACGCCCCAGAGGCGTCAAACGACTATACTCATCGATGAGGATAACGAGGTGTTCAGCAATGATACTCCTTGTGCTTTCTCCTTCCCTGGAGATGCCGGGGCGGCGGCCATCACTGCAGTCGTAGCAGTTCACAGTTAGCACATGAATAGATGGGCAGGTACTCTCCTCCCTAGTCTGTACTATTTACTCCGTACTCCGTATTGTGCGTGCCACTCGACCTCACTAAAATCTCCAACGTGGATGCCCCATCCACGGCGGGCAACCTTGAAACCAGCCGAAAAGGCTTGAAAGAGGCGATGGGCGGCGAATAGCTGGCTGTTCCAGCCTTCGAGGCTTGCCTAGCAACGATGCCGGCCAGCGATGTGGGCCCTTGATAGGGAGTCCCAGGCGGAGGCAGATTTTTTCTCTCGTAACGCGTGCTGCGGCTCCCGCTTGGCCTGCATTCGTCCCGGCGAGAGATCGCGCGGTGGCGAGGAAGCAACCAACAAGTCACGAAGCGGAAAGTACTACCACGTTGGTTGTTCCTTCCCCCCCCCGCCTTGGTTCGATGCTTTAACCTTCATCATCCTTGCAGGTTGCGACGTCCATTAGATAAAAGAAAGATCAAAGGTTATTCTTAACCCACCACATTTGGGGGCGTCGACTAGCTCAGAGCCAGCCAATCGGCGACAGCCGACAGCCGACTCGGCCAGCCCTACTCCGTACTCCGTCGCAGATTTTTTTCCTTCGACCTTTCTTTCTGGAACGTTGGACTGGCGGATATCCGCGGTGCAGAGAGTCGAACCACGGGCCACTTTCGGATGCTTTCAATAACATCATTGGTACGGAGAACGTATGCCGTAGGCAACACAATGGAGAATGTTGATGCTCGGGACATGCCGCGCCGGGGGGTAGGTTCATCTTTCTGCTGCATCCGGCATCGTGTGATCAAATAACAAAACCTCGTTTTTCTCTCACCATGTCACATACTTCTCAGTCGACGCATCATTCAACACCCTTGGTCTTTGGATGTGATCATTCATTATCTACATAGTAACACCCAGTGAGTCAACGACACAAATCACGATACACATGTTAGTTCACTAAAAAGCTTATCCCAGTTCGACGTGTTGTGGGTTTTCCAGTGGATCGAATGTAGGCAAAGCTAATTTGCTGGAACATGGGGAACCCTAAGCCCGCTATTCATTAGGCTAATAAGGCGCGATATGCTCACCAGTCACCAACGTCCTTATATGGTAGTCGCGCGGCCGATTCCGTGGTACTGTGTCTCTGGCATCTCTGGTCGCGGTCCTGTTAGAATTGGATTATGGGAAATTCAGGACGGCGCAATATGAGTGACAGACCCCAAGCTATTACTATCGTGATATGTGAAGACGTACAGAGAGTAGTAAAGCAATTGAACAAATGAAACCCTCCGGGCAACTAGCTAAATGTATGGGTATCCTGGTGGGTAAAGCAGTCAAGCAATTGAAAGCCCCAAAGTACACCTGTAGACAGCTGACTCCTCAATCCTCCTTTCACTGCCTGCCATCAAAGGTCCTCATTATCGTCATCGTCGTCATCGTCGTCATCGTCGGTGCTCTTGGATAAAGCGAAAAACCAATCGCGCTCATAGAAAATATACAAGTGACGTCATCGGTATACACCAGCCATCAAAGACTTCCACTGTTTTCAACCGAATAGTCGTGTCAAATTCCAAACATATCATGGAACCGCCCCTGTCAACTTCATTTAGACGCCAGCGTGGGTATGAGCGTTAGGGGTAGGCTTCGTACTCGGGCTAGACCGGGAACGCGAGGCACCGAGGACAGCGACAACGCTGGTGGCCAGGAATAATACCCTACGGATCCGTGTCAGCATCGCGCTTAACAATCGCTTTGTGTCCAACACACAGTTGCGAAATCTCGCATGGAGGTGATGTAGATGGCACCATCAATCAGGGTGGAGACCTACCATTCGAAAGCCCCAAATACGGTCGCGGCCTGTAGTGCCCGACAACGACTCCAGTGACAATATTCTGCGGCTGGGAGGTAAACTCCCAGAGCGATAAAGCCTGCGAACCAAAAGATCATGGTAATCACTTCAACGGCCGGAATGACCAGTCGATGCGCCAGCTGGGGGAAGAACGCCGGGGCCAGGGCCAGATAAGGTGTGGCAATGAAGGCCGTCCATATGCCATTGAAGAGCATGAAATTAACGGTATCACTGTAAGTGAACCAGCTGATGTCTGCCAGATGTTAGCTACTAGCGATTGTCCAGTGGGAAGTATGAACAGGTTGAACCAACAGTATGCGGTTAAACCAAGAACAATTATTGCAAAGATGGCTTGGGCTACCCGAACGGGATAGATCCAGGGGAAATTCGCAGCCATAATGGTGAAAAGGATTCACGGTAATGATGATAGTAGGTGCCCTGTTCTGTCTGTTTTCAATCCCAGTACTATATTCATATGGGTTAGCTAGCGTCCAGAGCAAGGAGTAGTGTAAGGACCACGGCAATGGATAGCTTTCATATATGCATGGTCAACATGAACTAAAAATATGAGTGCATAGCGTCTGGAGATGGGAAGTCCTCTGTTGTTACACAGGTGGACGGTGTTTCAAGCTCTCAAACCAATGTGTGCTTGAGGCTGTGACGTAGGAGAGTGGCCTGACAGGTGGTGACCGACCGACCTTGTATGTACCTGGCTCGGCTTGCTATTTATTCTCAGTGTCCGAAGTGGCAGTGTTCCACACAGATGCCGACTGAAGAAAGATTTTTGGTGTTGTCAAAAAAAAAAAAAAACCTTGATGGAGCAGTAACAGGGTTGCAATATTCTCTCAGACCGCTAGTTGGGTTCGCAGAGTCGGAGCTGCTGCCTGCCTACCTAAATAACTACACAGCAAAATCACTTGGGAAGAAAATACGGTCGTCAGCCGAGGCGGCATCTCGTGTTGGACCCTTTTGATTCGCGGCGCCTGCATCATCGCCTGCAGATCCCGACAGGTTAATGAAGCTAAAAATGGGAACCTCAGCGCAACTTCCATCCGCCTGCACGATGGACAGGCTGCCCTATGACGGCTAGTGCCTCGGCCCAGCGGCTAGCGGGGATCGGTGTTCGGGCTGAAGCCAGGAATTCATGATGACCTCATCGTCATGGGATGGGTTTTAAATAGAAGAAAGGGAGTGAACAAAAAACAGGGTGGAAACTGTCTGCCTAGATGTTGGCGTTGGACACACGGAAAGGGTGCCACCTGGACCCTACCTATCTATGGGCGCGCGCATGACGTCTACCCCGAGGCCCCTCCTATATCCATGCAAATTATAGACAGAGCAACGGCATTTGAAGCTAATATCTTGAGATCTAGAAGAGGATGTCGCTAATAAGATGAGACTGGAAGGCCCCAGGATTACAGTTTATAAGCCACCCTGTCGGTGCATACACAGTAGTACCTAAACTTGATGTAGTATGTCCTGGATGGAACATTCGAATCTATTTTTACAACCTAATCAGTGAATACTCGGTACGGAGTACAGTACAGTACTATAGCCTTATCATGTTATGGTTCACAATGTGGGCCTTTCCATTAGTGCCAGAGGTACTCCGTATCACTCCTATGGAGTGGTACCTGAATATACTACGTAGTATACTGTGACACACTATATATAACTAGTGTATACGGAGTAGTCATCTACCGCGTACCACTGTCAATTCAGGCATGGACATGGGCACTAGCTTATAAAAGGAATCCACTAGATCCATGCTCACCAATACTTTTAGGCCCATCAAGATTCCCGACCAGGAGGAGGAGGATGGTAAATGATGAAGGTGTATCCCGCGCGGGAGCTTCCCCTCCCCCGCCTTTCCGCATTGTTCTGATCGATCAATCACGCCATCGCCATCTCCAATTGCTACCTAATTAGCAATTGTATACCTTGCACTACGATGTGAGGAATCTTTCTCGGGGTGTCATCAGAGGTTCTCCTTCTCCTCACTCTCTCATTGCTCTTTTTAGCCTTTTCTTACTTAACACCATACTAGCTCAAGGAAAGCGTTCCCTTGAAGAGCAACACTATGCCTGAATCAAAGCAGCCTCACTTCGAGACTCTCCAGCTTCATGCGGGGTAAGCACCCACATGCCCCCTTGTTAGAGCTGAAAAGAATTCATTCTTACTGATGTGCGTCTCAAGTCAGGAGCCGGATCCCGCGACCAATTCTCGAGCAGTTCCGATCTATGCGACCACAGTGAGTTTGTTCTAATGCAGCAAAGTCTCGTTCATGCCTGATGAGTTTCGCGATAGTCATACGCCTTCAATGACTCCGCACATGGCGCCAGGCTCTTTGGCCTCAAAGAGGCTGGTAATATTTACAGTCGCATTATGAATGTAGGTCTAACTTAGTTGTGGATCGGAAAATAACCACTAATCGTGTTCCTGCTCCCTCCCTGAAGCCCACAGTCGATGTCTTCGAGAAGCGTATCGCTGCTCTTGAAGGTGGTGCCGCAGCCGTTGCAGCCTCTTCTGGCCAAGCAGCGCAGTTCATGGCCATCTCCGCCCTTGCCCATGCTGGTGACAATATTGTGTCGACCAGTAACTTGTATGGTGGCACTTATAACCAATTCAAAGTCCTCTTTCCTCGTTTCGGAATCAAAACCAAATTCGTTCAAGGAGACAGTCCAGAGGCCATAGCTGCAGCCATTGACGACCGTACGAAGGCAGTCTACGTTGAAACGATCGGAAACCCTCGGTACAATGTACCCGACTTCGAGGCCATCGCAAAAGTCGCTCATGAAAAGGGTGTACCTTTGGTGGTAAGTGTATAGTATAGTACAGGATTACATCCGGGAGGAGAATCTTCAGCTTACGTGGGAACTGTATAGGTCGACAACACATTCGGAGCTGGTGGCTATTTTTGCCGGCCAATCGAGCATGGCGCTGATATTGTTGTACATAGCGCCACCAAGTGGATCGGCGGCCATGGCACGACAATCGCGGGTGTGGTTGTTGATAGCGGGAAGTTTGACTGGGGCAAACATGCGGCACGTTTCCCACAGTTTGTCGAACCCTCTGAAGGCTATCACGGTCTGAAGTTCTGGGAAACCTTTGGTCCCATTGCCTTTGCCGTTCGTGTGAGGGTGGAGATCCTCCGTGATATTGGACCGGCTCTAAATCCGTTTGCTGCGCAACAGCTCCTGCTCGGGATCGAGACCTTGAGTTTGCGTGCTGATAGACACGCAAGCAATGCCATTACGCTAGCCAACTGGCTTCTCAAGAATGAGAACGTTTCCTGGGTCTCATTTCCTGGCTTGGAGAACCATCCTAGTCACGAGACTGCTAAGCGCTACCTCAGACATGGTTTTGGTGGTGTCCTTTCCTTTGGGGTCAAGGGAGGCGCTGTCGCTGGCATTCAGGTAGTCGATGGCTTTAAGTTGATCTCCAATCTTGCAAAGTAGGTCATCGTGCGCCCATGTTGGTCCTAATATGGAGCCTCAAGTTCTTACTTATCCTGATATAGTGTTGGCGACTCGAAGACGCTTGCTATTCATCCCTGGTCGACGACTCACGAGCAGCTTACCGAACAGGAGCGTCTTGATTCAGGGGTCACTGAGGATGGAATCCGCATCTCGGTCGGCACTGAGCATATTGATGATATTATTGCTGATTTTGAGCAATCTTTCAATGCTGCTAGTGCTCTCTAGACCGCGCCCACCCATGGTATATGGTTTCCCAGATTGCTTGCCGATGTAGGTGAGGCGTTTTCTACACCAAGGCTACATGCAAAATAAACGTAAAGAATGATACTACATGCAAGCCCTCGAAGGGCCACATGCATAGGCGTCAGTAATGACTACGATCGTTAACACAGAGATCAACATAATACCCGTTCGAAATATCGGCGTCGAAGGGGAGCAGATAATCAACAAGTCAGTACCTAGTAATCAATAACCACAAACCTTCCATACCGACGGTTCGTAGACATATTAAGAACATATGGATCTACTCCGTACCCTGACGGACAAAAAGTGTCATAAGTCTGGAAGGACCGTTGACGGGGCAAGTAGTTGTAGATATACCTGAACATAAGACATCAACGTGACAATCATGCGTCCTATCTACGAACCTACTCGGTACTACCTTTCAAGTCTGCCCAGCAGGATTGAGGCCATCCCTACGATACAATGCAAGGGAGTGTGGTTGAAAACCCGGAACTTCTTAGATGAAGAGAGAAAAGGGAGTTGAATTATGCACATGAAGAAGAAAAAGAAGAAGAAGAACTTGGCTTGATAGAGGAGTACGGGAAACAGATATTCGTCAACCAGCTCTCTTTTAATGGGAAAGTAAGAAGCAGATAATAGAACATCGCATCACCGAGCCGCGTGATTCCAAGTAGAGCAGAGCAGGTTGCAGATACAGGGAGATGGCAAAAAGCGGGAGGAAGAGGAGGAGAAAAAGGGAAATAAGTTGTGAAGCCAGAAGCGAGTAATCGGGCCAGCGAACTTCAGACCACTCTCTTCTCCAACAGTTGCAATTGCTGAGACGTCTAGACGACGATTAAGACAACAAAGACATGGGGGAAAATGTGAAGCCACGGGGAAGATGCCGTGCTCTTGACCCGCCTGAAGAATTGCCCATTCATAAAGCGCATGTCTTCCGCTAAGCAATGGATACGAAAGCGCCAACGCCGGTTTTTTGGGTGCATGAACAAATTTACATGAAGAAGTGTGTTGGTAAAGAAGAGAAAAGGAGCAAAGACGAAGGAGAAAAAAAATGGTATCAAAACAAGGGAAGAACGAGATAATGGCGAGCCATTGTGAGTCGTTGCTGCACTAGCATCCTTCTAGTTGCCTCCTTGACCCGGCGGGGGAGGCTGGGCCGAGCCACCAGATGCCCCGGCTTGTGCTCCCCCCATCATGAAGCCGGGAGGAAACATGGGCATGCCGGGAAACGAGAAACCGAAGCCAGGCACGGCGGGCGGCACGCCGACATTGTTAGCATTGGGGATTTCCCGCTCCGCCGATCCACCGAGGCCCATCCCAGTCGGAGGTCCTTCGCGTTCCGGGCGACGGAATCGGTCCTGCTGCGAGCGGGACGAGACCGGGCCGCGTTTGCCGCCAGTGTCAGTGGCAATCCTTCTGCTGATAGCTGTTTCAAGAGAAAAGAAGACGGTCATTTTCAACGCCAACGAGCCGAGAAGATTGTGGGGCCAACGAACCTTTGGAAGAGACTCCCGCACCAATTTCGATGTCAGGCTCCTCGACGACCATTCCGGTCTCAATTGGCCTTCCACCGGTTCCGCCGTACTCCGCGGTGAGCATCCATTTGCGATCCGCCTCCGTCAGTCGTTCGACCGGGATCACACTGATGCCCGTCTGGTAATCGCTGCAATCACGGGGGCCAAATCCCACACCCCACCGGGTCTAGAGGATGCGTTAGGCGCCATTTTGCGGTGGCTAAGATGAAGGGGGGACTTACCCTCAATTGCATGTCGCCGGACTTGTAGGATTCCATTCCATCCCGAGCACTGACCGCGTCTTGACGGCTAATCATCTTGATGAAGGCATGACGCTTGTCGATGTTGACAATGCAGGTCTGGACAATGCCGAACTTGCTGAAGAGAGAGCGGAGATGCGCTTCCGACGACCTAGAAGCATGTTAGCTGACACTCCACCGGTCGCCTTGGGGGGAAGATGAAGCCGGGGGGAACTTACGTGACACCGCCAACAAAAAGAGTTCGACTCAGGACTATGCAGCACGATGTTAGCAACCAAGAACGCCCCCGATGCCGCAGGCGAGGGTAGAGTATAACGAACCTTTGATGTTCCCTTGGCCAATCGAATAATCCCACTCCACGAACTTGGGGCCGGGAGGAGGCAAGGTCGGATCCTTACGAGGCGGGGAGGGAGACCGGCGACGACGGCCGGGGGGGCTGCGCTGGCGATACTCGTTGCCGCGGCGGCCGCGCGGATCGCCGCCCCGGCGACCGGGCGAGTCGCCATGGTACTCTCCGTAGACGGGGCTGTCACGGCGGCGAGGAGGAGAGGCTTCGCGACGGCGGTCCCAGCCGGGGGAGCGAGAACGGCGGCGGTACTGGCCCGGGGGAGAGCGCATGTAGTCCCGGTCGCGCTCGCGGTCGCGCTCGAACTCACGTGACTGGGAGTCGGGCCGGGCGCCCCAGGCGGAGCCGACAGGCTGGCCCGGCAGGTTGAATGGCGGAGCCTGGCCCGGGTTCATGCCCCCCATATTGGCGGCATTGGACAGGCTCAGGATCTGCAGCGCCGTGGCCCATTGCTCTTGCGGGATGCCTTGGGCGGCCAGCAATTGCAGGAGCTGGAGCTGCTGCTGCAGAGCATCGGGCCCGATCGGGGCACTCGGCTGGGCCGGAGCTGCAGTCGCCTGCGGCAGTAGCGCGGCCAGTGGATTTTGTGCTGCAGTCAACGGGTTGGGAGTGTGGTTCTGGCTCTGAGTCTGCGGCGGTACCAAGGCGGGATTCGGAGCAACATTACTCAACCCCGCGAACGGCGTCGCCATGCTTCCAGCAGCAGCATAGGGGTTTACACCAGCCTGCCCATTCTGGGAGTGTGAAGCCGGGTCTACGGATGACGACGCGGGCTGCGGAACCGTACTCGGCTGGCTTAAGGCATTAAGAGGGTTAGTTTGCGCTGCCACAGCCGGTGCAGCCGGGGCCGTCGTGTTCTGCTTGGCCATGTCGGCCAACGCCTTGAGAATACTCGAGGTATCCGGCTGCTGACCAGAGCTGGATGCACCGTTGACCGCCGGCTGCTGCTGCAGACCACCCAGCGGAACGTAGTTGGGTGCTGGGGATCCTTCAGGAGTGGTGGATTCAACATCTAGAGGGAAAGTAAGGGCACAACGGTTAGAGACTATGATCCCGCAACGGTTTCCAGATGAAGAAGCTCGGCTTGGCCATGCCGAGATACCAGGATACGTCAGCCGGAGGGGAGTATCTTGCTTACTTTGCGATGGAGGTGCGTTTAATTTGTCTTTGAACGACGCAAGCATTGGAGCTGGGAATGTATAGCCCCGCTCCCAGATGTCGACCAGCTTCTTGATTTTTTCCTATATGGAGAGGGAGTCATATACGTAAGTTGAACTATTCGTCACCAGACAACGACGGAAAGAGAAACAAACGAGGTAAAGAGAGAGGAGGGAGGGGGGGGGAACATAGCGGCCACGGGGACTATGCAGGACAGTTGGGCCTATACAGCGGGAGATACGGATATCAACTCTTAGAGCAGGCCACCCCGGGGTTTTCAGAGTAGAACCCGGCTTCCTATCGGCCCTATGCTTGCCCGTGACCACTGTGAAGGTTGGATGATATAGTATGCGTATTGCATCTAGAGCGTACCTTTTGATCTTCAGGAGCGTTGTTTATGATGTCCGTCATGAGGACGGGTAGCAATTCGGTCACTCTGTTGACACCAGCGGCGAACGTCCCATCGGGAGCAGCACTACCGGATGGTTGCCCTGCCTTGCGCGCTGCTTCTACCCACTGTCGAGTTACAGAGTCTACGACATAGAGTACGCCCAATTTGTGTGTTCCTGGTGCCTTCTTGAAGTGTGTGTAGATCTTCTGGATGAGAACGGATTCATTCTGTGGTGGAGAGAGACCAAAGGTTAGCGTGTGGCTCTATCTTGACGGATCGTTCAACAAAGGGAGAGCAGCGGAGTGTAATACCTGGACATTTGCCGTGCAAAGCGATGTGATACTGTTGATCTTAGAGCCTGAAACACCCGGAGGCTTGAGTGCCAGCATAGACTGGAGATAGTTATCCAGTTCTGCTACAGCAGACGACATGTTGGTTGTGTTGGTGTTCTGACTCGAATCCGATACGGAGAGGACAGGATACACGCGGGAGTTTCTGTTAAGACTATCGCTTCAAGTATATGGTAAACACGACCGGATAGTACCAAGTTCCCAATAAGCTGTTACTACTGGGAGATCCAGCGCAGGTAAGATGTCGGTGATGCTTAAGAGAGGAATATCAGAAACCTGCAGGATCGTGGCCTCCCAATATGCTGGAAAGTAGTTTCCTAAGCGGACTTCTGGTCGTGTCACTACAGACTCCACGAGAGCGTACTCTGGCGACCAGGGGGGCCTTCCGCCTACAGCTGGAACACAGCCAAGCGATGCTGTCCAGGGCCTTGGAACTCGCGAACGAGTACGTGTACAGAGTACGACCTAAAAGCGACGAGTTGAGTGAGAACGAAAAGAGGCGAAAGGCGGATATTACAGTGTGTTGATTTGCTGTAGAAAAGAGTGGGGGATGAAAACCGGTGAAGAAGAGATGGCTTAGAGGGAGGTTGTTGATGAAGAAGGGGAGATGAAAGGGAAGGGATTTCGTAGAGGTGGTCAGTCAGGTGAGGAGAAAAATCAGCATATCGGCACTAGTCTCAAAAGGGCGGCGCACCTGAAACTGCAGGCGCCCGGTCTTCTTGTGGCCTGAGGCCTCAATATGTGATACTTTCAGGGGCATCGCACGTGATCTCTGGGTGATCCTTACATAAGTCAGCCGAAGCACTGGAACAAATGCACGAGCTCAGTTCGGTGAGTCGAATGAGGTAATGTGCTGGGCTCCCCATCCATGTTAGGTAAACGATTTCTACACAACAAATGAATGCCGTCCCACAGCGAAGAGAAACCTTACAGAGTCCACCGTCCCCCTGGAAACATTTCCACAGCGACTAATCTAGTACTCCGGAGGCATGAGAACTCTGTTCTTTACAGGCTAGGACTAAATCCGGATGTCTTCCCTTGCTCTGGAGTACTGTTGACCTTTGCTATAATGCAGGGATCATGTAGCTAGATATCCTAACGTCATGGCACCCCAGTCGTCCGTCATGCAATAGATAACCGTTAGGTACTGCAAAATACTTATCTTCGTATGTTGCATTGATGTATGGTATTACCACCGATGGTTGTTATGGCTGGGGGAGAGTCCGCGCGAAGCTGGGCAGGCGGGCAAACTGTGGATGAGATGGCGACTGCCGACGTCACTAGTCATGGGCCACAGCTTTAAGCACTCCGTTTACGGATGGGACGCCGCCGATGATCGTCACAATTAGAGCAGGCCGAGGCCATCCTACAGCATCGATACAGCACATGCACGAGTGTCGGGTTGATAGAATGACAGCTTCTCAGCTTGCTTCTGAACTGGCACACATGAGCCTGCGCACAGCGGAAGATGACATGGTCGACTTTGGTAGCGTAAAGTACACAGACCAACGCGGTCACAGCGTAACGAGACGCAGGAGAGGTTTTACTCCGGACTCCGTTCCGTACAACGGAATCAAGCGGGTAAGGGTCACCAAAACATGCTGGAGGCTTGGGATTACCGCTGCAAAGCGCGCCGAAATCCTGGCTGGGACTCGGGACACCGGCCGGCTTGAGACTAGCGTTACTGTAATATACATTCATCCACCATTGCCTTGCTTCGTTGCCGGGCGTGACCGTACAGTCCGCGTACCGGCTGTAATGGTACGGCCAGATGGAAAAAAAGGGCCGCAAAAGAGCTTCTCCATAACTTGGGAAGACCGTGCGGCCCATCTTCTTTTTCTTTTCTCTACCGTGTCCTGATATACTCTGTTCCTTTCTTCTCCTTTCCTCTTCCACCACTCAACTTCAATCAAGTTGTTCACATCCGCCATGGCTTCCACCTTGAGACTGGGCACCTCTGCCCTCCGTTCCACCTCTATCGCCGCGAAGCCGGCCGTTCAGTCTGCTGCCTTCAATGGCCTGCGCTGCTACTCTACCGGCAAGGCTAAGGTTTGTGCAACATTGATAATGATCTCTCCCCGACTTTTATACTGACTAGATTTCGTTCTCTAGTCCTTGAAGGAGACTTTCGCTGAGAAGCTCCCCGCCGAGATCGAGAAGGTCAAGAAGCTCCGCAAGTACGTCCACCTCTTCACGCAGTCCACTGTCTTGCAACAGGCGCTAATCAGTTGATGAACGTTTTTAGGGAGCACGGCCACAAGGTCATCGGTGAACTCACCCTCGACCAGGCCTACGGTGGTGCCCGTGGTGTGAAGTGCCTCGTGTGGGAGGTATGATAAGAGAGACCTGATCCATGAGTTGTCTGAAAGTGGTCTAATGTTGGCATATAGGGCTCTGTTCTCGACTCTGAGGAGGGTATCCGCTTCCGCGGCCGTACTGTGAGTGGCAATGTCCCCAACATTCGTTCCGGACATATACTTACAGACCATTAGATCCCCGAGTGCCAGGAGCTCCTCCCCAAGGCCCCCGGTGGCCAGGAGCCTCTTCCCGAAGGTAAATCTTATCATTACAATAACTGCATTCAATTCAGTTTTTAACCATGGGTTTCAGGTCTCTTCTGGCTGCTCCTGACTGGCGAGATCCCTACCGAGCAGCAGGTCCGCGATCTGTCTGCTGAGTGGGCTGCCCGCTCCGACCTCCCCAAGTTCATTGAGGAGCTTATCGACCGCTGCCCCAGCACCCTGCACCCCATGTCTCAGTTCTCTCTGGCTGTCACCGCTCTTGAGCACGAGTCTGCCTTCGCCAAGGCCTACGCCAAGGGTATCAACAAGAAGGACTACTGGAACTACACCTTCGAGGACTCCATGGACCTCATTGCCAAGCTGCCCACCATTGCCGCCAAGATCTACCGCAACGTCTTCAAGGATGGCAAGGTCGCTCCCATCCAGAAGGACAAGGATTACTCCTTCAACCTTGCCAACCAGCTCGGCTACGGCGACAACAAGGACTTCGTTGAGCTCATGCGTCTTTACCTGACCATCCACTCCGACCACGAGGGTGGTAACGTCAGTGCCCACACCACTCACCTTGTCGGTAGCGCTCTGAGCTCCCCCATGCTCTCTCTCGCTGCTGGTCTGAACGGCTTGGCCGGTCCTCTTCACGGATTGTAAGCTCTTGTTCTCCCAATGAGATATCCGGAATTCTTTTGCTAATACATCTATTTTCCTTGTGCAGGGCCAACCAGGAAGTCCTCAACTGGCTCACCAAGATGAAGGCCGCCATCGGTAACGACCTCAGCGACGAGGCCATCAAGAACTACCTGTGGTCCACCCTGAACGCCGGCCAGGTCGTCCCCGGATACGGTCACGCCGTCCTCCGTAAGACCGACCCCCGTTACGTCTCTCAGCGCGAGTTCGCCCTCCGCAAGCTGCCCGATGACCCCATGTTCAAGCTGGTCAGCCAGGTCTACAAGATCGCTCCTGGCGTTCTGACCGAGCACGGCAAGACCAAGAACCCCTACCCCAACGTCGATGCTGTAAGTTGTTCCGCAAAATGGTGTTCTGCATGCGTACAAGCGACATGTACTGACCAGTGTGTAGCACTCTGGTGTCCTCCTCCAGTACTACGGCCTGACTGAGGCCAACTACTACACCGTCCTGTTCGGTGTTTCCCGTGCCCTGGGTGTTCTTCCCCAGCTGATCATCGACCGCGCCCTCGGTGCCCCCATTGAGCGCCCCAAGAGTTTCAGCACTGAGGCCTACGCCAAGCTTGTTGGTGCTAAGCTGTAAATATATCGGTGATGACAAAAATTGGAGGTGATTCTTATTTCTTTTTTTTTACGATAAACTGCATCTTGTATTATGCCTACCCCTATTTGGTTTATTACCTCGGTGACTGGGGATGTCGAGTGTTGGGGGTTGGTTCGATTAATGTATGATAGGACACGGTTCGAGCGAGCCTTGTAACAGCACTTCAATTCCAAGTCAATCGTCTTCTGACCGTCGTATCGTACCGGGTACTGTCCGCTGGGTGTGACAGGCAAGCCAAGCGTAAGGGGGTGTACTGCAGTCGGGCGCCGAAGATAAGCAGGAGAGCGAGAAGAAAGCCAGGGGAGTGCGATCGGCACGGTCGAGGAGCAGACATTAGTCGCGCCGGTAGCTGACTGCAGGTCTACGTATCGGTCGAATCACAAGCCAGCGCTCTCCAGCGCCGCGTAGAAAACCTCCGCGGACTGATTTCCGAGCAATGCATCCCGCAGCAGCTAGAGGCCGCCGGGCAATACAAATCTAAAGATGCATTGGGTGCTGACCGTCGGGGAATGAGGTCGACATAGCTAAGGAGCCGGCTTCGGGTCGCCGTGGGTACCGCTGGAGCACTCCGTCGCTGCCAGACTCGCGGACAATACGAGGCACGGAGGGAGGTAAACCAGCCCGATGGAGTGTCTAGACATCAAAGGATTGTTGTAGGATCTGGAAATACGGGCGCCGTACTCCGGACGTGCCAGACCTCCGGCCAAATCCAGGGTGGCCCCGATGGATTCTCATTGCGGTGGTTGCTATGGAAGGCACCGAGATGGATACTAGATACTCCGTACGGAGTACACAGTAGTACTCCGTAGGCTAGTAGTATCTACTCCGTACGGAGTTGATAGGTATCTAGGCTATGATGACTATCATTCCAGACTGGCGTGGGTCTCCCCTCCCGATCGACCCTCTCCCAGTCTCTCGTCTCAACCGTTTCGGAAAATGAAAGCAGGCTGTGCGGCGAGTGCCCCGTACAGAGGGTTTGTTGGGGGGCCGCCCGGTTTGCTCCGGGCCTCAACTGAAGCCCTCGGCTGTGGCTCACCGCCGGCCCGGAAGCAGGCTAGGGCGAGCTGGGGCCCGATCAGGTTAGGCGCATCCCCAATCGGCCGATGGCGGGCGTTCATTGGGTTCTGGGTTGTTGCGGTTGCTGAGTGTGCTCATTACTACGGAGTACTCCTTGGTACGGAGGCCTGCGATGCGCCCACGCCTGGCGAAAAAAAGCAACTCTTTGACCCTTCCAGACGCTCGACTACCTAGTAGGAGTTAGGACCAAGAGAAAGGTACGTATGCTGTGCCCTGCGCCCGTCCCACCCTGGCTCGTCCTTTTATATTTTCATACTGCTTCCTTCCCTCTCTTTCTTCTCTTCCCCATCTTCATACATCCCATCCAAGACATACTATACCGCCCCAGCTACCTAGCTTCCCAGCTCCCCCAGCTCCCCCCAGCTCCCTGCTTACCTGGCCTGTTCCCCAGCAATCTTTCAAGCCGCTCCATCCACCACTCCACCAATTTGGTCGTTCGTCCTCGACGTTCTTGACCCCCGACAATCCTCGCTTTCTCGTGATCCCTTAAGGCGACGAAGCCCCCCTACTTCCCTTGGTCAGGGCCCCTTTCAGCACTCCCAAGGTCACAGAGATGTCTACTGCTCCTGCTGCGGCGCCCTCCGCCGGCAAGACGCTCGAGAAGAAGCCTGTCAAGTTCAGCAACCTGCTACGTATGTAATCTCTGCTACATTCAGCGAACGACTTGGAGGAAATTGGTTCTGATGGCATCGCTACAGTGGGTGCAGGATTGAACCTCTTTGAGTATGTATCCCCCCTCCCATACCTGGAAGTGCTAGATGTTCGAGACTGACACAGATAGGGTCACAACCTTGGGTCAGGTGCGAAGTGTTATTCCCAGGCGTCATGGCCAACAATACTAACCCCGTTCTTACAGCCGCTGGAAGTGATCAAGACGACCATGGCTGCAAACCGGGGCGATAGCTTCGCGGGCGCTATGGCTCGGATTTGGGGTCGTGGCGGGATGCTCGGTTGTAAGTGCCTCTTTCTCCGTCGCTGTGCCGACTAGCGTGGGGTGTCATCTCTGACCCATAGCGACTAGATTATCAAGGTCTCATTCCGTGGGCCTGGATTGAGGCCTCCACCAAGGGTGCCGTCCTCCTTTTCGTCGCATCGGAGGCAGAGTTCCGTGCCAAGGTTCTTGGTGCGCCCGACTTCGCCGCTGGTATCGCGGGAGGTATGGTCGGTGGTATCGCTCAGGCGTACGCGACCATGGGTTTCTGCACTTGCATGAAGACCGTTGAAATTACCAAACACAAGATGGCCGCCCAGGGCGTAAAGCCCCCCAGTACCTTCGCTACTTTCATGGATATCTACCGCAAGGAGGGCATTCGTGGTATTAACCGCGGTGTCAACGCCGTCGCCATCCGCCAGACGACCAACTGGGGATCCCGCTTCGGTTTCTCTCGCTTGGCTGAATCCGCTATTCGCAAGGTCACCAACAAGGAAGAAAACCAGAAGCTCAATGCTTTCGAGAAGATCCTTGCTTCTGGTCTGGGTGGTGGTCTCTCTGCCTGGAACCAGCCCATTGAGGTGATCCGTGTTGAAATGCAGAGCAAGACTGATGACCCCAACCGCCCCAAGAACCTCACTGTGGGTAAGGCCGCCAAGTACATTTACGACAACAACGGCATCAAGGGTCTCTACCGGGGTGTGGCTCCCCGAGTGGGTCTGGGAATCTGGCAGACGGTCTGCATGGTGGCTCTGGGTGACATGTAAGTGGAACAAACTTTCCCCTGCCCTGGATTGTCAATCCCCCGGGCGGAGCACTCCATCCGGGGGTGGCGCTCCGATCTTCATGTGATAACCGAGGAGTGAACTGGAGCTAACGTGTGGGTCTCCGTTCCCCCGAATAGGGCCAAGGAAGCAGTCGAAAAACTGACGGGCGACAAAGTCACCGCTAAGCACTAGAGAAGGTTTGAGATACCCTTCTGCCATGCGCGGTCTCGGTCGGAGGGCGGATACTATTTGGGCGCGCTGTCATACCTTTGTGGTGTGGAACTTGACAGCAGTTATGCGTAGTGCATCGCATGCCGCAAGCGGTTTACGAAGCTATCTTATCATAATAATCTTAATAGAGCCAAAATTCATGAGAATCCATAACCGTTTCCGTCGCCACGTGCAGCACCGCCAGAACTTGTCTGCGTGTTTGTTTATTTGCCCTTGATGTATTTTACTGCCTCGAGTTGCCGAGGCTGTAAATTAGCCAACGCATAACTTCCCTACGGACTAGTAGTAATCCTCCGTCCTGCCAGCCCAAGAATGGCTGCTGCAACCAACAACCCGGAATGTAAGTCCTCTCCGCCGCTGCCTATTCCAGTACATCCACCCGTCCGGAGAGATCGCTGTCATATTGCGCGCGCCGCGGCAGTAAGCTCTTCCCGACCCATCACAGACACCCCGTCTGTCATCTATCTACCTAACATACGATCCCAATTCCGATCTTTTTTCACCTGTCGATAGACAGATAGCTGCTGATATCCTCGGTGAGCCCTATACGGTAACCATTCTCCGACTGAGCAGCAATGGCCTGCATATTGGCGCCGTCGCTAATGTAGGTATCCTTGTCGACGGTCATGTGATTCCTACTGGCTTCACTTCCCTCTGTTTGTTTGTTACCTTTTGACTTTGTCAATCAGGCATCCGGTACGAAGTACGGAGTATTCGGTACATTATCTCTTTTGATGGCTGGTATTTTAGGTATCCTACTAATGAATGTTAGCTGGTACTTTTGGTTCGTGGGTTGTTTTGTGTAGTAATACTAGTAGTTTATTTTCGCCCATTGTATTAGTGCTGGGTATGATTAGGTTGGAAGTATGGTACATGCGATTCTATTTTTTTGGTGATATTTAGGGTTGACGAAGGAGGTGAAGTGTTCGTCTAGCGATGGCAAAGTGTTAGGGAATGAGAGTCAGATGGTTATATGAAATATATATAGGTGGTGTGATTCATACTCTTACGCTTAGATTCGGGATAGATGTCAAAGAATGAAGAACGTCACCGGGACACGAGTCTGTACATTGCTAATCAATTCGAAAGAATTCATCGATATGGTGCATGGCGCATCTCTACACAGCAGAGGCATTAAACGAACATGGGTTAAGGTACAATTGTATTACAGACACACAACTACAGCCATATCACAAAAGAGAATATCTGCGGAGGTCGATCTAGACACATGATAAAGGGGGGCGCTTTTTTCCCAAAGCCAGTCTAATATGTATTGTATACATGTTTAAACGGTCAGACCGAGGTCCTCGCCGTAGGGGAGCTGGAAGAGATCTCCAACAGTGGCGACAGAAGCCTTGCCGGAAAGGAAGGCGTTGGCAACCTGTGCAGATCATTAGCCACTGTATTCGATGAAGCAGAAGTTGAAATAATAGACTTACCTCCTTGACCTGGGCCTCGGTGACGGCATCGATGCTCTGAGCAACCTCACCGATCTGGTAAGGCTTGCTGCCGTTGATGAGAGCAGAGCCGGTAGCCTCAAGACCAGTCTCAAGGCTCTGGGCAGACTCAAGAGCACGGAACTTGGCCACGGCAACGGCCTTCTTGATCTCCTCGCTGGCAACCTCACCGGCGGCAACCTTCTTGAGAGCGTCGACGGCGTTCTTGCCGGCAGAGGTGATCTGGTCGGCCTTACCAGAGAGAGCAATGGTGAAGAGACCAGCATCCGAGTAGGAGAGGTTCTGGGTCGAGGCACGAACCTGGGAGAAGCCCTGGGTGGCCTGAGCGAGGAGGGAGAAGCCGGGGGTCCACTTGATGGTGGACTCACCACCCAGAAGGGCAGCAAGGACGGAGGCCTCGGGCTTGTAGGCAGCGGTTCCGAAAGCGCCGGAGCCAGGGAAAGCAATCACGACGGCATTGCCAGCCTTGGAGGAAAGACGCTGCTCACCGCCGTAGTACTTGGAGGCGGTGTTCTGAAGCTGGGAGCCGGTGGGGGCCTCCTTGAAGAAGTCACCAACCCACTTGGCGACGTCGGCGGAGTTGGAGCCGCTGCCAACGAGAGCGATGTTGGACTTGGCAAAGGCCTGCTGAGCGTATTCGGCCAGAGCCTCAGCCGAGAGGTACTTCTCCAGGGAAACGGTGGTCGAGGGAGTGATGCTCTCACCCAGGCCACGGTGGAAGGCCACGGCATGAGCGGCATCAACAGCGACGGCCTCGGGGTTGGCAGCGAGGGCCTGTTGTCTGAACTTGATAGTCTTGAGAACGACCTCGCTCAACTCGTGGGCTGAGAAACTGAATTAGACCGATCCGCCGGATTGGGTCGCCCCTCATGCTGCTTGCTGACTTACCGGCAAACTTGGTCTGAGAAGCAACCTCCGCAAGAAGTTCGGCGAAGTAGGGGAGATCGCCCGAGAGGAACTTGGCCTGGAGGACGATGTTCTCGCGCGAGTGTGTCGAGGAAACTTCACCGCCCAGCAGTTCGACTTCCCGGTTGATCCGCAGTGCCGAGCGTTTGAGGGTGGACTGTCCATTGGCAAGAGAAATTCATTAGATTAGACCCCGAACGAGTGAGATTTAGAGTATAGGGGGTCGAAATGAAGCCAGGAAGGACAAACCTTGAAAGCGAACTGTTCGAGGGCATCGGAGAAGCCAGGGACGGGCTGGTAACGAGAACCGGCCTTTGCAACCAACGCCAGAGTGCCGGTAGGGCCTGCGACTTCCCTGTTGGCAACCTTCACACCAGCAGACTCGGTGACATCGTACTGGAGACCAGGAGTGGCAGCAGAGGCCATGCCCCGACGGCTGCTGGCGCCAGCAGCAGAGCACTGCTTCTGGAGCGCACGGGGCGCATTCCGGCTGAAAGTAGACCGCGACAGCATCATCGCATGTGTGAGAGAGATAGAGGAGGGCGAGGAGCGTAGATAGCCGAGAAGCTCGACAGCAATTGGGAGGGTTGGGAGGAGAGGGAGCAGGGGAGAGCTGCTGGCGGTCGTTGGGCGGATCAGAAACGATGTCTGAAAAGCTTCAAGATGCCGGCTGGTCTTGATTACTCGCGCCGTGATTGGCCCGAGTTGCGAGTGCGGGCGGAACCGGCTTTTCCTCGTCCTCCGGGTCACCTGAGGTCAGCTGATGGCGGCCGGGCCAGGCACGTGATGCACGTGAGCGGTGCCCGCCCAGCCCGCCAGAGCCGCCGTCCGCCAATCAAGTGACACTTTGACATTTGCAGATCAGCCCGTCGGCAAAAAAAAGTGTCACTCCAGCTTGATCTGATCGCTCTCCGACTTGCTCCATTCCGCGCTGGTGGTCTCGATCTTTCCTCATCTCTGCCTCATGCGATTCTCTCGGTGACACTCATCTGTCTTCTAGGGAAGTGAAGCTACCCACTTTCTCTAGAAGCCATCAATCATGACTTCCCAAGTATGCGAACACCACGTCCCCCATCCCTCCTTCCCCCCCTCATCCCGCCCCCTCATCTGGGTCAATGCTAACGGTCCGAGTAATAGTATGCGGCGGAGCTCTGTGCGCTCCTGGTCGAGGATAACTTCGGGGAGCTTTTCGCGGTATGCTCGCTTTGCTCACTTGGTAACCCGCTACATCCATGAAGAACTCCTAGCCGGTGTAGATTTGCGGGCCAGCACGAGCATAGGCTGACCCTTCGTCCGTCCCCCCAGCGTATTTTCTCCACCCTCCAGCGTTATGATCGGCTCTCATTGCCGCGCCTCAAGTTCTACTCGCGTCTCTCGGACCGTCAACTTCGCCATGGTCTCGCCGCCATGATCCAGCATCACCTGGTGTATCATTACACTTCCTACGACGATGGGGTCACCTACTACCAACCCAATCTGCAGGCTGCTTACTATCTTGTACGGTCCGGAAAGATCCTGGAGTTCATCCAAGAACGGCTTGGAAAGTATGCGGCTACGCTTATGGCGACCATCATGTTCCTTGGACACGCCCAAGTGGGCTACCTCGAGACTCTCCCCGAGCTGCAACCCGAACAGCCGAAAACAAATGGCGTGAACGGAGAAGCCGAAGGAGAAAAGACGGAGGAACAAATGAATGGACACGATGAGCATTCCGAACAGCCCGCGCTTCTGCATCCCACACTGAAGGCACTCGCTTCTCATGGATATATCTTCCGTGTCCGAGACGCACAATTCCAAAGCTACGCTGACAACGCTTTGGATGCTGAACGTGCGATCAAATCGCGACCAGATGTCAAGCAGCTGAAGGGAAAGAAGCTCGACGAAACGGTACTGGAAGGGACCGTTACTCTCCTAAAGGAAAGGCTTGATGGGGACCTGACCCGTGGGCTGATGCACAATGGGCTACCCCGGGGCGCCAAGCGGAGGCATGCGAACGGGTCTATGGATGCGCCAAACAAGAGGTCACGAGTGGACTACGCTGCCGACGAAGATGAGGAAGAAGAGGAGAACGAGTGGTCGGATGATGACATGGGCGGGGATACAACTCCCATGGAGGTGAGACCCTTCAGATTCTTCATGAAATATCTTCTTAAGACGTGAGCTGATTGATTGCTCGTTCAAGTTGGGCATGGTTGTCCGGGTGAATTATGAGAAACTTGACGTTGCCCTCCGGAATCGACGGTTTCTGGATCTTGCGGAACTGAGCTCATCGCCAGCGACCAGGCAGGTCTATGAGTGTCTCCTCCGACGTATAGAATACCAAACCAAGCAATGCCGCGATAGTGCCGAGATACCCCGTGAAGGAGAGGAAGGCGAGCAATACTCTGTCCCGATCGCCCTTAGTGCGTTGACAGAAGAAGTCGACCCGCAACTGGATCTTACAGGCTCCATTGGTCCCATGGAGATTTCACAGCCCGTCAACAGACGTGGGAAGAGGCCCTTGGAGGACAGTGTCAACGGAACTGATCGTGACGGATCGGATGCCCCCAGTCGTACCTACGAAATTGACCAACATCTTTCTCTGCTCTCGCAACCTCCCTACAATTTGACATCCAAGCGCATGCTTTCCGGCCTTATTACCTGGACTGTCGAGTTTCGGCACCTGGCGCGCAAGCTCCGCCATCTAGAGCTGGAACGAATGATCGAAGCGCGATACGGCGATGTCGCATTACGAGTTATCCGTGTCCTCCATGCCAAGGGCAAACTGGACGAAAAGCGTCTACAGGAAATCAGTCTTCTCCCCTTCAAGGATCTGCGTCAAGTTCTTGCCAGCATGCAGGCCGGCGGGTTCGTTGATCTGCAGGAAGTTCCCCGAGATGCACAGCGCCAGCCCTCACGTACGATCTACCTCTGGTTCTACGACCCCGACCGTATCCGAAACAGCATCCTAGAAGATACATACAAAGCTATGTCTCGGTGTCTGCAACGCCTGCGGTTCGAACGGAACCGGCTTAAGGAATTCCTGGAGAAGACAGAGCGCAGTGACGTTAAGGGCAACGAGGAACGGTATTTGTCCCAGGCAGAGTTGACCCTGCTGGACCAGTGGAAATCCAAAGAGGCCTTGTTGCTTGGGGAAGTGGCCCGATTGGATGAGATGGTCGCGGTCATGCGAGACTACTGACGAGTTCACATCCCTCTTATGGGTGATGGCATTGAAATCCTCCCCCGCCCACCCCCAGCATTTATTCTGGCATGTCCTTGCTTGCTCCATCCACCTACAATCAGCAACTAAACTCTTGGCTGATTTTCGACTTAAATATATACTATCAACACGGGAGTGACATTCATACCCAATTTCAAATCGCAATGAGAACGAGAAATGGTGGTCTAGATACAATAACACTTTGAAAAAAAAGGCAAGACCCTCTAGATTGAAGAGTAAGGGCGACAAGTGAAGCCCTCGCCCTAATCAGACACCCTGCATGGCCAGTTAAGGAAGTCGGTGGGGAGCGCAAAGGCACCATGACCACGAGTGAAGCGTTGCTAGAAGGGAGGCGCGTAGGAGAGCCGGGAGAAAAAAAGGGGGGGTGATAAGACTATGTACGTATGAAGTAAACGAGAATCGAAAAGAAAAGGAGGAAAATGCACCATGAAAAGGGAAACCCCGACTATCCGTGTAAAAAGAAAAAAAAAAAGGCCACCCGGTATATTAACATCTTAGAACAACAGGAAGATAATAAGCCCACCGTAACTCACGAAATGAAATCCATCAATCAAGATATGCGTGACATTAGCTACTTTTCCCGGTACCCCTGTCTATAATTTTGCTCAAATTGACGCTCATAACACATATCACATAACAGTGATCTTTCAAGGCGTGGTCAGCTTGGTTCGAGAACCAGTTCGACTACGAGGTTTCAATCGTAGACTTATGCAGAGCTGCAATTCTCAAAACCGGCGGTCGCCGATCCTACCTGGACGGGATTTGTTGTTGGCCCATTTTCAGGGTTCACTGTGTTGTCATCGCGCCTTTCCAACCCCCTTCCCTCGCTCAGACGCTCTTCAGCTGCTGCTAGTTTGGTCTTGGTTTGTTCCAGCTCTTGCTTCAAGGCTTTGATATAATCAATGGCCATCTCCACAGTGCTGGCCTTGCTAATCGGCTGATTTCCGGCTTTCTCTTTCTCCTTTTCCTTCTCCTTTTCCTTTTCGCCTCCCTTTGCATTGCAAATTGCAGCTTCTTTGGCGTTCTTCAATTGAACGAACGATGGTGGAATGAGGGTCTCGATCTCCTTGAGGGCATTGTTGATGCGGTTTCTTCGTCCCTGCTCGGCGAGCTTGTGATTTGTTCGCTTGGAGCTCAGGTTCTCGGCCAGGGTTTCTGGGTAGGAGACGCCAGGTAAGAGAGTGCCATCTAGTATGTGCTGATAATTCGACTTCGAGGCAAGGTACAGAGCCGAAGTTTCGCTTGAGATACCTGTTAGACAAGATTTGTTAGCTTGAATTTCCTTAGGTATCATGGAAGAACAATCTCATGGATGATGACAGAGTGCATTGGGACAGAGGCGCCTTTGGAGTTGAAAGTACTCACCATCACCTCGCACCAGTGGTTGTATACTGGGACTTATCTTCGGGCGTAGGTTCGGACTAGGTTGAGACGAGCTGAGGCTTTGTCGCTTTCGGCCTATGGGGCCTAATTTGGGGGTGTCTGATTTTTTCGGCACCGGACCACTGGGAGATGGCATAGCAAAAGTGCGCGGACTCGGCGCGACCGAATTCGGATTTCTGTTGATGACTGGAGCGGACTTGGGCTCCAGACCAGGGGTGGCACTGCCCGGTGTAGTCGAAGAGACCGAACCCGCTCGGACTGTGGTGTCAATACGGCCCACCTGCGGTCTTGAAACTGGTCCAAATGAGGTAGCCGCTTCCGGCAATATAACGTCTTCCATGATATCCTCATGCGGCTCAGAGGGCACAGGCCTGGCCATAGTCGCCATCGGACCGGTAGAGGCGTTGCTGTGCGGCGACCTCTGGATACGCATCAGCAGCGCTGGAGTCGCGGGCTCACTGGCTTGTGGGACTTGGGTTGTCTGAGGGCCAATCGAGGGAGACTTCCGTGACGGGGGGAGAGCGGGTGGAGGCATAAGAGGCTCTGAGAGAGGCTCGGGGGAAACAGAATCCTGACCAGAGCTCTCGTTACTTCCATAGCGGAGCCCACTACCGCCAGAACTGCGAGACTTGCAACTCCCCTGATCCTGACTAAGACTATTCAAAACCTCGTCCGAATTGATATTCAGGAGTGACTTCTTCCGGGCCTGAGGCCGCACCGAAGGCGATTGTTGCTTTTTGGCTCGAGCGGAGAAAGACTTGGTGGTGGACGGTTGGCGTCGATGCTTTCGCATCAATCCCGGTGACGAGGGTGCTGATGACATGGGCAGCGCGTTGTCAGCAGGAGAGGGCACAAATCCCATTTCCGAGATATGGCCAGTATGAAATGGGTAGCCGGTCGGATTGGAGTTGTGAGCTTCGAGAGCCGGTGATGTAAGAGGGGTGAAGTACTCCCCAGGGATAGTGTATTCGGGGAAGCGAAATTGACTTTCCAATGGGGTCATGGCAGGGGAGACGAGGGGAGTATAGAGGGCCTGCGGAAAGCGGGTGCATGCATTAGGATATGCAGGCTAAAGTCAGGAATAATCTTGGTCGGCTTACCTGTTCGTCATTGATCCGAGTAAACCGCTCATACATATCATGGCTATCATCCGTCCGCTGGAGGTGGGTAGCAGCACTGCCCTGGAGGTCGACACTGTTGGGGGTTGGTGGTATCACGGTCTGCCCATGGGGGACATAAGTCTGTGTTGTGGGGTGCGAGTGGTTGGATGGCTGGTGGGACTGCTCCTGTGTCGGTTGCTGCTGCTGCTGCTGTTGTTGCTGGGGGTGGAAAAACTGGGGCTGTGGGGGCTTGTGCGCGTAGAACGCCGGGGTGGCTGGAGCATTGGAGTAGGACGAGCCATGTGGCTGGCCTTGCTGCCCGTGGTTGGAGAGGTCGAGAGGGAAATCGTTGTTCATAATGTGGCCGTACGACGGCGACTGGGTAGGAACGCTGTCGGTATCCATGCGGACCAATTGTTCTTGCGCAGGTGCTGCTGAGGCGGGCATCGACATCGACACCGGGTGGGCAAGAGGCCGAGCAGCGTGAGGGTCACTCGGTCCATGCCCCTCCATGTCGGGGAACTGCATGCCAAACTCGAGGAAGTTGGTGAACTCATCGTCGGCCGGGTTGGTCATGTCCGTCCACGACAGAGAGTGCTCTTGCTCCATGGCGAGAAAAAAGGGTTCTGACGAATCCGTCCCGATCAGTTCAGAAGGAGACAGGGACGATGACCTGCTGATAATAGATCGGAAGTGGGATTGTGAGGTGCGGCCAGGGAGGAAAGGATCGTGCCGGGGAAAGGGAAGAAAAAAAAGTCAAAGCAGATCGATCCGGTAGGCTAGGAACGAAGGAGTTTCGGGACCGTGGCGCAGAGTGGAGGGATACGGAGAGCGAAAGCTCAACAGGAATTGGCGGGCATGGCGAGAGCGGGAGAAGAAGAAGAAGGAGGACAAGGTGATCGGAAGGCTGAGCCAAGGTAAATCAAGTGTGCAAAGATACGAGGGGGGAGGGATTAAGAAAAAAGGCAAGGAAGAGGAAGGACGTGAGAAGGTACCAACGGCGATGAGGGGGGGCGGCGGAAGAAAGAGTAGGATAGAAAGATGAGGAACTAGGCCCAAGAGAGGAAGCGAGTCGAGAGTAATTTAAAAAAAAAATTATGAAGTTTATGATAATATAATAATAGCAGACTAAGGGAACCGTTCAAGCCATGGTGAATGGGTTAATTAGCGGACTTGGACGGGGAGGACGCAACAGCGGCGCAGGAGATGAGGATGAGGAGCAATAGAGTGAGTTAGGGAATGGTGTCGATACGGGAAGATGGAGTCGGCCGGCGAAAGGAAGACGTTGTGGGTAAACTGAGGCTAGTTCGCTGGTTAGTCCGGAGTCGCCAGTCCGGAGAGGACGGAGGAGGGGAAAAGAAAAAAGCAAGTGGAAGGAGACCAGTACGACTACGGAGTCGACTACGGCGGCTAACGGGCCGGCGGTGGTAGGTATGGTATACAGCGGTCGCCGTAAGATATCTGTCCAATGGCACTAGAGTTTCCTTATCCCCATTGGGCGGGAACAGATCATCGTAGACCATCTTTACCCAATCAGGGAAACTCGTCGAGAAAGATCCGTCTGGATTTGATCTAGCGCCGTCGATATTAACTCCCGGCCGCGCACAGTACCCGGAAGGCCACTGGAGACCCCGATTTCGAGGGTTATTGAACAGACCCAAGACAAAGACGCCTTCTAGCTGAAAGTATTACGACTCCAACCCCAAGGAACAAGGAAAGGAAAAGCAAAAGAAAATCACCAACCTGCGGAGTGGGTACGGGGGAAATAGGGCACGGTAGAATGGAAGCTTATACGCACCCTCGAATCCCGACAATGTTTATTGTCGATCTCGCAGACACCCCGGTCGGAAAATAATGCTTCGCTAGAAGCCGATTCATCATACTATCTACTGCGTGCTATCTATCTCTGTGATACTACTCCGTAGTTCAGTCGATGTTGGGAGTGGAGCTTCGCACCGCGGATAACAACGGTCCTCCTTAACGGAGCAGGAGAGTAAGTACTCCGTACTCTAGACTCTTCCTCCGTCCTCGGTTCCTCGTTTCCTCCCCGGTGCAATAGCAGGCTAGCAGCAGACCAGCGGGCAGCAGCTGAACGGTGGGCAAGATTAATCAAGTCACCTGCTCGGGACGGAGTATGGCAGGGGTTGTTGACCCTCTCGACTCTTGAGCGCTGGGAAGGATCACTGCCATGGCCCAGATTCTCTGCCGGAGGGTGTGGATATAGCCAATCAGGGGCTGGGAAAACAGCCTGACTCTCAAGTAGTGGCCACCAAGGACTCCGTACCGGGGCCCTCGAAAGTACAAAGTGGTTAGTACGTAGGGTGAGTGGGTACGCGACGGCGACAGAAGCAGGCCTCCGGAGAGAGTAACTTTAAGCTAAATTAGTCCTGGGAAATTCGACTCTGGCCGCCTGGCGAGGAGCCACCCGGGTCATTAGATGGTTCTGGCCTAGTAGCGCAGGTACTAGGATCATTCTAGGTTGTAGTCAAGCCTTTCGCGTCCAGGACGTATGGCCTGAGCTCTGCAGGTAGATACTTTCATCGGGGACAAGGGACTTGGAGCCGAAGCCATCAACTGATCGATGGATCATGATTTCAGATGCTGAAGATTATGAAAAGGGTCACCCATGCTCGGATGCTCATATGACAACACACTAAATGTTGAAGAGTGCCTAACAGGGTTCCGCCGGCGACTTCCGTGCGGTATGGGATATTCGCCCTCGAGCGTTTCCCTTTTCTTTGGTACACACAAACACTAGACCACTTTTTAACAACCCTGAGACACGCACTTCGTTAAGTGTCATCTACAACCTACCTATGAATGTGCCAAACCTCCAATCGAATACCCCCCAGTGGGGACCTAGGTGGGTAGAATAGTAGATAGCCTTTGATTTAGTTCCCCCGTCCCGCGATGCTCAGTTGCTCACATTATCACCTACCTTTTACGGAGCCCAGCAGAAGGAAAGAGATGGATCGATCTCCCAACCGACCTCCGCGGATATATTGAAAATGAAGCTAGGCAGAGCTCCGGTCACCGTAAGCACCCTAGTCGACCGACGGAGCAAAGCGGCAGCAGCTGGAAGCGGGTGGGCGTCCTGGCTGCCCGCTGCCGCCTAAGACCACGCACGTCTTGCAATTGGCGTTCGGGATCATGACTATTAGAGCCGTCAAATCATGGTCTGACATCTCCTGGTGAGCTGTTGGCCGTGCTCGGTTCAACTAGCGGTTTCGCAGGGTGGCGTTGACGAAAAGCACTAGGTAAGGCTAGGCTAGTCTGCAGGCGAAGCATCTAGCAGTACTAGGTGCATGTTGAAGCTAGTGCAAGCCCGATGAATCTTCTGAAACATTTGTCGACATTGGTCCCAAAAGGGTCAATTAGTGCCTTCTCTTCCAGCCCCTGGCCAGTTAGGTGGAAGATTAGACGGCTATACGACCTGAGATCCCTGTCAGTGTGGCAACTGACAAGGAATGAAATGGTGCACCGGAGAGGTTGGGTGGCCTTCTCCCAGGTTCCAAGGCAAGTCAAGCAAGTGGCTAGCTAGCTAACTAGTAACTAGCAGATGGTACGGAGTAGTTCGTGAGTACTTAGTATCTGAAGGCTACGGAGTAGCTCACCATTAGCACAGGCAACCTAGTGCCGATCGAGTGCGTTGCTCACGCGATCAACTTGCTTGCAACCCGTCTAGATTGAAAGCGGGAGAAGGTCGGCTATGACCACGAGGATATTAAGGTACTTGCCCATGGCGATTGGGCGATTCCAAAGTGTCTGGTCGACTGCTATGGCTGCCGTGTCCGGGTGGTATGTATTGGAATTTTCGGTAATTTACCGGCTCCAGCGCACCACGGTCGGCAATTCCGATTCGAGCCTTGGCCCCAGCAAGGCTCGCTAATCCTGCCAGACATAAATCACTCCTAAAGAACATCAGTCGGTGTCCTCACGATTAATATTGATAATGATAATTATCAGAATAAGGATAATAGAAAAAAAATATAATAGCAAGGATCTCGACACATAACAAACAGCAGGCAGAAGCCCGATTTTTCCCTACTCAATACATCATTACTCGGTACTTCTGATGGGGACCAGAAACAATGGCGGCGCCCCGTCGGAACGCTTCCCGAGGGCCCCGACAACTTGGCCAAAGCAGAGAGCTCCTGAGCTAGAGAGGGTGGGTGTGTGGATGCCCACGGTCTAACTACACAGTAGTCCACTACCTATCTCATACTTTGTACTAGGACTGACCAAAGGAGCCTACATCGTAGAAGGATAGATAGTCCCTATGGATCTGTACTACGGAGTAGACAGTAGATATACTACAGTAGTAATGCTGGCAGAGATGGCTGAGGTAAGCAGAGTGCGGGGTCCGCTGACTGGATGCCCATCACGTGCGATTCTCATGCCAGATGACATAACGGACCAACCGACCAGGCATCGATTCTCGCTCCGTCATGGAATGCGTGTTCTGTTCCTCGACAACGACCGATGTCTGGTCCCTGCTTAGGCTTTGTTGAGGTGCCGCTGTGAATTATTGCTTCTTGTCACCATGAGACCCCCCGTGCCGGACATCGCGGTGCCTCGATCCCGCAAGGCCTCCATCGAACAGCAGTGGACCGATCCCCGCAATGCCACCCCCGCGACCTTCTTTTTGTCCCGCAATCACGGTCCCGACGCCGAGGACGAGCCCTCCCCTGACGAGTCCGACGCCCCCAGGGAGAGTATGTATGGAGTATACAGCCTGCAGGAAAGTGTCTTTCGGCCCAGTTCAGCTGCGTCGACGCCTCAGTCAGATCAACCGGGTGATAGTAAGCCCACCGGGGTCGAACCGGTTCCCACGGTGTATCAGCCCCCCCTCCACGATCATGACGGCGATGACGAGGAAGCTCCCGGCATCACTCGCCGCAGATCAACGCTCAAGCCACTCGACAGTTCTTATCCCAGCAGACTGGATCCCTCTATTTCCTCCGATCTGGCCTCGCCCCGGCCCCTAACGCCCTTGAATCTCAGCAACCCCGACGACCCTTCATCTCTCCCTAGCAGCCCCAAATCTACTTCAAATCAGTCTATGCGCCATCTAGATGAGATCTCAATTACAGATGAACTAAGTAGTCAAGCGGTTGCTTCCGGGGAAGAGGACGATGAGCTTCGCTCGACGCATAATCCGGACCATGATAGCACATCCCAGTTCATCATGCCTAGCATTAAGATGCCCAGTCGAAGGCCATTCACATCGCGCGGAAAGGCCCTAGGCAGATTCAAGGTTCTCGTTGCAGGCCCTTCTGGTAAGATCATTATGCCCTCATTCAAGCTGAGCCTGCGAATCTGCGATTCTGTGCAGCACTTGTTGACCCGTGGCCAGGCTCTGGCAAGTCCTCTCTCATTAGGTCCATTGTTCAGTCGTGCGAGGACATCGTACATGTTGACGACTTCCCCCCTACATATTCCTCGACACTGTCGCGAACATCGCTCGCGAGAGTCCAATTGTCTCAAACCCATCGACTACCGTTGACAGCTACGTCGGAGGTCTACGCCAGTACCAAACCGTACCCAGCTTGGTGGTCAGATTTGGAAGATTCACGCGTACTCCGTCGGAGGAAAAGCACAGGCGACGTAGTCCTAGAGCGCAATATCTGCTTTGTTGATACCCCAGCCAACTCTCTGAGTCGCTCCGGACAAGTTGATGCCATCATACACTACATGCGACAACAACTCCTCCGTGCAACAACAGCTTTCGATTCCTGCAATCATGACTTTCAAAACCTGCTTGCGGGACACGGTGGGACTCAAGTTGACGCTTTACTCTATCTTGTCTCTGAAGGTATGCGGTCTAGAATTCCCGTTGCAGCATCTTTTATTGGCTAGCCAGGCTGACATGCCCTCAGATACACTTCCAACAGACATGGAGTGCATCAGACAACTCTGTGAATGGACCAATGTCATCCCTTTGATTGCCAAGGCCGATCTATTAAATCCCGAGCAGATCTCCGCACTCAAGTCATCCTTTTACAAGCATGCACAGGCTGCGTCTATCAGGCCGTTTCTCTTTGGAAATACATGTCTTGGAGCCGATGCCCTCGACGGGCATTTGCCTTTCGCGGTGTCATCGGCGAAAGCCAACGATGACGATGTGATGGACGCTAGCACTCTAATGAGCCCGGACTACGTTCAACCCCTGGTACCATCCGAGTTGATATTGTTGGTCCAGAGGATGTTCGATGCTGAGAATATAGCCTGGATGCGACACTCGGCCGCGAAGAAACTTACTCAACAACAGCGGGAGCACACCTATCCACGCCCAAGCCGTCCCCAACATGGTGCCCTATCATTCGATCATGGCACCCGCCGCAGCTCTCCGAGTTACACCATGGCTCGGATACCAGATCACACCCGACAAGAGGAGAAACTGGCCCGCCTACAATTGGCGAAATGGGCGTCTGAATTGCAGCAAAGCCTCCACAACGAACGTGAGAGGTACGCCGTTATGGCAAGGGGCGAGCGTGCCGTCTGGCTCACAGAGCGGTTGGGCGAGTGTGTAGTAGATGGGTCGTTGGTACCAATCACACAGACGCCAGGCTTCTGCGGACTGCGCGCACCCACTGAGAAAGCCGGCGGCGGCGGTCTCCTTGTTCGAACGCAAAGTGGGCAGAACATGGATTATCACATTGCTAGAATCCGCCCGCAAGATCCTCTGGGACTCGTCTGGTGGTCAGAGGACCTGAAGCGACGAGGGTGGGCCATTGTCCAGATTGTGGGCAGTTTTGGCGTAGTCGGGGGGTTGGCTCTCTGGCTTGCTAAAGCATGGGGGCTGTCCTCGCGCAGTCTCTCAGAATGGCACTTTGATTGGTGCGGTTCTAGTGACTAGGACGCTCAGTTAGAGCTATACCAGTGCTGGTTTCTGATCCCCGAGCCCTACCCCTTCTTCTCTCATTCATCATCTGTCTTCAACCCCCTTCTCGAACCACGCCTCTTCATCAAAGAACAAGGACCTCATCCGTTCGGGGACGGCCTCATCCCACCCCAACTCATTGTTCAGGCGTTTACCGGAATCATCGTCGGCGTTATGACCTGTTCTACCTCTCGCTAATTACTTCTCCTCCTTTTCTCTTTTTGAAATGCATCCATCCTCTTGTCTCCTGGGCATATTTGATGAACATATATATACTTGATGTACGAACCGAACCGTAACGCAACGTGGAGTATTTAAAATTTAGCGATTTATCTGCCCCAGGGTTTCCCATTGGTAAACACAAATAAAAGCACCTACGGAACCCTGAATCACTCTTTTACTCTGGTTAGGTGTAGTGGTTTGAAGTAAGTGGAATAACACGGGGTTAACCTAAGGAATGCTTGGGAGTGAAGTGATATAGTGGGCTAGAGGTTATGGTTACTGATAAATATGTATTCCGTACCCGAACCAGATTCGTGGATTTAGGGACGAAATGACCGTCTACGATTTGTCTTTCGACACTAAGCACAGAAAATGAACGGGAGAAAGCTTTTATTTCTCGGAATAATCTACCAGCCTGAGACGATCTTCAACAGACGGAATGTAATTTAGGTTGGGGTAAAAAACGCTCAAAACGCCGAAAGGGTGAATTCGTAATTCAGAAAAAAAGTAACAAAGGGCAAAGGTCCCTTGCCGTTCCGATTATAGTGTCGGGTCATAAAAAACAGTTACATTTCGAGCGGATCGTCACATCATGCGGTCAACATTTAGTCAACCTCCTCCATGGAGCTCTCAGCCGGGGCGGCAGCAGGAACAGCCTCCTCAGCGGCCTTCTCCTCGGTGGTCTCAGCCTCCTCGTCAATGTTCAGACCAAGGGAGACGAGCTTGTGGATACGCTCAGCGAAGCTGGCAGGCTCCTCAATGGTGAAACCGGACACCAGGAGGGAGGTCTCGAAGAGCAGCTGAGTGATGGACTTAACGGTGCGGTCACCCTCACCATCGGTCTCAACCTTCTTCTTGAGCTCCTTAACGATGGAAGACTTGGGAGAGATCTCGAAGGTCTTCTTGGAGGACATGTAAGAGCTCATAGAGGTGTCACGGAGGGCCTGGGCCTTCATGATACGCTCCATGTTAGCGGACCAACCGAACTGGCCGGTACGGATGGCGCAGGGAGAGCCAACGAGCTTGTGGGAGACGACGACCTTCTCGACCTTGTCACCGAGGATGTTCTTAAGGCTCTTAGCAAGGCCCTCGAACTCCTTCTCCTCCTTCTCGCGCTCGGCCTTCTCCTCCTCAGACTCCTCGAGCTCGAAGTCCTTGGTGATATCGACCAACTTCTTGCCATCGAACTCCTTCAGCTGAGTGAAAGCGTACTCGTCAATGGGGTCAACCAGGAACAGAACCTCAAAGTTCTTCTGCTTGAGGCTGTCAAGGAAGGGAGACTTGGCAACAGCCTTGATGGACTCGCCGGTGATGTAGTAGATCTGCTTCTGGTGCTCGGGCATGCGAGTGACGTAGTCGGCAAGGGAGGTGGCCTCATCACCGGACTTGGTGGACTGGTAGCGGAGCAGCTTGGCGAGGGTGGCGCGGTTCTGAGCATCCTCGTGGATACCGAGCTTGATGTTCTTGCTGAAGGCAGAGTAGAACTTGTCGAACTGCTCGCGGTCCTCAGCGATCTCAGTGAAGAGCTCGAGGGTCTTCTTGACGATGTTCTTCTTGATGACCTTCATGATCTTGTTCTGCTGCAGGGTCTCACGAGACAGGTTGAGAGGAAGGTCCTCAGAGTCGACAACACCCTTGACGAAGCTGAGCCACTCGGGGATGAGGTCAGTGGCGTCATCGGTGATGAAGACACGACGGACGTAGAGCTTGATGTTGTTCTTGGTCTTCTTGGTCTCGAAGAGGTCGAAGGGAGCACGCTTAGGAACGTAGAGGATAGCACGGAACTCGAGCTGACCCTCGACGGAGAAGTGCTTGACGGCCAAGTGGTCCTCCCAGTCGTTGGAGAGGGACTTGTAGAAAGCGGCGTACTCCTCCTGGGTGATGTCGGCAGGGTTGCGAGTCCAGATGGGCTTGGTCTTGTTAAGCTCCTCCTCCTCGATCTTGCTCTCCTTGACAGTCTTGGTCTTCTTCTCCTTCTTCTCCTCCTCCTCATCAACCTCCTCGATCTTGGGCTTCTTCTCGTCGTCCTCCTCCTCCTTGGTCTCGGCCTCCTCATCAGGGACCTCCTTCTCGGTCTCCTTCAGAACGTGGAGGTAGATGGGGTAGGAGATGAACTCAGAGTGCTTGCGGACGACCTCCTTGATACGGCTCTCGTTGAGGTAGTCAAGCTGCTCATCCTTCAGGTGGAGGATGATCTTGGTACCACGGCCAAGCTGCTCACCCTCGGTGTCCTGGGTGAGAGTGAAAGTACCACCGGCAGCGGACTCCCAGACGTACTGCTCGTCATCGTTGTGCTTGGAGATGACAGTGACGCGGTCGGCCACGAGGTAAGCAGAGTAGAAACCGACACCGAACTGACCGATCATGGAGATATCGGCACCAGCGGAGAGAGCCTCCATGAACTGCTTGGTACCAGAGCGAGCAATGGTACCGAGGTTGTTGATCAAGTCCTAGATGGCCCACGAGATTAGGCTCTGCTGTTCCAGGACGAGGGCAGGAGAGAAGATGAACTTACAGCCTTGGTCATACCAATACCGGTATCGCGGATGGTGAGGGTCCCGGCCTCCTTGTTGGGGATGAGGTCGATGCGGAGGTCCTTGCCCGAGTCGAGCTTGGAGGGGTCGGACAGAGACTCATAGCGGATCTTGTCAAGAGCATCGGAGGCGTTGGAGATAAGCTCACGGAGGAAGATCTCCTTGTTGGAGTAGACGGTGTTGATGATCAGCGAGAGCAGCTGAGAGATCTCAGCCTGGAACTCGAAGGTCTCGGACATGGTGAAGGTATGAGGGAAGGTTGATTTCTGAACGAGGGGTAGGAGGTTAGTAAGAGAGAAAGAGGGAAGAGAGAAGAGAAGGAGAGGATTAAGGAAGATGTGGCAGGCTCCCTCAGATGATGCTAAAGAGGAGATGAATGAAGGACAGGAATTGAAGATGCTTTATATCTCAGGCAGATGAAAGGGAACAGAGGGAAGAAATTTCTAGAAAGTCGGATTTGCCCCCGGCCAGCTTGGACGCAAACGATCCCAGCTGAGTCAGAGCTCCAGGTGGGGGGTGGAGAGGGAGGGGGGCTTGGTGAAGGAACGAGACTATCAGTGAAAGGGGAATACTCACCAAAAAAAACGGAGGGAGGAGTGAAAGGGAAAAGGGAAGTCACGGATCACAGGATGGGAAGAAGAGAGGTTATGGCTGCCCACGAGGAGACAGTAAGAGATGGGAGAGGGAGAATTGGAGAGAGAGAGGGGGAGAGAGTAGATGAGAAAGAAAAAGGCTGCCGAGCAGGAGGAAAAGGCGACGGGGCGGGACCTTAATGTTCTCTGGGCGGACCGTCACAAAATTTCGGTGCGGCGCTTCTATGGCGATCCAGCAACTTCCACGCTCGCCCTCCCTCTGCTCCTGCCGACCCCAGGATCTTCCAGCGTCTTCCAGCGCCGGGATCTAGATGCTTCTGCCCGCCTGGCCCTGGGACTAGCCGGCCCTGTTGCTTGCTCACTTCTCCCCTTTCCCCTCCGGCTCCGCCACTCTCAGCCCCTCGAGGGGACCATTCGCCGGTCGGCTGGCTTCAATTGCATGGATTCCGGGTTGCCTTCCCCGGATGGGCGCATCTCGTCGACGGTCGACGAGGACGGCCATCCTGCCTGAGGCTCGCTATCTAGAACGTTCCGCTCCCCCCACCATCCACCACCAGCCAATCCGAGGCTTCTGTCAACTGACCGCCTTGTCTTCCGCCAGAAACTTCCATCCAGTAGATACCGTAAGTAACCTGGAAGTACTCCGTACTCCGTCCAGAGTCCTATCCGCTCCCACTGAGGGTTACCACGGCGACCAGCGACTCGAGGGTCCCTGCTTGCCTGGCATGCGCAATCCCCCAGTGCGTACGTAGCACAGTAGCCTTCAGGGCCAGTTTCGATGGATAATGGATCTATTTCGTATACCTGTACTCCGTACATTTCGAGATTGTCACCTCGCCCGCCTTGGATGATGACGACTCGACTCTAAGCAGCAGGTGGAACCTGGTCTCTCTACGGATAGCATAGCGCCTTACAGTCATGAGAAAAAGGTCATCAGATATGTTTCTTTGTTCAAGAGTTCGGGGCTTTCCTTTTCTTCCAGTGAAGTTCTTTTGCAACTCACGGCTGGGCTACCACCGCCAGCCAGCCAGCCAGCTGCTCCCCAGAAGCCCTTCGGAGGTCCACGCCACAGACAGGCCACCCCGAGAGCACGACGTAGATCACGCGTAGAAGAAAATCAAGAAGCATGCCATCCATTTACAATTCTCGAGTGTGCACAAAGCCAGAAAGACACCACCGCAGGTGCAAATAAGAAGGAGCTTGGTTCGATAAATTCAGAGATGGATTGTGTGGTCATCAGCACGGCCGAATGAGAAAGGAAGGCAAGAGAATTGAAAAAGAAATACGGGCATTCAGCTCGCTATGCTAAGAGGTAAGGAGCCATCAAAGAGGAAAGAAAAATGAAAGGTAAGAAAAGTCATGACAACACAATGAGAAGAAAACAAAAGTCATGATGACCAATCAGAGCCCAGTTAGGAAATGATAAGAAAACTTTTCCAACCGCTAATATGCACTGTGACAGAGGGGGGCCACATAACACATGTCATTATCAGTAAATGGGGGAGTAATACATGTCCTGGATCGCCGTGAGCATCTAAACCCGTATACCGTTTCAAGCCAGGATGAAGGGCTAAGAATCATGTAAGGCCTTATTAGGAAAAAGAAGGGGGGAGGGAAGGAAAGGAGAAGGGTCGTCCGGGTGAACAACTGCTTCCCTTCTCTCGTCATTCTTCATTAGACGTCAAAGGGACTTTTTTGGGTTTGCTTTTTTTTTTTCTTTTTTCTTAAGTAGTGCCTTTAAGCAGCGGGGGCCTGGTTGCGACCCTTGGTGTTGACGCTGCCGCCACGGCCACGGGGAGCGAAGCCTCCACGACCGTCGCGCTGGAAGCCTCCCCGGCCCTGGCTACCTGCACGGTCGCCACGGCCACGGCCGGCGCCACCGCGGCCTGCACCGTAGCTGCCGTTACCACCGAAGGCATTGGCACGAGGGCGACGCTCCTCAACAATGATCTGCTCGGTTCCAATCTGGTGGGGGTTGGCAGCAACAGCGGCGGCATAGCCAGCAGCATCACCGAACTCAACAAAGGCGCAGTTCTAAAAGCAAGAAAAGACCGATTAATTCTCCGGTTTAAGTGATAGGGGTACTTTCATGGTACTGCATACCTTCTGACGGCTCACATCAAAGTGCTTGAGCTTTCCAAAGCGAGACAGAGTCTGCTTGAGCAGGCCTGCATCAACCTTTTCGGTGACGTTCTTGATGTAACCGAGAACATTCTGTTCCTCACCTGCACGCGACTGGGTCTTCTTGTGGTCATGGCCCGCGGTCTGCCAGCCGGAACCATCATTCGAGGGGGCCTGGCTAGGCACGGCTTCGGGAGCAGGAGCAGGAGCAGGAGCAGGCGCAGGAGCAGCGGGGGTAGGGGCAGCCGTGGGCTGGGAGGAGCTGGCAGGAGGAGCAGCCTTCACCGGAGCAACGGGAATAGCAGGGACAACTGGCGCCGCCGCACCGGACTTGGATGCGATGTTGGCCCAAGTTTTCGGGACAAACTTTGCTGGTGCGCTTTCCTTGGCCGGAACCGGAGCTTCCTTCTGCTCGGGAGCAGGAGTGGGCTCGGGAGTGGCGGGCTTCTCAACCTTGGGGGCCTCGGCTTCGACCGGGGCAACAGCTTCCGGTGCGGCTTCGACGGGGGTCTCCTGAACAGCGGCCCCATTGGTCTGGGGAGCAGACTCCTTGACCGGCTCTTCAACATTTTCCTCGGTCTCGTCCAGCTTCTCGTCAACCTTGGCAGCAGCAGGCTCGCTGTCTACCTGGGCCTCCTCGGGTTCGGGGACAGTCTCAACCTCGGCCTGTGCGGGCACCTCAGGAGCTGGCTCTTCGGCCGGAATAGCGGGGGCAGCGGGAACAACTTCTTCCTGCTCAATCTCTTCCTCCTCATCGACGAGGTACCTGAAGATATCATTGAGAACATAGTATCCATTGGGCTGCTCCGCCAACACGAAGGTCTGCACAAACTTGCGAGAAGGCTCAGACCTGTTGGAGATCTCACCGATCACCGAGATCAAGATGTTGTCGAAGGAAGCCTGGGAGTCGACGTTCAGGACACGAACCTTGCAGTCTTGGAAGTCAAGCTGCTTGATCTTGTCATTGATAGCCTATGTAGACGATATCAGCAACTAAATTCCACAGGAGAAGAAGGACCACTCGTGAACGAAGTGTCAACGTACCTTCTGGCCCACGGCAACCTGAACCGATTCGGCTTCGGTACCGAAAACCAGCTGGGAGCGCCGAGAGTAGAAGAGGTGGAGCTTCTCCGGACTGCGGCTCATGTTGGTATAGTACTGCTCGACGAAGTACCAGCCAACCTCATCCTTCGAGATACCATTCTTCTGGTCATTCGACGGGGCGTTCGAGGGGGTAGAAGACGGCGCAGGCTGGAAGCTAGCTGCGCTGTTGACGTTGGCGGGGGCGTGGTTGAAGGAATCGGGGTAAGCATGTTGCGCAGGGTAGCCGCCGTTGATGGGAGCCTGGGTCGTGTCGGCCATTGTGACGTGAATGAAACTTGGAGGGTTGGAAAAAGAAAGAAAAGTCTAAGAGAGGAGGGTCAAGGTATGTGCTGAATCAGACGCGAGCCTGTATGTGGCAAGAAAAGGGAAGAATTCTAGCACGAAATATTCCCCGATACTGGGATTTGTCAGTATTTGAAGCCCAAGCGTATATGACGATGGCTGAGAATTCGGGCCAAGGACAGCAGGGGAAAAAGGAACTTACCAAGTGAAACGGAACGGGCGAACTGGTCGTTCCCTGTAGGCGCAATGAGGTGAGATAGAAAGAAAGAAAAGAAGAGACCAAAGTGGTTTAGAATGGTAGCGCGTCGGAGTCGTGGAGGTGGAAAACAGGAAGAATCTTGTGCGATTCGGAATTGAGTGTGGGAGGAAAAGCCCGAGGGACACAGGCGGGAGACGAAAAAGCAAGGGAAGAAGATAGATGGAGCTTGATAAAGAGACAAAGAGGCGGAAGCTGCAAGCAGACAGGCTGGGAATGAGAATTGCAAGGAAAGATGGAGAGGAAAATGGGGGGTTGGTGAGGGAGGAGGTAGTAGGTACAGCAAATAGCACTGGTTACAGTGGTGGTGGTGGTAGTAGTGGAGGAGGAAGATTGGGTGGTGGTGGTAAGAGAAGAGACCCGAGAGGTGCTGAGAGCAGCAGAGCAGAAACTCAACCTAACTGAGGTCAAGGCCAGTCGAGAGGTTCCAATCCGTTTGCTGGTGCAAAATCCAGCGCCGACCCAGAAGTGCCCGGGGCTAGCCCCCTTTGGGCTCGCTCGCGCCCTTGGCCCTTGGCTCACCGCCTGCCACTTGGGGCGCCCGTGATTCCCGGGCGCTTCCATGCAACACAAGGAAGGCAATCGGAGCTGGCACTCCGACGAGGAACAAGACCCCAGGGTCTCGGGTCGGCCCATGTCCTACTACTAGGTTACTTTGTATGCGGCAGCATCTACTCCGTAATGTCCAGTCCATGCATGGGGAGCAGCAATCGGAAGTCGCGAAGCGAGCTATCATATCAGTGTTGATGTCATCATCCGAGCACAGCGGTGAAACGATACTGCTGTAGACCACTCAATTTGCCATCCATGATATCAGCATGCGGTGGATTACTGTCCCCCGGAGCAGGGCCGTTGATTGGTGCTGTCATTGAATCTCAGCAAACAGTACCTACCTACCTTACTACTATGTACTAGTACTACTGCTAGGTACCCTGGAGGCTCCCATTGCTTCAGGCCCACATCCGGTCGGGTTACAGCAGTTCCTTGCCCATCTGCAGCAGGAGATATCGAAGATACAAGGTGTATAATTGTGTACATCATCGCTCGCTAAGAGGTCTTGATTATATCCAATCATCGGCATGCTTCATTACCACGAAATAAACAGCACAAAACAACAGTATGCACCTAACGAACACGACAGAATGGCCCCAGCAATCAAAAGCGCAAGAAGCTGTCAGGCAGTAGATTAGGGCTTGTAATCACAGTGGAATCTCATCAATTCGAACGCAGGTAGCTGGCTCAAAGTGGGGGGGGTATGATAGACAGGTAAAGATAAGCTTCTCATCAAGACGGGTATCGAATTCGGTCATGGAACCCGCCGCAGGGGAATCTGACAAGCCGGGGAACATGCAACATTAGAACAACCGTGGCCGAGATGGCCACGGGGGCGGGAGCAAAAGTCCACAAAGGTATCGAATGCACTCTCGGTCAACATCTCGAGAAACGGGGAGCGACCATTCACGGGGCCTCCACCACAGCCTTTTCGTTCAACACGGGTTCCCGCATGACAGCGTCCTGGCTGGTCATTCTGCGTCCAAGGGCGCGTTCCACCTTTGCGCCCAAAGCCAACTTGCTCAGATTATCGCTTTTCTCTGGCGTGGGAACGAAGCGTTGCTTCAGAAGAGGCTTATTTTCCAGGCGCTCTAAGCCGTCACGGAGGTTGTGGAAGTCGGCCAGTCTGGGGTCTCCGGTAGGCAGGCCCGCGAAGGTCCCTTCCGACGAGGCGACCGAGGGGGCTTCGCTGACAGTCGAGAACCGCTTGGAGGTACGAGCCTAAAATCAAGTTAGAAGGAGCCGCGACGCATGTATCCCAGGCAGACTTACGGACTGGGCCATGATGGGTCTTTCGGACTCCAACGAGGTATGCCTAGCCATGGTTATGATGTTGTTGGATGAGGTGGGTCGTGGATCGTGTGCAGTACAAAGCGTGTGCCCAATTAATGGAGAATAAGAAGAAGAAGAAGAAGAGAGGTCGCGAGGCTCTCGGGGAGATCGTAACCTGTAAGATTTGGACGTATCCTGGTCAGCAAATTGAGACCTGGAGAGACGCGGGCGTGGAAGAAACCGCAGCAGCAGCGATATAGAAAGGACGCAAGGAACGGGCAGACCGACGAATGGAAATGAAAACAAGAAAAAAGAGCAAATACAGGGAAAAGGAGTAAGAAAAGGCGAGGCCAAAGTATCAATAAATTATCGGGAAGTTTCTTGGGAGGAAATGATCCCGAGCGATTTGAGACACTGATCGAGCCGGGATGGATGGGGGGAAGTCGTACCTTGGAACAGTCAATTCCTTCCTCCGGTCGTATGCGATGCGGATATATCTATCTGAGGGGGGTAGGGTGGGCTTGGTGCGGGCAAGAGTTAAAAAGAAAGAGGGCAAGTAGGCAGTACTAGGTACGGAGTACTACTAGGTACTAGGTAGGTCCTACTAGGACTGCGCGCAGCCGTGACATGCATTCGACTCAGGAGAGCCGGGGGCGAAGGAGGCGGATGGGGTGGGTCACCGACAGGCGCCAAAACGCAATGCTGATAAAAACTTCCTCCTCGTCGGCGGTCGGAAGGATTGGGATGGCTTGACGGCTTTTAAGGTTTTCTTGTCCTGGACCTTCCCAAGGGTTTCCCCTCCTTTTTCCGTTTAGAATGCTTTCTGCGGTGGAGAGGGCGCAAGGATTCAACCAAGTAACCCGAGATAATCAACTATCGCACTCGTCTATCTATCCATCCAGCCGGCGTGGATGAAAGATGGGTGACTGAACCCACCGGGGCCCGGCTAAACCATCACAGGCCGCCTGAGACACCGGACTCTGTTGGGACGTCGGCGGCAGACACGAGCGCCATCACCAGACAGGGGTGCATGCGCGCCCAACGAATTGATCGTCATGCACCTGAAATTATACAGGAGTGAATAGTAGACGATCGGCTGGCTGAAAGGAGCAGACCAAGACGAGTGGATGCATCATACCATCCAGCTTCCATCGATACCACTTTGCCCCTATTCCGTGTTGCTTCAGTACGCCCTGCCGTACGGGGTACGGCGTAGGTAGGGACGGACCACTTCAGGCACTCTTTTCGATAGCTGCTTTCAAGCATCTGTCTGTGACCTTTGTAGTCTTCAATTTTAAGACCGAACGCCCAATTCTAAAGGAATCAACAGAGCCACAGGTCCATGGTGGTACCTTGTCTATCTATATAGGGGACTAGTTCCTGGTCAAGAGCAGAAACCGGCCACTAGAATTGATTAAACCCCGGCCCCTTAACCAAGTGTATTTTTATTTTTAAGGCCTTTTCCGGCCAGTCCCGCCACGTGCAGCCAAGTGGGCAGCCACGCGGGTTGGCAGTCGCAGCAGCAGCAGCAGCAGCAACCAGCATCATCCACCAGCTGCCGCGGGAGTGCCGCCCGGCCTTCCCTGCCTGGGTCCCAGCAACACCCCTGGTCCGTCAGTACGCGGTATACTACTATTACCTCGTCCAAAAATAATTCCAGTATCCATGGGACATGCATGATTGCGCAGTCCAGGTTCGGAGGGAGCTTCTTCACTATGCAGCCGTTTAAAGGGAAGAGACTATCATTGCTTCTTTGGCCACAAGATCTGACCCTACCGATAAGCCACAGTGGTGATGTGATTTGTTCTCGGACTAGTAGATCATTTGGTACCTTATGGAGTAGGACCTCAAGAATAGATATGCTTGAGGGGAGATCTGACTTGCATGCCGGTCTAAGTCTGGAACGGAGTAGTTCTCCGACGGGGATGGACAAACCGGCATTAGACGATCTAGAACAGTCACTACTGGACACTGAAACAAATAGGTCTCTCTAATTCATGGGGTTGATGCATAGGATAAGAAGCCCATCTTATCTAAAGGGCTCTTTGACCACCTAATCTATCTTCCATCCACGTATCATGTTTTAAAGTACTGACGGTAACTGACCGTAACAGGACTAGGTACATATTAAGTAGTATGACCAGCTCCGATCCGCCAAGACCAAGGCGGGCATAAAGGCGGTGTTGCCGTAGCACCGGCACTATTGGGATGCCCCTCGTATTCTTCATCGTCACAGTCCGAATCGAAAAGAAAAGCACCGAACGTCATACCTCGTCAACTTTGCAAGTTGCTACGACTTGATGCTTGATTAAGTTATCATCCAGTATATTTGATACTACATCTTCCCGGAGCATTGATCTAGCGGGATCTATAAGCCGCAATCAAGGGCTAAAAAATGCCGAAACCAAAGAGTTTCCTCAAGGAATCCAAATCCAAAAAGAAGACCGCGCAGCGGGTATGCACAATCAATCTTCTGATCGTCGATTTATTCTTCTAACTACATCGTAGGCCCCAGAATCGGCAGATGAATATCTAGCCCGTGAGTCACCCAATGTCCCGACTTCTTTTATCTCCTGATATACTTCATGATCGACTTTCGCTCTTTGTTGTCACATAGCTGATCGAGCTGTTCTCTAGTCGGCGTCGAACAAGAAGAAGCTGGAGAGAAATGGCGTGCCGGAGATGCAGCCAAGTCTCTACGCTTCTTCATGCGCGCCATCAACACCTACGATGAAGGCCTAGGCAAGCACCCCGATGCATTCGACCTGGCTTATAACAAGTACGTCGCACATCATGGATTTGTGTCATTTTCTATCTTGCATACTCGCCAAGGATGCCCTCATCAATGCGTACACTCGAACTGACGACCGACAGGGCGAGAGTCCAATATGAGGTCACGCAGCATCCCAAGCTATCTGCCCAGCTGTCTGCACCATTACTAGATGTCCTGCGAGTAGCACTAGAATCTCACCGGACAGCTCTCAACATGGAGCAAGACAACGCAGACGCGCTCTTCAACACAGCCCAGGTGCTCACCAGCATTGCGGAGGCGTTGACCGACTCCAAGCACCCTTCGGATGATCAACTCTCTCAGGCAATAAAGCTCCTGCAAGAGGCTATAGAACTCTTCCAGCGTTGTCTGGTCCTACAGGAACTCAAATACACCGAAATGCAGGAGCAGATCAACCAGATGGCATCCGGAGAAACGGGCCCTGTTGAAACTCAGATGCAAGACACGCCGCCGGATCTGCCACCAACAGATGAGTCGAAGTCTTCGGACCAGCAGGAGCAATGGGCTGCCATTGTTGAGCCAGTGACCAAGGACACTCTCGTTGACACAGCCGTGGCACAACTTGAAGCCTGCACGACTCTCTGTAACCTACTCACATTCAACCCTGGTGTAGGAGTCGGCTGGGTGGAAGATTATTCAACAGACTTGCTGCAGGAGCGAATTTCGGCATATGTCGAAGGGTCAAACAGACATTACGAGGCAGCTCTGGCTCGTGCCAAGTTTTCCTGTTCTCTGAACGAAGTGCTGTACAGAAGCGGACGAACCGAAGTTGAAACATATTCCCAGGAAGTTTCGCGAGCTTTCGGTCCTGATTTGAATCTCTCGGCCGATCCGGGCGGCCTCTGCAGCAAAGCCGACGCGCTGACGGCATTCAACACAGCGCTCATAGACCTCCCACCATATGAACCGGAAGCCTTTGCTAAAGCGTTGTCGCTGCGATGGCAATCACTATCGGCCGCCCTGGACGCATTGACCAAAGCGTCGAAACTCCCGGATGCCGAAAACCTGCCCAAGATCCACCTGGCAAGGGGAGACGTGGAGGTGGGTAGGTGGAGGCTCGGTCTGTCTCCATGGGAATATCCCATGGCTCAGCAGTACGCCGCCACGCTGCTCCAAAATGCCCAGACCTATTACCGAGGTGCGGCAGCCTTAGCGAAGAGAGATGGGGCTGCGGATGAGGCACGGGACGGGACCTGCAAAGAAGCCATCGCCGCTGCCCTGGCGGGTCAAAAGGACAAGCTTCAGCAGCTCCAGAAATCCTCACCTAAGGAGCTGATGATAGTCGCCGAGGACGTGGTCGATGACGGATGGATGAGTCCGGGCGATATGGAGGTTTTGTTGTCGTAGTCCTACCCGACCAGCTCAAATGATGAAAACGAAAGCGCGTCGCTATCCCGAAGCCAGTCACCGCATCGTAGAAACCCAAGCCAGCAGATCACATTTCGGACCTAGCCTTAACCTCACCATCCATCTGCGCAGCCTCCTGGCGAAGGTGATTTTCACTTGTAAACTGCGTCGCCGCGGCAGCAGCACCCTCTAAGTCCGCGACCATCGCCTCCAGCCCCGACAACAAGCTCTCAATCTCCAACCTCTGCGCTTGTACTTTTCCAGCCAACTCGACATTCTCCGTCTGAACCGAATCAATCTTGGCGGCCAAATCCGACTGCGTCTCCATCAAGTGCGGCAAAAGATGCGCTCGGTACAACTCCTCGGGACTCAACGTATGCGGTCTACCATCCACAATACCATTAGCCACCCAACTTCAAAACGCCCCCCCAAAGCCAAACACACACAAAGAGCCAGAAAGAGGGGACAAAAAACCTACGCAACACTCTCCTCCCCTTCCCCGCGTTCCTTCCTATACCTGGCCTCCCCCACCAACCGATCCAACTCATTCAACTGCCTAACAGCATCCCTCTCGGCCAAAATATCCTCAAACTCAGCCTTCGCACTCTCCTCCAACTTCGCATTCAACTGTCTCCACACACTCTCCAGGCTGGCGGGGACATATTTCGCCGGCGTCGGAAAACAGCCGGAGAAATTGGCGTAGGAGTTGGCGCGCAGGGTCCGGACCAGCGCCTTGTCGAAGATTTCTTGTAGTTTCGCGGCGCGTGGGCCGGGCGTTAGAGCCACGGGCGCTGGGGGGGGTGGTGAGGGGGAGACCGGTCGTCTGTTTGTGTTGGGATCTTCGGCCATTGTTTCGTTTTTTGTTTCTGGTTCTGGGTTGATTGAGAGATGGGGGTTTTCTCCTCCTGGATTTGTTCTTGTTGTTGAATGGCGGTGGTTGTTGGTATGGGGATTAGTTTGAACGGTTGAATAGATGGAATGGAGGAAGCTTGGATGGACGCGCCCGAGACGCGCGCATCACGTGATTTATATAGATTCGGCCGCCAGTCGGAGGGACTTGTTCTCTACCTGTTTATTTCTTCAATCCTTCCAAGTAATAGATCTATTCGGGACAAGAGTATACGTAATTTTAAAATCGATAGTGCAGTAGTTCTGGCCACGCCAACCGACCAGGTCTCCGGTTGTATACTCCCCAGTGTCGGCTCCAAGTTGGCCCGATACTATGGTCTTATAGACCACCGCATGTATCGGAATAGCACGTTGGCATCGGTGTATTGGCTCATCCAGTATCACCGGGCCTTCTCGTGGAACTACTCGAAGCGCACCAAAGCCACGGACAGAGCGAATATATAAATATAATGTCCGACAGGCTCTAACAGATACCAATCCCGCTTGCGTCACTCATCAAGCACTAGGACAGAAACAAGAGAACAGCAGAATGATTAAACGCCGCGCTCTCCCCATTCTAAAACCGATCCGTTGCTCGTAAAGCCCCCCAACCGAAGGAGGAGACGAGCTATACGTAATTTAAGGATGAATTAGGAAGATGAAAGAACAGAACGAAACATTAAAAGTCCTAGTATGCCTGTTGCGGAGGAACCATGCCGCCATACGCCGCTGCCATTTGTTGCTGGAGTTGTGCTTGTAATTGGGGCAGGTCATGGAACCAGGGGTGCTGGAGAGCATCATGGGCGCTGACCCGCATCTCGGGCCGTAGCTGGAGCATACGATTCAAAAGATCCAGACCAAGGGGGTCGATCTGAGGTAGGATAATACCTAGGTCCTGTGTCGCGTATACGTGGAAGTTTGGCTTGTACTCCGGGAGCTGGGAGATACCCGGCCACGAGCGCTCCGACGGCGTTCCCATAAGACGGAAGATCTTCATAAGCTGATCTTCGTTGGTGGTACCAGGGAATAGAGGACGACCGGTGTAGAGCTCCGCCATGATACACCCGGCCGACCAAATGTCAATGCTTGTATTATATGTGCGGCTGCCCAGAAGCACATCCGGCGCACGGTACCACAGGGTGACGACTTCATTGGAGAAAGTGTTAACGGGGATGCCGAAGGCACGAGCCAGACCGAAATCTCCAAGTTTCAGTTGGCCCTTTTTGTTGATGAGGAGGTTCTGGGGCTTCAGATCGCGGTGCAGGACCCGGTTCTCGTGGCAGAAGGCAATGCCCTTGAGCAGCTGATGCATGAACGATTTGATCGTCGCTTGGTCCAACTGGCCGCGGTCGCCGCGGGTATCCATGTACTTCTTCAGATCCTTGTCCATGTACTCGAAGACGAGCATAAGCTTGTTTTCGGTGTGGATCACATCGTACAGCGAGACAATGCTCTCGTGCTTGAGCTCCTTCATCAAGGAGATTTCGCGAATGGCGGTCGACGGCGTTCCCTCCTCGGAATCCAGATGGATTTCCTTCAACGCGACTAGCTCGCCGGTTTGGCGATTGCGTCCCTTGAACACCTGTATGTAGGGCGGGGTCAGTACATATTGCGATGGAAAAGAGGAACCAGATGGAGCCGTCGGCGGTGGGGAAGGGGTTGTACGGTGGCATAGGTGCCCTCTCCGAGCTAGAAGAAGAGAAGTCAGTATCGGGATATCCGTCGATGTGAGAAGACGGCCATCAAGACACACCTTTTCCAGCTGCTGGAAGGAGCTTGGTTGCTGCTTGTCCATGGTGGATGGAGGAGTGGGCTTGGGGTTCGGGGGCGTTGAGCGTGGGGGATGACGGAAAAGAAAAGATTTGGGCGAGGCCAAGGAGGAGATGAGTTCCAGATAGGCGGCGGCTGGGGGCTGCAATGTCTTGCTGGATGAGCGGTCGCGACCGTCCATGACCCTGCCTGTTCTGAACCGGGCGATGCAAAGCCCCGCGCTGAAATCCAAGGGCCGAAGGGGCGGCGGCGGCGGCGGCCTGTCACGGGCCTGTGCTGGCTGGGCTGGGCTGGGCTGGGCGGGCTTGGTCGCCTTTCCTCGCCCTCGGCCCAGGATCCACGGCCCCGGCGTCTAATCTACCCTCTCCCCTAACCTCCTTTGCCAATCATTCGTCTCGTCTATAATTATCTGTTTCAGCTCTACATCTGGGATGTTAGGTAGCCCTGGTAGTAGGCATCCCGTCGGTTGTATATGCTTATATGGACTCGTCTCTTCTATACACATCACATCATCTCTCGCACTCTATACACAAGGCACACATCAATGCCCAAGAGAATCCAGGTGTGCCGCCACCGGGCCTAGGATTTCCTGCGAGGGGAGACTGCAACGGATATGCTGGCCGACAGCACTGCTTTCGCGCTCCGCCTGGGCAAACAGTATCGACTCGTTTCGGACGCCTCCGATGTTGATAATGCCAATAGGCATCCCCCGCTTATAGGCCCGTTCCACTAGCCGCCATGCCGAGTATGTGGCGAGACTGCTCCCCAGAACCAGGAGCCGGCCTGCGTCATCGATAGCCTCTTCTGCCCCCAGCTTTACGCTTGGATCGATGTTTTCCCCAAACATAATAACCGCCGGTTTCAAAATCCCAGCCGTAGAACTAGGAAGCCAGGCCCCATCGCGCTCTACTTCCACCCTAGCGGCAGTCCCGTCCGGCAATCGAGGCGGTTTCTCCAAGCAGGTGGGACAGGCTGGATACCGGAAGGTGGAATATGGAGCCTCAGGTAGATCTACATCGCCATCCGGGTTGATTTTGAAGCCCCTCCGCCGCTGCTCCTCGGGGTTGTCCGTATTCAGAGCGCCGATGTCGACCATCTTCGCGAGAAATTCTGCCCAGGCCGGGTTCAGCCCCTCGAGCTGTTTCTGAAACTTGTTCCGCGGAACCTGGTTGCGACAATTGATGCAGACCACCGACCGTAAGTAGCCGTGGAGTTCAAGCGTGGGTAACTCGGGATGTGCGACAGAATGGAAGGAGTCGACGTTTTGGGTTACCACCGAGCTGATATAGCCCTTTGCGCCAATGTCTCTGATCGACCAGTGCGTTGAGTTTGGCTTTGCCTTGAGGAGACCCGGCCACCCAACAAAGCTCCGAGCCCAGTATCGCTTGCGGGACTCATGGCGCGTGACAAACTCGTGGTAGTAGATAGGTCGATATGTCTTGTTCGTGACGTACGTGCCATTCTCACCCCGGTAGTCGGACAATCCGGATGCCACGGAAATGCCAGCGCCAGTCAAGAGCACCGTCTGCGAATACCTGCCCACATCGACGCCGCGCAGGTAGGGGGACGGAGGGGCCGTTAAGAAGTTTAGGAGGGCATCAATGGCACCCGAGACCGTGCGAGCGGACGGGGGAACGATAATTGGCGGAGGCAGAGGGCCAGTGAAGGGAATACGGATTGATGGAGCCGTCATTGAAGCCACATGATTGAGGGATGCAGAAGATGACGCTGTGAGCGCGGGAGAGCCGGTTGGGATCGACGAGATGGATGGTCGACGTCAGGCTTGACTAATCGGGTCACATGACGGGAAGGCGTGTGTGTCTTTCACAAGGATGCCGGGGACACCCGAGAAATCGATGGAGGAATTTTAAATCGGATCAATGCTGTGAAGCAGGAAGGAGGAAGGAGGAAGCTTGAATCAAGAATGCGGTGGACCGACGGGGAGGCGTGATGAATCCCGTATCTTGGGAAGCTGGCCTGGGGTGTCTGTTCGCTCCGTTCTGGGTCTAGACTTCCCGAACTTCCCCGGATCGCCCCACGTGATCGACGGCCTTTTAGTTTTCGCAGACTCAGAGTCTGCAAACGTCATCGTCGGCTCCATTCTCTTTCTCCTTTGCGTTCCCATCTCTTTCGGCTTGCATGCTGTCGTCCCATTCTGGTGGTTCTCTTCACGTTTAGACTTTAGAGCAGAGCATTGATTGGGACTCCCGTCCCAATTGCTCTCTCGTCCGTACAGGCCCGGACATGTTTCCTGCAGTCACTGGCAATATAGATCTAGAGGCCCTGAGTGGCATATGTGGGTATGTTTACACCCGACACCACATGAACCAAATGTATTAACCCCAGGCTAACGACGACGTTCAGATCGATCTCCATCGCGTGCTGGGTTGTCGTCTTCTCCCCGCAAATCATTGAAAATTTCCGTCGCGGCTCCGCAGATGGCCTCTCTCTTCTGTTCCTCATCGTCTGGCTCGCCGGCGATGTGTTCAATATCCTCGGCGCTGTCCTGCAAGGTGTCTTGCCAACCATGATTATCCTCGCGGTGTACTACACCCTAGCCGACATTGTGCTTCTGGCCCAATGCTTCTATTACCGGGGATTTACCCTGCGAGACGAGTCATCGACGCCGTCGCGACCCTCTTCGCCCGTCCCTGCAGAAGAACCCTACGACGTAGACACGGAGATTCCCTCGCCTGTTATGCCTCGGAAGCCAACCGAGCAGACCTCTTTACTCTCGTCCAAACAGCGCAGCGCCTCGTATCAGGCTCCTCTCGGCGGCCCTAGCCCAGCATCATCCACAACCATCACCCCTCAACACCATCAACCATTGCTCGCTCATCGCCGCCACTCTGCCTCTTCCTTCCTTCATATCTCTGTGGACGGGACACACCTCTCTCCAGCCACTCCGTTCGTTGAACGGACCAAAGAACCCCGTCCGCCACGGGCCATTACGTTACTCCAGTCGGTCTTCTTCAATGGGTCGGCCATCATCCTCGTCTGTGCCGCGGGCGTTCTCGGCTGGTACATCAGTCAGCGGTCGTCGCTCTCCTCTGATGACAACAGCAACCGCAACGACCGCAGCTCCGATGACCTTACCATGGACCCGCTGGGGCAGGTCTTCGGCTACCTCTGCGCCGTGCTGTACCTCGGATCTCGTCTGCCCCAGATTCTGCTCAACTACCGACGCAAGTCCACCGACGGGGTATCGTTGCTCTTCTTCCTTTTCGCGTGCATCGGCAATTTGACGTACGTGCTTTCAATTCTGGCGTATTCGCCCGTCTGCGAGCATGAGAGCTCGTCCCGTCAGGGACGGTGTCGATCGGACGAACTGGCATCGCTCTATGGCCAGTACATACTGGTCAATTTGTCCTGGCTGATTGGCAGTTTCGGGACACTGCTACTGGACATGTGCATCTTCGTTCAGTTTTTCCTATACCAGGATAACAATGGGGAGGATGTCGACGTGGAACGGAGAGAGTGAGGGGATTCCTCCCCCCACTTGGCAATCCCTACCCCGCTTTCTTTCTCTTTCTATTCTCGCTTTCTTCTGACCAGAAAGATCCCATAAAAGGTGTTGGTGGCAAGACTGCTTATTATTGCTGCTGCTGCTGCTACTGCTTTTGCTTCGACGATAAAAGCATCATGACTGATTTGGCGTCTGGCTGGTTATTACGGTTCTCTTCGTGTAGATATATATCTCTTTATATTTTGGAAATATTGTCGGGTGGCCTGTCTTCATATTTGAACGCATTTCATATTTCTAGCTGTTTGAATCATACATATACTACGGGTTGACACAGAGACTGATCATAGTCCAATTGTGGATTTGGTCTAGCGAGTCGGTATCAGTGGTGTAACGACCTAGACCTCCCTTCGCTAATTGCATGCCATAAGACACTCCATCAACGAATATTTCATTCATTCTGGAGAACCAACCTTCATAGTCCAACTACTCGCAGTAACATCTTAGATGTGTAAATTAAATACTAAAAAAAGAAAAAGCATCTCATAAACCCACGCACGAATGATACCCCAGAACTCCTCACGCTGTTACAATTGGCAAGTATCCTCCACCACTCATGCATACCCCACTCTCTCCCTCCCTCTCTCCCTCCCTCTCTCCCTCCCTCTCTCCATCTCATTCAATGATAAAATCCTAATCACTACTAGGCGGCCTGACCTTCACCGGACCCTGACGAACCTCATCCCAATTCGTACTCAACGAGGTACCCTGACTCTCGACGTAACTCTTCATCATCGCGCGACGGGTATCCGGGTCCGCGTTGGCGTAGAGTTTCTTGAAGAAGCCGTCGACGGGGTCCGCGGCGCCGTAGTCGGATTCGGCGTCCGAGTCGGCGTCATCTGCATCTTCCCCTTCGCCTGCGTCTTCGCCTTCGGGCTTGGGTTTCTTTGTCTTGGTCTTGTCCTTGGGTTTCTTGGCGGTGAGGGTCGAGGCGAGCTTGTCCCAGTCTTTGGCGCCGTGGCGGGAGGAGGTTGGGTAGGCGGGGCCGGGGGCTGTAGTGGTGGTTGTGGAAGTGGTGCTGAGAACGGTCTGGCGATCGGAGAGTTTGGGGGCTGTGGCGGTGGATTCGAGAGCGCTCCATTTCTGGCCGGCGGATTGCTTGCGCAGGAGGATTTCGATCTTGGTGGACATCACGGAGACTTTGGAGGCGGAGGGGTTGATGGGTGCGAAGAGCGGGTCGAGGGTGAAGTCGTATTCGGCGCCGGAGGGGAGGGGGAATTGTAGCGAGGCCTGAATGGTGGCATGGTTAGTATGGTTTCATGCTTGGGAGGGAGAATCCAGGAAATTGATACATACCGAGTCCTCCTTGAGGTCCACATCCACCTTGTCCTTGGGCACGCCCTTCACATACAGCGTCACCACCACCGTCTCGGTCGATTGATACCACTCGTGGCGGACCTTTTCCACGACCGGCTGGGTCTTGACCTGTTGTTGCTGGGAGGCCTCGTGCTTCGTCTCAACCTTCTCCTCGGCCTTGTCCACCTTCTTCTCCTCTTGACCACCAGCAGCACCAGCACCAACATCCACCTTCCCCCCCTTCAACACCTCCAACTGCATCTTCAACTCCGCCTCCTCAGGAACCTTCACCCCCTCCGGCACCTCCTTAACCTCCACCTCGCCCACCGTCTCCAAGGCCCCCATCTTCCCCTTCACCTTGGCACTCCAAATCCTCACCTCCGCTTCCACACCCTTATTCCCCCCACTGCCACTCCCACTCATCGCACTCCTCAACCTCTCCTCCTTATCCTCCTCCCCACTCCCCCCCTCCTTCAACCCAATCATCTCCTCCACCCTCCCCAACAAAAACCCCGCATCGACATACCTCCCCATCAAGAAGAGGACGATCCCGCGTCGCAGCTGCGCCGAGACAATCAGCTCGCGTTTGCCGCGCTCGCGCGCAAGCACGACGGCGGTTTCGGCATCGTGGAGCGCGGAGGACAGGTTCGGGGTGGGTTTGAGGCGGGAGAAGGCCGTCGAGCGTTTGATGTAGTAGGTTGGGGAGCGGGGGTGGGTGAGTAGGGCGGTCGTGTAGTGCGTTAGGGCGGTGGGGTAGTCGGAGGCCGAGAGGGCGGCGTCGCCGAGGGAAGCGGCGTTCATTTTGGTTCTTTGGAGGTTGGGGGTGTTGTGTTGTGGGGGATTGGTGTTGGTGGGGAGTGTAGCTGGTGAGCTAGGAAGCTAGGAAGCTCGATGGCTCTGTGGTGTTGGTGGTGGTTCGCTTGTTGGCAAACAGACGGTAGTTTCGGAAAGAAAGTAGAAGTGTAGTGGCTTCAAAGAGGAGATTAGTAGGGAAGAAAAGAAAGGCAGACAGCAGTTGTCGAGAATCAAAGACGAAGAGGCAGCAGAAGAAGAGTTCCATGTGGTTCCAGGCGGATGCGGGGACCGAAGCCCACGTGATTGAGAGCGAGGAGATATCTGACCATTGCCGTGAGATAGTTAACTAGGTCATACCATTATCAATTAAAGTACAGGAGTAGTATTACAGCGTCCCATGCATCTTTGCCCTAATTACGCCAGTTCCTCGTTGCCAAACTGCCGGGCATACAGCCCCAACGCCCGGATTGGCCAATATAGCTTGTAATTGGGGTACGAGATCATGCTGCCATGCGTTAGAAGATTCTCGACTTGAACCAATCAATCGAACTTACCAGGACTGGTTAAACACGCCCTCAATCGCCTCCTGCAGCCACTCGCCGTTCGCCTGCTGTCGTGACATCAGCAGCTGCATCGCCTTGCGCAGCGGCTCCTTGTGCGGGTACTTGGCCTCCATCAGCGCCAGCGCGGCCCACGCCGTCTGCACGACCTGTGACTGCTCGTGCTGCACATACACGTGTCGTTCGCTGCTCAGGTAGGACTCGCCCCAGCCGCCGTCCTCCTTTTGCTTCGAGATGAGGAACTCGCACCCGCGGCGGGAGTCGGCGCTCGTCTCGTACGTCTCCCCGATGCTGGCCAGACTCTCCAGTGCAAACATCGCTGCGTACGTAAAGCAGATGCCCCATGACCCGTACCAGCTGCCGTCGGCGCGCTGCACCCGCTTGATGTACCGAACGGCCTTCTCCTTGGCGGCCTTGATCTCGGCGGCGCGGTAATCCGGATAATATTTGCTGAACAGGGACAGCGCGGTCACCGACGCGGTCGTGCACTCCGGGTAGTCGTATCCGATCATGATGCCGCCAAACACCTCGGCCGCATTAAGCCATTCGACCTTGGGCGACGCCCGGGTGGTCTCGTACTCGGTGAACCCACCGGACGGGTTCTGCATCAGCAGCAGGCAGTCGACGCTGTCCTTCAACCGCTCCTCCGAAATCAGCTTGGGGAAATCGTGCATCTCCTGCAGTTGGATCGTGGACCGCAACCCCTCGGCCGTGCAGTCACTGACCGTGTACCCCTGCGTTTTGTTGCTGAAAGGCCACGCTCCCTTGCGGTGCTGGCGGTAGCATTTCTCCTGGTTCGGCACATTCTCGCGGAGCTGATGGTCCTCCAGGAACTCCAAGGCCTTGGTGAGCATCGGTCGCCACTTCGGGTCATCGGCGAGCCCGGCCACCACGATGGATTGGGTAATAAAAGCGGTATCCCACACCTGGACCCCGTTGGTTCCGTTCATCAGCATGCCCTCGTCCTTGACCCACATGTAGTCGTGCAGACGCTCTCGATGGCGACGGACTGAGTAGCTATCCGGCCCATCATGTTCGTAGCAGGCAATCATGTTGAACGGGTTGCTCACGGGACCCAGTCCAGCGTAGTCGGTGTTCTCGTCCTCCATGCGAATCAGCTCCCACGTCCACTCCTCCGCCCGACGTACGATGGCCGGGAGCCGAAGGTAGGGGTTCCAGACATTGACCAGCAGAGAATTCAACGAGTTTAGAAGCCAGGTCTTGGGGTAGTAATTATCCGCCTCGTGAATCGAATTGCGATGCGCGGCAAAATCAATCGAGTCATAAGGCTGGGTGTACAGCTCTTGCCGCAGCTGCTTGGTCAGAGAATCCAACGGATGCGAGAACTTCTTGGACCACAGATACCCCATGGGCAGGAAAACCTGTCGGATATGGATCCACCACCGCCACGGAGCGAATGGCACCCAGTCCGGAAGCAGCCTACCAGACCGTCAGCATTCGCCCCGACCACCGCAAGGACCAGGTGTCGACAACACGTACCAAATCTCCGGAGGAACCGGGTTGACACACTCCCAATCCATCACTCCCAGAACCGCGAGAGAGAACTTGGCCCAATGAGGCCCGTAGATGGCACCGCCGAACTTGTGGAGCAGACCACGGGCCTTCACCATGCGAGGATCATCCTCACTGACCCCGATCAAACGGAGCGTGACATAGTTCATACACGTGCCAAAGACGGAGCTATGGGCTTCAATGTGCAGACCCCAACCGCCATCCTCGGGATGTTGACGCGCAAAGAGATACCGTTTGATCTCCGTCGCATACTCCGGAGGAATCGGCGTATTGGTCACATAGTACGTGATGATCGCCACGGGGAGCAAGAACATAGGCCCACCGTACTCGCACGCCCAATTGCCCGGCTCCAGCTGCAGCTTGGAGAAGAACTCCAGGCCATTTTCGGCGCACTGCAGCGGTGTCTTGGGAGCCGGCAGCTCGGGCAATCCCTAGCGACCATGTCAGTGGACCCCCACAGGCAGAAGCATACCAGTCGCGAGGACCATAGGGAACCAGAAGATCATACCGTTGGGAGGCCGAGAAAGTATTTATCGGCAACGGACTGTGGCCATTGTTCATTCTCCTCGTCGGATTCCAGATAATGCCAGGTTTGGCGACCGCGATCATCGCGCAATCGCCAGCGCGAGTAGTCGGTTTGAAAGTCACCGTTGGCGTCGCGAGTGAGATGGCCTTGCGCCTCGGTTCTCCACGGGCCAATGTGCTTGCCCGCCATGGTGTCTACAGAGGGGAAGGATTCACTGGAGGGGAAACAACAGGATCGAGGGGGAACAGGAATCTCAACCAAGGGCAAACGAACATGACCCTGGCAATCAAGCGAGCTTCGATCTCCCTTGCGTGAATCTTGTTTGCCTGCGACTTGGGAGTGCTTGAGCCACTCGAGCTGCCACCCGGGCTGCTGACTCATCAGGGGCACGGCCTGAGGATTGGTTGGTGCCCTGAAGACATCCCAGGCACCCATGATTCGATGGAGTACAGGTGGACAGTATTATGTATTCACGAAATGCAGAGCGCATAATCATACAAAGTCTAGACACACCTCGTCGACCATTAATTATTACTATCTAAGGCACCATGCACCCGTCAAACCCATAAGCACGACTATGGAGAGGTATCAAGTACGCAAAACGACATGGAATCAATCTACCGATTCCCCCGGGTATCAATCCAACCAGTCCATCCATTACCGTAAATCAAGCATCCCCGTACATCATCGCAATTCATTTGGCTTCCGCAACGGGCGTCTCCTGGGCCGTCACAGCCGTGTCGGCCTTGACCGGCTCCTCCGCCTTGGGCTCCTCCTTAGGTGCCTCCGTGGCCGGAGCCTCCGCCGCAGCCTCCGGAGCAGGCTCGGCCTGGTCGAGGTTGACCGTGAAGGACTCCTCCTGCAGGGTCGGGCCGTTACCACCGTAGGTCTTGGGGAACTTCTCCTTCAAGGACGGGAACTCGCGGGCCAGGTTGGCACCGTTGGAGATGGGGTGGAACTTGCGGGTGGTGTTCTTGCTGAGGAAGACCTTCATGGCCGCGAACATCCAGCCCATGATGGCGGGGACGTTGACGAAGAACTTCTCCCGCAGCAGCTCCGGGTAGGCGGTGGCAAACACCTCGATGGTCTTCTTGGTGGCAGCCTTGATGGTGGGGTTCAGGCGGAGGAAGCTGACGTTCAGGTAGTCGTGGACCTGAAGCATCTGATACGGGTCCTCGCCGTCGTAGTCGATCACGGTAGTAGCTTCACTCAGCTTCAGATCCTTGATGGCGAGCTCCATGAGCGCGACACGCCACTTGATGAACCTGGGTTCTGTTAGATACGACCACTCTTAGCTCCGGGAACAGCAAGCAGCACTTACTCATCCACATCACCAAAGGTCGCGTCGACAGACTTGACACTTCCGTAAATGTTCCAGGTCACGATGACCTCCTTGCCACTGGGCTCGGGGTACTTGGTGACATAGCCCAGACCGCCGAACCGCTCGGCACTGTAGTGGCCGTCGGCCAGCGCGACGGGGTTCATCTCCTTGCGCCACTGCAGGGCCTTGGTCAGCTGCTCCTCTGCCAGCTTGACATTGCCCTCGTTGGCGCGAAGGAACTTGATGAGCACGTTGACCGTGGGGACATCGTTGGAGTCCTTGAGGGAGACGCCCCACATCTCATTGTAGCTGGTGGAAGAGAGGATGATCGGCAGGCGATCGAAGAACTGGCTCAAGGCCGGGTTCTTGGCCAGATACTCTGGCTGAGCAGGCTTCTCTTCCTCTTGCTTTTCCTCCTTGGGCTCTTCCTTGGGCTCTTCCTTGGGCTCTTCCTTGGGCTCTTCCTTCGGCTCCTCCTTAGGTTCCTCCTGAGGTACCTCCTTCGGCTCTTCGGCCTTCACGACCTCGGGCTCCTCAGCCTGTTCTTCCCTGTGTTCCTCTTCCTTCTTCTCGTCCTTCTTATCCTCCGTGGGCTCCTGGGCGGGAGCGGGAGCGGGTTCCGTGGCGGGAGGTTCCGTGGGAGCAGGCGCGGCGGCGGGGACAGTCGAGGTTTCGGGGATGGTCTGCTCCTCGACCTTCTGTTCGGGCTGAGGTTCGGGCTCCGAAACTGCAGGCTCGGGGACAGGGACGGTGGTGGTGGGAAGTTGCGCCTCGGGGGCAGCAGCAGGAGCCTCCGTCTTCGCGGGCTGGTCGGCCATCGTGGGAGGGGTGGAGGAGAATGAAAACGAAGGAAAGGTTGAAAGAAAAAAAAAAAGCTCACTTAATGCGATCCGTGAGTTTGGAAGAGGATCAAGAGATTATGTGATCAGATAGGATGGATAGATGGATGAAAGGCTCTGAGTAACAGCCAGGAAGAAGAAGAAGAAGAAGAAGAAGAGGAAGAAGAAGAAGGAGGAGAGAAAAGAAGGAAGAAGAAAGAAAACAAAGTCCGTCGCAGCAGCGCAGAGGGGAGACAATCCAATCAGCGGTCCGAAGGGCGGGAGTCATTAAATGGCTGCTGCATCGGCCGTTAATTTCGCCCAGGAGGGTTTCAACGGCCGATCCAAGTGGGTGTCGGCCTGAAACTAGATGCATCCATCCTCCTGAATTACAGTGGAATATTGCAAGTGGGCCTGCAAGCCTGTTTCAGGAGAGCTGCGGTTTGTTCTCCTCCCCCCCCCTGGCAGGTCACCGCTACACAGGACCTGCTTACAGGCTATCTACAGGCTACTTAACCGGCTACAGACTCCCTCCTCTGTCCAGCATGCGGTGACCCATCATCTTCGGATAATTTGGCAGGATCGATGTAAGGCACCGGGTGGTGGGTGGGTGGGCTGATTCGGTGCCTGAGCGCCGTGGTCCATGCTATTTATTTACACCCCAAGCGACTAGTCGTCGCCTGCCTCGTACTTTGTTCGCGTGCTCCATCCATGGGCTATTTTTGGTATTGATGCAGCTAACCTGGGCGCTGACGAGGCCCTGGCCAGGATTCCCCCCGGGCTGGACCACGGCCAGTCGACCAGTCAATCAGTCCCTCAATTCCCCCAGAATCCGTAGATAATACTCTGTAGATACTAATCATCTCGTCTATCATATCGCTATGAGAACAAGGTGCCCACGTTCACCACCACCAGCTAGCAGAAATCCAAAGTACCGCAATACATACAGGCCCGTCCTGGCCAAACAAACGCTGGGGAATATACACAGTCAGATAATGCAGAACGACTCCCTCCCTTCTCTCCTCGTAATGCTTCCCTTCACTTTCCCCCATTCAGAAATCGCCCCGGGATCGAAGGCATCGGGGGCGCCACAGGGGCCGCGGTCTGGCCCTCGTCTTCATCCTCGTCCATCTCGTCATCCAGTTCCTCGGGGTGTCTAGAAGCCAGTCAGTCACCGTCCATTTCCCACCTCGAAACCCGAGGGAGCAACATACGCAAGGAGTTCCTTGATGTTCCGCATCTCATAGTGTTTCTTTCGGTGCTGCTCGAACTGACGATGCTTTTCCTCCGCCTCGTCCGCCGTCATCAACGTATCGCCGCCCGACTCGGGCTCGCCATTGGTCTCGCCGGCACCGACCACCACATGCTTTCCGCCACGATGTGAGTCATTGCTCAGGCTCCGTTCGCGCACGATCCGATCCCCGCTCCCGACATGCGCGTCCGCGTATTCCTCCGCCTCTCCTAGCTCCAACTCGGGGATGTCGTCCTCCGCCACAGCCTTCTTGGGTGCCTTTTGGGTCTTGTCCAGCTCGTCCACCACCACCTCCTGCGCGTCAATCAGACTTTCTTCGCCCTCGAGCTCATCTTCATCCTGGGCGGGGTCGTAGTGTGGCGCATATGGGGTCTTGGGCTCGTCGATCTTCATCTTGGCCGTCTTCTCCTGCTCAGTCAGATACAGGTTGGCCTCGTCCCACTTCAGCCGGGGCGACGCCTCGTCCTGGTGACCGTGAATGCTTGCGAGGGACTGCCGCCGCGACGAGGACCCCGGGCGGGTGTTGGATAGCGACCGGCGACGGCCTGCATTCTGAAGGGTGTTTTGCAGCGTAAGTTCCTTGGTGTCCACCGGGTCGGTTGCAGCCGAGGGTACGGGGAGAGTGTCATGGACTTGCGCGACCTGGGGTACCTGAGAGCTGGAGTTCTTTAGGATACCTGTTGCGCGATTAGCATCACGCGTCGGGCAGGATCTTTGCATGTTCGCGGTTTATTGCACAGGCGATCAACTTACCCTTAGGTCTTTTATTGGCATCCTCCATGTGGTGCGCCATGATGTTCAATATGACTGGAGGAGTATGCCTGAATGAAGTCTTGTAGTTGAGATTTCTGGAAGAGTGAAAAAAAAAAAAAAAAAAAGATAAACAAGGTGATCGTCACGATAAGTGATTATGAGAAAAGAGGGAAAACGAAAAAGAGGAACGACAAGGGAAGCGAGCAGATGCGCCGATTTAAAAAAAGTCGAAATCGCAAAGCAAACGTCAGCTGCGAGTGCCCGAACGTCAGGTCAGCACCTGAGGCTGAGCTGGCGAGGGCTGGAAGGGGTTGGCGGGGGTCTCAGCCTCTCGCGAGGGGCTCGACAAATGAGGGCGGTGGCACGGTTGCTGGTGACAAGCCTCGGATGACTGACCGGGTGATCCACGGGTGGCTCGATCGCAGGGGGGGGCAGAAAAGGGGGTCGAGATAAGGCGACACGGAGGAGGTTTGTTGGCAGCAAGGAGGCAGAAAGGACAGGGGAGGAGGAGAATTGGAAACGTCAAGTGAAGTGCAGTGAAGCAAAGCAAAGCAGCTCTGATCTGGCACGTGGGGCTGCCTGCCCGGCCGATGACGTCGCATCAATCCGTCCCGGGTCGTCATGATCCAGTGGACAGACGTTCTCTACTCTTACCTTGTACTTTCAGCACTCACGACCTACATAGTTGCTACCTGACTACCCGACTCAGCACTGTCGCATACATGCCCTGGATTCTGAACTATGCGGACCGGGTTTCCCTGCGTCCGCAGCTAACAGATAGATCGAGTCTCTACAGCCCGTCCCGTGCGGGCGTGCGATTGAACTCCAACCCTACCCCCAAGATGCATAGACTCACCCGCAAAGAAAATGAAAACGGTAGATGAACAAGTGATCGAAATAGCAGAATGCCGCCCCAAGCACAAAAGAGGTGTAAGTGTATAGGGGAATCTCATGACCCTGCCCGGCTCCGTGAAAGATGAAGGACATCCCGCAGAAGAGTAAGCAAAATACAGCAAAGGGTAAACCGGGGAGAACACCGTCCATCCATATCTGCCAAACAGGATAGCAATAGAGCTGCGCGTCTGCACATGGATTAGTTGCGTGAGTAGACCAGAGTCGTGTGTTGGAAACAACAGGTCGTTAATGGTATCAAGTCATAAGAGATGCGAAAAAAAGCGATATAGGTCCTAAAGATGATCACAAGCACGGGCTCGCAAGGAAGGAAACGAATCGAATGAAGGAAAGATGAAGAGAAAGAACTGGGAAAGGGAAGGAAAATTATGCAATAGACTCGAACTCTTCCCGCTCACGAAGCCGGTTTCGCGCGAGTTCGTCCCCGCCGTTGGCCGACAGCTGCATCCAGTGCAGTGCCAGACACATGCTCTGCGGGTCGGACTTGGAGTCCTTATCGCGGCGATACATCATCTCCGCTTTATATGTGTCTCGCATCAGAGTGAGGGGTAGCGTCACAGGCGGGAGGAGTTCAGGATGAGTGAGGTAGAGAATGGCCAGTTCCCGTTGGGCAACTGGATTGCCTTCCTTGGCCGTGATGATCCACATTTTGGCGGCATCTAAAAGAGTGTTTCCCGGTCGAGGAGCTTGCTCCGACCCAGGCAGATGGCGCCGGCTGAATTCCTGAGATACAATGTTATCGGCGATCTCGACCATGCTATTACAGACCTCGTCTTTGAGGCTCAAGGCTGCCAAGCCAAACTGCAAGAATGCAGTCCCGCTGTCAGTCTTGTTCAGGGTCTCCCCTGGAACAAATGCCGAGATAAACTGCAGATCACGGAAGAGGGTCTTTGGTTTCACCTCCATGAGGAGGCTACGCAGAGCATCCACAATCTGGTTCTCGGTGGGTGCACAGTAGTCGGAAGGCCGAGAATCAAAGATGACAGACTCGGCGGCAGGTGAGGTTGGAGTATGAGAGATGTCCTGGCCGTGACTCCGCTTGGCCTGAGATTCCGAAAAGCTATGACGAGCACTTCTTTTGACACGAGATCCTGGAGTACGACCTCGTGGACGAGGGGGTTCAGTCGCATTGAAATGGCATGCGTCATCATTCTCGGAATTCAAGGATGCAACGACTAGAGCCCGCAGGTCCCGCAGCGCCTTCAACTTGACGCAAGGATTCCCGTGCCGCGAGAAGACCTCAAGCAGGCGCCGGAAGACAGAGTCGTAGGAGAATTGGTGCGTGTCATTTGGCTCCATAGGATTTTCAGTGGTAGATGGACACGCGTTTTCGGCGTCTCCAGGCGTTGCGCGATCTGATGGCTCTAGAGATCTGCTTCGCCGACGGTCGGATGGTGTACGATTAATGGTATGGTGGACTAACCGCTCGTCACTCTCGGCGTAGAATTGCTGAATGCGAGCTCGCTTCCTCATCTGTGTTTGGATTCTCTCGTCCGTCAGCTTCCCTCCGAACCAAGCATCAGTTTCACTCCCACAGCTCCACACCGGGGAGCCGAGGTCACTTAAGAGCAAACTCGTCAGAGTCTGTTTCAGGTCTTCCAGGAAAGCCATTTTGCTATGCGCCTTGCGACCATTGCGACGGGACGGCTGAGCGCCGTTGTCGCTAAACATCGAAGGTGGTCGAGAGTAGAGGCTAGAGGCACTGGGTGCATAATGTGCGGGTTGATGTGGCGTCGACCAAAATGTGCTGTACGAATCGCCCGTAGTAGTAGACGCAGCTCTCCCCGGAGAGCCGCCGATGGAAGATGCGTCCGCAATCGAGGGTTCTCGAGGACCCCTCCACTTATCTGAGATCAAGCTTTGGAAAGAGGATTTGGGGTTCAGCGGCGGTAAGTCTTGTGAGAACTTGGACACGGTGTTTGGTGGGCGAGCGGTATTTGCATGGGTCTGGGATGAGTATGCGGAGTCGTCGCTCGAGACGTTGAACGGTCGTAAGCTTGAGGAGAGGCTCAAGAAATTTCGGTTACTGGAGCCCTCATACATTGCCCGCTCTTTGTGATACAACTCGCTCGCCCACAACACGGGGGTTTCGGCCATGGTCTCGCCGACTAGCCGATTGATACTTGTCTTGACCTCGTAGCAGAACCGGTGAATTCGCTCCTCACCTTTGCAGAAATTATCGATGGTGTTGTGGGAGAGCCATTTGCGGATCAGGTCTACCTGTTCATCCGAGAGTTTGTTGGGTCCCTGACTGCTTGGTGCCTTCATGATGTTCATGACTTGTAGCTCCGGTTTTTGGAGGAGAGAGCTTCCAAACGGTCTGCTGCGGGACCGGCCTTCGTTTGGTGTCGGGTTGGCAGAACGAGCCATGGTCTTCAACGCCAGCGCAACATTTTTGGCATCCTCGTATCTCATAGAGTTCTTTACGTCAGTCATGTACCACATCTTGTCTCGGAGCTTGGCCATCGTAGCCATCGTGTCCTTCACGGCCCTCTGCAGCCGTTGCATGTGTCTGTTGAGGGCAACGAAATCGGTTTCGCATCGATCGATAACCGCCCGTGAAGTGGCAAGTGAGCGGACGCAAGAAGCGTGCATCGGTTCGAGAATCCACGAATCGTCCGCCAGCCGGGAGGGAGAATTCGCAACGCTGCGAAGAAGCTGTCGACCGGCATTCCACCAGTAGTGGGCACCGATGAAATCCGAGTCATGGTGGCAATGCTTCATAGCCATATCGAACCGTTGTTTAAGAGATAGCACGCCTCCCCGGGAAGAGTCATGGAGATCTAGTAAGTCATACTCCGCACCATCATCAGCAGGGTGATCCTGAATCAGCTTCACGATGGCCGTTTGGAGAGCTTCAAAGTTATCTTCCATTCCCAAGGTGGTGGGCTGGACGTCATCCACAGAGGCATTTTCCGGAAAGCTAAACTGTCCAGTATCGGGGAAAAGACCCCAGGTCAAACGTCTTCCGTTCTGTGTCATGGAGAAAATAGTCCATTCTTCACCTGCGGGCGGCTCCAGGGTGGTGCGGCCATCGGGCTCACTCAGGTCTGACAATTCGAAACGGATCCTGTCAGCATTGCGGCTCATGCAATTCTCCGGTGATGACAAGAAGGCCATTTCGGTGGCAAAGATAGTCCGGTCCTGGGGAACACGAATAGGGATGCTGTCAGTAACAGGCTTGAAAAACCCTGGCTCAATGATGGACGCTATAGAGCGGTCTGATCGAGCGGCCAGAGAACCGACAGGCGAAGGCACCCCCGAGGATGAAAGTGGAGAGCTGCACGCAGAAGCAAGCGTCCTAGGGAAGAGAGCATTCAGCAGCGTGAGGATATCAGTAGCTGAGAGCATGAGGAATGCAGCCGGGGATTCCCGTCCAGTGGTAGGCTTCGCGCGTGAAAAGGATTGGACGTCAACGTTCTTGTCAGACTTTGTATTACTGAATCGGCAGAGCATGTTCTCAACATGTCGTCTCACGGCGGAACGAACCATAGAATAATGGTGCCTGCGTGATGTTAGCGGGTGCTCTGTGCGAAAGTCCCTTGTTGGCAACCATGTGAAGGGACAACCGACATTGAATGAAGAATAGCGTAGACTTGCGAATAAGCACGGAAGCCAACCTGTCCTAGGAGTTTCTCTCGAGCGTCATTCCTGATATGGAAATCAAGCAAGAGACCATGGGCCTACAGCTTTCGTCAGATCAAGAACGTGATAGTCGCTGGGAGGGAGTATCATACCTCAGGATAGGTCAGTGCACCATAGAGGAACTTGGAGAAGAACCACTGGACGAACAAGAACTCGAGGAAACGGGCACGGCCGTCCTGGCGGTCCAATTTCTGCAAGACAGCGTTGCTTAGTTGCATCACCCCATGGGGAAGCCCTCCATCTGGGTCATCCAGGAGCTGGAACAAGTCATCGACTGCAGAAGCGAAGAATTCTTCGGCCACCTCTGTCCTTAACGGGTCTGGAGGCTCCGCACCATAGCTCATGCCGGGAGGGGCTTCTACATGCTCCAGGAGGAATGAGCCTGTTTGTAGGACGTCCATAAGATAGAGCTCAAACTTGGGCTTCGCTTTCCATTCACTGCTTGTGGCCCAGGAACCCAGGATGTGGCCCAGGAGGGGATCGTACTTGTTACCGCCATCGGCTATGAGTTTGGCACAGACGGAGGACCAAACATCCAAACGGAGCTGTGCTTCAGGAGCATCTGAATCCAATGGGGACGCATAAACGTTGAACAGCACCGTGGACAGGGGATCCGTTCGCTCGAAATTCAAGGCTCGATCTTTAAAAAGAAGGGAAGAAGCGGAGCGCTTCGACAACGAGGAATGGGTCCGGGAACGGGACGTTGAAGGGAACGACATATCACCGGGCTCCCCTGAGGGGCCCGTAGATGACACCAAGGCGGCCAATTGGGTCGGGGTCAAGGACCTGAGCCTTTCCAGAATAAATTGAGGGTCGGTGCGGACCAGGTGCAGGATATCCAAAAGATCGGTCCTAGATTGGGGACTCAACTGAAGGAAAAAGTCCGGAGAACGGTCCACGGCGGACTCACGGATGGGCGACCATTCTTCCAACGGATCCTGCCGGTGAAAGTGGCGCCGAAAAGCAGACTCGCATGACTCCTGCAGATCACCGAGGGTATGATAAAGGGCAATGAAACTGGCCTTGTCGTCATGTTTGAGTCGGTCCACCAAGCCTCGCTGGACGATCGACCCGACGCGGACGAAGCGCGCCGAAACACCCATTGAAACCTTGAGGGCATGCAGGCGGTGTTCCAATCTCTTCCGACTAGTCTGCTTGTGCTGGTTTTGACGATAACGAACGGCCAACTCCTCAAAGGATACCTTGGGTAGCTTCACGGGCATGGTGCCCCGGTTGTTGTCCTGGGAATGTCCATCCTCGGAGTAGACGGGAGTTGCCACTCGCGAAATCGGGCGATCCAAGTCGCCAGACTCACCTGGGGTGCGGCCCGCCATTGCGTCGGGAGAGAATAGCATGGGAGACATGCTAGTAGTCGCAGCCGGAGAATGAGATTGAGGCGCTGCCTCACATGGTGTAGTTGCCTGAATGGATGAGGGAATCAAGCCTGGAGCGCGAGAAGACAGAGCCAAGCAGTTAGCATGTGGTTAGTCAGGCGTGCAGCTATACGTTTAGGGAAAAGCCAGGAATGGATCGCATAAAGAAAGCCATTATCGATGCGTAAGAAAAGGGGCCATTCGGCATTTAATTTGCGATTTAAGTGGACACCCACAAATGATCCGAAAGGAGCAAAAGTAGGGAGAGGGCGAAAAAAAGAAACGACAGGGCAAAAAAGAGAGCCGTGCGCGCACGTACAGGTCACATAAGCCAGGGTAGAGGAAAGACCATCGGATTGGGCATCGAACATGGTGTTGCCATGGGCAGTCTCCTGGCCGCTAGGCCAAGATGAAGACAGCTGAGGTTGCAAGATGCCCCCGGCGCGAGAAGCTCCCTCACTAGCGCATGGTTCTCCTAAAGGAGCGGTGGGATGGGGGGATCGGTCCTCATGGGGAGAATCCAGACGGTGGTGATGGTGGAGGTGAATGGCGGACACGATGGACTGCTCCAGGTTGAGCAGATGGCGGCGAGAAGGAGGGGGGAGGACTGGGGGAGGAGTAAGAAGAGGACGATGAGGGAAGACGGACAAGTGCAGGAATAAAAAAAGGAATGTGGGAGAGCGAGGAGGGGAAGTTGAACAGGAAATGGGGAAGTAGTGAGTTGGTGGTGGTGGTGGTGGTGGGAGTAATAGTCCACAGTAATACTATTACGAAGGAGAGTGGGAAGGGACAATAACAATGAGAAGTATGGGGGAGGGAATCGCAAAAATGGAGAAATAATCAATAATTAGAGGAATAAATAAGAATAAGCATGGCAATAATCAAGGTAATAATAATCAAATAACGATAATAAAAGTAATCAGCCAAATAATAATGTTCAAAATAATAGGCGCAGGACGATGATGGGGAAGGGAGGAATACTCCTAGTAGAGGATGATTCACAGGCTGATAAACTCCGACCTGGTCCGGGACGATAAGGAGGGACAACTGGCTGACTTGGCTGTGGGCGGGATGACATGCAGCCGGTTAACAAGAGAGCAAAAAGCGAGGAAAGGTGAGCAACAAGCGCAGTAGCAGCAGCAGGTCGAGAAACCAAAAAGTCAAAAAAAAAAAAGGGAACAGGAAAATGAAAAAGGGAAACAAGGGAAAAAAAAAGAAAAGAATTAACTGAAAGTCTGAACGAGTGGATGGACTAACGAGGAACTCCCGTGGACTAGCGGATGCCAGCAAATCGAACGATCCGGAGGGGCGAGACGCAGCAGATGGTTGGACTGGCTGTGTGACTGGCTGGTCGGCTGGATAAAGACGAGGAGGAGGAGAGGATGAGTTCAATGAGGGGCGACGGCGGTGACTTGAACCGGCCGCTTGCAGGGAACGTCCAAGCTGTAGGGTGAGGCAAAGAAGCGATGCGATGCCTCGCGGGTCCAGCTCTTGTACCTTGCTTGGGGACCGGCGCGGGTCCTGGTACCTCGCTGTTACTTCCGGGGGGAAGCTCTCTCGAATCTCGATAGTACTCCTCGATACGCCATACGGTGTATTTTCTACCTATCCAGTGGCCAGTTCTTCAGCCCCCGGCCGTCCCTCCCGTCTGGGGCATCTATAAACGACCTGACTCGCTACGGATCACCACCCTGAGGGACTCCTACATGATATGATGTACACCATTCATCGGATGATGGGAAAGCAAAGCTGAACGATACAGTCAGATCGGGGAATACCTTCTCCTCACCAATGATAGTAGATAGCACCCAGGTAGTGACGAACAAGGGCTCGGGACCGGCCCAGGACGACACGAAAGCACAGCAAAGTCAACCCGGTCAGATCCCAGCAACCGGCGACAAAATGAGAAACAGGACTGATCCTGATGATCTGGGAAGAAGAGAGGACACCGACTTGCCTTCCTTACCTGCCTCTCCGGATCGGGACGAAGCAACGCAGCGACGAAGAAGAGGGGAGGAAGAGTGACTGGAAGTCTCCATTCCTGCTGAGCTGGCACTGCATGCATGACGGACCCTCCGTCGGGAGCCACTGATTTGTTGGCCGCCCCCCTTACTGTGTTGGCCCGATGGTTCAACCTCAACCTGTCCATCCTCGGTCGGGTCGCGCGTCGTCTCCCGTCGTTCGTTCGTTCGTCCATCCGTCTGTTCGTTGGTTGGTTTCGGTGCCAGGTGAAACTGATCAGCTGTACGCAGTCGAGAGATAGTCCGAGGGAATGACTGCCGTGCTGTAGGCTGTACGATGTATGTCAGACTACTTCAAGTGTTCATAGTATCGACTAAGTAAAGTGACGGTCCCTCCCGTCCCAAGTTGCTCCGCGGCACTAGTCCCCGTTGGGGTAGTCTGTGACCCCACCTGCACGTGTCCATCTGCCACTGCCCAGTTTGGCGGCCCTAGGCCCAACGAGGCTTAGACCCCCTGGCACTGGGGCCGCAGGGATGAGCTGAACTCTTCAAGAACAGACAGACGTGCAAACAAAACAATCCTTTCCCTCCGAGTCGGATTGTTGTTGTCCGCTCAGCTCCCATGGTCACCATGGCTGAACACCATGCGCACCCACTCGGATGCGCAGAGGAGCCCGTCAACATACCTACCTAGTCATCGTCATAGTCCTACAGTAGGCAGCAGGCGGTCTAGACGCCCGTCCCGTCACCCCCATCCATGCCTACGACACGCCCTGTCTAGGTAGTACTCCTGGTTGTCACGTCAATGACTCAATGAGGCTATATCCCACGGGCTGTGTTGGCACTGCATCCCGATCTATTGTCCAGATACTTTTTTTAACTCCTCTGCATTCCTCCATGCCTTCGACAGTTTGCTCAGGATCATTTCTGATTGGCGATCGCGTTCGGAGCCTGGATGTCAACCCTGTAGTATGCCGTTCCCTGCCCCTCCGATCATCACTCCTCTATGTAAGTATGGCCAGTATTCCGTACATCATCCCTTCAGATAAGGAGATACATCCCTAGTATAGTACGAGATGCATGGGAGCCCCATCGGCCAGTAGGCCCTCACCGACCCCGATCTCACTTGCAAACGTCACCACCAGACCAAATTCCCAACCCAGCCACGCTTTGGTGACGGGGGGTTAAGACGTTGAACAAGGTCAGAATGCAAATCAGGGGACAGGAAGTGGGAGACACACACAAAAAAAAAAAAAAAAAAAAAAAAAAAAAAAGGAACACATAAATAAGAGGAGGGTGTACATCCACAAAGAACCAATCAATCCGCTCAATTGGCCGACCAAACACCCCGCCTGTGACTGATCTCCTCAAACGCCGTGGATAACAGATTTGGAACCGTAGCCAGTCTCCTGGTATGCGTTGTCCGTCGGGCCAACTGCCAATCCCCGTCCATCTCTAGTTACAGACCCATTTTTTGTCAGCCTCCTTCTGTCCCACCCGCGTGGCCACGCTGTTCAGCGTGTCTTTCAGGCTATCCTTCGAAACCTTGGGGAACCTATAGCGGCGCGACCCTGATGATTAGCCTCCCGATCAACGAGCATCCTGGTGGGCCCACGTCTTACCGTTTCTTCAAGATTTCAATCAACCCCATCTTGGTCAGATCACTGCCATTTACCACCTGCTTGAACTCCGCCAGCTGCTCCGGCGGCAACGTCCGCTTGGTCCTCCCTGTTGTTAGAACCGCCACTGCGCCGCTGTCCGGCGCTGGCCCACTCCCGGGCACTTTGTGAGAGGATGTATGGCCCATGAAGGCATGGAGCGTCGACCGTCCTAGACCGGCCGCCGGCGCTGGCTCCGCGGCCCTCGGTTTCTGCCAGTACACAGTGGAGAACGGGTCAATAGGGAAAGTCACCGAGTCGGAAATGGTCTCCATTCTGTACACCTGCAGCTCGGGGTCCACGCCATGCTCCTGCCATCGTATGCCGGTACTGACAGGTTCTAGGTCCCCGACAATGAGGCGGCGCTTCCCATCAAGCGGGTGGTCATCCTCGTCGTCCAGGAAGCCATCCATGTCATCTTCCCCATCCTCGCTTCCTTCTTCCTCTTCCTCCGAATCCAAGTCCTCACCTTCCTCGGGCTCTTCCCATTCGGCTTCAGAATCGTAGTCGTAGTCTGTATCTGGTAGTTCACGGCGGAAAGGGTTGCGCATCATGCGACGAGCGGATGACACCGGCAGGCTCCTGCTATAGGTTCCCTGATATGGGGGGCGTACGTCTTCATTGAACCTGAGCGATTTCATTTTCACCTGCTTAAGAAGATCGTGAGGCTTCTGGGCAGCTTCACGCAGCTCCGGGTGTTCCGCTAGGCTCTGCATCTGCAACAGAATCTCTTTAACAGACGCAGGTAACCTCCCACATCGTCGCTTATAGGGCATGATCTGAAAGAGGTCGGAAGGACGAAATTTTACAGGCGCTTGCAGGCCTTCATTGGCAGTTTTCAGGTAGGCATCGACTTTCTCCTGCGTATGGTGTAGTGATTCACGGTCGCGCTGGAACCTATGCGGCGGCGCCACAGTAGTATGTGATTGGAGAAAGAAGTCAGGGAATTCTCGTTGGTAGTCAGATGCGGTCGATCCAAGATCAGGAGTGGTTTCCGTCGAAGCGCCAGCGCCGGTTGATTTCGATTTGATAGGGGAGGAGGTAGTATTCGATGTTGATGGCTGTGCCGGGGTTTTCGGTTTCGCAAAGAAAGAGTTCAGCTTCATTTGTGCCTGTTGCGCATCAGACACCGATCTTCCAACCCAGCCAAGGACGGGTCAGACCTACCCTTTCTTTCTTCGACTTCTCTTCATCTTTCTTGCGTTTCTCTTCTTCTTTAGCAGCCTTCTCCTCTTCCTTTGCCTTCCGTTTCTCTTCCTTCTTCTTCCGCTCCTCTTCTTTCTCTGCTTCGCGCTTTTTTCTCTCCTCTTCTTTGGCCCGCTTCTCCTCCTCTTTCTCAGCCTCCCGTTTCCTCTTCTCCCCCTCCTTCTTTGCCTTTTCTTCCTCCTTCTTCGCCTTCTCCTCTAACTTTTGACGCTCCTTGGCCTCCTTCTCCTGCTGCTTAGCCTCCTTGCTCGCAGGCGACAACTTCCTCTTCTTAGCAGCCGGAGAAGCAGTTGCAGCCGCATTCGTACCCGTAGGCGCAGCAACAGAATGAGGAGCCGAATCCGTACCTGAGCCAGACGCAGATAGAGATCCGGCGGAAGATTTCTCATCGCCAGGACCGCATGGTTTCGTCCGTGTATCTTGATTCTCCTTATTATCTTCCGACGAGCCCTTATCATCGGCGTGTGGGATCACATCCACGACCCCATCCATATTCATTTCCACATCAGTAGTCGTATGCGTATTCTGGTCCCTCACAACCCCATCCATATCAACATCCCCTATTGAGCGCTTCCGCGCCGGCGACGCAGACGGAGCCATAGATGTGGGAAAAGCATTCGACGACAGGGGCGATAAACCATTCGCGCTGGGCGAATTGGCAGGGTTAGGGGTCGCAGTAGCGGTAGCGGTATCGATTGACGTTGACATGGCGTCTTCCATCCGGACAGTGAATGTTGGATACAAAGTATTTATTGACAATTGGAACAATCCGAATCTAATTGACAACCAGGGTATCACTTCAAAAGAAAAAGAAACAATGGCACCTGGATTGTCATTCACTAGTCAGTCAGTCATTGCTCTCGAGTGAAGGAAAGCACACACGCACACGCGTGACCTGGCGGTAGTAGTAAATGCAAGCTCACATCAGTGGCAATCAGCCAGGTAGATCAGGGGCAGGGGCTCATGGGATATGAGCGGAGAGAAGGGGTGCCGGGTAAGCCTTGGTCTGATGCGTCCGGAAGGGGTCTCCAGGCTGGCGGGATGGGACGGACGGTCACTGAGCCCGAGACAACAAGGCGTGGGAGGGAATCTTGGCGACGACGGGATGCTGGCCAGGGTTGCCCGAAACGCGTTAATTGATGTTCGCGCCGGGATCTCGCGTCCGGCACGTGTGCCCGATTATGTAAGGGTAGGAGGGGGGAATCCTGGCACTAGGCTGCAAGTGGAGAGGAATCGAGGACTCCGTGCTAGGCTACCACCCTGGTGGATTATACAGGGTCAGGTAGCTTATACCTAGTACATAGCACCTAGGTCATATACACATTCCACAGTTCCATCAGTCGGCGCTCTACTCCGTACGTAACGTCACATTGGATACTGCCTCTACAGCCATCAGGTGCGGTCATATGTACAATAGTATTATTATTACTTTGCTCATAAATCCATCGGACGCTTCGATGGTGCAGTGGATGCAGGCACGAGGAGCACGCAACCCTTACAGCATAGGAAAAGCGCCAATAACATGCGGTGAGGGGAATAGAACAGGTTCAAGTCAATCAATCAGTCGAGGGCATCTTGCCGTCGTAAAGCAACTCATGGTTAGGGCGTTGCAGAGTCGTTGCACCAGACGTGGGATCTGAGCCTGAATTTGCAAGAGATCCCAGGGAAGTAAGAAAGGAAGCGTAGAGCTTGAGTCTAGAGGCGGACTGCATGACCGATGCAGTGCCAAAATTCAATGTGCCTTTAGGTAGACCAACTCAGCAACAAACAGCTTGCGCATCTAATCACTCAGATCTGGATTCGCCACGAAAAGTCGGACATTGGTCATCGACGTCGTTCGATCATCCACGCTACCGCGGCGCCTCAGTTCATCGGCCTTCTTCGCCTTCTCAATCGCCGCGGAAGCCGCGCTAGGTGCGGCCATGTCACCCACGGTGCCAAAGTACTCCTCATGCTCACTACCAAAGCTGTTTGTAGTGGCAGCATCATCCTTGATAGAGGCATGATCCTGTTCGGTCTCGTGGCTTTCCGCTGGCGGGTGTTCAGAGACGTCGGGCAAGTCGGTCTTTTCGTTGGGAGGGGTGCTGTTGCTCCCCATAGTGCTCTGTGGAGTGCGTTGGTAGCCACTCGGATACCGAGAGTTGCTACCCAGCGAACTGCGACCGCTACCAGTCCGACGATAAGGAAATCCTCGATCACTGTGGGCGTCCTCATCTGCGTCGCCGACCTCGTTGGCACTGAGTCGAACCGGGACCGTAGCGCCGACGAGGGTCGAGGGCGAGAAGTCGGTGGTTCCCTTGCCGCCATGCTTGTTCTTGCCGCTTCCAAGGGTACCCGTGCGTCCGGCGCCTGCGCCGTGGACTTCCAGGTACGCCCGTTTCTTATCGACGAGTTTCTGTGCCCGCAGTCGAGGGTCCTCGGGCTGTGCCCGATCGCACCACACTGTCGCCTTTTGTCTCCGCATCAGAGCCACGTAACCCAACTGAGCATTGGCGGAGCGCGACGATGTGCTCCGGCGGATATCTGTATGTGGGTTACCACCATAGTAGGAGTTGGTAACATTGCCGGTGGAGGTCGTGGAAGTGGTCGCACTCGACAGGCGCCTGGAAGGAGGATAATTGGGAGGTCCAGTCATGGTATGATGTGGTGAAGGACCCCCGGAATAGGCCTGTTGCGCCATGTAGGGTAGCACATGAGAGGAGGAGGTTCGCCGGCGGTTGTGCGCAAGGGAGGCGGCAGACGGATGGGGAGAAAGCTGCTGCTGGTGAGGCCCATCGTAGGCCTGGAAAGGAAATCCGGAATGCATCCCCGCGACTGGTTTTCGAGTCGGCGGCGGCTGGTGGTGCATCGGGAGACGATAATCAGTCATTGTAGGCTGTTGGAGCTGTACGCCAGCCATCTAGGCAGAACTCGATCGGGTAACGAGGGGGAGGGAGGAGCAAATGTGGTGATGATTCCCACACCGGGTGGTGGCGGAGATTGCAGGGGCGGCCACAGAGACAGATGAAACAGGGCCGGAGTCAAGCGTAGACCAACTATCCCCGCGATCTGAGCACGGCAAACGATGTAGCAGGCAGTGCGGGTGAACGGTCCTTGGATCAATGAGCGGCCAGCGGCTCCGTCGTCGTACCAGACAGGCAACCGAACCCGAGGCGCGAAGAAAGGGAGGGAAACCGAGCCAGCTGATACAATGGGAAAGGAGTATCAGCGGTAGAATTGCAAAGAATTCTACCAGGACTCGAGAGCGCTGGAGAAGAGGCGAGCGCCCGGGTTTGTAAAGAGGGAGGGGGAGGGATGATGGAGGTTGCGTTGCGGAGGGTGTGTTGGAGTAGCGGTGCTGAGCGATCAAGACGCAGCAGACAAACAAACTCGCTCAGTCACTGCTGCACACGAGGTCTGGCAGTTGGCGGGTACCCAATTTTACCAAGTCACACCTGCAGGGGACATTGATAGAACCGTGACCGGGCACCACTCAAGACAGGCCAGACACTTAACGGGGAGGTACTAAGGAGCAGCAGCAGCAGTGCTGACGCCGGCTATGGTCCAACCACACGCGCTCGTCAGAGACAATCTCGAACGGGTTGCTGATCGCTGGGAGATCGAGATAGGCCAGATGGGTTTAGAAAGCAAAGAAAAGATAAAAACGAAAGTGAGGAGGGGTCGAAAGGACTGGATGAGACGGCCGAATTGAAGGGAAAATGAATGAACGCTGGACAGGCTTGGAGAGGCGATCGATCGGGAAAAGAAGATGGGAGAAAAGCAGAGCAACCAACTTTGGTTCTGAAAAACCCGGTTGTGACCGTCAGACGGGGCGGTACCGAATACGACCCTCCGGTACAAGGTACCATCCATACATCCTCATACGGAACCCCAAAGCGACCCGATGGGAAAGTACCTGCACAGCCACACCCCGACCAAGGCTGGTTGGCGCTGGGGACAAAGATGCAGCAAAAAGACCAAGATCATACGATACAATCCTTGGAGACCTTCAAAAGTACTGTCTGCTTTGTGTTTCTTGGTCTTACACTCCTTATCTTCTGGAAGCCTCAAAGAGATGGCCTCATCGCGCGCGACTAGGAGACTGCCCGATCGTCAGGAGACACTATCATCTTGCGCCACAGGGAGCACGTGGGCCTGCAAGGTATCAGGCATACGAGGCGGTACCGGACGACAATACCGCACCAGGCAATTGCGGGAGATACCGTCGCTCGATGATACGGTACCTTACTACAACCACAAGGCACCGGCTTATAGCAGAACGGTAGAACCAGAGTCCAGCAAATTAATGACGTCTATTACCCCACTGCTGAAACATCCGGAGGGCCGGCAATGAAGCTCTCTTTGATTCTTTGATCATCTGGGCTGAGGAATGGGGGACAGATAGGCAAATTGTTTCACCGGGGTAGTCATGCATTGAAGTACAACGGCAATGAAGGGAGGGCAACCGACGGTCAGTGGGATCGGAGAGACCGGTCAGGCCGGTAGGGGAGGGGGGAAGGGGGTGTACTTTATCGCATTGATCACTGATCAGGTACATAGACTTTTTTTTGGAGGGGGCAGCTTGAAAGTGGGTTAAGGTATCAGTCTTTGTTCAAGGCCCTTCACAGTTCACAGTTCACAGTTCAACACTCTTACCGCAGCCAGGTACTCCAGGCAACATCTTACTGCATAAAATACCTGCGACCCAGGGACCGGACGGATTTTGACCCCCAAACAGGGATAGCCGGTACCCAGGGGGAACCAGTCAATACGGAGACCAGTTCCGCGGCGTAACCGAAGACGAAAGTGACGTGACCATGACCACAAGAATGGGAGCAACCAACCAAGCTAAGCCAGTTGCACGAGCCCGGCCGAACCTCCCCTCCCCACCCCGCAATACTACACAGTAAACTTACTATTACTCATGAGGGAATGGTGTTGTTACATCCGGGGCGCTGTAACGTTTCGCTGCTGCCCTCTTCAGCTACGCCATCTTTTGCTTATGCCAATCGTACCGCCGCAGGAGGACCACGCTGTCAGGCATCTTAGTCGCCCTGCACGTTAGTCCGATCCATGCATGTCGCTACGGAATGCCCGTCGGTATCCCACTAGCCTGGCTGTCAATCTATTTACTAACAGTCTACCTAATCGGGGGCCGGTGGCTTTGCTGCATCGCTTCCGCAGAGCATGGCTTCCATGATTGATTCTCCCTCCTCGTCCATGGATCGCAGGAGGACGAAGCCATTTGAGTCTCTGGGTGGACTCGCGAGCAATCTTAACTTCCTGCCAATACCACTGTCCTGATCTACCCGTTTATCAATCTCCAGTAGGGATTACCTCGTCAATGCCACGATGATGATATGATAAGGTTCCCTGTTGTGCGGTTGACCGTCGCCGGCTACTTGCTTATTCGTCGGTTCGTCGAGCTGCTCAGCCCTACGCCACTGTCCAAGCCCCATCAACCAGAGCCCGACCAAACTCAACATACATATTTAGCACATCGCCTCGTATTATTCCCACAATTATTCCCACAACCAGAGGGCGTTGCACCGCACAAACACCATACTGTGTACAACCTTCCCATCAGAGCTTTGCTTTGCCGTCCAGCAGCTGGACTAATGCTCCATCGGGTCTGACATCATAATTGCGGCCTTTCTTCCATCCCAGCCACGTTTTCAGGGTCTCTTCGCCTCCTGTTCCCGGTGTCAGACCACCTCCAGTCCAGCCTCCGTCGTCCGTGGGAATCGGCAGTCCCGGGGTATCCACCAGATGGACAGCGGGCCGTTGCTCGTAGCCACTTTCCTCGAGCTCATCTTGTTCTAGGACAGGCGTGGCGCAGGCGTCTGTGCCATCGAATACGGCCTCCCACTCAGCTCGGGTCTTTTCCTTGAATCGCTTGGCAAAGGCCGCCCGAAGCGCAGGCCAGTTATCCTTGTCGTCCCGCGGCGGCAGCTCTTCGGGATTAAATCCAAGACCTTTCAGCAGAGCCGCGTAGAATTGCGGCTCCAGCGCACCCACCGCGAAATACTTTCCCTTATCCTTAGTCTCGTACGTGTCGTAAAACGGACTCCCTCCGTCCAGCGTATTCTGGCCGCGGGGCGCGCTCCAGACGGGCGTCTGTCTGCCCAACCGCGGCATCGCAGCTAGGTACGCAGAGCCGTCGACCATGTTTGCCTCGACGACCTGGCCGCGTCCCGTCTGCATGCGTGAGATCAGGGCTAGCAGGATCCCCAAGAAACACATGGCACCCCCGCCAGCAAAGTCGCCAAGAAGATTGCCGGGTGGATAAGGGCGTTCACCCGACCGGCCCAGCATGGACAACACCCCGGCTACGGCAATGTAGTTGATGTCGTGGCCAGCCATATCCTTGTATTTCCCGTCGCGACGGAAGCCTGTCAGACGAGCTACGATCAGGCGCGGGTTATGTCTCAGGAGGACCTCCGACGGGGACAGACCCGAACGTTCCAGAACGCCGGGACGGTAAGGATCAATCAAGACATCGGCGTCCTTGAGCACGGAGAGGAGTACGCGGTGGGAGGCGGGGTCCCGGAGGTCAACGGTGGCGGACGTCTTATGGCGAGTCAACTGGTCAGCACTCGCGGCTTTCGGGCGATCGATCCGCAGCACGGAGGCTCCATAATCTGCAAGCAATAGTCCAGTAAACGGACCTAATGTTAAGTCAACCGGTGAACACTTTCAGTGGATGCGGATGGACAGACGAACCGGGGGCTAGGCCAGCCAGTTCGACCACCCGGATTCCGTTGAGCGGTGCCGGCATTGGAGCAGTTGAAGGACTTAGGAGATACGAGATTCAAGGATGAAGTTGATGACGATAGGTGTCGATACTGCCCGCGGGGCGATGGCATCGCTTCTCCGCAGCCGAGGTCCGGACCACGTGCGGGGAAGCGCCTCAGTCATCACTCACGAATCCTACAGGCAGACCCTGACTTGAATGATTGAAATCGAAAGCAATATGTCCATTCAGCAAACAATACTAATAGCCGGGCTAACGACCCCAGTTTTTATCCAACATTGTAACAACACACCAACTACCAGTCATCGCGACCCTCATACTTGCCCTCGTCATAGGCATTCTCCATGTTATCATCGAACCGCTCGACCTCGCCCACCTTGCGGCCAGCCCATCCGGCCACATCCTCGGGGATTTCCTCAACATCGTCGACCGCGTTGTCCCATTTCTGCTCGATCCGATCGGGGATGGCCTCGACTTCACCGACCTACCCATACCAGTTAGCATCACAACCACCATATGACGGATCGAATAAACTCACCTTCTCACCAGTCCACCTGGCCGCATCCTCGGGGAAATCCTCCACATCCTCCTTGATATCCTCCTTGTCTTCCTCCCACTTGTCGTCTATCCCAGGTAGTCAGCGCCCGCTCATCCATACCATAAGGTAAGAGAGAAAGAAAAAGGGGGTAATCATACGAATCATCTCACCCCCAACAACCGCGGCACCACCAAGCAGCACACCTCCCGCAACACCCATAGCCATATTCCGACCGCGGTGGCTAGAGCCCTGCTGCTGCTGCTCGCTGTAGTATTCCGTCTGACGAGACTCATAGCCATACTGCTGCTGGCCCCCATAGCCACCACCACCATATCCTTCCTGACGGCCGTAACCCTCATTACCATACCCGCCGCCGTATCCTTCCTGACGGCCGTAACCGCCGCCGCCATATCCCTCCTGGCGACCATACCCCTCATTGCCATAGCCACCACCACCACCACCATAGCCGCCTTCCTGACGACCATAGGTTTCCTGACGACTGTAACTCTCACTCTCGTAGCTCTGGGAGGCACCACCACCCCCGCTGCTACCACCTCCGAACTTGGACTCGATGACTTCCTCGGCGAGGTTCTTGATGAAGTCCATGATTGTATTTCTTTCTCCTCTGTTCTGGGAAAAAACGGGGGTAATGCAATAAGAATGTATGTAGTAACTCTGCAAACAAGAGAAAAGAAAAGAAAGAAAGAGAAAGAAAAGGCCACTTCTCCCCCTCGGAAATATTTATAATAAAAGTAAAGTGAGGGAGTGACTAGGTGGGGTCCGATCCGCGATAGGAGATAACAGGAACACAATACCCCTAAGTACTCCGTACTACCAGGTACAAAGTGAATTCAAGGTAGATCTATTATTACGATGACTAGCAGTCCTCTGCACCCTGAGTGGCCAAAAAAAATAGGGACTAGGGAGGTACAACGGAAGCTCTCGGCAGTGGGAACGAATGTAAGACAATAGAGGGGCGGGGCGTAATAAGGGTCCAGGGGATAAAATGGATGGTTACTATTCTCGGGTGGTTTCATTAGCCGCCCTCGGGACTCCCTCGTCCATTGGTATTGTGCATTGTGCATGGTGCATTGGCATTGGTATTCAGGGGGAGGATGATGACTTGATCATCTTACTGTTTCTTCTTAGTTCGGGTGTCAGTCAGTCAGTTAGTTGGTCATGCTAATGCGCTGGTCGGGTGGTGGGTGGTGGGTGGTGGTGGCTATGTCTGGTGATCGAGTGTGGCTGGTCGTACACTACGGAGTCGATAGTGGGAAGCTGCGGGTGCGACGGAGTAGTGATTGTGGCTGTGCCAAGTGTTTTGGTATGGATTCTGGTCTACCTAGTGGTATGTATGGTATGGCTGGGTCGGTATGGACGAAGGTGCAAGTGAAGTGGAAACCAGCCGATAGTCGAGTGAGTGGTAAGGATAAGGGTACGATGGTAAGATGGAGGGATACCGATACGGTATCTACACTATCTATACCTCTGGCCATATGCACAAAAGGCAGCCGGACAGAGCTTATCACTTCCCCCATCAGGCTTAGTCGCCGGGGGCCGGCCGTCCTTAGCCTATCGTTCGGCCATGCCGTCGTTGGCGTCAACCGGCTAGACGGGTCGCGTCGGGGGCCATTTCCATGCCGCCATCAGCGCTGTTAGGCATCAACAATCGACCGCGTCGAGTCCCCTCATCCCAGCGCGCTGGCAAGGAGTTTGAAACTCCGGCTGAAACTACAGGGTTTACAACACATCACTTTGCTCGGCGGTCTGCTTGGCGGACCCGGATCGTCCCGTCTTGGCTGAGCTTGGCTGCCTGGGGCATCGCAGCGGCTGTGTATCGGGCATCAGTGGACAGTAGTCAGTGGCCATCATGCAATGCGAAGTGAAAGACATTAATTGACTAATACAGTGGGTCATGAAGAGGACAGCTGGCGCTGACAGAAAGAAACTAGATACATGGGCAGAATCTCGTCCTGGAGGTTAAGCATTACATCCAATAGGCCCGCCAAGGTGGTCATCCAAACTTTAGTAGTCCTTATGCGAAAGTATATCGTAAGCCTGGAATGAGTGTGTTGTTTACATCGCAGCCAAGAGGAATAGCGCAAATGCAGTCACAGCACCCGCTCCATGGCGCAGTTCAGATCCCCGCGAAGCGGCCCCAGTGAACACAGGCGACACGCCTTCAGGCATACCACTGGGAGCTACGGGCACGCGGGACCCGCTCTGGGACGGCTGGATATGCAAGGTCGACGAGGCACGGACACCGCCCGTTCCAAGGATCACGGGCCGGCTGGAGGACGAGTGGCTCGGGGGCACAACTGCCGTGGCGCTGGTGGTGGAAGCGGTCGATACGAGGGCCGCAGGGGCAGTTTGACCTGGTGCGCTTTCACCAGCGGGCTGAACGCCAGAAGGATTGGTCGAGGAAGTCTTGGTGCCCGCGGCAGGACTGACAGGGACCGTGACGGTTACGGTGGTAGGCGTAGGACCACAGTCAGCGCAGACACTAACGGTCGTAGTCCAACCTTCAGGGGAGTTAGGCACCTTGGTGGAAGACGCCACACCAGACGGGTTGGTAACCGGCAAAGTAAGCGTTACAGTGGTCGGTGTCGGACCACAGTCGGTGCAGACACTGACCGTCGTGGTCCAGCCTTCGCCCGCATTTGGCGATGTGGTCGAGGCTAGTCCAGATGGCGGGTTGGTGACAGGCACAGTAAGAGTTACAGTGGTCGGTGTAGGACCACAGTCGGTACAGACACTGACTGTCGTAGACCAACCTTCACCAGCATTCGGCGCTCCGGTCGAAGATGCGGATTCAGACGACGAGGTGCCCGGCAAAGTAAGAGTCACAGTGGTCGGAGTTGGAGCGCAGTGTGTGCAGACCGTAACGGTCGTGGTCCAACCCTCAGGGACGCTGGGGATAGTGGGCTGCGCTGGAGTTCCAGGAGGCTTGGTGACAGTGGCAGTTGCAGAGACTGTTGCGGGCCAGTACGTTGAGGTATAGCTCGTAGTGATCGTGGTGAAGCCTTCGGGGCAGATGTCAATGTAGGAAGTCACGATGACTGTGGTGGTGGAGACGGGCTCGGAGACCGAACCAGTAGATGTGACTTGCAGGGACCCCTGCCCAGACGTGATGCTGGAAGAGACTGGAGCAGATCCACTTCCGTTGCCCGCTGGGATACTTGTCGGTGCTGTTGTCGGGCTGTCTGTTTGGCTGGATGAAGTGCCAATATGAAGTGTCGTGTACGAAGGGGAAAGGGTGCTTGCATGACCTGTAGGATTTGAGCTTTCTTGAGCACCGGATCCTTGGGTAGCGGTGTCAGAGGAAGTTGAAGTGCTGGATGTCTCCGAGCCACCCGACGATTTGGAAGTAGCTGATGCTCCTGCCTGGCCTGATGCTGAGCCAGACGACTCGGTATTCGAGATCGACGGTAACGATGTAACAGCCGAGGACGAACCCTCAGAAGAAACTGAGATCGCAGTGGTAACAGCCGGGCTCGATGAGGTTGACACGTATGATAGGCTGGACGAGGTCACCGGTACAACCACCACCGAAGACGTGGGTTCTCCGGAAGTGATAAGAGAACTGGACAAAACATCCGTGCTCCACGTTGCGACCGAGCTTGCTGTGGTGGAGATAGCTTGTTTACTTGGGGAAGGAGTCACAGACAAAGTTATCGTTTCTGAGGTCGAGAAAATGGGGGTTCCTGAGAGAATTGAGGAACTGGGCTGAGTCGTAGCGCTGGTCGGGGTGATTGAAATCGACTGGGTTGAACCCCCAGAGACCGGACTGGAGGCGACAGCTGTGCTGGAGCTAAAAGCAATACTAGATGTGGCTGGTTCACCAGAGGCCACAGGTGAGCTCGACAACGACAATGTACTAGACAGCTGTGGCAGGGCGGTCGATGAACGCGGAGAACTGACAACGGCGCTGGAAGATGTCAATGACCCAGAAGCGTTAGGGATGGTTGCAACGATTGTAGAAGACGACTTTGAGATGACCGGGACGCTGGATGTCTTTCCCGTGGCAACAGGTGGTGTCGAACGAACAGGGCTGCTTGAAGGAGTGGAAGTGCCTGAAGCTACCGGGGTGCTTGGCGTCGCAGGAGAGCTTGACGGGACAGCGGAGCTTGATGCGGAGGAGCTCAGTGCCACAGCAGAGCTTGACGTTGCGGTGGAGTTTGAGATGATAGGGATACTTGAAACAGACGGGCTGCTTGACAGCGCCAGAGTGCTTGATGCCACAGGAGAGCTTGGTGCAATAGAGGAGCTTGGCACCACGGGCGAGCTTGAGGCAGAGGAACTGCTCGACACCTTCGGGGTGCTTGATGCAACAAGGGAGCTTGAAGCCACAAAGGAACTCGATGCCGCTGGGGGGGTTGGTACAGCGGGGGTGCTCGACACCACAGGAGCGCTCGAAGCCACCGGGGTGCTTGAAGCCAGGGCAGAGCTTGAAGCAACAGAGCTGGAAGCCACAAGGCTAGAGCTGGATGCGACAACAGAGCTAGAAGCCACAGAACTGGATGTCGCAGCCGAGCTAGACACAATAGCAGAGCTAGATACGAAAGTGGAGCTGGAGCTGGAGCTGGAGCTGGAGCTGGATGCCGCAACGGAACTGGATGCCACAGAGCTAGGAGTGACAGCAGAGCTGGAGCTGGATACGATGACCGAGCTGGGAACCACAGAGCTGGAAGTCGCAGCCGAGCTGGACACGATAGCGGAGCCGGATGTCACCGAGCTGGAAGCCATCGAGCTGGGCGTGATAGCAGAGCTGGAGCTGGATGTGACGACCGAGCTAGAAGCCACCGAGCTGGTAGTCTCAGTGCTGGCTGATGCGGATACGCTGCTTGATCCAGAAGCGCTCGACAGTACCGAACTGCTTGTGGCGGCGGGAGTGCTTGATGCCGAGGGAATGCTTGTTGTCAAAGGAGTGCTTGATACCGAAGAAGTGCTTGTGGTCAAAGGAGTGCTCGAGGCAACAGCACTGCTGGAGGGTGAAGGGCTAGGCTCCGGTGTAGGATCAAGTTCAAGGAGAATATCCTTCATGATGTCGGCATAGGTCTCATCACCAAACAGGTTCTCGTCTGAGGCTGTTGCTTCCCAAAGCATGATGCCTCCAAATATATCCGGATAGAGACCCATATACGTCTCCACCAGAGGATAGACTTCCTCCGGGGTGAGGTAGAAGCTTGCACCTGCGGCAGTTGAACTGGCAGGCAATCCCACGTAGAGCTTTGCATTTCGGTTACCCCCGCTCTGGATGACATCTACCCACCTATCAAAATTGAACCCCGTGCTGACACCATCAACGAAGTCACTGGCGGCACAGCCAGGAGTGTTGTAGAACTGCACCCAAACGAAGTCGAACGCAGATCTGGCAATTGCATCACTGAGGTGTGCATCGGGTATTGAGCATTGAGGGGCAGCGGAGATGTAAAAGGTACGCTCGGGGACCAGTGCGTAGAGCTGTCTAAACCGATCAACCATGGTGGCATAACCTGGCTGGAGTTAGAAAAGTGAAATAGGGTAGGGTTACGGGGCATGGAAACATACCGAAATCACCATTGTGCTCGATATCGAAATCAAATCCATCAACAACCGCATCTCCGAAGGGACGAGGCCCATTGTTTAGCGTCCATGATTCGTTCTTCGGACCAAAGGCGCCCCAGAGGAAGTCGGCGAAAAAGGTAGCGGAGGACTCTGAGAGGATCTCGTAGGTATCGGGGGAGGCACCACCGAGGGACAGAAGGACTTTCTTTCCTGCCGCTTGACAGATAGGGATATCCTCGGCCAGTTGATGGCAGCCGGAGAGCAATTTGGTCGAAACGTCTCCAACTTGGTAAGTCAGGCCATCGCATTGGTTCCCGAAGTTACTACCCGGCCATCCAGCAGGGCCCTGATCTGGGAACGTATTGATGAACCCGATATTGATAATGTCCAACGAGGTCTCCTGGCAGAAATGGCTCAAACGTTGTTGAGCATATCCTTGGCCCTAAGAGCAGATATGGACAAGTAAGCAAGGTTCAAACGACCCGGTATCACAAGCACATACATAATAGACGGCCACGTTGGATTTTGCCTGGGCATCGAAAGCAGACACAAAAGGAGCGAAACCGGCTACAGCCGTGGCGATGGTGAAAAGATTGGACACCATGTCGAAGGAGTGACGACTGGCAGAGGCAGGAAGCCGCAAACCAGTAAGAATCTCGAGGTGATTCAACGAAAGGACGCAGACAAATGTCTGCTGTTAGGAGTGTCTCCACAAGAGAATGTCGAAGAATGGACAACCGAGAAAGCGTATCAGAGGACACGGAGGCTATATAGCATGATGTGAGCCATCTCCCCTGGGGCGTCACACGGCGCCCCTGTCACGCCTCCATAGTCATTGGCTCCAACATCCAAAATATGGTTTGTCGGACGAGCACAACCGAAATTACCATGCGGAGACCATGGCTTAGCGGGGGACAAAGGCCTCCATTCCTGTGCTAGCAGCAGTGCGCCTCGGAGACTAATGAAGCGCTTGATATTAGAGCGCCAGGAACCTCCGGCCAGGAGAGCATCTGACTGGTTCCGGAAGATGGGGGACTGTGAAGGCCGACATTACGCTCAAGGCAGCAGCAGGCACCAGGCTGCTCGATCGAGTAATTGCCCAGGGCAGAGCCGCATCAGGGTCTGCTCCAATGGTTAGTCCAGGTCTAAGTGGGCGATAAGAGCCAGGCAATGTCCACTCACAGCATCAAGGCTCACATGGTGCTTGCCACGGGCCTAAGTGGGCCCTGAGCCAGGAAGTAGCGCCCTATAGTCGAGGGCAGCCCCGACGGTATGTGGGTAGAGGATGAACCGGATGGGATAACTTTTTCGCTAGCCGGACAAGAACCGATGTGCACGGTGGATGGCGATGGTGAGAGGGGGAGATGGAAGTGGGAAGTTGAAAGTGAGAGTGGGAGGCTGCTCGTTGGACGGAAGTTGGACCCTGCGGCGGCCTGATACGGTATAGACCGTATAGGTACTCCGTGATACGGTGACAGTACCGTATCTGTGCTCCTTCGCTAGACTCGACTGGGCTAGACTCCATGTGGCGGTAGCCCGATAGGGTTTAGCTAGGGGTCCCGAGTGGGACGCCGGTGGCCAGGCACACCAATCAGGGGAGCAAGATATAGACCCTCGCAGTCCACTGGTCAGGCTGGGAAGCGTCCGGGTTGAACTTTGGGCTCCAATGTCTCACTTGCTCTCGTTAGTTGTTGCGAGTGAAAAGTCAGATTGTCGGGCTTGACCCACGGAACGGTTATTCTCCGTTTCTTAAGGCGCTCCGGAGTTGACCGGATCATCCGATCGACAAAAGGGTCGCCCTACATGTCTGCTATGAGCTTCCGAGTAACTTGTTGGATACTGTGCCTGATCAAGCTTTGAGAACATAACAAATCCTCAGATGCGAGACGGAAGATGCCCCTCACCTCAAAGAACCAAGAAAGAGGTAATCAATCCGGATTCCTTCCCCTATCTAGCCGACATCTCATTCGGGGTTCCTTAACCGATTAGTATCTAGTCACACTTCGGCCACTTGATTAGTCGACCCACCAGTCCCTAAGCAGGCACTGGCTGGAGTGACTGGACAGTGGACACGGACCTTAGTTGTTAGTACTTGTTAGCACTTGTTAGCGCCAGTGTACTCTGTACCTGTTCGCGCGACGAAGACTACTACTGGAGCTGACCCCAGGAGGTGCAGGGCTAGCATGATCTCTACGCCCACCCAGCGAGGCATTAAAATTTAAACGACATCGGAGTCATGCATCGGAAAGCCGGAAATTGCCCCTGAGAACGTTTCCTTGGGAGGCTAGCGTGCTGCAGTCTAGTCAAGAATCGAAATTAACGGCCATCGAGCCTGGTGAAGGGTACACAGGGACAGGTGCTAGGGGGGTGTTAAGCATTCCCCGGGTGCAGTCAAGCTCAAGGACTCCTCTCCCGATCGAGACCCGGAAGTCCAATTAATAAAGTGTTATATTGGCGAGTGGAGTCTTCCACCTCTGCTAGCAGTGCGTGCAATCTATCTAGGTGGTGTCTCCTCCATAGCGATCCTCCACCGGTCAAGTCCCACCCATCCCACGGGCTATTCGGAGCATACAAAGATGCCGCTCCTCTCATAAAAAGAGCTCAAGGCTCATGGGTCATATCTAGTTCCTGCAGCGTCAGTAGCCCGTGGCCGAACCTGCGTACAAATTTGGGGAACGGAAGAAAGAACCCGATTGTAACAGCACTACGGGGTATGTGCTCACGGATGAAACCCCTTGATGTAATAAACTTGGCCCACTAACAGGTAATAGACAGGGACTACCATGTCATTTATGTTCCACCAGGAAATAGTGGTCGATTGGTGTGAGGGTTGGAATAGCCCTCCAAATCAGGAAGGCAATTATTGAATGACATGTGAAACTGCGCTCCCTTCAGAAAAGGCCTGCATATGCACGGAGGGGATATTTCAAGGTATTTTTCCAGGCAAAGGATTGGACAATGTTGTGTTCCCGGATAATGATAACACACTGTGGTTCACAGTAGGTTACAGAGCAGGATACCATGTTACACCATCATCGTTTCAGGCCGGCAAGGCAAATAACAGCGAGATGAGGGTAACCCCATCATGTTTCACTGGCTTAAAGTTTACTGGAATCCCGATGAAAAGTCTATACCAGTTGGAGAGTATAGGTTTCAAACAGGTAATCATACCCTAATTTTGGAAGAGACTAAGCTACCTAACAGAACACAAATATGACTATGATTCCCACTAGAGGCGCCAAACGATGCATTAAACAGTATCACATATCATCGGAGCTTAGGGAGCTAAGGAGCATACATGATAGCCCCTATATATCGAGCTCAGAGGCGTGTGGCGCACTCCGGGAAACCCAGCAGTGTCGACACCACGCTCTTGTGGTGTCTTTCAATGTTTGCATGTGCATGGATAGCTCTCTGGGGACACCCAGCAACCTGCAAGGTCAGGGTCAAATCAGTGAGTTTGACCCAGCAGGGCATTCTAAGACCCCTACTGATAAGCAAGACATTCAATCCCCACGTCTGTATTCAACGGTAGACCATGAAGAAGTGTCCAATGAATGACGCATCAACCCATCCGCCTATTCTTTCTGCAATCGACTTTTAACTACCTCCCTACAGCCAGGAACCGTCCTAAGTGCTCTTCTAGAGTGAATCATGTCGGTATCTATCTATATTCCCCTCGCGTTGATGACAGGGAAGTTTCTCTTGGAGCTTCTAATAGACCCCACCAGTCCAGAACACGAAGCCCAGACTGAGTCCCGAGCTACTGGTCTCAGAACTTGCATCATCTACAAGCTTCACTGGGATTATTCACATGATATCTAGACTCTGGAAGCCATCACTATCCACTCAGGGCGAATCCGGAAGATGACAACCTCCAAAGTTACCACCGGAACCTGTCGTGAAACAGAGGGAGGAATCCTCAACAATTAATTATTATCTTACTTAAATGACACTTGACTGACTTGTCTTCCCCTTTCTTCATCGTCATACCTTCCTAGCTAGAATCAGAGAGCACCAGCTCATACAATCCGTTCTCATTCCCCGGCACACTTATACAATGCCTCGCCGATTCAATAGAAAGAGAAGATATCCCTCCCTTGACGATGGAGATATAGGTACGTCTGATATTATATCCAGAGGTTAACACTATCTCCGTCTCGGACTAACCTGACTCTCCTGGGATAGAGGAACCACGTCAATATACTCGCATGGGAAATGGCTGGAGCGACAGCACCGCATTGTCTACCTGTGCACAGCTGGAAGCCTTGATGTCAACCATGTGGATCCAGCATAACGACTTGAAAATGAGTCTTGGAGCGCTTGTGGCGAAACAGGACGAACTTGGACATTGCCTGGCGATCATCAGGGAGCTTGCGTCGTGAGGGGGCAGAAATATACAGCAGTAAGCATATAATACAGATGGCCCAGTACGTATTACTACAATTTTGGGTGAGGTGACGGTATCGCGCTGACGCAACACGCCCAGGCTCTGATAAATGCATTGAATTATTACGGTTCCTAGTCATATCGTCGATAAGATAATCTGAGCTTTGAAGTATAAAAGTATCTAAGCAAAAGAATTATCTAATTCGCAATAGCAATGAGGAAATGAAACTTCATATCGCTTATAGGAGGAAAGGGAGACTAGGCAAAGATTCAGGTATTGACCAAGGATGGTTCCAAAGTAGATAGCCTAGCTACGTCCTGTTCCAACCTATCTAAATTCTTAAGGGTTGGTCCAAAACACCTCCTTGAGCAAATCACACATCAAGGTAATGGATCTCTTCCCCTCCTTCAACACGGCATCCATAGCCAGGAAGGGATGCGGCATGCCCTTCATGACCTGCAGGTCGACTGGCACGCCTGCGTTCTTCAGCTTCTCCGCATACTCCTCCCCCTCGGTGCGGAGCACATCCAGCTCACCCACCATGACCAAGGCCCGGGGCAGGGCCGACCAGTCACCGGTGAAGAACAAGGGACTTGCCTCGGGGTGATTCCAATCCGCCGGGTTCGGCAGATAATGGTTGCGGTACCAAAGCATCTTCGCTGCGGGGAGAGCTGGGGTGTGTTCGTACTCGCGATAGGCCTGGTTCGTGGCCACCGCGGCCGTGTTATCCGTTACCGGCACCGAGAGTAGCTGGGCCTGGAAGCGGACGGGCGGCGACAGCGTCAGGGCTTTTTGTGTAATGATACAGGCGAGGTTTCCGCCCGCTGACGAGCCCCCGGTCGCGAGCTTGCTGACATCGAGGGGGAGCGTCGCGGGTCCTTGCGAGATCAGCCACAGGAGGGCTTCCCAGCAGTCGTGCACGGCAGCCGGCCAGGGATGCTCGGGGGCGAGACTGTCTGGTCAGCACTGGTACATCTCATGGAGAGGGACCCGAGAAGGGATATTCTCGTACCGATAATCCACCGTCACCACCACACACCGCCCTCTCACACACAGGTTCGAGCAGACCGGATTCTCCGTGTCAATGTTGCCCAGTACCCATCCCCCACCATGGAAGTACAGCATGACCGGCCATCCGGACGACGGCGCTGTGCCCTCTGGTACAAACACCCGCACGGGAACCTCGGGGCCCTCGGTGGCACGACGCGAAATGCGAAGATCGATGGTCTGGCCGACGGGCAGGACGGGTCCACCCCCAGGGATCAGGACCCCGCTCGATCGCGACGCCGCCACGGGCTGCAAATGGACCTGCTGCTTGTTGAAGACATACTGGTTATAGAAGGCGACATACTCGGGATCGAGTTTGTCTTGCACCGAAGGGTGAAGGGGATACGGAGGTTGGGGATCGGAAATGGACATGGTGAAGTGCTCCTAGATGGTGGATTCAGATTCTCTACGGGGGGGGATTGAAGGGAAAGGTAACTGTACCCTATCTCTCTGCTGAGTGCCGAGATGCTCTCGGTCGAGTCCCTCGGTTACATCGAGGTCTCCTTCCGGACGCAAGGGATACGAGGAACGCGCCAGCCGGGTTGACTTTCCTGATTCCCCTCACAGCTGCGCCGATAACCCGCGATAAGACCTGATGCATCATCATTTTCCCCTCCCCCGCCAACGCAGGCTAATTAACTCTCGTATCTCCTCCGAGCCATGCAAATGAGGGGATCTTCCCGATTCTGATTGGAACACGCAGCTACCAAGGTGGGGGATCGGTGCTGCATATATTCCCAATCTACGCGGGTGGTTGTATATCTACCAAGGTAGTTAGCTAGGTAGGTAGCTACCTAACCCCAACCCAGCTCTTCCTTTTAAACAACAACCACCTCCTACCCCTCTCCTCGAACCCAAACCCTTCTTCCCCTCCAAGACCAAAGTACCACTCCCATAATGGCCACCAAAACCCCCGTTCTCACCGACAAGGCCCCCAAGCCCCTCCCGGGCATCTACTCCCAGGCCATCGTCTCCAACGGCGTGGTCTACTGCTCCGGTGCCGTGCCCATGGACCCGGAGACCGGCAAGCTGATCGATGGCGACATCAAAGCTCACACGGTATTCATTCCATTCCCTCCCATTCCCACATGCTCTCTACTTTACTCCATATCCCATTAACTGTAGAATCTCTAGCTAACTAGTACGGGAACTAACAGCACCAATGCATCAAAAACCTCGGCCACATCCTCGAGGCCGCCGGCAGCGATCTCACCAAGGTCCTGAAAGTGAACGTGTTTCTGTCGGATATGGACAACTTTGCCGAGATGAACTCAGTGTACACTGAGTACTGGGGCGATGTGAAGCCTTGTCGGACGTGAGTTTATCCATTTTGTTTTGCCCTTTGCTTGGTATTGGAATGAAGGGGGATTAGGGTTTGGCGGATTGCGGGCTGACTGATTGGTTGATCGCTTGGGGGTGTAGGTGCGTGGCGGTTAAGACTCTGCCTTTGAATACGGATGTGGAGATTGAGTGTATTGCTCATCTGTAAGGGTGTTTCTTTATTGGATCGGGAATGTGTGGTTAATGAAATATATTGAACAAAAATGAATGTGACGGGCTGGTAGTTTATTTCACTGCTTTTGTAGGCTTGGTTGGTGGGAGTAGTATGAATGTGGCTTAGTGCATATGAATGCTGTAACTGAAGTGAAGCAGTCGATCAGGTAATAGCTAGATCTGTATATTAAAATCCCGCGATGAATATTCGAGGGAATCATACTCATTTCAACTCGCGATCACTATACAGGTCCAGGTAATTAACCACCTACTCACTTCCAAGTATCACTAAGCAAAAATTCATCTCTTTATTCATCCTCCAAGTTGATTGACATTCAATCGCATCCCGAGATATATAAATAACGCCTGCCTGACCTTACCCTAACCTCTCTCCACCATCTTTATCTATTCAAGTGATGACCATTGCTCCGCTAAGATCCTTGCCACAGCCAAACCATCATCATTACATTACTTCTATGATATCTTCTATATCAATACCCACCTTCCTCAACAAAACACCCACCACTCCCAAGGCTGCTATACAAGCCCTTCTTTGATATCCCCGGAACCCCCATATATGGATTATGACATACCTCTACACAACACTCCGCAAACCCCACCCGACCCATCTACAACGCTTCTAAAACCATGTCAGGGCCATATATACCCCAGACAGAAGAAAGACCTTATACGGTGCCTTTTATCTTTCTGCCTACATTCTCTGAAAAGAACGACAAGAAGGGACATGGTGCATCTGATTTCACTTCGACGTTACTGATGATAGATATTAACGGTCGCGAAGATATACAGTGCCAGGGAATAGATCGGTCTGCTGCAGCAAAGTGCTGCTCAGAGGGGATTATGTGGGGATGTTAATGGGATATATCTCTTGGTATGGTTAGTATTGTCATGCTGGATTAACCATGCATACGTTTATACAATAAGCGACAACGGGTACTCCTATTCTTGAGATCGGAACAGTGGGCTAAGGCACGAAAAAAAAAGGGAAGATCAGAATACCTGGGAATCTACGCTGCACAGATTCAACGGAATATCATTAATGATGCGAAATCTTGGATATGATGGGCTAATGCTACGATACATACGATAAGATGTCATATGCACTGTCAACCTTCTCATGAGGCGGTCTCGCGGTTCATGACACTACACGACCTTACAGTCTTGACACACTGTATGACTCCAGACGATACCAGAGGAAGTCGACACTTCCATGTGGATGACCTGATGCATGATCAGAGGTTACGCAACTGGTCGATGGACAGTCTTTGACTGCGAGGTTCTTATCATATGTCAGCATGCACCAGTCTTATGGTGAGCAGTGGCTCTGTTCTATGGGATATGTCCGTTGCTTCACTCATGGCACATATGTGGACGGCTTTATGTGCCGTATATGCATTCGACCGCGGGAAAACTTGGGCCTTTGGAAATGTAGACCTAGATATTGTCTCTGTCTACGCATAATATGAGATAGGATGTATGGGGCAGCTACGAATCAAGAGGGCCGGAAAGCGGCAAAATCGAGGGACAGCGGCGATGACTCTTCACCAGCCAGAGTGCATGATACGATGATGTATAGGGGGGTTCTAGGCTGCTATATGAATGTGATCTTGCTCTCGCTCTAGATAGATCCTAGAAAGGTTATCACAAACGTTGATGCTTAGCCTCTCATTGGTTAGAACAATAGACAGCCGATATGGAATGTGAACAAGCTGAATGTGATACAGTACTTTGAGATTGCCCTCTACCTTCAGCCATTTAAACCTTCGGATCATATAGCTCTGAACCTATGGCTCAGGGGTATGATATCCGATAAAGGATCGCTCATTGCTCGGGCATTTCGCCAGGGCAAATGTGCGGTCAGCATCCTGTAGCCTGTCATGACTAACATATGCGCCAACGCAGCATGTTCGGAGAGATTCTCTTGCAAGACATCTGGATACCATTACCATATCTCTCTAATGTTGCACGATTGCTAATGCCCCAAGTGAGAAGGTATCCCTTCGTTTGGTAGTAACTCGACGACAGATGATATGCCCGAGACGTGAACAATCCCCTTAGCATTCCCGTTTATCCCTTTCCATTGACAATGTAGGATGGCCGAGCTATGAGTAGTCTAGTGATGCTTTAAATGGGAGCATGGCCTAGCTTGGACCTCCGCGAAGCGCATAGCGGATGGCTTGGTTACCCCCTGCTCGACAGTGGCGGATGGGAAACCTTCAATGCGGTTTGAGTTGAACCAAGCTCCGCCACCTACGGCACAATCTCCTATGGCGTCATCCTCTGGCAATTATCCTCATTCGCAGCTATGCGAGATGAACATGGCGCTGGCGTGAGTGATGATTGAGCGTTCGCACGGACGCATAGGCGACCGTATTCATGAAGGCTTTCAATGTCCTGCAAGCCGAGGTGATGCTGAAACCAAACAGCTTGAGTGACCTGCAATATGCGATGAGTATTGTAGTCAAGGATAGCTGTGGTATGAGGATTGATTCAGGAGCTAAACTAGCCTGGCCCTTTTCATCGCCCTTCATGCTTTCCCGTCGACGTCATGGTCAGCCCTTAGGAACAAAGTTGGCGATGTAGATTCCCTTGCAGGAGCCACCGAGAGGGAGACCAGGCGAGATGAAGAGCAAAGAAGAAGCGAGTGACTCCTTTCGCTTTGAGCGGGCATCACGTGGCCTCCCTGGAGGGGCCCCCCCTTGTGGCTTCTTATCGCCATCATAACTCCTTGCCTCCTCGCGCATCCCTGGCCTTATCATCACATCCTGCATTCTATCCCGCTGCACTGTTTCACTACTGCTTTTACTGCAGAATTGAGATCCCGTCTACCACGCGATGGAGATACATTCAAACTCCAGCCTCATCCAGGGAGAGGATCGGATCCCTACTGCACATCCGCAGGGTCAAGGGACACCCAAATCCTGCTCGATGGTGACTCCTTTCAGATTCTCAAGGATATAGATCGGATGACTAACCCGAGTCAGGAGAATAGGGCCGCTGTTTAGCCTGCATTCCGGAGGGACGGCTTCTTCTGAAGAAGAGACAACAAACATCAATGCCGCTGGATCGTCCATTCCAACCCCTCTTGCCCGCGTCGACGCGCCAGGCAATTCGCCCATCCAGCTACATCCATTTAGTTGGCGAGGGCCCGTGGCTCTGGCTCTTGCACCATGCCTCCATTTTTATCAACAATCGACGTCCTTATTTAGGGCCTCTTCTTACCGGTTTCTCTATTCATAATCTCGAAACCCTGTGAATGCTTGGCGGTTATTGTTGACCAAAGCGTAGCGCAGCTGGCTTCAGCTCAACGCGGTAAACATGTTTAACCGTTCAATGACCTTCAGAAGAAGAGGCGCTTGGACAAGGGTGGTCATCTTCATTACGCTGCAATTTATGCTCTTGGAATCCCTCATCGAATGGGCTCTCATACTCTATCTTTATGCCATCCGCCATGTGGACTCAAAGATGACCCCGAGCTTAATTATTGCTCTTGTCGCAGTAAGTCTGCCTGCACCGGTATCTGGTATTAATGCTAACAAATTTCAGTCCTTCTTCACCGTCCCTCTGGTCGCTCTTCACAGTCTCCTTGCCTGGCAGTATAACCGGGTTCTAGGATTCGCCAGCCAGAAAGCTCTGCTGCACGCTGCGTGCACTTATATTGTACGGCTGACGGTGATCATCTGGGTAGCTGCTAGTGTAGCAGGCTTAGTTGTGGTCTCACAGCAGACGTTCTGCCTGGCCGATGATGGTAGTAGCAACTTCTGGAAGATCGGCATCAGCTGCGCGCTGCATCGGGCTTCCGTCATCGATTCCATTTTGTCCTTGTAAGTCATTTTCCTCTCCGAAGTCAATGCCCCGCTAATTTCCGCCAGTGTAACCGTGTGTCTATTTTTCTGCTCGAGAGAGCTCTCCGAGAGGCCATACGATATATCACTGCTCGGCATATACAGACAGCCGTCGTCAATTTGTGATGACAAGATCTCTTCCAGCTCAACTCTGGTCAGCCACATCAGCCTGGAAAATGACATCTATACTGTATGCCGCCGACCAGATGTCACGTACGGGAAAGACCTCTACTTGTCATCGAGCAACAATTCCATATGTAAATCCGGCAGCCTTCAACACCCTTTGCCCCTACATCTGAGACCTCAATTGAAGCTTGACACCGAATGTGAAGCAGACAGTGCAGAACTATTCTCCGGGACAACTCTCTCGGCCAGTGGCACTCCGTCAAAGAAGTCTTTCAGGGATTTGTCAAGCTCCGATATCTATTCAAATGTCTCGCGTACCCCCACCAAGTCTACCTATAAGGCTTATCGCCAAGCCGCAGTTGCAGAATTATCGGGGTCCCCTGCAGCCAAACATGGTCACAAGAGACACAAATCTTCCGAGTCCTCATTTCGCCGGTTCCTGCCGAAGCTCTTCGGACCCCCAGTCTCGTTGTCGGCGGACCCTCAGATCCGCGCTCTCGCCGATCCCAGCATTCCTACGGACCTTGAGCAACAAGCAGCAAATATTGAACGCCCTCCGACGCCTAAGAAGGAATATGCTCCTGGTCATCCATTGGCTTCCTCTCCAGTCGAGAAGTCACTGGTACCCACCACGAGCGTTGTTCCCAGCCATGAACTCGAAGCGAGCCAGCCTGAAGAAAGCACATTACCACGCCCCATGTCAATCAACTCCGCCGAAGCCCCGGAAGTGGTTGTTCCGGAGCCATTGAGAGTGCACAGATCCAATACTTCCCAAACCGCTCGAATCCCTCGCCCATCCTACCACGCTCGACCATCGATTCCACCCGTGCCACGAAACCCAGTCGCACAATCAAATCACAACTATGGACGCCCTCCACTAGACCACGGATACCCCAGACGCCAAAGCACGAGGCGCCACAGCGGCCGCCAACGTCAGGTCTACCGGTTCGAACCATGTCAAATCCCACGCCACACGCAGAGCCAGTACCACCCCCAGCACAACCGGTACAGCCGCCGAGCATATTTCGATACTGCCCGTCGAATGCCGTCGCAGCGGCGCAGAAGCGATGTTGAGATCGTGTACTCCAGCACCCGACGTCCCCGCAGCAACACCTGCGGTGGCATGAGTACCCTATCCGGTCCTCTCGACAGTATCCGCGAGACCGGGGCCTCGGTCGACGAAGTCCCATGCGACATCTTCTCCGAGGGAAACACATATCGAGGCACCACTCGAACGAGCAGCGTGCATGGATATTAATTCTAACCGAGTCTGCTGGCCAGACTCACTATTGCTATGATTGTATCGGATCGGATTTACGTTCTATTGAGTGACGATTAAAACTGTACACTAGCCGGCTCTTGGTCCCTTTCTTGCTATATACCTAATTGTGACTTCTCTTTTAATTTACTCCTACAATTAAACTGGCTCTCTTGCCCTTGTTCTCGACAGAATACTCCGTAGATAGATCAAATTGACTAGTGTATGGAATGGGATTCACAAGACCTCAACACCAACCAACACCCGGTAAACAAACAAGAACGCCATCCAGACCAGACCAAACCATACCATACTATACCCACTGTACAGTACACATCACCCATCCATCCATCCTGGCATTCCGCCAACCAGCCGTGTATACCTGACCCATACCCTGACACCGTGAAAACTTGATTACCCATGGGTACGGTAAAAACCGAACAACGAAAGCCCATTCACAAAGATACTGAGATTCAAAACAAGGAGGAAGTGGGGCCCAATACCACCAAAACCAACTATACACACACCACTCAATCAAGCCCTCTTCGTCCCATTCCTCGAGGATGAGGAAGAGCGAGTCTGAGTCGTGGTCGGGGTGGAGGCCTGGGACGGATGGGCATATTTATACCGGTAAGCTTGTTTCCGACGACCTTTCTCATCGACAGGGAGATTCTCCTTGTTGTCGACGGCAGCGGCATCGCCGAGTTCCTTCTCGCCCCAGGACCACATCAAGGCTCGACTCATGCGCTCGCGCTCCTTGAGAAGGAGGTCGATGCGGCGTTGCCATTCCTTTTCGCGCTTTTCGACGGAGCGGGCGATGCGCTCGTCGACGGCGGCGGCGGTTTCGTCCTTGGTGGCGATGATGGATTCGAGGTTGGTGATTTGGGCGCGGAGGGTGCGGAGCTCGGTTTGGTGGCGGTCGCGGTGGGTGAGGAGGATGGTGACTTGGGCTTTGAGTTTGGATTCGCGGTGTTCGGTGGTGGAGAGGAGGATTTGGAGGTCGCGGGTGGAGGAGGCGTGGGAGGCGCGCAGGTTGGCCAGTTCGGCGGTGTGGGCGAGGCGTTGGGTGCGGAGTTCGGTTTGGAGGGTTTGCTGGTTGAGGGGATCTTGGGCGGATTGGTGCGTGGGTGGGGATGGGGGTGGGCTGAGTTGTTGCGAGGTTTGTCGGTCTGCGTGTTCCTTTTTGAGGCGGGTGATGGTTTCGAGGGCCCGCGTGCGTTCTTCGTTGGCTTGGTTCAGCTCTTGTTGGGCTTTGTCGAGGTTGGACTTGAGCTCGTCGGCTCGCTTGGTCAGGCGGGTGTTTTCGGTTTCGATGGAGTGGATCAGGGTTTGTGCTTCGGTGGCTTGGTCTTGCGAGCGCGTCAATTGCAGCTCGAGTGTCTTCTTGGCCGTGGAGGATTCGGTCAGTTCGGCCTGTAGCTTGGCCAGTTCGGCTTGAAGTTGTTTGACTTCGGGGTCGTCCCGATCCTGGGAGTAGTCCTGGTCTTGGGAGTATTCCGAGTCTGGGGGGTATTTCTCCTTGGTGAAGGAGTCCGGAATGCGCCTCGTGCTGGGCTGGCCCAGGTCCTTGATCAATTCGAGGATCTCGGTGTAGGTATTCCCGCCCGTCTCGAGTGGGAGGTCGGCTGCCATGGCCTTGAGGGCATTCTCCTGGGCTGTGACCTGCGACTGTGCGCGGGTCAGATCGGCTTCGAGCACGCTGTTCTTTTCTTCTAGGGGCCGGTTCTTGGTTTCCAGCGAGGCGATTCTTTCCTCGAGGGTTTCGTATGCCTGATTGACCCGGTCGAGCTCCCTCTCCAGCTTCTCAACCTCGAGAAGGTTGTCGCTAATCTGGGCCTTGAGTCCATCGATTTCGCCGTTCTTCTCCCGGAGCTGCTGCTCTTTGGCGGCCGTGACCTCCTTCAGCTTCGCCAGAGTTTCATCAAGGGTTGCGTCGCGCTTCCTCAGCTGCTCCTGAGCCAAATCCAATTGCTGGCGCAGATAGGCGATCGTTTCCAGCCGCTCAGTGTCGATATCAGGGTGCGAACCTCGGTTCCGCAGCTCCTTCTGCATGTCACTGATCTGTTGTTGAAGAGTGCTCAGATCGGAAGCGCCGATGGTAGACTTTTGCAGGAAGGACTCCCTCTCCTGGTTCTGTCTCTGGAGCAGATGGATTTGCTCGCGAAGGAGAGTCTCGTCGCTGCGCTTGGCGTAGAGTTCCTCCAGCAGCGCCGACTTCCTCTGTAGCTCCCCTTGTAGGTGTTTGATCTGCTCTCCTGCTGAGGCTGCCTCCAATACACGCCGGTGGTTTCTCTCGAGTTGTTCATCGCGTTCGCGCAGCGCGTTCTTGAGATCGGCAATTTGCCGGCGCAGGTCCTCAGGTCCGTCTTTCTCGCCCTTGCTGGGGGTGCGCTTGTGCTTCCGAACGGAAGGTGTATGGGTGGTAGCTTCGAGCTCATCGTCTGGGTCCTCTTCAATATTTTCGAGATGGGTCATATCTTTCGCAAGCCCACCGGCCCGGCGCAGAAGATGCGACGGGGTAGACATGTCGACGGGCGGGCCGAACTCGCTGTATTCGCCCAATTCCTGCTCATCTTCAACCGCGGGTTGACGTAGCTGAGAGTTGTTCTGGGAATCCTCCTGCTGTTGCTGCGCCCGCTGCGGCGGTTGTCCGCGGTTCTGTGGCTGGGCCTGAGGCTGGGAGAGCTCTTCTTGTAGGTCGAGTTCCGGTTCTGACTCGTGCTCCGGTTCCGAGTCAGGCCCCGGTTCGAACAGTTCGCGCTCCAGCTGGTCTACATCGAAATGTTTATGGTCCATTGTATCATCGTCGCCCATCAGGTATCTTTCCAAATTGGCCGTGAAATCATCGGGACCCCCGACGTCTGACAGATGATCCTCATGGGGCAGTTTCAGCTCCGCCAGGGGCTCCTCGTCCAACCCCTGTGTGCTCGGAAATTGACTGAAATCGACCGTATACTGCGCTAGACGAGCATCGATTTCGTTCGCCGCGCGCTCGAGGGACGACGCTCTAGAGGATCTCGGGGAGGGACGTTTGGGCGAACGCGCCTGGTCGGCTTCTGCGCCAGTCGCGACGTGATGACTGAGGCGGAAACTTTTATCACTGATGGGTGAATAGCTTTCTCCATGGTCGGGATGGGATGGAGGTGACGAGGGCATGTAGAGGGGAGTCGCGAGAGTGGACGCGCCGACGGTGTCGTGGGATGTCGTGTCCATGCTGGCGGACGCTATTGTTGTTGTTTATTGATCAGAATAACATATGAGATAAGATCGGTCACAACTTCACGGCCCAACAAGGAACATCCTCGAATCTTCGGAAAATACGGGTGGGATAAATGGGCCGATAAAGATAGGCGACAAGTCTGGAGATGCGCGCAAGTGACTGGGTTGATGCTGGAGATGGATCCGGTAAACATCGCCGCGGACCGTCGGACGAGCCCCAGGCAGGCAGGCAGGCAATTCCAGTGCTTGCTGGCCTGGACGCTCAGGCAGCCAGGGGAGACGCGGTAGGCCTGATGGGGTTTAGCGCGATCTTGGGACCTCCGCGGTCGATCCACTCGCCAAGCCCAGCCCGATTGGAGCGGCTGCCCCACCATCAACGACACTCGATACTACTTAGTATCACAGGGACTAACTGGTGGATACGCCAGAGGGGCTGAGATACCCTCTATGTGTAGAAGATGTATTACTCGAGGCTATTATACTGTGGACTCATATAGATGCCGATATTCTTCAGGAGCAAAACTTCACTAGAGGTTCGATAAGTCCATACCCTTGGCAATACAGCACATCTACAGAAGGGAAGCTACAGCTCTATGGAGTACACTGACAGGAAATCTGGCAGGAGCTGCCTCTCAAGTTCAACTGGTACACCCTCAAAAACATCGAATTTCCCTATTGGAGAGCGGAACATTCTAGACCAAGCCTTCCAAACATACTCTGCAGCGAACTATCCCAAGCCTGTTACACAAGGAGCTTAGCAGCACACTCGCGTCATGGATCGGCATTTGTGGCGGGCCATCTGATAGGCGACAACCGTCCAGCAACATCCTTGCTGCCGAGATGGCCTGAGCTGACTAGGTTCGTACTTTTGGCCAGCAGCGTGGTCCAGGTATATTCCGCTTTGTCATCGGGTATTAGAATAATTACGGTATAGATGCGAGAGCTTCCATGTCCATCTCCTCCCTTTCTATAAGTCCCTACCCCACATGCCTCTGGCTAGTGACGTGAGTATTTGCATCAACTCTCGATATCACCATGTTCAATCTCAAAGAGCAGCAGAAAATCACTTCAGAAGCACTGATATTGACAATCAACGTGAAGAGACCGATCGGGGCAGTTCAAACTGAACAGTATCCGTACTTCAGATCTGAAGCATACCAGAAGCCCTGTCCAACATGACAACGCTAAGACTTTTAGTCGTTGACAGCCATGGCCCCCAACCGAACGTGAAGAGTTCCAAGTCTAGTCTCAGCCATGGCGAACAGGATTCAGACTGGGAGATCGTGCGCCTTAACCCAGAGCAGAGCCTTCCTGCCGGAAAATCTTCTACTCACACGCATTTCGACATCATGCTGGGGTGGGGGTGATGAAAGCACCAGCTATGTTCATTTGACTATACTCAAACTGCTGAAGATTATCCTGACGTGACACAGGAGCAGGAAGATTCCGAAGTCCGAAATGCGAAAGATAATGTCAAGGATTCGACGCATCCGCTGCGGCCCCCTAGAGGCAACGGAGAGAGCACAGGACGATCAAATCGCAGATAGATCAGGTCTTGCTATGTATTTTTTTCATCTTCGCCAATATTGATACGCAGAGACAGTCAGTCTGGTGGTTCAGGTCCAAATCAATACTAGGCTATCGAATGATTTCTACCTTAACTTCACACCAAACCTTCTTCGTACCCTGTTTGTCAGCTTGACATCCCAGACTTGTTGGTATAACGTGCAACAGTAACTCTGCACTGATAAGTGTCATTAGCCACGAACGATATCTGCAAAGAATCAGGCGCACATATTCTCATACATGGAATCGACCCGTATAGCCGTGCCGCATGGCTTCGGCTCGGGGAGACTATCCCAGTCGCTGTTAATCCCCTCTATTAGACCAGAACTATGAACACAGTCTATAACTGTTGGTCAAAGGACCTAGGCCGCCCGTCACTCCGAATCGGACCTGCACGCTATGCATGATCTTGCAGTCCGAAGCTTTGATCAACCATGGAATCGTTCGCACCCGATCGATTACCTCAGTGATCCATCCGGGAGGCTCAACGGAGAGATAAGATAACGTATCAATTTACTCTCTTCGTTCCCCTGAAATTCATGTTTGTTACCATGTCGAAGGTTTGGACTTTCCAACAAATCGCGTGAAGCCATTCCAACATAAAGCGGGGATGCTTACATAACCATCACCAGGATGGCAGGCACAATTCAATTCACGAGGACGCACAGGATCAGACTCAAGTCCACTGCAGTTCGGCTTTGCCGTAACACTGGATGCATCGTTACTTCCCTGTAACACCATTTGCAGCCTCGGCCGTCCCAATCACCGGAGACGATGGGCGAGCTGAACGGCTAATCAGTGGGCCATCCTTCAGACCACCTGGCGACTGATTACGCATGGCTCGCTTCCCCGCTGAAACCGTTCAGAGGCACCGTTACGCTCATTCTGCTGCCTCCCTCTTTCACTGAGTTTGATCCGATCCCCCTTCCCCGCTCTACGCGCGATCTGAACGATGCCTCCTGTGCCCCCGCAACCCGAGGAACGTCGGGTGATCCTCTATCACCAAACCATCTGTGCCGACGGCCAGTATGTCTCCATGCTCCCCCTGCTGGAGAACAACACCGGCATCACCCATGTCATCCTAGCAGCCTTCCACCTCAATGCCGATCCACAACACATCACACTAAATAATGATCCCCCACATGATCCGCTCTACGCACCGCTGTGGGAAGAGGTGCCTCTCGTGAAGCAAGGCGGGATCCGCGTCATGGGAATGCTGGGGGGTGCCGCTCAGGGTTCGTTCCGCTCCCTCGATGGAGACGAAGAGAAATTCGAACGGTACTACCAACCTTTGCGGGACATGGTGCGCCGCCACCAACTGGACGGGCTGGACCTAGATGTGGAGGAGGAGATGTCATTACGAGGCATCATCCGACTGATTGACCGGCTCAAGTTGGACATGGGCGACGAGTTTATCATCACGTTGGCCCCGGTCGCCGCGGCAATGTTAGGCTTGGGCAATCTTTCAGGCTTCGACTATCGCGAGCTGGAACGGCAGAGAGCGTCCAAGATCAGTTGGTACAATACGCAGTTTTATAATGGATGGGGGCGTGCGGAGGATCCTCGGATGTATGCGGCCATGGTTGCACAGGGCTGGTCTCCGAATCGGCTGGTGTACGGGCTGTTGACGAACCCGGCGAATGGAGCACAGGGCTACGTGCCACAGGAGCAGATCGGGCCGGTCCTGGCGCTACTGGTTGATCGATTCCCGGGTTTCGGAGGCGTCATGGGCTGGGAATACTTCAATGCGAAGCCGGGGGGACGAGAGGCGCCGTGGCAGTGGGCGGCTGAGATGACCTTGAGCATGCATATGAAGGATCTGGTGGATGGGGCGCGCCAGCTGGTGTCCAGCCCAATGGCCAGCAGCTTGATGAATGTACTCCGGGACATGATGCAGCAGCGATAGATAGACGATCGTGAATGTTCAGGGGAATCCCGAGTTTGAGCCCGTGCTGAAATAACGCGTGTAGAGATGGTTGGTGGTGGTTCACTGGTTTGCCTGGTGGCATGTCGTCATTGCCGCGGCGCCTCCTCCCTTCTTCTTCTTCTTCTTCCGCCTTTCCGATGATTGCCTGCTTGCTTTGCTTCTCCAACGAGCTTCTTTGAACACTTCTCCACCTTCACTGAAGTTCCAACAGTCCCTCTCGGGAAGAGTTGCATCGGCTGGTCATGATTCATCACTGCCTTTTGTCCCCGTAGTAGTATCTACAGCTCTCGTCGCCATGGTGTCTGTTCCCCGCGTGGCCGCCGCTACGAGCTCCGCGGCCCTCCGAGCTACGAGCTTCTTCTTCCTCCGCTGGGTGCGTGAGCTGCCCCTTTGCTTGAGATTCCATCGGAGCTAATTCTGTCTCGTTCAGATCCCCGGCCATCATTTCCCACCCCTCATATTCACGTTGTTGGCCGTGTATCTGGCCTCGTTGGTGTCGCTCGTTCGGCCGGCCGACCAAAGCACCCCCGATCACCGCAAGGACAACAAAACTGCTCGACAAGCTTCCAGTGAGTGGCTCAGCAAATGCCGTCCTTACGTTCGCACATAAGCTCATCAAAATTTGCTATAGAGTCTCCAGAACCTCCCTCTCAAGGCGTCCTTCAGACCCTATTGACCGGTCTACCGTCCGCCAAGCTACCGCTGTCAACGCGTTTGACCGTTCTGATCAACATCGGCCTCGCTCTCCTTACACTGGACTTTGTAGCACGAGGCTTCGTGGTCTATCCGAGCAAGGATGTCACTTTCTCTCGCATCGGCTACGTGTCGCCCACCACGGCGAATCTGCTGGTTCGTGAGCCCGATCCTGCCCAGCTACCCTTGTTCGTCTTCTACCAGCCAGCGGAAGACGATCCCTCGCAATGGACCGAAGAGGGCGTCATCTACTTCCTGGATGATACGACGGACTTCACGACCACCGTCACGATTAAGGGTCTGGAGCCGTCATCTGCATACCGCTATTCTCTGTCCAACAATCTGACAGGCTCTTTCGTCACGGCACCGATGCCCGGCTCGAAATCGGCTAATCACCTCAGCTTCCTCACCTCGAGTTGTATGAAGGCGAACTTCCCTTATAACCCATTGTCGCATCCACTGCGGATACCAGGAATCGAGAAGATGACGGAGACGGTCAATTCACTGTCGTCGCTGCTCCGACCAGCTTTCATGTTGTTCTTGGGGGATTTTATATATGTCGATGTGCCTCAGCGCTTTGGATCGTCCACCTCTCACTACCGCAGCGAGTACCGTCGGGTCTACTCATCGCCATCGTGGTCCGAGCCCCAAGGTAGCCCAGCCCTTGATCTTCCGTGGATTCATACGCTCGATGACCACGAGATTGAGAACGACTGGTCCAAGGGGAACACAACTGCGCCGTATCCTGCCGCTTTTGACCCCTACATCCACTACCACGTCAGCGCAAACCCCCCTATACCGCCGACTCCCTTTGCCAAACCTGAAAACACCACCTACTTCTCTTTCATTAATGGACCTGCCTCGTTCTTCATGCTGGACACCCGCACCTACCGCACCGAGCCTGCCCAGCCCAGCTCTTCCATCCTCGGCTCCGCACAGCTCCAGTCCCTCCTCGCCTTCCTCGCGCGTCCGGAGCCATCCGAAGTGCGCTGGAAGATCGTGGCGTCCAGCGTTCCTTTCACCAAGAACTGGCACGTTGGCACAACTGACACTTGGGGTGGGTTCCTCAATGAACGTCGCATTGTCTTTGAGGCGATGTGGCGCGCAGAGCGCGAGCTAGGCGTCCGTGTTGTCCTGCTCAGCGGAGATCGCCATGAGTTCGGAGCGACCCGGTTTCCAGACCCAGATATCAAGCTGACGCCCGATGAGCTACTCCCCAACACAGCGGGAGAAGGTCTGCACGAATTCTGCGTCGGGCCACTGAACATGTTCTACCTCCCGATCCCGACCTACCGTCAAGACGATGATGAAGACGTCGCGATCAAGTATATCCCAGAGGGAAACACCAAGTACGGGCTAATCGACATTGATGTTCGGGACGAGACCATCGACACCAAGGCTGGTGCAGCCATCACTGTTCCCAGCTCCGTCTTCACCTACTCACTCTACGTCGACACCGACCTTGTCTGGCAGTACTCCCTCAGCGTCCCTCTGCGGGGATTCGAAGCTGTGGTCGCATCCTCGTCCGCATGGAAACACCCTCGCTTCCCGCCGGGCAAACTCCTTCTCGACGAGCGCGAGGCAGGCAGCTGGATCGAATCGATCAAGTCGGTGATAGGCCGCGTCGAAGAGACAGTCGGCGAAGTGTCCTTTTACGCGAGAGAGCAAGTTTACGATCTACTCGATAAAGTCAGACGGGTGGAACGAGTGGACTGATGTCTGGACACATCTTATTCTTCGATGCAATTGGCAGTGAGAGTTGGTTAATAATAAGAAATATGATCCTATTACCATTATTAATGACATTTACCTGACCGGACAGATAAAGCTCGATGCCTTGGTCTGATAGTACTTTCTAGTAAAACCTCAACAAGATACAGGGGTCAGAGGCTTGTACAGTGTTACTAGGATCACGCGATCTCAGAAGTCCATTCCCAAAGTGCGGATGCTGCAAGGCCAAGGCAATGGCGGCGGTGGCATATCTTGTCAAAACCTTCATAATACTACTATCGAGTAGTTTATTATAGTTGTTTATAGATACCTGACAGTTAAATAAGTATTTAGCACTTATTACCATTGGTCACTATGAACAACTATAATATATACCTGTCTGTGACTGTTTATGACCGTCCACACCGAGTTCACAACTGTTTGTAACTGGCTCATCACCAGCCTTGACTTTATGGTCGGTAGTGCTTGAGCCATTGGCCTAGGAGAAAATCATGGCAGTACTAAGGGATAGTATTATCCTAACAGCCGGTCTATAGTACTAACTTAGTAGTAGTTAGCGTCAAGACGTATTAATCAACCATTCATTGAATGAATGGGTAGGAAAAATATATTTTCTTTCCGTCATCCGTCAACGACCCTCGAGTAGGACGGGATCAGCGATTGATTCTCGACAATCTTATCAGGCAGAGGGAATAGCAAACAAATAGAAGGAATTAGTCAAAGCACGCCCAACACCATCATATGCTAGTTACAATTGACGAACAACGACGACGACGTGAATAGTGAGAGTGACCCATGAGTGGCATGATACCGGGTTCGAGTCGGGGCAGAAATCAGAAAGGTAAGAAGAAGGTGTAGTAATATAATCATGGAATGTGAGAACAGGAACAGAAAGAGGAATGGAAGAAGCCGTGGGAAACAGAACATGCATGCATCGTTGTCATCATCACCGTCCTCGACCGCGGCCGCCGCCACCACCGCCGCCCATGAGCCCGCTCATTTGGCTCATCATGCTTTGTAGATCCATTCCGCCCAGGCCGGGGAGGCCACCGCCGCCACCGCCTTGGCCTTGCAGCATCTGCATCATCTTGGCCATGTCGCCCATGCCGGGCATCCCGGGGAAGCCACCGCCACCGGCGCCGCCCATTGCGGCCATGCGCTTCTGCATGGCGGCCAGCTGCTGCTCCTTGTTACCGCCCTTGAGCATGTTCTGGGCGCGTTGCATCTGCTTCTTCTGTCCACCGACGCGCTTGGCCATGCCTGCCATCATGCGGTGCTGGGAGAGTAGGTCTTCCACTTCGCGGACGGTGGTGCCGCTGCCACAAGCGATGCGGACCATTCGGCTGGGCTTCTCGACAAACATCTTGCCGTCGCCGTCGAGTTCGGCCGCCGTCATGCTGTCGAAGATGTAGATCATGCGACGCAGTTTCATGGAGCCGTCTTCGTCGTCGAGCCCCGCCGTCAGGTTGGAGAGACCGGGGATCATGCCGGACAGTTTAGAGAGGGGACCCATCTTCATGATCGAGGTGATGTTCTCTCGGAAGTCGCGAAGCGTGTAGATACCCTCCGAGATGTGCTTGTAAGTCTCCTTGGCGGAGGCTGAGTCCTTCGTCACGGCTTGCACGTGCTCGACGAGACCGGCCATATCGCCCATGCCCAGGAGCTTCTGGATGAAGGCCTTGGGCTCGAAGCGTTCCAGGTCCATCAGGTGCTCACCGGTACCGAGGTAAATGATGGGGGTGTGGGTTGCGGCGACGGCGGAGATGGCACCACCTCCCGCGGCGTGACCATCGGTCTTGGTGATGATGATAGCTCCGAAGTCTGCAGTGGCCTTGAAGGCGGATGACTGGGCCTCGGCCGCCTGACCGATGGTGCTGTCGAGGACGAGGATGGTTTGGTCGGGGGTGACGGCGGTCTGGATCTGGGTCATTTCGGTAAAGAGCTCCTCTTCCTGCTTGTGACGACCACTGGTATCGACGATGATGATCTCGAAGCGCTCCTTCTTGAACTTGGCCACACCCTCGGCGGCGACGATGGCGGGGTCGGTCTGCGTCAAGCTACCGTAGTAGGGGATCTTGGCCTTGGTAGCATTCTGCTTCAGTTGGTCGAAGGCACCGGCTCGGAAGGTATCGGCACAGACGAGGGCGGTCTTGAAGCCGCGCATCTGGTAGTGGCGGGCCAGCTTGGTACAGGTGGTGGTTTTACCAGCACCCTGCAGACCGACGAACATGATCACGTTGGAGCGGCCCTTCTTGGGGCGGAAGGGCTCCGCATGAGGATCGACCAGGGACACCAGCTCATCGAAGACGGCCTTCTGGATGAGACGCTTCTTGTTCACGGCGGGAGGGAGAGAGGCAAAGTTCACGCTGGACTTGATGGATTTGCGGAGGGTCTGGACCAGGCGGACGTTGACGTCGGCGGACAGTAGGGCGGCGCAGATCTCTTTAATCATGTCATCAAATGCCTAGAGCTGTTAGAACTGAAGATCATCGGGAGGCAAATGACCAGGTAACATACCTTCTCGTCCAGATTGCTGGAGCGAGTCAGATCATTGACGGCGGCGTTGATTCGCCGCCCGAGATCCTGGAGGACCATGTCGGGGGATTGCTCTCGGGGCTGGGGGGTATCAGATAGGAGTGTAGCGGGCAGATTATCAATGGATTACTGCCAGCGACCAAACACAAGAGAACGACGGAGGCGTAGGAGAGGGGAAGAGGCGTGGGAGATGAGGTGGTGATGGAGAGGCCAGACGGAGGCCAGCGATCGAAGCGATGCGGAGAGCCCCGCGGCCAATCACAGCCGCCCGCCGCCTGGCCGCCCGCGACGCCCCAAAAATTGCTGGGAAAAAAAGTTCCGGATTCACGACTGGGACCACGTCCAATCTTTCCCCCACCCCCTCCTCAGACCAAATTCTTCCAAGTCAATCTCGAAGGATTCCGTCTCGCCATCAACATGCCTCCCCACATGAAAAAGCGCAAGGTCCTCGACTCGTTGCAGGCCGGCCCCAAGAAGAAGTTCAGAAAGCAGCGCGAATACCACAGCAGCTCCGAGGAGGAGTCTGAAGACGATGAGCCCACCGATTTCCAGGCCGTCAACCTGGCCGATTCAGACGAGGAGGAAGTCGAGGTGAAGCAACCGAAGAAGCAGACCAAGTCGATTGGCGCCGCCACGAAGGCCAAGGTCGAAAAGAAAGACGAAAGTTCCGACAACGAAGAAGCCGACGACGACGATGTGGAATCGGATTTTGAAGGATCTGATTTCTCGGACGACGAAGACGGAGCCGATTCCGATACCTCCACGCCCGCGACCGATCGCAGAGCCGTTTCCAAGCGCAATGATCCCTCGGCTTTCTCCACCTCCATCGCGAAGATTCTGTCCACCAAACTGCCCACATCTGTTCGAGACGATCCGGTGCTGTCGCGCAGCAAAGAGGCAGCTCAGAAGAGCACCGACATTGCAGAGGAGAAGTTGGACAGGCAAGCGCGCGCCAAGCTGCGTGCGGAGAAGAAGGAGGAACTGGAGCGGGGTCGCATCCGCGATGTCATGGGCCTGCAGCGTGGTCAGGCCGGTGCGGTGGCTGAGGAGGAGAAGCGTCTGCGCAAGATCGCCCAGCGTGGTGTGGTGAAGCTGTTCAACGCCGTGCGCGCGGCCCAGGTCCGTGGAGAGGAAGCGGCCAAGGCCGAGCGCAAGAAGGGAACCATTGGTATCGGCGAGCGTGAGAAGGCCGTGAACGAAGTCAGCAAGCAGGGCTTCTTGGATTTGATCAGCGGCAAGAAGGGCAAGCCGTTGAAGATTGAGGAGGCCTAAGGGTTTACGAGTGTTTCTGTTCGCTGTTAGAGACCTGGCATACCTGGGCGTTCGGGGTTCTTGACTGTTCGTTTTCGCAAGTGTTTGGATTATTAAAAGTGATATTCTATTTACAGGTACTTTCATGCCAAATGTGAATGGAGATCGGAATACCCAATAGAGACACGTTCGTTTGCAACCCACCCATGAGCCCGCATAATCGTAGTCATGGACCCCTCCCCAGTGTATACGCTTGATAATCATACAGTCCATCACACAAGCCCCTCATATATAGTACAATCGTCTCATTTCTTCGGCTCGAAATCGCTTGCCTGCAGGTTCCGAGTCATGGACGGCAGCCGGACCACGAGGCCATCGAGGTCCTTGCTCATCACCACTTGACATCCCAGGCGGGAGGTCTCCGTCAGACCGAATGCAAGGTCCAACATGTCGTTCTCGTCGTCCGATGGCTCTTCCATCTTGTCGAACATGTCCGGCTCCTCGACTATCACGTGGCACGTGGAGCAGGCGCATGAACCGCCACAGGCACCTGGAACAGAAGTGTTGTCAGCCAATGCCATTATACAGTCGCACACGGGACCCTCTACACACCCTCCATTTCGATGTCGTTTGCCTGTGCAATGTCCAGCAGGTTGTCGCCCTCGGAGACTTGCAGATCAATCTTCACGCCGTCCTTATCGATGAAGGTCACATTGATCCTACGCAGGCAGTTAAGTTAGCGTATGGGCATGAATCCATTGTCGACGATGACTCACTCCTCGCCCGGCTTGGGCGGCGTGATATGGCCATGCTGAGCAGCGGCCGTAACGGAGAAGCTGCGGCGCCCCGAGGGAGCGGACCACGACGGCTGGTTCAGGAAGCTTCTCCGGGCATTGATCGAAAGTCTGCTAGAGCCGAGAAAGCGGGATGACTGGGCCGGAGAAGAAGAGGAGAGGAATCGCTTGGACTGGGAGCGACAGATGCTTTCCCCGGTCTTGGGAAGGGCATGACGCAGGTTCAAACAGGCTTCCTTCCAGAACGACATGGCGGGGGATAATCGGAACAGACCGAGAAGACGAGGGGAGGGAGAACAGGGAAGGATAAAGACACTGCGGAGGGGAAGACGAGCAGTGCAGCAGAGTGGAGAGGGCGCGACGAGGCAGAAAGACGAGGCGAGAGCGAATCCTGGGGCGGGAAAAAAAGACGAGGCCGACGGCGGCGGGAAATTCGGCGGTCGTCATTCGTCGGCTTTCTTTTTTCGACTTCTTCTCCGAGCTCTCCATCGTTACTAGTTTCTCCTCCTCACGTTTCCCCCCATCATCTCTTCCTCGTTGCTGTTAAAACCCCCCTCATAGCCTCTCTTTCTCTTTTTTTGTTCATCATGACTGCCCCTCTTGATGGGCCCAATCCTCTCCGGCCCTATTATTTCCCTCCCTCGCTCGGCCTCGATGCCGCCAACGCCTCGTCCCCTCCCGATGCGTCATCGTCCACTCAAGTCTTTGGCGGTTCGGCGCGCGATCTTTTGCCCGACCTCGACTACTCCGAATATCTCGACAACTCCCCCTCGCTGTCCAGCTGGATCCGTGATGCCTTGGACCAAGCCCTCTGGCGCTACAGTGCCGTCCTAACTGCTCAGCCCTTTGACGTCGCCAAAACCATCCTGCAGGCCTACGTGGTGCCCGATGATTCTGCGGAGGGACAATGGGCGAGGCATGATCGGCGGAGCTCCGCGGCGAGCAGCCAGGGCGATTCCAACGATGATGAAGACGTATGTGCACGTTGTCCCATCGACCTGTTGGAATAGAGACAATTGACAGGGCGCCCGCTTGGGCTTCACAGGAATGCCTCTCCTCTGATGATGAGAGCAACTACTTCACATCCGCAGCTCCCGTGTCTTCACCGTCCCAACCTCGATCGCGGAAGCCTCGACGCCATATCACTGACCGGAGCGGCTATATTCCATCCTCGACGTCTTCCTCTCGACATGCTCTGGCCATCAAGAACCCCTCCTCTCTGATGGAGGTGCTCTCTCAGCTCTGGACCACCAGCGGACCGACATCGCCCTGGAAAGCGACCAACGCGACCTTCATCTATTCCTTGCTTCTCCCGACCCTGAATACCTTCATCCGCAGTCTTCTATCCGCGATCGTGGGCCTTCCGGAGGAGGATGTCACTTCTTCCATGAGCGCCGACATCCTGACGTCAACCTCCCCCGTTATGACCTTGATCCTGTCGTTCATCTCCTCGTCGCTGTCGGCGATGCTCCTCTCCCCCATTGACACCGCACGCACATTCCTCATCCTCACCCCCGCCACGCACGGCCCCCGCTCGCTCCTACGGGCCCTTCGCATGATCCCGACCCCCAACTGCACCATTCCCTCCCACTTGATCCCGATTACCATCCTCCACTCTAGTCTGCCCAACTTTATCATGAACACGACACCCTTGGTCTTGAAATCATACCTCTCCATTGACCCCGTCTTGAACCCTTCGGCCTGGGGCCTGTTCACCTTCCTCAGCTCGGGCCTGGAGCTCGCGGTCCGCTTTCCTCTGGAAACTGTCCTCCGTCGCGCGCAAATTGCGACATTCACCTCACCCAGCATTCGGCAACACTCGAGTGGCTCCGTCCGCTCTGGATCGTCTCCCATCGCAGCCGAGACCAAGATCCCGGCGGTTGAAACCATTGTCCCGACGCCGCAGACTTACCGCGGCATCATCGGCACAATGTGGGGAATTGTTTATGAAGAGGGAATCGCACCCGCGCCGGAGTCCGAGCGGGCAGAGCAGCTGCTCAGGAAGCAAGTCTTGCACCGGAAACGCCAGGGTCAGGGCATCAAGGGTCTGTACCGGGGCTGGAGAATCGGCATGTGGGGGATTGCCGGCATCTGGGGTTCCAGTCTCATGACGAGCGCCAGTGTAACCGGGGACGACGATTCCATGGCCAGCGGCGGTCGATTCTAGAACCAAAGCGCCGGCTGGTTCGGTTCCTTACCGATAAGCCATTAGCTTTCTCACGGTCATCTTCACTCCCTATCCTCCTCCCCCCCTCTCCATCTCTTCTCCTTTCTTTCTTCCTCGTTTAATACCAATACCAACGGACGCTGCTATGGGATGTACTGTATTTCCTCCTTTCTTTCCGGGTCTTTCCATGTCACTTATCACATACGGAGCGGGCTGGCAATGGGGCGTTGGAGCCTGTCATTCTATATGGTGTAGATAATATGAATCCACACGGATGCTGAGGCATCTCTACCTTGACCAAATTCCACGCCGTAATCGATGAGCTTTCAGTGACAGCCAACCCATCCATCCACCTAGCCCAACCAAAACACGAAAAGACGTCCCGTCGTACGAACAGCATCACGTGAAGCTTCACTCTCCCATAGTAGTTTCCCAGACCAGAGAACGTTCCAAAGAATTGATAAGCCTTTTCCTCGTTCGTACTAACTCATTCCTTCCATCTTTTCCCAACACAATGACAAGATATATGCTATATCTAGATACCATCATGCAGAATCCTGTGATAGATGCCATTTATCCATTCTCAACCCAATTGATCCTCTACAATACGTGTATACATCATCACATACGAAAGGGGGGAGAGAGTTCCAAGGCTGGAAGGAGAGACATAAATCCGAGATTCATCCCATAGATAAATAAATAGATAGATAAAAGGAACAAGATAAATGCAAGATGGAAGATAACGCCGGATCGTTTCATTTCACCCGTCTAAAGGTCGTTGGGTGGGAAGATTAAATATCCCATCTCCGTTTCTAGACATTTCTGGCTGTAGTGGTAGGTCGTTGAGTTTTTGCATTGCTTTGCTTTTGTTTTCTTTAATGGTGGGGTCATTCTTTTTGCACATCCTGCTTGGTGGACGGGATGGCGTGAACGGGTTGAAGAGGGTCCCCGGGAGGTGATGGGGAGGGAAGGAGGTATTATGGAGGGGTGAGCTTTCTCCATTGGGTCGGGGTCGGTAAGGTTGGGGTGGGGTGGGTTGGTGTATAATACAAACTCAGACGTGCCATGAGTCAGGTTTGGGTATCATGAGAACAAAGACAAAAAAGAGATCAAAAATGAGGATGAGAAGAAAAGAAAAAAAGATGCAGAGAAGGCCTATTTGTCGGCGAATCTCCGATCAAAGTAGCGCAGCACACCCATGACGCTGGCGGCTTCGACCTCTAATGCTGCTCGTGAGCCGGGCTGCACGACTTCCCTCGGACTCGAGTTGGGGTCCGGGAGGGTGTGAAGCTTGGGAAGCCACGAGGAGATGTCGTCGCTGGCTCGGGAGAAGTTCGGGTGGCGGGACAGGGTGGTAAAGGCGTCGGCACAAGAGAGCGTCAGGGATGGGGTATTCGAGCGACGCGAGCTGGCAGTCTGTTGAGTTGACCCGCTACGCTGAGGGTTGGAGTTGCGCGACATGCAGCATCCACCATCGGCGCCTTTACCGCCGCAGCAACCGGAGGAGGCAGCGCTGGCGGAGCGGGAGGCCGCCAGCGTCTTGCAAAAAAGGGTCCGCCGGGGATCGGCGAGACATTGGGCACAGGTTCCCGGGCCATTGGCGCAGGGGTTCGTCGCCTGGCTGATGGGCGGAAGAGTCACTTCGGACCGCACGTCTCCATCCGAGGGGGGCGGCGTGAACTGGGAGATGTTCTGGATAGGGGCGAGGCGGTTGTTCTCGAAGGAGCTTCGCCGCCGGCGCTCCTCCTCCTGTGCAGCCATTTCGGCGCAAATACAGGGCGTGCCGTCCGTGCAGAATCCACAGGGATCCACGGCAGGAGAGGACACGGTAGTGACGCTATCGTCCTGGATGTGGTGAGGGGCCGCGAATCGCGTGGTGAAGTCGATTTCCATCTCCTCGGGCTCCGGCTTGATTTCCGGCTCGGGGCGAGCATGGCTCGAACGTTCAGGACGCTTGGATTGTGACGAGGCACCCTCGAGACCGGGCATCCCAAAGGCGTCTTCGATGCACTGACAGTGCCCGGACGAGCAGTTGCTGCAGCCCAGGGGTACCTCCTCCCGCTCCTCTTGGATACTGCTCTCCACAGCCACACGAGCTGCGGCGGACGAAGCTCTGGCTGACACGCGGGTCAAGGGAGACCTGTCCGCGCGAGAGGTATTCTTATCGGACAGCGACGACCGGAATTCCTTCACGAGGCTTTCCTTGGCGCTTCGCTCGACGGAGACCTCTTTTTCCAACGCATGACACCGGTCGCGCCACCAGGCCATTTCACTCCGACATTGTTCGACCTCGTGGGACAGGTTGGAGATTTGGTCCTTGAATGCGGCCACGTGGATTTCATGTTCGTCCTCGATCTTCTTGATCTGGTCCTCGAGTTCGTTGACGCGAGCTGCCCTGCGTTCCCGGAAGGCTCTCTGGGCGGCTCGATTCTGGGCCTTGCGTTTGGTAGGAGGCGTGTCGGTGGCCGGCTTGCGACCGGGCTTGGGACGAGGGGGAATCACCCATTCTTTGGAGGTGACGGATCCGGGTGTGCCCGGTCCGGGTGACGGTGAGATGGTCGGCTTGGCGGCCAATGCGGGTGCCAACGGAGCTGGGCAGGGCGCCGGGGCCAGCGAGGGCGCCGGGGTAGCCATGAAAGTCGACAGGAACCTCTTTATATCAAGAGGTAGTCTGCAGTGTGGTCAGCAGTCATATTCTTTTTTTTTATGATTTTTTTTTCACCGCGAGGGGTGGGTGCGGGAGGTGTTGGGAGGACGGACCAACCGAAGGCAGCGAGGGAAGGAGAAGAAGTGGTGGTGTCACTTGATCGCTTCGGCGGCCGGAAGAGCGGAAGTGCGCCCTTCAGCCGATAAGCGAGGCGAGTGAGGGTGCAGGTGCTGCTCACCGGAGCAAATTGGGCGAGAAGCAGCAGCAATTGCCTATCAATCACTCTCACGGAGGTGGATGGAGGAGGACGGGCATGGAATGAACACGACCGGGAGGGATGAAGCACGCAGATAAGGCGGGTGACAGAGAAGAGGGCGACCGAGGAAAGAAGAGAGGGGGGGAAGAAGACCGGGAAAAAGGTCTCGGATCAGATTAGATTATCGTGCGCGCTCACCGACTTCGGAGTTACGGTGGGACGCCTCTGGTTGGGCCCTTTTATTCGTCGTCCCAGCCAGCCGCTGGTTATCAATCACCCAGCTCGGACTTGTTTGGGGTTTAGGGTAACCCTATCCACCACCGGGATGCTTTTCTGCTCCGGGGGAAAGCCTGTCCGGTGTATCTATCGTCTACGATTAGTCGACAACGGTCAATAGGGCTGAGTCCCTCTTCCTCCCTGCTATCGATCGGTCCAGTTCACAGCACAAGAAAATCTCAACGGCCAGACAGCACGCAACGCTCACAATGCGAGGGAGGCAAGTCGTGCGTCAATCATGACACTCGACGGGTCCTCCAACCCATGGGCCATGAGAAATTCTCTCACAGTCCCAACTCCCAAGCCCGCATGTGGGTACACACCATCCGTCCGTCCGCCCTCTGTTGGCCAATTTCCCACCCGCGATGAGCGCGAATCCTTGGCAAAAGCCTCGTCTCCAACGACGAAAGGACCTTGCACGGTGCACATGGCAAAGGCGGATGAGAATAATAACTGGCTTTAATTAACTATCCTCAGCAGGGCTGACACATAGAAACGCGGACATTCGGCCTAGAAGCCGAACTGATTCTTGCCCCCTGACCAGGGATGAAGGCTTCCCCATGAGACGGGTCCATGATTAGCAATGAGAATGAAGACACAGCCAATGGTATCCAGACTGCTGACAGAGACCCTTCGGACTTTTCTTTTTCTTTTTCTTTTTTTTTTTTTCCTTTCCCAGAACTTTTCTATCCGATATCCAGACCCATCCCCAGCAGAGGCTGGTATCCATGATGCATTCGGTACCACCTGTCCCTCCGTCGTCTGATCTTATCAGATCACGCTAATCCCTCTTGGGCGATCCGAACCATGTGTGTCGTAATGCATGAACCAAACCCCGTCGAACGATCCGTCGAGGAAAACGCCCCCGTTAGCCGGGTTCAGTTTAGTTGGATGGGACTGAGGGCAGAATGAAAACTCTTCCTATTTTCTCGACTGCGTGATTAGTTATAGCATAGCGCTCACCGTGCAATCCGTAATGTAGTGGTCTCAAATGCCGAAGAACGGAAGTCACGGGGCGAATCCGGCCCGATTCTGTCTGGTTAGCCACAGACGGCAGACCGACTTTTGCTGTAGGGATTGGATGACCTAGTTCTATTGTTTTATAGGGATGGGGAAGGCTTATTTGGGATGTGTATGATACATGTCAGATGGAATTAGTGATGTGTGCTTTGATGTACATGCTAAGCAATCCTGCTCGTAGATACAAAGGGGAAGGCCGTGATGGGGATTCCGCATCCACCGATCATCGCCTGTTTCCCTATCCTTCGGTTTGCCTTCCCTGATTTTTCCTTCTCCCTTGGGATCCACTATTTCGTACCTTCTGATCTGCTGAGATTTACTGCAGCGGGCAGTTATTTCGTAAATCGTACTATGGATCATGATCATGTAGAGTACAAGGTCGATGTGCGAGATCGCTCCGACACTGACACCAGAAGAGCTGATTTCTGCAATCTGCCAATCAAAGATCAACGAGAGCCGGGGACCCTGTCGACGGATGAGCCGAATGCTTAGTCTGGACAAAGACCTTCTGCATGCCTCCCTCGCGATGGGAAAACAACTCGTATAGCTTGTCCATATCTTCCAGTCGGACACGATGGGTCACGATATCCAATGGATTGATTTCATCCTTCCGGATGAGGTCGAGGAGATGTTTCCAATACTTCTGCACGGGGGCCTGACCGTTACCGATGAGTCGAACTCCTGTCTGCATCAGCGCGCCGATATTGAAGTGATTTGTCTGAGGTTGTTAGCTCTGTGCAACGAATACAATGAGGTTAGGTCTTGCTTCACGTACATAGCCCGCATAAACTCCCGTGACCCCGATGCGTCCGAAGGGTCGAACCGAGGTAATCATCTCGTTCAGCATCTCTGACGTATCGGTCTCCATTCCGAGGAGCATCTCGAAGTAATGGGCCCATCCCTTGGCATATTCGCCGGATGTGCAGTCCAACGCGACATCAGGTCCGCCAGGAACCATCTTCTTCAACTGCGAGGTGATGGATTCGCCTCGAGGCAGCTTGGTGAAGTCCAAAGTCTCGAGCTTCGGGATCTTGCTCTTGACGAAGTCCAAGCGCCAGGCTCCTTCTCCGCCGTCGATGAGGATGACCCGACTAGCACCTTGTGAGAAGCTGAAGCTGGAGACCATTTGTCCGATGGGTCCGGCGCCCCAGACGGCGACTACATCGCCTTTGTTCACCCCGGTGTCGACTACGCAGTGGTAGGAGGTGGCTAGGACATCTGAGAGATACAGTGCCTTTTCATCTGGGACGTCGTCGGGCAGCTTGAGGAGGTTCACATCGCCGTATGGTACCCGGACGTACTCGGCTTGACCACCCGCAAAGCCCCCGGTGAAGTGGCTATAGCCAAAGATGCCTAGTAGAGGTCATATAGTTAGCATCTGAGCTTGATGCAAGCCGAAGGGGTTGACTGAGGGACTTGCCTGACGTGCGCTTCCCGTACATGGCGTTGGTGACGGTATTCTCGTTGGTGCGCTCGCATTGGGAGGTCAGCTGCCTCTGGCAATTCCTGCAGTCGCCGCACGCAATGGGAAAGGCTGCCACCACGCGATCCCCCGCCTTCACTTTCTTCGCCCCGGGACCGACACTCTCGACCACTCCGCAGAATTCATGGCCTAGCACATCGCCTTTCTCGAGTTGCGGGATGACTCCTGCCGTGCATCACGACGAGCGGTTAGGAGAGCGACAACCGGATGAAGGAGAGATGAACACATACCGTGATACAGATGGAGGTCACTGCCACAGATTGTGCTGCCGGTGACCTTGACTAGGACGTCATCTTCATCCACGACTCTCGGCTTGGGCATCTCCACTAATTAAAGAATTAGATCAGAGGCAATGGGGGGAAGAGGAACGGGCTCACGACTGACCAACCTCGACCTGGTTCTTCCCTTGCCAGATGGTCGCCTTGATCTTCTCGCCGGTCTCCTGGCCGTGCTCGCCGGCATAATTGCTGATATCCGTGGTGACGGTGGCGTTGCCACTGTGTCCGACGGCCTTCTCCACCAGATTGGCAGCTTGGGTTGCAGCCATGACAGTTCAATCGGATGCAATCAGAATATATTTGAGGGTACTAGAACAATGGGGTACAAAATGGGCAGAAAGGGTCAAGAGGGTCGCATCCCCGGGCGCGTCGTGGTATTTAGTGGCCTCTCGCTGACTGACATCACAGTGAGGTCGTTCCATGTCATCCTACCATCGGATGGGTCGAAGTTCGCAACACGATCACCAATCCATGGTCGGCTTCTGATAGGCTCTGCGATTGAGCTCAACTGGAAGTCTGGAGCTACACACGACACCCTCGATGGTTGCACGTCTCCCCAATGACGTCATAGCAACACGATGACCCCGATTGTATCCCAACATTTCACTGAGATACTTCATTCTCCATGATTAGATACTGTCTACCTGACACCAATCGCGTCGTCGAGCATGTAAGGCTCTGGATTCACATGGTACGGGCAGCATGGCTTTTCTATTGTGTATTGTCCACGTCGGGCTCTGGTGGCATTACAGATTTTAACCCATCGTTTATCGCAAGTCAACGCTTATCTGTAGAGGCAGTTTGATGCTACTACAGTGATAAGATCGATTACATTGCCTAGGCGCTCCAACGGGGTGTCGCCATGAAGTCCTTCGGCGCGAAAAGTCCTCGCCAAGATTGACAAGGCGGTCGCCTGCTGCCTACGCTGCCTTTATGAACCCTTTGGCCCCCTCGTTTCACCCAAGCTGCATGCCATCCGGCTGACACCTTGAGATTGTGCCGCCATAACAAACTCCTGGAAGGAGGCATCCCCGATTGCACGAGACCATCCTCCCTTATTCCTGCGGCCGTCCTTCATTCCCGCCTGCCCCGCGCTTGTCTTGGCTGAATTCTTTGCGGCGCCCTGCTCCCTCCATCTTCAAATTCCAGCATGAGACATCTCGATCGTCTGCTGGACCGGGTGGCCCGTCATGCCAGAGAGATCTTCGAGCCCGCTTCCCAGCAGACGGGGCCGTCACCCAATCAGCCGTATCATCGTCCCCCTCCACCAGCTCCAGGTGTGTCCCCGATTTCATACTTTCTTCGCCCATTCCTGAAAGCAAGATCGATTCCGCCAAAGAAAGAATTCCCCGTCAGCTTGCCTCGGCCATGTGTATCGTTCATGCCGTTCCTGAATCCTCCAAATTTCTGCTCCTGTACCCCGGCTCGCCAGGTTTCAAACCCAATGTGTAAACACTGTCTGTTTAAGATGTAGCGTGCCTGTTTGCTTGTTGGTTTAAGCAGCAGTCGACACTTTCCAGTTAGACGCCCTGGCCTGCAGTCGGTATACACCCCGTCTGGGCCTGACCTTTGGGCGCTTAGTTCTCCCTGAAATAGGCGCTTTGCTGCTTTCATTTGTCCATCTCCAGTGGACCACCCACTCCCACTACCCTTTAACCTTTGGTGCCAGAAGTTAAAGGGACATGCTTATTAACTATCTTATTCCGTGGCTGCTAGTGGCACCGCCAGTGATCGCCCGAACTGGCCCCAAGGCCGTATTCGCTCATTTCATCGTGAGTCCTCTGCCAACTGGTTTGAAGACGTTACTGACGGTGCTGAGGTTGGCAATGCCGCTGCGATGACCCCCGAACAATGGGAGTCGGATATTCGAGAGGCCCAAGCCGCCCATATTGATGGCTTCGCGCTGAACATTGCGCCGCAGGATAGTTACACGGATGATGTCCTCGAGAAGGCCTACTCGGCCGCAGAGAGCGTCGGCAATTTCTCCCTCTTCCTGTCCTTCGACTACGGATCGGGGGGGCCGTGGCCGGCGGACCGAGTGATCTCCACGATCAACGCGTACCGCAATAGAAGCGCGCAATATAACTATCACGGCAAGCCGCTCGTGTCCACCTTTATAGGCTCTGGCAACGCCGACGACTGGCCTTACATCAAACAATTTGCCGACTGTTTCTTTATGCCGTCCTGGTCCGACCTGGGGCCTGCGGGAACCCGAGCCTATCTGGACACCATTGACGGTGCGTTCAGCTGGGATGCGTGGCCAGTGGGGGCCCAGAACAAGAACGTGACGAGCGACCGAGAGTGGATGCACGCGCTGTCCGGGAAGCCGTACATGATGCCCGTGTCCCCGTGGTTCTATGTCAACCTCCCGCAGTGGAACAAGAATTGGCTGTGGCGGGGGGATGACCTGTGGCATTTGCGATGGGAACAGGTGATGCATTTGCAGCCCGAGTTTGTCCAGGTATGGCGCGCTGCGGGGACCGGTTGGTTTCTACTGACGAAGACGGGTGCAGATTATAAGCTGGAACGACTACGGGGAAGCCCATTACATTGGACCCATCTACGATGCGGGTATGCCGGATGGCTCGTCCAGCTACGTCGCGGATCACCCGCACGATGCGTGGCGAGCACTCCTGCCGCACTACATTGCCGCCTACCGAGGAATGAACACGACGGACCCGTACCAGCCATCCCAGCAGCTGCCCGTGGCGGATAAGATGGTGTACTGGTACCGGTTGAATCCGAGCCACGCGGGGAGCGCCAATGGCACGACGGGGAACAACCCGGCGATGGGCCAAGAGGAGATGATGCCGGGCCAGGTGGCCCAGGACCGGGTCTTTGTCAGCGCCGCGGTGCAGGCGGCCAGTGAGATCGTGGTGCAGATTGGATCTTTTCCCCCGACCGTTCTGCAGGCGTCGGGGCCGGGCCTCAATCACTTTTCAGTGCCGTTCAATGGGCAGACGGGGCCGGTGCGGATCGTGATGATGCGCAACGACGGCGAGGTGGCGGCGACGGTTGGGCCGGCGATCACGGAGGAGTGCCAAGATGGCAACGTGAACTGGAATGCGTATGTGGGTTCGAGCGACTAGAAGAGCGAGCTCGATCCTCGGCTCGGGCCAAGTGGGCCGCTTATCAGGCCGCGGAGGAACAGATCTCTACTACGGAGTACGTAGGTCATCAACGGCGTGAGAACGGGACAGACACCACGTATGTCATTCCTAATTTCCTCGTGTTATATTCCGACGACGCCATGGAGTCCGTAGCACCCGATCCCTGACCTCAATGGCTTGAGGGACGCCCAGCGGAATGCAGGGTCCGACGGGGCTCCGGGCCAGGCGGAGGACGCTTATCAGCTGACTGCCATCGCCAGCTCGTCATCTTCTTCTCTCCGTCTCCTCCCTGCCTCTCCTCCCACTCTCCCCTCTGCTCTCCAATTCAGCCTCTCCCTGCTCTCAAACTCATCTGCTCCCTCAACGCCCTCCCCGACCGCTCCCCATGGCCAAGAAAAGCATCCTGGGCCTTCGCGAAGCCGCCATGGCCTACCGACCCAGCTCCTCCGGCCAGCTCCCCGAGCCCACCCCGACCCCCTCGACTGCGCCCACACCAGTGGCAGCGCCCACCTCCATCAACCCCGATGACTATTCCAAGCCCTACTGCGACTTCATGACCGCCAACCCGACCATCTTCCACGCCGTCGACAGCTTCACCAAGCAGCTGGAAGGCCAAGGGTACAAGCGCCTCCCGGAGCGCGACACCTGGCAGCTCGAACGCGGCGGCAAATACTACACCACGCGCAACGCCAGCGCCTTTATTGCCTTCTCCGTGGGCGCCGATTACCAGGCTGGCAACGGCATGGCCATCGTCGCCGGCCACATCGACGCCCTGACCGCCAAGCTCAAGCCCGTCTCCAAGCTGCCCACGAAGGCCGGCTTCGTCCAACTGGGCGTGGCGCCCTACGCCGGCGCCCTCAACGAGACCTGGTGGGATCGCGACCTCGCCATCGGTGGCCGCGTCCTGGTCCGCGACCCGACCTCCGGGAAAGTCGAATCCAAACTCGTCAAGCTGGACTGGCCCATTGCTCGCATTCCCACGCTGGCCCCGCACTTCGGCGCTCCCTCCCAGGGCCCCTTCAACAAGGAAACCCAAATGGTCCCCGTGGTGGGCGTCGACAACTCCGACCTCTTCGCCCAGCAATCCCCCACCCCCAGCCCCGCCTACGCCCCGGGCACCTTCGCCGCCACGCAGCCCCCGAAACTCGTCAAGGTCATCGCCCAAGAACTCCAGATCACCGACCCCAGCACCATCCTGAACTGGGAACTCGAGCTCTACGACAGCCAGCCCGCGCAACTCGGCGGCCTCGAGAAAGACCTGATCTTCGCCGGCCGCATTGACGACAAGCTCTGCTGCTACGCCGCGCAGGAAGCCCTCCTGGCCTCGCCATCCCACACCTCCCCAGCCTCCATCAAGATGGTCGGCATGTTCGACGACGAAGAAATCGGCAGCTTACTCCGCCAAGGTGCCCGCTCCAATTTCATGTCCAGCGTCATCGAACGCATCACCGAGGCCTTCGCCCCGGGCACCACCTACGGACCCAACCTCCTGGCCCAAACCGTCGCCAACAGCTTCTTCGTCTCCTCCGACGTCATCCACGCCGTCAACCCCAACTTCCTCAACGTCTACCTGGAGAACCACGCCCCCCGTCTCAACGTCGGCGTCGCCGTCTCCGCCGACTCCAACGGCCACATGACCACCGACAGCGTCAGCCACGCCTTCATCCAGCGCGTCGCCGCCAAATGCGACGCCACGCTCCAGGTCTTCCAGATCCGGAACGATTCCCGCAGCGGCGGCACCATTGGGCCCATGACGAGCTCGCGCATCGGCATGCGCGCTATCGATGTGGGTATCCCGCAGCTCAGTATGCATAGTATTCGGGCCACCACGGGCAGTCGGGACCCGGGACTAGGCGTGAAACTGTTCAAGGGCTTCTTTGATTACTTTGAGGAGATTGATCGGGAGTTTGCGGATTTTTGAGCCTGTTGATCGTCCTGTTGGGTGCCACATAAGATTTCTCCGTGATATACAGCGGATGAGGAAGGTAGATGAGATGCATTCTAGCGTTCGGATGGTGAGGCTTAGAGGATATGAGGGGATGGCTTGTCATGTTCTGCTGCTTTCCTGACACCGTTCTTCCATCGTGTGTCTAGTCGTATGTACTTGCCGTTGGCGCAGAGTATTTTATTTTGGAGTCCATCCGTGCGTAACATTGGGATACAGTCTACGTCGGTGGAGGTGGGCTAGCACAATGAAGATACTAGAGGCGAGTCCTTAGGCAGATGATAACTAAACAGGGATGCTCCCTTCACACCCGAAACGCCCAAATGAAATACCAATACCAGAGAGAAGAAGAAGAAGAAGAAGAAGAAGAAGAAGAAGAAGAAAATCACTGCAACGGATTCACTACCGGCACACTGAGCAACTCAATCAACTCATCCACATCCGCCAACGCCTCCATATTCAAGACCGCGGCTTCGATCTGGGCCTGGCGCTCGGGTCCGATCAGGCTGCCTGTCAACCGGCGGAACTTCTCCAGGATCTCGGCGTTGGTGATCGGCTCGTCGACCCCCTTCGGCTTCAGGAGGGTATGGTGGAGTTGCGTGCCGTCCTGGAACGTGATGGTGATGAACGCGCCACAGCCGATGTTGGGCTTGTCCAGCTCGGTCGTGTGCGTGCAGTGGGTCTTGTGGATGAGGGACCAGATCTCGTCCCGGTCGAGTTTGGCCGAGGAGAATTGTTCCAGTAGGACTTGGCCGTCGACGAGCTGGGAGGCGGCGACAAATGCCGTGTTCATTTGTGCTCCGGTTGGGGTTAGCGGGCGTGTCTCGGGCGCCCAGCCGCAGTGGTGATAGACGGCGTCGCTGAGCTGGATGTGGATGTCCTGGATGGTGGCGAGCTGGGCTGCGCCCCGGAGTCGGTCGGGGTACTGTTCTTGCATTGCGGCCAGGCATTCGATAGTGCCGTGGATGCCGCCGCAGCAGGCATGCAGCTTCAGTCGGATCCATTCGGCGGTGTGCCAGAATTGGCCTAGGTCTTTGGAGATTTCCTCGGGTTTGGAGTTGGGGGTATGTTTGGATCCCAGGCCGAACATGGCCAGGAAGCCGCCGTATGGCCGCTCGAAGACTTTCTTGATTCCTTCGTATCCGCCCCAGGCGAGCATCGTTCCGATTAGTCCGTTGCGTGCCGCGAATCCGTGATGCATCCGCTTGACCATGCCGTCGTACTGGGCCGCCATGAGGCCGCAGGCCTGTGTGGCGGCCACGCCGATGGCATCCTCGATCTGCGCTGCCGAGAGGCCAAGTAGCTTCGCCGAGCTGCCTGCTGCCGCGGGACCACCGAACACTGACCCGCAGTGCCATCCTTTCGCGAGCATCTCCGTCCCGTGCAATGCCATGCCGACCCGAGGGCCGATCTCAAACCCGACCACCGAGGCAAGCAGGAAGGATTGTCCATCGATGACTCGTGGGGTCGTGGGGTGGTCTCTGGCACTCACGGCGGCGGCGAAGAGTGGAGGAATGACCACTGCTTGTGAGTGTAGAGGCGCAACGCTGTGGTAGTCGTCTACCTCACAGGCCTGAATCCAGGATCCGTTTAGGGTGGCCGCCGCAACGGCACCCAGGCGCTGCCAACGCGTTAACGAGTGCCACAGATAGGGAACGGGGATGGGAACCTACCTCTTCGTACCCGATGACCACATGCTTCCCGGGTGCTTCAAAAGCGCGCATAGCGTCAAAGGCTTTCTGCGACCAAGGGACACGGGCGCCAACCAGCGCACAGGCAAGTCCGTCTAGGACTAGGTACTTGGCGCGAGTCCGCACCGCTTCGGGGATATCATCCAGCTGCAGACCAGCAATCCAGGCACACAGCTGACTGGTGACGCCGCCGTCGGCATTGTAAGGGGTGGTCTCCTGGGTCTTTCCCTGGGGTTCTTGATCAATACCGTTGGATACGGTAGACGGAGCAGCAGACGCTGCCGTCTGGGATTGAACTGCAACAGTGACCATCGTGAGCTTTTGCGCCTGAGAAAAATCTGGATAAAAAAAACCAGGGAGAGAGATACTGGCGACACCAGCATATATAAAGGTATCGCGGGGCCTTACCCCTCCCTTGTCACACGTCATTGCTGGCCTCTGGCGGACTGATTCGGTACCCCTGCGTATGGGTGAATGCGACGACGCATGCTCGCGCCTCCTCTATCAGGTGTCGCTTATTGGGTGGCCCGGCAAGGTTAGACGGAGGTTAGTGGAATAGCCACATAGTCTAATATTCCTCCACCCACCCCTCAGCCCTCATTCGGCGTTGTTCGTTCCTCCGACGGATTCCGAGGCCCGACTTTTTCCACCAGAGCCTTGCGAGGCACGCGGGCAGACAGGACCTGGAAGGTATTATTAGCGGGATCCCGTCATGTCTAGAGCTTACTTCCATCTCACCATGGGGATTTCTTCGATATAGCTTTCTCCTCGTGGTCCAAACCGGTCGGTCCCGTCAAGCATCACCCTGGTCTCGACCCCTGGAGAACCCCCACCGGCTCGGGACCCAAAATCTGACAACCAGTGTTCTGGAACGAACGCTTGGGCCGGTGCCGATCGGATGACCGGAGTCCTATGACGTTCGTTCAAGTTCAACCGAGCAAGGCCCGATCTGCCTCGGCAGGATGCTGTGCGAGAGTGATGATGTGACTTGGATGAGACGGCTGGATTCTGTCCAGAAGGTGGAGGAGGAAAGGGGCGGAACTTGCTATCAGGTGATCTGGTCACGCTGTCTGGATTTCATCCACCACCACCGAATATCCGGACGGGTTCAGCCCCCCCGAAATTGTCGTTAGCGCGAACCAGGGTCAACGGCATGGTGCCCTGGAAGACCCGGTACCATTGATCGCATTGATCGCTACTCTCCCTGGATGACATCTTTGCTTCCCAGACTGATTCTCATGACCAAGGCGCCCTACGGACGGGGTTTCGACCGTTTACTGTCAGCATCTGACTATAAGGTGAGGATTAATGCTCTAGTACATAAGCAGATAGTACTCGGTCGATACTAGATAGTAATACGGAGTCCTTAGTAGTACTTAGTTTGGCCCCAAGGATCGGGTGCTCCACCCGGACCACTAAGCCGAAATCGGCAATCAATATACTACCGACATACAGAGTACATACATAGGACATCCATAGGAGCACAGACTCCAGACCCACTAATCTGAGTTCTGACATTCATTTCCGATCCCCCTTGCCAGTTGCCCCGGCCATACTGACCTGCTGGTCCATATTCCTCAACAAAACCTCACTTATGGACTAACCCAGGCGAATGGATCGATGAGACACAGTAGGTTGAAACAGTTGAAACACCGGCAGGAAACGACTACCACACTCACGCCTCCCAGGCCAGGAATCTGCCTCAAATGAGATCCAATGCACGATGCGATCTGCTTGATATTAGAAGTTGATTGGACCGACATATTGGGTTTTTCTCGGAGACAATGAAAGTCACTAGGAGGGAGAAGTCGGGATAGAATGAGGAATGTAACATTGAAAGGAACTTCTTGACATAATATAGTATATCTCAATCGCTGGGATCGCGGGAACGGGGCCTAGCACCATGAAGCTCTCGAGCACCGGGGGCTGCCAAGGAGATCCCATCGGAAATGGAGCAAGCCTTTGATATATCTTCTCAGACAGGCTGAGAAGCCCTAGGCCAGATATCTCGCTGATCGATGTAGAGGAGGGGAGACTCCTTCTGCTCTGGGTTCTTTCACCATGTAGGGTCTCGCTGATAGACTCGCTGGCTCAACGAGCCCAAGGCTAGCGGTCCGCTCATGAGAATCGGATTGGAGAATCCGACCAGGTGGCACACTGCAGTGTGAGGATGAACAAATGGATGGATGGATGGATCAAGGAAGTTGTTGACTGTACCAAGTATACTCGGTCGATCTCCCGTCAACATTCAGTTACAGTACAAGGTTATCTGCTGTAGCAGCCGTGGGCCAATCCCCTGTGTTGATGTGCGTTGATCCGACAACCTCATGATCCTAAGCACCATACCGTCACATGGTATGGTTATACACATACCAGTCAAATCACTAGCTGCTGAGCCATGTCATGCCCAAAATTCCAAGTTGGCTACCACGTCGCTGTTGTGGGAATATTCATACGAGGTAATTACGGTTATCGCCCGATGGCCGCTCTCGCCAGCTGGAACAATCACCATTCCTATTGTATACATTATCAACCGTTCACGAGCTTGATGTCATGGGGGAATATTGGATACATCGAAGATATTGTGTCATAATGCACTGTCATTTTCTTCTATTCCTCCCTCGTGTCTCCTGCCTCGCAAACTTCTCCAAGGAGACCTAGGTATCTGACTTGTATGACTAGCTCGGGAGAGTGAGAGGTAATATATGAAGACTTAAGAACAATAAATGGGTCGCCTACAGTCTACGGCCCGGGGCTAGATGCTACAAAGTCTACTGTAGGGTATCAGGTCATGAATTCAAACCATCAGTCTCATGACAATGCAACAGCCAAAACCACATCGGTGCATCAAGCAGGGAGATACAAGTCTGAAAAGTTGGGTGCCCTCAGCGGCCCCTCCTGTCGGAGGGCTCGGGCGAGCTCCTCCAGATGCGGCTTCTCGTGCTCCCACTGCACTTGAGTAACAAACAGCCCGTTCGATTTCTTCGCCACCTCCCACCAAGCTCGCACCCGGGGATGAAAATCCTCGTCCTTGAACATCCACGGAGGGACATTGAGTTGGAGGACGAGGATTTCGGTGCGCCAGTAATTCTGCCGATTTGCTGTATCCCCGTGAGTAATCATGAGCAGCAGCAGGGCTTCGATATACCGCACCGGCTTGGGAATCTGGACCCAGCGATGCTCCTTCGCAAAGCGGCCTTGTCCGGGCTGATCCCCGAGGGTCAATCGGCTATCACACGCCAGCATAAAGTCCGAATGAACGTCCCCGTCATCCATCCAGGCGCTCGGCTTGACATTGAGCAGACACCAGAAGTACTCCGACTTTCGGTACAGACGGAGCTCCTGGTGCATGCCGGCTTGGAGTTCCCCCCGCAGATGGAACGAGTGGTGGGTCTTGAACCGGGGAGGCATATACATGGGGTAGGTCTTGAGTTTCTCCAGCTCTATCGGACAGCGGAGATTCGAGGGGTCGGGTCCGGATCCATCGGGGAAGCCGGCATCGCGCAGGATGCGAATGGCTCGGTCCATGGCGTTTTCCGTGCGCCCATCGATCCTGGTGATTATTTGGTCGTCAATGACCAGGTCAATGGGTTTCATCTCGACCGGTTGATAGAGAGCGCCTCGCATGAAGCTGCCGATCAGGAAGCTCTGAACCTCATTCTCCTCCAGGAGCTGCACGATCTCCGAGACCAGCTGTCTCGACACCTCCTGATCGGTGTACTTGAATGCAGACATGTTGTTAGCGATGTTGTATTCGAGTGCAAGATTGTTGGATGGAGATGGGAGGAAGGGCTGGATAGAGAAAGCCGTGGACTATTTATACCATGGCTGAAGGGTTTATCGAAACGTACCTCTTGCGATGCAATGGGGATTGCCTGGGAAGACTGGAAGAAAGCCGAGGACAGCACGGTCTACTGCAGAGATGTACCACCGCTCAGGAGGGTGGAATCCGGATGTTGATGGTTGGAGACATCCTCCGTCTTGGATGGATGCAGGGAGCCGTCGGAGGGAATTAGGGCAAGCACTTAGGGCATGGTTACACCGGGATCACGGGACTGGAACCCATCATCTGACCGCCTTGGCTTTTCCTTCCACTTCATCTTGACTTCGTGGCAGCATACCTCCAGTACTGCATTCTTCAACGGAACGCCTCCTCCGTTAGAGCGGCGGACTGACAGTTGGATACACTACTGCTGCTGCTGCCGCCGCCGCTGCACGACATGAATCCCAAAAAGCGTCCGCTCCCCAGTCCCGACACCGACTCGCTTCCCACTTACAATCAATGCCGCTCACGCAAGGGGAGCCAAACCCGTGGTATAGCCAGCATCATATCCACTACCCCGTCCAGGTCCGTTGTGATCGGGTCCAGCCCGAGTGTTCGACCTGTCGCAAGCCAACGTTCCATGCGACTTTTCCGCTTGTGGATCGTAGTCTCGCGCAACTTTCCCAGAAGGTGGATGCGTTCTTCCCGCAGTCGACAGGGACAGCCCTAACTACCACGACCGGCATAGCCAGGTCCGAGCCAGCTAATGACGGTACGGCAGAGGAGATCGCGACTAAACAAGTGTTGGAGTTTGGGGACATGGGAGAGCATTTATATGGATACCCTGCAGCTCTCTGCCTCTTCCGAGCCTCACAAAAGCTGCTCTGGACCGCCTTAGGAAGGCTATCCCAACACCGCCCCTCTGCGAGGTGCAGTGGCAACGGCGGCCGATCATCTCTCGTTGCGGCCTTCATTGGTGCCACATTACGAAATCTTTCCCTTTCGCGGAAAATGTGTAGAGCCGCCGCTCGGAAGGGATCAGAGTCCGATCTTGTTACCGCCCCTGGCCGTGCTCGACTCGGCGGTCCCGAGTGATCTGGAAAATATCAACTCTCAGGTCCCGACTGTATACAGACTTCTCCCAGCAGCAAGAGGAGCTGCTCAGTTCCTCGTTCCTGGCCCGTGCCCCCGATCTGGGCCTGATGCAACTCGAGCTTAGCTATCGCTACCACGTGGGGCAGATCTTGATTTCTCGATGCGATCCCTCGGAGGAGAGTCAACTGGAATCCCGGAAGCACTCGGTTTTGGCACTGCAGATGATGCGTGATGTGTTCCACGTCCCCGTGACAGCCATGACACCAACAGCCACCGTGCAGGTCGAGAACGAAGCAGCCACCTGCCAGTTATCGGGAATGTCCCTGGCAGGGTTTGAAAAACTTGTTGGCGCAGCCAATGGCATCTCCGTTTGACGGCCTGGATCTGTCGGATTTTTATTTTTTTCGATCCACTTCTGATGGAGAATTACGTTGCGGATCAGTTTCGGGTGTCTGGACGGATCGCAGGTGGCAGCGGGACTGGAATGGGTTCTTGTGCGTGAGTCGGGGATTATATCCCCTCCATTTGGGATATAAAATATAATGTCTCCTCATGCTGTGGATGGTGCGGAAGAGTCGAAGCCGAAAGTACTCTTCCCGCGAGGTACTAGACTTTATCCGCCCGGATAGAATCGTCTTAGCCTTGCTAGTACGGGATATGCACAAAGTATCAGTAGTCGTAGAATAAGACAGGAAGTAACGATATAATCAAATCATCCTATTGTAATTCCATAAGCCAAAACCTCCATGTAAATTTCCCCCTCTTGGCAAAAATCTGAATCATATAGAACCAAAGGTCCAGAAACGCCCCAGTCATCATGTCATCACGTCATCGAACCATCAACATTATCTATCAACATTGGCATGAATGTCACCGATACATCAACATCTCCTCAAAATCCCCCGGTGTCAGGTCGGAGACTATTTTCCATTCACCGTAGGGGTGGAGATCTCGTCCGGGGGGGTGTGTGCTGGGCGTCGCGGTCCAGGATAAATCCCATGTGGGATCTATGTTAGCCTCTGGGGGATACTGTGGGTGTTGGTGTTGGTTTTGGATAGCAGGCGTGGAGTGGTACAGTTTCGTGTTTGTGTTTGTGTTGGAGATGGGGATGGGTGGATGCAGAAGCGACGTGGCAATCTGGCTGCAGAGCTGGGTGATGGAGCGGATGGTGACCGCGTGAGAAGTTGCAGAGGCATTTGCGGCGAGGGGGTCTGCGCGAGAGGCGAAGAATCGGAGGGCGTTGGTGTCGGAGGTGAGGGTGGTGTGGGTGGGGGTCGGGGCGAGGAGATGGATGTAGACTTCGAGGAAGAGGACGATGGGGTAGTGGAGGAGGATGCTGGGGTGGTTAGTTGGTGCTGGTGCTGGTGCTGGTGCTGGGGAAAGGGGAAGGGGTACCTTTCAAAGACAGTGAAGTTGGAGATGCTGTCATCCGGGTGGTAGCTCTCGCACAGCTCCTGGAGGAGGCGCAGACCGGTGCGGGCGTGTTCCAGCCGGATCTGCCGGCTCTCTGGGGTGGGAATGCGTCGCTGTACGAGCACGCGGGAGATGCACAGGGCGTAGCGAAGCTCGGTGGTCTGTTGGGCGGTGATGGTTGTGCTGGCTGGGGGATACAGGATGCGGCTGTGGTGGCTGGTCCAGTCGTTGAGGCGGTGGATGAGCTTGTGGGCGCGACGGCTGAGGTGGTTCGGGCTGAGACGTGGTGCTTGGGCGGAGTAGAGGCTGCAGACGATCTCTTCTTCGATGTGTGCCAGGGCGATGCGTGCGGCGAAGAGGTCGTCGAGCAGGATGCCGGTGGTGGTGCTTGGAGGGAGAGGAATCCCGCAGTCGTAGGACGGCAGCAAACAGGATTTGCCGGCCACGAGCGAGATGTGTTTCTAGGTGGGTGAGTGGTCGAGCCGCACAGGCACAGCACGGCCATGGGGACTCACATCGAGAATGAACAGAGACCAGAAGAGCGTCTGACACTCGGCGCATTGCTTCGCATTGGCCGTGAATGAGCTCTGGTGCAGACCCATTGACTTGGCCAGCTCGCAGGCCTGGGTGAAGACGGTCTCGAACATGGTGAAGCGGAAGTATCGGAGGGCGACTAATGCCTGCACGGGTCCAGTCAGCAGAGTCAGGCAGCCTGCAAAATGGCCTTTACCATGCTCAAGAGGGCTTGCACGTTGGCCACGCGCGGCTGGAGCAGTCGCTCGAAGTGGTTGTAGCAGCGTCGGATATTGAGTAATAGCTGGAACTGGAGATCAACCTCCAGCGTGCTGCGGGCTATCGTGTCCGCTTTCTGCGAGCCGGTAGATTTGGCTTCCAGTGTCTGAAGGAGGATGCTGCTCAACGACACGATCCAGGCGGGATCGGGAGCTTCCAGGGTCGACCCATACTGGGTGTGCATAGCTGCCAGGACACTCGGTCGGTCATAGATGGGAAGCAAGGGACTGAGCTCGGTGAAATACGTCTCGAGAAAGACCTCCAGCAGAGCTCGCGGAGGGAGGAAAGGCGGCAGGTCATCGTGATGCTCGGGTTTCGAGAGCATGGGACTGTCGGTGGCCAGTCGCTGGAAGAGTGCGCTCACTTCAGCAATTTGGGTTCGCAGCGCGGACTCATGGGTTGGAGGCCCACCGGGCCTCTCGAGGCTGCCCTGCTGTGACAGCGACGCGGCGAGCTGGTCCCCGGCGGCTTGGGCCTCGACATAAAGAGCAGCCATCGAGCTCGAGGGCCCAAATACATGGTTCCCCGGGGAGCCACCATGCAGGTCGGATAGTCCATCCGGGCTTCCCTCAGAGTTATCCGAGCGATTCCATGAATCCTCCGCATTCCTTCGCTGGGCGTCTGGACTATACGGGGTGACCGAGCTCGTGGGAGGAGAATTGGAGGCCGACGCGACGGACAGATATCGGAGAAGTGCTTCTTCAATTCGTTCCAGACGGTTGCCGAGCAGTTGGACATCGTTGACCCTGCACCGAGAACATTCGCCAACGGTTCGAAACCTCTCAGATGGGGATGGAACAGGTAACTGACAGCTTTTTGGTATGATTGACCCGTTTGCCCTTCTGGGTATATTGACAGGTCAAGCCCGACTTGCGACAGCTGGAGCACACAGGCAATTCCCTATCGCATCGCACCTTGCGGATCCGACATTCGTCGCACGCAGGCTCAGGGCCCGAGGGTTCAGCATCCCTGCCCTGTCGCGGGTCTGCATTCTCCGGGTCACTCATGGGCAAGGACACCGTTGGATGCGGGCAAAGACGGTTCGCTGGCACTGAAAGCTCAGGAGAATGGCGAGCAGGCACCTGAGCCTAACCCATAGGCTGGAGGCCGATATGTTATATGACCAACGTCATGCATGACATGCTTCTTCCGACACCTCTTGCAGATCGATGATTGCCTCCCACGGATGACGCAGCCAGACGCAGGCATCATATCATCCAACCTGCGCATTGATCTAGCCCTAAGTAGCATCCAATCTAGAGCAGCTAGCCAGTTAGTGTCGGCCAATGCACAAGGCACGAAAAGACATGTGCACCCTGAAGGATTCATGATTCAAGGCAGAGGGATAGTCTGACTCGGATCTTACTCGTACCCCCGAGGACCAATCCGGCGATAGGGCAGAGTTGGTGGCTCATGCGTCGGGCCGACGGCCCACCAAATCTCACCTCAGATTGATGCAGCAGCATGCCGGGTAACCGGGTCGCGCCTGGTCGGGAGTCTGACAGATCCTGGTCGGCTGGGGGAGTGTATCCCAGGCGGTTGCTGGTTATTGGGATGCTGGAGAGGGTGTGGACAAGCGAGATCAATATGAAATACTGAACTTCGTCGGCGGCCGCCAGGTTGAGTCGCTCGTATAGTGGCAGGCCCACTGGATCGTCCGATCAGGATCTCGGGAGGCTGACTAGCCTCATCACTAGGAGTCCTCCGTACCGAGGCCCGAAATGCATCCAAGGGCCCTGGCCCGCGGGTGGGTCGCCCAACCGCCCCTGCGAAGTCGTAGTCCGGTGAGGAATGCGTGGATTACTTGCCGGTTAGGGCTAGCTTTATCGCAAAGGCGCCGGGCCTGCAAGGAAAGACTATATATATAGATTGGCTAGACCAAGCAACAGCCGGTAGATACATCGAGAGACAGAGAGGTATAGACAGAAAAGAAACGAACGCTGAAGGAATGAACAAAGGACGGCATCCTATACCGACAGGGTTTCACGAGGACGATGATGGAAAGGCCTCCGTCCTTGTCAACGACTCGCGGAAGCCCGCCGAGCTGTTGTGGGTTTCGCGCACCATAATCTTCCCTTTACCACCAAGTTCGTGTCCCGGCACCAGAGTCAGATACCGGTCCGCGTCGCCCGAGCAATGAGCGAACTCGAGATCGTCCAAATGCGTGTGCGTAGTGATCGTAGTCGTCACCGTGCCCGTGCCGTTCCAAAATGTGGGCGGCTGCCCGTGCGAAGACGGCGCGGGTCCGTAGCCATACACATGGGCGCCTCCGCTGAGAGTCGACAGCAGATGCGGGAGCAGCCGCGAAATGAGAGGCCGGAGGGTGGGCAGGCAGGCACAAATGATGCCCGTGTTGCATTCAATGGCAGACCAGGCTGCAGCACCCACGTTGTCGTCTGATGGGAATGGTTAGTCACGCACGCGAGGAGGGCCAGGATGGGAAACGTACACGTAGGGTCCGTCGAGTCGGCAATCTTCTTCAGGGCAACGAGGCGGCAAACACTGGTGACGCAGACACTGGCAACAAGGGTTAGTAAAGGTTGCGCGGGGAATCGCGCGGCACTCACAATCCACCCAGCGCGAAGATCAACATCAACGCCAATTTCTGTTTCTTGGGCAGCTCAAGCCCCGACAAGGCCGGGATAGGGATGAGGAGAATCACGATATCGGTGGCGATGTGCATGGACGCATTCGAGAACCACAGCCCTTCCATACTCAAGCAGAATCCCGACACACTCGGGTCCCAGAATTTCGCCACGGGGATACAGTTGAGAAAGGCACTGAGAACCGCCCAGGATCCGTACGTAGCAAGAATGCCAATCATGACCCAGGAGATGCGGCGCATGCGCCGGGTTGGGAACACACGGAAATACTGCATCAGGATCGACGCTTTCGCAATCAGCACGGCGGCATTGTAGAACGGAATCGTAAGCCAGAACGCCTAAGGTAGCACACCCATCGATTAGTGCTGAAGACCAGAGGGTATCACGAGGGTACTCACCTTCATCTGATTCAAAAGCACCTGTGGTGGAATGTGTGACTCATGCATCCCCATCCCATTCATGGCCTCCACGATGAACAGCCCCATAAAGACAAAAGACAACAACTGGTTGCATCCATAGTCAGCAACATTCAAGCTTCGTGCGGGCAGGAACATCCTACCAAGGACAGAATAATCATCCAATCGTTCGGCTCCATGCGGTGCATCAACTTGGTGCGAGTATAGATACGAGCGGCCACGGAACAGGATGCGAGCGTGGTGAACACAACACTGACTGCCAATGCCCGACCTCCTCGGGGGGAGATGTATGGTCCATGCCCCCCATCTTCAGCGCGGCCAAAGAGAAGGTGCGAATCCGTCATGGTCGTGTTCACAATGCGCGCTCCGCGATCTCAGTCTCGGGTGTGACTCGGTCTGTCTGTGCTCCAGAGGCAGGGAGAGGTGAACAAGGTTCCAACGTGGTCGAGGGTTCACGAGTACACGGGCCTCGGTGTACAGAGACCAGCAAGGTCATTCATATAAGTCCTGGGGTCCAAGTGACCCCCCGAAAAGCAATGTGGTACGGTGCGGCATGTCACGGTGAGGGGGACATGGGCAGGGGACCGCGGGCAGGATGGGGATATAAACGTTTTTCTGTCTGGAAGCCCCAGTAACGGCCAGGTCTCACTAGAGTATGGAGGTAGACCAATTGTACCAGACCCGTGAAGATCCTCAGTCAGGTCCAATGGCTCCTCCGGATCAGCGGTCCGACCCTGGGACAGGAGCTGGGGCCAGTGGGTGCAGCACTGCAGAAAGGGAGGACAGGAAAAGCAAGCAAGGGAGGAAGCAAATCAGCAAATGATCGGGGGCAGCCACATTGTGGTGCGTGAGCAAGCTTCAGTTGATAGATAGGTAAAGGCAACAGGAGGTACTCCGTACATTTGGTGCCTCGCCCAAATTTTTCTGGTCCTTTCGAGTGCATGGTGCGTTAGCTTTGCGGAGTGCCCGGGGATGTCTCGATGCATAGCAGAGGTCCAAGCGGTCAGTTCCAGCCCTTTGGTGTCACTAGGGCTAACGAGACGGTCGATGATCAACCAGTAACTGTCCCCGCTGCCACTGAAAAAGATACTACCGGGTCCAGTCAGTCGCAAACCAAAAGTGGAGAGACGATAGATCGACGATGGCTCCCAAACTCTCCTCTGGTTGGATGCCTGGGTGGATTGCTCCATGCACTTGCAGAGGCACTTGCATACGACCTGCGTGCGTCCATTTTGTGTCAGACTGCCAGTCGTCGACCTGACGAATCTCGATGGGCTGTGTGGCATGAGATGAATGACAGTCTGCGCAGGCGGCAGATCGTGGAGCCCAGAACTCCTGGCCCTGGGACGGAGTCCTGGGGCCGGAGCTGTCAATGAGCCATGCCTCAGCGCAGAGACCAGGTAAGCTGCAGGCAGGGATTATCTCCGAGCGCTATCCCCATAGGGAGAGAGGGAGCCTAACCCCCCTAGTTGGTCTCGAGTGTCTCTTGCTCTCAGTAGGGCTTGCGTGATGATGCCATACAGGGGATCAATCAAAATCTATCCAGCCACGGATTCTACAATAGGGGAGGGACGGAGACCGCAAGGGATGCAGAAGACTGCCATTCTCCCTCCCCTGTCAACGCTCGGTCCAAAAGGCCGGTGCGTTTCTGGATGAACCAACTCTCTCTGAGGGAAACTTTGTCCGTTATCAAAAGTACTCGGGGTGGACCAGCGGGCAGATGCGACCTGTCAATTTCTTCTTTAGGGATTTCATGAGGGGATGCTCGGGGGTTGACGAGGGCCACATCAAATAACGGACATGCAGGGGGGCCAAAGTACCATACAGGCGGATGTCGGTGTCGCTCTATGGCCCGTGAGGGGACTCGACCTATAAGCCATCCATTTCGATCAAACAATGCTGATTGATGAGTCGGGCGTTGTTGACGGTGCGATTATTTGCGTGAAACACCCGGCGGGGAGAAGGCGATGTATCACATTTCCAGTCAACTGGGCGTCGGGACCTTCCTCCGGGTTGACCGAATCCAGCCAACCGCTCACCAATCTGGAGCCGGGTTAAGGAATTATTGTCTAATGATCTTTGAAATTGGACGATTATCGATTGCATTGTCACTGGGCCATGGCGTGCGTGGGTAAGGCCCAAGTGGGAAACGCAGCATCATTCTATGAGCGCGGCGCGTTTGGCTCCGACAGCCATCACACGCCGCCACCGCAATGATAGTTCCACGCAGAGCCAGATCCATTGGCTGATCCATGCGCCTGCTTCCTGGATTGGCCAGGGTGGGGGTCGCATCGAGATCTCGTACCGGTCGCCAGGAGTCGCGTCGCACAATCGTGTCACCCGCGGTCCCAATTATATATCTCGGGAATCATCCCCGCCACCAGACGGTCACAGAATGCTCCAAAAATACTCAGGGCTGCCTCTGGAATTCCGCCTCGATGGTGTTCAATTCCTTCCATCCTTCTAGGGTTCAATGTCGGTCAGTATCGCGCGACAAGGCATCTGGTTGCCTTGGAACCAGACAGCGAGTGGCTGGACAGGTCGAGCGCAGGCATTGGGTTTTCTATATATAACCCATATTAGGAATTCTGTCCTGCATAGATAAGGTGTATGGCATGGATCGCAGAATATACAGTAGTAGTAAAAGTCCACACGTGGATTCACTCGTTTCGCTATTCTCTTGCTCTGGCTCAAATTTCGTCTGGCCAGGGAATGACCTAGAAATTTCTTCATTCTGAGCATCAGCCGGCATCTGAACGCCATCACCCCCCCCCAAGCCAATCAATCACGACAGCAACGAGCCAATATTTGGGGCGCAAGTGCTTTGACATCTGTGAGCCATGCATGATAGCCATAGATCCCCGTCACATACAGTAGCTTCTGGCCCGGATTGAAATCCGTCTGTTGTACCTGTCAGCCAGCCCACCGGGCAGCCGGGCTATTAGTTTGCCATTCAGACTGTCATGGATACCTGCATTAGTGTGAAGATAGGCAGACGCAAATCCATGGTATAGTCCACACGCACTGCAGTCCGAGGTTGAGACGAAGAGTCAGTCCGTTGCATGCCAGTACTTCTGGCGGGTGGGCTCAGCGCGGGCCTGATCGGTCGACGCAAGCTCGGGTTGATCCAATTTCCTGGACGCGAGATACGCGAGTCGTTTTATTTTCTGCGCGGACAGCTCGGTATCCCGCCGGCTCCATGTGAAAATGGGGAGTGCGCACCTCGTGGTACTCGTGGTAATTTCAGTGAGTGGGATTGTGGTCTTCCAGAATTCCGAGAATGCGTGGACTTTGGAAGGCTGTTGGCGTGTTGGCGTGTTGGCGTGCAGCCTTGCCGGCTTGCAGGCTTCCATCCTCCGTCCTCTAGCGGGTTGGAAGTATGATGCATCAACAATGATCGGGACTGAATCGGAATGACCTGTCAATGCCATGCGATTTGGAATACAGTGACATTGTCTATCGATGTATAGCGGGATGATAGACAGGACATGCTGGTAGCCGCAGGAAGGAATCTGTCAGAAGGTTCTGAATACTCCGGGAGGATCGATCGGCCAGGCGAGCGATGATGAGAATGAAATGGTCCATCGGAACTGACCAGTTGGCGCGGGTGTTGGGACAAAACCAAGGAACGGGATCCGGAGGGAGGACCTTGATAAGCGGGCGCTAAGATAAGTATAACGCACAGGCCAGCTGAAAATCCCATCCCGCCGATTTTTGGACGACTGCGGCCCAAGAGTCAATCTACTTACCCCATATTCGTTTTGCATCTACAACATTATTCAGCGGTCGCATAGATATCCATAGCGTCCACCGTCAAGATGACGGACTCTACAGCGCCCACGAAGCCCGTCCACACCATCGTCCTCGATGCCGGTCCTATCCTCAAGAATACCCCGCCGCTTTCCACCCTGCTCGCACAATGCGAAGAACTTCTCATCACGCCCTCCGTTGTCAGCGAGATCCGCGACCCGGCGGCTCGTCAGCGCGTTGAAACTATGTACCTGCCATTTTTGAAGCAGCGCACGCCGTCCCCGAAGAGCGTCGCCGTGTTGAGCGAATTCGCCCGCAAGACCGGTGATCGCGCCGTGTTGAGTAAAACCGATCTGGAGGTTCTGGCGCTTGCATATGAGGTGGAGTGCGAGAGAAATGGCGGTGACTGGAGGCTGCGGAGTGTGCCGGGCCAGAAGCAGGTAAATGGAAAGCCACCGGTGAAGGAGGAGAAGGGGGAAGAAAAGGAGGAGGCCAAGAATGAGGGCGAGGCTGAAGCCCAGACTGAGGAAAGCAAGGTCGAAGGTGCTGAGGTGGACGCTGTTGTGGAAGACCTGAAGAGTGCAAGCCTGGAGGAGAAAGAGCAAGAAACCAGCGCACAAGAGACCGAAGTGCAGGAGACTCCCACAGAGGCTGAGCCGGAGGAGCCAACTTCCCAGGATGCCGAAGCGCCTGAGGAAGAGGAGGATGATGCCGACGACTCGGACGGTGGCTGGATCACGCCCTCCAACCTGAAGAAGCGGCAGGCCCGCGACGAGGCTGGCTCGACGGCTGCGGCGCCGGAGCCCAAGGTGATGCAGGTTGCCACCATGACTACGGATTTTGCGGTATGTTCTACATCAGCGATATATGTTTCCGAATACTGACCCGATACAGTGCCAAAACGTGTTGCTACAAATGAACCTGAACCTGCTTTCCACCTCCACTCTGCAGAGAATCCGTCATCTCAAGTCCTTCATCAAGCGCTGCCATGCCTGTTTCCTCACCACCAAGGACATGAACAAGCAGTTCTGCCCCCGCTGCGGTAAAGACACGCTCACTCGTGTCTCCTGCACGACGCATGCCAACGGGCAGTTCACGATGCATCTGAAGAAGAACATGCAGTGGAACAACCGCGGCAACCGTTTCAGTGTCCCCAAGCCCGTCCACGGGAGTTCCAATGGCAAGTGGAAGGGAGGTGGTGGTAAGGGTGGCTGGGGAACCGAATTGATCCTCGCGGAAGATCAGAAGGAGTTTGTCCGAGCCACTGCGGAACAGACCCGGAGACAGCGGAAAGAGCACGACCTCATGGACGAGGACTACCTCCCGGGCATTTTGACGGGAGAGCGGAGCAAGAACGGTCGGGTCCGAGTCGGAGCGGGCAGAAATGTCAACTCGAGGAAGCGGTAATGGCATGGCTTCCATCTCTTTGCATTCACCTGGGTTGGCGTCTGGCTTAAAAGTTCAAGGCTGTTCTTTTGTCTGTGGCTGTGATGGATTATGATGATGGTCGGGATCAACGATTTATAGAGCATAAGCATATGCGAGGCAATGAATATAGAGCAATTTCCTCAAAGGTATATTTTGACCACACTAGTAAGATACCGGCCATGGGCACCGCACAGAAACCAAACACAAGTTTCTCATCGTCCAAAGACCATTGATAACACCATTCGCCATTAATGATTCAAAGCACCTTTTGTATTTCGATCATGTTATTCCGTCAACCAGCTTCTTACAGCTCAGCAGCCGTCTTGTCTGTAGTCTCCTGTCAGCCATGTCCCACATTCCAACTGGTGCTCGGATTCCATACCAGGCTGCTGGGTCAGAAGAAGACCGTATCTCTTCTTGAGGGTGACACGGTGACTATGTCATCCACCGTTAGCTCCAGGCCTATATGTGCGCAGAGTCCTTTCGCGGAGAACCTACCGGGAGTACTTGTCGTCGGGGGAGAAACGGGCGGGGTGAGCACTCTTGGTAACGCGGCCATCCTCAGTGACCTTCTTGAGGGTGTAAACCCGCTTGCCATCGGGGCCCAGAGAGTCTTTGTGGGTTGGTTAGTTCTGACCGATCGAGGGGGCACGACTGCGGAGAAACATACACATAAGATGCATCCTAGAAGAAGTTCAGTCAGAACGATGCGGTCGTAGATTAACGGACGCCAGTGATACTTACTTGATTATATGATGGAATCTGTTCGGGGTATTTTAAAACACGAAGAGAGGCGCTGGGTGCAAAAGAATCCGTCTGTCGGTGCCAATCGCTGAACGGCACTCCGGCGATACGCAGGAAATTTTTGGCGGACCGGCGGGGCACGGGCCACCTCTGGCCCTGCTTAGTCAGGCATCTCCCCATTTAAGGCGGCCCAAGCGAAGCTTCCCAAACAATTTTCTTTCTTCCGCAACCAAACCCATCTGGAGTCCAGGATGAGGGAATGTTCAGGATGCTGATGATGATGCGCATCTCTTCCCGCATTGCAGAATGACTTTGGGGTTTCTTCGCTAATTGATATCTGTATTTAACTTCACGCAACACCTGGGACAGCTGCCCCTCGTGTAATAGCTTGACCAACCCCAGATCGCACAGGATTTCGGGTAAGCTTCAGCCGGCAGCTTCGTCGGTCTTGCTGGAAGTGCTACGCGATCATTGTGTTCTCCGGTGATGATAACAAACCTCTGCTTAGGCAATGGCAATCTTGATTTCTCGCTGTTGTCAGTGAAGGCTTGTATTGACTACAACGGTATCTGAGGAGAACAACAATGACGCACTTGGCTTCTATCGGGGTTGGCGATGGCTACCGTCCAGCTCGTAACTGAAGAGTTTCTTGCTGACTCTTCCCTGTAGTTAGAGATATCGAAGCAATTGAATTGAGCGTCTAATCTTTATTAAATATGGCTTCATCCAATTCCCTTCCTAGACCGGCTCCGGAGACTGCTGCTCCTGGCAAATCCGAGTCATCTCAGAATCATGCTTCTCCAGCTCGCCCTTCGCGGCCTGCACGGCCTCCGCGACCTAACTACCGCCTCATTCATCGCTTCCCCTTCCCGGTCGAGGTGCATCCTCTCCCTCCTCTCATCCCCCATAACCCGCTCTCGCTCGTCAGCGTGCTGCTTTCCTACCTGACGTACTTTATCTCCCCTCCGCATCAGGAAATCTACTCGGCCTACTTTGACACCGCCACCTCCTCGGTTCATGTCACGGATCCCAAGGCTATCAAAGCCCTCTGGGAGATGGGCTTCTTCGGCAAGGGCACCCTCAGTCGAAGTGAGCCGAGTTGGCTTGAGCGTGAGAAAAAGAGGCGAGGACTACTCGGGGGGATGACCAGCGAGGAGGTTACACGGCAGCGACGGACGGAACGCCGCGAGTTGAAACTAGAGCGGGCGAGGATGGAAAAGCTTGCCATTGAGGAGCGACTCAAGGCCGAAGCAGCGGCGAGGGAAGGCGGCATGATGCCCCCCGAGCAGTCGGTCCTCTCACCAACCCCGAACGGTGTCACGGACGGTACAATACCCGTTACGGAGAAGTTCTCCCTCAGGAAGGCTAGGGAAGCCCGGCTCCTAGAGTCGCAGCGGGCAGTGTCACAAGACGGCAGTGTCCACCCCCCTACTCCCTTAGGAAAGCGGACACCCAGTGGCAACAAGACGGTGCGGTTCTCTCCAGTAGTTCAGGCCAAGGAGTTCGTTTCCGATTCGGTTATCTCGAGTTTGCCGGAAAAGCCTGTAGACCGACAGGAGGCGAATGAGGAGCCGGTATTGAACAATGAGGAGCACCTTCAATTATCCACCGAGGAGGCCTTCTTTCTTGTCTACGGGCTTGGCGTCTTGCGTGTTCTCGATGATACGCGAACAGATGTCATTCCCACCTCTTCCCTGCTGCCGTTGTTGTGTCGACACTCGTACTTCCCCCCTCGGGACCCGTCGGTAGATCTCACGCCGGATGATCCGTTCATGATCTCCTATGTCGTGTATCACCATTTCCGGTCCCTGGGGTGGGTTGTGCGCTCCGGTGTCAAGTTTGGCGTGGACTATATCCTCTACAACCGCGGCCCCGTCTTCTCGCATGCGGAGTTTGCGGTTGTGGTCGTCCCGTCCTATAGTCATTCCTACTGGTCTGAAACGGCCGAGCGCAGGGCGCATTCTGAAGAGAAAATGGCGCGCAGTTGGTGGTGGCTGCATTGTGTCAACCGGGTGCAGGCGCAGGTGAAAAAGAGCCTGGTGGTTTGCTACGTGGAAGTGCCGCCGCCAACCTCCTACGAGCTGGACACGCCCTGCGAGGGAGATATCGGAGCTATGCTGGGTCGGTATCAAGTCCGGGAGATGGTGATTCGCAGATGGGTCCCTAATCGGACTCGGGACTAATTGGCGCATTCTTTGGCTTTCTGTACTATACGCAGCGTATTCCCTGGCGTTGGGTTTGGCAAGACATTACACCTCGCTCATTGTAACATATGTAACCATGATTCCTTACGAAATCGTTGTCAGGATCATTGGCTAGGAGATCCCGATTGAAAAATGCAACACCACCCCTCCTATTCCCTTGTGCTATATATATAGGCCCGTCCATCCTCATAGCTGCTTTCTGATCGACATAATCGCTGGCCGTGCCAACTAGTCCAGGAACGGTCATATTGGCAATCACGTGAGCGACGCGTTTCGCGTTTTATGGTTCCGCAACGACGCCCAGCAGCAGAGGGAGCAGTGACTGACTTTCCAGCTCACTTCGGGAGTCTCCGTGGGTTGACGTGTCGGGCAGCTCGGCAATGAGCCATCATCTGTGCTGTGTAACGTCGTCCCGTGAATGACAGGGATTATGGAGACGCAGGAGGACAGTATCGACATTGCAAAGCTGCAACGCGTCGCGTTGGGTTTAGTGAGTGACAGCCTTGCCGGTGGCGGAGTCCTGACCTCGATTTCGATCACTGACATCGTTCGTCTGTCAGGAATTTGCTCCTTCACAGCTTGATGTTAATGGACTGGGGACGGTTGGAAAACTTGACCGTGTCACGGAAGTTCAGCAAAAATCGCCGTTATTGTCGACTGCTCAGGAAAACGCTCGAAAGTCTCCGTCACAGACTACGCCTCCACGGTCACCCGCGAGATTGCAAAATGCTACAAATGCGATAGATACACACTCCGAAAGCAACATCAACCCAGTTTCGACGACTTCAGTTTTACCGGCAGACAAAATGACCTCTGCAGATACCGTCCCTTCAGACACGCAGGTCATCTCCCAGTCCGTGTACGACGAAATTATCCGGAAGAACCAGGAGGCCGCCGACAATGCCCAGGACAGCGATTTGGGGGATCGAGCAACGCTCATGACCCTTCATGAGGGCGATAGCGGCCATCTGGATCTGTTGTCTGGCTACGATCATATTCATACCGAAGGAGTCAACGAGGACCTTGAGGATCAGAGTAGCACCAAACTGGGTGAATCCTCGCCCATGCTGTATCAGCCAAACCCGTTTCCCGAGTCCCAGCGGTTTCTGGCGAAGACTCCTATAGCAGCAATGAAGCGTGTTCGTTCGGATGGTTTCACTGGATCTCCCTCCGGTTCACGGAATCCCCTCACGGCGGATGTCGGGCCAAGTAGTGGGATCATGGCGCTGAGCCAGGTCTTTCGGTCTACTCAGGCACCGTCCTCGCCACTGGTGAATGGCCAACAATCGGATCCTCTGTCCGACCGTCCTTCTCCCAATATTCCTATCCAAAGTCATCCGCTGGCTACGACGCTCTCCTCGCCATACAATAACCTCGCTGCAACCTTCCCGCGTGACTCGTGCGCGCAGCGACTGAGCTACATCAGCATGGAGGAATCGCAAGCCAATCGGGACAAGATTCTGCATGAAAGAATGACACGTTCTGCGGACCATGTTTACTCGGATCAAAGTGATGGAGAATTTGACAAGGAATCCAGCTTTGTTGAACGGATGAGGCGCCGAAAGATGGTGAATGACGAAGCTGATGCGCAACTCGTTGAGCTTACAGCACCTGCGAGGCCGAGTAGCCGACAGGGAAGACAAGCCAGGGCGTTGAATCCACTGTCTGAAGCGGTAACAGGGCCAGATTGGACTGATGGGTCTGTTGCGCCTGTCGATTCCAGTACGGAGCTTCCGCATGGAGCTCTAAGCGAGGAAGAGACGGAACAAGAGCAAGAGGATCAGGAGCCGACTCCGCGGGCTCGGCCCATTGGTTCGACTGAGGAAGATAAAGAAAACTGCGAAGACCCCTCCACTACGATGGCTGCTGCTGCCAGTGCGCATGACCGCCTATCACTGGCCCTCGCCTTGCATGAGAGTCCATGTCCTGACAAGGAAGTGATAAGAGGGCGGCGAGAGTCGCTTCGGCACGCTGTACAGGACGAGCATTTGCATGGCCAGTCATCACAGGTGTCGGTTGTGAAAGACTCCCAGCGCTCTCCTGGTCGGGACCCTGGCAATGACACAGAGCAGTGGCGGACAAGTTATGCTGGCTCACAGGGACAGGTGGAACCTTTGTCTCGTGCGGAAAGAATCACTTCCTCGCCTATAAAACAAGCCCGTATGTGTTCATCTCCCCCCTCGGGGTCTCAACGCAGCAAACGATCGGTCAAATTTGATGCCCATGCCATAAGCCAACCTGGATCAGATGGGGACAGTCCATCGCGCTCTCCCACCCCGCGGCCCTCATCGGCTCACCGAGGTAGCATGATTCCGTCAAGCATGCTGGCTGTCCAGAGGCCTACGAGCACAAGCGATAGGTCGATGCTTGATCATCCAGAAAAGTCATCATCGATGCCTTCGCGCGTGGCTGAAACGCCCGTTGCTCCAAGAACCTTTGCCGAAGCCATTCCAAACACGAGCATCCCAGAAACTAGTCCCACCCGTCTTGGTCCAGGATGGCCGAATGGCGATGGCACCAACGATGCAGCCGATCAAGAGGATGATGATTTACCGCCAGTCTACACGGATCCGCACGAACGAGGATCGCGTTCGCAGCCAACGGTTCCCGATAGTTCGTCACCTTTGAAACCCTCTTCATTCCACAATTCGAAGATTCTGTCCAGTCCAAGTGGCCGACAGCGCAGGGCGCTCACAGAAATCGCAGCCGATGCTTCACCGCAAATGGGGGCCGGTTACTTCAATCTGGACTTCAGTATTTTGTCTGCCGATGATCGCGAGTTTCGGTCTGCGGTTGCAATGTCTCCTATCCCACCGAGAAAGAAGCGCCGCGGCAATGATGGCCAGAGTGTTTATGCCTCCGACCCAGTATTTCCTGTTACGCCTCGTGCAACTACTCCCGCGCCTCGGGCTGCGGATATGGCCACTATACCTGAGATGGAGGTGGAGACAGCGACCAAGCCTGTGTCCACGTTTCAGAGACGGTCACGGCCTCCGAGAGCGGAAAGCGTGTGGGACATGGACGATACTCCTCACTATCACGTTTCGCGCAAAGAGAGATCTCGGCTTCTAGCTCGCTCCCGTCCAGTGGGACGACCGCCTGAGGCTGAGCCTGAACCGGCCCAAGAACAGCCTGTCCATCATGACCCACCGGCGAGTTCTATACCGGAAGAGCCGCCCAGCGATGTTAATGTACCAGACTCGACCGAGGCCCCAGTTGATGATGAGCCAATCTCAGAGAATTTGCCTCCAGTTCAGCCTGCCCAGCCTGCAGTCCATCACGTCCCTATCGCTGTCAACCAAGTGCTAGCCCCGTGGAATGGACCAAAACGGGCCTATTACCCTGCAACGTGCTTTGGCAAGCCATTCGGCACAGCGCAGTCGCGGTATCTGGTAAAGTTTGAAGATAGCGCTCCGGTTGAGATTCCTACTGGTACGGTGAAACGACTCGAGTTGCGTGTTGGTGATGGTGTGAAGGTGAACATGCAGAATGTCCCCAAGGTGACCCATATCATCTCAGGGTTCGCCAACAAGCTCGATGTGAGCGACATCGAACAGGGAGCGGCGAATGGAATGATCCCAATGACCGATGTGTATGGGCATTCTGCCGTTATCCTGACACCAAAACAGCGCAAAAGCCTCCCAGGTACAGGGCTCGCAGTCACCGAGAACCGTATTACAGTGCCAATCTCACGCATCTACTTGGACACGATTCTGTGGAATCAGTTGAAAGATCGGGCATTCAGCTACGACTCTGGGCCTGGGGTTTCTGAGAGTGGGCTGCAGACACCTGACAGGCCTTCCACGCCCATGTCGCCTGGCGCTCGACTCTCGCGCAGTATCCGCTTCTCCACCGGCCTGTTCGCGGGTATGGTCTTTGCCGTGTCCTATGGAGAAAACAACGATGCCAAGTCGCGTGTCACCAAGATGATCCTAGAGAACGACGGCCGCATTCTCGAGGATGGCTTCAACGAATTGTTCGAACTACCTCCTCCTGCCCCAGCGGCCACACCGACCAAATCCTTCACTGGCTCTGAACATGGCTATCTCCGGCTGACTAGCGGCGCCGCCGATGTGGGATTTGCCTGTCTGATTGCCGACAAACACTCCCGTCGGTCGAAATACATGCAAGCTCTGGCGCTCAATCTCCCCTGCCTCTCAGACCGCTGGATCGAGGACTGCGTTACTAGACGACAGATTGTCGACTGGGAGATGTACTTGCTGCCAGCCGGCGAATCGACCTACCTCAACGGTGCGACCAAGTCTCGGATCCTGACCCCATACTCGGCCACGGAGGCTCGACTGTCCGAGACCATCGCCGGACGACCGAATCTCCTGCACGGACAATCCATGCTTCTGGTGACGGGCCGCAGCGGGCGAACTGACGAGGAGCGACGAAAAGCGTATCTCTTCCTGACGTACGCGTTGGGGGCGTCGCGAATCGAGCGGGTACCTGACCTCAAGACAGCCCGTACGATCCTGAGTACGGGTGACGGCAGCTGGGACTGGATCTATGTTGACGACGACGATCGAACCTCGGTGAAAGCGATGTCCGTGAGCGCGAGTGCGTCGAAGAAACGAAAGCGGTCCCGACTGACGGAGTCCATCAGCAGTGATGATGTGGGGATGGACCATGTCAAGATTGTGGGCAATGAGTTTGTGTGTCAGAGCTTGATCTTGGGACGGTTATTTGCGTAATATGATGTGCTTGATGTTTGTTAGATTGCAATATACCCTACCTTTTTTTTACCATTGACTACATCTTACTACAAATACTACTTGTACTGCCAACACCGAAAATTAATGCCACATTCAACATTTATAATACATACATACAAAAGAAACCGACCTGACCCAGTAGCACACACATCTACCGCATCCCCGTAAACCCTTCCTCAACGAAGGATCTATTTCTTCGCCTTCTTGGCCCCCTTCTTCTTACTCTTCAAGCTCTTCATCTGGGCAGCCCTCTCCGCCTTAGCCGTCCTCTTCCTCCACGCCAACCAGCGATTCTTGCGGTTATACACCTTAGCCGTGATACCCGCCTTCTCCGCCGCGCGACCAATAACCCAATTCGCCTCACGATACATATACCCGGGTCTCAACTGCAACTCCTCACTCTGCTGGATTTCCACCTTCCCAACACTCCCCACCACCGTCCCCTCCTCCCCAACCTTCGCCACCAAATCCCCCTTCCCACCCTTCACCCCTTCCTCCCCCTCAACCTCAAACCTAACCTTAACCCTCCCCAACTTCCTCCTACTCGGGGCATTCCTCGGCACCGGCAATTTCCCATCCTTCTCAAACACCACCCCAATATACTTCCTCTCCGAATGCCGTTCCGGATCGAGGTAATATCTCACGTACCCGGCCTGCGCCGCATAGATCGTATGGTCGCGGCCCATGGCGCAGTTCTCCCCCGGAAACCATTTCGTGCCCCGTTGCCGGAAGATGATGCAGCCTGGGACCACGTATTCGCCGGCTGTGCGCTTCGCGCCGAGACGTTTGCCTGCTGGGTCGCGCGAGTGTCGGTTTGCGGTTCCTTGGGTGGCGTGGGAGGCGTGGCGGATTTGAATATTCGGGAATGAGGTTTGGGGGAGGGTGGGTTTGGTGAGTGTGGTGGTGAGGAGGGAGGAGGGCGTGCGGAGAGTGGTCGTGTTGATGCGGGTGGTTGTGGTGGTGGTGATGGTGCGGAAAGCGGATGGGAGGGATGTCCTGCTGGACCGGTCTAGGGCCCGAAGGGGCGCTAGCAGACGGGATTGGAACATGGTGTAGGTGGATGTTCCGGAGATTCCCTTGGTTTGGGGTGTAATGGGATGGTAGGAAGGTGATTGTTGTCCGGGGCTTTTTTTCGTGCTCCGGAGATGGATGGGGTCTTGGCGTGGTCACGTGGGATTTGCGGAGCTGGCCAGATGGCCGTACGGAGTATACTCCGGCTTGTCTTACCATCTACTCACTCTCTCGATCAGTTTTGTCTTTAGTTGTTTTGGATTGAGAACGGCACCATGTTCAAATTCCACGTCCTCGGAGCCCTCCTCCTTCTCGTGTCCGTCGCGCACGCCCAATTCCAATTCTTCGAACACATGTTCGGAGGTGCTGGCGGCGGCGGCGGCGGTGGTGGTCACCAGGGTCGGGGTGGACAACAAGGAGGACAGAATGTGCCGAGTGATAGTTCGCGGTATCAGGGGCAGTGGGATTCCGGTAACTCCTCCCTCCCTCTAACTAAACTTATTTTTCAAAGCTATGAGTATTCGAACAGCGCAGCTAATATGTATGTATGAATGTAGCACACTGCGATCGCTACCTCTGTCCCGGAACCCTCGCGTGCGTCCATTTCCCGCATCATTGTCCGTGTCCGCATCCCGATGTCGAAGAAAAGGTGGAGCTTGGGGAGGGCAGTGCGGTGTGTGTTTCCAGGGGTGGGTTTAAGGAGGGAGAGGCGGCGAGGAAGATTGAGTTGGCGAGGAAGGGGGTTTTGTGAGGGTTCGCTGAGTGTGCATATTGGTTGATGAACTGGGCTGGGCTTGTGGGCTGGGGTGGATATCTGGATGGGCTGTATAGGAGGTCCACCGGGTGAAAATGCTACGCGGATCGGTGCCTGTCGTCGATGGTTATGCGGTACGTTGCTATTGCAGACGGCTGTTCTGGGTTGAGAGCCGGGTGGATGCTATGATCGCTTGGTCTATCCGGTTGAGAAGTCACAGTCAATACCTGATTCATTCAATTATCTGTACCAGGCGTCATATCATTAAGCATCAATTACTACCAATCACAGTTGCGCCCTTTGAGATGACGTCGGTTCTGACGCATTGATTGAAATCCGAAATTGGGAGCAGTAAAGCCAGCAGCATTCTACCCGACAATATGGTTCTATAACCCTGGCAGTAGGCGTGCTAGTGGCGTAGATATTGCAGCAGAGAGATCTAGCCCTAGACCGAGCCAGCTAGGTAGTTGAGCATAGGAACATTTTCAGTCTTCACATCACTGTTTCCTGTCAAGATATGTCCCTATTTGTGGGTGATGCATCGACTGGTAGCGTTTATGGTAGTGAGGTAAATCATGTGCAACGGGATACACTGGCTGCCTGGCCTATGAGCAGGCAAAGAGCATCAGGTTAGGCTTTGCAATTGCTGGGCGAATGGAGCAGACGCTTAGGCTTTGGCATCACTTACTACGATGAATTGATGCATTTAGGGCAAGGAAGCCTGAGGCCTTAGCACTGTATACTCTCCTAGTGTCTTGAGTTTATTTTTCAATCGATGGTATCAGTGTTACACCTTGATATCGGTGGGCTTTAGAAGTTAGCAACCCTAGGAATATCCACATGAAGACGTCTCCCCAATGCGGCGAACGGATTGGACTCGGACGGCTCACCAAAACACGCTCCTGACCCATATTGCTTGCCGCTTGCTGACCCTTTGTTTCATGTGATTCAGAGGAGAAGTTGTGATATATTTATGGGAAGATCAAGCCAGAACAACTTTCCTTTAGCTTCATACTATTCAGTTTCTGACTGGAACTGGGTGTTTGGGACTCCCAGCTCGCTCACTTTAGAGCTATAGGAATCTGGACAAGAATCGTCATCGTCCTAATAGCATGCACCCCGCTGGCAAGATCATTCGCTGCATATTCAGAGCTCTCGGTATGGGATCACCAGCAAGGAAGAGAAGATGTGATCGGCCAGGCTTGCCTTTTGGTGACTGGAAGATGTCAGGACGTGAACATGGCTTTATTGACAGATGTGTGTGGTTCGTTACAACAGTGTTATGGTAATTAGCGCTCTTTTCGACAGCGTGTCTGCTGCATTGGGAGCTTCAATAAGCTGTAGGATAAGGGATAGATCTCATTCATCCCGCTTAGTGGTGTGCGGTAATATATATCCCTGAAATACAGGCATTGCTGCCCTCTGAATACTCGGGGAAAATATTGTGCCGTTCGAGAGTAGGAGTATAGAATGAGAGCAAACCGTAGCTATACAGGAGACAACGACCTAGGACGCCTAGTAAAAGAAAGCTTCAAGTGCCGTGTGGGGGGTCAAGACGAGCTGTCTTATCGCCGGTTAACTCCGCCTGCCGCACTTCGTCATCGGCAGCTTCACATGTTTTTCCTCTTCATATTCTGCGCCGCCTTACTTTCCATCTTTGTTTGCGATACTGCTGACTGACTATTGGTATGTGGAGTACCACGCTCCGAACACCGGCACAATGCCTTCGAGCTCCCGGTCGAGCTCTCGCCAGCTCATTTCGAGGCCGATCCAGTCCCCGTGGCCCGCGGAATTCCATCCGGAGACCAGAGCCCATCAGAAAAGAGATCAACCCATCACCAGCACAATCACCTCAATCCCACAACTCAGAAATACCCGAAACACCAGAAACAACTGAAGCAGCATCCAATTCCCTCGTTTCACAATATGATCCCTCTCAGAACACGCTACTCGCCCCAGTCCACATCCCCGAAGATCCTAATGGCGTTATAAAAGAGACCCATCCTGCGACGGGGATCCTCGCAAACTCCGGTCTGGTGGTCCAGCGCCAGCTGGAGCTGATGAATGTTATGATTGGCTTCGAACAGGCCAACAAGTATATCATCATGGATGCGAACGGCAACCATATCGGCTACATGGCGGAGCAGGAGAGCGGCATGGCCAACATGATGGCGCGGCAATCATTCCGGACGCACCGCAGCTTCGTGACCCATGTGTTTGACCGACATGAGAATGAAGTGCTTCGGGTATGTCCAGCCTAATAATTTGTTGAGACATGCCATATTTCTACCTTCTACGCCCGAGGCTAAGGAGGGATATATTCCTTTTGGCCTACGTGGATCTTGACATAATTCTTCTGCGGTATACTGACAGCCTAGTTTCACCGTCCGTTCGCATGGATCAACTCTCGCATCCGCGTGTATGACCCTCTGGACGTGGCTACAGGTGTCCATTCGTCGTCCACTGCACACCAGACAAACTCGGTCGGATCCCTGGCCCAGCCCACAGGGGACTCGAAGGCCCGGGTCTCATCCTTAAACCTCGAGGATATGCGGGTTATTGGAGAGGCCCAGCAGCAATGGGCTCCCCTGCGGCGGAAATACAACCTTTGCACATATCACCCCTCGCCAAACCCCGCGACAGACATGAAAACAGAACCGTTGCCACTGAGCCAAATGAACTTGTCCAAATCGCAGCAGATGCAGCTGGTGCCGTCATCGCAGAGCGACCAAGACAAGGGCGCATATAACCAGTTCGCGTACGTCGATGAGCCTTTCTTGTCTTGGGATTTCGGTCTACGCACTGCCAATAGCCAGCTGATCGGCTCCGTGAACCGCAATTTTGCTGGGTTTGCTCGAGAAATCTTCACGGACACGGGTGTCTACGCCCTTCGCATGGACTCTGTTGCCAACGCTCCGTCCGGATCCAGCGAAGAGTTTCTCGACAAAAGCAACACAGCTGGCATGACATTCGACCAGCGGGCCGTGATGTTGGCCACGGCGGTGAGCATTGACTTTGACTATTTCAGCCGCCATAGCAATTCGGGCGGGCTTGGTTTCATGCCCCTCTGGATCCCCGGGTTTGGCGGCGAGGCTGCGGCCGGGGGTGCTGCGGCCGGCGGCATGGCCGATGGCGTAGCAGCCGGTGCAGCCGGGGCGGGCGCCATGGCCGGCTATGATGCCCTGTCCCGCGGGATGGGACACCAGCCTGCTCCCGATCAGCAATCGCCGCCTGCCGAGCAACAGCCGCCAGCATCCGATCAAACAGGCCCTTACGGGGATGTTTGGGGAGAGGAACCGGAACAATCGGGGGCTCAAGAAGAGAGCCCGTGGGCCGATGAAGTCGACGAGGGCGAGGGAGGGGGGGATGATTTTGATTGGTTCTAACTGCACTGGAGAAGCAAATGTACAGTCACGCGACCACCATGATAAAGTTGAGACGTGGTACCTGTCGAGACGCCACTGCTTGCTCCTTTGCTTCTTCGTCTCCTAGCAAGGAAGAGCATTAGTGGAGATGGGAATCCGTCAAGGCTGGAACAAAGCCATTCAGACCGCCAATGTGACAAGAACTGCATGACGATATGCATACACTGGAAATGTATACTAGGAGTATATGTGCTTTTAGAAAACAGCCACTCATGTACTATAAAAGCAGTGAATTTCCCAATGAACTGTTACCACACCCCCCTTGACAGCGAAACCTTACCTTATCCTCAGACATCCTCGTTATCGCACCGGCGATAAGCAGCGCAGCCTAAGGCATCCACCCCAATCCGGCGGGACACCTCTGGGGAACCACCACTGACTGGCACGACATCAACCTCCCCCGAGCATTCAATCATTGGTCTTCACCCAGTGGCAAACCCAACGTCCAATTCCAAGCCAATCCACCCATTCTCTCTTTCTGTGCCTCTCGTCTGCCCCGGACTACGAAAATTCTATCCGTTACTTGACTTTCCCCCTCAACATCTTTCTTCAGGTACACCACACCATACCACACCACTTACCCATCCCGCCCATTCCCCTCTTTATCTAATCGCCAGATAGACCACCACCACTACCCCCCAAACCACAGAGCAAATCCTCCCCTCACCCACCCACCCAACGAATCAACCACCCCAAAGCAACACAATGTCCTCCGTGGCCCAAAAACGTCTCTTCCACGAATACAAAAACCTCTCAACCAACCCTCCCGAGGGCATCACCGCCGGCCCGGTCAGCGAAGATGACATGTTCCACTGGGAAGCATGGATCCAGGGTCCCGAGGGCACGCCCTTCGAGGGCGGCATCTTTGCCGCCGAGTTGAAGTTTCCCAAGGATTATCCGTTGAGTCCCCCGACTATGAAGTTCGTGGGGGGTGGGGTGTGGCATCCGAATGGTTTGTCTTTTCCCTTCTTCTATTTTCTTGTCTTATTTGTGTGTGTTGGGGGGAAGTGGGAGGGGAGATAGAAGGGCTTGTGGCTAATTGTGGAATGAATGTGGGTTTAGTGTATCCCAACGGAACGGTCTGCATATCTATTCTGCACCCACCCGGTGATGATCCCAATCACTACGAACATGCCTCGGAACGTTGGTCGCCGATTCAGAGCGTGGAGAAGATTCTTATCTCCGTGATGAGTATGTTGGCGGAGCCGAATGATGAGAGTCCGGCAAATGTCGAGGCCGCGAAGATGTGGCGCGAACGGAGGGGGGAGTATGAGCGGAAGGTTAGGGATGAGGTGAGGAAGGGACTTGGGTTGTGAGAGTACATTAACTTTCTTTGATAGGGGGTGTGTGGTGGGATCGTATATAGGTGCTGGTTGAGGGCGGGCTGATGGTCTGTCCCGTCTGTCTATACTGCGGGAGGAATGTGGCATAGCTTGGATGCATTGGATGTTTGGATGGCGTTGTGGTGCGTTCGTTCTTTGGTTTGTGAGGGTAGATGTGCTTCGCTCGTTGCATGTGGTTAGGAATTCATGATGCATTTTTAGATGTGCTTTGTTGTGTGGTCTGGATAAGGCTGGCAATGGTGGTTGGAGTTACAGGTGGTTGGCTTGGAGGCAAGATAGCTTCCGATCAAGCCATCCAACCAATCCCCCCTCCCCGTCGTATAGAATCTCCGTCTCGGCTTTCACATCCAGCATGAGCATCTGCTGCAACTCGGCACGCCACTCCAGCTCCGGTCCATCGGCCGCCCAAACAGGATTCTTGGACAACATGGCCATGGCTTTCTTCCGGTCTCTTGCAGTAAGATGGACCAGTGCCTCATCGCCCTGCGGATCTGACCCGGCAACGACAACCGATGTCCGGAGTCCTAACCAGTGCAGGCCGGGGATATTCAGGTTTCGGTTCTCGTGCGCAAAGGCCATGGAGCCGTATTTGTAGGTGGCCATGATGGCCATTCCGTCGGGGTCACTGTCAACCAAGGCATAGAATTGCGGTCGTTGAGTGGATTGGTTACGGCTGTCGAAGAGTTTACGGATGAAGGCTCGGGTGTTGAGATCGGGATAGCCTTTGCCCTGGGGAGGTTGACACAATCTCTTCATACGTGATAGTGGTTTGGAACTTACGGTGATGAGGATCCCCTTGCCTGCTGCAGAGTCGATGTGGTAGTTGCTGCTCGCGAGTCGACGGTATACGGCCTGGGCTGTGAGTGATACTCAAGTCAGGGGGTGGACAGGATACCTCTTTCTCCACGATCAATACCCAGTTGACATCTGAAATGTCAATCGTGTCGATATCTTGTACGCGTGGTATGAGGATATCCTGCCAACTTCAGCTCCTGTCATCAGGCTGCATGGTGCTATAGACCTGGTTTGAGAACCGTGCATCCACGACTTCACAGCTCTTCATGGTGAGCCGGTAATATCCCACGATGAGCCCTTTTGCTGCTGCCTCCTGTTCCATGGTAAGCTTGCTGGATGTGAAACTTCCGAGGGATATGTGAATACCACATATAACGCAGCCCGATCCACCCTCATTGTGTGTGCAAAGTCATCAACGAGTCTGTCGACAAATCTCTGAGAGCCGAAGCAGGCAGTATCGCTATAGTATATGTCTCTTATTGAGCATTAGCAATGCTACATCAGTGTATAGGATTGGTGGATTCAAGGGCTCACCTCTTGGACACGACCATTCCTGCTTCAACTGCCTCCGCAATGGCCGAGAGGACTCGAAAAGCGACAGCTACTCAACATTAGCATTAACTGGGTAGTAACGGGAAGTTCATACTGAATCTCCAGGCTTCATTGGCATCACGGCCAGGCCAAGTGTAGGTGCTGAACATCTCCGTCTCCATGGTTTCAAGGGCCATGGTTCGTGGATTGAGGAACAATGATGCGGGCTTTCTGGATCTCTGTCTCAGTGTAATGGAGGGTCGGCCGTCGGGGGTGGATAGTTCATCCAGGACGGCTGATAGGGTCTCTTGTATGTATCTTTGAACAGGAGACTCGGAGGTAACAGGAATATTCTCAGCGAGCTGGTTTTCATTGTCATCATCTCCTGATATCTCCATGGTTTCTGGCTATAATAGAAGCTATGAAGAATACGATGAGGCCTCCAGACAAGATCTAGACGCTTCTTCCAAATGGAAGAAGTTCGTAGCGGAGAGATCAAAACGGTCAAACATGCTGCACACGGCTTCCCTGTCTGGATTCGTGTAATCTATACAAAGTGTATGATACCATCTTTTATTCCCCACAACTCGATTTCTGTAAATGGAATTTCATTGTCACTGTGGAACGAAAGAGCAGGAGTGTGAGAAGGCAGCAGTACAAGGATGGCACCAAGTATAAGCAGGGCTACTTATGTATATGTTCCAAATAACAGCCATTGCTTCCTCATCAATTAGGACAAATCGATCATCTGTTACCAGCCATTAAAACTGGAATTACAATCAAGGCAGAGCCGTAACAGTCTGGATTCAATACCAAGGGAATCATTGAAGGGTAACATGTATGCGGGTATAGATCGTTAGTAGCCTGTGGTTTCAGGCATCAAAATAGACAAGAAAGGGTTGGGACTCTCCAGCTATATTGCATAGAAATGCACAGGCGTAAAAGTAAGTACAGTACAGAAAAATCCATCTCTCAATTGCAGAGTGCCTACTTGGTAGAAATAACAATTGTTGCTGCTGTGTATTCACGTGGGCCAGTTTTTCTCCGCCTTTGCTCCGAAGCCTCTCGCCGTTCCCGCGTCGCATTCATCGGCGTCGTTCATTTCAACACCGCTGCTGGCCATTTGATCAGCATGAGTCTCGCCCTTCTCGGATAATACAGCTTAGCATCATCTATCCGTCCCGTATCTGCGGAACATCCCGCTCCACTCGTTGTCGACCCTACGACGTTACACCCTCACCAGCCCTCCAGCCGTTCTCTTACATCCACCACCACCCACCATGTCCGTCTGGAATCCAGATAATATTCGCGACGTCGCCGAATCAGTCGGTGTCGTGAACCTCAACAACGACGTCACCGAAAACCTTGCCCGCGATGTCGAATACCGCGTCGCGCAGGTCCTGGAGGAAGCTCTCAAATTCATGCGCCACAGTCGACGCACGCTATTGACCACACAAGATGTCGCGCAGGCGCTACGCGTGCTGGACGTGGAGCCGCTATATGGATACGAATCTACAAGGCCGTTGCGGTTCGGGGAGGCATCCTTGGGGCCTGGGCAGCCGCTGTTTTATGTTGAGGACGAGGAAGTGGACTTTGAGAAGTTGATAAATGCGCCGTTGCCCAGGGTACCCAGAGAGATCTCTTTCACAGGTATGTTCACGTTGCTGCTCTACGGATCTCGAGTCATCAGCGTGCTGACTTCATTAGCCCACTGGTTAGCTGTCGAAGGTGTACAACCGTCCATTCCCCAGAACCCCACGGCGGCCGACTCGAGAAACCTGGAACTGATGTCCAAGGGGCCCAATGCAAGCTCTACACTGGCGGCCATGAGCGGAGGAGGAAATGTCACCGTCAAGCCCCTGGTGAAGCATGTGCTTTCCAAGGAGCTCCAGCTCTACTTCGAGAAAGTCTGCAACGCCTTCCTGGACGAGTCCAGCGAGGAATACAGGACGTCCGGTTTTGCCAGCCTGCGGGAAGATCCTGGGCTCCATCAGCTGGTGCCATACTTTGTGCAGTTCATCTCAGAGAAGGTGACCCATGGACTGAAGGATATCTTTGTCCTCACGCAAGTGATGCACATGGCCGAGGCTCTGGTACAGAACCAGTCGCTCTACGTGGATCCCTATGTAAGTCTGTTTTCACATGATTCAACAACCTCCGCTGACCCTGGTAGATTGCATCACTTGTACCGCCTATTCTCACCTGCCTGATCGGCCGGCAACTTGGTGGCAATGCTGAATTATCGGAGCAGTTTGCCCTGCGCGACCTTGCCGCATCGCTTCTGGGCCTCATTGCCAAGAAATACTCCAATTCGTCGCATACACTCAAGCAACGACTGGCCCGGTCGTGTCTCAAAACGTTCCTGGACCCCTCGAAACCCTTTGGGGCGCACTATGGAGCCATTATTGGACTGCATGCGGTGGGCGGTGCGGAGGGGGTGCGGGTGCTGATCCTGCCTAATCTGCCGACATACGGCAACCTGCTCAAAGATGGCATGGCGGAAGATAGTCCACGGCGACCGGAGGCAGAGAAGGTGCTAACCGTGCTTCTGGGGGTTCTGGCCACGCTACGGGAGGGACGGATAGCACTTGCCAATGGACATGGAGGCATGGTGACGGATGGACTACGAGAGCGATTGAGTGGTAAAGTGGGTGACTTCCTTGCTGCGAAGATAAGTGACGCGGGGGAAGTCGACATGGCGCATGCGATAGTGGAGTCCTGAGCCCGGTGCTATCTTTGCACGTACCGGGGCGGTGCATTTTCCATTTTCTTTCCCTTTCTTTTCTTTTATTTATTCATTGATGGGCATGGACACAACGGCGTTCGGCAGGGTGTTTAGAAAGGAACTTGGTACCATTCAGTGATAGCTAGCGGGGGATAATTCGTGCCGCAGTGAATGAATTCTTGTATCTCCTGGTCGGTCCTCAGGCAGCCAGCCGTGTGATGTCACCGGCTTAGGTAACAGCCCGATGTGACCCTTGTGCGACCGCCTGCCTGGTCGGGTTTTTTTTGCTTGCTTCTTTACAGGAACCCCGACGGCGCATTCCTTCTTCCTGGCTTGCTTTTCCGGCCGGCTCAACCCCATTTCATCATTCCCCTCCTAAGTCGGAGTAGGATCGCATCCATTGCCTGTCCAGATCCAGGTGTGTATATGTTCCTGCATTTCCCCTCCCAATCCCAAAATTCCCTCATCGCCCGATCTTGCATAACAGGATCCGTGTCCCTGACCGTGGCTTGTTCCGCCTTCTCTCAGATTCTGCGTTGTCACGCCCAACCCAGATTGGCCTTTGCCGCCCCACGAACTTTTTTCGGGCCCACAGACCACAGACAGCAATAATAATCGCTCAAGCATCGGCCATCACAGAACTTCTTTTCCCCCCACGTCCGCGTGCCTCTTTCTCAATCCTATTTATTCCTCCCCTCCTCACGTTGGCGGAGGATTGTCGCTTGGTGTCTTTGATTCATTGACTGATCAGAGCGCCAAACCGCTTGTTGGTCCCTGCACTTGCCCTGCCGTTGCCGTTGCCGTCCAAATCGTTTCGCCGATGTCCAGTGCTGTGGCTACTCGCGACATCGTGCTGTTTTAAGCCCGTTCTGTCTCCTGCCTTCCATGAACCCAAAGGATCTACTACGATACCTGTCTAAGCCCGCAAAGTATGTTGTCTGCCCGAATTCTCTGGTCCGCGGTGGATCAAAGGCCATGGCTAACCTGTCGCGACAGGCCCCGATAACACGCCTAAACCCCACCTTTTTCCACAGTCGCAAACCTCACCTTCCTATCCACTTTCAAAAATAAAAGCAGATACTCTCGTCTGCTAGACCCGATACTTTTGCCGGTATCGGTATCTTCCAGCGCGAGGGTCGTCACCAGATAGTCACCATTCCCTTTTCCAGAGGCTTTTTCCTCCTTTCCCTTTCCTTCCGACCTCCCTAGCAGCCCTTCCGGCTCTACTGCATTACCCCTCTTGGCTGAGTGCCAATTACAAAACCGTTAAAGGGCCTACTCTCTCAGACGGACATTGCCCCCCTGTTCGTCTGGGCAGCAGATAGTGCTTCCTAGGCTCTGTCTACGGTCCACGAATCCAGTCGCGTGCGCCTGCTATACACTTGCTCTTATCGATCCACCTGTTCCATCCTCAATCGGTCAAGATGGTTTACATTGGAATCCCTCAGCATTACACGACGTCGCCGTCCTCTTTCATGGGGACCCCGTCCTTGACGATCAACCATGAGGCGACCCAGGACCTGGATTCCACCAACGCCTTTGAAGGTATGCGAATCACGATAACCCTAACTCTGCCCTATTCTGACATGAAATAGGCCCCGAGAAGCTGCTGGAGGTTTGGTTTGCGCCTTCCGCTCAGGAATTGGGATCTGCTGGTCCTGCCGGCCTGAAGGCCGTGCCCGAAGAAATCTGGAAGGACATGCTGGATCTCGTCAACTGCCAAGTACTCTCCATTGTCTCGTCGGAAGATGTCGACGCCTATCTGTTGTCCGAGTCCAGCATGTTTGTCTGGCCGCACAAGTTGATCCTGAAGACCTGTGGCACGACTACCCTCCTGTCTGGGCTTCCGCGCATTCTCGAGATCGCCGCCCTGTTCGGTGGCTTTCCTCGGGCTACGGCCCCTGCTTCTCGTGGCATTTCCGTCGCCGCCGCCCCGTACCGCGTGTTCTACAGCCGCAAGAACTTCCTGTTCCCTGACCGCCAGCGCGGTCCCCACCGCAGCTGGAGAGATGAGGTCCGGAACATGGACCGGCTTTTCCTCAACGGTAGCGCCTACATGATTGGCAAGATGAACGGCGAGCATTGGTACCTCTACCTGACCGAGCCCAACACTTTGCTCACCCCCCCGGCCAGCCCTGGGGTGGAGTCGGAGGATCCCGTGACCGAAACCAAGATCCTTCAGGTGCCTGCGGAGGGTGTGCATCAGACCCGCGAAGATCAGGATGAGACGTTGGAGGTGTTGATGACCGATCTGGATGAGGCGAACGCTAAGCAGTTCTACCTCGAGCACGCCACGGCGGTTGCGGAGAAGCGTTATCGCAACTTCGATGCTGACAATGATGACCACGTGGATGTGTTCAGCAACAACTCTGACATGGATGATGTGTCATCGAACGGCAGCCGAGTCTTGCCTTCGGAGCTGACCACCGAGGGTCACGCTTTGGGCACGGTCGTGTCGGAGTCCTGTGGCCTTTCGGACGTCTATCCCAAGAGCAAGTTTCCCGATTCTCGGATCGACGCGTATCTGTTCACCCCGTGCGGGTTCTCTGCCAATGGCGTTATCCCCACGCCTGACAAGAACACGGGAACCCACTACTTCACGGTGCATGTGACTCCGGAGCCCCAGTGCTCGTACGCGTCGTTTGAGACCAACGTGCCGCACTCGCAGAACGGTCAGACTACGCAGGAGATCGTGGAGCAGGTGGTGAACATCTTCAAGCCCGGACGCTTCACGGTGACCCTGTTCGAGGCCAAGCCCGAGGTGACTGCCGCCGAGGGCGAGTGGGACGCCATCAAGGAGGCCAAGTACATTGAGCGGCAGGCGGCGCGTCGCACCAAGATGGAGCACGTTGCAGGATATCGTCGGGTGGATCGGATTGTGCATGATTTGGACGGATATGACCTGGTGTTCCGCTACTACGAACGTCTTGACTGGAAAGGGGGGGCCCCTCGGCTCGGCGAAGAGCGCGTTTGAGAGCGAGCACGGTATCCGTCCGATTTATGACGGTGGGTTGGACACGGGAGAATGTGATCTGTTTCCTTGCATGTTCCACTTTCGGGCTATTGTCATGTGATTTCTGTCATCCAGCGATTGAGCTTAGTGCTTTGAGCAATGTTAATTGAGACCTGCGTTTGCGCTTGTGGCTGTGAGGTTGTGTAGGATTTAACCGGTGTAAAGTGAGGTAGAAATAAGCAGCGGGCGACGCGCCGGAGGAAAGTCGGCCACTCGGCAGACTTGCCGGATGGGGCCGCCGTAAGCTGGAACTTGTAACACCGATAAGCAGCAGCCTTCCTTTTCCTCTTCCGCCCTTCATCGCATTCTTCCGCTGGCCTGCCACTTGGCTGTCTCCCGCCTCCTATTCTTCACATCCATTCCGATTCTTATAAAATCCTAGCGACTGATTCTAGTTCTACTTCGACACGCTCCACGACCGTTCCTGCAGAGACGCCGGCATACCAGTTGTCGTCCGCGCCGCGAGCCGACCGGTCTCTGACCAACCAACACGAACCACCTTCTCAACTCCCTGCCAACACACATCCCATCATCATGTCATCGCCCCCACCCCCTTCCTCGAACCCGCTGAAACGGCCCTCAATCTCCTCGGCCGCCTCCCAGCCGCTGGGCAGCCACCCGAAGCGACCGCGGATGCACCCCCTCCGTCAGACCTCGTTTCCCAGTACCATCGACGCCGACACGCGCACATACAGTGATGCCGGGAGTGTGACGGGCAGCTTCACGGGCAGTCTGGGGGGCACCAGTGCGGACGGAGTATTTCTGACCAAGGGCAAGAAGCGCGGGCGCAAGAGCAAGGCGGAAAAGGAGCGGGAGCGGGAAGAAGGCAGTCTTCGAGCCGGCATGGATCGGATGGGGTCGGTGGATATGGAGGGGGCCTCTGTGCGAGCTGGTACCGCTGGTGGGGGTGGCGGGGGTGGCGAGGATGCAGATGAGGATGAAGATTTTGATGATGAGGGCGAGCTGCTGGGCAGGGAAGAGGGGACGACAGATACGGAGGCCGAGAAGAAGAATCTGGCGTAGGTGTTTTTCTCTCTCAGATGGGAGGCAGGTGGCGTGCTGACTGGCGGTCTAGGTTGTTGGTGGACGCGTTCAATCCTATCCAGTCGGAGCGATACGATTTGTTCAAGCGAGCCAAGTTACGAAAGGAGACGCTACGACGGATTGTCAACCACGCACTCTCGCAGTCGGTGCCGGCGAGTGTGGTCACTACGATTAATGGGTTTACAAAGGTGTTTGCGGGTGAGATGATCGAGAAGGCGCGGACGGTGCAGGCGGAATGGGCCCTGGCTCATGACCAGGCGGCTCTGGCGGCGTTGGAGGCGGAACAGGCGACATCGACCCCGGCTGGAGGCATTAAACAGGAGCCATCGGAGCATACACCTTTCTCAGCGGCGAAGAAAGATGTGAAGCTGCCGCCAAACCCGCACCGGGGCCAGTTGCTGCCCGCGCACCTGCGGGAGGCGCTTCGGCGGTACAAGCGGGACGGCGAGGGGGGAGGCGTTGGGTTTTCTGGATTAAGCATGGGCAATCTAGGGGTGCGAGGGTCGGTGACGTGGGCTGCAGGCAGTGTGGGAGGCCGGCGGATTTTCCGTTAATTTCAGCGGTGGCGGGGATGGATACTGGCTGTGAGTGAGTGAGTGCTAAGTCGATAGGCGTTTAATGGTGGCTGTTATACTGACCGCCGACACGATCATAGTATGTGAATTAATGAAGCCAAGCGGCCTGTCTATAATTAACTTGACGCACGGGGGCTCTTGGAATGTCTATCTTCCATCACCTCATAGGGTTCGGCATGGCGCAATCGAGACCCAAGAATTGCACACGTGAGGGTCGGCGCTTCCCCCCTGGAATGGCGCCTCCTACTTTTGAGGTTTCATTTGTCTTGGCTGGTTGTCCCGATGATAAATGCGTTGATCCCCTGTAGTGATTCTCCTCACGATGCCCTTCTTCCCATCGGCCCGATGGCTTCCCTTGCACCTCCTCACCTCGTGTCTCTCCTTCGGTTTTGTGCTTTCTAAACCCCATCATGCGATCGTTCCAAGACTCGTATCTCTATACCGGTCTCCGAGACACTCTCTGGGGCACGTCCACCGCCCAGGGCGATCCCCGCAAGAGCGTCAAATGGATTGATGTACGCATCCAACGCCCCCCCCCCCCGTGATAGCCTCAACTAACCCACCCTCAGGGCCTGCGCGGCATCGCCTCCTTCTTGGTCATCTTAACCCATCTCGCCCGTGCCTGGGATTATGCCTTGTTTTCGCCTCGAGACGATGAAGAAGTCCCTCCCCGTGTTCTGCAGTGGCCCGTTCTGCGCATCCCCTGGCAGGGGCGCATTGGCGTGACCATCTTCGCCTTCTTGACGGGCTATGTGTGTGGTCTGAAACCGATGAAGCTCTCACGCGCGGGCAACCATCTAGGGGCCTTTACAGCCGTTGCCAAGAGCGCGTTCCGTCGTCCTCCTCGCCTCATCCTGCCCGCCACCATCGCGCTGATTATCTCATGGGCGATGGCGCAGTCCGGCGCCTTCAACGTCGCCAACCGGTCGGATTGCTGGTGGTGTCGATACGCGGCGCCTGATCTCGAGGACTCTTTCCGCAGCGAAGTCATCCGACTGGGGCAGAACTTCCTGAGCACTTGGACGACGGGCTACATGGCATATGATGATCACCAATGGGCACTACTCCCGCTTCTGAAGGCCTCGATGCTTGTCTATCTCCTTGTCTGTGCGACTATGTTTGTTCGATTCCGCTGGCGGGTCGTCATCTACTCTCTGATGATCTTGTACTTTCACCAAGACGCTTCCAAGGACACTGGTACATGCCCCCTCCCAATACTCAATCCCAATCCACCCTACTAACTCTTCTTCCATCATCTCAGAGACATTCCAGATTCAAGCAATCTACGGCCTCTTCCTCGCCGATCTCTCTCACTCCTCTACCCTCCCCACCCTCATTCACGCATACCCCTGGCTGCGCCGCATTCTCATCCTCACCTTCCTCCTTCCCTTGGGCCTCTACGTGGCCTCATACCCCGGGGAGAACCCCACCTGGTCCCCCTGGTCTGAACAGCTCTTCACCCTCGCCACCTACATCTTCCCTCCCGAGGTGAACATCGGCAAACGGTACACCGCCATTGGCGTGGACCTAATCATCGCCGCCATCTACCTCTCCCCCACCGCCCAACGCTTCCTCTCCTCGGGGCCTCTCCTCTGGCTCGGCAAGCAAAGCTTCGCCGTTTACCTTGTCCACGGCACCCTGCTCCGCACTGTCCTCTGCTGGATGCTATACGGGACGATCTCCGGCGAACCGTGGGTCGAAACCGTCGACGACACCGGCGCCGTGATTCTCCCGCCGTGGCTGCCCGTGAAAGGCGGATGGTCGTGGGGATGGATCATCGTCTGGATTGGGATCGTCTATGCGGTTGCGATGCTGTGGACGGGATACGTCGATCCCTGGTGTGCGCGAGTGACCGCTTGGATCGAGAAGAAGGTGTTCAATAGTGAGGATGAGAAAGATGCACAGGGGGATCTTGAGGGGGGTCGGATGCGTAGGATGGTGGTTGAGTAGGTTTTGATTGTATTGTGCGTGTTCTAGACGCTGTGTTGATTCTGGTACTAGGGAGGCGTAGGTACATAGTAGCCTCTGGGAGTCTGGGTTCGATGGGATATGATGAATGCCGGGACGAGGCCGGACCTTGTCCTGTGTCATTACTTAACTTGCCGTTTAGATGGACGCGTGCTTGAGCATAGATATATAATTTAAATACAAGATTGTTTCTTCGTTAAGGATTTCCATTTACTTGAGTCTAGTAGTAAACCTAGCCCCGTCCACAAGAGGAGAGAGAGAGAGAGAGAGAGAGAGAGAGAGAGAGAGAGAGAGAGAGAGAGTATTCTCCAGAATATGAACCAGTACAAATACCTACATCCCCAAACGTACCAAAACGATCCCTCCTCCCTCACATCACTTCCCTCTGTAATATCTCCATACAAATACCTACCCCAATCATCCATCCCCCACCAGCCTACATCCCAACTCAACCCCCGACTCCATTTCTCGAAATGATTAATATACTTCTATTAATACGGAAATCCAGACTAGACCCATAACTGAACCTTGCTAATACAACGATCTGATCTGCATGGCTGGTTCTTAATGCGCAACTAGCTGGATACCAGCCTCATGTGCTGTCTTTTTCTTTGTGTAGACTAGGAAGAGTGGATTCTACACTTTCTAGGTTTCGTAGAATAAGTCCTACATACGTTTGAGATGAGGATCTATGATGTGAGATCTTATTATATTATACTGGTAGATTCTTTGACGGTCTATTGCATATAACATACTCAGTCATGCTACCTCTCTGCTGGAGGAAGAATCAAGTACTAGCAGGGAAAAAAAATGAAGAATATTTGATCATAATTGGAGTGTCTTAGTGGGAATGTACTTAGACTTAGTAGAATACCGGAAAAAGGGAAGAGGAAAGACAGAGTATATTCAGGCAGCTCTGGGAGAGATTAATTGCTTGATGTTGAGGGTTGGGGATACTGTTCATAGAGGTTAAGATATATCTGGTGTGTTGATAGTACTTGGGCTGATTGCGAGATGAGTCGATGGGGTAGTGGTCCTATCCTTGCTTTGCTTTGCTTTGCTTTGCTTTCCATGAACGGAATAACCTATCGACAGCTAAGCGAAGCACCGTATAGTATATCAATAGGAAGAAAAGAATTCAGTGTATCTGCTTGGCTGCCAAAGGGTAATGGTACCGTATGAGCACCAACCAACGAAACATTACAAGAATTCATCCTATCTCAGTAGCCCCTTCGTCATCAACAACACCAGGGTAGTTTCATCTGGTGATCAACCTCGCACCTGCGTGATGTGTATGCTTGGTTTTATTATCGCTTCATGTCTTCTTTCGGAGGTTTACTCTCTCGGTTTGCTGGGGCAATTGGGTTCGTTAGAGTCACTGGATGGATAGGTTAGTGGTGCTTCGACGTTATGGAATAGAGGGAGGGGATGTACCGGGCATAACTCCTATATAGGCGCTCAAGAACTAGACCTTAGTGAAGTTTGTTGGTCTTGACAATCCATATGGCCAGATGAATGCATGACTGCATTGAAAGGGAAGTACCAAGTCACGTAATTCTTATAAACGAACCGTGACCTATCACCTGATTAAATAGATGCACGGTACCGAAGTACAGGACCCCGTCTGGGGGATTCTTCGGTACTGGAACGCATGTGTTCACTCTGACTCTTGGAGACTCCATATCGTACAGAATGGAAGATATTTGCTCTTGCTGTAGTTCTGGAAGAAGGAAGAGCACTTTGTGCGATGGGACGCGCTGATCTTCAGCTTAGCTTTTCGAATAGGTGATGGCCACATCTCAAGACATGCGCTTCCGCTCCGATCCTAGTACCGAGGGTGACCATGAAGAGGGGTCGAGTTGACAGCGTGACGAGTCCGTATCTGCTCTTCGACCTGTAACCGCTCCTGCTGCTGTTGCAGTCGCAGGATGCGCCGCTGCCGAGGCATCAATTGGCGTCGGTGGGCAATGAGACGGTACATTATCGCTTTGAGACGCACATAGAAAGCGTGTAACAGAGGCACACACACCACCAGTACCGTGGGGACGTTGAGAAGGTTGTGGATACAGAGTATAATGGGGAATAGCGGCTCTGAAGCCAGACACTGCATGGTGTCTTGAACTGGTGGTAAGGTCAAGTTGGTTCGAATGATTCGAGCAGATGCGCATGCTTCCCAGAATGACTGTCTAAATAAAGCCGGGAAATGTCGTCGCTCGAGTTGAAGTAAGGCATGGCCTGCTCGGCGTGAAGATGGATGTTTGGAGCGCGCGATAGGGCCGGGATAAGAGTGGACCGTGTGCGAGACAAGTAGACCGAGACCCGTTCATATGGTTCACTGTCTTTGACTCGGCGGAATGGATAGGAACCAGCCGAGCTGTTCTACTGACAGGAGCCCTCAGGTTCTCTCTTATCACTCTTTTCCTGTTCAGCAGGTACCTGCCTTGAAAGGACCTTATCTGCTCTAGCGTGCTTTATATCCAACCCTGCTATAGCATAGGCATCTTGTTAGGTATGCAAGCAGGGTCTAAGCCCATTGAATCATTCATTTATATATCATTGTTCGATTCATCAAGCGGTAATTTGCGAATCGGTCAACTCTGGGCTCATGACTGCCGTCGAAGGATGCCCGCCACCCCACGTGTTCTCAGCGATCGATGGCGGAATTAGCCTTTGTGGTCATGGTGTACCGCAGCCTGACACCCTGCATGTAAGCGTGCAAGCCAAGGTCTTATGGCAAGTTGTCTGAGTCCGAGCCCATATGCTGACGCAATCCTGCAGTTGCCGAAGCTTTCATCGGCAGGAGCTGCCAATCATGGAAGACCTCACGTGTCATGGCCTTGGCTGGTAGAGATGAAATAAAATCAACAGAGATAGACAGCAGCGAGACGAGGATTCTGTGTTTGGAAACCTTCATCCACATGGGTGAGAATTGATGGTGAGAAGTTGGTGGTCAGCTCACCATCCCTGAGATTTAATCAAGAGAAGCGCAACAGCTATAGTAATCCGGATCCCCATACGCCGAAGTCTAGTATGGATTTATTGAGGATACTTCGATAGGAGAGGATGGTGTATTTTGGCTGGGATGTTGAGCTTTGATTTTGAGGTTCTCAACGGATCATGGTTGTCGGCGAGAACGGTTCACATCATATTTGCACACTGTTGTAAATCGGTCCCAGTGAAGATGGTTGGTCGACTCGAGATTCGACAGCAGTCTCATTGGGGTTGATACGTCGCCCTCTAATTAATTGCAATGACGATTGTCCGTCGACAAGGTAGTCCAAAACGAAACCCATGAAGGAATGGACAACAGGTATCGTGCAACAGAGGCTGCTTAGATCCTCTGATGCGACAGCTGGGTACATAGTGTCAGAGTATATATAGGACATCCCAATGGACAACATGAACAAAAGTAACAAGGGCATTCCAAAGAAAGGTGTCCTTGGCCCACTTGATGCTTTTTAACAAGGCTATACAGCAACAAGCTTCCTAGCTTGATTTGCTTGAAGGTGTCATAGCACTCTGCAGGCTAAGAGGTCGTTCACCCATTCCTGGGCGATGGGACGGACACCACCCCTATATGACAGTGGCAGAGACGGAAGTTTCCTCATCTGCAAGGTTAATGCCCGACACTGCCGCGGAACCAACATAGAATTGTGATCAAAGTCGGAGTTATTCCTTCTTGTTCCGGACAGCTCCTGGTGGTGAGACTTGGCAAAGGTGACCAAAGCCCAGCAAGATCATCTGAAGGCAATCAAACATGGCTTTTCCTAATCTCTCCTCAATCCTTTCCCAGTTTTGCGAAGCCACTGCAACTGTGTCATAAGATTGTCCGGCCCGCTTCTTTAATGCTGTCCAGTCATCGGGCTGGTTTTGTTCCAGATAGGCAAGGACATCTAGCTTGCTCTGGATCTCTCAGACTGCTACCGTACAGGTGGCCGCCATTACTGTGTCGTTGAGAAGAACAGCCTGCATGTAATTTGTAGTGATGATTATTTTCTGGCCTTTATCACACGAGTAATCAGATTCAGTCAGCTGGATTGCCTTTAGGCTGGGTGTTTACTTGCCTCGGTGGTATTCATGTCAATGAGGTCGCTAACGGCATAGAGCATGAAATTCTGGCTGCTACCCGTCTGGACGATGAGGAACGTGATACAGGGGTTCAACAGGCTGGTATGTTGTAGTTGAGGTCCTGTTGGTCTTTTGGAAGATGATATTAGACGCAATGCTAGATATCTCCTGCTGCTACCTTCATTGGAGCCATATCTCCTGGATCTTGACGGATTGGTGGGGATGGGGAGGAAGAACATGAAAGGGAAGACACGACTGTCGGCAGGGGATGGAGTTTGATAGGCGGAGGCAGCGACGGCGATAATACGAGTGACAGCAGTACAGCGACACCTCAGGATGAGTGACAGCCATCTATGTGAGATTGTAAATAGGTCACAGACAGTAACCGAGGCTGAGCAGCCAGTGATCAGAAAACTAATCGATTCCAATAAAACAACCCATGAATGAGATGGCATCAAATATAATACAGATAATTACAACCCACCCGCTGGAGCCTGCCTTCACGCCTGGTCATAACGTTCCCTCACGGCCGGTTGGCTTTGGAGGCCCGGTTCAAGCTGGCCTGGGCCTTTTCCCGCTCCTGGGCCATGGTCCGCAGGTATGCCTCCCGGCGGGCATGATTCCGCTCCTCGCGCTTCCATTCCTCCTCCTCCTGCCGCCGTTTCTCGTAGTCATCGGCCAGCTTGCGGTCCTTCTCGCTGAGTCTCGGGGGCTGCGCGGCAGACCCATCCGCATTCGTAGCCGGGCCAGTGCCTCGATACTCGTCAATCTTCTCCCGCATCTCCTGCTTCATCTTGTTTCCAGTCTCCTTGACATCCCCGAGGGTGCGGTCAATGAAACTCATCTTTTGGCGCTCGGCCGCCTGGGCTTCGGCCGCTCGCTTGGCAGCCTCCTGCATGGACTCTTCGTTGACCATGCGAAGTCCGTAGAATCCCTCCTTCTGAAGCGTGCCAGCCAAATCGTAGGTAGGGACGTTCGGGTCTACGAGGGTGATACCGAATCGTTTCCGGAAGGTGGTGGAGTTGAGCAGGTAGGATTGTCCTAGAGCAAACGCACCGGTAGCGACGAAGTAAAGCTGAAGGGCAGCGGGGAAGGTAGCCATGAACATGACCGATACCATGGGCAGGCCGTAGTAGATACCATTTTTAAGTGAGGAAGCTCCCAGTTGACTCATTCCCGCCTCTCCTCCTTTCTGTAGACAACTGTGTTAGTGGACGGTGACAGGATTGGAGATAGGGCAGGGCTTCTTTCAATACCTTGAGGGTATAATGCATGAGGACAGCCGAGACGACGGGGAGGATGAAGTATGGATCCGAGACAGTGAGATCCTGCATCCAGCCAAGGGTTTCCGCAGCCAACCCGGGCACCGGCAATCCGCACATGTTGTTGACGACGCGGTAACAGCCAAATCCGAAGGGGATCTGAGCCAACGGGATGAAGGACTTCCAGGCGGAGATGCCGTGTGCCGCGTGCAACTTGCTCAGTTCAGCCCGTTTCTTGGCCACTTCCACCATATCACTCTTTTTTTGGGCCATCATCATATCCTTCCGAAGGGGACCGGTAAGGTGCTTGATATTGTTGGTCTTGGCACCGACGTCCACGGCCGAGATCGTAGGACCCAAAAGGGCCAACCGAATGAAGATACCAGTGGCGACGATGCCACCCCACCAGGGGAGGCCCGCCGCAATGTGGAAGTGCTCAATCAAGTATTCGATGGTGGCGGAAAAGCCCCAGCCGAAATCCAACCCCAGCTGCTTCAAATAGCCAATTTGTTCCGGGATCGCATTGATGTCAAGTGCGGAGAGATCGGTCGAATCGAGCTCAAATCCATCCGAAGGGGGGAGCCCCGATGAGGCATCACTTTCAGCAGCCGGGAAAGTAGTAGTCGAAGGCGCCGAGGTGGAATTAAAGCGGGCGGCAGCCACTCCAGCAATCGCCGCGGCAGGCCGCCAGGAGCGAGTTCCAGCCAGAATCTTATTTGCCTGACCATAAGGGGTGGCGGTTCTCAGGGCCTGCGAACGGAAGGAGGACATCTGTAGGACAAAAGTTAAGCCTTGCACTGGGGCATTGGGAACGGTATGCCGACGAAAAGGACGGCCAAGGACGACGAACCGATCGGCTGGAGCGAGAGAAGGCATTGAACCGTTGCCGGGCCGCGGCGGGCAAGACACCGCGTCCACTGAGACCAGCCCCTCCCAACATGGTGAAGAATTGTATGAAGACGGAGGAGATGACTTTGGAGAACCGAAACGGACGGAGATGGCCAAAATCGCGCCGGCGACGCTTTTTCGGTGCCAAGCCCGCTTTTCTGCCGGGCGGTAGCCGGCTGCTCAACGGAGTGCCGGTCTAGATACATGTTTAGCCTCCAGCCAGATGAGATGTCAAATTCGAGGTGGTTCGCCAGACGCCGTCCAGTCAGACCGATTACTGATGCTTGATCTATGTACATTGTAACCCCGCGACAAGAGCCAAACAGTTTTCATGCCCGTCTCCCCCGTACATGCCAATGAGAATCGGGTGCAATGATCTATATCGTTCTACTCTAGAGACGCAGCGTCTTGCAGACCAGCCGCCCTAGTGCCCCTCCGCGACGACGGAGCGTCTCGAACCTCAATCCCGGGTCCCAAAGGCCTTGATCGACGATGCGTGGGGAAGACCTGCAAAAGGTCGGGTTAGCACCATCCAGTAAAAACGCGGGCCGGGGCTAAAGCCTTGCACCCGGGGGTTTCAAATGAAAGCCGCCGTCGTCGTACCTTGGTTCCGGACCATCCCAGTCTGTAGGCTGCTTCATGTGCGAACAATTCGCCAAATCCCAACATCAGGCCATTCACGAACGGGAGGACAAGGTTGATTGCAGCCCCTCGCAGGATGCTCCAGAAAGTAGGGGGCTTGTAGAGGATCAAGGGGGAGCTCGAAGAAGATGACTGGGACCCGGATATATCGTGGTTGGCCGAGTAGTTCTCAGAGTCCGAGTGGACCGTCAGTCCCGACTCGTATAGCTCCCTCGAGTTGGAGAGGTCGGCGGCCATGATGCGGGGAGGAGGCAGTGAACAACGGAGACGAAATGCAAAAGGGCCGGATGTAGGACAGGGACAATGTGGGCCTGCTACTGCGAAGAATTAGCAACCGACGGACGAGCAGAGGTCGGTATGGGACCAACTGAATGGAGGGGAAGTCCGCGCTGGATGAGGTCGTCGAGGGTCCTTTGGGGTTGGCTGGATGGACGATCTACAACCACACCTGACCTGCAGATGGCCTTAGGTAAGCAGCCTGCCTCGCGTTGCACCTCCAGAACAGGTAGCCCCACGATTGAATGATGATTTACCTAGATAGAGTCACAAGGACAATTCTTGCTTCCACGCAGTGAGAGACCAAGTGAGAGACTGATCAGGCGATGAAGTCACTCGGCGAGCGTTCACTGCAGAAAGTCCTACGCCGGTGGGTTCCTCAGGCACTGGCGGAAGATCCCCTCTTCCGGATGACCAATCAGGCAACAGTGACGTACCGCCAGTGGTTCCGGGTGCTCTTCTTCAGCTTCGAGTAGAGCTCCAAGTAATCAATCCATCTCCTCGGACTGCAGCATCCTCCACCTCCTTATTTCCTCTTCTGCCTACTTCTCCCGGATCTCTTGCTGATCGGGAAGCCGCGCTTCTTTTACCGTCGACCTTTCCAACACGCAGCGCCGTACCGGTCGATCACTACCAACATGGAGCACAACGCAGACCGTGATGAGATTGTTTCTCAATTCTGTGCCATGACCAGGACGCATCCCCAAGACGTACGTTGTGGTAGCTCGAGCAGTCAGGATAGCTGCTAACCACCCATTTTACGCAGGCACAAGGCTATCTAGCAGCCAACGAGTGGGACCTCGAAGCGGCAGTGACCGAATTCTTCGCCGAACAAGATGAAGTTTCACAGGATGCTGAAACAGGTGGTGGTCGACGACTGGGTGCCGAATCAGAACCCTCTGCAGGGCGCTCGCTTGGTGGCAGCTCCTCTCACTCCCCCTCCACTACCCCGCAACCGTCGTCCCGCAAATCGGGTACGAAAAAGAAGTTCGCGACCCTAGGCGATTTTGCGTCGGGTGGAGGCGAGACTTCTGAGGAAGATGACAACGTGAACCAGGACTTCTTTGCAGGAGGTGAGAAGTCTGGGTTGGCTGTGCAGAACCCTGATGATATCAAGAAGAAGATCATCGAGAAGGCGAAAAGGTGAGATTTCAAGAACCATAGATGTGGTCAATCAGGGCTAAGTCTTCACAGAGCCCAGCCGCCACCGTCGGATGATCCTGTTAGAAGATCTTACTTCACCGGGACCGCGCGTACCCTTGGCGGTGACGATGCTCCCAGTAGGGTAATCGAAGCCCCCAGTGCGCCGGATTCGCAGAGGCCGCAGCGCGTACACAGAACCCTCCACTTCTGGTCAGATGGCTTTTCGGTCGATGATGGGGAGCTCTTCAACGCCGACGACCCTGTCAACCGCGAAATCCTCGAAGGTATCCGACAGGGTCGCGCTCCGCTCTCCATCATGAATGTGCAGGCCGGCCAGGAGGTCGATGTGGAGATCAAACAGCATGACGAGAAGTACGTGAAGCCTAAGCCCAAGTACAAGCCTTTTGGGGGGGCTGGGCAGCGACTGGGTAGTCCCACGCCGGGGGTGAAACCGCCCGCTGCTGCCACCGCCGCCGCCCCTACGTCCAGTCAGTCCAGCGAGCCAGCCAAGCCGGATGTGGATGAGTCGCAGCCGACGGTGACTCTACAGATCCGACTCGGGGATGGCACCCGACTCACGTCCCGGTTCAACACCTCCCACACGATCGGCGATGTCTACCAGTTCGTGTCTGCTGCCAGCCCGAGTAGCCAGTCACGCCAATGGACCCTGATGACTACGTTCCCCAGCAAGGATCTTTCGGATAAGAGCGCAGTGCTGGGTGATATGGCGGAGTTTAAGCGCGGCGGAGTGGTGGTGCAGCGGTGGCAATAGGCCGTTGAGGGATATACGGTAATAGAGGTTTGCATAGCCCGGTGCAATTTCTCGGGACAATAGTATAGGGCACGTGAACGAGGGTTCGAGTTGGCAGCCCTCGAATTCCAACTCATGTTATACGATTCATGATCGTGACCGATCGTCTGCCAGATTGTACGGGACATGGTTTCACGAAAGTAGAATAGTAGTAGCGTAGCCTCCCCTGCGCATACTTTGCAGTATGCATCGACCCCTATCCGGCATTTGCTGCGGTGTATGGAGTCGAGGCACTGGAGTCGAGTCGATATCTCCGTCCGGCAGGATTGATAAGCAAACTCCGCGGAATGACGCAGAAAAAAGCACCCGAGATCGGCTTCGCCATCCCACCTCACGACCTGCCTTACACACCACTCCTCTGAGATACGTCTCCGACACCAAAGATAGACTATCAAGATGCCTCTCGACGGAGTCAAGAACGTCGTGCTGGTGAGTCGCCGTCCATTCAACCCCAACACCATCGCCACAACCCCTCTTCCTCTTATCGATAACGGCGCATGAGCCAGCACCATGCCTACAATCCTATACAGCCAACAGACTGGACCTCTTGTCCAATCCTTTACTTACTCATACCCTCCACAATCCCCTACTCACACAAAACTAAATCCCTAAACCGCAGGTCCTCTCCGGCAAAGGCGGCGTCGGCAAATCCTCCGTAACTCTCCAACTGGCCCTCGCCCTCACCCTTCAAGGCAAATCCGTCGGGATCCTCGACATCGATCTCACGGGTCCCTCCATCCCCCGACTCGTCGGTCTCGAAGATGCCAAAATCACCCAAGCGCCTGGCGGCTGGCTGCCCGTTCCTGTCCACTCCTCCTCCTCCCCATCACCCTCTTCCACTGTCACCAATGATCAACAACAGCAGCAGCAACAGCAACAACCCCGCGGCTCCCTCCGCTGCATGTCCCTGGGCTTCCTCCTCCGCTCGCGCTCCGACGCCGTCATCTGGCGCGGGCCCAAGAAAACAGCCATGATCCGCCAATTCCTCTCCGACGTATTATGGTCTGAGACCGATTACTTGCTGATCGATACGCCCCCGGGCACGAGTGATGAGCATATTGCGCTTGCGGAACAATTGCTTACGTTGTGTACGTTGGATTCGTCATCGTCAACTACGACTGGGGGGAGTAGGTTGCCGCGGTTAGCGGGGGCGGTGTTGGTGACGACGCCTCAGGCGGTGGCGACGAGTGATGTAAGGAAAGAGGTGAATTTTTGTGTTAAGACGAGGATTCCTATGCTGGGCGTGGTGGAGAATATGTCGGGGTATACGTGTCCGTGTTGTGGGGAGGTGACGAATCTGTTTTCCAGTGGGGGTGGGCAGGTTTTGGCGGAGGAGATGGGGGTTAGGTTTTTGGGCAAGGTGCCGGTGGATGTTGGGTTTGGGGCGTTGGTGGAGGGGAAGATGGTTGATGGGGATAGTGAGGGTGAGGATGAGGATGGAGGGGAGAATGGGGAGAAGAAAGAAGAGGAGGCGGTGCCGGATGAGAGGCCGCTGGTGGAGAGGTATCGGGAGTGTTGGTCGTATCAACGGTTTGAGGAGTTTGCGAAGACGTTGATTGGGGAGATTGAAGGGTCGTCGTAATATATGATGATAAAGGGGATGTTGATTGGATTCTTAGAGCATCAGTCATGGGCGGCGTCTTGATACGATATCATGATTTACAATGAAGAAAAGTGCGCTTGTTCAGTGATCATCAGTGTCATTATGCATGGAATCGAAAACGCTACCTATTTTTTTGGTCGTAGTATCATCGTATATCATGTCATCAGAGCCGTTAAAGGATAGCTATATCGTGGCTTCGTGCAGTTGTTCCTTTTTGTATCTGTCATCACACATTCTGAGTATTTTGATATCGTTCCAACATCGCGCGTAGTCGCATCTCCGCCGTTGCTTGTTTACCGTCGGCAGCACCATGCTGGAGCCAGCTCAACAGCGCCTGCACCTCGGCCATTAAGGATAGCGGTACCCACCGCTTAGATGCAGTCTTGGTATCCTTGATGGGGTGGTCTTGAGGAGTCTCCAGCAAAGGGTTGACAGGTTTACCCTCGGCCTGGGCATCGAGCAGAATTTCGGAGACAAGGGCCGGTGTCAGGATACTCCGGTCACGAGAGCCTGCTTTGAGTTGCTTTCCTCCCAGTAGCATCCGGCTGCACGACCTGGGTTTTGACGCGAATTCCCTCGTCATGGGAAGAGGATCATCTGCCGCAGACTGCAATGCCATGGCAGACCGAGCTGTAGGAGGTGTAATCTGAGTTGACGAGCCATCCCCAGAAAACGAGGTTCTAGATTGGAATCCTGTCTGTCTGGCGTGAACCCAGTCTCGATAGTGCGGAAACGAATGATCGCGGCCATCAGCGACGCTGGTTTCATCGTCGTAGATGACCACATTGTCGGTTTGTCTTTCATGGTCCGAGCTGGCTTCCTCAACCGTCAGCAAGCCTCCAGGAGGAGCCCGGATCTCGCCCAACGGGGCGATATGGCTTCCATATTCGTTCGCCAGACTGAGCCTGCTGCGCCCGCATATTTCTCCGATCGAGTCTAATGTGTGCCGGATATTAGGTTCAATGGCTCGCATAATACCATCGATACTGAAGTCGTCCTCCGACGGGAGAGTAGGCCCCCGTCGCTGACTTCCTGAGCCGCTGAGGAATGGAAATGATCGCCGCACAGGCATCGTGGTGGTGCTGGAGGTACCATGAGGGTCTCCCGAATAAGCCCTAACCAGGACAGGCTGAGATGCCAAAGTTGAAGACCGAGCCGTCGCCTGTCGATGATGGTTCCGCCAGGACGAGGGTCGGGGATGCCCATTCAGCTGACGTAGCGCAGTGGTAGGATGGGGTCGAGCATCCAGAGCCGGTTCATAGCGATAGGGATGCGCCTGTTGCAGAGGTCGGACAGTCTCAACCACCGGCGAGGCATGCAGGCGTGGCAAGGTGGACGAGGACGAGGGGAATGCGTCCGCGTGGGTGAGCCTGCCTGACCTATAATCCATCTTAGATGCAGGCCGCATCTGTCCAGACAAGCTCAGTGACGCAGCAGCGGACGAGGTCGACAGCACCACCACCACGACCACCACCACCGGAGTAAAACCCCGCCTTCCGGCCAATGCGCACGCAGAAGGGAGGGATCAAGCGCCTGTGAGACGGCGGCGGCGGCGGGCAGGTGGGCAGACAGCGCAGGACACGTATCACGCATTGCACGGCACACAATGCATGAACCCAGGAGTTCGACGGGCTGGCATGGTCGGGAGATGGCGGTGGATGGTGGATCGGGTTATTGCTGGGAACCTATCGGTCCAGTCCAGCCCAGGTCCAGAATGCTGGAGAAGGAAGTAAATAGCCAGTGGCTGGTGGATGGCGATGGGCGGGCCACTCGAGGGTCTATACCCGAACGGGGGAAACCAACCAAGCAACAACAATCAACATCATTGGCTTCATCCTGATCGTCACCCCGTGGATGGTCCCCTTGACACTCTCTTCCCTTCTCCTTCGGTAGTCGCAGTTCCTGGGATTCGCTCCCCACCCCTTCAACATGAATAGGTTTCGCGTATGCCTCCCCGTCTGACCTCATTGGTCCCCCGCCTTCCTCAGTGGAACTGATCGTGATGCGGTAGTTTGGCGACTCCGACGAGTCTGCATCCGACCTGGACGATGATACCTCCGGCCTGCCATTCCCTGAACCTCTCTCACGGACTTCGTTTCTCGCTCCCGACTTCGACCCTGCGACCTATCTCTCCTCTCTCACCAATCGACACCAGAGTCTCGAAGACCTGCGCCAGGAGTTGCGCGATTTGGACCAATTACTCAGCCGGGAGCTCCTCGATTTGGTCAACGAAAACTACCAGGACTTTCTATCCCTCGGGAGCGCACTACACGGCGGAGAGGAGAAAGTCGAGCAGGTGCGAGTCGGCCTGTTGACATTCCAGCGCGATGTCCAGGCAATACGGGATAAAGTCGAGGCCAGGCAACAGGAGATGGAACAGCTGCTGAAGGAGAAGAAGCGCCTGAAGACACAGGCCAACGTGGGACAGGCCCTGCTGGACTATGCGGATCGGGTGGAGGAGCTGGAGAAGAAGTTGATGATCGGAGACACCCCCCGACAACCTCACGACGGTTCCCCGGACGGGTCCGATTCGGAGTCCGATCTACTGGAGAGCGCAAGCGAAGACAGTGACGAGGAAGAGCTCCCGGGCGGCGCCTCGACAGCTTCTCTTGTATCCCTCAAAACCCTCGAGCATCATATCCAGAAATACGTCTACCTCACAAGGCTATCGTCCCGGATTGGTAATGACCATCCGTTCCTACAGAGCCAACAACCCAGGATCGCGAAGATCCGATCGGCCGTGCTCCTGGATCTGAAGACGGCCCTGGAACAGGCAAGCCATGCAGGCGACAAGCGGGATACGAAAACGCTGGCCGTGTTACGTCTCTACAAGCTCATGGGAGAGGACACCACCGCGGTGTCGGCACTCAAAAACATGAAGGCCTAGGTTCCGTACCTTTTGCATAGCGTCGGCGTTGGGAGACTGTCTTTGCTGGTTCCGAGTGATTTATGAAACAATACCATTATACACCGTATCCTTCCTAATGTAACATATTCTGTACACCCATGAACGTGAAGAAACCAGAGACTATTTTACACGCCCTGCAAAACGGCGGGATCGGGGGAATTGTCCGACTTGAAATCTCCGTTCAAACTGAAGCCGGGGCCGTGGGTCGAGCTCAGGACCTAGCAGTCGTCAGCAAACGAGACCTTTTGCGAGAACGGGGCAGGTCGTCACTTACCACCTCGTACACCTGCTTGGTTATGCGATCATTGAGGCCGGCCGCATCCTTCTTGATCTGCTCGATGGTTGCGCGCAGGTTGTCACGCAATTGCTCCGGAGTGAATCCGAGCTGTCCAATGGGGACTCGAATAACGGCATCACGCTCGCGGTAAACCGTACCACCACGCAGCATCTCGACTCTCACGGCGATATCTTCGACCACAGTGCCCGTCTTGGCGCTGGGCATCAATCCTCTGGGACCGAGGATTCTACCCAGTCCAGCCTTGTTCAACGCCTCCAAACTGTCCGGGTGGCAGAGACAGCGGTCGAACTCGATCTTGCCGGCCTTCACCGCATCGAAGACCTCCTGCTCTCCCACCAACACTGCTCCAGCGGCGCGCGCTTCCTTCTCATGCCTGGTTCCCGGGGGGCACACGACGCAGATGCGCGACTCGGTCTGGACGGAGTGAGGGAATCGGAGCATGTTGCGAATAACCGGACCGTCTCTCCTCGTCTTCAGGCGGACATGGACCTCGTATTTAGCCGCGGTCGGTTCGCGGCCAACTTCGAATGCACGGAGATATCTGCGGCAGGGATCGAGCAATCAGCGGCATAGTCGGTCGAGACTCGACAACACTCATGCATACCTCATAGCATCGCACAACGCGTATTGCTGCATATCCTTGAGGTCCTTTTGCTTAAACTCCTTCGGACCCTTCTTCTTCTTGGAGGCTTTGGAGTCCTTCTTGCGTGCCTGGGACGCAGCTCGGACCTGTTGTAGGGCGGGCAGAAAAGTGGCCATTGGGCTCGGGCGAAGAGCAGGGCGACATGACGGCAAGATGCTCCGTGCCGCCGTGGGCAGGAGTGAACTGTAGGAAGCCATGGCGATGAACTCCGGTCGAGCTGAGGGCGCCGGGAATGTTTTCTGGCCGAAATCTAGAGTTGTCCGGCCGGGCTGCCCGCGGAGAAACGTACCGCCGGCGGAGTCCCGTAGAGTCAAAATGCCCCTCCGGCAATAATCCTCCATCCCACCATTGCTTCAATCAATTCGCAGTGATTGAAAGATGTCGTCGTTCCAGCTCACTCTGGCCACCCGGGCCAACCCGGCCGCCTTGCTTCCGGTGTTGCTTGTGGCCACCTCCATCAACGAGGCTCGTCCTAGCCCCGTCATCGCCATCACCTACGAGGACTCGGCCGTCCTCTCCCAAGGCGACAAGGCCGTTGTTCAGTTCACTGCCAACGGTGCTCCCGTCTATGGTCCCGACAATGCCATCAAGGAGCTTCGCGCCAGCTTCCCTTACCTTAACGGTAAGGACGAGAAGTTGGTAAGTAATTCCGCTGGACCGCCACTGCACACCCGCTTTGGTTAACAATTCCTTTCCCTTTTACTACAGGAGAATGAGTGGCTCTCCCAGCTCGAAAGCTTCACCACCCTCGACTTCAAGGCCCTCGAGCCCCAGCTCCAGCGCCTGAACACCCACCTTCTCCTCCGGTCCTTCGTGGTTGGATACTCGCTCTCCACCCCCGACATTGCTCTGTGGGGTGCCATCAGAGGAAACCGAGGTATTAGATCCAATTATAATCTATAGGATAGTATTGACAGTATCAGTTGCCGTTTCCTCCGTCCGCAAGGGCGCCCTTGTCAACGTGACCCGTTGGTTCAACTTCCTCGATGAGCTCTGCCCTTGGGCCAGCGCTGCCTTGGAGAACATGAACGCTGCGGCGAAGGAGAAGAAGACCGCCAAGGCCAAGGAGGGTGCTAGCTATGACATTGCTCTCCTGAACACGGACAAGGGTGTTGTCACCCGGTTCCCCCCTGAGCCTTCCGGATACCTGCACATTGGACACGCTAAGGCTGCTCTGCTCAACGACTACTTTGCCCACGAGAAGTACAACGGCACGTTGCTTGTGCGTTTCGATGACACCAACCCTTCGAACGAGAAGCAGGAGTTCCAGGACGCCATTCTCGAGGATCTCCAACTCATGGGTATCAAGCCCGACAAGACGAGCTACACTAGTGACTACTTCGACGAGCTCTACGAGTACGGCCTGAAGATCATCCGCCAGGGGGACGCCTATGCCGACGATACCGATCAGGAGACGATGCGTCAGCAGAGAATGGACGGTGAGCCCAGCAAGCGTCGCGATGCCTCTGTCGAGGAGAACCTTGCTCGCTTTGAGGAGATGAAGCAGGGTACCCCCGAGGGTCTTAGATGGTGCATCCGTGCTAAGATGTCGGTGGACAACCCTAACAAGGCCATGCGTGACCCCGTCATCTACCGCTGCAACCCTGCCCCCCACCACCGCACCGGCACCAAGTGGAAGGCTTACCCTACCTATGATTTCTGCTGCCCTATCGTGGATTCGATGGAGGGTGTCACCCATGCCTTGAGAACCATCGAGTACCGTGACCGGAACCCTCAGTACGAGTGGTTCCTGAACACCCTCAAGCTCCGCCACGTGCAGATCTGGGACTTTGCCCGCATGAACTTTGTCCGTACTCTGCTGTCGAAGCGTAAGCTCACCAAGCTGGTTGACCAAGGTGTTGTCTGGGGCTGGGACGATCCTAGGTAAGGAACCATTAGTAACCAGGACGCCGAATCTAGTACTAATGGCATCTATACAGATTCCCCACCATCAGAGGTATTCGCAGAAGGGGTATGACTATCCCTGCCCTTCGTGAGTTTATTCTCAAGCAGGGTCCCAGCAAGAACATTGTCAACCTCGACTGGACTTTGTTCTGGGCGACCAACAAGAAGTACATCGATCCCACCTCCCCCCGTCACACTGCCATTCTCAAGAAGGATATGGTGAAGGCCGTGATCAAGGGTGCCCCCGCTCCCTACTCTGAGAACAAGCCGAAGCACAACAAGAACCCTGCCCTTGGCGAGAAGAAGGTTGCCTTCAGCGGTTCCGTCCTCTTCGACCAGGAGGATGCCAAGTCCTTCAAGCAGGACGAGGAGATCACGCTCATGAGCTGGGGCAATGCCATTGTCCGTAAGATCGAGACGGACGCATCGGGTGCTGTCACGGGTCTGGAGCTGGACCTGCACCTGGAGGGTGACTTCAAGAAGACCGAGAAGAAGGTCACTTGGCTGTCCACGGACCAGGACGTCATTCCCGTGGAGCTGGTGGACTTTGACTACCTCCTCAACAAGGACTCCATGCAGGAAGAGGACAGCCTGGAGGACGTGCTGAACCCCAAGACCGAGTTCCGCGAGGACGCCGTGGCCGACTGCAACGTTGCCGACCTCAAGGAGGGCGACATCATCCAGTTTGAGCGCAAGGGCTACTACCGCCTGGATCGCCCCTACGCTCCCGGCCAGCCGGCCGTCCTGTTCAACATTCCCACTGGCAAGAAATAGATGCACATACGGGGTGTAGATTTCGACGGGTTATGAAGAGACGCTGGACATGAGCAGTAGATGAATTGAAAGAGTTCAATGCGTTAAGCCAGCCCCGCTAGACAACCACCAAGGCATATCTGGCCCATGGCAGATGGCCGGGCCCGTCCGATATGTCCGGAGTAGTCCGTAAGTTTATAGGCGCACCGCATTAGCGCTGAGCAACCTTGTTATCTACGGTGTAGATTGGGTCCTGGCCTTCCAGACACTTGATTTCCTGTTCTGATTGGCAGACTACCTATAACGCGATTCGCATCCAATTTGGAAGTCTCGCCCGTACTCACGGCGGGATCTGAGGGGAGCCTACGATCTCCAGCACTGCAGATTCAGGAAGCAGCTCATAGCCATGTACAAAGCAAGAATAGGCGAGGGTGTGTCTTAAGAGGGTGTTTGAAAGGCTATACAATGCTTGTAGTCTTTACAAGGTGTCTGGGGAGATCCGCAACGAGGCTCTCGAAGGGTACTTGACGGGGTGCTAGGAAGTGTGACCAGGTGCTTCCAGGATGCTTTATGAATTGCTGGAAAGAGCCGGGTCATCCACCGGCTAGGATTCAGTATAGTCCGGCCGAGTCGGGCAAAATCCCTCAGCAAAGTTCCGCGGAGTAACATTCCCAAAACCTTGCGAGGTGGTGACGGCATGGAAGGTGGGTGGTTCATGACCTCGGCCAGGGTTGCTTTGTTCTAGCCTCGGGGTATCTGGCTCATGGATTAGCCTCCACAACATAAGAATGGGAACAGGAATGGGCATATTGGCACAGTGGCCCGGGCTGCCTCTGACATCTGCGCATGGCAGGTGGGACCAGCTCTGCAACGTCTTCGAACTGAGACACCGTCATGAACAGGAAGAATGGATTGTAAGGTGGGGGAACGCAGGTTGCAGTCGGGTCCCCCACTAGTCCCCATGCGACCTAGGGGATCGGCCGGTCAATCCACCGAGATCATCCGACTAGCCCGCTTCCATCCTAGCCTCCTTCCATCGATCTTCCACTCTTTCCACTCCATCCTGAACTAGACACTTAGTTCTCACTAGCCATCTATCCATCTACTGAACCCCCGCATCCCCAGTTGATCTTCACATTTTATACTCAAGTCAATGACAGCCTCCCTCTCCAAACCCGACCGGCAACCCTCCGAGTCCCACCGTTGGCAGCTGTCATCCCTGCTGTATCGAGCCCTTTCCCTGGTTCTCTGCTGCCGCGCCGTTACTCAGTCCAGGCCCGGACCCCTGGAACGAATCATCGCGTCACGAGTCAATTCCTGTGCTGGTCCTCTCAGAATCGACTGCTGCCAAGGTACAATGCCTTCCTGATGTGCTCCCAGGTGCTCCCGTCAACGCCCTACGGTTCATTCGGAACCCTCACCATGTCTCATACGTCAACACACGCTGGCCCTCGCCGAATCAACGAGTCATCCTCGCGCCTGCTTATTGACTGGCTCCAGTGGTCTCACCTAGTTCAAGCTCAATTGCGAAGATACTGGCAACCAACCCGCCTTACCCCAAAGGCTCTCTCCGTAGACTGCCGGACCTCCCTGGCCTTCCCCTACGTCAGCATGATTGTTTCCGTCCCGACGATTCGTCAGAGAACCGATCTGCTGTGTAAAGTCGTCCAAGCATCCCTGCACCTTGGGACCAAGAAAGAGAAAAAGAAGCTTCCTCGTTTTCCTTTGTCTCTTCTCCAACCCTGGCGGGGAGATTCTTTGCTGCGGCGTAGTGTTCTGTCGCTTGCTCTTCTGGAGTTGCTCCCTTCCTCTCTTTCTCGCGGGAGATCGGTTTCGCTCGCTCTTTGGTTGTAACACAAGGGGACGCCCGCAGAGCGTATAGGGCACAACGCAATCCTCCGCTGCCCGAGACAAGCTGCTGCATTGAACATGGCTGAGCAAGGCGGCGCGTCTGGCACTGCTACCGGCGGTGCCTCTGGCGACGTCGAACGTGCCGCGCAAGGCCGCGTCTCTACTTCGGAGCGACGTGACTCGAGACGAGTCTCCCGTGTGTCCTACAAGGAGGACTACAGTAACCTCGACGAGTATGGAAAGCTGGTCAAGTATGCCTCCACCTACCGGGAGGGGGCCCGCGGCGAAGAAGCGCAGGGTGAAGAGGAAATGAAGAGGGTGTGGTATGCACCCTGGAAGAAGCGCAAGGTTTTCGTCAAGCATGTCGACCAGCAACAGGGCCAATTCCCGGAGGAATGGCTCCTCACGGATATCCGCCAGGGTCTGCCGGAGAGTGAGATTCCTGTCCGTCGTCGACGATCCGGCTGGAACGAGCTGGTATCCGAGAAGGAGAACCCCATTGCCAAAGTCCTGTCGTACTTCAGAGGCCCTATTCTCTATGGTATGCCATCATGTTTTCGGATGCACCGATAAGCCAGAACCCCAGTTGTTCTAACAGGGATACAGTGATGGAGTTGGCCGTTCTTCTGGCCGCAGGTCTCGATGATTGGATTGACTTTGGTGTCATCATCGGTATTTTGTGTCTAAACGCTGCGGTCGGTTGGTACCAAGAAAAACAAGCTGCCGACGTCGTTGCGAGTCTCAAGGGTGATATTGCGATGAGAGCGATCGTCATCCGCGACGGTCAGCAACAAGAGATCCTAGCGCGAGAGCTTGTGCCTGGCGATGTGGTATGTAGTGACGACCTTGTTGGGCTTGGTGGTGAGGTCCGCAACCCGAGGCTTGCAGTCTAACAATTTTATACAGATTATCATTGGAGAAGGTTCGGTGGTCCCTGCCGACTCCAAGGTCATCTGCGATGTCAATGACTCCAATGGATGGGAGGAGTTCAAACGGATGCAGGAGCAAGGTGACTTAAGCAGTACCTCCGAGTCTGATCTCGAAGACAACGAACCTGGCGAACATCAGAAGGAGGGCGAGGAGAAGGAAGAAGAATCCAAGCCCCGACGACGAGGGTACCCAATTCTTGCTTGTGACCATTCCGCCATTACCGGCGAGTCGCTCGCGGTTGACCGCTATATGGGTGGAATGATTTACTATACGACTGGCTGCAAACGTGGTAAGGCCTATGCAGTGGTGCAGACCGGCGCGAAGAACTCCTTCGTGGGGAAGACCGCGACCATGGTGCAGTCGGCCAAAGGGGCTGGTCATTTCGAAATCGTGATGGACAACATTGGTACTTCTCTTTTGATCCTTGTGATGGCATGGATCTTGGCTGCTTGGATTGGCGGATTCTACCGACATATCCCGATCGCTTCGCCGGGCCAGCAGACGCTCCTTCATTACACCCTGGCTTTGCTGATCATTGGTGTTCCTGTCGGTCTGCCGGTCGTGACCACCACCACGATGGCGGTGGGAGCCGCATACCTGGCCAAGAAAAAGGCCATTGTGCAGAAGCTGACTGCAATTGAATCATTGGCGGTAGGTTGCAAACAGTTTTAATGGAATAGAAGGCGAGCGCCGCTAACCCCGAGCAGGGTGTTGATATCTTATGTTCGGATAAGACGGGCACCTTGACGGCCAACAAACTGAGCATCCGCGAGCCGTATGTCGCCGAAGGCGTGGATGTGGATTGGATGTTTGCCGTGGCCGTCCTGGCTTCTTCCCACAACATTGACTCGCTTGATCCGATTGATAAAGTCACGATTCTCACCCTCCGACAATACCCCCGAGCAAGGGAAATCCTCCGGAGGGGTTGGAAGACCGAGAAATTTGTTCCCTTTGACCCCGTGTCCAAGCGTATCGTGACGATTGCCAGCTGCGATGGGACCAGATATACTTGCACCAAGGGCGCGCCGAAAGCTGTGCTCCAGCTGACGAACTGTTCCAAGAGTACGGCCGACCACTATAAGACCAAAGCCCAGGAGTTCGCCCACCGAGGTTTCCGCTCCTTGGGTGTCGCGGTTCAAAAAGAAGGCGAAGACTGGACTCTCCTTGGAATGCTCCCCATGTTCGATCCCCCGCGAGAGGATACGGCCCAGACGATCAACGAAGCTCAGAATCTGGGCATTAGTGTCAAGATGCTTACAGGTGACGCAATTGCCATCGCGAAAGAAACCTGCAAAATGCTTGCACTCGGTACCAAAGTGTACAACTCCGACAAGCTAATCCATGGCGGCCTCAGTGGAGCCATGGCAGGTGATCTCGTTGAAAAGGCAGACGGATTCGCCGAGGTGTTCCCTGAACATAAATATCAAGTGGTGCAGATGCTTCAGGACCGTGGTCATCTGACTGCGATGACAGGTGACGGTGTTAATGATGCGCCATCCTTGAAGAAAGCCGACTGCGGTATCGCGGTTGAAGGAGCTTCAGAAGCGGCTCAGTCCGCTTCTGATATCGTGTTCTTGGAGCCTGGATTGTCTACGATTATTGATTCTATTAAGGTTGCTCGGCAGATTTTCCACCGCATGAAGGCATATATCCAGTATCGTATCGCCCTTTGCTTGCACTTGGAGATTTACCTGGTGACGTCCATGATTATTCTCAACGAGAGCATTCGCGTCGAGTTGATCGTCTTCCTCGCTCTGTTTGCGGATCTGGCCACTGTGGCGGTAGCCTACGACAATGCGTCTTTTGACCTGCGACCGGTTGAATGGCAACTGCCAAAGATCTGGTTCATTTCAGTTCTGTTGGGTCTGCTGCTGGCACTGGGCACCTGGGTCGTTCGTGGTACCATGTTCCTTCCATCCGGTGGTATCATTCAAAACTGGGGTTCTATTCAGGAAGTGCTGTTCCTGGAAGTGGCATTGACCGAGAACTGGCTGATCTTCGTCACCCGCGGTGCTGATACCTGGCCATCCATTCACCTGGTCACGGCCATTCTGGGCGTGGATATCCTGGCCACCATCTTCTGCCTGTTCGGTTGGTTCACCAACGAGAACATGCGCACGAACCCGGGCGACTCGTTCGTCGAGACCACGAACGGCTGGACGGATATTGTCACGGTGGTCCGCATCTGGGGCTTCTCACTGGGCGTAGAAATCGTCATCGCCCTGGTATATTTTATGCTCAACAAGTTCCGCTGGCTCGACGACCTCGGCCGCGCCAAGCGTGACAAGGGCGATCTCAAGATCGAAAACTTACTCGGCCACCTTGCTCGGTTAACCGTGGAATACGAGGAGCCTGGGAAGCCCAAGGGCCGCTTCTTCCTGGCCACCAGCAAGGAAGAGGAAGAAGTGGAGTAAATGTTGGGACGTTCGTCTCAAGCGTAGAGGTGTGTTCTGGAATGAGATGCTGGGATAAGGGCCGCCCGACTATCAATTCTTTATCTTTGTGGAGGAACTCCGAGATACTTTAATGTGCCGGCGATGGAGGAGATATTGGATGACTCTGTTTGATACTAATAGGTTTTTTTTCCCTAATTTTGTTGATTGGTACTAGTTAATATATACCTGTTGTTGTCCATATACATAACTCTAACCAATCATCTGCCCAAAGCCACCCCTTACCCAATGACATTAGCCACGTCCACTTACGCCACGCTCTGAGAGAAAACCCCAAACTCAGCACCAAATACGGCTCCCTCTTCCTCAGCGTCTCGGCTACTACTAGTACCGAGTACATATTCCAATCCACCCCACCCCTCCCTCCCCTCCCCTCTCCTTCTCCCCTTGATCATTCATCATTCCTCCTTCCTCGTCAATACTTGTGCTGAAAAAAACAAAACAAACACAGAAAAGAAAAGAAAAGAAAAGCAGGAACCCCTGACATGGTTCATATAATATATACATTCATACAAGTATACTAGGCAGGGACTGAACCATTGCTTAGTATTTTGCTTGTGAGCATGATGTATCAGGGAGGGGAAGTGAACTACTACCAGTCTGGTATTTATGAGGGATTAAAAGTAAGAACGATTTGGAGGGAGGGAGGGAGGGAGGTAGGTAGTACTGCGGTGGTTTGGACCTGGGGGTGTTGGGTGTTGGGTGTTGGGTGTTGGGCTTGCGTTTATGGGTATGTGTATGTGTATGTGTATGCAAATCCGGGGTGAGTATGGAACAGGTATGTATGTATGTATGTCTTTGAGTAGGTTATCTGATGCAGGAACAAGATCCGGATGAGATTGTTCTAAGTAACTGAGGGTTAGGTTGGGAGGATCGAAGAGGTTGGGTATTGGTATTGTCTGCTTCGTGGGAGATTCATTGAATTCGCTAGGATAGTCATTCGGTAAGGTATATACCCTTATCAGATCATTGGTACTCTAGTACTCTACTTCATAGATTAGTAGTTGAGGCAGAAGGATCAGACAAGGTAGTAATTATATATTCCCGTGTGCAGCCGTTCATCTACACATGATCGTATTTACTATACTAGTAATAGGCATTGAATCATTCCCGGTGCATATCCAGCACCCGCTTCCAGAGCTTCTCCATCTCGTTGCCGACCATGCGCTCGGTCTGCTTCTCCAGGGTTCTGCGGTTGAAGTCGCGCTTGGAGATGGCGGCGTTGGATTCTTCGCGGGACATCTCGACTATTTTTGTTAGAATCTTCCTTACTTGATGGCTCATGGGATATCGAAGGGAATATTGTAAGAAAAAAGGAATAGAAGGGAGCTTACCATGCACATAGACACCCGCTCGCTTCCCGCTGAACATCGCATGCGGAACATTCGTGCTCCCATCGCTGTTACAGTCACCAACCGCGTACACGCCCGGTGCGCTCGTCCGCATCCCCGTGTAATCTGTCGTGTCGATCTTATCGTCCACCATGACTAGGCTCAGTTCATCAGGGAGGGTGGAGCGCTGCGCGGTAGGGTAGTTCGTAATGAACGTGTTCCGTTCGACGGTCGATCCATCGGTGAAATGAACCCGGAAGATATCAAACTGTCTACCGGTCTCATCACGGTGGTCGTCGCCGTTCTGGACACGCTCAATCGAGGCAATCGAGCGGTTGTCAATGCGAACGTCCCACGCCTCGAGCTGCTTCTGCCAGTTCGGGTACTTGGCGGCCAGGGTGACCTCGTTGGCGGGCGTGTAGGTGCCATTAGTGAAGGCAATGATGTCCGAGTACAGAGTGTGCGTTTCCAGTACGCTGCCCACAACGTCGGGTAATCCGCCGAGGATCCCCAGGGACTCGTCCCGGTGCTCGTACCCGTCACACCAGGGACACCACCAGATGCCCTTGCCCCAGGCTTCGCGCAGACCGGGGACATCGGGGATCAGATCGACCAGTCCGGTGCCCAAGACGACCTTGCGCGACGTGTATTGGGTGCCGTTGGCGTCGATAGCGCGGAAATACGATGTGTTGGCTGCGGTGTCCTCGATGGGCGTGATGGAATCGATCTTGATGTCGAGGACGCTGGTCGAGTTGTACTTGGAGATCTGCTGGCGGGCGAGCGCACGGAATTGAGCGGGCGGGGTCCCTGTGCATATTAGCCATGTCTGCTGTGAGTAATATCTGGAGGAATAAATAAATACCGTCATTTCCAATCACATCGTGCATCTCCCGCGTAGGAGCATTGCGATATTCACCCGAGTCGAACATCACAGTCCTGCGTCTCATACGTCCGAGACTGCTCAGGGTACTCAACCCAGCCGGGCCTCCACCCACGACGATCACATCGTAGTCGGTCTGAGGGATGGACGCCGCAAGAGCGACGCTAAGGGTGGAGAAGAGAGTATAGAGCAGGGACTTGGGAGCCATGGTGGAGGGTCTGCGGTCTGTCGGGGAGAAAGTGCAGCAGCGACGGAGCTGTTTTTATACCCGGGGATAGTCCCCGCAGGTCCGACCTCACATCCTGCGCACTGTACGGTGCCCGGGCAGCTGAAGCATGAGGGTCCAGCTGGGATGCAGCCAAGACGGGCGTGAGTATATGTTCGACGCCTTGCCAAGCCGGCGGCAATCAAATAGTTGACGGAGTGGCTTGGTGGCCGCTGGGATCGACATGATGCGTTCCGTGCAACGCGAGCGCGGATTTGCCGGGTCGAGTTAATCCATCATGAGCTTGTGGAATCTGGGAGGGCAGAAAACAAGGCCATCGGATGGGGACCCTGGCCAGCTGGCCCAATGAGGCCAGTGAATGCATGGGATCGATTGCAGCTGGGCGAACTCTGGGCTGCCAAGTCGGTCCAGCTCGATCGGCAGGGCTGGAGTCAATAGTCCATGCAAGGTGGGGGGGGCAAGCGAGCGGGGCTGAGGAACTTGATGCTTGATGGTGGCCTTGGCTGGATTGCACGAGGGGAAGAAGAAGAGGGTGGTTTGTGGCAGAGAAGAGAGAAAAGAGGCCGAAGGAAAGGCAGAAAAAAGGCGCAAGGCAGGATGCAGTCACGCGATCTGGCCGCCTCCACATTGCCCTGAAAAGCACTCCAGACGAGCCATCTATGAGGATCAGAGTCACCATGAGGATTAGGATTAAGATTAAATCAATAATGTAGATAGTAGGATCCATATTTACAGCCCCACCCGGGTCTCCCACTCCCTCCACTTCACCACAGCGCTCTCCAACGGGGTATCACAACTCATCACCAGTGCTTGTTGGGCCCAAAGATCCACGGCCGCATGGGGTACCGGTAGGTCTGCTGGATGCGTGAGGTGGTCTGCTCAAGGGCTCCCCGGACGCCACTCAAAAAGCCCGGGTTGCCGTACGCCTGCGTGACATCCCACATCATCACGCCGCCGAAGCTGCTGAACGTCTTGGTATATTGAATGATCGACTGCAGCTGGGACACTGGCACATAGCCCGTACTCGCCGCCGTCGTGTCGGCTGGCACGCCCAGCATCACCCGGGCGTTCTTGTTCTGAGACACGGTCTTGGCCCAGTTGTCCCACTGCTCGAAATTGAAGGTGGTCTGCGTGTCTTGGCCCGCGATGAACGAGTTCAAGCCACACGGGTTGTTATAGAATTGCACCCACACCACGTCAATCGACACAGGACCATTGAGGATCTCCTGGTCCGCAAGGTCCGGGTATGGGCACTGCGGCGCTGCCGTCAAGAAGTATTGTTTCGAGGTGTCTGCATCGGACAGTTGGCGAAGCCGGTTCGCAAACGGTGCCATGTTCTTCACAGTAGCCTCAAAGTCGAAGTCAAAGCCGTCCACGGATGCGTTGCCAAAGGGCCGATACGCGGACGAGTTGCCCTGGGCTGGTCCGAATGTCTGCCAGATCAAGTCGGCACCGGCCTGGGCAGCCGATTCGGACTGGAATCCGCCTTCACTGTATGTCGCCCCGCCAATCGACAAGATGATGGTCTTGCCCTTGCTCTGGCAGGTGTTGATATCGGCACTGGCTATATTAGCTGCGCTGCATTGGCACTCGAGGACGATACCTACCCGACTTGTGGACAGTTTGGCAAGTTGGTGCCGTCAAACAGCGGACAGTTTTTGCTGTTGTCTGCTAGGTCGTACTCCGGCACGCCTCCAACACCGTTGACTCTCATAACAAATGCAAGTACGATAACCTGGCAGGTGGTCAGACCTCATGTATGCTCCTTGGCACTGGGGTTGATCTCACATCGATGTTCTCGTCTAGAAATGGGTCAGAAGAGGATCATTTACCAAGGGTTGGAAGCACTCACCATCACAATAATAGGCCAGGTTCTGTTGGGCCAGGTCTCCGGTTCCTCGGAAGGAGTTTTGACCTGGTCGCAGACTTGTCAATCCAACTGACTGTCAACCCCCACATGGGTCAGATACGTACCCCAGTAGACAACAACGTTGTTCGAAGAAGATAGATCGAGCTTGGCGTATGCTCCTCCCAGAGAAGCAAGCCCCATCGAAAAGGCAAGAAGGTTCTTAAGGAACGTCATATTGTAGGGACCGAGTTTGGTCTTTTGCTCAAGGATTGACAAAGTTTGAAGGAGCGAAATGAATGAACGATGTATTACCTCAACGATGAAGGGCGGATGGCCAGTCGATGATGCCCAGGTTGCCGGTGCCGAACGCTTGTCGAAAAAGCTGACTTGCTCTCAAAAAGCCAAACCGACGCTGTCCATGTCGAGCCTTTTATGTCTTCGTGAGGCCATCCCCAAACCTGTATTGTTGTGATGCTAAACAAGCTTGGGCCGTGTCCCTGTCATCCGTCGTCTGGGGTCGGACATTCCGAATAACAGCCATCATCCTGCAAGACAGCCAATGAACTAGGGAATCATATTGTCATATTCAGACGACAGCATTAGACTGTCCAGCAGAATATGTCTTTTCGTCTTTGCTCGAACCGATGATTGGCCGTGGACCATAGAGATACATTCCAGCGTCGTTGTTGGGAACACACATCCGGCCCGTGGAATGTCGCTCGCCCTGGCGGACCCCAGCTTGCGATAGCTAAACCCTGTATCAAGCGTCCGCTCTCGTACGCATAACCAGCCACTGGACTCGTGGCTTGCATACACAATCCGGGGGTAAAGTCAGAAGCCAGGTTGATACCCGGGCTGCTGACTGGGTCGCCTTGAGCATTTAGCCAGCTTGCGTAACCAGAGTTCAGGTGCGTAGGATGATTATAATTCCGTGCAAGTCACATCTGACAGATATCAGTTTGGCCGCGGTGAAAATGTGGGCGTCCTTCCCCAGTCTGTGCGGCTGCCATGAGGGACTGCAAGGAGGCAGGAAAAATCGAAGGACTGAGTGAGACATGCGATCGCCGTGGCGTTATGTCTCCGAAACCGATTATCACCGCGAAGTCGACTGTGGTTGAAAACAGCATCAAATTGTGTGGCTTGTCAACTGACTTTGACCTTGGGCAATGGATAACTTGTCTTGCAAGTTGCAGAACATGTTCAAGTTCTCGGCGCCAACTGGGCAGCATCTCCCAGCCTTCACCTATTGCCTTGAGCGGCCTGTCGATCCTCCCGCCAGATCATGCACATGCAGGGATGAAGAATCGTCATCGAATGTCTATTCTTGGGTCCTGCCAGATGGTGCTACTGCTCAGGAATGCAAGCGTCCCCCCGGTGATAAAGGCATGTTGCGCCTTATCGGGCCATCTATCAACATAATCGGTAACTGCTGGTCTGTCAATCAGTCAACGATGTGTTCCCAAACGAAAAAGACTCAGTCGAAGGTAGAATAATCCCTCATACTATCCTGTCTATATGCCAAACCTGGCAGATGGTTGGATCTCCGGCGGGTACGTAAGCCCATAACGACTTTTAGGAAGGATAATGAGCAAAATATCATGTCCGGTTAGGAATGCCCACCGAACTATTCAGATTCATCTCTTCTGCGGGCCCTGAAGTAATCAGAGACTCCAAATTTCATAATAGACCAAAAGGGTACCAAGATTTCCCGGCTATGTTGCATAAAACACGAACCCTTGGATTTCTCCCATCTATGGAAAGGGCCTGTCTGTTGCAGCCCTCATTGATGAATACCAACGACTCTCGCAACGGCCTCATCATTGGTCAAGCTGGTGTCAATGACACCTGCCACCTTGAGGACATCCACCACGCCCTCAATGACCTTCCGTTGCACACCCCGGGTCGTGGCCGTGAACTTGACATCCTTCAACCATTCCTTGGCATCTTCCTCCCCGTAGTTACAGCCCAGCTCTCCGGTACCCAGGAGGGTCACGACCTGAGCCAGATCGGCCTCAAAGTCCTTGATACCCTGATCCAGGAGCTTGAGCAATTGCTGCAGCTTGCCGTCCAGCTCCAGATTCGAGAAAGATGAAGTCGACGCCACGACCATCCAGGACGGCCAAGGGGTATAGATCTCACCGATCTTCTTCAGAGGCGGATTGGGCTTGCCTTCCGTGGCGTGGAAGTACGGCTTCGTGGTGAAGTGCTCCCACATGAAGAATTCAGCAGTAGGGTTGGGTGCTTGATCCGGATGTACGGCATCCTGTCCGGTCACTCCGTTGCGGAGAGCTCCGAAAGGACCCAAAGGTACGGTGGACAGAGAGTCGGACTTCCAGCCTTGCTGCTGAGCCAGGACGAAGGACATGATATGGGAGCCACTGTTGGGGTCAGTACAGGCAATCGAGTCAATTCATTAGCAAAGAACCTTGCACTTACCTTCCCAAGCGACTAACTCCAACCCGCTTGTCCTTCAAGTCATCCACCGCGTGGATGTCCTCTCTCTCCCGACCCGTCACAATGGCCCAGCGCAACGGCGTGTCGACCCAGTGTCCGATCACCCGGTAGCCACCCTCGGCGGGATCCTTCTGGGCCTGCTGTTTACCAGCCAGACCGGCCACCCATCCCTCAGTCAATCCGATCGCAACATCAATTTCCTTCTCCCGGAGGGAAGTGATCATGTGCCCCGTTCCAGAGGGGAACGGGATCAGAGAGATCTTGAAAGGGAGAGTAGCCTGGCCCGCTGAACGGACGGCCAGATGAAGCGGGGTGAGGTAATGTTCTACATCGAAACGCCATTAGCCGAGTCAATTATATGCCATTTTTAGCTGTAAGGGGACGTGTAAGTGTCAGCAACCGAGAGTCATTCAGAAATGAGCCCATGGTGGTAACTGTGTAACTTGCAACGATGCACAACATATATAGTTCACAGATGTAAACAGAAAAGGAAAGTCGGTCCTACCGGGCACATAGCCAATACGGATGGTCTCTAGATCTGAAGCCATGATGGATCTGTATGGAGCAGCGGGCACAAGCGACTCGGCAGAGGGGTAGTGAGGTTCATTTTATTGAACTGGCGGGATGAGGGGAAATCGACCCTCGGGCAGTCTGGTGGGGTTCCTTCGGCGCGTCCTGGCTTTACCCCGCTGGACCCCGTCGGACCCCGTCACGTCACCCCCGGCTGGATGTCTCGCAGCACCGAATGGCATGGGACGCAATTACTAACGCTGATTTGCAGGTAGATGCACTGGATATCAATCCACATTAATCCTACTGTAGTAATTGGTTACGGGTCCGGGAACCCAGGTCGAACCAAAGCATAGGTTCGACGCGTCTAGCTAAGCTATATGTACAACGCCAACGGAAGAAACGGGAAACCACGGCCGTGTATCATCTCGTTCAAGTCATCCGGATGTCCTTCTCCTCCACATTATAGCTCTCACTGGGGCCTCGGGGACTGCCCGCAGTCCGGAACGAGGCGCCACTATACATCCAAAACTGCACGCCCAAGTATAGATCGCAAACGCACTGGAACAGACCGCACATCCGGAAGGCCCAGGGAATCACTTCCTGGCTGCAGAAGAAGTAACTCAGCTTCATAATATCACCGACAATCCAAGCAGCAACCACCGACACCCGGAATCCTGCGCACGAACGGGACTTGTGATTCTTGATAATCTGGGGCAGAGGGAGCGTGGCTTCGACGGCGAGGCCAAAGTATCCGAGGAAGTTGATATAGAGGTCCGAGTAGGCAAGGGGAGGAAGGAGAACTTGGATGAAGGTGAGTGCGCCGATGAAGTAGGCCAAAAACATCCAGTACCTGCCGACAACCGTGGTTAGTCTCGTTGCAACAAGTGGCCTCCGCTAGAGGGCAGGTACATACGGTTTGGCGCTCTTCCATTGCCAGAAGTCGTAGGGTCGAGTAAGGCCGCTGCTGTTATCCACGCTGCTGAAGGGAACATGCTCCACGCTATTCTTCAGGCCCGGAGATGGCCGGTTGTCCAGTGCAACCTTCAACAAGACGATCTGCACCCCGACCGTAATGACGGCCTGGATCAAGAGCGAAAGAGAGTAGTAAGCGCCAAACCAATAGAAGACCCTAAAATGAATTTGTCAATGCCGACACCCTCAAGACACAGCAATCGGAAGTGCTCGTCTTACTTCAGGATTGATGCGACAAGCATGATCAAAGGGATGTCCAGCGAAAATCCAGCCGAGCTTCTGGACCGGTGGATACTGAGGATTTGGTCCGCATAGGACGTCAACGGGGAGGTAATGAGGCTGTTTTTCAAGCGACCAGTTAGCGTTCCATTGCAGTCCGTCCATCGGGCTGGGAAGACATACAACAAGGGAGCCCCATATTCCAGAGCCGCCGACACAATATACATGGTGAATTCAATTATCCGTGGCTATCCTTATGTGGAAGTCGGAATAAATCCAGGGAGTATATATTGGCTCGCGAAGCCGCCGAGTTTGCGTCGAGGCGAGGCAGGGAACGGGCGGAGCTTGCGGTTTCCGGAGTGAGATCGCGATGGAGCAGCGGCGTCAGGGGCGAACCTCGTGAGGATGCAGAATTGCCAACGCAGACCGTGAGCTGAGGAGGCACCTCCACGGGGGTAGACTGGCAAAGCAGGGGTGATATCGAAAGCCCAGAAACTCCGTACCGACAAGTCCGAAAAAACGTTCAATGCCAAACCCGACCCGGATGCGGCCTCTTTTCCCTCCCGATTTTTGCTCTCAGTAATTTATTGATTCGGATCGGCGGTCACGGCCTCGCCGCTGACTCAGCCCCACCCTTTCGTTTCCCCTTTTTGGTGGGAGTTCTGCCCCAGGCCATCTACATGTCCTCCGTACGTCGCCGTCCATATGAGAAGATCTCTAAACGTCATAAGTACCATTGATGCCTGAAATTTGCATATCGTGTATATATGTATGGATCCTCTGCCCACATAGGCCTCTAATCTAGAACTCAATCCGCCACGTCTTCCCAATGCCGACATTGGGGTTCTTCACCACCGCATACGGTGCCTTGCCATCTGCCTGGCTATGGTACTGCATAGAGGCTGTGGAGGCAGCCTCAGTGCCATCCTCAATGACAGTCACACTGGTCTTGTGCTGCCATTCCTTGGGAGGGTCAACAATGACCACCCGCTCAACACGGACATTGGCCATGGTCTTCAGATACTCGGCCGTCTTGGGACCCTTGGTTCCAAGGTCCTCCGAGACCAGGGCAGACTCTTGGAAATGGAAGCGGCGATGGATGTAGGCTCCCAGCTCGTAGTCGAACGTTTCGCCATCATCCACATAGAGAGAGCCGTCGGCTTGGCCGTTCTTGTCCAAGACCACGACAAGAGTGTAAGGGTCCCACTTCATCAATCCGCTGCTACGGCGGGGACGATCCTTGCGGGGAATAATGTGGCCACCCTGCATCAACAAGGGCACAGTCTCCATGGGGGCAGGCACGGTATGCCTCTTCCCAGCACCCTGGTAAACGGTGTAGTCGAAATAGTCATAGTACTTTTCGTCATCAGCGATGTAAATGTCTGCGGTCGTGGCCACCTCCGAGACAACAGGCTTAGCAAGAAGACCACTGGAGCCGAGGTAAAGCTGATCGTCGATAGCAAAGCCAGCCTCGTCCGAGGGGTAAACATAGTACTGCGGCCTCACGATCGGCGTTCCGTTCACGGAAGCCTCGTGGAAGGCAGTGTACCAGACGGGGAGAAGCTGGTACCTCAAGCGGATGGCCTGGGCGATGATAGACCGGTGTGGCTCAGCAATCAAATATGGCTCGCGGCGGCGGGTGTCAATATGCGCGTGTGCGCGGAAGAAGGGGTACCAAATACCAGTTTGGTACCACCGCGTCAGGAGCTCCTTGCTGGGGTTCTGGAAGAAGCCACCCACATCAGCACCGGCAAAGGGGTATCCCGAAATACCGCTGTTCAAAACCATAGGGATCGAAGCGGCCAGATGTTCCCAGGTGGCCTGGTTATCTCCCGTCCAAGTAGCAGAGATCCGTTGAGCACCGGCGTAGTAGGACCGCGTCAAGATGAAAGGCCGGCGAACCTCGCCCTTCTTGCGCTCCAGAAGAGCCTCATAGGTAGCATTGACAAGGGTAATTCCGTGAACATTGTGAATGTCACGGTGCTCCCAGTTGCCATGATGAAGGTTATCCTTGGGCATCGTGGTTTCAGGGCCGTTGAAGACCGACGGCTCGTTCATGTCGTTCCAGATGAAGACATTGGCCAACGTTCCCTTGAACTTGTCATACTTGAACAGGCTAACCCACCATTTGATGGCTTCTGGGTTGAAGCAATCGATCCAGTGAGAGGAGCCAGGCCAGCACCAACCATCGTAGATCTCACCGTCCTTGTTTCTCGTGGCCAGGTTCTTGCTCGTCATCTCCTTGGAGATGCTGTACTTATCCTGGTTCTTGATGTGAGGGTCGATGATAACGACGAGCTTGCGTTCGGAGTCGTCAAGCTGCTCCTCCATGCCGATCGGATCGGGGAAGGTGAGAGGATCCCAGGTGAAATACTTTCTGTCATCGGTGTACTCGAGGTCGAGCCAGATAACATCGTAGGGGATTTGGTACTTGTCAAAGTTGCGATCGACCTCCTTGACGTCCTCGTCGGTGATGTAGTTCCAGCGACACTGGTGGTAAGCAATGGCAAAATGTTGAGGCAGCTGGGTGTAGCCGGTGAGTTCGCCGTAGGTCTTGCTCATCTCCTGTGGCGTGGGGCCGAGGAAAACAAACACGTCAAGTTGTCCGGACTCCGAGAACCAATGGCTTTGGGTGTCCGTCGTGGCGCCCACGCCCAGAGCAAGAGGATTAACGGATGAAGTAGACTTGACAATGTCCACCCAGGTTTCGGCAGCATTGAGCCAAAAGACACCGACGGTGGAGTCTTTGCGATGCGCCTGCATGAACGGGATCGCACCATACAAGGTCATCGGGCTGTTCAACTCATACTCGAACACATCAGCATTGTACAAACGATAAGGCTCTTCATGATTGCCTGGGCCACCCCTGAGAGGTTGTTAGCTTTCAGATGATGAAATCGGTCGATGCGGTACTAGCTTACCTAGTCTCCTTCAAAGACAGGGAGTCGGCATGCTCTGGGATTCCGAAAACGTGGCTGTAGCCAGGGAATGTGATATCCAAACCCACACTCTCCGGACCCCTGGGCTTGGAGTCCGTGTTTCCACCAAAGCTTTCATCCCACCAAGTACTCTGGTCTTCCTCGGTTTGCTGCTCGCCGTCACCTTCGACCTCTACCTTGGGCCGCCAATGTTCCATGTTCAGGTACCCCTTGTTGTTCAATTGAACATGGGTCTGGCCATCTCTCTTGAAGTCTGCGCTGAATGGAGCGTGGCGAATCACGGCCTCGAATTGGTGGTCCGGACCGTACAGGACTCTGGTGAAGCCAGCTTCGGTTTCGGGTTTCAAGGTCGCGGTCTTGCTCGGCTCCAGGCCACCAACCAAGACCCATTTCTCTGCCTCATTGTAGCGTTCCTTGCGTGCTTGACTGTCGTGTCGAAGTTGGATATCGCCGTTCAACCGCTTCTCCTCGTCGACAACAATTCGGGCAGCGCCGGACTCGAGGAAGGAGACAACAAGGGGTAGCTTGACCTTCTCGTTGGCGGAGATAGACTTGAGAATCGTTCCGTGCAATTGGCCGTCCTTAAACTGGATCGAAGACGAATCGAGCTCATAGGGTGAATTCCAGGATGATCCTTTGGCGGAAGCATCATCTGCGAGGGCTCTGTTCCGCTTACAGAAGCCCGATTGAGAGCAGGTCTTGAAATTCTCGTGTTTCACGGTGACTAAGGGGCATTGTCAGATGTCAAGGCGGGTGTGGGAGGTCTAGGTTTGGCTGTAGAAGCTCACCTCCGGGAATGACGAGACATCCGAGTAGGATCACCAGCGACAAAAGTAGGGTCCAACGGGTGGACATGGGCCGGATCCCGGCCATGATGTGAGCTCACTAGTGCAATCAGAGACACTCAACCTCTGAAAGAAGAACTATCAACAACCACTGGTGTGCCGACCTGCATCTACCAGAGGTGAAGGTCCCACACACGAAGGCGATATGTACTGGGATGGACGGGGGAACATGTAAGTACTACTTGAGGACGGCGCGCGATAGTTCCAGGCTGGCCAGATGGAGCTGAGATGGGGGGAAGCTCCCACTTGGGTTAGTGTGGCGCTAGTCCTGTCCGGGCAGCTGGGGTTAGACACCTCAGGCACCACATCGTAGCCATAAGGGTCAGGCCGTTAGGCATGCAGGCGGGCAGGAAGGCATTGGTCGGCTCAGCCCATGTGCGCCGGACAGGCAGTGGCCGTGGAAGTGTCTCACTCGCAGCCGTCGTGGTATCGGCCAGTGCCCCTCCTCTGCTGCCCCACACAGCTTTGCGGTCCCTCCTTATATTTTTCGCCAACTCACCTCGCCGGCTCTGCTTCTTTCCTTTCCTCTCCTCAATCGTATCTCATATTTCGATCCATCATCAAAATGTCTTCCGAGCAGACGTAAGTCTATCCCATCTCGCCGTGGTGTCTTCCTCTCCCTTTACCCCTCTTCCCCTCCATTGGACTTCCTTCCTTTCTCGCAGCCCCTCTTGCACCCCTCATTGTCATGACCCAGCTAACCAATTGATCCAGCTTCATTGCCATCAAGCCCGACGGTGTCCAGGTATGACCGAGCTAGGCCTTCAATGATTCTTTCCGATGCATTGCGGCACCCCGGGATCAAACCAGTACTGATCATAGCAGCGTGGACTCGTTGGCCCCATCATCTCTCGCTTCGAGAAGCGTGGGTTCGTATACCTTCCACCATGATACCGCAGACGGATACTGATGGTTTGCAGCTTCAAGCTCGTTGCTCTGAAGCTCGTCTCTCCTGGCAAGGAGCACCTTGAGAAGCACTACGCTGACCTCAAGGAGAAGCCCTTCTTCCCCGGTCTCGTCTCCTGTGAGTAGCTCCGAGCTCTAAGCATTGACCTAACTCCTTTCAAACATATACTAATGTTTATTTTTAGACATGCTGTCTGGCCCCATCTGCGCCATGGTCTGGGAGGGCCGTGACGCCGTCAAGACCGGCCGCAGTAAGTCCTTCGATTGAGCCATCCCAATCGATGTATACTAACCAGATCACAGCCATCCTCGGTGCCACCAACCCCCTTGCCTCCGCCCCCGGCACCATCCGTGGTGACTACGCCATCGTAAGAACCCTGCTCCCGTCATGATTGATATCTTTGACTCACCATTGAATAGGACGTCGGCCGCAACGTCTGCCACGGTTCCGACAGCGTCGAGAACGCCCAGAAGGAGATTGCTCTCTGGTTCGCCCCCGGTGAGCTCCAGACCTACAAGCACTCCCAGTTCGACTGGATCTACGAGAAGGCCTAAACTTCTCGACCGGGTCTTGAGCCTGAGCGCCTGCATTCCCCAGCTAGCCGTTGAGATGTAGAGTATATCGGGTGGTATAAAATCCAAAGATCTTACGAGAACTAGAAAATATAAATCATTCCAATATTTGCTACGCGATATTTTGTACAACCTGTATCTAGGTGACATTATACACGGCATCAGGTCCACCAGTCCTCGCCTCACTTCCTCCCAAACAATCCCCTCGCCCCCCTCCCCAACGGCCCCAAAACCACTCTCGAAAACCACGGCGTAGCCCACACACTCACCGCAATCCGCACCGGCATCAACGCCTTGGTAATGATATACGCCGTCGCAAACTCCAAAATCAAACGCACGCCCTCCCGTTCCCCCTCCCCCAAGCCCACCGCCGACTCAAACTCCAACCCACGATCCGCATCCCCAACCCCAACCGCCTCCTCCACATCCACCTCCTCCACCCAGCCCTTCTTCCGTAAATACCGTCCAAACCGCTGCGTCTGTTCCTGGAACAAGCTATTGGAGGTCATATCGGGGAGTCCCGGACCGTAGCGAAAGGCCGCCACCAGACCTAACAAACTTACAACGGCGGTGATTTCGTGGAGGATCAGGAAGGAGGTGATGTGGGTTGCTGGGGCGCCGAGGAGAGGGGTGGTGAAGGAGCGGAGGAACGGTGGGAGGCGGTCGTTGAGTTTGTGGAGACGGGATTGGGAGGTTTTGGGTGTTTGGGCCGAAGGAGGTGGAGGAGGGGTTGAGAATAGGCGGCGGGGGGTTTTGGGCGTGCGCTGGGATATTAGGCGGAGGATTTGAGGGAGGAGGGTGCGTGGTGGTGGCATTTTGGTGGGATGGGGAGTGATGGATTTGAGGCGAGGGATTGGAGTGATGGTTGAAGGTCCCCCCTTGCTTTGGTAGAGGCGAGGCTTGGTGAGGTGTGGAGGCAGGTCCTGTAGATCAATGAGGTAATAGAAGGGAATTGATATTGTTATTGTTAATTTTGATATAGTGAGGCGCCGTGAAGCCGATATCGCGAGTCCGACGGAGATGGCGGTGTTTGCTGTGTTTGCAAGCGAAATAAACTACTTCAAGATCCAGGGGCAACTGAACAGCATACCAAAGGAGTTGCAGTGGGTGGTTCTGCTCAAGTAGGCAATTCGCTTGTCCATTATATTAGGCATCTTGAACGAGCCCGTGAAGTCGTCGATCCAGCTGCTGGGACATCCTGTTGTGGATGAGTCCGTAACCGAGCCGTTGAGATCCTGCACGAGACCAGGAGCAATGGTGAGATTGCACGATAATCCTGACCATCAGGGACAGTCCGACCGGGCCAATATCCTCCAGGACCGATGGGCCGGGGCTGGGAACGCTCCATGACGAGATTGCGGGCAGCGATGGGGTCGGCAGTTCGTCATGCTGCCTTTTCCGGAGGCGCCATCGGCGAGCGACCCAGCAGTAGGAAGTCTTCTTCCCCACCTCCGTCCTCGTCGTCCTTCAGGCCCTTCTTCTTCATCCGCCCCGACCTCCGCGATCGTGTCGCTGCTGCTGAGACCGGGCTCATCATGGAGAAGATCACGGACAAGATCGCGGCTTTGCCGCCAGACGCGAATTACTTCTCTCTGGAGTTCTTCCCTCCCAAGACCAAGATGGTGGGGCTGCCTTCAACTCCCCGCACCCCCCCCAAGTGACTCAAGGATCCATTTCGATCGCTAACCAGGATGTCGCTTTCTAGGGTTTCGCCAACCTGCAGGCTCGGTTGGAGCGTATGGCTCAGGCGTTACGCCCCTTGTTCGTCACCGTCACCTGGGGCGCGGGAGGAAGCACTGCGGCGAGATCTTTGGAGTTGGCGGAGATCTGCCAGCGCCAACTGCAGTTGACGACATGTCTGCACCTGACCTGTACGAACATGAGTCGCGCCTTGGTCGATGAAGCCCTGGAAGAAGCCAAGGTGCTCGGAATCCGAAACATCCTCGCCCTGCGTGGTGACCCGCCTCGTAGCGAAGAATACAACATGCACGGCGAAGATGACAGCAACAAGGACTTCACATTCGCGGTGGACTTGGTGCGCTACATCCGCAAGCAGTATGGCGATTACTTCTGCATCGGAGTTGCTGCGTACCCCGAGGGCCACCCGGCCGATAACTACCAGGATGCTCAGGATCCGGAGAGGGATCTGCCATACTTGGTCGAGAAGACGCAAGCGGGGGCGGATTTCATTATGACTCAGTTGACCTACGATATGGAGGCTTACACCAAGTTTGAGAACATGCTACGAAACCACGAATCTGGCGCCTTCAAGACCATCCCGATCGTCCCTGGTCTGATGCCTATCCACAGCTACAAGATTCTGACGAGAGTGACCAAGCTCAGCCATGTTAAAATCCCACCTCAAGTGCTGTCGAAGTTGGAGGAAGTGAAGCATGATGACGACGCGGTGAAGCGTATCGGTGTGGACATTATCAGCGATCTCGTCTATGGTATCAGAGACCTTGGCTGCTCGGGGCCCCGTGGATTCCATTTCTACACCCTGAACCTGGAAAAGACGGTCTCTTTCATTCTCGAGCGCTGCGAACTCATTCCCCCGTACTCCGAGGTGGACGATTCGGACGCGCTGGTTGACGGCGGGAGCCTGTCTGCGATGGATTCATCGTCGTATATCGCCCCGAACGGCGCTCAGATCCGCAAACTGGCCAGCCGCCGCTCCTCCGTCAGCTCTATCCCACACAACCGTGTCATCGTCGACAAGGTGCAGGTTTCCGAAACATCTTCCAAGGGCTCCGTCACCCACGAGGCATCCGCCCTGAGCGCCGGCCTCCCTGCCATGCCGCCAGACCGCAGCATGACCCTCCAGATCTCCGAAGGCCTGGGTGCGCTCGGCAGAGAAGCTACGTGGGATGACTTCCCCAACGGCCGTTGGGGTGATGCACGCTCGCCAGCCTTCGGTGAAATTGACGGGTATGGTCCGTCGTTGCACGTGCCGGCTCCCATTGCGCGCCAAATCTGGGGCTATCCCGTCTCTCGCGAGGATATCAGCACCCTGTTCCGCCGCCATGTCTCTGGCGAACTCTACATGGTTCCGTGGTCGGAAGGTGGCGCCGAAGAGAACAGCAATGGCCTGAACGCTGAGACCGCTGTCATTCAGTCCGAGCTGCTGACCCTCATCGACAAGAAGGGCTGGTGGACACTGGCCTCCCAGCCCGCCATCAACGGAGTCCGCAGCGACGACCCCGTCTTCGGCTGGGGTCCTCCTGGCGAAGGATTCGTCTTCCAGAAGCCGTTTGTCGAGTTCTTCTGCCCTGACAAGGACTACCAAAACGTCCTCAAGCCCCTTTTCCAGAAGCACGGCCACGAGAAGCTTGCCTGGTTCGCCACCAACGTCAAGGGTGACTTCGAATCGTCCCTCCCTGGCCCGAACCCCGACGACCCGGACCCGATCGACATCAACCCCGCCAACGTCAACGCCGTCACCTGGGGTGTCTTCCGCGGCAAGGAGATCGTCAGCCCGACCATCATCGAAGAAGTCAGTTTCCGCGCCTGGGGCGACGAAGCATACCGGATCTGGGACGAATGGCGCCGCATCTACCCCAAGAACTCGGCCACCGAGCGCTTCCTCGACCATACCAAGAACGACGTCTGGCTGGTCTGTGTCGTGGGTCAGGAATTCGGCGCCGGCACAGAATCCGGTTCCGAGGAAGAGGAAGACGAGAAGAAATGGATGTGGCGCGAGCTGGCCAACAGCCAGTAACTTTGCTTCAACCTGGCCACTGGCTTGGCCTAGGTCGTTTACCGTTACCGAGTACCGAGACGATGATGATGATGATGTCGATCTGTCTATAATCGGGAGAGTGTCTATTTAACATGGATAAAGTATTTAACACGGGGGTTGGTTGGTCGCTTCATGAAAGACAGGGACGGAGGACAGGATGGAAGGGAATCTCGGGCATTGTATGTACGGATACAAGTATGCATAAGCTGAAAATAGAAGTTTGCAATTGATACTTACCCCTACTCATCCTCCGTATCTATTACTTGTTTTTTTTCTAAGTAATAGCCGAGAAGATCTCGGTGCGGATTAACCCATCGCCACACCCGGTTACTACTAGTACTACCTAGTGGTACCGTGTAGAAGTCTCTCTTCTTCTTCGTAGTAAGATTCTTTTATACGTCAAGTATTCAAGATAGGGGTATATGTATATCCATCTATCTGTCTATTTATCTACGATGTCTGCTTGGCGCCGAACCCATGTTCCTCGAGACCTTCGGCGCCGGTGTCGGGCGTCGCGAGGGAAGATTGCGACTCGGCGAACCGCTCCATTGCGTCGTCGAGTTTACCGTATGCGCGAGTATTCCGACGGGGTTGGTTGGGGCCGGAGGCTGGAAGTTGGTAGCCGCGGAGTCTGGGGACGGGGGTTAGTTAGGGATTTCGTCTGCGTGGGAGTGAGGGTGGGGATGGGGGAAGTACCGTGGGCCCTGGCCGGTTGGTTTGGGTAATTCAGAGACGTAGGCGCGTTGGAATGTCTGGGCATCGATCTCAAAGGTGCCCCGGGAGATGCTCTCGCGGATGTTGGCGAAGAAGGTATCCATGGTGTGGTGGTTGTGGATTTGGAGAAGCGTCCAGGCGAGCATCTCCTTGGTGGTGAGGAGGTGGTGAATGTAGGCGCGGTGGTGGTTGCGACAGGCGTAGCATTGGCAGGATTCGGAGAGGGGGGAAGTGTCGGTCTTGTGGGATGGAGACCAGAGGTCGTAGGCCAGGTGTCGAGGTTGAGAGTCGGTGGTGTTGGGTGCGGATGGGAAGGTGAAGTCCAGGGCAATACCCGCGTCGGAGCAGACGCCCATGAAAGGAATGGTGAGGAGATCCGCTCCGAGGGAAACATCGCGGAGGACATCGTGGGGGGTTTTGGGTGCGCTGAAGAGAAGTCGGGGGAGGTCTCCAAGAGGTTCGGTGATGGCCGATAGGGAGGCCGATTCATAGAGGGCCAGACCGGAGATATATGGCCGTATCTCGCTTTCTAGGTCATCGATGTATATCGACTGTTGCGCGTTGTCGAGAGGGAGCACCGGCGCGAAATAGGCTGCCTTCGATCGGTTTTCTTCGGGCACTGCGCTGCCGTAGAGCTGCCCCGTGGCGTGGGTGGTGAACGCGTGCGTTCTATCGACCATTTTCCCGCGTCTCTTGGTACCGGGGGTGTGTCCGAGGACGAGATCTGCCAGTCCCACGACGATATCGGGGTTCAGGTTCTGGACGGCGTCGATGTACTGGCCAGCCTCCAGTTGTCTGAAACCGACGGAAGTGTAGATGGCGACGGAATTCGGCGTGTTGGACGGGGGACATTGGATGGGGGGCTCGCGGCGCGCACCCATGATCAGGAGAAGATCATCGGGGAGAGCGACGAATTTGCGCAGGGCCGATTCGTCTTGTGCGGTGGGAATGGTATATACCGGAGGCGGAGACTTTTGGCTTTGTCTTTCTACGACTGATCTGGGCCCCGATGGGCATTCGTGTTAGCGGGGTGGACTCGGCCAAGGGGCAATGACGGAGATGACATACAATCTTCTAGACCGACGAAGAGACTGCCGATGGCCGTGTGATCGCGCATCACATCATGAGCGATATGGGGGACAACGCCTCGGGAGCCCAGAGGGATATAATGCGGCGTGGAGATGGCCTTCCTGCCGGCGAAAGCCAGTCTGCCCACTCGAGGGGTCAGGATCGAGGCGGTAGTATGGAAGGCGAGCATCTCATTTGATGGCTGCGGGGAGGACTCTGAGCCCATGGCGACCCGGAGGGAGTAGAGGTTGGCGGATGGTGGAGGTTGAAACTGGCAAGACCCGTTGTTGGAGAAGAGGAGTGAAAAAGTGGTCCCCCACTCTCGATGATGGAGAGAATCGGAGAGACCGCCAAGCCTTATCGGATGAGACTATCCAGAACGGTGGGGGTGTTGGTGAAGGGTAAACAATAGAGCTGAGAGGGGAATGGAAGACATTGCAAGCACATCTACTGAGAACAATATATTCATCTGGATTCTAGGTCTACACAGCAATGTATCGTGTGCTTTAATAACTGGTCGAGCAATAATGTTTGTTGATCGCTGGACCTCCTCAGACGCCATACCCAAACGGGCCAGCCCACTCCAGCAATCGCGATGGGCCTGAGGCGGCGAGGCCGCGGGGGACCATCGATCTTCCGTCCTCCACGATCGACATTCCCCTCTCGTGAATCTGTTGCCGTGACTATCGCTAGAAGCTCGAGAGACTCACTGGACCTATCCTCCCCGTGTTAGCACCCTTAGAAGCCACCAACCCCGAATTGACCCCGCCGCACAACATGGCAGCCCAGACTCCTTCCGCACGACGCGGGGCGCTCATCGTGGTCGAGGGCCTGGACCGCGCGGGCAAATCCAGTCAGTGCGAGTCTTTACGCGACAAACTACACCAGTTGGGCCATTCGGTCAAGTACATCCGCTTTCCAGGTAGCCCCGTCCTTCCCCGGTGTTGTACATCCTGAGCACTGCTCTAATCCATGCATCTACCCAGACCGGACCACCCCCATTGGGAAGTTGATTGATGGCTATCTACGTGGCCAGTCGCAGTTGGACGACCACTCCATCCATCTTCTCTTCTCCGCCAATCGCTGGGAGATTGCTCGGTCCATTGAGGACGATATAGCTGCCGGAATCACCGTCATCGTGGACCGCTACTCCTATTCTGGTGCGGTGTACTCGGCAGCCAAAGCCAACCCCACCTTATCCCTGGAGTGGGCGTGGACGCCGGAAATCGGATTGCCTCAGCCTGACCTGTGTCTCTTCCTCAGTATCGCCCCGGACGAAGCTGCCAAGCGCGGGGGGTTTGGCGCCGAACGCTATGAAAATGAACCCATGCAAAGCCGCGTGCGTGAATTGTTTCAAACCATCTTCCGGGTACAACGCAGCGGAGACATTCGCGTGATTGATGCAGGAAGGTCGTTTGAAGATGTTTCAGTAGACATCCAGAAGAGTGCGGTAGATTGCCTAGCTGGCTTGGACTCCATTGGGCCCTTGAAGAGATTCGTATCGATTGCTGTCTAACTTCGTCGGAAGAAGTGACGACGCGAAAATTGCAAGGAAAATAAGACAATCATCCCAATTCCTCCACTTCGTCGCAGTCACTATCATCTATGACGATCTCGACTCTAGTTGTTCCCGCGTTATGGGCCCTTGGGCGGTCCAAGATGTCAGGCTCTATATCGATATCCAAGGACTCGGTCCAGTTTTCGTCCAAACTAGCGTCGTCGCGACAATCCATGTCGAAATTGTCGCTGACTCCGACCGTTGAACTCTCAACCCCTGCAGCTCTACTGCTTGGTGCTTCCACAGCATTGCTCCCGGTGTCTGCAGCGCTTGTTTCATGGATAGCGCCAGGCCTCCTTCCACGGCCTTTTTTTGCTTTTCGGAGGATCGTCTGGACCTCGTTGCATCCGCGGCTTCGGAGGCTCAATTCTTGCATCATGGTTGACCATTGGATGACCTGATCACATCGAGGACAGTTTCCGTCAATCGGGACGAGCTGGTCGGGTTCCCTGGCGCAATCTAGAAACCTGGAGGAAAGACATAATAGATGGCTGATGCAGTAGCAGTTTGCCTTGGGGCAAACCACCACCAAGTCTTCACTTGGGACGATGGTGGCGCGGCATACGTTGCAACGCAAATCAGTGGGGTCGTCTAGTAAGAAATGTGACTTCTCTACGTAATCGTGGATATGGCTGTAGTCGACCTTGATATGGTCCACGCGTTGCACCCTCAAGTCGTCTTGGCATGGGAGGCGGTCGTTCGGACAATCCCCATCTAAGATGATGCGAACATGGTCGGGAAGCAAGCTATCCACGCGATCACACCAGCTCGTCCACAGCTGGTATACATCTGCGTTGAAAAAGCGCACTTTCAGGGGCCATTTCGAAAAGTAGGTGGAACGTAGGAAAAGATGCAGGTCTTCCAGGTGGGCCTTGAGCGACCTCCGGGAACCACGACCTCGGTGCTTAGCTTTGCCCGTGTCCGCGTTGGGGTGAGTCCCCGATGTACCTTGGGCCTCGTCGCCTGCCCCTAGTTCGAGCTGGTGGCGATTTGCCGGGTGCTGCGAAGACATTTTGGGATTCTGCCACGCCCACCTACACTTTATGAGATATCTGGTTACATGTCCAAGTTTCTGTAACTACTTACTCGAACTGCAACGCAGCAACACGACTCGTGAAGCCTTCCACGAGCAAGACCATTTCCCACGGTCTCTTGTCATCCTTGGCTGTTTTGCGGGCGCCACCTTTGGAGTCCCCATTGTGTTGTGCAAGTCGCCTGGCAGGGTGCGGGGTGGATCCAATATACAGGGAAGTGCGCTGTTTGGTCGAGCGCAGCAAGTAGCAGCAGTAGAAGGCGGGGATTGGTTTAGTATGATCAACCTCCGCATCCTCCATTGTAACAGATAGATAAACAAGGGCTCTCCAAGATCCGAGGTGATCAAATTTCAATTTATCCGCCGCAATGCACTCAATACATCCAGATAAGGCGGGTAGTCTGGATTAATCGAACGCTTATGCGAGAAACACGCCACGATATGGCAATGTTTGCGATCGGGTCTGGCGTGCAAGATCTACGGCAGCGATATGGTCGATCGCCAGCAAGAATAGCACGGGTCACATGATGCCCAACCACTACCCCTTCTGAAAGTGTTACGCCGAAACTCACGTTGCTTATTCCTTCAAGCACCTGCAGAACATCTCCAGCCTCTATGCTTCTTATCAGGCCATCACAGTTGAATAGGCTTGTCGAATAGCGTTGGTTCGCTGCTGCAGCTCCTGCCTGGGGCCGGCCGACATGGCCTGCCTGAGGCTCAGCCCTGCATGACCATCGTGGCCAGCAATAAATACAGAGTAATGAAGGGGCTCCCAGGATAATGTTACCATCAATAACCCCATCGGGATATTGCATGACATGGATGGCCCCGGATCCAACGGAGCAAAGCGGACACCTCAGAGGAAAAATAATAATAAAGTAAAAGACAAGGAAAAAGGAAAAACGGATCTAGAAATTCCAGAGGATGGATATCGAACGTCAATCAGCTGCAGCATCATCTGCAGTACTTCTGTCGATGCTGTAGTGCTACTTTGCACCCGGCGGATTAGACCATCATGCTTGACATCTGCTCCTGCTCGGCAGGATGACCACCACCACCACCACCAACAACAACTGCATTTACGACGGCCACCCATCTCACCCGCATTCCAGCGGACCGTACGGGCTGGGTCCCCGAAGTCCGGAAAAGCTCGACCCGTAAGTTGGCGGGCGCATGTGATCTAAAATGGGCATTGTTGGGCTAGCGAAGTGAGCATTGCATGATTACCTAGGCTACTAGGCCAGTGAGGACGCCGGGAGCCACTTCCATTCCAGGGCGAGGATGATTATCCTCCCTTCTCCGTCCCCTACGGAAGCCCTAGGGATTGCCAGGTTGTTATGTGTGCAGTTCTCCTGAGGGCTGACTATTTGAGATATTTTGTGGTCGGTTTCGGACCACGGTTGACGTGTCACTCAGGAATGCGTATCATACCTCACTCCTTCCGACACTTTCAACACCCTTCCGGCGGCCAGAGACTTGGCAGGAGTTTCAGTAGATCCCTCCGGCTGCTATCTAAGGACATCACTGTCCCTCCCTAGTGTCAATCGAGGCAAGTGCCGGCGGAGGGGAAGGGCCTCTGTTGCGGCAAGTCGTCTCACGACGTGAGGATAAAGCCTGATATGGTTGAGCTAAGCAACCGGCCACTCCGTTGTCCCCTGTAAGGTCACGGCTGATCCGGTCATAAATTACCGTCCCCGCCATACGCTCTTCCTGGTGGCCTTCATCTGAAGGAACTTTTTGTACTCTTTTCCCCAGCACCCCGGGATAAACTAAATTCCTTCCGTTTTCTTTTTTCCTTCCTTTTTCTCCTTCCTGTCTTTCTTTTTCTGTTTGCCTTTCTTTTCTTTTTCGTCTCTATTTAAAGATCTCTATAGATCAGGCATGATTGTATACGCAATATACTGCAGTAGAACCGACAGTGGAGTCTTCATAGTCTGTCCTGTAGTCTGTACTCCGTAGAAGACAAGTAAACGTGCCATTGGAGTACTCCAGCCTGCATGTACCCAAATGTCGCCATCTCCCCATCAGTTCCAAGGACTCCGGACTATGCCTCGCAGCCCCATCATAACCTGGGTTTGACTTTCATGACGGTATTGGCATTACGATATGGAGGGTTCCCCTTGGCCGAGGCCGTCGAGTCGTTACATCACCGTTTGCGGGCGATGGGGTTTTTTCATACGGCGGTATGGTAACTGGAGCTTACTGGCATTACCGCTTCAGGGTTCATTCGCTACCAGGCCTGAGGCCATGAAGGCAGATGCAAATCATCGTCTGGCTTCTCACTTTCTCAGTTCTCCGGTCCCTTGGCGTCTGCTTCCTCCCAGAGAGTCTCTTGCTTTTTCCCTGGAGGTTTCTTTTTTCTTCGTTTTTTCTCTATTTTTTTTTTTTTTAATTTCCCTTTTTTGCCCCCCTTGGGTCTTTCCTTACCGTCCCCTCCTCCACCACGGTGTTCTTATGTTCTGGTCCCTTTGGATGCACTCGGGATCTGATTGTTTCTTCAGCTCTCGATCCACTTTTTCCCTCTTCCCCCCAGTCCAGTTCAGTCCAGTCCAGTCTTTATCTGGGGGACGGAGGTAGATAGGACTACTATCTACAGACTTAGTGACTTCTACTGCGTCTTCTCCTGCGCTTTAGTGGGAATTCCTAGTTTCCTCAACCCCAAGCTGCCTGACCCAAAGGCTACGAACTACTACTTCCGGCTACGGTCAATTGGGCCAATCGTCATGGCTGCTAAATCTCGACCCCCATTCTACTAACCTCCAACTACTGAACGCCCCTACTACGGGACTAATCACCGAAATTATTATTATCCTTATTCCCTTTCCCACTTCCCACCCACACTACTGCTGACCTGCTTCTGCTCCTTGGGTCGGCACGTTACTGACTTGATCCTTGTTCCTGTTCCGAGATTCTCCACACTAACCCTCCCGGGTTCATCTCGGCCTTCCCTTGGACATCTCGCTGCCCTCCTCCATATCATCAATTCACCTCCCTCGCTATCTCCCTCTCTCCCTCCCTCTCCTCGACCCTGCCACGTCCTCCCTTCATCGACCCTCGCTAGGCGCCCCTTCTCGGCTCGCAACCTTTCCACCGCTCTCTCGCTCCCTCTGGCCTTCCTCCATGTGTTTTTCGCATCGGATGCTGGCCCCCTTCCGTCCGCGGTAAACCACGCGCAAATTCTCGCTCGTCTCGATTCTCTCGTCGCCTTAAGAGATGGTGGCTCCGGCCTCAACGGGAGGCTCCTCTACAGGCCTGCAGCCTTCCACGAGCCGCCAGCCTACTCGATCGGCTAGCACTCACCCATCGCATTCTCACAATGTTCCCTTGAGCGCTCGCCGATCCACCCCCCTCGACTTGTCCACGGTCGAACGTCGAGGACAGCCCAATGCTCCCCGCGAGCCCAGTAAACGGGTCCGACCTCATGGCTTACAAGAGGCACCGACCTTTCGTCCGACAGAGGAGGAGTTTAGAGATCCAGAGGCATATATTCGCAAGATTGCGCCGGAGGGCAAAAAATATGGAATCTGCAGGATTATACCTCCTGAGAATTGGCAACCACCGTTTGCTATAGATACTGAGGTATGGTCTCTTCCGTGCGCGGTGAAGCAAGCAAGAGTCGCGGTGGCGGAGGCTAGAATCTCCCCCCGAGGTTGATGGGGCTAACCATGCGTTCTCCAGCGATTCCACTTCAAAACCCGTCGACAGGAGCTCAACTCGGTTGAAGGAGGTATGCCCCCGCGCTCAGCCAAACAAGCTGCCGGTGGAGCTCCGCAGCCCAGTTCTGACGCGGACTCAGGAACTCGTGCAAACTTGAACTATCTCGATCAGTTGGCCAAGTTTCACAAGCAACATGGTACCAACCTCAACCGATTTCCGAGCGTCGACAAGCGTCCTCTGGACCTTTATAAACTGAAAAAGGCGGTTGAGGTTCGCGGTGGTTTTGATAGTGTCTGCAAGATGAAGAAATGGGCGGAGATCGGGCGCGACTTGGGCTACAGCGGCAAAATCATGTCCTCTCTCTCCACGTCGCTCAAGAACTCTTATCAACGATGGCTGCAACCGTATGAAGAGTATCTTCGTGTGGCCAAGCCCGGGGTTCAGCAACAACTGGAGCTGGAGCATGGTGGTCCCTATACCCCATCCCCGAACCAGTCTCCCATGCCCAAAAAGCCCGTTTCACTTGACAGCAACACACCATCGGCCACGCCGCAGCCAGTGGCGAGCAATCCCGTTGCACCGCCGACGACGGCGGGGGAGGTTGAGGCCACTCCAGAGAAGCCCACGCCTCCCGTCGAGCCTACCCCCCCTCGACCAATTGCCTCCGGGTTCACTCCGGTTAATGCCGGCTCTAGTGGGTTCACTGCCGTCAACCGGTCCCCGTCCTTTGTGGCCGTGAATAGTGCCTCCGCCGTGAAGCGGGAAGCAGACAATGGCTCACTCACCCCCAAGAGTGTGGTTGGCGAACATCCAGCCAATCCCACTGTCACTGCCAATGGCCATGCTAGTCAGCCTATGAAGCGCGCGATTAGCCACGAAAGTGGATCACATACGGAGAACGGGGAACTTGATGCCAACGGCCGACGAAGCAAGCGGCTTCGGAAAGGTATGTGTTTGCGATGGAGGATGTTCGGTATCTGCTATCTAACCCATCTGTCTAGATGCGCCGCTGCCCACGGTCTCGGGTTCCCACATGAGCCTTCTCCGCCCCGCTCCCCCTCGGCAACGCAAGAGTGACAACCGGAAGACGGGTGATGTATGCTTTCCTCCTACTTGTGGTCGCTACCAACTGCTAACCAGGCTAGAAATGCGAAATCTGTGGCAAATCGGAGGATCGATCGTCTATCCTAGTGTGCGATAGCTGTGATCATGGGTACCACAAAACTTGTCTCGATCCACCCCTGTCTACGGTTCCCGAGTATGACTGGCATTGCCCCAAGTGCCTGGTCGGCACCGGCGAGTTTGGTTTCGAAGAGGGTGGGGTGTACTCGCTGAAGCAGTTCCAGGAGAAGGCGAATAACTTCAAGAAGAGCTACTTCGCCTCCAAAATGCCTTTCGACCCCGTGCTCAACACCCACAGGCGCGAGTCTGAGGATGATGTGGAACGGGAGTTTTGGCGACTGGTGGAGAGCCTGACGGAAACCGTCGAGGTCGAGTACGGGGCGGATATCCATTCCACCACCCATGGCAGTGGCTTTCCCACCATTGAACGGAATCCGCTGGACCCGTATTCGGTCGATCCTTGGAATCTGAACGTGATGCCTTTCCACGGGGACTCGCTGTTCCGTCACATCAAGTCTGACATTTCCGGCATGACGGTTCCCTGGGTTTATGTTGGCATGTGCTTCTCAACCTTTTGCTGGCACAACGAAGACCATTACGCGTACTCGGCCAACTACCAGCATTTTGGGGCCACCAAGACCTGGTACGGCATTCCCGGGGCCGATGCGGAGGCGTTTGAAGAAGCCATGCGGCAGGCGGTGCCTGAGCTGTTTGAGGGCCAGCCCGACCTCCTCTTCCAGCTGGTGACGTTGATGCCACCGGATCAGCTGCGCAAGGCCGGCGTCCGGGTGTATGCGCTGGATCAACGGGCCGGTCAGTTTGTGATCACCTTCCCGCAGGCGTACCACGCCGGGTTCAACCATGGCTTCAACTTCAATGAAGCTGTCAACTTCGCGCCCGCAGACTGGGAGCCCTGGGGTGCCATGGGTGTGCAGCGCCTCCAAGACTTCCGCCGACACCCCTGTTTTGCCCATGACGAACTGCTCCTGACGGCGGCGGCCCGGGATTCCTCGATCACCACGGCCAAATGGTTAGCGCCCGCCCTCCAGCGGACGTGCACCCGGGAGGTGGGCGAACGCGCGACGTTCGCTGCTCGGCATCGGGAAATCGCTCCGCACAACTGCACCCTCTATTCCGAGGATCCGGCGGCGACGGGTGACTGCCAGCTCAAGTTTTTGGTTGAGGAAGAAGACCTGCCCGAGGATGATTATCAGTGCCAGTTTTGCAAGGCCTATACTTATCTAGCGCAGTTCCGATGCCACAAGACTGGGAAGACGGTGTGCCTGCCCCACGTGGAAACGTATGATTGCTGTGGCGAACCACTAACACAAAGGTTACTTGGTCCGGACCACACACTGCGTTACCGACTGAGCGATGATGCCCTGCGGGCTCTGGTTTTGAAGGTCCAGGAACGCGCCCGGATCCCCGAGGCCTGGGGAGAGAAGCTCGACAAGATTCTGGAAGACGAGCCGAAGCCCCAGTTGAAGGTCCTTCATAACCTACTAAATGAAGGTGAGAAAATCCCATACCATTTGCCTGGTCTCCAAGATCTCGCAGCCTTCGTCCAGCGCTGCGATAAGTGGGTTGAAGAAGCAACCAATTACATTACCCGGAAGCAGCAGAATCGGAGGAAGAACGAGAAGGCGTGGCGCAAGGGGACTTCCAAGGCTGCGCAGCTGGAAGAACGTGATCGTGAAGTTCGCAGAGTAGAAAACATCTACGCCCTTCTTGCAGAGGCTGATAAACTGTCGTTCGACTGTCCACAGATGGCGGCTCTGGAAGAGAAGACCCGCGAGATCGAGAAATTCCTCCGGGACGTTAACGTTGCCCTCTTGAACCCCACCATCCGATCGGTCCAGGAAGTCGAGGAACTCGTGGAATCCGCTCGCAATTTCAACGTGGAACTCCCGGAAGTGGAGAAACTCGAGCACATGCTTCGCCAAATGAAATGGAACGAGGACGCCCGTCGCAAACGGGACCAGTATCTGACCCTCAAGGATTGCCAGGAGTTGATCCAAGCCGGCGAGCAACTCGGATTATCGGACACCAGCGACCACCTGCTCCACTTTAAGGATCTCTGTCGGCACGGGGAGGCCTGGGAAGCCAAAGCCAAGGAATTGATGTCCGTAGAAGCCGTGCACTACCAACAACTGGAGGCCCTCTCTGCCCAGGCATCCCGGTTCCCGGTGTCGCCCGACACCCTGGCTGCCGTAGACGCGATCTTGACCAAGCAACGCGAAGCGCAGCGGAAAATCCAGAGCTTGTATGACCGGAGCCGGGAGCCCGATTTTCGCAAGCGGCCCAAGTACAAGGAAGTCCGGGAGCTGATGGATTCCCTGGAGGAGTTGAACAGCCGGCCTACGGGGGCGATTGACCTGGAGCGGGAGCAGAAGCGCCATGAGGATTGGATGCGCAAAGGCAAGAAACTGTTTGGCAAGGCCAATGCCCCGCTCCACATTCTCAAGTCACATATGGAGTATGTCGAGAAGCGCAATTCCTACTGTTTCGACCTGGAGGATCGCTGTCGGCCCCCCGTGGAACCTGCGTCGCGAGACAATACCCCTGACGGGTTGCTGGAACCTACTCCGACGCCCAGTATGTGGGGTGGGGGCAAGTCGCGCAAACGGGATGTCTTTTGCATCTGCCGACACTCGGAAGCTGGCATGATGATCGAGTGCGAGGTTTGTCATGAATGGTAAGTTGGCTGATCGTTGGGACGCGAGGGGCTTGTTCCGCTGACCCCGGTGTGTGTGTGTAGGTACCACGGGAAATGCTTAAAGATTGCACGGGGCAAGGTCAAGGAGTTCGACAAGTATACTTGTCCGATCTGCGACTGGCGCCAAAAGATCCCCCGTGATGCGGCCCGGCCCAAGTTGGAAGATCTCCTGGAGTGGCAGGCGGAAATCGCCGGGCTGCCGTTCCAGCCTGATGAAGAGGAGATCCTGGATAGCATCATCAACCAAGCGACGACCTTCCGGGACTTTCTGCAAAGCTTCACCAATGCGGCGTGTACCACTACGGAGGAGGTCCCCACGTTGATCTTCTATTTGCGCAAGATCGAGGGGGCCGAGGTTCTCCTGGCCTACGAAACCAATTTCTTCCGGCAGGAGATCCACAAGTGGGCACCGGTGGCCCCCGAGCCTCCGCCGATCTTGGAGCAGTCGCTTTCCACTCGGAAGCCCCGGCCGACCAAGCAGCAGAAGATCATGGCGCAGCTCGGCGTCGACCGCCCGGAAGATCTGCCCCCGCATCTCCGCACCAAACAGCCCAGCTTCGCCAAGCGCAAGTCGATTGAATCCCAGACGGGGCGCCCTTCAATTCTCCACGCGCCGGGCGATGGCTCCAACTCGGATTCCGGCCGCAGTGGTCCTACGCTGACGCCCATGACTGAGGCTCCCAACCCGCCCTATCCATTTTCTGCCAATTACTCGCTTCCCGCCGGCGACCCGACTCCGGCTTTTGCCCCTGGCGCTTCCGCTTTCCTCCCTCATGTTTCGGCCAACTCGCCGTCGTTCCCTCCGCGTTCTCCCACCCTGCCGCACCAGGGACTGGACACGTCCCTGTTCAGCTCTCCGCGATATAACCGCGACCCGCATGACGGGCCTCCCGTTGTCGATGTGGACAGCCGCGATCCGTTTGACAGCAGTCCGCGGCAGAACCTCGATGATGTGTTTGCCGACCTGACCAATCAGGATCAGGAGCCCGATGCGGAGCCCGAGCCCGAACCGGAGCTCATGGAGAACACACACGCCAACGAGGCGCTCGAAGTGCTCGAGGTGAGCAACGGGGATGACTCGGACGGGCTGCGGGACGACTCGCCGGATGCTACCCTCAACGGGGAGGCCAACGGACATGTCGATGCTGGCGAGCGTGCCGATGAGCTCTAACGGGCGCCACGTTGAGGTGCCACGTTGAAACTTTGCGTTTTCTACTTCCATTTTCTATTTCTTCTCGACTGACTGGACCGTGACATGTATGGGTTCTGTGGGCCGTCCGGCATTTCTCTCTCGTGAATTCTCTTCTCTTTCTCTTGACCTGTTAACGTTGCATGACACGGCATTCTGCGGCGTTCCAAGACTTGCTGGTGGCTTTGTGTGGTTCTGGATCGATACGGTGTTGTCTGGATGTCCGTGCTACCACGATGGTGTGTTGCTGATGTTCCTTTGTGAGTTCGGTGTACGAAAACATTGCGTGGTATTATTCCTTTTGTTTTTCTTCTGTCGTTCCTGTCTCTTCCGTGGGTGGCTGTCTCGAGCCGATGTATACTGCTAGTGCTTTTATCGTATTGCGGCCCCGTCCGTACTTAGGTGATCAACCAATGTCATCCTTTCCGACCAGCTCAGTAGTACATATCTACATCACATCCGCATACGCACTCAACGCCGCCTGTCCCCCGGTATGCACAAACAAGACATTCACCTCTCCCCCCGGCTCACCGCCCCTCGCCACCCAATCTTTGGCTACCTCCCCCTCCCTTACCCAATGCCTCATCCCCCTAACCACCTTCCCCGTATACACCGGATCCAACACCACCGCCTCCTCCCGCGCCATCTCCCCCAGCATATCCCGTGTCGCTTCATCAAGTTCCCCATACGCCGTGCCCGCGAACCGCTCATCGAGACAGATATCTTCCTCCGTGATGACGTGTTCGGGATCAAGGCCAATGAGTGTTGCGGCTTGGCGTGCGAAGTTGAGAATGCGGGCCTCGTGGTGGGCGCGCGGGAGGGTGGGGGATGTGATGATGCCGATGATTTTGCGGGGGGGGAGAGGATGGGGATGGGGTTGGTGGTGGTGGTGGTGGTGGTGTTCTTCTTCTCGGTGGAGGAGTTTCATTCCTGCGATTAGACCACCTAGGGTGCTGCCGCTGCCGCAGGCGATGAAGATGTAGTCGAATCGGGGGGATTTATGGTGTGTAAGGGATCGGGGGAGAGATTTCTCCTGTTCTGCGATTTCGAATGCGCAGCGCGCGTAGCCTAGTCCGCCGAGGGGATGGAGACTGGCGCCGGAGGGGATCCAGTAGGGGGCTCGGTTGGGGGTGGTTTGGAGGGTGGTGAAGATTGTGTGGACTTGATCTTTTTCTTTGTCTTGGGTTTCATTTTCGGTATTGGGATTGGGTGGGGAGGATGTGGGTGTGGGGGAGGATTTGGAGACTATCGAGGTATCTAGGATGCGGATATCCGCTCCGAGGAGTTTGGCGAGTTCGACGTTGCCGGTGGTGGAGAAGAGGTCTTTGTTGGTGGAGGCCTGGTAGCCCCCGCCCGTGGCTTGGTGGAGGAGGAGGACGGAGTCCAGGGACAAGTGGTTGGCGATGCTGGCGACTTGGATGGTGTGGTTGCTTTGGAGGGCGCCTTCGGTGACGAGGGTGGTTGGTTTCCTCGCTGGGGGTGGAGGTGTAGTTCCTGTTGGTGGGAGGGGTGGTATGAGGGTGCCGTGATTCGGACCCGGAGCGAGAGTGCCGTATTTCGGGGCCGGGGAGAGAATATCGGGAATAAGGTATTCGAGTTTGCGGTATTTGTTGCCCGAGGAGGCGAGGGGACAGGCTTGGTCTTCGCGTTTGGCGTAGAGGGTGATGCGGGGAGATGGCTGGGCGGGGGACGAAGTGAGGAGGCGGGTTAGGGCTGGGAGGGGGTGGATGGGCGAGGGGGTCGGGTACAGGAGTGGGTAGCGGGGGATCTGGCCGAACGGGGACGGGAGGGGGACCATCGTGGTTTGTGTAGTAGATATTGTATGGATGTTGGAGGTGAAGTTGGAGATGTGGTGAGGTCGACTAGTCGGTGATGACGTTATGTGTGCTGAATGTTAACTTGGAGATGCGGGGAGAGTCGGTGGAGTCGCGTATGAACTGAATAGTGATAATTCACCGTGGAGAAGGAAGAGCACTTCCTCTTCAATGCATTCAATGTCAACTACCTCCTCAATCATTCCCTCGTGTTGATTGCACATTCGTACTGTTGGACCTGACCATTATGCCGTTTTATATCTTCTTCAGTGAACTCAAAAGGACACCTGCCTGGAAGCCCGAGAAGATCCCAGTCCTGAGAAAGTCGTATCAGGGCATTTCTCAGTGGGACCAAGGAGCCATGTGAGAAAAGCTGGCAGCAAGTAAAGGGCTCCCACAGTCGTCGATCCAGTTCCATCGCATCGTAGACAGGTTTGTTGTATGCAAGACAGAACATTTCATAGTACTTCGATTGCGCGGCTAATGTCTGTTCCTTCGTAGCCCTTACTCTTTCATCAGGATCCAGCTCGTCGAAATTATCCGGTAAAGCGGGAATCTCAGTTCCTGGACTGTAGTCTTTAGGTGGTCGAAGGAATTCGGGAAACTGTGCCTGTATAAAGAGAGGAGCAGCCTGGGCTGACTGCCAATCAATCACGCCCTCGATTGTAGTCGGATCATCCGTGGAGACATAAATATTCCCGAGATGCAAGTCCGTATGCCAAATAGTCGAACCTGCTCTTGCTAGCACCTGTGGATGGCGAGAGAGAGCTGGGAGTACCAGCAGCACCTTCTGCAAAAGATCACAATATTCGTCGGCAGACTGGTCCTCACTGAAGTGTGTCAGATGGTGCTGCACCTTTTCCCTATTGTTGGCAACGAGGGCTAGTTCTCGGTGTGGTATCGAGAGCGCAAAGTCCAAAATCGAAGTCCCTTGACAGGGTCAGAAAGAGTGTCAAGTGAACGGCTTCACAGAACTCACACGGCCCGATATTGGAATTGGATATATCGAAGGAAGCCTTATGGGCTCGGCTGCACGACGGTCCGATGTAAAATAGCCCAGTCGGATCTAAATCCGTGGGAAGAGGACACCGACGATATTCAGATGGCAGGGAATCTTGTAGAAAGAGGCTTCCGTATGCTGGGAACTTCAAACTGAGAAGCTCTTTCTCCATCTCCACAATCCTGTCGATAATTTGATAGCGTTCCAAGGTATTCATTGTCTCCCATCTTTCTGCAAGAGGCACTCCACGGATCTTTTCCATGATGATATATTCCGCGCCGACTGGGTTTGTTGGGTCTGATTTCCAAGCGTACACTTCTGGGACTCGAATCGATATGCGAGACCGCACTAGAGACGAGAATATCAGCATCTTAGACTGACACAACTCCAGGAGAACATACAAAACTTTAACGTCGCTACTTCGGACGTCGTTGTCAACACTGGCGTCCCAGAGTTTGGACACGGGATCTTTGCTATAACTTCGTTGCCATCATTCATCGTAAGGAGGAACGCCTTGTTAAAGTTTCCCCCCATTTTGGCAATGCGTATGCATCTCGCTTTGGGGCCAAATAGTGAAGCAGCTTGAGAGCAAAGATTGTTGACATTGAACTTGACAAAACGCTGCTCTAGTTGATACTTTTCATTGATCAACCACCGACCCGAGGTATATCTAAACAAGTCGTCTTGATCGCCTATGTCACACATCGTAATCCATTAGCTACTAAGCAAGTCGTCGAAGGGGATGAAGTGAACAGATAGACAGACTGGTATCCTTCATCAGCTCTTTCCTATGTACTGTCGTGTGAAATGTACGGCTCAAGTTCACGCAGGATCCAGCACCCCCAGTCAGCCTTGTGCAGATAGGGCGACGCAACAAAGAATGAAAGCATGCTGGCTTCAACATCGTCTGCCACAATTCGAACTAGCCAAGTCTCCGTACACTGTTCTCTTTGCTGTGACGCTGTCAATGGAGGGTCCAAGCTCGATTTAGAAACACCCCTTTGATAGGAACCTGACTAGATAATTCACCGCGGGAATGGGACTGCAATACACTGTGGTGATGACATCAGTGAAGATGCAGGAAAATGCCTGAAGTAAGAAGATGAGAGGGGGCGTGTTCCTTGTAAGCCGGAAACGACCTATATGGTTCTAATGTCTCCCATCTCATCACCGGCAAGCACGGACAATATATAGTCAAGCAATTGAGAGCCAACTGAATATGGGATTTCCTCAACTAAGCAAACTAGTATATGCTGATCATATTCCTGTGTTTCCAAATGATTATACTGAGAATTCTTTCTGTCTCTTGTAACCAAAGTTTTCAACAGAAGAGACGTAAGATTCCTGGTGACCTTCCTATACTCGTATCCGAGCTTCTGGCGGTGAGATTCTGCCTCTCCGCGTCGGGAAGAACATCAACATTGACATCAACCTCCATCTTCTTCCCCTCATCTTCCCCTCAAGGAATATCTCCTCCCCTAAACACTCATCCACCATGCCGGTCGAACACAGCCTCTTTCAATTTCTCGCCAAAGCCCTCCAGACCCATCACCGCTTCCTGGCTGGCCGGCTCTCGCGCGCCGAAGCCCCAATCTACGTCATCGGCAACCCCTCCGCCGACCTGGACTCGATCATCTCCGCCATCGTCTATGCCTCCTTCGCCCATCCCCGCCCTCACGTTCCCCTAATCAACCTGCCCTCCGTCCCCGCCGGTCCGGAACTGCGCCGTCTGCGACCCGAGTTCGTCAAAACACTCTGGCTCGCCACCCCCCCCCCCGCCCCCGACGACCAAACATGGGCCGACACGCCCGAATCCGCCGGTCCCCTACTCCACGACCACCTCCTCACCGTCGCCGACTTTGCCTCCCACCTCGAACAAACCCCTAACCACCCTCTATCCGCCGACGCCGTCCTCGTCGACTGGAACGCCCTCCCCATCCGCTCCCCCTCCCACGCCCGCGGCCAGGGCTCCCTCCCCGCCCTCCCATCCCTCACCTTCACCGTCCTCGGCTGCATCGACCACCACATCGACGAGAACTTCCTCGCCCCCATCACCGACCCCGACCAGCCCATCCTCATCCAACCCTCCGGCTCCTGTACTTCCCTGGTAGTGAACATGCTGGACAAAATGGACCGCTGGCGCCGCACCACCACCGACCCCAACCCCACCTCCCCCGAACGCCAACTCGCCAAACTCGCCATGAGCCCCATCCTCATCGACACGAGCAACTTCACCGCTAAAGAAAAAGTTACCGACGCGGATACCTTAGCGTATAGTTTCCTGCGCTCGAAAATCAATGCCGGACCCCATGATGATGCGGAGACACCCTGGGATCGGAATTCGTTCTATGAGGAGATAAATACGGCGAAACGGAATAGTCTCGATTTGTTGACGGTCGAGGAGGTCTTGGATAGGGATTATAAGCAGTGGACGGAGTCCCCGGGAAGTGAATCCCAGAAGGAGGAAGTAGAGATCGGGATCTGCTCCATGGTGCGGTCATCACCATGGGTAGTTCGCAAAGCAGGCAGCCCCGAGTCATTCCTCGATACATTGGCAGAATTCGCCAACCAAAAGGAACTGCAAATCGTGATGGTCATGACGGCCTTTACTACCGGACCGGAAAGCCAATTCCATCGCGAGCTATTAATCCTAGCAAAGGAGGGCACCGGAGTCCGCGGTGTAGAGGCATTTATAGACCGAGCGGGAGCAGAATTAGGGTTAGAGGAATGGAAAGTTCTAGAGGGGGAAGAGGGCGCTGAGCTACGAGAGGCCGATTGCACCGATCCGACCCTGCGAAAGTGGATCTGGGTCCAGGGCGATGTCACGAAGAGTCGGAAACAGGTGGCGCCATTGATTAGGGAGGCGGTGGGGGCGCTTTGAGTATACCTTATACCTTATATCTTCTATCTTCATATATAGTATATATATCGCAGAGTAGATAAAGTAAATTGTATCTAGAAGCTAGAACAGACTAGATATTATCAAGAAGAAAGCAAGACAAGGTACTAGGTAAGTGGTAACTGGCAGTATTACTTGCTTGCGGGTTTGCTTCATTGCTAGAATACAGATCCAACGGTAATTAAATTGGTTGGATAAGATAGAATAGTATAAATGCTAGGTAGAAAGATGGTGATCATCATCCCGATGCACAAGAATCACACACTCCAACAGAGAAGAAGAAAACCGACCGATCGCACCAACCGAGTCTAGTATGCATCTAGGAGACCCATTCGCGTATCGAATCCAAGAACCAACATATCATCACCTACATGATGCCCGTAACTCAGAAGAAACATGATGCATAATGAACAAAAGTTGAAAAATGATGAGAAGAAAGAAGAACAACTCCGGCGCCTCTCATGGTCTGTCTGCCCCGGAACGCCATATATGTTTGAATGGTAGAAGAAGAAAAACAGGTCACATCCTGCTGGATAATGAAGTAGCAGTGTACAATGGGAGTAACCAACAGAGCAAGCCTGGAAGAAAAAGAAAGATTAAGATTACAGGCGCGGCCTGCGATGGTGCTAGTAGCACTCCCACTCGCAAAACACACACCAGCGCGCAACCCGGTCCGCCAGCACCAGACCGCGCCATGTGCCGCGCTCGCCGATCTTGATCACCGTCTCCCACACGCTGCCATCTCCCGGCGCATCGATGAATGCGTGGTTGCCCGTGTTGGGACTGAGCATGTGCTCGGGCTTCCGCGTCAGACGCAGGATCTTGCCCGACGGAGACTGGATCGCTAGTTTCGCCGGCTTTTCACGTCCGGACAGCGACCGGCCCGACGAGATGGCCGAGGTCGACGCCGAAAACTCATTCGAGACGCCCGACACCGAGGATCCGCCCGCGGAACTGGAGACCATACTCAGCGCACTAGCCGGCCGGGTGAAGACAGACGGGGAGACGCGCCCGCTGACGCCAGCTTCGTTACTGCCAGACGAGAAGGCGAGCGAGGCCGGATGCTGGCGGACGGCAAACACGAAGGTGTTGTTCACAGCCAGCTTGGCGCACTGCGGCTGCATGATGTAGAGGTCGTGCCGCTGAGCGTGGGGTGTTGGATGGCGCAGCACGAAATCATACGGCGGGTTATCGTTGCTGTGGAGAATGGGCAGGGAGAGAGCCAACGGATGGGGGATGTCGCGGCTGGAATGCATCAGTCCCCGCTTACCAGCGTACACCTTGACCGTGCCCTGTCCTTCGTCGCCCGGCAGAATGGCTTTCACCGTAATCCGTTTCTGCCCGTTGACCCAGTCGGGCTGCACCAGCGCGCGCTTGCGCACGATCTCGCCGCTCTCAAAGAAGTCGCCGTCTGCGTCACGAGCGAACCCTGGGGCTTCCACCTCAGCGGCGCATTCCACGTCCGGGGGCACCAGGAGCCGAATGTGCATGACTTCCAAGCCGTCGATCCGGATAATACTCGTGTCATAATCAGGGAACTGCATGTTGAGTTTAAAATACGGCGGGCACACTGCCGGAAGCGCGAGAAGGACATCAGGGGAGATGGGCGGGCAGATATGCTGCTCCTCCGGAGCAAGAGGAACATGCGTATAGCAGATCTCCAAAGGCCGTGCGAGGAAATACCAGCTTTCGGCGACCGATGTATTGTTGGTGACGAATTGGGTCCGTCGCGGGTTGGTAGGGCTGGCTAGTGAACAGTCCATGATGCGCCATTCGCCGTCCACGAGCACCGAGTTCCACCAATGGTTGGCTTGCGAGAGACCGTCCAGGTCAAACATTTCTCCAGGGCTCTTGAGAAATCCATTGATTGCTTCGGCGTGGAGACCAACCGCTGCACACATTTCTTTAACGAGGTAGGCCACTTCCTGTGGGCTACCTCGCTTCGTCTGGAGCACGCGCTTCAGGTCAATCCCAATCTCATCGACCGGGTCATCCCAAGCGATCTTCTCGCTGACCCAGGTAAAGATGGCGCGCAGCCTCTGGACATCGCTCTTATACGGCCGACAAACATATCCGTGCGCTAAGCTCGCCGGATTCGTCATCGGGGGAAGACTGTTGACAAACCGGGCGCTTTTATCCACGAGATTCAGATTTACCGTCCCGAAGTTAGTCGGCTCACTGATAGGCAAACCATCAATGCTCTCATCCCCTTCCGCCGTCTCGTAGAGTTCCTCCACAGCATAAATAACCGGGTGGTCCATCATTTGGCATCTTTCAGCCCTCTCGATCCTCTCGTTCCGGCTGGGGGAGCTCGCGCGGTTCACGTCACGGCGTACCTGAACCCAGTCGATGGCGCTGTTGCCGGGAGGTTCCCGAGGAGGGTCCCGACTGGACTGCAGAGCACGGATTGGCGAGATGCCTCTGTTTTTGGTGGGGGACAATGACCCGCCGTTCTGCCCAACAGCAATGCTGCTTCTCGCATTGGCGGCACCCGTCTTCGCCGACTCGAAGATCTTCTTGAAGAATCCTGGCTTCTTGGCTTTCGGTGTGGACAGCCCGCCGAACACTCCGGTAGGCTCCTCCCCACCGCCTGGTGCTGAGGACCAGGGTATAGCAGATGACGCCCCTTGCCGAGAAGTGTTGTGACTGGAGTGGTAAGATATGCCGGTCAATGGTGTTTCAGGCCTTGCCATCCGGGAGACGTCGCTAAATCCTCTTGAGCGAACAGTGTCAACTGCCGTATTTGGTCTCTCGGCTGGCGCGGTTCCTCTTCGAGCATAACTTCCCGCACTTGTTGCGCTGAATCCTCCGGCCGACGGGCCACTCATTATACTTTGACTGGTCCTCTCGGTACTGCCAGTCTGGGTCGTACTCGTACTATGCACCCCGCTGGAAGAGTTGGTGGTGCTGGACTTATTGGTGTACGTCCGGTTGAGTATGTCTCCGCGGAGGTCTTGACCAGATCGTCGCCCCCTTACCAATGGGTACTGGGCTGGGATCGAGTTATGTCGGCCATGGTAGGGCACATTCCTTGGGGGTGGCGGTGGGGGCTCCTCGTCATCGGAAGGATGCGCATCTTCGGAGTCCCTTTGGTTTTGTTCCTGCAATTGGCGCAGCCGACTCTCCATCCTCTGCACGTAGTTGTTCAATTGTGGGGGTCCATCCACATAGGGATCATGTGCGTAAACGCTGTTTCGGTGGGTTTGACTGCCATTATACTGGTAGTCCTTGTCTCCATCAAACCCCAGGGACGTCAGGGGTCGACGGGAAGTCTGCAGCGGTCGGCTCTCACGGAAGCTATCATACGCATCCGGCGACCACGGGTTGTTGAACGTCGGCTGTGGAGACGGCGACTGCGCGTCCCGAGGCAACCCCATATCCTCCAATGAAGTCATCACGTCCTCCATTGCATCCCTGAGTGGTGAAGGCGTGTGCCCACGTCCTTCAGAGTGAGCGGCCGGTGATGGTGTTCTTGAGATCGTAACAAACCGGTTATTCATATCGAGGCGCGTGGGGACATGTGACGGGGAGGCTTGTGTGTCAAAGGAGGGTTGACGGTGAACCGCCACTCGATGCGGAGGCGGAGGCGGGGGCGGTGATTCCTCTCGCTCTTGGAGCTGGAGCGGAGAGATCTCGCGCGATGAAGGTTGAGGCAAAGACATACTGTGACTGTGCTTCGGAACTTGAGGAGGCAAGAAGTCAAAGTCGTCCGGCGGGCGAGGGGACGCCGCACGAGACATGGGCCTGTGCACGGCATTTTGCATAGGAGGTAGTGATGGGAGCTGATAATCGAGATTCGCCGGAGGACGCGGTGAGGCTGCACGGGCCGCAGGCCCAGGGAATGGTGCACTTTGAACGGGGGGGATTGAGGGTAGATGGAGCTCCACTTCCTGCCCAGGATGGGGCGACACTGCCCGCGACGGGGGTCCACGCGATGGAGGTCTGGTGTGGGAAATGTATGTCCCAGGAAGTGTAGATGATAACGGAATATCCGACTCCGGCGGAGGACGCGGGGAAATGGCACGGGATAAGGGTCTCGACCGTGACGAGGGCGGCCTTGTCAAGGAGCTCTGGTGCTTGACCGCGGTCGTAGGTGTACGCAACGGTTTCACTTTTCGGAGACTGCCATCTCGGGGTGGAGTTTGGGGAATCCCGCTGATCACTGGCGATGATGAAGTTGAGCTCCGCGACAGCTCCCCCGAGGGTGCAAGAGCTTCTTTGTGGGCCTGGAATGGCTTTCGAAAGACCGTCTTCTGTTTCTTTGGGGCGGAGGTCGGATTCGTAATCGGAGATGAGGCGGGAGGGAGCATCGGGCTCGTGGACCGAGTGACTGGCACGAAATCCTCGCTGAGCACTTCGACGAAGTTGGAGGGAAATAGCCCCATCATGCGCCTGTCTCTCCGCAATCGGCCCATCCACCACTGGCCATCTCCGGCATTTAGGCATTCGATGAGGTCCCCCTCCACGAAACCCAGATCACGTTTCGTCTCTCCTCCCCATGAATATACTGCCCGACACCAGCAGGGGAATCGGGTCGGGAGCTGGGGTGCGGCGGGGGGCATTGCGGCTGAAGTGACCGAGCACGAGCGGGTGGATCGACTACCACCGTTAACGCTAACCGATAATCGAGAATGACAGGAGGTGCAATTGACGTGTCAGATAAAATCGAACCCGATGCAGCTGCACGGTTAACGGGGCAGGAAAGTGAGAGGGCGAATATAGCTACAAGCGCACCGTCGCTGAACGAGAGACAATAATGGAAGCATCAAGAACCGGGTAACGGAGCTGCAGACCAAAACATGGCAAGAGGGGAAAACCAAAACAAGAGACAGAGGATCAGCAGCGTGGGCCGCCGTAACGCAGAAAGGGGGGGGGGGGGGGTCGCCGTGGGATGCGACGACAGGCCCAGCTCGGGGGGTGTGGTTTAGTGAATGGAGTGCTGAGAAGGGGGGGAGAAGAGGAGCAAGAGAGAGAGGAAGAGAGACTGAGAGACAGACGGCCAGCTGAACGGTGAGGCCCGATCGATGTTTTGGTGTTTACGTGGGCGCCGTTTCGGGACTAGTGGCCCCTTATCGATAAGCTTATTGCGCACAGTCCCTCGTGAGTCTCGCTCGGAGTCTCTACCTTCTCCCATCTATCTAGATAGTACTAAGGATCCTCATCAGGCGAATTCTTGATGCTCCTCCTATACCGTATATCGATGGGTCGTCCTTTGACCAGTCCCGTAGTGGCTGGGTTCCCCAGACTATGACCCATGGTTTCAACTCCGCTACCCGCTGTATCACCCATGGAGGCCTCGTCTCTGGATTCCCAATCAAACTCTGTTTCATGTCTAGGCTCCTGGGGCAACACCCTTCTAAAATAGCGGAGAAGCGGACAAGGGTCTGATGAAAGACCGAACCATACTCAGCTTACCTTTGAAACGCCAGCAGAATCTAGAGCCTGTGCTACAGAAATTTTGAGGATCCCAAGGTTTTATGAAAGCAAGGCCGTTACATTGGATTTCAATTATCCTTGCAGAACTACCCGGTTACTCAAACCTTGGATTTGTCAGACGCTACAGTTGAGTTGATTATATATCGGCAGGAAGACGTGGCACGACATGGAAAACCAAGCCTGGAGGTGCAGACCCGGCCACTTGATTCCTGGTATGCGGCCGTGATTATGACCCCTCTCAACTGGTCAGCTTCGGTCCCTTGCTTGACTGATACTCTTTATCGGAATATTCGGATCAAGACCCCTAATGCCCTGTATGACCGATGGAAATTGCGTATTGTGGCACATCTGGCCTCGTTTCTCACATACACTTCGGGCCCTCAAGCACCGTACTTCCTTATGTAGTGGTAGTCATCCTCTTTGCAAGAATCATGCTAGTACTTGTATTCATATACAGCTCTGAGGATATCGAAAGCACTACGCATAGGTGCTGTACGGCAGGCTTATCAGGTCACTGCCGACTAAATATATTTTGGGGGACACAAGGAAAGAACAGCCACGGCATGTCGACCTTTCTTTGCCGCATCGAAGCAAACAGTAGTCCATTGCCTGCACTTGATGTCTGCTTCTGTAATGGCGCCGGCAAGATGATTATGCCGGGCGGGGGCTACTACACGTGCCTCTGTTGCGACACGGCCCGGAACACGTTGGAAACCACCGACTCGCTGCTGATGTCCGGCGACTTCCTGACCCTATTGGCAATCACTATTCCCTGTGACCGGTTCAAACCAAGCATGCCAATCTCCCCGGTGCCCGCGGAGTTACTTAACATGACCATGATTAATACTGACAGTTTCGCACGCATAAGACGCCCGGGTTGCAAAGTATAGTGGCACACGAGGTTCGGAAGAACTCATTCAACCTTCGAAGGACATTGGAGAGGAGGCGGCTTATAACTTGCTGGGCTACGTATGGAACAACTGGTTAGTGTGCTCAATACCCCTGCTGATGATGCTTTCTTCTGGATAGAAGGATTCTAAATCATTTATAATTAGATAGCAGCATGATCATCCATGAGAGCTGACAGATCCGGCCGAATCACCGGAAATAAGAGCGATCCTTTCCGTATTTGCATGAGAATGCAATTGGAAGTTAGTGCTTGATTAGGAATTTCCAAGATAAGGACAACAGACATATTAGCTTTTGCAAGTTTCATGCTGGTTAACTTCGACCGACCACGGAGTTCACCGCGAGTTTGCCAGGGAGAGACTTGGCAATGTCTCACCGTCAGCTCATAGACATAACGCCTCTGATTCTCATTCTCCTCGATTTGCTCCTCTTTCCTGTGATCTTTGTTCTGATAATCATGTGGAATTTTTGGACGCTGTTCAAGAAGAACTGGCTCGGGTCTGACAGGTATTATCTGCGCGGAATCTACATCTGAAAAAGCATCGACCAGGAATACCACGAGTGGAACGCAGGGGGAAGCCACCATTATAAACCTTATTATTGCGACGCCTATCGAGCAGCCCTGGATGCCTGTCTGGGCATTCTGTGTGGGCTAAGGTTTCCCTCGTTGTCATTGTGGGAATTATTGAACCTTAACCTGACAGGTGCGGAACGCCTGTCAGGCCCGACTCGATAGGTACTAATTGGGGAGGCTGGGTGGCTCAATTGAAGTCGAGCCCATGATTGGACGATATAAATCTGCGATCCAAGCCATGATTCTTGGGAGTGGGAGCGAGTACTTGAGGTGAACTAGTTCTCGATGCTTCCCACACATGTCGGTTTTATACCCTACTTGGCATGGTCTTAGAGCCGGGAAGTGAGTGCAAAGGGGGATACAAGGTAAGCAATTCGAACTATGCGATGATTTGCAGGCGATGGCCTCAGATTGATACGTTTTCCTAGGAAGGTAAATGGACCGGTCGTGCATGAGTTCCAGGTCGATATGGGTGGAAGAATCATCCGTCGGTCAGACTTCGTGAAGCATGTCATGGCACCATGGCCCACCGAGTACATTCCAGCAACAATAACCTTGTTTCTCCCGACACGCTCCTTCCGAGTTTCGGCAGTTGAATAAGCAACGGTGGATATTCTTCGGGGGTCCCTATTGTAGGAAACGCAAGGCACATGCAGGGCAGCAGGGCAGCAGGGCATGGATTCTAACTGCCCGGTCTTTTCGGCATGCATCTCTGCGTCCCCCCACCGATATCACCGGCGCAGAGAGAAATCTTTCGGCCTGTCCCGTGGAATTTTGTGTCTCATGCTCAAGGAGGAAAGATGTTAGGGGAGCAATAACTGGAAATATACGCCCCCGGTCACGTGCCCGATGCGACGTGCTGATCGTCGCCAAATGGGGCGGCGACGACTTTCCTCTGTAGGACTCCTGCCACCCCCCTTCGCCAGACAGTGCCGCTGACCATCGCGACGCTGTCCCTTGATGCACGCTGCCATCCGCCCTCGAGAACACGGCTGCCTAGTCGCTCGATTACCGCCAGAAGCAGGGGTTGAGACATCGATGTCCCCTTGATGATCGTGGTGGCCTGAAGGCTGAGGTAGCCACACTGAATTCCGGCCTCATGGACCGGGATCTCAAGTCTAGAATTTCCCAATGGGGTAACTCAATCGTGTGCCCAGAGGGTGTGCCTCCGCTCCACCATCATGAGGCTGTCCATTCAGAGCCGGCTCACATCAGCATTGGACGTAAACTGAAAGACATCGGGGACTCTCCAGAACAGTTTAGGGCCTGTCAACTGTCCCCGTCCCGATGATTCGCTAGATGTATGGCAATGCAACCCAATCGAGTGGATTCAACTCTTTGCAATCGCCCCCTAGATACGCATGGAATGCATCTTAACCAGGTCAGAGCATGCCGTAGTTGAGACACCGGCCCCCACCCTGCCACGGGGCACGAAATCTATATGTGTATAAAGTGTGCTTCACGTCGACATGGGTGAGGGGAGCCAGATGGACTTTGGTTTGACAACCCTGGTCGACTGATCAACAGACATCTCCCGCAAACATGGAGGGTCCATCTCGTGTGTACCTTTTTGGGGACCAGACAAGTGACATTGAAGCCGGCCTCCGCCGTCTGCTACAAGCGAAGAATAGTACCATCGTCCAGTCCTTCTTCCAGCAATGTTTCCATGCGCTACGGCAAGAGATCACGAAGCTCCCGCCATCTCAGCGCAAGCTCTTCCCACGGTTCACGAGTATCGTCGATCTGCTTGCTAGACATCGTCAATCAGGGCCGAGCCCCGTCTTGGAAAGCGCGTTGACGTGCATCTACCAGCTGGGTTGTTTCATACAGTAAGATGTTCGGCTTCCATTCCCGGTGACAACTCTGACCAGCTTCAGCTTTTATGGGGACCTTGGCCATACCTATCCCACGCCCACGAACAGCCAGCTTGTTGGCCTGTGTACAGGCCTCCTGAGCTGCACGGCTGTGAGCTGCTCGAAAAATGTCGGAGAGCTTGTTCCCGCCGCAGTGGAATCGGTCGTGGTAGCCCTCCGACTGGGGATCTGTGTTCTTCGCGTCCGAGAACTTGTCGACTCCGACGATTCGAAATCAACCTGCTGGTCCGCGTTGATTTCGGGAATAAGTGAAGCAGGAGCTACTGCCTTAATAGAAGAATACAGCACCAAGAAGGTGGGTTAAAATCACTTGGTATGTTTCAGTGTTGTGAGATGCTGACGGGTACAGGCCACTCCACCTTCCTCAAAGCCATATATCAGCGCGGTCAGCTCCAATGGCGTTACTGTCAGTGCGCCACCCGCAGTCCTTGATGAATTTATCGAAGCCAGTGCTTCAAACAATTACAAACCAGTCAAGGCTCCAATTCACGGCCCCTACCATGCGCCGCATCTTTATGACGACAAGGATATCGGACGGATCTTGCAGCCCTTGACCTCGGATACTTTATCCGGCTACGCGCCCGTTATCCCTGTCATTTCCAGCAATACCGGCCAGCCGGTCAAGGCTAAATCCATCAGCGACCTCTTCAAGGTCGCGCTCGAGGAAATCCTACTGCGACGACTGTGCTGGGACAAGGTCACAGATGCGTGCTCTTCCCTATGCAAGTCCGGCCCAAATCAATCGTGCAAGTTGTTCCCGATATCAAGCAGCGCAACCCAAAGTTTGTTTACGGTGCTCAAGAAGGCAGGCGTGAACGTGAGCTTGGAAACCGGGGTTGGAGATGTCTCGACAAACCCGGACACGCGAAACCTCACTGGCAAGACAGAGTGCTCCAAGATTGCCATCATCGGAATGTCAGGAAGATTTCCTGACGCTGATGGCACCGAGAGCTTCTGGGAGCTCCTGTACAAAGGACTCGACGTGCATCGCAAAGTTCCGGCGGATCGTTGGGATGTTGATGCCCACGTTGACTTGACGGGCTCGAAGAGAAACACGAGCAAGGTGCCTTTTGGGTGTTGGATCAATGAACCAGGGCTGTTCGACCCTCGTTTCTTCAACATGTCGCCCCGAGAAGCACTTCAGGCGGATCCCGCGCAACGCCTTGCGTTACTCACAGCCTACGAGGCCCTGGAGATGGCTGGCTTCATCCCGGACAGTACTCCCTCGACCCAAAGAGACCGTGTGGGTGTCTTCTACGGAATGACCAGTGACGACTACCGTGAAATCAACAGCGGTCAGGACATCGACACGTACTTTATCCCTGGTGGTAACCGGGCGTTTACGCCGGGTCGGATTAACTACTACTTTAAATTCAGCGGTCCCAGTGTGAGTGTTGATACGGCGTGCTCCTCTAGTCTTGCTGCTATTCACACGGCCTGCAATGCTATCTGGAGGAATGACTGCGATGCTGCGATCACCGGCGGTGTAAATATCTTGACTAACCCTGACAACCACGCCGGTCTGGATCGGGGGCATTTCCTGTCGACGACTGGAAACTGCAACACCTTTGATGACGGTGCCGACGGTTACTGCAGAGCGGATGGAATTGGCAGCATCGTCTTGAAGCGGCTCGAAGACGCCGAGGCGGACAATGACCCGATCATCGGCATCATCAACGGCGCATACACCAACCACTCGGCCGAGGCCGTGTCCATCACACGCCCTCATGTCGGTGCCCAAGCCTTCATCTTCAACAAGTTGCTCAACGAAGCGAATATTGACCCTAAGGAAGTGAGCTATGTGGAGATGCACGGCACGGGAACACAAGCCGGAGATGCGGTCGAAATGCAGTCCGTCCTTGATGTCTTCGCGCCAGATTATCGTCGCGGCCCTGGGCAATCACTCCACCTTGGCTCTGCCAAGGCAAATATTGGACATGGAGAGTCCGCTTCAGGAGTGACGGCTCTCGTCAAGGTCCTTCTCATGATGAGAGAAAACATGATCCCCCCGCACTGTGGTATCAAAAACAAGATCAACCACAACTTCCCGACGGATTTGGCCAAGCGCAATGTGCACATCGCCTTCCAACCCACTCCATGGAATCGGCCGGCTTCCGGAAAGCGCCGCACCTTTGTGAACAACTTCTCTGCTGCTGGTGGAAACACTGCTCTTCTGTTGGAAGATGCTCCCATCCCGGAGCGGCGAGGGCAGGACCCTCGGTCGTTCCATCTGGTTACTGTATCGGCCAGATCTCAGACGGCACTGAAGAACAACATTGACTCTCTGGTGAAATACATCGACGCACAGGGCAAGTCCTTTGGCGTGAAGGAAGCCGAATTCGTCCCCAGCTTGGCTTATACCACGACCGCGCGCCGACTTCATCATCCCTTCCGCGTGACTGCAGTGGGACCAAACCTGCAATCACTACGTGACTCACTGCATGGTGCCTTGCAGCGCGAGGCATACACCCCGGTGCCAGCGACAGCCCCTGGGATTGGGTTCGTCTTCACCGGCCAAGGTGCTCAGTATACGGGCATGGGCAAGGAGCTTTACCGCAGCTGTTTTCAATTCAGAACTACAATTGAACACCTCGATTGTATTGCACGAAGCCAGGGGCTTCCTTCCATCCTCCCCCTTGTCGATGGGAGTGTGCCCGTTGATGAACTGAGCCCCGTGGTGGTGCAAGTGGGAACGACCTGTGTGCAGATGGCGCTGGTCAATTACTGGACTGCTCTGGGTGTGAAGCCGGCCTTTATCATCGGACACAGCCTCGGTGATTATGCAGCCCTGAACACCGCTGGTGTTTTATCTACCACTGATACCATCTATCTGTGTGGCCGGCGTGCTCAATTGCTTACCAAGGAATGCAAGATCGGAACACATTCGATGTTGGCCGTCAAGGCCTCCTTGGCTGAGGTCAAGCATTTCCTCAGGGACGAGCTTCACGAAGTCTCTTGCGTCAATGCCCCCGCGGAAACTGTTGTCAGTGGCCTGGTTACGGACATCGACGAGCTCGCTCAGAAGTTCACTACCGAGGGTCTGAAGTCCACCAAGCTGCGGGTTCCCTACGCCTTCCACTCCTCTCAGGTTGACCCTATCTTGGAAACGTTCGAGGAGGCTGCCCGGGGTGTCACTTTCCACAAGCCAACGACACCGTTCGTTTCCGCTCTGCTTGGAGAAGTGATCACCGATGCTAACTGGGATTGTCTCGGCCCCAAGTATCTGCGCGACCACTGCAGAAAGACGGTCAACTTCCTTGGCGGCGTGGAGGCTACGAGACACGCGAAGCTGACCAACGACAAGACCCTGTGGGTTGAGATTGGCTCACATACCATCTGCTCCGGGATGATCAAGGCAACTCTCGGGCCACAAGTTACTACCGTTGCCTCTCTGCGACGTGAAGAAGATACCTGGAAGGTCGTTTCGAACAGTCTCTCGAGTCTTCATCTGGCCGGAATCGATCTCAACTGGAAGCAATACCACCAGGACTTCACCGCTGCCCACCAAGTCCTCCGGCTTCCCGCCTACAAATGGGATCTCAAGAACTACTGGATCCCCTACACCAACAACTTCTGCTTGACCAAGGGTGCTCCCGTCGCGGCAGTTGCGGCAGGACCGCAATACGAGTTCCTGACCACTGCTGCCCAGAAGGTCATTGAGACCCGGGATGATGGGGCAACTGCCACCGTTGTTGTCGAAAACGACATTGCCGATCCTGACCTGAACCGCGTCATCCAGGGCCACAAGGTCAATGGCGCTGCTCTGTGCCCCTCGGTAAGTAAATACGTTCCCAACGGAATGTTCCCTTTTCCAACATGATATTAACCTTGAAACAGTCACTCTACGCCGATATCGCGCAGACACTTGCAGAGTATCTTATCAAGAAATACAAGCCCGAGTATGACGGATTGGGATTGGATGTGTGCGATGTCACCGTCCCAAGGCCATTGATCGCTAAAGGAGGGCAGCAGCTTTTCAGGATATCTGCCACGGCGAACTGGGAGGAGAAGAAAACATCCCTGCAGATATACTCTGTCACCGCGGAAGGGAAGAAGACGGCAGACCACGCAACCTGCACGGTGAAATTCTTTGACTGCGCGGCTGCCGAGCTGGAGTGGAAGCGAGTCTCTTACCTTATCAAGAGAAGTATTGACCGGCTGCACGATGTGGCGGAAGAGGGAGATGCTCACCGTCTCGGAAGAGGCATGGTTTACAAGCTCTTCAGCGCCCTGGTTGACTACGATGACAACTTCAAGAACATCCGTGAGGTCATCCTCGACAGCGAGCAACATGAAGCTACCGCGCGTGTCAAGTTCCAGGGGTCGCAGGGCAACTTCCACCGCAACCCCTTCTGGATTGACAGCATCGGGCATTTGTCCGGGTTCATCATGAATGCGAGCGACGCTACCGACTCCAAGAACACGGTCTTCGTTAACCACGGCTGGGACTCGATGCGCTGCCTGAAGAAGTTCTCGCCAGATGTCACCTACAGAACCTATGTTCGAATGCAGCCTTGGCAGAACTCGATCTGGGCGGGTGATGTGTATCTTTTCGAAGGGGATGATATCGTTGCGGTTTACGGTGCCGTCAAGGTAAGTTTGATTCTTTCTCAGTTGCTCCATGCCCGATTTACTAATGGATCGACGTCCAGTTCCAAGCGTTGTCGCGTAAGATCCTTGATACAGTACTTCCTCCGGTTGGCGGCGCCAAAGCACCGAGCGCAGCCAAGCCATCCGCGAGCGCTCCACGGGCAACTCCTGCTGCTGGCGGCAAGAGTCGTGCCAGCGCTCCGACCCCGGCGAAGACCGCCCCCAAGCCTAGTGCACCCAGCGTGGTTGGGCGGGCACTTAGCATCCTCGCAGCGGAGGTCGGGCTCTCTGAGTCTGAGCTGACAGATGACTTGGTTTTCGCCGACTACGGTGTGGACTCCCTTCTCTCTTTGACGGTCACCGGCAGATACCGGGAAGAGCTGGATATCGACCTGGAATCCTCGGTCTTCATCGATCAACCAACCGTGAAGGACTTCAAGCGGCTCTTGGCCCAGATGAGTCCGATAGAGGCAAGCGACGGTTCGGCAAGCGATCCCGAGTCTAGTTCCTCCTTCAACGGCGGTTCCTCCACGGACGAATCCAGTGCTGGGTCCCCCTGTGTCAGTTCACCACCGAACGAGAAGATCACCCAGGGCGAGCAGCATGCTACTATGAAGGAGATTCGTGCCATTCTAGCCGATGAGATCGGAATTTCCGTGGAGGAGCTCAAGGACGACGAGAACTTGGCAGAGATGGGTATGGACTCCCTGCTTTCTCTTACTGTCCTGGGTCGGATCCGCGAGACCTTGGACATGGATTTGCCCGGAGAATTCTTCATTGAGAACCAAACTCTCAGTGACGTCGAGGAAGCACTGGACCTCAAGCCCAAGGCTGCTCCTGCTCCTCCTGCTCCCGCTGTCGCTCCTGTGCCTGCGCCAATTACCTTGTCCGAGCCCGTTCCCAACCCGAAGTCCGCCCTCCTAACCCGGGCAAGCCAGCACCCCCGAGCCACTTCCATTCTGTTGCAGGGCAACCCCAAGACCGCTACCAAGACCTTGTTCCTGTTCCCCGACGGCTCTGGCTCTGCCACATCATATGCCGGCATCCCCGCCGCCTCCCCAGACACTTGCGTTTATGGGCTGAACTGCCCATACATGAAAACACCGGAGAACCTCAAGTTCAGCCTAGACGAGATGACTTTCCCGTATCTGGCTGAGGTCCGTCGGAGACAACCGAAGGGCCCGTATAACTTTGGTGGATGGTCTGCCGGCGGTATTTGCGCCTTCGATGCCGCTCGCTACCTCATCCTCGAAGAGGGCGAGCAAGTCGACCGCCTGCTGCTTCTCGACTCTCCTTTCCCCATCGGACTAGAGAAGCTGCCTCCTCGTCTCTACAAGTTCTTTGACTCGATCGGGTTTTTCGGGGAAGGCAAATCCGCGCCCCCCGCCTGGCTGCTCCCTCACTTCCTCGCCTTCATTGACTCTCTCGACGCCTACAAGGCCGTTCCCCTCCCCTTCGACGACCCGAAATGGGCCCAGAAGATGCCCAAGACGTTCTTGATCTGGGCCAAGGACGGTGTGTGCGGCAAGCCGGGCGACCCCTGGCCCGAGCCGGCCCCTGACGGCAGCCCCGACCCGAGGGAAATGGTCTGGTTGCTCAAGAACCGGGAGGACCTCGGCCCTAACAAGTGGGATACGCTCGTCGGGCCGAACAACGTCGGGGGCATCACCATCATGGAAGGCGCCAACCATTTCACCATGACGCTCGGAAACAAGGCCAAAGAACTCTCCACGTTCATCGGCAACGCCATGGCGGATTAATTTGCCCCTCCCCTCCTCCCCTCCCTAACCCTGTTGATGTTACCCAGATATGACGTATACTATGGTCATTGTTGTTGTTATTGTTATTGTTATCGTTACTGTTTTCTCCTTGACGACTACTGATGACTTACGTGCAACAACTTGCTTGCATGCACCTCCATTTTCGGGTTTTGGATTTGGAGGACACACCACGAAGCGATGTGATTGTGATATTACGTTCCTTGTTCCTTTCTTCCACTGGAGCTACCTTCCCTGCTTGATAACCTTACCCCCTTCCCCTACTTTACGTACCTACCTTTTACCTGACTTACGATAGAATGGCAATGTGAAAAAGAGTTATGTCTACCCACCCTTATAAGTAAGAATGAGTAGAAGAAAATAGATAGTATAGTAAACGCATTGCATGATGTGAGAGATTTATTCACTGCACAATCCATACATACGCAGCTGGATTGCATTGCATTGCATTGTTCTGGAGTGGACTAGACTAGGTAAATTGCACAGGATGGAACCAGATAGACTAGGCTAGGCCCAGTGCAAATGGAGGGTTGCATGATGATAGCGGTGGTAGATAGGTAGATAGATAGTGACACAGTACGGAGTAAAGAAGGATGCAAGCAAGCAAGCAAGCAAGCAGATCACCGGAAAAGGGAAACGCCCAGACAATGCAAGGGTCATCAGAGGTGGGTGGGGGTCGGGGGTCACGTGTCGGGATGTGCGTGATGGACACCATCACTGGAATAAGGCAGTGATGGTGGAAGTCACAGTGACATTGAGAGTGTGTGATGGGAGATGGTGGATCGATTGGTGGTGGATGGAGGGTGGCTGGTAGATGTGTTCTGATGCAATGTAACCAGGCATCGGGAACTAACTATCCGGTGGCGGCGTGGATGGGCACGGTGTCCTTCCGCACCGGACGTACATACATCAGAGAAGGGGAGAGGCAAAGGCCGATTCGGAGGATGAGATAATCGGTGTGTTGTGTGATGTGTGGTATTGTTGCATTCAGTTCCGAGGAGTTGGAGTAGCTGCATAGTGTGTCTGCAAGGGGGAGGACGAAAGAGGATAGAGGAGAGAGAGAGAGGAGGGCGTTGGCTGGATGGGGTTGTAGTAGCCGGATCAATGGAAGTGGATGGTGGGTGAACTAAAGTGGCATTTCGGAGCTGAATCTGAGCGCACTACCGCGACCTGCAAGCGATGAACCATTGTTGATGCCAGGGCTCGTGGGCCGGCTATTACCTGCAGTCCATTTGGGGCTTCGCGGCTGTGTGCTGGTCGAGCGGGTCGACGGCCGGTTTTTGCGAATTTCCCGAAGTTCCTCCTCCTTTCTGCGCAGCAGATCTTCCCGCGAGGTGAGCGTTGCTTCGAGTTCGAGGACGCGGGAGAGATGGCGGGCTTCGTCGTTCTTTTGGTTGAGTTCGCGCAGATGAGTGGCGTCTCCGGCGACTTTGCGTTTGAGGGTGTCGTTCTCGTCGCGGAGTTGGCGGAGTTCGTTGCCGGATTGGGCTGCCACGGTGGAGGCGGTTTGGTATTGCTCGCGCGTGTACTCGGCTTGTCGAGCTTCGTAGTCAGCTTTGCGTTCCAGCGCGGCGTTGTCCTTGGTGAGACGCCGGATTTCTTCCTTGGCTGACTCGAGTTCGGCCGTGCTGCCCCCGCCGGCCTTGATGGTCTCGCGGGCCTCCTCGAGGTCGTGTCGGAGCTGGGTGCGCTCGTCTTTGAGCTTCATGAGTTCTTCCTTTTGCTTTTCTACCCGCTGGTCCGCGGTGGCTTTGGCTTGAGTCAGACGGTCGTGCTCCCGTCGAAGTTTGTGAAAGTCTCTGTTCCGGGTCTCGTAGCGGTGTTGAAGCTTGTCCAGCACGCGCTCTCTCTCCTGGAGACGCGTCTGGGCCGCCGTCAAGAGTTTCTGGAGTTTTTCAATTTCTGTGGCATGCGAGCTTTTCATCTGAACAAGGTTTCTCTCGAGTGATTGGAGTTCGCCATCCAAACTTTGACTGGGGGTTTTAGTTGATTCGGTGAACTGACTTGCTTCTAGTGGCTCCTCCGTTCTCATTCTCTTCACGGCCTGCTCGGTCCCATCTTCGGCCTCCTGTCTCGGTTAGTGGGGAGGACAAAGGGTTAAAGACCCTGATCCACTTACAAATGCTCGTTTTTGGACCTGAGGGGCCACCGATGGGATATCGATACCAGGTCGACTCTGCAGCTCTTGCTGGGCAGACTCCAGTTGGTCAGGGCTCAGAATGCGGATAGGCTCGATACGAGGTAAGGGCCAATGGGCGCTGAAGTTATCTGATTCAAGACACGCCAGAAGCTCCTCTGCATCCTCTTGGACCCCGAGCGCGTCATCCTGAAGGTCGCCAACCGTGTCACGGAGACGAATAGAATATTGTAAGAGTAACCGGACGCGCTCGGTTTCGGGCAGACCCGGGAAGCAAAGCTCAATATGCTCACTGGAGTTGGACACCAATAGCCGGATCACCGGCAGTAGGTTTCCATGGCGAGCAAAAGTGGTCCGCATATGTTCCACCGTGGGGCTCTTGGTGTTGAACGATGTATCTAAAGCAATGATGGCAGCAGGGGCTTTGTAGGTCTCCACGATCCCCTCGTTGCGCGTGGTTTGAATTCCGAAGCTGAGGGAATCCTTGACCATGGATACCTCAATATTCGAACCCGCTCCCATTTCATCGCGTGGGCGCGTATACGACAGACCCTTTCCCATGAAGTAACGTTCCACAACCCGCTGAGTCTTCTCGCCTTGCACCATGATCACCAAGTGTATATCATGCATGCTGGCAGCATCCAGGAGGTAACTTAAGAGCAAGAATTTTGCACTCGAGTACTCGGCCCAGGCAGCCTCCCTGCCCAGCTCCGACTGCGAGTCTTTGATGTGATCGACGATATTCAGATCCGGATGAGTCGAGATATTGCCCAGGCGCTCTAGGATCTCTTGCATTTTCGACAAGAGGGGTCCACGCTGTTCGCCGGTTAGCTCGAGGATACTACGGGAAGGGGGTCACTCGCACCTGGTGCTCGGTGGCAGATTGGGCACCTGTCATGCCAAGAAAATCGTGAATGCTCTCGCTTTCACTAGTCAAGACCCGTTCATAGTCATCTTTAATCCTGGAATCCATCGGCAGCGGCACAGCGAACTCTGACGGACCAAGGTGAACCGAGCCAGGCGTCGGTTCTTCGGCATAATGTACTGACAATGCGCTGGGGTGAATAGTCTGTACGTCGGAAAGTTGAGGAGGTTCCATCTCCACCGGCTCGACGGTGGGAATTGTAGTAGCCGGGTCTGCCTCGACATCTGTATGATGTGTAGGCTCTTTATCGACTCGAACACTGAGCGGAGCCGCTGTCTCGGGTAGAGATACAGGAGCAGAAGGCTCTATGTCTCCAGCGGACGATGGCGTCGCACTTGCATCAGGCCCAGGGTTGGTCTTTGCGCGTAATTGGGCATATGCGTTCCTGAGCTTTTCCCTAGGCGTAGACCCCTCATACTGGCTGTATTTATCCATGGTCTCGGATAAGGAGAGTACGGGTTTCTTCTCGGGAGTATCCATGGTGATACCTTGAGCGGTGATTTTCTTCCACAATATTGTACTGGGACTTGGGGAGTGAATATGGTATTCTGCTGGGGCTTGTGACGTGCTTGTAGCGACTGGCTCTGACTCTGTACTCGCACGCCTTGGTATCCGATTATCTACCTAGAGTCAGTAACTATGGCATGACACGACAGGCAACCAAGTTGCTGCTGGAGGACACAGAAACATGGAAGACTGAGACGAAACAGTACCTGGAATGGAGCAGCTACCAACTAAACTCACACTGCACTGCGATTCCTGGTTCTCGGGTTCCGCAACAGGGCCAGCCGGGGTTTCGGGTATCTCGTCAACTGCGTTGGCCGGATTGCTGGGCAAGATTTCAGCCGGGCTTTGGGCTCCCAGCAGACTCGAAGAGGTGTTGCGCGGAAGCTCCGGGGTTCCCCCACAAGTATCCAATCCGTCAATATTCTCTGCGCCAGGCAGTGTTTCCGCGGGGCAAGGTGTAATCAACGTCTCTCCGACTTCGTCCGGTAGTCTCGGTTCGTTGGGGAGCGAAAAGGCAGCGTCGTACTCAAATACACCGGGATTGCTAGAGGGGATCGGGGTCACTCCAGAGTCAATCGGACTGTTGGTGAAGGGCTGGGTCAGATGTCTAATCACTTGCGAACTAACACCGGAGCTCTCAGGGAAATCACCAAGCACGTACGATTCCGGTATGATGTCGCACGGGACAAACAGGGGTGAAGCAGGGCGGGTTCTAGGTCGAGGCTCGTCAGTCTGAGCTTCAGTCTCGGGCTGGCTGGGTCCAGGGTACAAGGGTTCTCTGCTGGGTCCTCGGGGATCAGAGGGTGGCAGTGGTGGGGAGTTACTCTGATCCGGTTCTTCTTCAGGGCTTCGATGCCTTTGCTTCTTGTCCTCCCAGACCTGCACGGCAAGATCGCTGGCGTGTTCCTTTGGTTCCTGGTGTTGAATGACAGCTGTTAGGACAATGGAAGCTTCGAAGCGTGCCACGGATTCCGCAATCCCGCACTTAGTTGGCCTGGTGTGGCCTGGTCTGCTAGCTGTATTGCCCAACTCACCCAAGTCGGAGTCCACGGTCCTTCCCAGTCGATCAAGTATTGCGATTCGGTTTCGTCCAGAATACAGTTGATGTACCACTCGTCCGGATCCAAAGCTTCGCTGTCGTCCTGAACTTCGTCCTCGTCCTCACTTGAGTGAATGGCGTGCTGCTCTTTCCACCGTTCTTTTTGCGTGTCGCTTGTAGTTCCTGTATATACTGGGGATGGGAGTTTGCGCTTGCGCCACATTATACACGAGCATCGAGTGTGACAGAAGAGCGATACACATCCATGGTAAGAGTCGGGGGAACAATGGGGCGCTCAAAAGAGAAAAATAGTGGGTATAAGGGATCCAATGAGGTTGCGGTGTTATAGACGCAGTAACACCGAGAAAAGCCGCAATGGCTGGAGGAGAAGAAAGTGAGGGGTGTTTGGTGGAGAGGAGTAGATGAGTTGGAGGCCCGGAGGTGCTGATGAAGTCGACGGAACCAACGCGGGTGATCGACCGGCACGTGATGGCCGCTTATCAGTCGGGCCTACGGAGGGAATCAATCAATGGGACGCGACGGGGACTCTACGGAGCGGAGGACAGTCGGGGAGGCGCGAAATGGGGTTATCTGGTGAGGGTCGGAGAGGGTTGGGATGCAGTCGGTCGTGCTATAGATCCCTGGTGATCCCCCCCAAGCGAGGACGGAAGGATTCCCCTGCACCGTCCAACAGGTTATCCCCATCCCGTGGATCAACCCAGAAGATCCATGTTTTTCTAGAAGTAATAGATCCCTAGCTCGATAGCCCTATAACCCTTGTATATAGTTCATAGTAATCAGCTCTAGCCCAGAGAGACTAGTGCATGTTGATCCCCAGTGGAGATGTTGCGTGGGTGTCTCCATCATCCCAGATCCATCAGGGCTTCGCATCCCACTGCCTGGCCTCTTATCGCCCATGTGGGGAACATCTGCATTTTCCCCTCTCCGTCAAGAGTATTCCTTCGCGTCTACGACATCGTTGAGGCCAAATTACCCCAATCTCTCCCTTCCTAGTTACCTGGGATTTATAGTACTCTAGGACCAGTCAGTGACCCTACTTCCTTATCTTCAAATTGCAATCTCTAGCCTCATCAATCCCTTTCATTCCCCGAAACACCAGCCAGACCCCAATCTCACCACCTCCCAGAAACCATACCTAAACACCATGGACTCCGTGGATCGACTCCTCGCGTCCGCGCGCGCCGCACCCTACGGCCACCTCCTCCCCGCAACGGACGACATGTTCCGCTCCGTCGCCTTAGAAGTGGAAGCACACATGAGTAACTACGATGCCTCGCATGACTTCCACCACATTCTGCGAGTCCTGGCTCTATCACTACGCATCCTGGAATCCGAATACGAGTCCACGATTGACAAAGACCGCTTCAATCCCACCGTGGTCATTCTCAGCGCGTAAGTAACATCCCACCCCACCCCACCCCACCCCGCTTCATTCTAGTTTTCTACAGCCCACCACTCACCCGACCCCTACAATAACACCAACCAGTCTCCTCCACGACGTCAACGACAAGAAATACCTACCCCCAGCTGTGGACGGCCACCAAACCTCCAAGGTCACCCTCGTGTTAGAGCAAGCGGGGGCTTCGAGAACCCTCGTAGCCAGTGTGGAAGAGGTGGTCAACCACGTTTCGTATTCCACGGAAATTAAAGACCCGAGCAAGGTACAGGGAGTGTTGCAGATTCATCCTGAGCTGGCTGTAGTGCAGGATGCGGATCGGATTGATGCCATTGGGGCGATTGGGATTGGGAGGACGTTTACGTTTACGGGAGCCAAGTTGCAGGGGGCGAGTATGCAGAATTCGAGAGAGCATATTGATGAGAAGTTGGAGCGGTTGGAGGGGATGATGAAGGTATGTCTTTCATGGCCCGGGGGGGGGGGGGGGGAGGAAGGGGGTGTGCTAATGTGGATGATAGACCAACACTGGTAAGAAGATGGCTAGGGAACGGACGGAGAGGTTGACGGTGTTTAAGAAGTGGTGGGATGAGGAGACAATGTTGGTGGCGGTTTAGGGGGGGGTTGTTTGGTGACTTCTTGGATGGTCTATCGATTCTAATGGAACCGCCGAAAGTCTATATACATACTCCAGTAAAGTGTAGGATCTATATATGTGCTCGCACTTCTTCCTGCTTCCACTGACCAAAGTCAAACCCGAGTTGCTCCAGGCTCTTGATAGAGCCCCGTTCCTCACCCTTTTGCAGAAAGGCCCGCTTAATATCAGGCAACCGTGCTCGTATCCAACGCTGTCTCTCGCCCCAGTAGTTACATTGTTTGCCATTCCCGTTATTCTCGAGTCCTTGCACAGGTGGAGCCTTGGCTGCCCAGTCGTGCAAGAAATTCATGTAGTCAGCATCCAGTGGGAAAGGGAGCAAGTGGAACGGCGTCCCATTTCCCTTTTCGGCGACGGTCGAGTCATGCCAGGCTTTCATTTCGTCTTGAGATGGCAGACTGAGTCTGCCTGACCAGACGCGGGCAAACACAGCGGCCTGATTCTCCGACAGTGGGAGAGGGATCACTCTTTGTGGAAGGACAGGAAGAACAAGAGTTGGGTCGTAGATATAGAAGAGATGGTGGTATACGTTCAGGGTGCGGCGGCCATCGGTTACCAGAGGAGGGTCAAGTGAAGACAGAAAAGGGAAGGAGTAGAGATAACCCGTGCAGAAAACGATGGCGTCGATTCCCTGCTCGATATGTCCGTTTGTGAACCGCACTGCTCTATTATAGGTACCCGGTGGCAGGAACTCCACGATCTGAGGATGATAGACCTTGTCTAACGGGGTAGAGGGGTGCAAAGTCGACTCGGTTCGCTGAGATACCAGTACTTTTCCCTTGCAGACTTCGTTGATTTGATTGCCAATATCGAGCCCGGAAGCCGAGGTCCCCACCACAATAACTTTCTTGCCACGAAAAGGCTCTGCGGAGTCAAAGAGCCTCGAATGGGAGATGACGCCCGGGTATGTCGTGTTCCAGTTCTGGACTCCAGGGATATCCGGCGTATAGGGAACATCGAAATGCCCGCTAGCGACCACCACGGCATCGTATGAGTGTGTCTTTTCGACTCCGTCCCGTAGGTTCTTTGTTGTGAGGGACCAAGGATCGACAGCACTTCCCGTCTTCTTCACGTCCACCACTTGCGTCTCAAAATGAATGACGTTCTTGATGTCTTCGGCATACTCTTCCAAATACTTCTTCACTGAGGAATGCTTCGGAAACACCTGCGAGTCCGCTTCGAATGATTTATCGCTGTATCCCATCAATTCCTTGGGAATATTGGTGTCCAGTGTTTTATAGAGCGGGGATACAAAGACGGGCTCGAGAGGCTTCGCCTGCCCGCCTGTAGGGTACCATAGCGGCTCCTCGAGCGGTTTGTTGGGATCCAGCTGTGGCACCGCAGTTGTCAAGTTTTCCTTCAAGACCCCTGGGCAGTAATTCCAGACACCACCAGCTGAGCTTCTCTTTTCGAAGACATCCACCCGCTCAAAGCTTCTCTCGGCCAGAAGGTACCTGGGTTCTGGTCAGTGAGTGGGGTGATGGATGCTCATTGTTACATTGCATTGCATACTTGACCGCAGCGAGACCCGATGGTCCAGCCCCGATGACGGCTATCCGACGGATTGGATTCGAAAGTGCCATTGTTGGGTGGACTCTGTGACTTGGGGGGGTGAAGTGAAGGGAATCATGTCTCGTCTGGCTCCATTCAGATGTCGGAGGGGAGCCGATAAGCTCCTAGTTCGTTCCAATGACGATTGCATCAACCGTGTGATGGATGCCGTGCTTGACAGCTCATCCGACATTGCGCTCTATTCATCCTCCTCTGATAACCGCTGATAAATGATTGAGACAACCTCTGCGCCATCTGGACTCTACGACTTGACCAGCAGCAACATGTTTGGAAGTACATGAGGTAATCCGTACCGCCATGACGTAGATTACCGCCCGCAGAACAGCGATGGCCGTGGGTAAGATTACGGGCTGATACGGGCGGGTAAGGAAGACGGAGAAGACGGAGAAGACGGAGAGCGGCTCACCTCCGCATCTGCGATTCTCCCGCGCGTCTCAACCATCTGCCATCAACAACCTTACCGCTGGCTGCATACGCCATCTTGCCAGATATGCAGCCCCTATGATCGAGGAAATGTGGATTTCTCAGATCTATTAAGCGCCCGCAGTGATGGACGCCCACGAACAACAAGCTCCGGTCTCCGAACCGTTACGGTCGACCCCGATCCCCATTGCGAAGCTTTCTCCAACCCTTGAGAATCTCTCCGACAGCTCCATCCACGCGGTGGTGACCTTGCTGTGGCCCTACTCATCCTCGACTCGATCCCTTAGCCTTCTCCTCGCAGAGCCGGACTTTCGCCTTCGTCGCACCAATGGACAGGTCAAGGTGGTTTTTCATGGGCTGGTCGCAGAAGAAGTAGCGAAATCGCAGGTGGGCATTGGTGATAGTGTTTATATCGGGCTGGCCGGTTCCAGATTCGTGGACAACGATGCGACGAGACAGACCCCTGGAAGATTTGTCGCGTGGGATGTCCACTTCGATGGCGGTGTTCTCATTGAGGTACTTCCTCGGATTAAGCTAGTAAATACCACCCAGTGCTTACCAGGGTTAGATTTGGCGTTCTTCGCAGCACCTCTCGACCGTGAAAGTAGACCGCCCTTCATCCCCGCTGCCCGCTGCCGACGATGCGATTGCGGCCCCAACCACGCCTGCTGCAAACGGTCATGCTTTCTTAGACGGGCGAAATCACAACGGCAGCCTACAAGCATGGCAATCGCCAGCTTTTATCGAGCGATCGCGCCCATCCCTTGGCCACCTATCGAGCTCCCTATTCGATCCCTTTGCTGAGGAAGATGGCTTCGTCCCAGGCAAGGGGAGGAAACGACCGAGATTCAGTATGCGGGGCAGCGACTGGCGTCTTGTCGATGAGCCTGCGAGCCCCGGTGACACCGATATTCCAGGGGATTGGACGGCCATGTTCGACGACGAGGCATGGCTCAGGTCAGAGAGCGGCGGCGATGAAGTGCCTGAAGAAGCTAGGCAGTCACCAGGGCCATCTGAAACTCACGACGCCATGTCAGTCCCGGACGGATCTCCGGAAAATGTCCAGGGTGCAGATGTCACGACAGAGCAAGTCAGGGTGACACTCGAGCCCAGCGCAGAGGAACAAGTGAACGAATTGAAATCCGATGCGGGCTTCCTACTGCCTGAATATGTTCCGAGGACTGAGTCCCCCGGCCAGAGAAAGAGTAACATACCTCATTTCGCAGGCCATCTGCCAATAGACACTCCCCGCCTTCATCCTATACCTTCGCCCGGTCTTCCTGTGCCTTCACCTCTGGTTAGCACGTCCAACAGTCCACTTGGCTATTTCGGATCGGTGTCGACCACCCCTCAAACCCAACCGACTCCCCCAACAACTGCCAACCAGGAGGTCACAGACCTGGCAGGGGAGGCTGTCTCAGATAAACAACCTGAACTGGCCTTGGAAGAGATGGACGAGCATGTAGCCACAACAGCCGTCACTGATACTACTGCTTCCTTTCAGCCAGATCCACAGATACATGAGATAGACTCTGGACCGGAAACCACCCACCCTGACCCTGTATACGAAACAGTTGCGGCAGAGAAACAAGGGTCAGATGTGGAGGCGACAGCTACACATACTGGGAAGTCGATCTCGTCCTTGCCTGTTGCCGAAACGGCCACTTCAGATGTAGCTGAACCTGTCGATGAAAACAAAGATGCCGATGGGGCCAAGCCTCCTGGAAGAGAAAGGGTCGATATAGAAGAGGATGAGGAAATGCTTGAAGTTGAAGACTCGCATAGACAGGTTGAAGAGCGGGACGATATCGACGTCTCCCCGGGGAAGAGTCGCTATCCCGAGGTGCTCGGGGCCAGAGAGGATGAGCAAGGAAGTGAAGATTACGAGTCCGAGAGCGCTAGTCATAGCTCTGTCATCGAAAGCTCCCGTCCAAAAGACATGAGCGAAATCGAAGACGTGATCGAGGAAGATGATGAACCTGCGTCTAAGCCGAGATACGACATTGAACTTGTCTCCGACAGTGAATCAGAATCACCGGCAAAAGCCCGTGATGCTGCCAGGAGAGAACATGTGTATCACATCGAGGACGACGACGAGGAGGACGAAGAAATGGAGGACGAGGATGTATCGGACGAACGTGGGTCTGACTCTGAGGATTCTGAAGGTGCTTATGATGAGGATGGGTACGATGAACTTGTTGATTCCGAATCCGAATCTGAGTTGGATGAAGTGAAATATCGAGCCCAACAACCCGTCAGGACTGCAGAACCAGAAGTCATTGTGTTGGATAGCGACAGTGATGAGGAGCCTCCTTCCAACATTCAAAGGCGTCCATCTGCAACACAGGAACCCGCGCATTCTCTTGAATCCGACCTATCTCCATCCGCGGATGAGGCCTCTAGTTATGGCACGTCAGAATCTGGCGATGAGGACGAGGAGGCCGGGGAAATGGAAGGGGATGAGAATGGCGACGATGCGGAGGAGGGAGATTCCAGTGGCGCCGAGGTTGAGAAATGGTCGGCTCAAGACAATCAAGAAGCTCATGAGCGGGAGGTCGAGGTGCTTTATGTTGATTCGACTCATCAAAGCGACTCTGGGCGAGATGAAGGGTGGCCTTCAGACGAAGAGCAGGTTCATGAACAAGTAGCCGATGCGCAAAGTGATGAGGCAGTCAGAGTGAAGCGTCTAGAGCATGAACAGCAAAGGGCTAGAACTTTGGTGGAGGAGCAGCGGATTGACCAAGAAGCTGATGTCGACGGAATGGATGTTGAATCGGTCCGAGATGACCATAAGCACGATGAACAGATGGAACAGGATCAGGTCAAAGAGGAGCAGGATGACAACAGGGAAATCGAGGTGGTGGAGCATATAGAGGGCGAAGCAGCGGCTGATCATCGTCTTGAAGACAACGAATCACAAGATCTCGTGGAAACCGACAGAGATGCAGCCGGAGTTTCGCCTGAGAGTGAGAGACCCGGCATTGTCATCGAAGAGAACCCAGGCTTCCATGTCGACCATGAAGAACTGCGAAAGGCAGAAGTGGTAACGCACGAGGAAAATCCTATGGAGAACGAAGATATTCCAAATGACGCCCATCTCGCTCAGCAGGCGGACACCAGCATTGATACCCTTCTACAATTTCCCGAAACCCCCATAGACCCCGAGCTTCTCAATGCGGGCACCATCTCAGAAGATCAGACAAGCGCGAGTCGACAGCATAGCGCAGAAACATCTCAGGCCCAAACACAGGAAAGCGAGACCTCCGGGGTGCCGGAGCACATTGATTCTGGGTTGTCGCTAGATGGTGCTTCGCAAAGCCTGAGCCTATCTGTCTCCGATGCCCTTATTCCCCATCTGCCAATCTTGCCACAAGATCAGCTGGTGACTCCGGAGCATTCTCAGATCGCCAGTTTGGATAAGGACGTTCCCTCGGTTCTCTCAATGAATGAAGTGCCGCCCACCCCAGAGCCCACCCAAGAGAGCCTAGAGACACAGCAGGAGTTTGTAACACCGCCTACAGCCGAGCCGGTGGTAACCACGGCTGCAACAACGGAGGTGGACAACCTCCCCCAAGATGAAATCTCCGATTCTGAAGCTGGGTCCATCTCCACAGCCCTGGAAGAGCAAGGTGAAGTCTCGGACGACGACAAGGGCGTCCAAACAACTCACAGTGAAGATGAAGTCCTGCTCGTTGGGGATGACCGTGCTCACCTGGTCGACATGAACCGCAACTACCCAGGCTTGCGCAGCAAATACTCATACTTTGCACCCCTAGCCACGCTCGTTGACCACTTCAACGCGCTGACGGATACCATCTCTGTGGTATCAGAAGTGCGTCCCGCCGTTCGGGCCACGTCAGGTAAAAAGGACTACATACTGACCTTCGGACTGACCGATCCATCATTGGCCGGTACCATTCTCTACGCTCAAATCTTCCGACCCTACAAGACCGCCCTACCCTCCCTGGAAGAAGGAGACGCCATCCTACTACGAAACTTCGCCGTCAAAAGCTTCAAACACTCCATGACCCTCGCCAGCGTCGACAGCAGCGCCTGGGCCGTCTTCACCGCGTCCCAAACCGACGCCACCATCGACGGCCCACCCGTCGAATACGGCCCCGAGGAACAGTCCTACGCCACCGACCTCCGCCAATGGTACCAAGAAGACGGCATGGCAATGGTAGCAGATTACCAACTCCAAGCCTCCATCGAACAAGAAAGCCGCGAAGCCACCCCCCATAGCACAGGCGGATTCAGCGACTCGGGAAGCGTCAACTCCATCGGTGTCGACGGCCGTGCAGACTCGTCATTCTCCAGCCGGGGCTCCCGCCGTCGTAAATCCCACCGCCGCATCACCATTCACGAGCTCCGCGATGGACGACGATATGCGGAGGTCGGCTCCCCGACGAGCAAAGAGAGCATTCACGAGTTGCGAGATGGGACCGTGTATGCGAATTTCTGAGCTGCGCTGGGCGTGACTGGAAGTGGAAAGTTCTCTGACTCGGAGAGCCTGATCTGAATGAGTTACGATTGTGTTTCTTTGATACTGAATTGACAGTGGCATTGGTCTTGGTAAACGGTTAGCTTTATACCGCAACGTCGGTGCGCATCGTACATAGTACGTCTGGCTAGAATATCATAAGTCTAGAATCCACAAAAAAGGGGAAAAATGCACTATGACTAGAGAATGGTCTTTCTTTATTCATAGTCACTCGCTGAATGCTCTACACGTCTATAGTAGCATGTCGTGTCTAGTCGGAACCCGTACCAATAACAATAAGGGCACAAGTATAAGAATAAGGAGAAACAGTGCACTGCAAAACCAGCCAACCTACATCTTAGGCCCATTCTCCACAGGGTTAAAGTCCATCCCAATCGCCGCACGAATAAGCTGATTCGCAATCGCCGTAGTGGGCGGCAATCTCAACGCACCCTCCTTATAATTCGGACCGGGCTGAAATCCCAAAGGACTCGTGCCGGTCTTCAACGCCTCCTCGACCTCCGCGAAATCGAACCACCGTGCGTCTTCCAACTCCGGGTCATGTTCGAGGTTGATCGTCTCATGCGCAGGGTCACTGACTTGGGCGATGGCGCCGATCATCAGGTTCGCCGGGTAGGGCCATGGCTGGGTGGAATGGATGACGACACGCGAGAGTGTCACGCCGGCCTCTTCCCAGACTTCGCGGCGGACAGCGTCCTCGACGGATTCGGCGGGCTCGATGAACCCGGCCAGCGTGGAGTAGAAGTTCGGGGGGAAGCGCTTTGCGCGTCCGAGGAGGATGCGTTTGGCGTCGGTGGAGACGACGGCCACGATGATGGTGGGGTCGGTGCGCGGGAAGGAGAGGTTGGAGATGGTGGTTCGCGTGTTGCAGGATGGACGCTCCGCGGGCTTGCCTTGGGCGAGGAGCGCGGCGTCGCTGGGTGGACAGGCGCGTTTGGTGCCGGAGTTGACGGAGATCGTGGGGTGGCCGCAGGTGCCGCAGAAGGTGTTGCGGGTATTCCAGTCGATTAGGGCACGGGCTTGGGCGTAGATTGCGGCTGGGTGGGTGTGAGTAGGGGGTGATTAGAGGGGGGGAGGGAGGAGGAGGGGGAGGGTAGATACCTTCGCCGGCGGGGAAGGACATGATAGTCCGTCCTTGAAGGAAGGCCAAGCCCTTGGCCTCGACATCGCTGATGACGGCCTTGGAGTTGGTCTGTTGCTCTTCTGAGCCGCGCGGGGTCACGTCGAGGGCGAAGTAAGGCGTTCCGGAGTATATCTTCCAGGTGAAACTATCCTGTTTCTGGGTCTCGTCTAGGCCGAGGAAGATGGGGGATGCGGTTGTTTCCCGCGAATCGTACTCCTTGATGATGTCCTCCTCGGACTTGTCGTAGATGGTGTCGGGGACGAGTTTGCGCACCTCATCGTACTTGGCATAGTAAGGCTCCGCGGGGGTTTTGGTCAGTGGCGCGAGATCCTTCATCAAGACGAAGCGCGTGGAGGGGTGTTTGAGAGCGGCGGAGAGGAAGGCATGGTCGGAGCGGAGGAAAGACAGTCGGTTGAGAGGGGAACCTGGTGGGTGAAGAGTTAGTTGTGGGAATAATAAGAAGCAGAATCTAGGACATACTGGAGAAATAGTTCACGGTCTCTCGTCCAAACCGTCGAGCCAGCATGGAGTCGGCTTGTATATGCGCGGGGGTCGGAAGCTGGGAGTCGCTGCTCATTATGCACTATATCGGTACGGCAATTGCGTAGTAGCTGGAGTGTAGGGTATGTGATTGAAGTGGGGTTGGGGGAGATAAGAATAAGGTAACAATATTCACAATCTTGTATGTATAGAGGAGAAAATGGCGAGAAAACTGAAGGAAATGCCTCCTCCTCATCCCGATAACGACCGATTAATCAGCGCCCCTCAATGCCGAGGACTCGCGGCGGGCTGCCGAAACTGGCCAGCCGCCACCAGGGCGGTAATACCGATACCGCTGAGGGGCACGACCGGGCTCCCCACACACGTGACGTGCGTCATATCGCTGGGCCGGATCTCCAAATCGTCCCCAGCATCAACAATCAAGTGGTACCCCCGCCATCGCCAAGGACTCGCTCAACATGGGTCATCTGGTTACTCTTGCAACATGGTGGGTCGCTAATGCAAGGTCCTAGGCCAATCCCCACTGACACTTGCCCCTCAGCTCCCTCAACCAGTGGGCTCTCGATTTCGAGGGCAACTGTGAGCGGATTATCGAAAGTATTCGTCAAGCTAAGGCAGCTGGAGCCACGCTCCGAGTTGGCCCCGAGCTTGAGATAACCGGTACTACTGCTGGAGACAGCTCTTTCGGTCTATTCGCTGACATTGGTCTAGGTTATGGCTGTCTGGATGCTTTCCTCGAGGGCGATACCTATCTGCACTCGTGGGAGATGTTCGCCCGCATCATCGATCACCCCGACTGCCAAGATATCGTGGTTGACGTTGGTATGCCTGTGCGCCACAGAGATTGCAAGTGGAACTGCCGGTAAGCTATGGGATGCTGCCATAGTTTGCTTGTGCTGATCGTCCGCTAGCGTGATCTTTTACAACCGGAAGATCATCCTCATCCGTCCGAAGATGTGGCTGGCCAATGGTGCGTCTTTCCCATGATGATGGTTGAATGGGTCACTAACCCTTCCCGGCAGATGGTAACTACAGAGAAATGAGACACTTCACCCCGTGGCAGCGTCCCCGCGAAGTCGAGGACTACTACTTGGAGCAGATTGTCGGCAAGATCACTGGGCAGTACAAGGTGCCCTTTGGCGATGCGCTCATCAGCACCAGGGATACATGCATTGGTCTGGAAACTTGTGAAGAGCTCTTCACCCCTAATGGGTAAATTACCGGTGCTGTTTTTCAACGGGACATTGCTAATGCTACACAGTCCTCACATCCCGTATGGTCTTGCTGGTATGTCTTTGTTCATCCCATAATATGACGTTTCTAACTTATCAGGTGTCGAAATCTTCTCTAATTCTTCCGGAAGTCATCACGAATTGAGGAAGCTTGATACCCGTATCAACCTCATTACCCAAGCCACGAAATTGGTGAGAATGCCAACGCACGCATGAGGTTTCCTTCTAACTCTTCTTTAGAGTGGTGGTATCTATCTCTACGCAAACCAGCAAGGTTGTGATGGTGATCGACTCTACTATGATGGTTGCGCAATGATTGTGGTCAACGGCAATATCGTGGCCCAAGGCTCACAATTCTCCTTGAATGATGTCGAAGTCGTTACAGCTACTGTCGATATTGAAGAGGTCCGGACCTACCGCACTAGTGCCAGTCGTGGCATGCAGGCCAGCATGCAGGCGCCCTATGTCCGTCTCGACCTGGACACGAGACTGTCCCGTCTGGATGATGAGGCTGATCCTGGGCTTGCGCCTTCTGAAACTCTCACACCACGCTACCATGTCCCCGAGGAAGAAATTGCTCTTGGTCCGGCTTGTTGGCTCTGGGACTACCTGCGACGAAGCGGAGCTGCTGGATATTTTGTTCCTCTGAGCGGAGGTATTGACAGCTGCGCGACTGCCATCATTGTTCACTCGATGTGCAGAGAAGTCATCAAAGCCGTCCAACAAGGAAACGAGCAGGTTATCAAGGACGTTCGCAGGCTCTGCGCCGAGCCAGAAGATTCCACCTGGCTTCCTACTACGAGCCAGGAGGTTTGCAAGTGAGTTGATAAACTCTCATTAGCCATTCGTCGCTAATGCTCTCTAGCCGCATCTTCCACACCAGCTACATGGGCACTCAGAACTCCAGCAAGGAGACCAGAGACCGGGCTAAGAGGCTCGCCGCGGACATTGGCGCCTACCACACCGACTTCAACTTTGACACCGTTGTCAATGCCATGATGACCCTCTTCACTGTTGTGACCAACTTCCAGCCTAAATTCAAGGTACACGGCGGAAGCTGGGCTGAGAACCAGGCGTTGCAGAACATCCAAGCCAGACTGAGAATGGTGCTATCATACCTGTTTGCGCAGTTGCTACCGCTGGTCCGTCAGCGCCCAGGGGGTGGTGGACTGCTTGTTCTGGGCTCGTCCAATGTTGATGGTACGTACTAGTCTGCTCTGCCTGAATTATAGATACTAACGGAGCCAGAATGGTCTGTACCGCTGTCTTTAAACCCAAATACTTCACCCTAGGTACCTATCAAATACTAATTGAACCAGTCTCCGCGGCTACTTGACCAAATACGACGCAAGCAGTGCAGATGTATGACTCTTCCCTCCATGTACCCTCCATCCACAGTGCAAGCCTAACAAACTATCCAGCTCAACCCCATCGGCTCCATCAGCAAAGTCGACCTCAAAAAATTCATCGCCTGGACTCGCGACTCCTTCGATCTCCCCATCCTGAACGAATTCCTCCACGCCACTCCCACCGCCGAACTCGAGCCCATCACAGCCACCTACGTCCAATCCGACGAAGCCGACATGGGCGTCACCTACGCCGAGCTCTCCGTCTTCGGCTACCTCCGCAAAGTGGCGAAACTCGGGCCCTGGTCTCTCTACGAACGGCTCCTCCACATGTGGGGCAACGAGTACAGTCCTCGCGAGATCTACGAGAAGACCCGTCTCCTTACTCGGTCGTATGCGATTAACCGACACAAGATGACGGTCCTTACCCCGAGTTATCACGCCGAGCAGTATTCTCCGGAGGATAACCGACACGATCTGAGACAGTTTTTGTGTATGTCTCCATTATCTCACCTTGAGGTTTGTTGATAGCGACTGATATGATGCAGATCCCACATTCTCATGGGCGTACAAGAAGATGGAGGCTAGTGTGGAGTACTGGGAATCGAAGGGATGGACTGCCGGTAAGGCACAGAAGAAGAGCGTGAAGGCTGATTAGAGGAATCAGTGGATATTGACTAGGAGTATTTCTCGGAAGAAGATGTGTAGTAGAGGGGCGGCTAGCGATGATAGATGTTAACGTGTATCACGATACAAGGTATATACGTCAGATGTATGTGGAATGATGAATACGCATGTAGCATTTTGCTATGGATGCATAACCAACACCGAATGTTGAGATCGAGGATTTATCCTCTTTGGTACAATGACAGACTGAAGATCACAATGTATGCTTTTTAATCAAAACAATTTGTCAATGTCGATGGTATCGAATAGTCAATAAATATAGACAATAATATGGAAATCGTAGGGAACGAGTAGACCTTTTTGGAGCAACGCCAGGGGTTATAGAATCAACGCTAATTTTGAGTATGATGATAGGGAATCAAGGTATAGGAAACGAAGTAAAGAGGGAAATGGGAGCAAGGAGATGGGAGGGAACATAATCCCAACCCTATGCTGTTTAATCTCTCCAGAACCAGCCGGTGTGCTTCTGGTCAGATGCGGATTTTTCTTGGTTAGGAGAGTCCTGTGTCTGGGGTGGATTCAAGACCTCCACGGTCTCATTGCTCTCTTCACGGCCATCGGCGTACTTTTTGGTCCAGACGGTCTTTTTCTGGGTGGATCCGTCGGGGAGTCTGACACGCTCGGTTCTCGTCATGGTTGAGACGACAGTGGGTTTTTCGGCAGCTGGTTCAGCGCGTGAAGGGACAACCGCTTGAGTTTCTGAGGCTGGCTGTTGTTTTTCAGGAACAGCATCGGGGATGGGGTGGTTCCGTGCAGGTACAGGCTCAAGCCAAGTCTCGGTCCCGTCACTTGGTGTGTCTCGGGATCTTTGTTTCTCTTCTAGTAGGAAGCGCAGGATGGGACTCTCAAACGCATCGGCGAAAGCCTTGCTTTCGCGGGCAGCGGCGTCCTCGAAAAAGCGGTCGAACATGTCCAATTCCGTCATGGCTTCGGTCTCCTCGTCAACGATTCCGCCTTTTGATGCTTCGTGACCATCGTCGTTGGAATAGGAAAAGCTGATAGCATTCCAGGGACTCGACCAGCCATTCCCTCCGAGCTCAGAGATCTTCCACTGACCACCCAGACTACCCCGTTGCGCCAAGCCGTACAGCCAGTCTCGCGCAGTTTCTGTCTTGACCACCGCGGCAGAGTCATTGTCGAGCATGGGTTTTCCGTTTTCCAGCCGGATGAGATCTTCAAAAGCCTCCCGCCAATGGGTTTCTGCGGAGTCGCTTTCGGAGAGGCTCAAGGAGGACATGAGAGACGAAAAGACACCTCGGTCGTGATGAGACTGGTTGTATTCCTGACGTTCCAGATGCAGCGGAGAGTATGGGCTAAACAAGAGGTATGTGAAGGGCCAAGTGGAGGCATTGCTGGCGAAACTTGGAAACATGGGGCGGTAGTGGGGTTGGAAGAAGCCAGAGAAAGGGCTGTCGAACCAGGAGCGGTCAAAGGAGTCGAAGAAATCCTGGTCGACTCTGCGTCTCCGGGGTTGATCCGGGTACCATTGGCCCTCCCACTCTGTCCATGAACGAGAAGAGTGTCGGTTGTTGTGGTGAAAAGGATGGTCGGAGTGGTCTGCTGGCGCATGGTCGTCTCCGTTGGTTTCAACCTTGTCTCTTTTCCGGAAACGCGCTTCATCATCGAAGATGGCCCAGTGGTCGGAGGAGGGCCGAGAGGACATGGAGGGAATGCCCATTACGGACTGGAGCATGGACGAGAGCTGTTCATCGGCGAAGCGCCGGAAAGCGACAAAGGGATTCTCGTCATCGGGCCATTGGCGGGAATCGGAGGCGGAGGGAGCTGCAGGTCGGTTCTGGATTGAATCGTCGTCCCCGGGCATGGTGAAGCTGCAGATGCAGACGAGGGTGCTTTTTTGAGGCAAGTATAAGGGTTGATCGAGAAAGAAGGGGAAAAAAAGCAATGAGAGAGGGATGATGGATCGCAAGCAGAAGCTGGAAGTGGCAGATCCAAAAGGAACATGTTGGGGATCGCCCCACTCACTTTTCCCAATCACCACGTGACCCTCGCCCGATCCGGCATCCACGCGTCATCGCGTCGATACATACAGAGTACGGATACGGATACGGAGTACGGAGTACGGAGTAGAGAGATTCAGATTGGCATGATTACGACGACAAATACAGAGTGTGCTAAGAGCCTGTCAAATACTAGGTACATAATGATTCTCAAGTTCCACACCATACCAGGACCACAATTTAGATATGGCAAGTCAATCCATCATTTCATCACAGACGAGATCGTCCCCCAAAGTCCTTCCAGGCCTCGTCGAAGCCTGCGCCACGGACCCATAAGGAACTCTGACCGGAAGTGGAATCCATCACTGCGACAGCATCAGTAGCCGTCTTCATCTATAAGGCATTGGATAAATACTCACCCATATTCGCTATCTTCAACCACATATCACCCGTGATCTTCAAGCCAAGTTCTTCAGCCCGATCCTCAAACGGACGACAAGCCTGTTCGCCATTCTTCAACGCTCTGACCAACTTTGGCAGATGTCCATCATCACTCGCCTGCGCACGACTGTAGGCAAAGATAGTCTCCCAGCTCTTCGTTGCCGGATAATTCGTAATCTCATCCAGACGGAGCTCCGCCGTCCCGTAAGCTACATAGAGCATCAGATCTAGACGACCCGTCCACTCCAGCAGCCGCGCTTTAGCCCGGGCATCCAAGAATGGCAGCGTGATGATCTTAGATAGGAATATCGACGAGGTGACACCATGAAGGTAGAAGAAATCGAACTTGATCTGCTTATCGGGACGCTGCGCAGCACTGGCAAAGTACGCTAACAGGGTCAGCATCTACCCTCTTGTCGCAAGGCATACGGAGTACTCACCCACAGTATTGATAACCTCCGCCGTCTTCTCCTCAATCTGCTCCTCCGAGACCGTAAACTGCGCCGCATACTTGATCATCTCATCTGCCGCCCTCTTGAGCACCCCATTCTGCATCCGGCCGCTGTCCTCCCACCGCGCAGACCGTGCCAGCTTTTCATCCGCATGAATCTCCTCTAGAATCTGTAGCATGGACTTCTTCCCCGGCTTGCCCACCCCCCCGGCCGCTTTCTCCACGGGCCAGAAGAACAACGGACCCGTCCATTGATCATGAACGGCCGTCTGCGCCAGACCTTCGGCAACAAGCGCCGGCTGATTAAACTCGATTCCAAACCCAAAGTGAATGAACGGATGAATGAGACCTGACATGTCAGCCACCTCGATGCCACCACACCAACAATCGGGAAGGGGGGAAATACCTCCAAACAACATGACCAACATCCTCTCCGCCACCTCCGTCCCGGAGAACAAATACTCGTGCAGCACCGGTTCCACTCCTTTGGCCTCAATCTGCTGTTGAAAGAAGGCCAAATAATTACTATAATGCTTCTCTTTCCCCAGATAACCCAGAAACGTCCCCGCATCCGTCAATCCTTGCACCACCTTCTCATCCACCGGGAGCGCCCGCCGCTGATAGGTTTTGTTACTGTCGTACGCAGCTTGGATCTGCTCGGGCGATGCGCCCAGGGCCCAGATGCTCAGGATGTGATGGGGGATGTGGTCTACCCATAACATTAGCATATGCATACCCACACACCAAACAAGATGAAATAAATGGTATAGAAAGGGGAAGAGAGAGAAACTTACTATGAAACCCCATCTGATTAAAAAACACATGATGCGACTGCATATCATCCTGCAAGACTTCACTCGCCACGCGGGCGGAATCCTCCCTCACCTGATGGGCCACGATGCCTTCGTCTTCGCGCGAGAGACGAATCTGTCTCGCTGTCGCAGTAGCGGTAGCCATCCCTCTTGTTGCCGTTGCCGTTGCCGGTGCAGGTATGGTATAGTATCGAGACCGATATCCAATTCCCGTCCGTAATGTACCCCCTATCGTTGAATCCAACAACCTATTCTTGGATAAATGTACTCTTCTCACAGACCACGAACCACACTGAGAAAATATTCCCCTCGTCAATAAGATATTCTTCATCAGCAAGTAAGTACCCAACAAAAGCGAACCCAGGAAGGCATTCAACCCCAGCCGTGCGTCAGCCCGTATTAAATAACTCCCCGTGGAAGCGGTCTAGCCCCGTCCAGTCCAGCCCTAAATATACCCAGGATTCCTGCTTACTATTATTATTTCTATCATAATGGTTATCATAGGTCGTAGAGATAGGACAGCCAGGGTCCATCGGAAATTCGGAGACGCGAGACCGCCGACGACAACGACGACGTCATGCTGACGGGGACCAATCGCATCCAATGTATTCCGGTCCGGCCCTATTTGGGAAGTGGGGAGACGGTTCAGCTTTCTTTTAATAGTAACTAGTTCTAGTGCCGGAGTGTTACCCCACTGCTGTTAATAGATATTCGTGGTTTTGGGATGGGGATGGGATGGGGATGGGGAGGGGATGTGGTTGGCTGCGTCGTCTGGTTACCTCCTGTATTGTATTAAGATTGGTTCGGCAGGTGACTGCACAGTACAGTACTAAGTAGTAGAGTTGTAAAGGATGGGTTCTGGTTGGTGCCGGTGCTTGGTCAGAGTCTGGGGTAAAGAAGGGTCTAGTTAGATGGGGGGATTAGTCAGGTTCGGCTGTTCGGGGTTAATGACGGAGGACGGAGGACTCCGTAGGGGGTTGGTTGTTGATTGATTACTATCATATGTCGGGTCAGATATGGGTTGGTGGTACGACGGTTACATTGGGTTGGTCTGGACTCTGCTTAGGATAAGTGGGATGGGATACGTGGATGCATGGATGGAAGGGCATCAGGTTCTTTGTCTGTGTTGGTCGTGTTGCGGGAATGCGATGTAGGGTCCAGATACTCCGTACGGTTGAGATATCTGATCAATTACTTTTAATGTAGCATTTATCGGTATGTGGTCGCAATCTATCATAGCCCATGACTCCGTATCCCACTGGTTTCTGGATCAACGCATGAAATCTTCCAGCTCCTTCTTCCGCTTCAGACGCTCCCGCTCCAGTTTCCGGAACAGCGGGTGGTGGCCCACCTTGTCCTTCAGCTGCTTGTTCCGGCTCCGGTTGTATTCAATATATGCCATGTCCTCCCCACCCGCCAGCCCGCTGAGCGTCGCCGCACTGCGCTTGACGCCTCCCTTCCGGGCCTGTCCGCCGGAACGACCCGAGAAGAGGTCGTCCGTGACATGCTCCACCTCCGCCGAGGTCTCGTTCTGCAGCATCACCTCTTGTAGCAGCTCACGCCGTTCTCTGGGGGAGGAATAGGCGAGTCCCTGTAGGTTCTCGATGCCTTGCAGGTGGGTGATGACCTTGAACGCATAGCCTTGGTCGACCAGGAAAGCCTGACGCTTGGAGGAATAGAACATCTCGTCCGTGTCCTTCGACACGAGCGAATAGAAGAAAGCATTGAAGCCCTCGTCGTTACGACGCTTGGCCCGCAAAATCCGGCCAAGGCGCTGGGCTTCCTGACGACGGGAACCGTAATGCGACGAGATCTGGATCAGACAGGTGGCCTCCGGGAGATCAAGAGACGTATCGCCGATCTTGGATAGAAAGATCGTGTTGACCTGTTCATTATGTTGGAAGTTCTCCAGAATGCGCATTCGCTCGTTCTGGGGAGTACCGCCGTAAATATACGCCTTGTTCAGTTTGAGAGCATACCGCTCGAGCGCGTAGACGTTGTCAGAGAACACAATAACCTTGTCTCCGCGCTTCTCGTGGTAGTCGATCAGGAACTGGCAGGCCTGGAATTTTCGAGGATTCATAATATATAGCAGAGCCGCCTTCCGGGACTTTTCTCGCATGTATTCCGAGTAAAACTCGGTCGTCATCGGACACCACACCTCGGCACATTGCACCTTGGCAATGTGGCCTTGTTCCGCCAGCTCCATCCAGTTGGCTTCGTACAATTTGGGGCCAATCAAAAAGTTCAAATCCTTGATCTTGTCGTCCTCTCGCAGGAGCGTCGCGGTCAACCCCAGCTTGCTCTGACAGGCGATGGCCGACGTGACCTTTCGGAACATAGACGCAGGTACGACGTGCACCTCGTCCAGGATCATCAGACCCCACTCGCGCGACTGGATCCAATCCATCATCTTCTGCGCATCATGCGACCGAGCACGCGTCTGAGACACCATCGAGTAGGTAGACACGATGATACCGGTCGACCGGCGGAACTTCTCCTTGTTGTCCGAGGTGAACACGGCAATATCACCCGGGTCGATGTTGGACCACCGCAAGAATTCATTTCGCCACTGCACCACGGACATCGAGCTGGTGCACAACACGATGGTTCCCTTCTTGATCGTGCAGGCCGCCGTGATACCCACAAGGGTCTTGCCCGCACCACAAGGCAGCACAATGATCCCACTCTTCGCACGTCCGTTACCAAACATCTTACTCAGACTCTTTTCTTGGTAGCTTCGAATGCGTGCAGCGGGCTTCAGGTCAATATCCAGGGTGGGATTGATCTCATCGTTTCGGAAATCATACTCCTCCAGTGCAGGACAGCCCATGGCCTGACAGCGCGCCTTGACAGGTTCCACAGCTTCGTTCGGGATCTCGAAGCTGTGCACTTGAGCCTGTTCGTCATCGTCATCGTCATCGCGGATGGCGAGAAGAATATCGTCCTCTTTGCGAGCTTCCCCCGCAGCGTCTTCCGGCTTCTGCTCCGAAGCCTGCTTTACACCCGCAGCATCTCTCGTACCGGGGATGACCAGGCCGCCCATTTTCGGGGCTGCCTGCTGAATGATGCCCTCCGCGCCCTTCAATCTCTGAGAACCAATGACTTCATCCTGCAGCAGCATCTGCAGCATCGCCGGATCGGTACTCTCCACGAAGAAACGATTATGTTTCAACACGACCTTGATCTTTCCATATGATTTGGTGAAGTCGACGATGAATGATTTGATGGATTCGGGAAGCGGCGTTTTCGACAACCGATCCAGGAAGTTGATAATATCTTGGGGTTGTAAGCCGACCGAGACAGCCGCATACAAACTGTTTCCGGTCAATCGGTATTCGTGGAGGTGGGTGGGACGCGACAGCGGTTCGGCGATGGTGGTCAGGAAGTCCTGCGCCTGGGGCGCAAGCGGGGAGAAACTCTCCAGGGTGATGGTACCCTTGAGGGGATCGATCCAGAGCGGACGGTTCGCATGATCCGGTTTCAAAGATAGCGAAGAAAAGTCCTTGTATCCGAAGTTCGGGTCCTGCCTCTGCACGGCGCTCTTCTGGTTGCTGAAGGATTCGAGGGAGAATTTCTCCAGGACATCTTGTAAGTAAGCAGTCAGTGATCAGCTGATACTTCAAGTATGATGACCCGTCTACGCTACCTTTCAAATTATCATCCTTGACTTCATCCTCGTAGTCCGAGTATTCATCGCTACTGCCGATATCTGGCACGGGAGTTGGCCGCTTCGATGCTCTACTTGACCGACCGCCTATCTGTGGTCAGCCTGCCATCTAACTGCCATCCACGGAAATCATACTATCCAAGGCTTTGCGTTTGATCGGCATGGTGTAGTTCTCCTTTTGCCCCCGGGCGAAGGTCGTCTCTTGCGGCGGAGTGGGTGCAAGACGCCGAAAGAATGTATGCGGGTGCTCCGAAAGGCTGCCGGCGCCTTGGTGAGCGTAAGGAATACGACAGCTCGAGATCTCCACGGGGCGTAGACGGAACCTACCAGCTGAAGCAGGATTTGCCGGAGCTGGCGAGTACGCGACCAAGAGGAAGAGGAGAAAGGGAGGTAAGAGAGCAGCTGCACGAGATGAGTCGGGACTGACAAATACTCGCCTGAGGCAACAAAGCGTGTGGCGTTTCGGCCGAACTGTGTTGTGATTGGCCGAGGTCCCTCACTAGAGGAACCGGCCGGTTGACGTAGTCCGACCAGCTCCTGCACGCCGCCGTCAATTTCCACCTCAGTTCACAAAACTCGGTCACAATGAACACGGTATGTTGGACCTCCTACTCGGACTTCTCTCACTCGTTTCTAACAATTGCTTTGTTCGTCAATCCATAGATCCGATCTACCTGGTGAGCGGAACCTACAACACCTGCTAAGCGTCCACCACACTACAGGACACGCATTGCTGACAATCCATCGGATAACAGGATAGGCTGGGGCACCCTTTGCGTCGGTAAGATCTGTCTTTCTGATACCTACTTCAAGCATCATGCATATACTGACACCGATCCCAACAGCTGGCGGCGGAGCCTACTACTTTGCCAAAAAGTCCATCAACGCCGATCGTGCCAACCGATATGAAGCCGAAGTGAAGCGCAAGGCGCAGCTGGCTGCCATGGAAGCCGAGCACCGACGCCAAACATCCCTGAACAACGCAACCCCCAATCCATCGGAGGACCCGAGCCTGAAGCGCGCAAACCTGGCACGCCTCAACAGCGCATCCGACGATGTGGCCTCGCCGAGTTCAGAAGCCAGTCATGATCCCGCACCGACTCGTCACGAACCGGAAACTGAGGCTGAACGGGAGTTGGAGAAGAGCAAATACGAGGCGACTCAGCCTTTCCGGCCTCCTCGGGGTAACCGCTTGAGTTAAGCGGCGGGATGATGTGTGGGAAGGATTCCAGGCGATGACAATGACCATGTTGTAGCATATTCGTGTATCATAGTTTCTGAGCTGCAGGGTCTAGAATCACCTGCTAGAGTCTTTGATCTGCGGGGTTGTCCCTGTGAAACAAGTTGTAAAATTAGGGTTGGATGGACGGACTTTAAGCTATTTGGCTGCGATCTAGTGACTGTCGATCCACCTACAGCCGGGACTGGACTGAACTATGAGCAAGCTCTTATTGGAATTATGTAGTATTGCTCTAGGGAATAAAGATAAATCATGGTTCCCGCTCGCAAGAGCTTCGACCAATCCCAGGAGCCTCCTGAAGGTGTAACCGGCACCAGTCCAGAACCCCAATCAGGCGACTCTCCGCGGTATGCATGTGATGACCCCAACTGACGAAAAAGAAGCAAGGATCAAGAAACTAAGTTGCAACGCCAGGGAACTCCCGCCCGCCTAAAATGATATGCATCCTCATCACTCTGCAGACCCCGATCATGTCGCGTAAGTAGATATGTATCGCCCAGCACCAGTACGCCTAACAGCACCTGATCGCAAATAATTCACCAGGAAAATAAAAGAGGAAGCCAAAAAATGGGAAAGTTCAAAAAGACGGCTCCTTATCGCCAGGGGTTGTTGTTCGGAACCGACCCCGCTCAGGTATATCCGATCGGATATACTGACTAGCGGGCATGGAAGCACAGCGGGGGGTGTGGTCTATGAACACCACCAGTTCAGTCAATAGGCGTTCGAGTTTGGAGTTGTCGGGTGAGAGAGGACTCACTTGTTGTGGTTGGGATATCCATTGCTCTTTTCACGAGAGCTCTCGAGAGCCGGGGGAACAAACGGCAGCACCACAGCAGAAATAAGGCAGGAACTGGTGACGAAGCGGGCAGTGCGAGAGTCCGGACGAGGACGGTGAACGGAAAAGTGCCGGATAGTAGGGCGGACGAGTTGAACGGCAAAAGACATTGTGACGGGGTGGAAAGATGTCTCGTGGGATGGATATTGAGTTGGGTTTCTCGAAAACCAGGAAGGGAGATGGCGCCTTTTCAAGAGAGGTTCTTGGTTGCAGAAAATAGATTTATGCAGGGACACGGAGTCAAAGGGTATAATCAGGTAGCACCGACTGCAGTGCGGCAATTCGGAGCTACTTATAATCTTCCTGGTATACTCCTGCGTCGAATGCCGTCGAGTCCACGGGGGATCAGCCTACACCTCAGCCGAACGGACCGTGTTACCCTTGGGGGGGGGGGGGGGGGGGTGAATGTCTGCGGGGGTTCAGGGGGCCCACTGGCCCACGATTTAGGTGAACTAATGCTGATTGATGATGACACTTGCTTAGGAAACAGAAACCTTAAGGGATAAAGAAAAGCGCGCGGAAAAACGGTCCCGGGGACATGCAGCAGCCGGTTAGCATGCGAGGCAGTTACTCCGTACTATGTACGCCGTACGGAGTACTAGTGTCTACTCCGTATCGATCCATGGGCTACGGAGTACCGATGCATTCCTACCTTAGATGCATGGACCGCATGAGATATGTAGGCATTCACTGATGTGCAGGCTCATGGCGTATCGGGCATTTTGAACCGGTTCCAGGATCCAGCAACTGACTCACAGGCTCACAGCATTGCCAGGCTCACGCCATCGAGGGGCAGCTGATCGCGATTCCCGGCGGCCGAGTGCTGCGGGGCCAACGACGGTCCGGCCAGGCACGCGGGCGGCGATCGCGGTGCTTGGTGCTCAGGCGCGGTTGGGCAGGCGTTCCAGTCCCTCCAGGGCCCCGGCCCGTTGGATTTAAGGTCTGGTCACTCCCACGTCTGATGGCGGGAGTCGAGCTTCCGGCCTGGCGGTGTGGTTTCCCACATACGTTGTGTTGGTTGAATGGAGGACGAGTGGCTGGACTTGGGGCAAGTACGTACCCCAGGGACGCACATCAATTGTCAAGGAATGCCCACGATAATGGTAAGGAGATTAAAGGGGAGATCACGAAGCAGCAGCTGCAATGATCATGCCACCTCTGGCGCCTTAAGGCCGCCAATCACAGCTGACGTCATCCATGCCCGCCCACCAATCATGACTCAGCCATTAGTCAGGCGTACGGCTGAGTATGTCCAGGGCTGGAATGCTGGCCGCTGACAGCATCTGCCAGAGCAATGTCTGGGATGGGAAAGTATTCAGCAGCCGTCATCAGAAGGGCGGGTAGTCATATGTTGATATATCATGGTATATGGCTGGAGGCGTACCTGATGTTACCGTCTTCGGGGAAGGACAGGAAGATAGGAGAAAGACAGGGACGATAATGGTATAAGCGATGGAGTGGGCACTTTATAGGTCCCAGGCTCTTAAGATCTCAGTTACTAAATATAAGCTTCAAAACATGCATCTCCACAGATCCTGAATCACCCCCTTTGGGGATCCCTCTCTATCCACTAGAAGCCTCCTCGGCTTCCTCGGCCCCTCGCCAAATCAGTCTTGCATCTAAAATAAACTGTTGCATCTTGCAGCCCCCACTTCATGGCGGTGATGTAGGTAAAATGTCGCCGAAAATTGGTGGCCTCGGTACTATCAGTCTTTCGTGCTGCTTCGTAAAGACGAAACAATCAACTTGGTGAAGATAGAGCGTTATTATATTGGGTTAGGAGGGTTAGTAAAATGGTTTGTATGGTTAATTCTCTCTACTTCATTAAAATAAAACAATGAATAAATCATTCATTATTTGTTATCCGATGAATTAGCCAAATAAGCCTCTTCACCAATCCCCTAGCCGGTCCTCTAGGCACTTCCGGACACGGATATGTCTAATTCTAAGAAACGAAGATTAAAATCAAGCAGATGATAACGGCACAACGGATTTGATACCAACAATATCAAACCATATTTCTTCAAGCCTCTCCTCCTCTCTCGAGTTCTCCTTGATATCCTGTCATCTTTCCCACTCTCTCCCTTCCTGTCCTTGATCCACATATCTTGACACTCTGAGCCGAATCCGGGTGTATGTTTGGAAAGCTTCATTGGTGTTGGAATCTTTCTTTCGTTTGGTGCGTTTGCTCGATGGAGGTTGGTCCTCATAATGACTCGGCTTGTGTCTATATTCCATCATTTCATCATGGTGTCGATAGTTTTACCTCATAAAAGCATCATAGCCGTTTGTTGTTGAAGAAGCGAGTGTCATTACTCTCCCCCTTCCGATTCTTTCTAACCCTACTAGCAGTCAACCAACTCATTACACATTTGGAAGCTGATCTCTCTCTTTTCTGCTACCTATCAGTACTCCGCGCCATTCTATTACCCACTTTTAGAAACCCTCTTCTATAGAAAAGGGGATAGGTATGTTTCCGTACTGTATGACCGGGTTCAACCTGACCTCCAACGGCAAACTATTGATACTGCAGAGAAAGCGTTCACTAATCAAGGAAATAGCTCTAGAAAGGGATCGAGTAGTCGCCTTTTTCTCCGTCCCATCATACCTTTATCTATATCACCTACAGCAACCCTCTTTCGTGTCTGACATCATCTCTCAAATTCAGAATAAATCTCCCCTTCGCCATGGTTCCATTTCGCACGATACTACAATCCATCTTCCCACAGATCCAGTCGAAAACCACTCTGCCGAAAATCCCACCGAAAATCATAGAAAATATCTTCGCAATTCTCTCCATCCCAGACCAGATCTGCTTCGGGCTGAGTTGCAAGTACATCTTCACTTGTCTAAATTCATACCTTGAGACGCACCAAAAGCAGCTTCGCCAGCTTCTCCCACCCGAGAAACGGGTGCTGCTATGCCCCAACGTCAAAAGACGACCTAGAATCCAATTACTCCTTCAACTTGAGAACAACCATTGGAGATATTGCGATGATTGTTGGACTCTCCACCCCCACTCTACATGGCGGACCGTGCAATCTGTCCGGAGACATCTGCAGAAGCGATACTGCTCTGAGTGTCAACTACTATTCCAGCGACAGATACGCTGTATGCCATATGCAGGGAAGGTCGACATTTGTCCCTGCGTTACCATCACATTTTGCGATAAGCTCCAATTAATGCAACTGTGTAGAGATGCCAGAAGGGTTGTGCCTCCCGGGACAAGATATTCCAATAATAATGCTACGCTTCCTCCTGGCAGCAATCAACCACACGAGAAACTCCAACATGAATGCACTTTTGCCGGCCATCCGTTAATCGCGATCCACATCAAAACAGAATTTTTGATAGTCGGAAAGAGCAGGAGGCTGTGTGTGATCAGTCACTATACGTTTCTAGCGCGACACGAAGCTCCTTCCATGAGTTTACAGTCTCTCTTACCGTGCCCACACAAGAATATTGGAAACTGGGTTCGAAGAATCTTGAGTGAAGGCGGGTCAAGCTTTACAGGATGGGACAAAGATCGTTCTACACGCTGCTTTAACTGTAAACAGGGTGGCTGGACGAGATCGAGAAATGGGGAAGGCCCCTACACTTTTAAGTTATCAACACTGAGGAACCTAGGGAATAGCCAATGGCCTAACAGAGCTTGGAGTCGCAATTGCTATGGCTGATTTGATAATTTGATGATCTCTTTGCTTCTGATGTGTGTACTGGTGGATCCTGAATTGAAGTCTGTCACCGTTTTTCTTTCAAATCATGGCTATCAATTGTCTACAGGAATGACTAAACCTCCATGGAAAGCGATGACGGTGGAGAGAGAGACCAATGGGCCTGTTTCCTAAAGAGTCGTGCACAGGACACGGGTCGCCTGCGCTCCTCCACGTTGGAGTTGCATCTTGCCTTAAGCTCTTTCTCAGACTATCTCGTTTCTATCGTCGTATGCTCCTTCCGTACTTCAAGATACTGCTTCATCTGATGTTTACTGGGCGCAACTCCTTCGTTTATCCTTCTTTCCTCCGTCATGCATTCTTTCCGGGTAGGTGTTGAAGTAGCTTCCTCACATAACCCACCTCTCAAGAACTTGACGCATATGTTCCTTCCCTGATGATCTTGCTCGCTGAGGTATAAATCCCTTCTCCCACCCATGTTGCTTGTTCTTCTTCTCCTTTCCTCTTTATTCTCACTACCCATTTCCCTGCTCATACATCTGCCTCCCATCATGACTTGGATTACATTCCAACACTTCAAGACAGTTGTACTGTCATTACCACCAGTATCACCATCGCCCGAGTGGTGATCGACGTCCGGACTTGGTATCGAAGGCGGAGAAAAGAGAGCGACGATCGAACTCTCGACCCTACTGCCAACCCGCAAGGTTCGCCTACGCCAATCTTGCCTTCGATCCAACCGACGTTGTCGATCGAACTCGACTTCCAGGGGAATCAAGGTGCCTAGGGGGAGGCATTCGACTTGAGGACCTGCGGTAAGCGGATGATCGGGGTGATATAGGGATGGTGAGGTGCGGTTGTAGTTTCTTTCGTGTTTGTCTACTGCGGCTTGGGAACTTACTCTAGCGCGCAGCGGTCGGTGGAGGAGGGGACGAGGGCCGAGGGGGACACCGGCGATGAGCCCGCCCTTCTACGTAGGGCCGGTGACTAGTAGCTTTCGGGTGAAGCTAAGATGGGCTCAAATGTACCTAGATCAAATGCAACTACTTTGCAGTCTCCTATCTCCCAAGCCTTGCAAACTAGTGTCGTATAGAGTGAGCTATCATCCGAAGCAAAGACAAATCAACGGGGACATGGAGCTGGATTCTGATCTTCTAGTTTTTGAATGCGCCTTCTGAGACTTCAAGTCTGCAGGATCATCAGCTAAGATCTCTTCGAAGAAGGCAATGCCGAGTATGCACCTCATATTGTAAATACATATCAATGGAGAGGTAGGGCCGGATTCTTGCTCTCCAGTTTCTTGATGCGTCTTCTTAGACTCCAAGTCTGCAGATTTATCAGCTGGATGTTCTTCTGAGATGGCAGTGTTGAGGAGGCACCTCATACTGCAAATGCAGGATGGAGAGAAGCATGAAGAAAGGGACTAGTGCTGAGAGCGTATCCCAAACACCCATGTCGAAGATTTAGGGACCGTGGAACCACTGCAAAGATTGAATCGATGTATTTTTGACTCGGGCGACAGGAAAGGGAGGAGTTGCTGAATGGGCCAAGAGTTACTAGTAGTATGTAGTAGCATATGAGGGAAGTCACTACAGCAGTCAGCCACACCCGGCTCGCTACTCCACTCCATTTCAATGGGGCCTCCGCCTTCTTTTTACTGCCTGGGTACCCCTGGGATCGCCGAGTGGCGGAGCAACTGGCTTCTCGACTTTTCCTATGCTGCACCCACGTGTGACACTATGACAGTGCCACAGAAACCATCAAGTGGAGACTCTATGTCCGCCAAGTGCTATACCATGTCCAAGCGATTCTGCATGAGTCTTAGTCTACGTGAGAGGTGCGGCTGAACGGCTCCAGCCCGTCTCTCATCTATCTACCCCGGTTTTGGCCCCATCGGCTCAAACACTCGTTCTTCTTGGCCTCTGGCTCTCGACAAACAATGTCTACATCGATACCACCTCTTGGCTTCGACCATGGGGCATCGTTCTTCCCTATCTGTGGGATCCCTGCCAGACATATGTGGTTGGCCATCAAATTTGCAGGGAAGTCATCCTTTCTTCTGCGACTCTGGGAAGAAAGGGGGATGTTGGACAGAATGTTTGACCGTCTAATGGCTTGCGAATTCTTGAGCTGTTCCCTACACCGACTGAGTTCTTAAGTGTGGAACCATGCAGCTATTGGAACTGCTTAGACTGAACAGACACGAGGCTAGCTAGCGAACCCATCTGCCCCAGCCTCCAGATTATCAGCCGCAATGTCAACAACCGTGAAACTAAACGGATCTTTCGAGAGATCATATCAGATCCCCACAGAAATTGTCACTGAAGATGTACTGTTCGACAGCTATGATAGCTACGCATGGGGCCTTGCTACTCTGATCCAACGACCCAAGGAAGGTGGATAGAAGTTCCCGGGGGAAGTGGGCAATGCTCGTGGGGGCGAAATCACAAAGGCGCCCCTTTGCGAAAGCCTTGTGCCCCATGGAACTGCAGGTACGCAATGGTTACTCCATCAAGCACGGCTTGCTTTGCTGACAGGTTCTGAAACATGCTTTTGGCCAATACTGTCTCCTGTGTGTTGTACGGATAACCTGGAGTCCCTGCATAAACCAACCTCCAGCGTGGGCCGAGCGTAGAAATTCGCTTGCATCTCGCAACCCCCTCAACTGTCTCTCAAGGGACACTACGAAGCAGAGAAATAGGGGGCACCGTCGGTCGGAAAGGGTTTCCGTTCATCACTTTCAGAGGTTGTCGCACCACGACTTTGCAGGAAGATTATCCTTCCAATCGCCCCCAATCTCACTTGAGAATACGAAAGGTTCCCGTCGGTTGGACTGGGTCGACTCCGCCCCCTTGAAGGATGCAACCTCTGGAGCTATTCCAGAAACCTCGCTACGGACGGCTCATCATGTCCTGACTGGGCCGTGTCAGACTCTTGAGGCCCTGCGGATTTGTTGGTTGGGGGCCAACGATACGTCTGACTTAAATAGACCGGATGGCATCTAGAGATCGGAGACAGACCACAGGAACTATTGCTATCTGACTTTTCATTACTTCTCCGTCTTTACGGACAGTCACTCTTTTTGTCCAATTGCAAGACCAGTCACTCTTTAATTCGTTCCAACCTAGTACCCTCTTTTCTCATACGGCTGAGACCTTGAATCTTGCCGGCTCAAAATGATTAACCCTCTCCAACATGGAGTGGCTACCGGCCTTCTGGCTTCCCTTCTCATCCAACAGGGTTTGTCGCTGGAGTTGGCGGCATTTAACCCCTCTACAAAAAGCGCAACGCAGGCCAAGGTGGCAGTGGCCGGGAGTGCAGCTGAGTCCATGGACTATTCTGACATCGACCTCCGGACGAGCCACTCCTTCTACTGGGGCGGTAAGTATGCTTCATTGGATCATTTGAGTGCTTATCCATGCGAAGAGATAGCTAACGTGTATGGAATAGCATCTAGCGGTTCCGGATATACCTTGGGTAATCTGACGCTCACGGACGAGAGCGTTCTGCCTATGGAGACTTTCAGCGACCTGCTGCAGACCATTCAGTGTACCAACTCGAGCATGCACTTGGTATTCGCCGACTCTGGCGCATACTCCTATGCGAAGGATTCGTGGAGCTGGGTGAACGAGGCCAGTAACAACACGTTTCTCATGGTGGCCGGTGTCGATCAGTGTAGCTGGAATACGCAGCGTGTTCCTTTCGTTATTACATCCGCCAATTTCCGCGACAACTCTACCGCAGCACTGCTAACCGGCACCGCAGCAACGTGGGATGATGTCCTCAGAAATCACGAGCTTACAATCGGCAAGGCTCCGAGCGACATGGAGGTAGCACTCTCGAAGAGATTGAGTTACAGTGGGACCAAGACGGGTTCGATCAGCATTGAAAAAACCATGTCCGACAAATCCGTGACATTGCTCTCGCACGACGACCTCACTCTGAGCGCAGAATGCAAATCGTGTGGTACCAGCGGATCATTTGATATCTCGTTCAAGTACAAAGTGGCGACAAAAAGCAGCGGCTTCTTTGGTTCGATTGGCAGCACTCTCGAGGGTAAATGGAAAGTTGACACCGCCGAGCTCACCCTTACGCCTAATGATGTCGAGGTGGACATCACCCCCGCCCTGGAGCTGAGCGGAAACTTGACGAAATCGTATTCGAAAGAGTATGACTTTCCTTCCTTGACGCTTGAAGGAATCAAGATTCCAGATGTCTTTACCCTTGACGTGCAGCTGGTGTTCGGAATCGGAGCCACTGCTGGACCCGTCAATGGGGACGCGACTATTTCCTATCCGATGAAGATCTCAATTTCCGACGATGCGGAGGCTGTGTTCCAGATTGTCGACGAGAAAATTACCAAGAAGGACTGGACCCCGACCATTACAACTTCGGGCGTCCAGCTGAGTGCTGAGATTGATGCCACTCTTGAGGCCTATGTCAAAGCCTCCCTCGAGCTGGCCTTCTCGGTTGGCAGTAAGTACATATGCCTCGACATAGGTAGCACGGCTGACTCGTGATAGAATCCTGGGGATACGAAGCCGGGCTCTACCTCAAGCCTTTCCTAGGCGCCGACTTCACTGCCGAAGCCTGTGAGTAACATGACCAGCTCTTCCTGTTATACCCTGCTGATGATATGCAGCCACGACCGGTACTTGCTCCGACACGTCCAAGAACTACCACTACGCCATCGAAGTGGCGCCTTCCGCTGGAATCGAGCTCGGCGCGGATGTGGCGAAAATCAGCGACCAAGGGAACCCGATTGCAGATGCGACTCTTGCGGTAAGTGAAGCATCTAGATGAACTACCGGCGTTCCGACCTTCTGACCCGTCCAGTCCCTCACCAAGGCGATGTCGACCACCTGTATCGGTTTCGATAGTATCACGTCCACCAAGACGACCACCTCTGAGAAGACCACGACCACTGAAAGCAAGTCTAGCGAGACGGACAAGACGACCACCAAGGAGAAGACGTCTAGTGAGACCAAGACGACCACCAAGGCCAAGTCCACCACCAAGGCCAAGACTACCAGCAAGGCTAAGACTACCTCTACCAAGTCTCATCCTAGCAGTGTTTCTGCATCTGCAACTGCACACTTTTCCACCCACACGCCCTGCACGACTGCGCAGTCGAGCTCCCACATGGCTGCTAGCTCGTCGGCTCACTATAGTGCGCACAACCACGCCCGAGGCTTCAGACACCATGGCCGGTTCTAAGCCCTGAGTGATCTGGGGCGATGGCTAACAATAGCAACATTTGTGTTTTGATTTACTTCTCTTCTTCGGTGTAACTACATGCGGAGAAACTGTACTATTTCCACCTAGATTAGTTGCAGACATGTTACCGTTATGATTGTCATACTTTCATGGGCATTAATTAATGAATGTGCAATGATACGTTCCAGGCAATCTTCAGCAGTAGCGTGTGCCTAGTTCATTTGCGCTCTAGTAGTTACCGAGGCGACGAGTGCGAAGGTTCTCCTGACAGAAGCCAGAGAAGTGAATGAGAGCCCCAGCTGTATATAATCGGCAGTTGTTACGGCACACTGTTGCAAATCTAGTAATCTGAGCATCTTACATCTCAATCCACCACAGCAACCTGAAGCTACAATAGTATCCTCCTAGTAGATTAAAAAGCACCAGCAACTACCAAATCTACCACCACAACTCGAGTCATTTCTGAGAAGTACCGACTGTCTGGGCACAAGTAGGGCGTCCGGGATCACGTGGCCTGCCCGCTCCGACGTCCGGGCCGTTCACGGCCGGCCTCATTGCTTGCTCTCTGCTTCGGACTCGACCACCAGAACCAGCCAGCAATGGCGTCCCATCAACTCGCCATCGCCAAGGCATCCTTCTCCGCCGGCCTGCTGCGTCCCGATCCGACGTCAGTGCCCCGCGACGAGATCACGGCGTTCCACACCTCCCTAGACCGGGCGCTGTCGCATTGCTCCCCGGCAAACATCCAGGTTTGAACCGATGCGTCCTGCCACTCGACCCCTGAAGTACTAAATCGTGTTTCTTCGCGCCGCTAGACCTGCAAATCATGGCTTCTGGAATACGTTGTCTCGTCGTCTAACCGCGTGGGCGGGTGGGCCAAATACCTCGCGGCCTTGTCGGGATCGTTGGAAGCAGCCCCCGCGGCCGGCAGGACATCGGGCAAGCGGAGACGCCTCCACATCCTGTATCTGCTGAATGATGTGCTTCATCATACGAAATACCACCTGGAGACGAGCGCCGCGTTCAGCACGCTGAGCGGATCGCTGCAGCCGCATGTCGTGGAGCTGTTGGGCTACGCGGCATCGTACGATCGCGAGAAGAACCCGAAACACCATCGGAGGTTGGACCAACTACTGGATATTTGGGACAGGAATGGGTATTATGGAAGCGATTACGTGAATAAGTTGCGGGAGGTGGTGAAGAACTCGTCCGTGTCGGGACCGGTCAAGACGTCGCTGAGCGTGGAGGAGAGCAATGTGGACCTTTCGGCGGGCGTGAAACAGCAGTCTTCGGGCAGGGATGTGCCGTTTGTCATGCCGGCGACGCATGGCGATCCCTCCATGCCGTATTATGACTTGCCGGCGGGGAACCTCGTGCCTCATATCATTCCGGATTCGACGGTGCCGCTGCGGCCGGAGTCCATCAAGCCGCTGCAGTTCTTGGCGGGACCGGCGGATGAGAATCTCGTCGTGGCGCTGAAGAAGTTCATGAAAGATGTCGATTTGATCTATGGGCCAGGGGAGCCGGAACATCAAGAGGACGAGGTGGTGGACGTGGATGATCTGGGCCAGGTGGTGATTCGCGATGCGGATGGGGAGGTGGTCGATGGAGATACGTACTACGGATGGTCCCGGTCGTTTTGCCAGCAGATGAAGAAGAGGCGTGCGCGAGGGGAGACGAGCCGCAGCCGGAGTCGCAGTCACAGTCACAGTCGCGGCTCTCCTAAGCGCCGACGATACAGCGACAGCGAGAGCGACTGGAGCTCGCGATCCCGAAGCCGGTCCCCGCGGAGATCAGCTCGGCGGGACTCCCGGACGCGGTCCCCATCGCGGCCACGCAGTGCCTCGCGCGAGCGATCCAAATCCTATTCTCCCCGTCCGCCGGCCCCACGGTCCATCCCTCCCCCGATGCCTCCGGCCGAGTATCATCCTCCTCCTGCCCACCATCACCAACATCAACATCCCCCATACGGCAACGCCGCGCCGCCGCCTCCCCCTCCGGTAGGATACCATCCACCGCCACCCCCACCGATGGCATTTCCTCCAGCTGGTCCCGGCGGTGCTGGTGCTGGTGCTCCACACTACCCTCTTCCTCCGGGAGCCGTACCAAATCCTCCGCCTCCACCACCAAACTACCAGGGACCATGGCCACCACCGCCGCCTCCCCCGATGCAGAACTACGGACCACCACCGGCCGCACATCATGCGCCGCACTTCCCACCCCCATATGGACAACAGGGGGGGCAGTACGCGCAGCAAATGCCACCGGGGTCGTATCACTTTCCGCCGCCGCATTCGGGGGGAGGAGGGGGAAGAGGATGGGGATATGGGAATGGACGTGGGTGGCGGTAATACCTTAGGGTTGAGTTCGAAGTAAAGAAAGACCGAGACCGAGTACGGAGTATACTCTAGAACGATATCGATATCCGAGTTCAACTCACATATTAATGCAATACATGACATTCAACCTCCCCTTCACCATTTAACCCTAATCCAATACCCTGCGCATTCCCAGTAACGAACACACCCAATCCCCAACCCTATACCTTATGTCTCACAATAAAGATAATCACCTCCACCGTCTCTCCAAAACCCCAGAACTCGCACTCGCACTCGCCGACGCAGCAGTCGAACCCGAACCCGAAGCAACACCAACAGGAGTAGCCGCCGCCACCGCAGCCGCGGAAAAACTACTCGCGGCATCCATCATGGCCGCTTCCCGTGCCATACTCTCATCAATGGCCTGCTGTTTATTTTTCATCGCGATGTCCCAGGATTCGCAGGATGAGGTCACTGCTTGTGAGGATTGCGTGGTGGGTTGGTCTGTGTCCTGTTTCCACCCTCTATTAGCATTGGATGGTAGGGTGGGATGTAAGGGAAGGGGGTTGAGTCGGAGAGAGACTGGGGGGGGGAAGGGGGTGAGTAGGGTAGGGTAGGAGGGTAAGGGAAGGAAGGAATATATTAGTTCTCACGCTCGGTTTCCCATCACAGCACATGACCTGATGTAGACATTGCGAGTTGGGGGTGGAGTCGGCCATGGCGTAACCTATCATTCCCATCATTATCAGCATCATGATTAGCAATCATCCTCTTCATTCTCTTGATTATCAAGGTATAGTATCCATAGTAGTAATCCCACTACACCACACTACACCAATACAAAACAACCAAAAAAAACACTAGAAAGGGATAAAGGGGCCATACAATCCAACCCCAACACACTCGACACTTCGATGCCCTCAATCCAGGGGACCAGTTCTCCCAGACCCCCCGTGACCTGATCAGCGATATTATCGATCGATTCGCAGCATTGTTTGGAGCGGTGGGAGGGCGGACAGGTGTTGTTGCTGTAGTCGGCGAGAGTTTCTTGGACGATGATTTTGCTGATGGCGGATTCGAGGGCCTCGGGGGTGGTGAGGGTTGAGGAGGGGGTGGGGGCGGTGTTGGTGTTCGTATTGCTGTTGGAGTTGGTGTTGGAGGGAGATGGGGTGTCGGTGTTGGAGAGGGGGATGGCGGTGGTGAATGGGGTGAGGGTTAAGGTGGTGAGGAGGAGGGGGATGGAGAGGATGGAGTGGTGCATTTTCTTGGGTTTCGAGTTTGTACTTGTGTTGATGGGTGTTGCTGTGTGGATGTGTGGATGTGTAGGTGTATGGGGGTGATGGTAAGAGGATAGAGGATAGAGGATAAGGAGAGTATCTATCCCTCTCTTCCCAATGAAAGAGATTCTTCTCGTTGCCTGGAGGCTGGCGGGTCATCTATCTAGGGATGTGTTACTCTAAGTTTGCTTGGAATGAAGGTGAATCGGGGAATGTTGATTCTCCAGGAGCTGTCAAGGATAGAGCTGCAGGGGCAGATTCACCAGCACCACGAGCAGGCTAGCAGCACTGCAATCTGCACTCTGCAGGGCGTAGAGTCTCAAGTCTACGACATGTCTCGTCCCTGCAGACCTGCGATTCTGCGATTCTGCGATTCTGCAAATTGTATCAATGCAAGGGATCATGCATTACAACCATAACATACACAGGACCAGCCAGACAAATACACAATACTAATACAAGAACGAATTACTGCAATGCCATGGGCCGCATATATTCATGCGCTGCTCGAACTGCACTACGAGCAACCACCAAAGAGTGACAAAGGTCGGAACAAAAGGCAATCGAACCTGAATCTCTCAGCGAACACGCGATCGACTGCATAGCTGCATCACGTTCACTAATCGAATCCGATTCAAGTCAAGGTTGAAATCACATGCATCAGGGTCCCGGAGCCTCAGCTCGCACGTCGCCCTTTCTATATGTATCGCTTCGCCATCGCTTCGAAATCAGAGCGCACTCGCTAGTCGATCAAAACGCCCGGAGCTCGGAAGCTTGTCGTTGACACGAGTCTCCGCAAATTGTCCAAACTCCACCGTAAAACGTAATTCGTGAACTCGTCCCCAGGCCGATGAGGGAGGCCGCACCAGCGGCCTCCCTCATCGGTTATGTCCCTCAGAAGGACAAGTTGGCAGAGTTCACGCCCGACATGTGTCTGGCCTCGGAGCTGTCATGGGTCGCACTGGTCGCGCCGGCAGCCTGACGGGCAAGCAGGCCGCTGGTCGAGTTTCCGCTGCTGCCGCTGGTTTGGCTGCTGCGACTGCTGCGGCTAAAGGATCCCTTGTCGTCGTCCAGATCGGCAAAGTCTGCCATCCGGCGTTGGGTGTATTCCAGCATGACTCGGCTGTAGTCCTCCACGGAGGAGTGAGGATCGACAGACCGGGCCGTTTGTAAGGAGGGATCCCCAGGAGGGCGACAGCCTTCGCCGCCAATAGGGGGCATCGAGCGATACTGGTCGTCTTGCATGGCAGTGGCCATCTTGCGTGTCTACACTAGCGTCAGCCGGGGCTCATGCCTGCGGTGTCCCGGACTACACCCGTATCACGTGGTGTTTCGACCAATACATCGAACGTTCCAACACAGTAAACACATATATAGCACACTTACCTTTGCAAAAATCACAGGGCGGTGTTGGGAGCAAAGAACAGCGTTTCAGAACACGGAACAACCACGGGAGCAAAGGTGGGATCCCGGAGTAGGGGCTAGTACGAGGTTTCAGAAAGACTTGGTACGCAGCAGTCGGGCAGCAACAATAACCTGGGAATATTGCTTAAGACGGCACACATATGATGGGACCGCGCGCGAGATAAATGCTCTGACGAACCCGACATGAGATCACTGAACGGACCATGACAGAACCCGCCGGGGGAGACCAGTCACCCTAGGTACTAGGCTCGACCTGTCCATGGCCCGTGAGCAGACAGCCCACCGCGTTGCTGGGCCTCCGGAGCCCTCATAGGACGGGCATGACATCATCTGCCGTCCAAGGACTCCTCCAAGTGGCATCCTCCATGCACAGGGTCGACGCTCCTGCACCAGCGTTCTCCTCACCCACCGGTGCGGCGACGGCGGCGGCGGCGGCGACTGGGTCCGGACACCCATCCGGCAAAGGATAATCGGAAACAACCGTACTCCACTGGCTGCTAGGTCGGTGTTCCCCCGGATGGTCCACGGTCCATGGCCCACCCCTCAGCAAAGCGACATGAGGTCACAGATGGAATGCGACTGGTGCAGCAAAAATCTTATGGCGTCGAGGATCGACGGTCTGCTTACTGAGGCGCACCGTCCCTGCAGATCTTTTCTCATGGTGATGAAGGCCTGGATGCGTCGGCAGGCGACATGCGAAAAGACGAGGAATATCGGTTGACAAGCGGGCAAGTAGGGGGAAATCCCAGAAGCTACTAGTAGCACGGAAGATGTATGTGTGACACTCTGACTATGGGACGCGATGTGTCATGGATAAACCTAAAACTGGAAGGGCACTAGTCGGCTGGGACCATGCAAGAGCCGGCCTAGCGTGGAGGGAAGATGCTAGTGATGCGATGGAGTTTGGGGGTGTAGTGATCATCTCCACTGCAGCAAGAGCATGCCTGCTTGCTCCAGCCGGCAGCCGTGGTGAAGTCTCCAGGACCCATCCTCTTCGGGTTCGTTAGCCACAACCCTGAACCGGGGGGCCGGTAGATAGCTAGATAGGGGGTGGCAGAATGCGAACAGATCCGAATGAAGGGGACCCAGTGGGCTTGGGACCGAAGAGTGGAGGATTACTCGATCAGGCCAAGGTGATGCCGGATCGCTGGAGACGATGAATTCATCCGGGAAAAGGATCACCGATGATTGGTTGGGAGTGGCTGTCGGAATCCAGTTGGGACCATGGCTGCAAAGGGAAGGCGCGGTGCCTGGGCGGGCACCGTGACGTCAGGCGCGAGACAGCCACCGAGTCATTTGCGCGACCACCACCCGAGCCACACGGTACATACTTAGTACCTACTACATAGTACATAGCATGTAGTATGTACTATGTAGAATTGATGCTTGGCTCCAATCAATTTCCCCCGGTCACTGCCCTAGATACACTGTCCCATCTCTCGGGTCCCGTTATCTGGACCCATCCCTTCAGGCACTCGTTCACCACAGGATACTTTGTAGTAGCGGTCATCACCAGCGATAGAGTTACGAGCCCCGTGTCGCCACCCACGTCCTCTCCCACGGACGGCAATGCACGCTGCAGAATCCGTGAAGAGTCCCGGATTGGAACCGTTCGGTGTCGGTTTCCCCATACACCAATATCCCATGTACCCATGTACCCATGCGCTATCGTTGCTAGGACAGGGACACCAATCTCCTCAATGGCCTTCTTCGGCTAAGAGCTTGTGTCGATGAGCGACCCACCCCGGAAATCCTACCTCAGCAGAGGGTTGGCCCCCGGTGGATCAAAGCCGGCCCAACCACTCGAGTCAGATGCTGCAGCCCTGAACGTAGCCCCTAGCGCAATGAGCCTTCTCGGAGAAATTTGGCGGCAGCCGTAGGCAGTCCGGTCCAGAGACCACGAACGAGCTGAACCAATCCGCGCGACGATCGCATCAGTTAAGTTGGTCCGCCGAGGCTGCCGCTCCCCAGTACGACCAAAGTGTAAATGGGCCACGAGCAGACTTCAGCCCAAAAGCGAGACTCATGATCCGTACATAGTATATCCCAAAACAGTTTTCTGGGTCTGGATCGATGGTCGAGGTGCGGATTATCGCGCAGAATGACAACCGTTCCCACGGACCCATCGCGGAAGAATGTTCCTTGAAGCCAATAAACGAGGTTTGCACCCCCCAGGCAAGCAGATCGCTCCTTTTCCTCACAGCGCGGGTGCTATCTCCTTTGTCTCGGGTCCGAGAAGCACCCTAAATGATCTGGGATGCTACGTCCCCACGCCACTGGGAAAAGAAGCGCAGGCGTAACTGGCTCCATGTATCGGGAAATCTTAGACGGTGCGAATGAACCACGGCGACTGGCGGAGAATAACCGCCCCCGACCATTCGCATGATATCACGTTGCCTGTTTGATGAGTCCGCATGTTTGAGCAGTTGAAAGCTTATGGAACCAAGTCAAACCCCCGACGTTTGCACACCATGCTAGTCTGTCGTCGAGGCCTGCGCGGCTCGCCAGTTATGGGACGCTTCTTCACGTCATACCGCCAGGGATCGTGGAACCCATGATGCCGTCCGCACAACCTAAGACGTCCAGAGTCCTGCACTAGGGTCAGCCCATGACGATGCGGTCGCCATAGACTCTCGCACACATCAAGATCTCGACCTCCGCTGACGCCACGTAGCTTCATCTCCGAGGCAACAGCGCTCGGGACACGGTGTACCAAAGGCAAACTCACCCACCATTGCCTGAAGACCAGGTTGCGCATCGATAGCCGCCGACATAGGTGGTCGGAAGCTATGCTAGGGGTTGCCGTGTTACTCCACCCTTACAATGTCATATGTTCAGGATCCATCTTGGCAGAATCAGCTCGTATACGTACCTTGGGCCAGCACCCTCTCGACGCCCGAAACTGCTCAGATCTTCGGCGGATGTCGACATTCCGCCAGGTCACAGAGCAACGAACCTCAATGCTCCGACCCCGGCGATCCACCTCCTAACTCGGAAAGAAATTCACATGGTACCAAGGTGTTCTAATTGACCAGCTCCATTATCAGGAGAAAACTCTAGATCCCTACAACAGCGGGTAGATACAAACAGACGCCACAATCAAAGGACAGAAGAAATTTTCATGCTCGCTCATCACACGTAACCTGCATCACTTGATCAGCAGCCATTCCCTGGGAATGAAGACAACGTAGCCAAAGCCAAGAAATTGAGGGTCCAACACTTACCTTTCCGTGCGCCCTGGAAGAAGAACCGGACGATGAAGACCTGCAGAGCAGCCATCGAAACCATCATCAAACCCTCGATCACGCTGAAGTTGAAGATCCGACGCTCCGTACTACGGACAGTGCTAAAGTTACGGTTCTCCCGAGTACGGAAGTACTTCTGGTTCCGGGTGATGGTGGAAAGTTGAGCGGACAACTTGAAGATCGACTCCTCCAGCGCAGACGCCTGCTCGGGGCTAGCACCCTGACGGGAAGGAAGCTGTGCGCGTTCTTCGTTTTCGACCTGCAGGGACACGGCACATTAGACTTGTCTTTGTAATGAATGCACCACGAGATGGATCCGTAGTGCCCATCGGTGACCAAACATACCGCAATCTCGAAATCCACAATCTTCTCAGCGAAGGTCGACATGTCATTGTCGAAGCAGAACCGGTACTCCCCAATGCTCTGGGCCGTGAACACAAAGTCGCCTTGTCTCTCCTTGGTGCCGTCTAGGACCACCTTTTCGCCGGGGCCGACAACGGAGTAATCGATATCGAAGGAACCGCCCGATTGGACCTAGAATCTCGGATTCAACCCCGGTTAATGCCATTCACTAGACGCAGAAGAGTAAAAGACAGACGTAGGACACTCACAGCAAAGTAGAAAGCAACCTTGACGTTCCTCTGGTCAACATAGTTGTAGAAACAAGCTTTCTCGTTGGCCTCAAGTCGGTAGGTCAGAGCCGTGGCGGCCACGGACGACACAAAGGTGGCCAACAGGCCTATAACCAGAGCTGCGAAGCGCATTGTGAACAGGGACGAAGAGCAGCGAGCTCAGGTTGGGCTACGCTCAGGGGTGACGATTCAAGACACGCGACTGAAGAGTGGAAGTTCTGGCCAGCTGTGACTTTGGCCCGCTCCGTTTGTTGTGTTTGCATCCCGCCGCGGACAACCCAATCACGGCCACCGCATCATACCATAGTAGTGCCAGTCGCCGTTCCGTACTCCGTACAGCAGACAATCATCTCTACTTACTTCATGGTCCATTGCGCCTCGGTAATACTTTCATTCATACCTTGGGTTAGTCCAAGTCATGTAGGTCATACATCAATTCCAGTTGGTAAAAGCACATCATAAAGAGACCATAAGGTCTGCCCTTCTAAGCTAACGGACAGGACCACCACGCAGCAACCCTCACTAGTCATCATGTATCACGTATGTTTTTTCCCCTTTCATCATAAGCCGAATCTTCTGAGCAACGCATGTCCTCCGTATGTCCATAATGGTATGTATTCCTGCCAATCGTAAGGTGGACTGTCCAGCAGCATGAGACATGCACAAACGTAACCATCAAACCAGCCCCATCTATCGGATGAAGAACGATTCGCTCCGGTTCCAAAAGTTGCGGTTCTTATTTACATGCTCGAGACCAAGCAGGTCGTCCGAATCACCAATGATATCGGAGAGGATGTCATCTGTGCAGCGTCAGTCATCATTCGTTCGCCATGCCTCAAAAGAGCCGACTCACCATCTTCCACGTAACGCGGGTTGGAGGAGTACATATTGCGAGACACAACGGCAAACTTAATCTTTTCGAACTGCTTGCCCTTGACGCCTGTACGCTTGGAGAGTCTCTCTTTGGTCTGCTTGAAGATCTCACCCTAGGAGTTGTGAGCATGATGCAAACTTGAGCAGAGTCGAGGCGGTAACTTACAGGTTTCATAACGAACTTGAACGGCACACCGTGCGGCCGGTTGACCTCGCGATCGAAATTGAAGGCATTTATTGTCCGTTCGCCCTCCTGCATGTTGGCCTCTTCTTCAGGAACCCTTTCAGCGTATAGCGACACGAATTCGTTGATGCCAGAAATCTTCGAGTCGTGTTGGAATTCCCGGTAAATCTTACCGCCATGGGTCTCATAGACACGAATTTCACTGACGGTCTCGTCGTCCAGGTTCGCTTTCTTCTGTAACCCGGCAATGAGATCTGCGATGGTTCCATCACGAGGAACCAACACCTCCACCAGTTGCTAAACCCTAATCAGCTCCAATGCCCCTTGCGTGCCGGACAATCTTTCAAAACCTACCTCTTTGGTGATACCTTCAGGAAGCCACGTAACCTTCAGGCAAGTCTTGGACTCAAAGTCGCTCAAGCTGGTTTCCAAAACCTCATAATACAGGGCATCCTGGCGATGCATGCTGTATCCGTAAGTACTCGCTTGTCCGCCGGTGATATGATACAACGTCTGATTAGCCTGGTTAGGGTTCCGTTTGATGAACGGCTTGGGCTTGCCCGTGCTTGCGAGAACCGGGGCGAAACGCAGGTGCGTCGATTCCACATTCAGATGCTCGCCGACCTTCTTCGAGAACTGATCGTATGTCATCTTGCGGCTCAGGGTAAGAGTGAACTCGTCACCTTCTTCAGCCTTGACGGGAGCAAAGGTAATATTGATCCGATTCAGGAGATAATCGTAATACTGCCTTGCGTCTGTGTACAGTGCGGTGGCAGGCAGGTCCGATTCCTTGATCGTTCTTTGGAAGGTGATGATGTCTCCGTCCTGGATCTCAGACTGTTGGAAGGTCTGCTTGGGCTTCATGACGTCGATCATGTTATGTTTGATCTCTTCAAACAGCATGAACTCGGTGCCCGCAGGCCAACCCATCTTCTCAAGGATGACAGGGGCGAGGTCCGCAACCTTCTGTGTTTTGCGGACGTAGACGGCACCAACTCCCGAAATGATTTGAGAAGGGGCGTCGAAATGCTTCAGGAAAACCAGCACCGAGTTGCTGTCGGGCCAGGACACCGTTCCGTCGGCGGAAGGCTGGCCAACTTCCATCCACACCTTGAATGGATTTCCTTTGGTGCCATATCGGTTGTAAGCATCTTCAACTGTCATGTCCTGATCCTTGATGACTTGGTCCGGGCGAGTCGTCTTATTCTGACGGTTCACCATAACCCAGAAGCGGACCCGCTCGGGATCGACCCCCTTCTCTTCTGCAAGCTGCTGTGCAAACTCTCCGACCTTCTGAGCCCGGAGGATTCTGTATTGCTTCGGCACCGCGGGATCGCCGGCTGGGAGCTCAGTGCTCGTGAGGTCAAACCCGTGGTGAGACTTGAAAGTATCGTCGCTCAGAACGCCAACATTGATATACAGGTGAGCCTCTTCCCGTTCCTTCTTCCGGCGTGCCGACTCGAGCCGTTCCTCTACAAGTCGTTGCTCTGTCATGGTTAGCATAAATATAGGCGGATGACAAGGCCATCCAACATACCGATATGAGAGGGGACTTCGTCTTTGGTGATAGGTAAGAGTACATCGTCCAATCTGGTCTTCCGAATGTAAACGAGCATGTAAGCATTCATGGAACGTTTCGTCGATAAGCCGCGAGTGTAAGGCTGTCTGACACCGGCCGCTCCGTTGGCCAGTTCATACTCGCCACCGTAGTTCTCTTCGAGAACTTCCTTGTCAGTAGCTCGGGTCACCCGGTCGTCATCGAAGCGGTACCAGAACCCGTCTTTAGTGGGCTTCAAAAAGGCATAATAATGGCCAGCATTGAGGTCGCCACTATGCACCAAAACACCATGCAACTGGTAAATCCAGGGTTCCGACTTATCGGCGTCGTTGGAAAGGTATGGAGTGGCGTCGAATTCCATGGGGAAGGCGTGACGGTCGTTGATCTTCATCATAGCGTCGCGGTGGATGTCGTACTCGAACCGCTTCAAGTGAAGGTGCAAGACAGGGGGGAAGCTCTCGAAGATGACACCCTTCTTCGCGTCCTGGAGACCGTAAGGTTGCCCGGCATCGTACTTGTTCTCACCCTCGAGCGTCTCCACCTGGATATAGTCCTTGAAGCTATCATCTAGTGTCTTGTTGCCTCGGACATTAAGCTGGATATCCCAAAAGTCCTCCACACGCGATGATTCGTAGTCAACGTTGATGCAGGAAATGTAGGTCTTTGTCTTTCCGACGAAGAGCTCCGGAAGTGCCTTTTCTGCCGGTGTGCCTTTCATCTTTTCCTCCATCCTCTCCATGAGCTTTCTCGACAGTTCCTGGACATCCTGTTGCTCAAAGATTTGTCGGGATTCCCAACCGAAGGATGCCGTAAGCTCGGTTGTCGACACGGAGTTCTCGTTTGTTTGAAGATTGTAGAACAGTCTCTGGAGCGTCCAGGCGCTGTTGTCTCGGGAGGCTTCGGCCTCCGTGGGAATTTCGTAGACGGCCTTCGAATCTGTTAGTACGCCCCTGTTGGAGCTGGTCGAGGCGGCCACGTACCTTCCGGAAGGAATTGGTAAAGTATAGAGACTGCAGAAGCGAATTGAGGTAACATGTCGCACCCTGATTCTTCAACCCGACCATGCCGGTCTCCTTCTTCGAATCGTAGCTGGACGCAGTCAGCAGTGGTCAGGCGGGATGTAGGTCGATACGTACTTTTGGAAGCTGTGCCACAATACACCAGTCGGATCCTTGACGACGCGGACATAGGCCGTGACCCGGGCCTCTTCGTTTTGCACCAGAGGAACCCCACGGCCCTCCCACGGCATGCTAAAGAGCCGGCGCAGCTCACAGAATCGGGTGAAACCCCAGTCTCCCTCATCCGAGTTAAACCGATGTGTAGCGACTAGATCCCAATTAGAAGAAATCCCGAGGCTTGCAATCCGGTATACGCACCATGGTGGACGTAGATCGACGGGTCATTCACGTTCCACAAGACCAGAGCAAACTGAACGCAAGCATACCAGTTCGCCGGAGGTTCATTCTCCCAGGCGTGCTCCAGGTAGAACGATGCGTGCTCGACGTGATTTCCGTATGGGAAGAATAGGACCCGCCTATCGAGGAGTGTCAGAGCTGGCAGGTCGGACCAAAGCGACAAAACTGTGTACCCACCAAGGAAAGCCAGCGCACTGGAAGACCGGGCCGTGCTCTTTCTTCTTAAGTTTCCGCCAATCCTGAATGTGCCATGTGTGATATGTCTCATCTTCGGTTTCCAGATCGGGGTCCTTCGGAAGGATCCGGGCCATCATTGCTGCATCTGTAGCGGAAATCTGGATCAGACATGTTCCCAAGCTTGACGGAGAGAGCGCTCATAGCTGCGGACTGGACCGGCCACCCCACCGCGGGGGTTTCGTGAAACCAAACGAACGACCAGGACCGCGCGCATGAGACGACGGAGAGACCAGGGGAGGAGGAACGGGGTTCTTACGGTCATCAGCAAGAGGCTCTGGCTCCGGGTCCTCCGAACCGGACCGAGAGACGACAACTTCGTCGGTTCTGTCATTGTGGTACTGCTCATATTCATCGACGAGCATCTCACTGTCTGCGACCTGTCGGATCCGAGGCACGGGGTCAGCGGTCGGTGGCTGTGAGGGGCAAACATCCCCAAAGGTCGAGGCGAAGGTGGCTAGAAGAAGGGCGATGGGAGGCAGCACTTACGTTGTCCATGTAGGGAAAAAAGTGCGTACCCGCACTGGCGATGAATGACAAACTCTTCTCACGGACGGGACGCGGCAGGAAGACGGGGGGGTATTAGCGGAACAGAATTAATCCCGAGGCGAGGGGTGGTAGGAGGCGGAATGAAGAGAAGGTGAAGAGGTCAGGACCTCGAAAGGCGAGAATGAGAATTGAGAGAGAGGTTCGTTCTGGGCTGTAACGATTCCAGTCCGCAGGAGTTTGGATGAAGCTAGTGGCGGAGTTGCCATAACCCAATCAGTAGTAACGGACGGGCATGCGGGACACCGCAGCCCTTATTATTAAGAACCTCCAGGCTCCTCCCTGGCTCCCTGGCTGTCTCTCATGCCCGCCAGGGTGGTTTGATGGCTTATCGCCTGAGGGTGGATCGAGCTACGCTGCCCCTACCTACCGACATACCTGGCTAACTACCTACTGAGAACCTACTGAGGGAGGGGATGGAGCCTTTCATTGTTCTTTCTGACGTACCGACCGAGTACTACGGTCGTACTCTCTCTCAGGATCCCCTGATCTCCACGGGACTGAACGTGCGAATGCCGTCGCCGTTGCCTGTTTCGCATCTGCAGCCTTAATTCGGCCGGTCATAGCCACCTACCCAACGGTGATATCACCTGTGCATTTTTCACGCTCCACCCGAGACAGACGGATACTGTGCCTGATAACGATCAAAATATTCATCCGGTGCATATATAGTGAAAAGGCCTAATCCATCATATCGAATCTTCACTTTTTGTTCTCACTGTAGCACTTTGTAGAGCACTCACTCTCTTTACTTTTTCTATGGGCTTTGCTTCCTTCCCAAGCTGTCAGTTTTAGTGCGTGACTGAGGGAGGGGAGAGATCATCATCTCTAGGCAGCACCCAGCACTGGTCTAACCAGGCTAACCTCCGCACCACCAGAGACAGACCCGATCAGACCGAAGGACATCCTACTGCATTCAGCTTTGTTCATCCGGTTCCCTCCACATGTGAGCCAAGCGTCCTTTTGAGTTCCACTGCCGAAACAAAGGCACGTCACATGCCAGCCAGCTTCACCAGGAAGCTCTCACCGCCCGGGCGCTTGGAACTGGCCGCATTTGCCAGCAGGAATAATGTCATGCCACTGTGAAATTCACGCTGGTGGGCCGAATTGACTATCCTCCCGGGTGAGCCATGTATGGACCATCTCATTCAACCCTGATCTCGTGTGGTTCTTTTGATGTGCTCCCCTCTCCATTGGCGTAATACGGCCAACTCCGTGCCACTGCCGCCAGTGAGCCGTTGCCATTGAGTCAGTCCATCGCAAAGAAGATGGCGTGGGGTCTTCCAGCTCGTCGCTGGCGGGCTCTTCGTCAAACCTGCGCCCCCAAGCTGCGGCTTTATTTCAGTCAACAAACCCATAGTCCGCCGCCGTGGAGGCCGGTGTCTGCTTTGGACGAGTATGCCGTCATCTCCAAAACTTGCCGGCGGTAATGTTAATGAGTCGCAGATGGGTTGAGCGTGACATTCGTCCGATCAGTTTACGACAGCTGACGTTCTTTGGACGGACCCTGACCGAATCGCGACTCATCAGCTCTGCCAACTACGTACGGACTGAGCTCCCTACCCGGTTAGTGCCGTCATCCATGGCAGTCTTGGCTTTTCTAACCTTGATTTTCCACTTAGAATTGCACATCGCCTGCGGGATATCCAACGGCTACCGTATGTGGTCGTTGCCAACCCCCACCTTTCCCTAGTCTACGAACTCTATTACAAGGCCTTCGAGCGATTTCGGACCATCCCGGAGATAAAAACGTTAGACGACAATGACAGGTTCTGCGACATTCTGCGCAAAACGCTGCAAGAACACCTTGTCGTGATACCTAAACTCGCAACGGGTGTCTTGGAATGCCGTGAGCTTGTCGCGCCAGATGTGCTGGACGATTTCATGAATACACTCCTCCGAGCGGTATGAGTCCCTAGGCGAGCTGGACGTTCCATATCTAATTGACTGGATGCAACAGAGAATCTCTCGTCGGGTTATCGCCGAGCAACATCTTGCTTTGACGGAAACTTTCAACTCGCCATGGCACTTTCCTGGCTCTCAAGATCGCACGGACCTGAATGCCGACTTTGTTGGGGAAGTGTTCCTCAAGTGCAATGCAAAAGAGGTTGCTGAGCGATGTGGAAAGCTGACGCAGGACATGATGCGGCAGAGCTCTGGGTCGGATAAGATCCCGGAGATCTCGGTGCAGGGTCACCTCGAGGCTACCTTCCCGTACATGCTGAGTCACCTGGAATATATCATTGGCGAGCTACTGCGCAATTCAATCCAAGCCGTGAGTGAGCGATACAAGGGCACTTCAGAGAAACCACCTCCGATCGAAGTACTCATCTGCGAGGCGCCACAGCATGTGATCCTGCGTGTGTCCGACCAGGGAGGAGGGATACCGCGCGAGGTTCTACCGTACCTGTGGTCCTTTAACAAGGGCCCTCACAGCAAATCGCATCTCCACAATCTAGGGCAGGTTCCCGCCATGGCGGCCACGATGCAGGAGCTGAGCGTGTCGACGGAAAGGAAGCATGCCGACAAAGAAACATTCCGCGAGAGCTCGCTGGATTCGCTGACCTCGCGGCCTCCTAATCTGCGCTTGGGGATCGGACTTCCAATGAGTCGCGTGTATGCCGAGTACTGGGCCGGCAGCCTGGAGCTCCACAGCCTAGAAGGCTACGGCGTGGATGCGTTCCTGCAGATCTCTAAACTGGGGAACAAGAACGAACAGGTGACGACGCGAGCGTCAATTGATGCCGTATGAGACGCCAGAAAGATGCCGTACATAATGAAGAAAGATTAGAAAAGATACCTGCTTGCTGACAATGACATTTACCATCACCACCACATAGTACTATTAAATAACTATCGCTCCATCCCCACTTACCCCAGGTTTCCCTTGGCTCCGCCGTAGCCTCAAACAGGCAAGCGCCGCCCACGGCCGCAGCATGCGGGATGACGTCACCCAGAATCCAGCCATCCCAAACACCGCCCGTTCGCTCCCTCGCACTCCAAACCTCTCCGTGGCGCCGGCGGCTCTTAAGGCTGATTGCTCCTACCACACTTCCCGCCCGCCCCGGTGACGTGACGTCGATCTAAAACCTTGTACAACGACCCCAACCAACATGAAGCGTCTCAATTCCGCTAAAGATGACAACGTCCCCATCTATATCTTCCTCCTGCTGATTGTGATTCTGGGGTTGAGCTTCCTCGGCACATACTTTGATGATAGCAAGCGCGTGAAATCAACTCGGGCACAAGCACGGACTTAACTCGCCAACTATCAATCACGTTACCAATAACGATCACAATAACGAATAATTAAATTGTCATTCAAGATGGCAGGGACTTGTTCCATGCTCTGTTTGATTCTGATCACTTTGTTCGGTAAGTTGCTTTACTTGGGTGGGCTGGGTTGGGTTCCTGGCGGAAAGGCTGGGATCCACTCCGACCAGAATTCTATTTTCTGGAGAGGTCACTACGGAGTACTCCGTATAAAGCTGGTGAATGTGAAATGGACTAGGCTAATCTGATTGTCTCTGTGAATATAGTCCCTCCTCTCGGTGTGTTCTTGATTTCGGGCTGCAGTGTGGATCTGCTTATCAATATTCTGTTGACGATTCTCGGGTTCGTCTTACCTTCATTTCCATTGCGAGATGTGAATCATAATTGCGAGAGATATTCGAAGCTAACTGTTTAGATACCTGCCCGGCCACATCCACGCCTTCTATCTCGAATACGTTTACTACGGTAATCGCAACGCAGCGGAAGCAACGGCTCCGCGACGTGCTCCGGGCGTCTATTCCGAGCGGATTCAGCGTGGAGGCCATCATCATCAGACGTATGGCACTACTCCTTGAGTGTCGGGCCGGATGGGGTGCTGTATAAGTATGAACAGGCTGGCTGGGCTGGGCTGGGTTGGGTTCTTTCGGGCTTTGCATTGTTATGACTCGAGTTTTCTGAGCGACTAGTATGGATACCGAGAATGGAGTTGAGGCTCACTTGTTGTGTTTATGTTTATGTTTACCTCTTATGACCCAGCCCAAAAGTAAAAGGAAATGAAAAAAAGACAAACCTACAATCCATCGCAACACCCAAATCCAATGCAATCAATCAATTCCCACTAAACACAACACCACATCTCACGCCTTGGCCCCAGCTCCAGCCCCAGTCGAACCAGAACCCGAAGCAGCAGCTGCCCGACTCTTCAACGCAGGCAACCCAAACGCCTTACTCGTCCCAACACCCCCCTCCGTCCTAGGCACACTACCCGACCCCGGACTCCACCACAACGCACCCACCCAAGGCTGCACATTCCACCCCACGGACAGAGTGACATTCTCCCGCTCCGCCATCTTCCCCGACACATCCCCGATCGAGTACTTTGCCTTCTGATCCCGCAACTTAAGGACCCCTGGCGCCGCCGCCGCACCCTTCTTGCCATTACCCGCCTTCCCTTTACTACTGGACTTCTTCGCCGTCCGCTTATTCTTATTACTGGTGGTGGACTTAGCGGGGAAGAACCGTTCCCGGAGGGCATCAAACGAGTAAGGCGATTCGGGGGCCGGGATGATCGTGTCCCAGATTACGGAGTTGGAGGTGCTGGTGCTGTTGGTGGTGGGATCCGTGGGGTAGGTGGCGTAGATGTAGACGAAGAGTTGTTTGGTGTTCCAGGTGAAGAGGGGGGAGAGGTCTATACCATGGTGTTAGTTAGTGGATCGGGGATAGGTGTTGATGTTGGGGAAGGAAGGGGAAGGAATGCATACCAGCGTCCAAATCGAAGCGCATCGTCGCGTATTCTTCTTTCTTGGTGCTGTAGTAGTGCGGACGGCCTTTTGTGCTGTGTGCATATATCGATGTTAGTGATTGATTGCTTGCTGGTGTTACTGTGCGGAGAGGAACGGAAAGCCTAGAATGGAAGATCGGTGATGGGATAGGAATATACATACACCTTCACATCGCGCAATTTCACACTCGACGTAATCCCATCCGTCGGATAAAGCAGCACCGAGAGGGCCGCCAGACCGGCGACGAAGAGCGCGACGGTCGTGAAGAAGCCGAACACGGCTTGCGCGCGATTGAGAGCTGAGTGCATCTTTCCTCTTTTTCCTGTCCCCCTTTGACTTTTCAATGGGTGATGGTGACGGAGAATGCTAGGATAGGAATAAAGAGGGAAAGAAACGGAGACCGAATCTCCCAGACGTGTAGTGTGCGGACCCTGGGCTGATAGACAAAACAACCGGCTGGGATGATGGATGGGATGGAGCTTGAAGCCACATGGGCCTTTTCGGGATTGGCTGTGGCGGAGGACCGGACCCTACGGCTTATCGATAAGCACGCGATATACATCCCCAGTTATCGATCGATCGATCTTCTCCTCTCGCGTGTTTCCTTTGCTTTCGCGGTTGATTCTATGTGGTTCTATACAGCGCTAGGATTACCAATTGTATAGTCTGTCTCTTGGATTCTTCATACCCGGTTTACTTTCTCCCGCGATAACTCCGACTACAGTACACCACAATATAAACCTCCCACCAAACCCCGCATATCTCCAACTTCAACTCCCATCCAACCCTCAACCCAAACCTCAAAGCCCAAAATCCACACAAAATGGGCGACCCCATCCTCTTCTTCTACGGTACCCCCCTCCCCCTCCCCCTCCCCCTCCCCTCAGCCCCCCTAAATCTCCCTTCCTAACCAAACAGGCACCCTAATGACCCCCCAAATCCTCCACCGCGTAATCCACGGCCAAGCCGACCCCGAACCCTGGCAAAAGGCACTATTAACCATCAAGCCCGCGATACTGCACAACTACCGACGACATCGTGTGCAAGGGGCAGATTATCCGGGGATCGTGCCGGTGTCGGAGGGCGACGATACGGGGGCGGAATCAAGGCCTTCGGTGCTGGGGACGGTGGTGTGGGGGTTGACGGATGGGGATGTATTTCGGTTGGATCGGTTTGAGGGGAGTGAGTATGAGAAGAGGGTTGTGAGGGTGAGGGTTTTGGATGGGGATGGGGATGAGGGGAAGGGGAAGGGAGGGGGGGAGGGAGAGGAGGAGAGGGTACGGGGGTTGTTGTTGGATGCGGCGGAGGGGGCTACGGAGGGAAAGGAGGTGGAGGCGGTTACGTATGTGTGGACAGCTGGGGAGGAGCGGTTGGAGGCTGCAGAGTGGGATTTTGAGGCGTTCAAGAGGGATAAGTTGGCGTGGTGGGTGGGGGCGGACGAGGAGTATGCATAGCGTGGGATGGGGGTAGATAGCCTAGATCGTCTTGATTCTGAATTCTATGATATCAATATATACATTCACAAGAGTCAAATCACCCCGCACGTCCGAATCCTCGCTGAATCATATCGCATGCAATGCTTGGTATCTAATGCAACCGGTAACACTGTCAACCACCCCACGGTGTCCGAACGCCGACGTGCAAATTGCACGGACTGGAAAACAAAGGAATGATACATAGGAACATAAGAATGAAAGTCGAATGATGCTGCAATTCACACTCTCAGGCAGGGCTCTTTTCAACACTGCGGCGCACAGGGGCGGACGACGTTGGCGGTGTCCCTCTGACCTGTGTCTGGACTGGCACAACAGTCACGGTGTCCTCAGGACCCTGGCCCTCCGCGGCATCTTTTATATCAATGACGACCCGGGGTTGTACCCCTAACTCCGGAGACCGGTGGGGTGACTTTGATGGGGGATGATTGGCAGACAAAGTGATGTCCGGTTGACTATCTGCAACCAGGACAACGTCCCCTTCAGCCGACTGCTTCGAGGTATCGGCACCACGAGGCCGTGGCCCTTTAACGTCCACTATTGGCGATGGCACCTTGGTCTCTTTGTGATTTTCCTGGCTCGGGGCTTCCACATCGGTTTCCGCGTACCTCTCAGGGTTAGTATCTAGAACACGGTTTTCCGGAGACGTCACCGCCCCGGGTGACGCCTTCCCACGCTTCTCATTTGCCGACACAGGGCCTCCGAGTAGGTAGCATATTGGCTTCTTATCCGCCATGGTGTCGTGGTCGCTTATTTTCTGGCTTTTAAGCTGTTCCTGCTCGTCATAAAGTGCATCCAGGAACTTGCGGAGCCGGTATCGGAGTAGGCCCGACCTCAGCGGAGGCCAGTCATCCACTTGGTCCATTTGCTTTTGAAGAATCTTCCTGACGAAGACCTCCGGGTCTTGAACAAACTTTTCCAGATACGCCAGAAGATACAGCCCACAGTCGGAATAATTGGGCTGTAATGGAATATCCTGAGCTCTCATTCCCTTGATTGAGTTTTTGTTAATTTCGATCCCCTTCTTTGATTTCGCTTCCCTACAGAGGTATTCACGCAGAGAGGATATTGTTGGAGAGCGAGACACATTCAACGAGTCAAATGTAATGATGATTGGCTGACAGGCCTCGTACCTGGGCCCCCGCTTGGCCTTTTGCTTGCGAGGCTTTGCAGATGGCTCAAGCAATTGACGGGCGTCCTTGGCATCAGGTCTCACAGGGGTCTCACGGATAGGTAGCCCTCTGGGCGAACTGACTGAGCTCTCTTCGAGCTCAGGCCACTCTTCGTCCACACCGGAATTCTCGTTAGACCTGTCTTTCACGGACTCATCAACCAAGCTCATCGAAGCAAGCGACTGCCTAGCCAGTTCTTCTCTTGCGGGCTCTGATTCGGTGGGCTTTTCGTCCCTATTATCCTTCTGTGGTATTATCTCAGGCTCGGGCGTTTCAGGTACCTCCTGAACCTGACTCTCTGGCGGAGTCGAGGGCTCCTTCTTGCCTTCAGCCGGTTCTCCGGGAGCCGGGTTTTCCTCGGCGATGCCCGGCAGGCTCGGTAAGTTGCATATGATGGCAACATACCAGTGCGCACTCTCATTAATAGGCACCACAACATAATCGTGGCTGAATATGTCAACGGTCCTCGTCCACTTTTGCACCCCTTCGTAATTGATGCCCCGCTTGCCTCTGGGGACTTTCATCAAGGTATCATGGAAGAACGTATTGAAGAAATAGACTTTCTTCGCCATCTCCTTATTGGTCCGATCCAGGTGCTCCTCGAGAAATCGGATGTAGAACCCGATGAGGTTGTCGTTCAAGAACTCATTCTCCCGGAGACGTTCCAGATCGTACACATCCACTTCGGCCTTCTTCTTTCCAACGAGTGGATACACAAGCGGCCTAGTAGATCATGAGTATGAAAGTTTGCGGATTCTGACGGAGGGTTGCCTACTTATCCCATTTATTGGCATGCGCCTCGGGTAATGGTTGCTCTGCAAGTTCGTCGTCGCTGTCGTCGCTGCCATGGTTCGTCAGTCGAGATCCCCTATACAAGGTTGGCAGTACATACCATACTACGGTAGTGGTGGTGGAAGTCGGGCGGCGAGACATTGCTCTTGTCGACATGCTGGGCGCGAACTTCTTCACTGGAATTTCCACGCTGGGTTCAGCGGCGCGCTTCGACACGCGACCTGGGCTCCTTTCAGGTTCGGACGTCTCGGGCTTGGCGGCAGAAATGGAGGGGTTCGCCCCTTCCGGGGGCGACGGCTGCCTCCCAACAGCAACTCCATGTTCATCTCGCAGGGCGTCCGTGAGCTTCACCCTTTTAATGGAAGCGGCTTGCTTGTCAGGGACTTGTTCGGTGACGTTTTCAGAAGAACGCTTGGTGCCATTTGGAGATTGCTTGTTTTCCCTTTGTGCGTTGTTGAATGCTTTGTTCATCCAATCACTACTCTCATGTTAGCTTGGCTAGGTCATATCCAGTAGAATAGAGTAAAATAGAAAAAAGGAAGGAAAAGAAAACGAGGGAAGGAGAAACAAGTCACAGAAGACAGAGCAAAGACATTATAACAAAGAAGACCAGCACACATACCGAGACTTTTCCTGTATGGTGATTTCGCTGCCGAAAAGAGAACAAAACCCTTCTTTTACCGGCATTGACACGAAATCTATGTCGATACACCGATCGACTCCGGGCATATTCAATCTGAGTCTGACCTTATGACTGGACGAGTCTCCCTTGATGATCCCTATTACCTTGGAAAGAGGTACTTCGAAAGCGGTCGTCAGATTCGCTGCGCGAGCCAGCACGATAGTATGTTTCACGTTATCGACATCAACCTCCAGAGGCTGGTGGGGTGATGGTGCATGGTGCTCAGATGAACCAACCCGAACGAAGGCTGCCCCGAAAGATTGTTGAGTTGATACAGTCTCCGAATTTTGCGCTTTTTTGTTTTTCCGCTTCCCCTTCTTACTGCTCCGAAAGGACTCGAAGACGGTCGGTTGAATATCGCGCGATGAGGGCGGAAGGCCTGTCGTGGCTGTATGTCCTCCAAGCTCAGCTCTCCTGGTGCTTCCACTTAAAACCGGCGGCCGCACCGTTACTGCCCCTTGAAGCTCATCGGGGCTTTCCGTCGATTCGGTGATAACTCTTACTACCCTCGACCGATTAGGTTTGTGCTGAAGGGTTGGGCTTGAATCCTCTTCCGTTGCAAGAACTGGCAACTTCATGTTCCTGATTTCGACACTCTCAAGAATTTCGGGTTTGAGGGGTCGATCCGGTTTATAGCTGGAGTCCATCTCCGATATAAGAGAACTATGTCTCCGTCTTTCTTTGGCCGCATTCTCCGTAAAGCGTTCATCGCGATCATCATCTGATGATGCGCCCGGATAGGATTTGGGGGCCCGCTTTGGGCTTGGCTGTACTCGGGGCAGTTTGATGAATCTCTCGACGTTCCGGTATTCTTTTACTTCTCCACGTCTGTTATTCCGCTGGTTCTTTGTCCTCCCGGGTTTATGGCTCAAAGTGGGAGACATACGTGACGGGTGATCGGCGATGCGGTGCGCCTCCTGTGCGGGGTGCTCCGCAACATCGTTGTCGGCGGAGTTCCTGGGTTTTTCATGAAGTGACTCTTCTAGGAACCTCTGACGGAGTCGTTTGATGGGCCTTTCGGACCTCGGGTATCCTGCGACATCTCCTGCCTGGTCATCACGGGCACGACGTTTCCCCTGGGCACGGACTGGGCCACTGTCTCGACCTTTCGAAATCGTATCCACGGGTGCGTAAGGTGACTTATCCACATGTCAACACGGGACGATGGTGTACTCGATTTCTGTCCTATCATACCTTTGGTTTATTGCTTCGCGCTTGTCCTGGCACTACTGGAACTCCAGCGGGATCTTTCCTGATAGCAGCACACCCTTATCAGCATGTCTCCCATGACCACCAAATATAGCTGAACGCACCGTCTGCTAGGGAGTAGCCTTTCCTCGGAAGGCTGGCGCAGCTTGGCATGTGTGGTCTCGCCAAACCTAATATTAATTGAATCAGTGTTGGTCGTCGTACTTCCGCATTGCGAGGCCATATTTACAGACGACGCATCCCAGATTCTAGTCGAGGAACGGTCTGACGGTATTGTGGACGTACAGGTCGCAGTTCGCAATGATGTCGAAGTCCTTCGGCATTGCTAGAAACAGACTATCACAGTCGACGTTAGCACGGCGGAAAAGAACAAATGCCGAGGCGCCCTCAAGAAATAATGAACGCTCGAGATTCCGAAAGGTGAGGTAAGCATGAAGTCCTTACAGTCGAGGGGAAAGTATTTTCAAAAGACGTGTGAAGGGAACCAGAGTCTACAGGCGAACCAGCATTCCATGCGCCGGACGTCTCAGTCCGCTGTAAGTGATCGGAGGTCGCATCTGATGGTGGAACAGAATGGGGGCTGTTCTGCGGGGAGAGGGCGGGTCGACGGGGGGACCGGCGGGTAAGAATGTCTGACAGTCTGTCAAAGAAGGACATGTATTCGCTGGGAGGGTCATTGCATGACCGAACGGGTCCCGGGGGTTCTCATATCGGCAAATGTTGAGTCGAAGTGGGCATGGCGATGAGAGAAATGCATCATTATGGCCAGAAAGGCGGTGGATGGTTTCTGCCCACCGACCGGCGGAGCCCTAGTGGGCGACTAGCCCGGCCTAGTGCGGGCACTAGCGCTCTCGTGCAGCTCGCCGTCTGTTAGTTCCGTCGCTTTAAGTATTTCCCTCGCTTTATCCACGAGCTGGCCAGTAGTACTCCGTATTGTGCATTTTGCTCGAACAAACCTACAAGAGCATCTGTCTACTTCCATCCCTTCTCCATCCAGCACCTGAGGACACATCTCTCCTCAGAAAGAAACAATGAAATAGCGCCACCGATACCAGACAGAGTATAATGAACCATGGATACAAGCCACCACAACCTTTAGCAGTGCTCGATTATGAACCACTGGACTTCAGACCAATTCAATCATGCACGGTAACAGTTAGTTAGTTTTGATATCCATACATAATCCCTGTGTTCGGAAATTGGTCCCGCGTTCGAATCGTGGTTCCGGCCTATTTGTTCCCGGATGGTCGCAAACTGCAAAGATCTTTGGGTACAGGCAAAAGGTTGTAGATTCCATGTCGGACAATGCATGTACTGATGTGTAGTGTGTGGAAGAGATAGAGAGGGATTGTGCATAGCATGAAGTAGCCACCTTCACATTATCTGTAGTCCTATCCGCTCCTAGTGAGAATGGATATATGTATATTCTCCCGAACGGACCATCATGATGTAAGGACTGCTCCATCCAAGTCAACCAGTCCTTTAAACCCCAAATCAAGTCCACTCATTGCCCCCAATATACTACTAGTAAATATAGTAACACATTCAACTATAAACCCAAGCCAAGCATACCCCTACAATTCCCCGCTCCTCCCCAAATAAACCTCTCACTCCTCTTCGCCGTGACCCCAACCCCGGATCCCACTTGAGAATTATACCCCTTTACCCCAATGCAAGAAAAGAAGCTAACGCCCGAGAAGTTGACCTGTCATGTTGGGCTAAGACGGATCGAATAGAAAAAGGCCTGGCCTGGTCTGGCCTAGATACATATATCTCCACAGCAGGGAATTTTTATGTATGGACTATGGGATCCCGAGACAAGGATCGTATGTCTATCTACCTACTCGGAATGGCAGCATTCATGTCGTCTCTCATATAGAGATCAGGAATAGATTGAGAACACGATTGATGTTATTGATCCGGTTTCAGGGGGAAGGAGATTTGATTGATGCGGGGATCGAATGAATAGGTATTGGGTCGGAGAAATACTGCCAAGGGATAAGGTTACTACTCTTAGGACGAGTTGGGAAGGTAGTGCGACAAGCTGTCAATTAAGATAGCCTAAATAATGCGAATCCAAGGGTGGGTGTCTAAAAGACCCGAGCTGGATTAGTTCGGATTAAGCAGCAGGCGGAGAATAAAATTAGATGCAGGATCTACTAGTCTGGACGCAACAGGACACTAGCAGCAGATCAACAATATTTTCCGATATTGGAGAATAGATGAAAGTCAAAGGAAGTCCAGTACTAAGTAGCAGTAATAGTAGTAGTTACGCTTCATCCCATCCGAGCACCCTTGATTTGCATTCCATGTGCGGAGCAGCGCGCATGAATTGGAAAGAAAAGAAATGGACATAAAAACCCAAATCGAGATCACTCAGTATTCGCCCCAGATGCCCCGAGCCCAAATTGTCCCAATGAGAATTTTGTGGTCTTTACTATACAGGATCATAACCCACGTAAAGCATGTCAAGACGTCGTGCCTTTTCCTTTGTCCCCCGTAGATTCATCATTTGCCGTAGCTCTTCGGCGATCTCCGCCAAGCTGGTGTTGTTGGGTATGGTTGTGGTGGTGATGGTGATGATGGTGGTGATGGTGACCGGTGTTACCGGAGGCCTTCTCCTGGCGCGCCTGGTCGATGGCCGAGCGTTGGGCAATGCTGTCATCGTGACTCTTCCAGACGATGTTGGTGTCGGCCGGGAAATTCAGCAAACGTTTGATCGTCTCCCTGCCAAGCGCATTAGCATACTGGGCTCGCTCCGACGCGCGGAGTTGGATAGAACATACCGAATCTTGATGTTCCGCCCGCCATCGATGCGGGTCCACACATTCAGAACATCCTCCCCGCTCCGCACACTGAGAACTGCACCGCAGACCTCATCGCTAGCCTCCGCAAACTGATCACCGATCATAGCCAGAAGAAGATCCTCCCAATACCGGTCCGCCACCCCCTTCTTCAGCCTTACCACCCATTTTCCGCCCTTCTTATTGGCATCGTCTTCCCATACGGGACGGATGCCCTTCTTGAAGATGTGGTAATCGGAGACGGTGGGAAGAAGAGAGGGTCTCTTCAGGTGCGAGTAGATCGACCAGAAACTCTCTACTGATGATATGGATGCAAGCGGGGCGGTGGACTTTTCGTAATCGGAGTATTTAGGTGTAGGGGGTCGGTACCAGATAATCCAGGTGGACTTGAGCGGGTGCTCCCTGAGGGACAAGGCAGCGCCCCTGGCTTTGCCGCCCTCCGCGGCAGAAGCCTGGTCGACCGGGTTGTCGCGCTTCTCGCCGGGAGTCTTGACGTCGGAGGGTGCACCGGGGGTTTTCGGAGTTCCAAACGACGCGAAGGCACCGGAGCCCAAGCCAAATGCGGAGGAAGCGTTTGTGGATGGGGAGGACACGCCACCGGAGAGAGGGGAAAGGGCGTTGAAAGGGTTGGATCGACCGCCGTGGGAGCTATCTGGGCCGAAACGCTTGGAGGCGCGGGGAAGTTCAACTCGAGCGCCGTCCGTCCCTGTCATAGACAGAGACAACTTGGAGGTACTAGAGACGGGGCAAGAAAGGGGGAGGGTTAGCTGAGTCGCATGGGCCACGCAGGCACGCGGACAAATCAACAGTGCGGGATTGGGACATACTTGGATCGGCGAGTCCAGAGGTTTGCGTTATCCATGGAGATAGCTACTGAGACAGCCCAGAAAGCGAGCGATCATCAGCGGGGGAACACAGGATCCGGCGGTCGATGGTCGTGCGAGAGCGGAAGAGAGTCGAGGTTCGCGGGCAAAGGTACCGAGCAATGGAGGAAAGTTGAGTGAACAAGGCCCGAGCCTGAAAATTAGATAGATTAATCGAGAGTACAAGGGACGCGGCGAGCGGGGACAGTTAGCAGTGGGGGATCGGATACGAGGCGAGGTGGAGGAGGAGGAGGAGGAGACGATAGACAGGAGGAATCGTGATCGTGATCGTGAACGTGACGAGGAGCAGAGGTGAATGATAAGGACTTAGAGGCGGAGGGGAAGAGGAAGGGAAGGGAAGAAATGCGGAATTGGGTCCTGGAAGTGAAGAACTGGACGCTTGGGAAGACGAGCACTGCCAGCTGCCGCCCGCCAATCAGCGCCCGGCCCGCCCTGCCCGCCCGCTCCGTCGTTTTTCCTTCCGGCGCCCTTTTTATACGCCGATTTTTCGCCTCGGCCGATTCTTCTTTTCTTTTCTTCTCAACAAACCCAAGACCACCAACTCAAATCATCGCTGGCTGCACACGTTTGATTCTGTCGAATTCTCACTGCACTGGCGACTCCGATGAGTGTGTCGAGAATATCCTTGAAGCCCGCTTCTAAAACCATCATCACGAGGGCTTTCCGGCTCCATGATGCGGTGATGACCTGTATGACGGGACATGCCTTTGCCATTCATGTCAATGTATTACTGTAGAGAGAGAGCCACAGTGAAGGCCGTGTCGTAGTTCGAGTCTGTCGGTGCGTGCCTCTTCTCCCTGCTGCCTGGCAGTCCGTTACACGGTCGACCTCGCAGACCACACCCCTTCGCTGCATGATGAAGCTTTCAATTACATTTTCTGGTAATCCGAGATGCTCAACCGCTGCTACACTGCCGTGTGGTCATACGCTGGTTGAGTGTGAGGTTCACAGGCAAAGTCTGATTGCCATTCTCCAGTCTCCGCATTCGCGTACTCTTTACCGCTTCATCAGTTGCTGACGTGGCTGGCTGTAGTAGGTAAATTGTTTCATTGGGGACCCTACATGTCTACGGTTATGAGGTGGGTTACTTCTGTTACGTCCTGCTCAACGCGGCCCTGTCACGTCTGCCTTGGATCAACACCCCCCAACAATCCCCGCACTAGCTCCTCCCGGTTCTTGATAGAAGAGATAATATACTTTGATGGAAATTGTATTGTCGTCTCAATGAGAATCTATACACACGGATAAATTGTGCCCAGAAGGGAAAGATACCGGCTGTGAAGAATGCTGAACCATAATGATAAACGATCCGGAAATCCCCAAAGATGGGAGTTAAATGCATATCGTCCGTTCCAGTCGTGCGCAAAGGATGTTGGTAGGGTAAATTAATGCGGGGAATGTAGAGGGCCGGGAGGTAGAGACATAAGAAAAAGCGCAAGACAGTGGGTGATGTTGGTGTTTGCAAGATTTGCATTGCAAGCATAATCGCTTCCAAGGCGCTTGGGATAGTGCATGCGTCCCATGCTGCCCCTAATTCACTGCCCCAAGAAGGCTAGAGCTTGCGAATAGAACCAGTGCTGAATAGGGCTGCGCGAGGGCGCAGCCAAGCTTTACTGTTCCTGATGTTGCGCAGACGTCGGTACACTTTCGGACCCGTCCTGCTTGACACGCTTGGGATCCCTTTCACTAGGGGGTGCCGAAGGGGCTCCCTTGCGCTTCTCTTTATCCCTCTGATACTCTGCACGGCGCTCTTTGTCCTTCTCTCGACGGAGGGCCTTGGACTCAAATTCATGCCAGTCGCCTTCGATATTCTCCAATCTAAGATGCATTAGCTACAGCCACACGGGGATAATGCGCTGATACTTACTCCACAGCTTGCTGAGCACTTGGCTCCTCCGAAGCAAAGTATGGGTGCGCCAGGATCTCCTCAGTGGTTGGCCGCTTGGCAGGATCGTAGCGGAATATCTGCGACACCAAGTCCAATGCGGCTGGTGATAGTATGTCACGGTAGACATCTTCGAATATTCTCTTCCGTCGCTCGGTTGGCCGCATCAGCTCGAACCAGGGCATCTCGACAATATCTGGCCATTCTTGCCGGGTCGGCGTACCGAGAGAATTGTAAAGCTTTTCCAGTTGACTGATCTCCCCGCCCTCGCCAGGGAAGACAGCCTTCTTCGTAAACATTTCAACATACACACAAGCCGCACTCCAAACATCGACCGCCGGGCCGTACCTCGTTTCACCCAAAAGTAGTTCTGGTGGTCGATACCAGATGGTGATGACACGGTTTGTGTAATCCAGCTGGCGGCTCTTGGAGAAGAATCGAGCCAACCCAAAGTCAGCAAACTTCAGTTGCCCTCGGTTGCTGATGAGGATATTAGCGGCCTTAATGTCACGATGCATGACGCCCCGGTGGTGCAAGTAGTTCAAGCCCTCAAACATCTGTTTAGCTAGGTCTTTCTTGTGAGCTGCCGTCAGCGTAAAGGTTGGGTGATTAATCAGGCCAGTCAGATCGTGAGAGAGATACTCAAAAACCATGAAGCACTCGTTTTTCTCAACCATGACTTCCAACAAGCTGACAACGTTATTGTTGCGAAGGTGTTGGAGTAATTTGATCTCCCGCACGGCTGTGACCGGAAACCCATCCTTCTCACCCTCCATCCTTATTTTCTTCAACGCCACTTTTCGTTGGGTGTAGACGTGAATTGCCTTGAAGACCTTTCCATAGGTACCTGCACCAATGACGGATTCATTGCCAGGCTTTCGATAGTAAACCGAGTCCGACTTTGCAAACTCTTCAGAGAGGGTGGGACGGGGCTTTGGTCGAGTGAGGATTTTAGGCTGCTTCTTTGGCTCGGGGGAACGCTCGCGACGGCGCTCGGGGCGGAAGTCGAATCTTCGGTCACCCCTCCTCCTCTCATTGCGATGCTCGAATCGATGATCATCCCTTCTAATATCGCGAGGATCACGAGGGTCACGAGGATCACGAAACGCACGTGGGTCCCGGAAATCTCTGCGGTCGATTCTCCCTCGATCTCGATCCCTGTCACGTTGTCTATCACGGTCCCGATCCCGGTCCCGGTCACGGTCACGGCGGTCGAAGCGTGGGTCAGGCTTGAATTTCGGTGGCGGCGGACCAGTGGATAGTCTATTGCGAGGGGGTGGTTCGGCGGCGCGCGGCGGCGGCTCTCTTGCCAGCATTCTTTGGGCCAAATCTGGAACTGGCTTAGTAGCTGGAGCTGGAGCAGCCTTTGCCTTGAAAGCGAAGCTAATTTTGCCTCCTTTGCTGGGAGTAGCAGATGTGCTGGCTTGTTGTGTACCGCTAGTAGTAGGTTGGTTGCTCTGCGTATCACCCTCCGAAGCAGCCTTGGACCCCTCCTCTTCGACACGGGATTCTTTGTTGCTATGCGGTCCAAATCGGTCGTCATTTTCGTCTGCATGCGAGCGTATTTCTGCATTTACCGGGGGCGGCGGGGGGCTTGCTGATGACAACCCATAGGGTTCGTGAGGGCTCGAAGGGCCTCCTCGACCTCGAGGGTCCGGACCCCTCCAATGTTCTTTGTTAAAATTGCTTCGATGATGTGGGGGCCCATTACTGTGACTTTGAGGCCCAGGATTCGGATAGCGACGCTCGCCGCTGTTGCCTTGATAATTGCCACGGTACCCTAAATGTCCACCACGGTAGGAGGGACCTGAATAAGACGACGGGCCATGACCCTGGGAGCCACCTGTGGTGTAGTGATTTTGCCGATATGGAGAAGAGGGGCTAGACAATTCGTGGCATTAGCTTGAGGTTGAAAGATATCTTCCAGATGGCCAACTCACCCATGCTGACCCCGTCCGCCGCGTCCGCCCGAGTACGGCGAACCAGGTTGCGGAGATCCACGGTAGGAGCTAGTTGGAGTTGCATTTTGCACATTTCCCGGGTATTGAGAAGCATCGGCATACGGTCGAGAGACTCGTGGGCGTTGGAATACATCGCGCGTTGTCTCTCCGTTGGCCGAAACACTGGCAGTGTCTGCATCTCGTCCTGGAGCTTCCCGAGACGGAGATGGGGACCGGAACGAGTCACCCGCTGCGGACCGGGCGGGCCTCGTCAAATTCATCGTTGGATCGTCCAAGGAATTGCGGCGAGAATCTGCAGACACTCTTGAATCACCTGACTGTGCAGAGTGACGCGATAATGATCGATAGCGGGGTCCGTCTTCAGGCTCGTCTTCGGGAAGAGGGCTATGAAAGCGTCGTCGAGGATACGCGTAAGATTTTCCGCCACGGACGGGAGACCGAGAGCGCCTTGTTCGTGGTGATATTGGACGTCTACCCACGGGTTTACGCCTCTCTCTCCCTCGTCGGGGAGATGGTCTTCGACCAGGCCTACCCCGGGTTGCAAATCGGCCTCGCCTGTTGGATGGCAGGCCCCGATCCAGGTCGTCGGAAGGGTTGGAGGGTGGGTAGCGGTGGCCTGGTCGGTTGGGATGATGCTGGTCAAAGGCTCCAGGAGAAGGACTGCGTGTCCTTTTACGCTTGGAGGGAGGGGGTGCGGATGGCGAGTGGTCTCGGCGGGGGTCTCTGTCAATCGATCTGTCAGGGTCGAGAGAGCGGCGCGACTCCGGGCCAGGATAATCAGCGGGTAAGGGTGAGCGATGACGGTCGAGCTTCCGACCAGGGTAGGGTTCCGACTGTGGATGACCAGGGGAGCCACGAGCGGAGACGGTGCTAGGGGAAAAATCGCGGTGTTGGCGAGGGTCGTGGTCGTGTGGTGGAAAAGGACGCGGTGGCGGCGACCGTGGAGGAAGGTCGTCGTCAAGTCTGTCCTCCTTGGGTCGGCGGCGACGGTCGCGGTCGCGAAATTTGTCCCTTCCCCTATCGCGGTACGAGCCTCGAGGCCGGTGCCTTTCCCGGTCTCTTGGGTCTCTAGTGTCGCTGGCGGCTCTCCACTGGTCTCTCAACACCGGACTCCTGCGGGACCCAGCCATGTATTCTCCTTCAGCTGCATCGGGTTCCAACAGAAAGGGAGGGAAAAGCAGCAGGAATCAAGATGACCGGCCCACTGGAGGAGAAGGAGGTTCGCATGTAGATGTCAGCGTGGAATTATCCGGTGGAGCCTGTCCTGTCGTCTAGGCTGGCGGGCGTGTGTCGACCGCGTTCACACAAGCCTTTCTGTCGGGGGATTGGGTGGTGCGGAAGACTGGTTTTTCCGGGGGGTCTGAGAGGGATCACGATTCGCGCGAGTTGCAAGGCCGGAATCTGGGCAGAAGCAGATCGTCAATGATCGGGAGACCTCGACCGGGGGTTGCAGAATGTGAAGGGGAGAAGAGGGGGTTTCTAAAGGGGGGGGCAGACGCACCTCGCAGTTTGGTCCCGGGTGTTATTTGCTTCCTGGGGGCCGCTTTTGTTGGCCTGGGAAGCACTAACAATACGAAGAATTGTGGTGATGGAACGAGAGTCTACTTGATGGCGGGACCTTTTAGTGAAGAGAGCGTCAAGCGGGTGACTCGGGGCGGCCCAACACCAATGTGCCGCTGATCCAGAGTTTCCTTGTCCGAATCGGTCTCTTGCTCTTCTCTGCCGGATGCTTTCGCCAGTGGTGTGGCTCTTACTACGATTCTGGCGCGAGGCCTCGGTGCAAGGACGGCAGCCAGGTGACGACCAGTGATGCTGTCAGTAGATGACCGACCCCCCTTGAACGCTTTGGCCTGGGGTACGGGGAACCTTCAAAGGTCGAATTTCCCCGAGCATGAGCGTCGCTGAATAACACGCCCTCCACCCAGCATTCACTGCCTCAGCCTTGAGGGCCATTGTCTCCGCGTCTGGAGCACGGGAGGCCTTATTCTTCTTTCATCATCATCACGATGGTCCAGCTGCACCATTCCCTAATTCTTTCCCTTTCTGCACCGCTGAATGTGTCGGTGGTATGACTTGGTTCATCATGGTCGGGTTTCATGTTTTCCCCCTTTTGTTCTGCGTGAACGCTCATGTCTTCCCCTCTTCCCCCGCCTTTTCCAGGCTCATTGCCTGGGTATATCACCTGTGGTCGCTCGCTGGCAGAGGAAGTATATCCTTTCACCACAAACACAGAAGACCTATCTACGGGGGACAATTAAACCGAATTGACAACCTTGAAAACGAACAGAGCGCACACACACCCTGCCCAGTTGAGCTGTCGCAGCACTGGTGCGGAAACAGATTCCACTCTTCCAGTAGCTGATTGACCAGATTAGTACCCCGCCAACAGCCGGTGTGGTGTAATAAATCGAGCTATCGTGGGTGCCCAAATCATCCAGAGCGTAATTTTGGTCAAGAGTATCGAAGCCGGGATACATCCTGTTATCGATCGAGGAACAAGACGCATGACGGGTCAAGGTTGGTAGAAAGTCGCAACGCCTTGGAGTAACCGAAGACACAAAGTATCTGAGCCTTGTGAAGGGAGAGGAGAAATCGGGTATAATAGAGGACGATGCCGTCCTCTTTATTACTCATAACTGTCCACACTGCTGGGAAATGCGGCGTCCAGAACTTGGTACACCACGGTGATTTAAACCATGTGTCCTGGGCAAGAATCAAATGTAGGCTCTACCTATAGCACAAGCCGCACCATTGACTTGGGCAGTCGCATTCATGCTCACCCACTGCTGGAGAGCCCAAGTTAGACTTTGTCATGTACGTACCTGCTGAGAGTATTTGAGGTGAAATCATTGAGCCACAAGAGATTCCGATGATGTCCGGCACTTCACCCTCCCGACGAACAACATGGCCTTACAACCATACTGTTGGTCAGTACCAAGAAGAACTATCGCCAATCCGTGCTGGGGTATAACCGTCCTCAAATACCACTTGAGAGGGCCGAGTTTATTCATGAGGCCGTAGGGGGTCGAGATGTGGCCGTTCATGACGTGTATGTAGGCGGTGGGGATGCGGGCTTAGTGAGGAACTTCCGATCCAGCTCAGCGTAACGCATGGTGGAAGTACGTGGCCAGGACTAACCCCAGCAGGCCTGGTGGCACGCAGAGTGACTCCAAACTCATCTTAGATGCTTCAGAGGCTCCCATACGGAGCCTATCGGCAAAGATATACCTGCGGACAGGGGCTTGTGGGCACATGGGCTCTTGTTGATTTGGTGACAGGTCAAGGGTGGCCGTAAGCTTGAAGCAACGGGGGGAAGCCGCCCGACCGCACGTGATCCGGAGTCGGACTAACTCGATCCGCACTCGATTGGTACGTGGGCCGACTAGCCCGTTCTGGTTACCGTCAAGGCTGGAGTAGATAGCTAGGTAGTGGACTTGTTGCTTCTTGTTCAAGGTTGCAGTCTACATGCCACCACTACGCTCGTGCCATGTCAATTACTGAAGGGATCGAATCTGAACTAAAAATTAAATGTTCTTCCCAAGAATGGTCTGAAGAGAGATGGTCCAAAGCGACTATACTTGCCAACATCTCCGAAATTACTAAGAATCTTAATCCTAGGATACTCTTCTCTTCAGGTTAAAAGCAGCTGACGAGGGTACAGAGCCTACCAGGTAAGCTATATGATGCCACGTCCTGGAGGGATCTTCACGATTGACTTGGTACCATCGCTGACTTTCTGCTTCTGGCAGCTCACACAACGAGTATGCACATGGTTGCTCTACATCACTTCCTTGGCATGTAGGAGCAGTTTTTCGGTTCAATTCCTGGGTGGCCTATCGTCGAGGCGCCTTGGTTCTCCAGACGGCACCGACTGGTCGAGTAATTTCTTCACTCAGTCGAATGCAGGACAATTATGTAACTAGCTCTGCCATTTCCTCGGCAAGGCTACTCGGAACAAACCGATTCATGTTCAAAGAAGGGTCATTAGAGCTAATATACTCTCACCTGGTCATCCCCGTGGCTCTTCATTGTCGTACTTCAGGAGTACAGATACTCAGGGCTGAACCGATCAAAAGTCCACAGAAGGTCATCCGATGCTTCGAGCTGCTAATCACCCAGCACACTGAGTAATCTAAACACCATCATATCGAAGACACTGGATGAGTGGTTTTTGCATGACTGCCAGTGGAGTACATTACGTGGTCAGCTGGTTAGGCAGCTACTATGTAGGTAGAGTGACCCCAGAATATAGAAGTGATTGGCAACAGTGAAAGTTAAAGCTCAGTGCAAATGTCGTTTATAGGGCCAGAAACCCCAATCCGTTTGGTTCCTGTTTGGAATATGTTAGAGAGCGAAACGCAGAGTGGAGAATTCGTCGTCATCAACGATGCCGTCGGTGCCGTGAAGAAAATGAGGGTGGGTCAGGGAAAAGGTATGCTTTAAGCTTACCACTGATAAGATAAGGCAGTACTCGGGGGTCTCTCCCCATTGCCCTCCGTCCTCCGGTCTCCGTGTGTGCCTTCAACTTCTTCCCGTTAAGGTGGATGCTTGGGCTGCGGAGACTATCCCTCTTGCGGCAAAAATCGGCCGATCTACCTTATCAAGAACAGAGCAAGCGGGGAGTCTGGATAGTCTGGATAGTCTGGATTGAAACCGAAGAACAATATGGATTACGCCCAGCGGAGGCCACCGGTCTGTACCTGCAACTGCATGACAGCCGGCCGTATCTAGAACCAATCTATTTGGCTCCACGATGCAGGTACCAACCTAAGATCTTCCTTACTTGACCTGTTCGGGCAAAGAGCTGACGTTGAACTGTTTGAAGATAGTGTCATGAGATGGTTTCCTGCACCTATAAAAGCAGCAGGCCTCCCTGCCTGCTCCTGTGTCTTGGATAGGGATCTACCAGCCTAGTGATTTGTCTCTCTTTGATCAACCCAGTCATTCTTTTCCAACTTGAAACCCGTCCTTCATGAAGTCAGCTACACTTCTCCTCGCCGCAGCCAGCGTGGTTGCGGCCAAGAGGAACTGCAGCGTCGAGACCATTGCCCAATTTCTCCCGAAGAATTCCACCGTCTTCTATGCCGATCACTATGCCAAGGGTGACAATTTCACCCCCCCGGTTGATTACAACTATGGCATGACCACCAGCCCCATGGGCATCAGCGCGTATGAGCTTCCTCTTGCCGGTTGTGTTGCTCAAGCCAACATCTCCTTGCCCAACAACACCCAGCACAGCGTGGGCTTAGTCCTGCCCGATGAGTGGAATGGACGGTTCATGGCTGTCGGAAATGGTGAATTCTCCGGGTCTGTGGGCTGGTCTTCCATCATCAACACCATGTGGTATGGATTTGCCAGTGTGTCGACCGATACGGGCCACGAGGGCAACAACGGTAGTTTCGGATACCACAATGAAGTGGCTCTCACCAACTGGGGTTACCGTGCCCTTCACGATGCTGTAGTGAACGGAAAGAAGGTCACCGAGGGATACTACGAGAAAGATATCTCTTACAGCTACTACCGAGGATGCTCCGCTGGTGGCAAGCAGGGTTTCAAAGAGGTCGAGATGTTCCCCGACGACTTTGATGGTGTGATCGCTGGTGCTCCAGCGTGGTGGACTACTCACCAGCAGCTGTGGAACGTGCTCACTGCTATCTGGAATCTTCCTGAGACGGCCGATTACCATGTCACCGATTCTCAGATGTCGGCCGTTCAGGACGAGATTCTGAAGCAGTGTGACCCCCAGGATGGCTTGAAGGACAACATCCTTCAGAACCCCCTTGGATGTGTCTTTGACCCGGTCCCCGTGATGTGCAATGCTACCTCGTCCAACGACACTTGCGTGACTCCCGCTCAGCTGGTGACTGTTAACAAGCTGTTCAGCCCCTGGATCGAAGCCAACGACACCTTCGTCTTCCCCGGCTACACCCTCGGTACGGAGGTGGGCGCGCCCAGCCTCAGTGATGACTTCGTCACCTACATCCAGTACATGCTCCAGATCGGATACGACTGGACCTGGGAGGACTGGAACCCAGACCTTGTGGCCCTGTCCGACAAGCTGAACCCCGGTAATGCCACCGCCAACGACTTCGACATCTCCCCCTTCTACAAGAAGGGCGGCAAGCTTCTGCACTACCACGGCTACTCTGACCCCTCTATCGCGACCGGCTCCTCCATCTACCTGTACAACCACATCCAGGAAGCCCTCCGCCCCCAGGACATTCCCATTGACGACTTCTACCGTTTCTTCCTGATCCCAGGCATGGAGCACTGCACCAGCACCCCCTCCGACCAGGACGCTCCTTACTACATGAACGGAGACAGCCAGGCTGATTCTTTGTCCGGTAACGTCTTTGGCGTTCCCGGCTTCAATGACAGCAAGCACGATCTTATCCTGGCCATCATGGACTGGGTTGAGAACGGTACTGCCCCCAACTACCTCATCCCGACCAAGTACAAGAACGACAACGTCGCCGATGGTGTCGACAAGCAGAGGCCCATCTGCCCCCACCCTCAGCTTGCCAAGTACAACGGCACTGGCGATGTCGATAAGGCCGAGAACTGGCACTGCAGTACCTTGTACTAGATGCTTCGCCCTAGGAATGGATCGAAGCTATATCAAATGGCTTGTATTTGATATATAGGCTGGATCCAAATGTATCATAGTGTATATTGTCCTCGGTTAGCCATAATATACTCACCTTAACTGGGTGTCAACAGTTCCAATCTTAGAAATGTCACCTTTTAGATATGAACTGATACCTGACTTCATGAACGCGGAGTGCAACTCTTGATTTGCTTTCGAATCATCGATTCCCTAAGTAATCCGTCATCATTGTTATAGACACCATGATCAAATACTTCTTTAAATTACAACCAGTATGAGCCATTACCACCGAATCCAAATAAAGTACGCCTTTTTCCACACCTGGCCTTTCCTTCATTACCATCGCAACCACGACGACACCCATTACACCACTTCAGTAAACTCCCTTCAAACCAAATTCCCCAAACCAAACACCATCAACAACAGCAAGAACAACAACAGCAACAAAAACATTCAATCCAGCCTCACCGCATCCATCCAATCCCATCCCAACCCCTCGGCGGCCGCCATCATCTCCTTCACCCACGACACCCCGAGCCTCTCGACCGGAAAATACTTCGCGCCCTGCGCCAACAGAAACAAATCCCGATACATGTCCTGCATCCTGAGACCCCGTCTCGCCATCTCCCTCAGAACCAACTCATCCGGCCTCACCAACTTGACCCTTTTCTCCATCCCAACCCCTCCCACCCCTCCCACCCCTCTAACCCCCCTCCCATACCCCTCAAACTGCAACCCCCCCGCCAAACGCCCCGGGACCCCAAAAATCTGAATCCCCTCTTCCCCCGCACCGGGGAGATACCTCCAACGCACAAACGCGGCCAACATATCGATATTCGACTGCAGTACCCAACCACGCATATAATCTCTCAGGAAGGTGAGGGTTGGCTGCGCCATGATGAGTCGGCGAATGGAGTTGCTTTTCTGGTCGCGTTGTTCGCGGAGATACATGTCCAGTTGGACTAGGAAGAGGACAGCGAGGAAGATGTCGCCGTCTTGCCAGATGCGGGGGTTGCGGATGGTCCATTCACGACGCGCGTTGTCGGGAATGTCCATTAGGAACCAGAATTTGTGGAGGGTGAGGGTCGCCAGGGGGGGGAGGGCGTAGCCGGTGGTGAGCAGGAGGTGGAGAATTTCTTTGGTGGTGTGGTCGCGGTGGGTGAGCAGGCGGAGCCAGGGGAGGGAGGGGAGGAGGTTGGTTAGGGGGGTTTGGGGGTGGGGGTGGGGGTGGGTTGGTGTGTTGGGGCCGGGGGTAGGCGATGGGGATGGGGGGTGTTGGTGCCAGTGGCCGGGGTGGGTGCAGAGCTTGGGATAGCAGTGGAATGGGAAGGTGTTGGCGGCGGAGGGGTGGTGGGTGATGTGGGCTTGGATGACGCCGCTGATGTGGGCGCTGAGGAAGTAGTGGAAGGTTTTGGAGGTCGAGCCGAGGGTCACTAGGTCGTCGATGGAGAGGTAGCTGGTGAGGAGGACGGCCAGGTGTGGGAAGTAGGTGAAGGCTTGGAGGAGGTCGAATTCTTCCTCGCGTTCGCTGTGGGGGGTTAGGGGCCGAGGAGGTATAAGCATGGTGAATGCAGGATTCCAGTGGTTTGTAGCAAGGTGGTTGATGGTTGGTGACTGCTGAGGTATGGCGGTTGTGCTCAGCGCGGTGGTGACTGGTCTTGCTGGCATGGTAGTGGTTTCTTGAGCCATGACCTCCGTGGTAGATGGTGGTCTTGTTTCCATGATACTGGCATTGGGAGGAGGCATGTACTGCATCTGGTGTCTGGGAAGCGGATGAAACCCACCGGTGAACTGTGCAGGAGGGATCTTAGGCACAGTTACGCCCTCGTTGGAGATCTGTATCACAGCCGGTGGCTTCTCCCCCGTGTTGTTGTTGGATTGACGCATGGGCATGACATTCTGAGGCTGGATGCCGGCAATGAGCTGCTGGCGGATGAGGTAGGCCTGGAGTGCTTGCTCAGGACTCAGATTTGTGGTGATGGGCTGGGGCCGTTGAACTAGCCTTGCGGGACGTCTTTCCTGTTGCACGTAATCAGGTGGAGGTTGAGAGCTGTTAACGCGCTCTTGGGTTCCCAGGGGCAGGCTGTTGATGGGCTGGGGAAGAAACCGTGCTGGAGCCGGGGTCTTCTCACTGCGGTGTGCATGGGGAACGGGAACGATCACCGCGTGTCTCTGAGCAGCGTCCTGTACATGGTGACGGACGTGACTCAATTGCTCTGGGGCTGGAGCGTTCCCTGTAGCACCTGAAAGGAAGAGCAGAGACTCGGCAGCGGTGATGTCGTCGTAGCTGGGGTTGATGTTCATTGTGCAGACGACTCGTTCACTGCGCGAACAGAAACAACACGAATGAAGCAACACGAAAGTGAGAACGAAGTCAATTTCTAGAATGGTCAGTCTGGGTCTTGCAGGATAGAAAGGAATGTAGTCAGTGTGAAATACACAATAGTTTGTTCAAGATCAATCAGCGGCTCTCAAGGACACGAATATTGACTGTAGACTACGAGCTGTTCACGACGCGGTAACACTATGGTGAGGATTAGAAAAGTATGAGACCATGAGAGGTCGATATGTATTCGAAACATAGGTGTACATTCACTAGATGTGTGATTCAGTGTGGATCATGGAGCAGATCAGAACATGAGCGACTTATGACATCTGTCAGTAGCAGGTAGTGAATGAAGCACTGGGATGAGCATATTCACTTGATCACTGGGTGAAAACTCGATATGCTGAGGTATGATGATGATGCCGACAGATGATGATTGCTGTGCTCTGGTATTTGTATCGAGATAGAACCAGCCAGCATATCCCGTACCAGGACATGTGTTGGAACCTTTGAGGCTCGACAGCTCCTCAGCAGTAGGTTCGCAAGGATTACCTATCATGCTGGGTTGACACGCAATTTATGATATGGATAGGATAGACAAGGAAGAATGATCATGTGCAGACTGGGTTGAATAGTCAATTGCTGAGACGCATGTCGTCTCGAATATACATAGCTTTTAGCTACCACATTTCCACCATGATATCATCCAAACCCCTATACCCCTATATCCAGTTGAGAAGATATTAAAACAAATGTTGAATCGACCTCGACGTATCGACATTAGTCCTGCTTCACGGTCGACGTGTCCGACCAGGGCTGCCGCCTGCCCTCTAGCCTTCTTCCTTTATCGAACCGCAACAGTCGAACGAAGGGAACAGACATTGGCCTGTGCGTCGCACCCGCGTGACAGAATATAGATCTATACAAGTAGTATTTGCAAACCAAGCCAATCCAAACGCAAGAGAACACTCCGTCCACGCGGCGTAAGTAAATGAATGCCAATTCCAATGACCTGTTGAAAGGTGACCACCAAAACTCCGGGAATCATGAATACCATCCACTGTTAAAATGAGGGGGTAACAAGTGCATGTCGTAACGAGGCTGAGTAGCAATGAGGACATTATCTGCGGTGCAGGAGAGTCAGGAATTCCTCCCGAGTCTTTGCACTCGACCGCATGCAGCCGAGCATGCAGCTGGTTGTGGTGGTGCTACTAGTCTTTTGCACACCACGCATGACCATGCAAAGATGGGATGACTCCATGACAACACCGACACCGCGCGGCTTCAGAACCTCCGAGATGGCCAGAGCGACTTGCTTGGTCAGGCGCTCCTGTACCTGGAGACGACGGGAGAACATCTCAGCCAGACGAGCCAGCTTAGAGAGACCAAGCACGCGACGGTCAGGGATGTAACCGATGTGCATCTGTCAAGAGGAAACTGGTCAGCATTGCTGTAGCTCTCCGCAAAAAAAGGGCGTCGTACCTTTCCGGTGAAGGGAACCATGTGGTGTTCGCACAGCGAAAACACCTCAATGTCCTTGACAATTACCAGCTCGTCGTGATCTTCATGGAAGACTGCACCGTTGACGAGGTCCCTGACATTCTCCTCGTAACCCTTAGTAAAGTAGAGCATGGCCTTGGCATATCTCTCCGGCGTCTCGCGCAGGCCCTCTCGTTCCGGGTCCTCTCCGACGCACTCAAGGATCGTCCGGACGGCTCCTGCGAGCTTCTTGATGCGCTCCTCCGTCTCCTCGGGCGTCGACTCCAGTCGTGCCCTGGTGCCGGGGCCTGAGGGGAGAAAAAGTCAGATCAAAACGATCGCAAATTTGCACTGACGATCACTTACAAGGCCAGCTTAGTCCATCAAAGTCAATTGGGGGAAAGAGGGTGTATGGGCTCGCCGGTCGGCTGACTGTCGCAGGCGGGGTCAATGCACCGGCCTCATCTCGGGGATCGCGGGGAGGATCGTTCAAGGTAGGCCTGGATTGCGCAATTAGAAAACCGATTGAGGTCATATCAGGCAGACACCACATACTTGGAGGAGGAGCCTCGGGGAGTATCATCGACCAGGGCGAGGGACTCCCCGGAAGGGTGGGTGGCAGAGGCGGGCAGGTCGAACTCTACCGGGATGCGGGGAGTAAAGGAGGAGAGGATGGAAGAGTTGAGGCTTTCCCTCTCACGAGCATCCCGGGAGCCCGTGGACACATGCAGCGGAGAACTGCCATTAAGCATGTGGGAAGGGATGGCAGACTTGGGCTTCGAGCCCGGAGGAGGGGGGGAAGTTCCGGAACCCATGACTCCTATGATTCCTTCAACGGTGGTGGAGAGAAGAAGGGAAGTGAGGAATAGCGAGAGGGGAATGCGGGTTTCTGCGGCGTAGACTGACTGAGCAGCAACGTCTTGGGGATGGAAGAATAAATGGTGGAAGAGGATAGAATCACAGCGCCGGAGACATGGCAGGTAAGCACGAAAAATTGGTTATCCCGACATGCCGCGCGATGGAAGGGGGTTAGTCGAAAAACCGAAAAAGCTAAGATGACTCCGGCCTCGAAGGGCGGCGACTCTCGATTTCCTTTCGAGTTGAACCCCTCCGCTTTCTGGCGCCCGCTTCCTCGCCCCCCTCACCGCCCGCCCCGGTGGCCACTCACAGCCTGCGCCTGGAGGGGCGCCGCTCCTCGGGGGCAATCTATGATTAAGCTTCCTTTCAAATCGTCTCCTCCAGCTGCCTCACAATCGCTTTCATCGGCCCGGTCCCCCCCTAACCAGCACAGTCTTTCAGTGCTAGCTAGGGCGCTTTGTCTCGATGATGCTCCCGTTCGGGTCTTTGTCGCGGGAGTCACTCAGCGCGAATTTCTACACGAGCGGATGGACTTTCCTGTGGGAGAAAAGTAAGACCAATCAAATGCATGGCCGTTGCGGCTCCGAGTGGGAGGGGCAGAAAAGCACGAGGGTGGAGGCCGAACTAACACAGCCAGCGCCCGAGGCACTAGAGGAGGCATTAATCGCGACTTGGATGCAGTACTCCGTAGCTAGGCTCCAAATGCTACATAGCAGCCACCAAACTCCCGAAACAAGACCTCGTAGTAGAGTTTAACGTCGTGTGATTATTTCCCCATATTCTTGCTGTGTTTGTAGTGAACTGGTAGAGTGAGTACATGAAGTAAGACGACCATCCCAGATAGGTATCAGTTGTGCAGACTCGCTCGTGGTGCAGCGATAGCTCATGGCTCCAACTCCTCCGTCGGCACATCCTCCAGGTCCTTGCCAACAATCGCATCCGCCACCTTCCACACCTGCAGCAGGTTGTCTTCGGCCGCGGAGCAGAGAACCCACGGGTCATTCAGGTTCCAGCTGAAATCCGAAATCCGATTGGTGTGGCCGCCATGCATGAACAGACTAGAGGCAGCGTTAGCAAGAGAGTGCAAACTAAAAGGGGCAATGTCACGTACAGCTCGGGTGGTCCATCCTGGGCATCCTCGGGAGTCTGCTCCTCGCCAGTCCGACTAAGATCCCAGAACATGATCTTCCGGTCATAGCTGGCACTAGCCAGCACCGCCTCCTCAAACGGATGCCAAGAGAGCGAAGTCACGGAGTCGTTGTGACATTCGAGCGCGTGCAGTTTGGTCTTGAGGTTACGGAGGTCCCAGAGTCCAATCGACTTGTCGGCTGAGCCGGTCGCCAAAACAGTTTCCGCGGCGGGGTTGAAAGCAATGGCATTGATGGCATCCCGGTGCTGGCCTTCTGCTGATGCAGCGGCACGCGTGGTTTCGGCTTCTCGCACGTCGATAATTTGGAGGGTGATATCATCGGACACCGTTCCAATAAGCGAGGAATGAAGAGGGTGATATTGAACATCGTTGACAATTGAAGAATGATGTGTGTAAGTCCGAACAGGCTTGAGTGCCTTATTACCCTTTGTATATGTCGTCAAATCCCTGTACACTGGTCAGTACGTTGGGTAATAACCAGAGCTCTAACCAGTCTTACCAAAGACGGACGGTCTTATCCTCACTACCTGTAGCAAGGTGACCGGCGGCGTGTGGACTCCAGCTCAGACCAAATCCTTCGCGTGTGTGACCGAGAAGCTCCATTTGAGGGTTGACGGTGCCTGTCGGCAAGCTCGGGTGCTTCGAGCGATCCCAGATCATCACTCGTCCATCTGTGCACATGGTGGCAATGATATTGGGGTTCTGCGGTTGGTATCGCGCCTTGTTGACTTCACCCTTGTGGTCAATTTTCTGGACGATGTTAAATTTGATTTCCATTGGCGCCTTCTTCGAGCTGCCGCCGTATCCCCCAATCTCCCCACGCTCTTCATCATAATCATCTGGGTTTGGCGCAGTCGGGTTAGGAAGTTGTACATGAGCGATTTGCAGGTAGTTTTGCGCATCACTCGAGGTGTGGGTGCCAATAAGCAGGCGATGAGTCGAGTAGGGCTTATCGGGGACACTAGCGGATGTCAGAATCTAGAAAAGAAAGAAGGTAGATGCGCATACTCTTGCTTATCAGGTAGCCATTGTGTCGTGAGGGTAGGCCACTCTAATGCCGTGCTGAGGATCATGTCATAGAGGAATGGCGCATTCTTCTTCCATGTTTTATATTCTGTTCGGAGGACTTCTTAGCCCGAGCGATGTCGTTGGGGACTGAATCCCATACCTTCATTGATAACCTTCTCCTCAGTGCGCTCCTCCTCCTGTTCCTCTTGCTCCTCAATGAAACCTAAAGGGAAGAGGGGGTCAGTGAAGCCCGCGCAACAGAACCGGGGGGCACCTCGCACCATCGTCGTAAGGCTCCATGATTGTGTGGAAGTACGGATCAAAAGCTAAAACTCCGGATAACGGTCAAGTAAAACAAGTCGCTTAGAAACGGAATTAACAGCGAAGTATGAGGGGACGGTTGTGACAGCCGGCTGGGGATTGAGAATGGAAGGGTAGCAGAGCTTTGAGCTGCGGATGAAGCTCTCGTTCGCACCGGAGAAACGCGACTTTCCTTTGACGGCGCGTTAATGGGTGCTCCGGGGAGCTAGGCCCGGTCGGGAAGGCGGGCTTGGCAGTACCACCTGATGAATGCTTCGGCCGGGGATTGCTGAGGTCACAAAGCAACCTGCAAGAGTCATCAATTCAATATTCAATCTGCCCCTCCGCATCTCCTCTCGGCGCAATCGTCGCCTACCCCCACCCCTATTTCCTTTTTGTTCATCCTTCATTTCCTTGTTGTATTCTACGGTCATACGTTCTCTGACGATACCCAGTCGTTTAGTTTTATCTACGACCGCATTGCCGTGCGCTGGATGATTTGCCTCCGAGCTTGGGTGCTTCATTGAATACTGACGACAACTACGACACCCACGAACAAAGGATAGTCCTTTCGCCTGATAACTGAACGTCTCAAACAGCTTCGAGTCCTTCCGATTATACGTATTTCATCATGGGTGTTCCCAAGTTCTTCCGCTGGCTGAGCGAGCGGTATCCCGCGATCTCGATGTTGATCGCGGAGAATCGTATACCTGAATTCGATAACCTATATTTGGACATGAACGGCATTATTCATAACTGCACACACAAGGACAGCGACTCTCCTACTTTTCGAATGACCGAAGACAAAATGTTCATTGCTATATTTAATTATATCGAGCATTTGTATGGCAAGATTAAGCCCAAGAAGCTCTTCTTTATGGCGGTAGACGGTGTGGCGCCGCGGGCCAAGATGAACCAGCAGCGTGCGAGACGTTTCCGAACGGCCTTGGACGCCGAGACAGCAAAGGAAAAGGCAATTGCTCAGGGCATCGAGATGCCCAAGGAGGATGCTTTCGACAGCAACTGTATTACCCCGGGTACAGAGTTCATGGCCAAGTTGACCGAGCAATTAAAATACTTTATCAGCAAGAAGATCTCCGAAGATAAGGACTGGCAGGGGGTCGAGATCGTCCTTTCCGGCCACGAAGTTCCCGGTGAAGGTGAACACAAGATCATGGAGTACATCCGGCATGCGAAAGCACAGCCCGGTTACGATCCGAATGTCCGTCATTGTCTTTATGGCCTTGATGCTGATCTGATCATGCTGGGCCTTCTGAGCCATGACCCTCACTTCTGCCTACTGCGTGAGGAAGTCACCTTCGGCCGCCAAGTCCAGAAGAAGTCAAAGGAACTCGAACACCAGAACTTTTATCTATTGCATTTGTGTATGGTCCGAGAATACTTGGAATTGGAGTTTCAAGGATTGGAACAGGAGGGTGTCTTGAGTTTTCCCTTCGACATGGAACGGGTCATCGACGATTTCATTCTGATGGCTTTCTTTGTTGGAAATGACTTCTTACCCAACCTGCCCAATCTGCATATCAATGAAGGCGCTTTGGCGTTTATGTTCAAGATCTACAAGGAGGCGTTGCCGAAGATGGGTGGTTATATCAACGAGCAGGGCGTCATTCAGATGGAACGATTGGGCATGCTTTTGGACGCCCTGAGTGATGTTGAGTTCCGCTTTTTCGAAGCCGAGTATTCGGATGCCCGGTGGATTCAGGCCAAGAAAACCGGTGGCGCAGAGCCCCAGGAGAAGCCCAAGAGTCTCACAGTCACCCCCGCGCAGAAGAATCTATTTAAGGAGGTTAAGAAGTATGTTCTCAACCGGCCTGGGAAGGGTTCAACCGAAACGAAGCCTCTTGACTTTGCCTCTGAAATGCCCGCTCGCGACCGCAAATTTGTGGAGCAGCTGGCCGATGATCTTCGACTACCATGGACCACCGTCGCCGATGAACATGGCGATCGGTTTATTCGGGTCCAGCTTCCGGGAAACGACAGTGAAGATAGCGAGGAAGAAGACGAAGAGGCCTCGATGGCCGTCCAGCGGATTATCCGGAGGTACGAGAATGCCAAGGTCCAGGAATTGTCGGCCGAGGAAGCCCAACAAGCGGCGGAGAAGAAATATGAAGAAAAATTCCAAGAGTGGAAGAATAATTACTACGTTGGTAAATTCGGCTGGGGGCTCGACAGCCACGAGGAGATGAAGGAATTGACCGAGAATTACGTGCAAGGCCTTCAATGGGTCCTCTACTATTATTACCGCGGCATTGCGTCCTGGCCATGGTTCTTCAAGTACCACTATGCACCAATGATTTCCGGTTAGTGTTGGCTGTGAAGTATGGATGGCTTTTGCTGACTCTCTGCAGATGTAAAGAAGGGCTTAAAGGCCGACACGAACTTCCGACTCGGCAAGCCGTTCCGGCCTTACGAGCAGCTGATGGGCGTGTTGCCGGATCGAAGCAAGAAGATTGTGCCTGCTGCCTATCGCGATCTGATGACTTCCCCAGAGTCCCCGATTTATGACTTTTACCCGCGTGATTTTGAGTTGGATATGAATGGGAAGAAGATGGAGTGGGAGGCCGTCGTCAAGATCCCATTCATTGAAGAAGGTCGTCTGTTGGACGCCCTTGCGACCAGAGAACACCTCTTGACCCCCGAGGAGAAGGCCCGGAATGGATTCGGGGCCAGTCTTAAATTTACCTACTCCCCGGATGTGCAATTCGTCTATCCGTCCTCCCTGCCCGGAGTGTTCCCAGACCTGGCGAATTGCCACTGTGTGGAGAACATTTTTGACTTGCCAACCATGGATGGTCTTGAGCCATACATTGGGTTGGTTGATGGCGTGCAAATGGGTGCCGCAGCGTTGGCTGGGTTCCCCAGTCAGAAGACCCTGCCCCATGTCGGTCAGCTAGGCTTCCACGGCGTTACCGTTTTCCAGCAAGAAAGCCGCAACGAGAGTATGGTTATCACGGTGCTCGATCCTGGAAGCAGGTCGAGCATCGAGTTGGCCAAACAGAAACTCGGTAAGCGCGTCTTCGTGGGCTATCCGTTCCTGCAGGAAGCGCTTGTCATCCGTGTTTCAGACGAACTTTTCGACTACATTCTCCCCGAACCGACGGGGCATGTGGTTTCTATCCCCCACACTCCAGCTCAAATCGAGCAGTGGAGAAAGAAGGCGACCAAGATTGAGGGAACTTACAGCAAGAGACTGGGCACGATCATCGGTGATGTTGAATCGCTGGTACATGTTCAGCTGCTCAAGGGCCTGATCAAGACCGACGAGGGTGCTACGATTAAAGAGTTTGCCGACATTCCAGGGCAGGAAACCGACTACGCACTACAACTGATTGTGGATGAAGTAATCAACCCCGATGAGCGGTTTATTGAGCGGGAGGCTTTGCCCATCGAACAAGAATTTCCCGAGGGCTCCCGAGCATTTTTCTTGGGAGAATTCAACTACGGAAGGCCCGTGCATGTTACGGGACATGAGGAGGGCAAAGTGAATGGAATGATTGCCGCGGTGAAGGGTCGCGAGCCCGAGTTTGGCAGGGACCGTGCCAGGGATGCCGAGAGGCTTTGCCCTTACATGCCCTCGTTCGCCATCGCGCGCAGCTTGCGCCTGAACCCGTTGGTTCTGGCCAAGATTACGTCCTCCTTCTCCGTTGATATCGAGGGCCAGCGTGCCAACCTGGGTCTCAATTTAAAGTTTGAGGCACGCAAGCAAAAGGTTCTCGGATATTCCCGCCGCGGGGATTCCGGTTGGGAGTTCAGCCCCAAGGCCGTGGAGCTCTTGCAGCAGTACATGATCAATTTCCCTGAGTTCATTGCAGGCATTCAACACAATCCTCAGAACGATCGGTACACGCCGACGGACTTCTATCCCGAAGACATTGCCCTATTGAAGATGAAGGAGATCCGGGACTGGCTGAAGTCCATCGAAGCCAAGAACTTTGAGCGGGTCCCTCTCGACGCGGAACAGCTCGATTCTGATGTTGTGAAGATGATCGAGCACGATGCCGACCAGCATGTTCAAAGTCTGCCACCCATGCAGCCGAAGAAGATTCGTGGCGTCCCCCGCGGCGCCCTTCTGCGGCCGTCCGACGTCGAGCAACGGCTCGGAAACCAGACGTTCAAGCTCGGAGACCGTGTTGTGTATGCTCAAGATTCCGGCAAGGTGCCCATCGCCACTCGAGGAACCGTCGTCGGTCTCACCCGAACTCCCCGTGCCCTCCTGCTTGATGTGGTGTTCGATGTCTCATTCATGAGCGGTACCACGCTGGGAGACCGCTGTTCTCCGTTCCGGGGTCAGACGGTCCCGGCGTCATCGGTGCTTAACGTTTCTTACCGGCAACTGACTGCGAACACCCGTGCGGCGACGAACGCACAAAAGCAGTCGCAGCCATCGCCGTTGACGGTTGCCGGGTATGGCGCCCCGCTTGGGCCCGGTGGACAGGGACAGCTGAGAGAAGCCCCGACCCCACCGCCCTTGGGCAACTCCTACCGTGGCGCAGTCACTGGCCGTGGGCGTGGGCGTGGCGCATCCAATGGAGTGGGTGCGCAGACCACCCTGCCGTTCCGGCCGCAATCCAACAGTGGATCTTCTACCTCTGATGGGTCGAGTCGCGGCGGTCGAGGCCGTGGTGGCCGTGGAGGACCGAATCGCACGCGAGGAGGATACGTTGCGGTGGATAACGACCCGGAAGCCGGGGTGATGAGCCACAACCCGAACTTCCGGCCCAAGAACTACTCCCATGTACCCCCACCTCAGGGCATCAATGGCCGTGGGCGTGGGCGTGGGCGTGGAATGGGAGACCGGGGTAATGGGTTCCGGGGTCGTGGTCGGGGACGCGGAGCGGCAGAAGTTGCGGGGGAGAACTAGGCGGAACTCCAGGATATGTTTGTCCAGCACTGGCGTTAGGATATAGGTTGGGGTGGTATGGTATATACGGAGGGTATAGAGTTACATCCCTGAGGTATGTAGAACCACGACTGACTTGATACCTGAATGACATGTTGGAATACGGCGATTGGCTGGAGTTCCCCGCATTTGCATATACTAGACTACTTAGTAGCAAGTAGTTTAATAGTCCTGTGTAGCGTCGCACAACCTCTGCCAAGTAATCCGGGGAAGCGTCGGACATCCCCCGATGGAAAAGTATCCGGGCCATCTATATATCCCCGCAACATACCAGCATCAACACTCTATCCCCTTCATGAATTCCTCCCCAGCCAAAGTACATCAACATCAGGATGACCTCCCTCCCCACCTTCGACAACCTCACCCTCGACCCCACCGGGCCCCCGGGCAACACCTGGGGTCTCTTCGGCCCATCCAACGACCTCGGCATGCTGAACCTTCTCACTCCGGAGACCGTCCGACAAGCCGCAGCTGAAGAAATCCGCGACGGCGTGCGCATTTCCCTGGATCTGCCGCTCGACCGCATCCGACACTCCAGCTACGGCCGGAAACCGTTCGCCAAGGAACTGATTAACAAGGCGCCACGGTTCGTCAACGATGATGCGTTGACGTTCAATACTCAGACGAGTACTCAGTGGGATGGGTTTCGGCATTATGGTGGGTATACCCATCTATAGGAGGTGTATATGAGATAAGGGCTGATGTATGGGTTGTGATGGGATGGGGGTATAGGAAACCAGAAACACGGATGTTATTATAATGGGCATTGTTTAGAGGAGTTCAAGGCTTCGAGCGTATTGGGGGTTGATGGTTCGTATACTCCTCTTCCTCCCCCCCATTCCCCCCTCCCTATACACACAACATACTCATACCCTCCACATCCCAACTTATACTAACTCCTCTCCCCCCGGGGGAACCCAACACCCACAGCATGGGTCAAAAAAGGCGGCATCACCGGCCGAGGCATCCTCCTCGACTACGCCCACTGGGCCACCACCCACAACATCCCCCTAACACCCTTCACCTCGACCGCCATCCCCCTCACGCACCTCCAATCTCTAATAACCGAATACTCCATCCACCCACGCCGCGGCGACATCCTCTTCATCCGAACGGGCTTCACCGCCGCCTTCAACGCCCTAACCCCCGCAGAGGAAGAATCTCTCGCCAACCGCCCCGCGCCTTCCTTCGCGGGCATCCAGAACGGAGAGGAAACGCTGCGCTGGCTCTGGGAGAATCAGTTCGCGGCCATAGCGTCGGATACGCCGAGTTTTGAAACTTCGCCGATTAATCATCCTGAGGGGTTGACGTTGCATGAGTGGTGTCTTGCTGGGTGGGGGTTGCCCATTGGGGAGTATTTTGATTTGGAGGAGTTGGCGGAGTATTGTAGGGCGAAGGGGAGGTGGGGTTTTTTTTTGTGTAGTGTGCCTTTGAATGTAGGTTCTTTTCTTTCCTTCTTTAGGGGGGTGGGGGGGTGGGTCGCGGGTGCTTTTTGTTGGTTTTGGGATGCATTGGCTGACGAGTGTATGTGCTAGGTTCCTGGAGGTGTGGCGAGTCCGCCTAATGCGGTGGCTATTCTTTGAGGTTGGGCATGGGAGGGGACTGGAGTGGTAGGTATGGGGTGAGGGTAGGTTATGTGTTTAGTGTATGGTTGGAGACTTGGAGGTTGTTTGATGAATCGTTACTTTCGAATCCTTTTCGCCATCAAAGAATCAACTACTCTTTACTGCACCCATTTTGTTACGCATCCCAACCTGCTTCCAACAATCGTACCATCACGGACATGCCCTAGTCACTCCCTCTCCCGCTCCCGGATAAGAATCCGAACCTTCGGATTCGGCATGATCCGATCCCCTTCCCACATATTCTCCGGTCTACCCTGATTCTCCTCGAACTTCATATCATAGTCCCAAAGCAGACGGCCCATGACCAGCTTGGCGGTATTCGCCGCGAAGAACCGCCCGGGGCACGCTTCACTACCAGATCCGAAATGAAGACCCGCCAGGTCAATCGACACCAACCGTTTAGTAGGATCACTACACCAGCGGAATCCACCAAAGAGTTTCCCATCAAACACGATGGAAGAATCCTTCGCCATAGGACCGGTAGCGAAGCAGATATGAGACCCAGTGGGGATGTGAAGTCCGTCATGGAGATTGAAATGGCGTCTAGCGTTATAGTGAACGTTGACTGAACAGGACATGTTAGCAAGGACTACCCCAGGCATCATGCAGGCTGAGCTTACCCTCTCTCGGTGGATTCAAACGCTGGGATTCGCGCAGGAAACTATCCAGACGGCGCTGCTTGTCAAGGATCTCCGGCGTCACCTTGGTCCACCCGTCCTTCAATGTCTTTTGGATCTCCTTCCGCAACGGCTGTACATACTCCGGTCGAGCGATAAGATCATAGAGCGCATGGGTCAGCAGCAACGTGGTGGTATGGACCATCTTCACACTGGTGAGCTCCAGCAACCCCCTTGCTAGGTTCTCAGTATCGCAGTCGAATGAGGCCTTCGCCAGATCCATCATCCATTGCATTATGTCGTCCGGCTTGATGTACATAGACTGATTGATCTCCTTGAACCGGCGGGTCTGGATCATGGGAACAAACAGCTCCTGCTGTATCCATAGCATCTTTTCATGGAGATCCTCGAGGGGAGTGAACCGTGAGATCAGGGGACGGAGGAACCAGGGGAAGAACTGCAGCATGTGAGTGGTGAAGACGGCGTTAGAAGTATAGGACGAAATGGCATTGATGTATTCTTCGTTTCGGCATATACCACCGCCAACAGCAACACGAGAGATGGTACGGCTGACGATGCGGAGAATAATATCATAAAGGGTAACCGAAATCCATTGTCCTGGTTGTGTTAGGTCCGTGAATTTGTCGGCGCTGGGATAGTGCTTGCCTTTGCATGGTGTGATTTCCATATCGATCGCATGGTTCAGCTCATCTATTACTCCGGGAATAATTCGATCTAAATATATGTCATCAGTCTGATACATATTGATTCCAGGGCAAGGAGACACTCACCGAGAGAAACATTCAACTTCTTCGTGACAGCTTGGACGGGCAAATCACTCACAGCCGTGGCAATGGCGTAGGCCCGCAACATATTCTGTAAACCTAGTATGAGTACGTTGTAGATAGCCCTATATGTACCCTCACCTTGAACTCAGTATCCACTGGGCTCAGCTTCTTGGGCGGGATCCGGTGGATTTCCTCGAGATATTTAGCCGGTAGAACGATCAAGTCGCCATTGGGTTTGAGGATGCGAAAGGGCCTGTCTTTGTACTGCATATGATGAGTTAGTAGCTCTGAAAGACCTGCGTAGGAATTGTACCTTTTCATATCCTTTGTGGATCAGAGCGGGCGCGGTCACGTAGTAGAGGATTCGGTTGATGAAGTCCGGGAGGAACCGGCTGTACGTGACGGTGGGAACATGGAGGGAAGCTGATGGCCTTGCTATGTAGTAGCATAAGGCTACGATGAAGGCCAAATAGAAAGGCCAGAGGGCCATGTTGGCCTTGGAGTGTTGCTGGACTGGGATTGAGTTTTGCTTGTATTGCTTGCGTGGTAGTGGGTGAAAACAAAAGGAGGAAAGCGTGGAATGGTATAGTTACAGTGCCCAGAAAGGTACAAACCACAAAGTGAATGCCAGTAGGCTTTTCCCCACTGCTGCCAAGTTCATTTACATACAGACCAGTCGCACTTATATGTAAATACTGTATCGGGATTATTCAGTGAATATATGGACATAACCGATAAGCACAGCAAGACTCCCAGCTTTTACCGTCCCCTTATCTCCAGGTATACCACAGATCAACGCCAGGCGCAAATGCAAAGCAGAAAGACGGCTGGGAGAGAACAAGAACAGAAGTATAAGATACAAACATAGCATACAATCATTCAAGGCCGACCCATTCGCCCTTTCCCTCTGCGTCAGCATCCGACATTTGCTCGTCCACCGCCGTGGTCTCAACTGCCTCGCTCATGGCCGTCAGGGCCAGATCAGGCTTCTTCTTTCCGGCAAGGACCGGCCTCGAAAGGAGGTAGTTGAGGTTGTGGATGTTCTTCTCAGTGAGTCTCTTCAAGCTGTTGTTGATCTCGTCAACGGCGCGCTGGACCGCACGGAGCTCAGGGGCGAAGGTGCCCGCATTATCCTTGAAGTACCGACCGTGGTTGCTGAAAAGAGCTTCGATCCACAGCAGGTTGAACTCGAGATGAGGTGTTTCCTCAGCAGCATGGGCCACGAAGCGAAGGAGGCGAGGAAGGTAGACCGTCGGCACGGAACGGACGACATGGGAGATGTCGCCTGGGGGGATAGCCTCATGGACCGCGCGAATCAGCTTCTGCTCATTCAAGCGGAACGCCATGATAAATGCTTTCAAGAAAGTTTCATCATCGTTCACTTCACCCGTTGCAGCCGCCCGCTTGGCCCCTTCCAAGGTGGCCACGATGCTGGACGGGGTGATCGAGATATCTAGATCGAAGGGATCGAAGACAATGTCCATGTCCAGGCTGTAGATCAGAAGACCCTCCGTGGAAGCTACGCAGAACGCACGTCCCGTTGGCGAGAAGTCCACGGACGTGACCCGGACCTCTGGCCGAGTCGTGCGAACTCCAGGGTCGCCGCGCTTGGCGCCAGGGAGGTTGCGGTCGACGCGTGTCTCGTGGTCAGAGGCTTCGCCTGTTTCATCAATAAGGCCTCGCGGGCCAGCTTCCGTCATGTCACGGCTGTTGAGGATCTCCTGGGTTCCATCTAGTGATGTGTTGACGGACACGGTATACTTCTTCACCATGGAGCCGGTCGCCACGTCGTACAGGCAGATGTATTTGCTGTTTCCGGCAGCCAAAATACAACTACCGTCAGAGCTGTACTTGATGCACCGGAAGGACTTGGTCCCGGCAGCATTCGCAGCAGTCTGACGATCAGTAATCTTGCGTCCGCCGGACACATCACGGCGGCCATCAACTCCACCGACTTGCACAGCATTTTCAACCGACCAGAAGCTCAGCTGCCCATCCAAAGTCGACGCGGCAACCTGCTTTCCATCGGGCCGGAAAGCCACGCTCAACACGTCAGATTGGAGCTGGAGAGGCTCGCTCGTTTGTGTCCGTCCGAAAATGCTCCATACACGAATAGTGCGATCCCAGCTACCGGTTACTAGGTGGCTGCCATCGGCTGCAAAAGCCATCGTAGCGATAGGGCCTTCATGACCAGACAACTGATCGAGCAGCTGACCGGTTTGTACCGACCAAATGTGGATATCGAATGAGTCTGGAGAGCCGGCGCAGACCACCTCACCACTGGGGTCGACCGCAAGTGACGAGAAAGACAACCGGGATGGGGCGGTGAATGTGCGGAAGTTTCGATAGCGGATGAGATCCCATGCTCTCACGGAGCCATCCAAGGACGCTGTGAACAAGACGTTTCCTTTCTTGGCAAACTCACACGCCGTGACTCCACTCGTGTGTTCCGTGAATGTCACAATACAGAACCCAGACTTGACATCCCAGACTTTGATCTTTCCATCATCTGCCGCAGTAACGATCTTCTGGCCGTCGGGGGAGTAGGCCAGAGCATTCATAGAATCCAGGTGCCCTTGCTGTTTCAGGATGTACGACTCCGACTGCCATTCCCACACCAGCAGCTGTCCATGCTGAGAAGATCCGAATGCGAGCCACTCGCCCGACTTGTTTATCGTGACGCAGTCGATGTTGCTCTGGGAAACACTGATTCGAGTCAGCTCAGTAACGCATAATCCAGCTAATAGACCTACCTTAGCTGATGAATCATGTTGAACTCGGGCACGTCATAGAGCCCAAACAGGCCGTTGGAGAAACCAACAACCAGCAAGTTGGTAGATGCGTGGAACGCGGCGCAGTTGACCTTGGCATCGTTTTGCATGAAGAAATCTTTCTTAACAATTCTCCACCGAGCTTCCGCGATGTCCTCCATGGTGTCCGGGTCCTTCTTGCTCACATATTCCCATCTGAAAAGGGCACCGTCCGAGCTGACTGTGTAGATCTATTTGCGATTAGTTCAAGCTCAACCGCTTCCCCGCGCAGACTTACCGATTCCTGATCAGCAGAGAAGTATGCAGCCTTCACACCCTGACGGTGACCGGCCAATGTAGTGGGCTCGAAGCCCTCCTCAGGGTCCAAACTCCATACTCGAGCCGTCAAGTCCTTCGAAGCCGTAATCACGAAGCGCGAGTCGCTCGACCACTCAATATGTTGGATCACGTCAAAATGACCGGCAAGGTCACGGTGCAGGACAAAGGGGGCGAACTCAAGCTCGCCATTGTTGTCGGTCCCAGGGGTGGTCGGGGTGTGCCAGAACTGCAAGCGTCTTCCTACTCCGACGGCGAAGTGACGACCGGACGGGGAGAACTCGAGCGCGGAGACACGGCCTTTAAAGGAGAAGTGATGGATGACAATGCGGCGGAGGAAGTTCGTCAAGATGGCGCGACCATTCTCGTCAATGGTCAGGAGGAGGTTGCCCCGGGGAGAAAGAGCAAGGCGATCGATATTGGTGCGATGCGAAAAAGGAAGGGTATAGGAGGTGTTGCTGCGGGGAGAACCGCATTAGTATCCGTGATCTCGACAGCCCGGAATAGGCAGAATCGGCAAACATACTGGACTAGGTCGAAAACCGAGACCTGATTGCCCACTGGGGAGAGCAAGCAGGTGCCATCGGGGGTGAAGATCAAATTACCTTTGCGATAGACCGTACCCAGTAGGTTGGAGAACTAGTGGCATTCTGTTAGAGCTTTTTTCCGGCCTCCTTTCCCCCTGTTCTGCTGGGTCCAATTGTAGTAGCACAATGCGGGCGAGCTCACCTTGAAATCCGTCTTCATTGTCGCCAACCCGATCCGTTTGCACCTCAGCAAGCAAGCGCCTTGTATTCCATCGGACGATTTTCAAAAAAATCGTCTTGCCAAAAGCGGGCGATAAGAGCCGGGATCAACAGTTGCTCCGGTCCCGGGACGTTAGTCTCCAATAGTGCTAGCGCCATCCGGGGCCCTAGCGGCCGAGCTATTCCAGACAAGGAAAGGCACTATTGCCCCCAAGTTGCCTGAGGCGTTACTCACCCCGGCGGGCAGGTCACGCCGGCGTGTTTGCATGTGTTTGCCTGGGGGATTCAGGGGCAGCCGCCCGAACAGCCAACCAGCCAAACCAACCCAAAGCAAGAAGAAGGCACGTCCTCCAGTTCCATTCAGTCCCTCTTTCCCCTTCACGCCCGACGGCCATTGCTTCCTTGTGCTCGCCTTGTCGTCGTTTATCTCTCTTTGCTTTTCCCTCCTTCCGTTGGCCCTTCACCATAGGCCCGGGTTGTCCTCTGCCTCTATCTACTCCGCTGTTTAGCTCTGCTTAATTGACTTCCAGCTCACCCCTTTATCATCATGTCTTCTACCGAGACTGCCAACCTCATTGGCATTGCCAACGTAAGTGACGGACTTCGTTCCAGAGTCCCCCACCGGACCTGGTTGCTAATGTGGTTTCTCAATAGCTCCCCAACCAGCGGTATGTGTCGCTAGAGGCGGGTACACCAAGGATCCAATCTAACTAATCCTTTCAGACACAAGATTGTCGCTAAGCGGGGTGCGGCCTTCACTATCATGGTTGGTTCATTCTGGATACTGTGCGATGGAAGAGGAGCCACATTCTCATCAAACCATACAGGTCGCTGGTGAATCCGGCTTGGGAAAGACCACCTTCATCAACACCCTGTTCTCTACTACCATCAAGAACTACGCCGACCACAAGCGCCGTCATCAGAAGCAGGTCGACCGGACGGTCGAAATCGAGATCACCAAGGCCGAGCTGGAGGAGAAGTTCTTCAAAGGTTCATACTGTGAATCCTAGTTTCTTGGCCGACTGCTAACGCTGCGGATTTCTCTCCCATTCTAGTCCGCCTGACCGTTATTGATACCCCCGGATTCGGAGACTATGTCAACAACCGTGACTCCTGGCAACCCATTATTGAGTTCCTCGACGACCAGCATGAGTCGTACATGTTACAAGAACAGCAGCCCCGCCGCACGGACAAGATCGATATGCGTGTGCATGCCTGCTTGTACTTCATCAGACCCACCGGACACACCCTCAAGCCCCTCGATATTGAAGTCATGAAGCGCCTGAGCTCCCGTGTCAACCTCATCCCTGTCGTTGCCAAGGCTGATACCCTCAGCCCTTCGGATCTGGCCCGTTATAAGCAGAAAGTGAGCAGCCCAGACATTGTCCCGTCCTGAAGGGTGGTAGTTAACCGTAGCCGACTATTTCAGATCCGTGCTGTCATCGAGGCCCAAGGCATCAAGATCTACACCCCTCCCGTTGAAGAGGATGATGAACACGCCGCCACTCACGCACGCAGTCTGATGGCTGCCATGCCTTTTGCTGTTATCGGATCCGAGAAGGACGTCAAGACCAGCGACAACCGGGTTGTCAAGGGTCGTCAATACGCCTGGGGTGTTGCTGAAGTTGAGAACGAGGATCACTGCGACTTCAAGAAGCTCCGCTCAATTTTGATCCGTACCCACATGTTGGATCTGATCCACACTACCGAAGAGCAGCACTACGAGGCCTACCGGGCACAGCAGATGGAGACCAGGAAATTCGGCGAGGCCCGCCCCAGGAAGCTGGACAACCCCAAGTTCAAGGAAGAGGAAGAGAACCTGCGCAAGCGCTTCACCGAACAGGTCAAGGTCGAGGAACAGCGCTTCCGCCAGTGGGAACAGAAGCTCATTGCAGAGAGAGACCGCCTCAACAAGGATCTGGAGGCCACCCATGCTGCGTATGTTTCCAGAATGCCCCCTGGTAGCAATGTGATGCTGACGATGAACAGAATCAAATCACTCGAGCAGGAAATCGACTCGCTGCAGGGCTCTTCTACCCGCAGCCACGGACGTCGTTAAGATGCCCGGGAACCACTGGGATCGACCGCGGCTCCATAACGGACTGTGGAAAAAGCAGAAGGATTGTGCTTTCGTCTCGACTAATATCTTTACATCTGACTACCCCTTTAACTTTTCTCGTTTCATGTTCATTTTCGGATTTTGCGCGCTCAGGGGAACCATGCGACCTGGGCAATGACGCCCTGAGTCGCCTGATGGTTTTGCTCTTCTGATTTGCCTGCTGGTAACTAGCGATGGTTTGACTACATCTTCGATAATAACCCACTTGTACTCCGTAGCATGTCAATACAGATTTAATTTTGTGCCAGGGTGGTTCCGCAAAAAGAAAAGCCGAGGAAGCTGAAAGGGGCGTAGATCCGCTCGAAATGCGGAGTAGCCGTTGGCTTGAAGCTAATCCCCGCCGGCGGTGAGCCGCGGCCTCGCCCGACCTCAACGGGCTCCAATTCTTTTGGCAAGACTCGAGACATGACCGAAGCATTTTCAAGTCCATTTCCTTCCGTCTTGCGCTGGGCAGTGAGCACATCCGCCCTCGTAATTGCCAATGCCAGCAAGTAAACAATTCCCCACCCGCCTGGTCCACACTCTCAAAACCCACAATGGTAAGCTTGATCCACTCCCAAGGCTCTAGATCCCCTCTGACGTACCTCAGGACCCGTGAACACGGTGACTTTCTCCAGTGACCCTGGGATTTATATCCTTACAGGGTCTACAGACCGCGCCATTCACCTCACCCGAGCCATACCAAATAATAACAATACGGAGACGACATCCCCTATCCAGAAGTACGAAGCGCATGGGTACGCCGTGTTAGACGTGGCTGTCGCAGCAGACAACTCCCGATTTGCCAGCGTCGGCGGGGACCGCCAGGTCTTTCTCTGGGATGTCGAGCAAGGAGGTACAATTAGACGCTGGAGTGGGCATAACGCACGCGTCGAGGCCGTGCAATTCGCAGGCGACGGTGACTCGGTAGTGGTTTCTGGTGGGTTATATGATTCTAATCCAATGCTTCCGTCATGATCACTGACATTCCACGTATGGTTTAGGGAGTGCAGACACAACTATCAACATCTGGGATACCAAATCCAATTCCCACAAACCTATCCAGACCCTCACCGAAGCCCGAGATACCGTTTCCTCCCTTCACGTACACATGCCTACGTACTCCATCGCAAGTGGAAGCTACGACGGCCGAGTCCGAGTGTATGATATCCGTATGGGACGCACTTTTGTTGATGTTCTCGCTCACCCAGTCACGAGTGTCCGCTGCTCTAATGACGGCAATGCTCTCCTGGTGTCTACAACGGACGGACGAATCAGAATGTTGGACCGCAGTGACGGGAAGCTCCTGAAGGCGTTTGGGGGTGAGGACAACAGTGCTGGCCAAAATGCAAGCAATGTAACATATCGCAAGAGTGATTTACGGATTCGGTCCGTGTTTGCGAAAGCAGATGCCGTTGTTCTCAGTGGGAGTGAAGCGGATGACAGTGGCAATGGCAATGGCTCAAAACAGGCGTCCGTATTCGCCTGGGATGTACTTAGTGGAGAGATGGTCGCGTGTGTCCCGACCGGAGAAGGCGTCAAGGCCGTGAGTGCTGTGTCGTGGAATGAGAAAGGGAGTAGCTGGGCTGGAGGTTGTTCAGATGGTACGTTTCTATTCCCGTCACAAAACCCCCTTCCATTTTCGATTCGTACTTTTCCATATGCTGCCGTTTTTCTTTTCGCATCGTCTCGGATTCAAACTCTCCGGTTTGCTTGTTTTCCTGGCGTGGCGCAAGCACGTGGCTAACCGGATGTCTGCTTACTGTACCATCAGGAACCGTCAAAGTCTATCGCTAGGCCGTCTTGTCCAATCCATACCCAGCTAGCTAGCTAGCTAGCCAGCCACTTCCTAGACAGTAACCAACTAGCAAGGTTTACTCAGTCAGCATCATCAGCCACCAGCTCCCGCACAGACATTGCTCTCTTGGCTCGTCCATCGTGCTCGTATTCCACCCATGACTGGATACCATGCGAGCTTTAAGTCACGCCACAAAGCACACGTGCAGTGTTATCAATGCGAACGGATGTTCTCAGCCTTGTTGCCTGCATCTTCGTCACATCCTGTATTGGCTGGTTTTTATCTCTATTTTCCTTTTTTTCGCCTCTCGGATACCACCGGCAAAGAGTTGCATCGCGTCAGCTGTTGTGATCATCAGACGGGTGCACCGCTCCAGGCAACACTGCCAAAACAAGGATAAGCACGATGGTGTCATGGATGGAGAGGCTATGCGCACGAGCGCCCTAACCTACGTATTCATCTTCTGAGGGATCATATAGTTTTCGCGCGTGCAGGTTTGATTGGCTAGGTTCTGACTTCGATTGGTTTCTTCTGGTGTCTGCGTGGAGAACTCGTCAGGCTGGAGCTTTTTTTTCCCTCCCCTTTTCCCTCTGTTTCGCCGTCTTACTGGTACGCACTCACGAGATATTCAGCTTGCGAGGTGCGGTGGCGACAATTGCGGAACTTACTTTTCCTCTCAGCCTCGAAGGAGCGCCTGGAATGCCCGAGCGTCAATTACGGTCAACGCCGAAAGCACTGATACGGTCACGCCGGGTGCACACACACGAAAGTACACTCTGGGCGATAAGCCCATGGATTATGATATTCATCCTCCACACAATGTCCAACCGATTCGACTTTGACCAAGTAGTAGCCAGTCATGCTAGATACAAATCACGTATGTCCGCCCTAGTCCGCAGATCAAACCAGACCAAACCAAATAGACAACACCGGCCTCGCTCGCTAAGTTATCGACAATGTGAGTAAATATATGAGATTATGGAATCACAGCTAGAGGGAGAAAGTAGAGCGGAGACAACGCAGATCGCAAATCTTCAACAGGATGCAAAGAAAACTTCACGCAAAACTTTTTGGTATGTATGCAGCGTATCCCAAACTCCGGTCCGCCAGTAAGGAAGTACTTGGGAGGAGACAGCAAGGAGAAAACTTGAATGTGACAGATAGATGCAGCGTTTTTGGTATCCGTTTAAGCATGAGTCATTAGAAGACAAGGCAGAGAAACAGAAACAAGTAGTAGAATGGGAAATGGAACGAGGTTGCTGCGCTGGATTGACTGGGCCAAGCCGGAAATAAACAAATAAAATGAATGCGGAGAACCTGTTTAGAACTTTTGTAAGGGGTATGATGAAAGTCAAGTGAGAAAGTTAGATTTGGAGCGCCGCAATTGCGTTTTCGGGTTCGTGGCTTTCAGCCTCGAGTGCGTCGACGGCACGATGGAGCTCATGCTCACCGACAATGATCGTTCCCGCCCGTGCGGTGCTAAGGAAACTGATCTCCACGGCGTCCATGTAGGGGTCCATGTCTGGCTCCAGCCGATGGGTCTTGTAGCCGGGACTGGTACCGAAGGGTCTTACAGGCCCGCCAGATCCGTGGCTGGAGGAAAGAATGTTTTTGATTGCGCTGTCGAAGGAGGAACCACCGCCGTTCCATGAATGGGAAAGGATGGTGGAGATGTCAGTGTCCTCGTCACCTCGGGCGTGCGTTGCGTCGGCCAGTCTACCGGCAACACCGCACACGATACCTGAGGCTTCAAGAGGAAGCGTACGCAAGTCAAGCATTATGGGAACGAGTATCTCCTCTTTAGAGCCTAAGAGAAGACTCATATCATCATCTGAATCCGTGGTCGCAGATGGGTCGCTCGAAAATCGCGGCAGGAGCCGTTTCTCTAATAATAAGGACGCCGCAGGATCAGCAGCGGTCAAAGTGAGAGACAAAAAGCGTGGCTTGTCAACGACCAAGGCCGTGGTGAGGGCGTCACGAAGGATGGATATAGAGCTAGTATCGCTGCTGTAGCGGTGATGCGCGGCACACTGGACTAGACGCAGAGACCTGTCGACAGACGGGACAATGTGGTGCTTGCGGAGGGAGCAAAAAGTGCGCGCCTGCAGTTCGTCCAGTGACGAGGGCGGCGGGGTTGCAGGAGGGGAACCCAAACTGCTTGCCGACCGAGAAGACATGGGGCTAAAGCAGCTATTGTATTGGGCTTGGTTATTGTTGATGAAAGCCTCCGTTGACATTTCAAACTGAAACCCCCGTTTCTCTAAAGCCTCGATCACTTGCGTCTTGCTCCGGAGGGGCACGATGATGTAGTCAGAAAAGTATGTAGAGATAAAAAAGATAGAGCTGCGTCATCTCGGTCAGCATGTTGCACGAATTCAGGATCAGCTGCACGTACATTCCTGCCATTGCCAGCGGGCTCGTGAGCTCGAGCACCCGCTGGCCCGCCTCAAGACCCTCCCCGTACACCTGCATGGCGATGAAGTCGTCGCTGCTGATAGACAGGCGGCTCTTGCCGGACGAGTTGCTCTGAACAAATTTGTCTACCAGAGGGGCGAAATACTCATTAGCGAGCTGCCTGGGGCACATGATTGAACATTCCACAGGGGTGAGTGAGAAGTTCAGAAATGCCGGTTGTAGGCGCCTTGGGCGCTCTGCATACCCATCATCCTCTTCCGCCTGGTTCTCAGAGATAGGAGACACCTCATGGAAGAGAATCTGCAGGATTGGGTTCAAGAAGAAAGGATAGAGGTCCAGTGGGATATGCACCAGGGCCAGTCGGTCTTCCTGTATTTCCACAACCGTCGTTAACGAGAAGAGCTTGACGCGAGGGGATTGCATGTTGCATCGGAGGATATTGGGGGAATAGAGCGGAGATGACACCAAGATTGTAGGAGAAGGGAGGAAGGCTCACCATGAACTGGACCTGGGCAGAGATGAGAGACAGTGATTGTTCCATCCTGCTTGATGGTATACAGGTGTGTTGTTTCTGAAACAGAAGGTCCGGACCCTGCACAATTGAATGAGAGGCGGGTCCAGTATAGTGACAATAGAGGGACAAGTAGAAGACAGCTTAAGAGCTAAACTCGGCTAAGCTCGGCTGCAGTCACGAACAAGTTTGCACGATATGGGCGACAGGTTGATAGACGGCAAGTGGATACAAGTCAGAGCATACGAGAAGTCAAGAGAGGCGATGATCGGATGTGTAATGAGGTGAGAGGCTGGCACAACTCTGCTGAAACCTGTGCCAGGCAATGCAGGGTGAAGCAGGTGAGTGGCCCGGCAGTCCGTGGCGCAGGCCAACTGGAATCGTGAAGCGTGAGTGGGAGGGATTTCCCTTTATGCTTTTCTTTTCTTCTTGCACTTGACGGTTCTGGACGGTAGGCAGCTTGCATTCATTGTTTTTCGACGCCCCTTGGTTACGCCATTGTTTAAGGGGATGATATCAAAGGGACCAGCACGCAAGAAGGGAGCGAGATCTAGTCAGAGATGGGGTGGGATGGATGCGACAACAGCATTGGCCGTGGGTCAAGGTGCCGAATAGGGAAGCTGGTGCGGGTCGGGTAGAGAGGGAAAGTTGACAGAGGAGATGGCAAGAATGATGAGATGGAGGCAGAAGTAGTGATGGTGGTGGTGGTGGTGAAGTGAAGTGGAAATGGGATGCCGTGGAGGGGAGCGAGCAGGTGACTTGGCTCTCGTCCTTCGGTACAGCTGGAGTCAGTCCCCTTTTCCTTCCTTCCTTCAACGCTGCTTCTTTGTCGCTAGTCGGTCTCTAGCTGCCTTTGAAATAGTTACACCTCCAACTGCCACGATGGCTACCCGCTAGAGAACTAAGTAAAGGGAGATAGACGGTGTTCGTTCCTAAGGCACCGCAGAGTCGCCAACACGGACAGAGAAAAAGAAAAGTTCAGTGACCGTTGACAGGGGAAAAGTAAAGGGAAAAAAAAGGACAGGAAAAAAAAATATAAAAAAAAAAAGAGTCACGAATTGAACCGTCGAATCAGTTGCGCCAGCGGTGCACGTCTTGTCGCGCGCCGCCAGAGTGACTCCTCTTATCCCGGCTTTAAATGATCAGACGAACCTTTTACCTAATGACCAATCCGTGGGAAGGCCGTCAAATTCAGCGCCTCGGGCTTTATCTCGAGCTCCACCGACCCAGCAGCTTATCAGCGGCGCCAGCAAATCCCCTCGATCGCCACCCCGCGCTAGGCGCCGGTACCGACGTTGCCCTGTGCTCGCCGGTGCATCAATCAGGTGCACGGATCGAGCATTAATCTGATGACTCGGCTTTGGTACCAGCAGCTGCCAGCAGGATCCGGACGGTCAGAGCGAGGAAAGGATTCTCGCTGCTGCTGCTCATCGGCTCCCCGCACTTTCAGGGGCAAGGATGCTGTGTCATGAACCTGTGGGAGTGTAAGCTAGTCAGGCACCACGGTCGCTTGGATTTCATCTACCCGGTCACACAGATGATCCTGCATAGCATTGCTGTGTATAGTACGGAGTACTACGGACTAGGACCTTTACCACATTTGTGAAGTAGACAATCTACTAAAGAGAGTAAGAGAGGGGTCGGAAATGGGCACACCCGGAGGGCTCGTTATCTGACCAGCAGAGCAGCGCCAGCGCCAGTACCAGCAGCAAAACGGTCAAGGTGCAGGAGATACTACGGTGGATCTTGTTCCATCTCGGGACGACCAGCGGATCGACTCCTGGCGATACAACTGAACGGGCGGCCCCTCCAGCATAAGTCCATGTACTATAGTTGCACGCCAACGTATCCCCCATCCGGACGAGCCATAAAAGTCTAGCCAGTCAGAACCCCGGTAATGACAACCCAAGGATGAGTTTTTTTTTCACCATTCCCTCTCCTGATTCCCCCTGATACTTCATCCTTTCCCAACCACGACTCCAATTTCCAGCCCATCGCGCCAAATCCAAACCCCCGCAACCACCACCACTCACATCCGGCCGCGAGGCCCCAAATCCCGACAATCAGCCACTTTAATGACCCTCAGATCAAACCTACTTCCCCCTCCCAATTATTCAGCACCACCACCACCACCATCACCACCCCCAGCCAGCCTCCAATGCGCTTAGAGCGCTACTCCCAGAAACCAGCCCGATCGCCCTCGCCCCCCCGCCTCCAGCAACAACAAAGTTCCGAGGTTGGCCTTCAATCTCAGACGAGATGACTAGCAACTGCGCGGTTCATTGGCTCTCGTTATCTCCTCGATTAGATCAACGCACCATCCCTCCTGTACGTCGTCGATTTGGGATGACCATCATCCAATCAGTCTGATTCTCCGGATGATCGACCCGACATCCTTGTGGCCTGATGTTCGTATGCATGCCGATGGCCTGAGTTAGATCCATAATCAGCTCAGCCATTTCCTCCATGCTGCTGTCTACATTTGCATCATCCTACTGGTGGAGTCATTTGAATGGAAGTAAGCCCGTAAGTACTACTCTAGTTATCTACTAGGCAGTACCAAGCCTAGACACAGTACGGAGTAAGCAATCAATCAATCAAACCCCTGCCTCCTCCCTCCTCCGGTACACACTACTCCGTCTTCCGTATAATGAATGACCATTTACCCACATTCTACAACAATAATTAACCTCCCCCTTTTTCATACTGAACCAATCATTAAACTCACTAAAACTTATACCAGACATGTATGCAAATCCACTACGTCATCCCCTCCCCCACCACACCCATCATTACTCCTAACAGTAGACACTATAACGTCCATCATCATCAAGTTCCACCTCCTCAGGAGCTACTAGCTCCGCTCCTCTTCTCACAAGCCCCGGGAACCCACTTCCTCGTCACTTGATTCGGGTTCCAAGAATCTCACACACCTTTTCGTAAAGTAGTTCATGTATATTTCTTGCTTTGGTTGGGTCGGGTGACTTACTACTTACTCACCTATCTGCCTATCTGCCTACCTGCTTACCTACCAACCTGCCTGCATGGCTAGATGTATACATACTTTCCTTGATCTTGATTGTTTGGGGATCATATGGTGCTTAGTTTCTTGCTTGCTGGGTGAGTGGACTGGTCGTGTGCTTGGTGATAGTCCTTTATCGATCTGCTTGTTTGTATGGTTAGTGTCGATGAGTGGATGAATGGGTGGGTGGGTTCAAGATACGGCTGTGGGAATGATCATGATCATGACCCTACTCGGGGTCTATTTATCTGCATATTCTTGGAAGAAAGGAGGAGAATGAAGTGACTATGTTCGGAAGGGGTTTCCATCCTATCCTATCGGGGAGCGGGGTGTAGCTTATCTTTCTTCACTCTGGCTGTATTTATCTAAAGTATATTGTGTAGGTTATTTGAAGGTAGGCTAGTCGATCAGTCCAGACTAGAAATGGAAGGGGGAAATGGACCCCTTGAAGGGGTATAGAGTAAGACAGGGCAATATCCATGGACATTGATAACCACTTTTCGTTTTCATTTGATAAAGAAAGAAAGAAAGAAAGAAAGAAAGAAAAGAGTAACCGCACACAACGCCAGCAGCAATGCACTTAACCCCCAATAAGTAGAACCAATGAGTACACATAGGTACTTAGTACCTATAAAAAGGTATACAAAAATTAATCATCGTCGACGCGCGCCCGTTTCGAGCCCCGTTCCGAACGGTCGACTTCCTGGATGCCATAGCGCTTCTGCCCGGCACCGGATCCGCCTCCGCCCGTGACGTCGGCGATCATGCTGTCGATGCCGAAGGGGTCGGCGGTGTCTTTTTCGAATTGCACGGGACCGTCGCGAGCCTGGTTTTGGTGGTTAGTGCACAGCCTCGTAGAAAATGTAGAGGGTGGGTGGGTTTACCTCAGCGTGTTCAGCACCACGGAACCCTTCCTTCGCCCGGCCCAAGACCTCGAACCGGTTTGATTTCTGAATCTTACTCATCTCGCCCTCAGCTCCCTCGTTGTCGTCGTCATCGGCCTGCGCCCGTGGGCGGTAGATGCTGTTGATGGCGTCCTGCGCGGCAAACAGCGGTTTATCGTAGGGATTGTCCTCGTTGAAGCCCGTGTCCATACCGCTCGTCTGATTGAACAGACGTGAGTCATACATCGACTCGGACGCCTGCGTCGGCTTGGCCAGTCCCAACGCCACCTTCTCCGAGATATCCCGATTCTGCTCCCGTGCCATCATCTGGATCCGACGCTCAGTGCCCATCCGGGACTGTCGAAGCTGCCGCTCGGCCTCTTGGCGACGCTCACGACGCAGCTGCTCCCGCTCCCGGGCAGCATCCTCATCCTCACTGGCCGAGTACGGCGACGGGCTGCGGCTGATGCTGCGCGACGGCGAGCGAGATCCCAGACGAGACTCGCGCCGACTGCTGCCGGCCGTACGCTCCTCGCGGGCTTTCTGGGCCAACGCCCGCAAATGCTCCTCCTTCTGTGCCTTCTCCTTCTCCGCCAGCTTCTGCTGCATCTGCGCGCGCAGCCTCACCTCCTCTCTCGCGTGACGGTCCGCCGTGAACAGCGCCTCCGCAAACTGCGCGAACTTATCGTTAATCGACACATCCTGCAGCCCACGTCCATCAGCCGCCAACCGCTTATCCAACGGAACCGTGTAACCCTTCGGATTCTTCCAATTCGACACCGGCGGCGGAATGCGCCACGCCTCCTGATCCTCAGCCGTGAGCTTCCTCGGCGGCGAATGCATAACAGGCGGCGGCGGCGAAGGCGGGCCGCGAGGGATCTTCTTATGTTTGAATTTGGGCGGTTCCATCGGATCCTGCTGTCTCTCAACAATCTTCATAATCCGATCGTTCTTCCGTGACGTATCACCCATCTGATTCGCCGGCGTATATCTCACAAACGTAGGCTCCGCTCTCCGACCGCCCTTCACGTTCTTCGGTTTCTGTGCCGCCGCCGCGCCCTCCACCAGACTGGCCAGGGCAGTTTTCGTCTTCTCCATCTGTGCTTGAACTTCTTCCTCCGAGGGCCGATCCAGCGACACCTCACCCATATCGACGCGCTGACGGAGTGGAATCAGATCCTTAAAGGAGGCATGCACGATTCGGTTATCGCTGTGACCGCGGCGCGCAATAGCATCGTATTTGACTTTTCCCTCGGCGTCCACCTGCACGGCGAGCGCGTTCGACGTCGACGCCGTACCTTTCCGGCCCATGTCGAGCGGGTACTGTGCGACCAGGATCTCGGGAAACGCGCCGCCATCGCCAAAGTCTTCGGGGGCGCGGGGCCGCCATCCGGTTCGGTTCTGGTAGGGAGGGGGGCCGGTCCTCTGTAGTCATCACAATCAGCTCGAATCTTTATGTAGATGATCGGTGGAAGAAGGGTGCAATTGTAGATATGGAGTAACTTACCCGGAGAACAATCTGTGTTTCGTCGAGTTGTCCTGGGCCTACGACCCGCGGACCTCGGGGCTGTGCATGTTGCGGCAGCTCCTCCTCTTCGCCGGTATACTTCGGCTTGGGGAGGGACTTGAAGAGGCCCTCCGCGATGGATGCCATTGTGGAGTGGGAGGGGGTGGGAAGATGGGGGAGTGATGAAATGGTCGAGGAGGATGCTTGGCTCTTTTTGGCGCGGCGGCGGAACAGGCGCTGGTCACGTGAGTAGCCACCGCCTTACGCTTCGATAAGGGCGCAGGGAAATCTCTGGCCTTACATTATAAAATCTAGTTTGGATGGATGATATGTAGATGTTTCATGTAGCTGAAAGTCAAGGTCGAGCCGGGAGTACGACATGACTGGCCCGGAAGATGCCAGGGCAACAAGTGAGGCCGGGTGTAAACATAGAGTCACACCCAGGCAAGCCTTCATAAAGTTTCTTTCAATGCTCTATCGTACACGGTCTCATGCAGAATGCAAACCAGACGCTTATAGTCCCCCAGATAAGGGATTTCTATACTATGTAGCAATGCCGACCCTCAATGATTCAATGAATGGAGTGTAATGCCAAAGAGCCAGCGATGCAGAATGTAAACAAACCACGAGAACGGGGCGTACATCAGTAGCCTCAGCTACAGCAAGTGCGCACGCATAGGACAGGCGATGCCCTCTGCGTCATCCGCCTCCACGTAGTGCTCCTTACCATGGTAGTTGTACCAGATCTTCAGCGTCTTCGGCAGAAGCGGAGCGGGATCGTGGAATCCAATGATGTGGGACTGATTTAGGTTAGCCAAAGAACCATAAGGGTTGTCAAAAGGGATATACTAACCTTTACCATGTTTTTGGAGATGGATAGTTGACCATGGTCGACCAACGCAGCCACCGGGATAGAGACGTCCGTGACTTGCGGTTCTCCAACACCACCCTTGTCCTTCTTCAAGGGATAGTGACCGTACTCAGCCCGGGTGATGATCAAGCCATCCTGCCTGGCTTCCTTCGCCTGTCGGCGTTGTACTTGTTCGGCCATAAGCTCGATAGCCGCTTGGCTCTCTGCCCTCTTTTTGGGTACCAGCTTCCTGAGCTGTTTTTGTCGTCGGGCAATCACCCGGCGTTGCTTCTTCCTCTCTCTCGGACGGATGAATCCGAATTCCAGCGCGCAATACGCCAGCCACGGGCAGATGACTGCCAGTGCAGCTAGATCCGCATCAACAACGTCAAATGGGAGCAGCGAGATGGGCACCCGGATGCTCTGGCCCAGTCTGCTCCAGGATACCGTCATAACAAGACCCTGCACGTCTCGAACACCAACGCCCAGTCCCATGCGAGAAAGTCCACCAATATTGCGGGTTCCCTCAATATACCAACCGAGGGACATATCTTGTCCTACAGTGGTTTCGATCTTGACCCGCACAGACCGCGGTTCGTTGTCCGCCGTCAAGGGGTAATGGCCTTCGGAGCTCCATTCCGAGCGAACACGTTCGGAGGCCGCTTGCCCAGAGAAAATATTGCGAGAGTAACTGAAAGACAGAGCTGTCTGCACCGGAGAGGCCACAATAACTGCCTGCCAGAATTCGGCAGCCTTGGATTGCTTGCGCTGCTTGCGGCGGACTGTCTTGAACTCTTCTTCCTCGTCCTCATCTTCGTCGTCATCCCAGCCCACAAGCTGATTTTCGGGCTCAGAGACTACACCGACCTGGAAATGGCTCTCTGGAAACGGAACGGAGAACAGACTTTCAGGCTGCAAACCGAGATGGATAAGCGGTTGGAAGAATTGACGCACAGCCTGAGGCCAAAATAAAGTGCCGGTCGACCAGTCACAAAACATGACCTTCCGATCTGCGATAGGCCTGCTGATGTTGAGACCAAGGCTAGGAAGCACCTGCTGCAACGATCGGTCCAAGCTGGCGGACAGCTCGACCCTAAAGGGCTTCGTGCCAGGGATAGCGATAACGGGCTTCGCCCAACTCGTCTCTAGCGATGGGTGCGGCAACACCGAGGCCTTCACAACCACGGTCGAGTCTTGTAGAAACGAGAACTGCGGTTTCGCAAGGATTCCCTTCGGATAACAAAACCCTCGAAATGCCCGAGTCGCGCTAACTCCCAGGTTAAACTGGTCGGTGGCCAGTATATGTGGGAGCAGCACCTAGACAGAGCGTTAGCAACGCCTAACCCGACCTGTTCCACATATCAGTCAACATACCGAACGCTCCTCCAATGTCCCGTCCAGCTGCTCGAACGCCACGTTCCGACGCGGCCGACTAACTCGCCCCGCGATGCCCGCATTAAACACTAACTCCATGTCATCCTCCTCATCATGCATGAACGGTTTGCTGGCCTCATCTCCCCCCTCGTCCTCATCCTCTCTTTCCTTTTTCCCAAATAGAAGTTCCATCGTCGGCATAGGCGCTCTAAACGAATACCCCAAGGAGAAAGCCGAGAGCTTCAGCGACGGGGTCCGGAAAGACGTGATCTCCCCCTCATCGTCGACGTGAACGGCATCAGTGACATCAATCCCAACAGTGAAGGATCCCTATATAAACCCCAAGAATTAGCACTCACACACTAAAGCCCCCAACTTCCCATCCCAATACCCAGAGAGTAAAAAGCAATTCACAGAAATTCATGAAAAGCGAGGGAGAGCTTACCGTCGCGTCAACCAAATCCTCCACCAACGACCTCTCCTTCTTCTTCATTCTTTCCAGAAACCAGCTCCGAAACTCATCCCCAGACATGGCCTTCACCCCGACTCTCATATCCTTGGCCGCCCACTCGCGCCTCACGCCCTCCGCGCCCATCATATCATAAACCATTCTTTTTTTGGGATCGATCAGCGTATCATACGCTGCCTGGATACGACTGAAATACCATATCGCTGACTCCGTCAGCTCGGCCGGCTGTTTATCTGGATGAAAGCTGAGGGTGAGAGTGCGGTACGCGGAGCGGATTTGCGATTCGGTGGGGGGTGGATGGCGCGGGAGGTTAAGGATGGCGTAGTAGTCCAACTCTTCTTCTGTTGATGAGAGGGTATCCTCTCGAGGTGGGGTATTATTGTTGTTCATGGTGGGTGGTGGGTGGTGGTTGTCGCACTTTGGATTTTTTGCGCGCGTTTGGAGGATGCTATTAGTAGCTGCGTTGAGTTTCAGCAAATCATTTCGAGAGGAGTTATTGCGTCGTGTGGGTAGGTGGTGTGACAGTTAATCGGGCAGGTGGGACGGAGGAGGAGGAGGGTGATGGTGCTGATGCGCCTGGCTGCGCGACGTGGTGGCTGTAGGTAGGCCGGCTTTGCATTTTGACAGAAACAGAGGATGGATGACGTCGGAAAAATGAAGTCGGCGGTTCGGCGGACCCGTCGCGTCGGTTGCTACTCCTCTTTCTCTCCTCTGCGCGGGCGGGGTCCCTGGCGGTTCGAACTTCCGAGATGGAAAGTTTCGAGGGAAACCCGACAGGAGATTTGGGTTTATATTGGTAGCACAATACTAGGAAGAAGAGGAGCCGATGGCGCTGATAAGGCCCAAGGGACTCGGCGCCCTGATTGGAGCTTTCTGATTCAGTCATTCCAAGTGGGACGGATGAAATGACTCGTCACTCTACACTGGCTCGCCGAAATATCGATGCTCATTTATTGTTTGGTAATATACAGTCCGTGTGCAATACATCGTCACTCATGTCATACCATATCCCACATGTACGAGCCGCATCCCAGCATAGGGCAACCACAAGCATGCAACAACTCAAGCCAAACAAGCCTCCTGGGTATAAACTGCTAAAAGGTAACTGCAACAGCTTTTGTACATGCGCTTATAATGCAAAATCACGACCAAAACGGGCAGAGAAACCGTCAGCTCCTCTCCTTAATCCAAAGTATCGTCTCATTAGAGAATGGAACATCGCCCGCTCCCAGTGCGCCGAATAGCTGCTCGCGAGGCAGACCGCCGTACATGAGGTCTTCGCTCGTCAGCAGGTCCGGCTGTTTCTGCACGCCCGCGCGCACTTGGCTATCCAGAGATGGCCCGTTGGTAATAAAAGCGGCCTTCCGGTCAGAATCGGCCTGACGCAGGCCCTCGCTCATAGCCTCTAGCCGCTTCTCGATCAACGTCGCCAGCTGGAGAGCGCCGCTCCAAAAGCGAGTCAGCTCTCGGACGGCCTCAAAGCCACCACGGATGAGGTTCACACTCTCCGGCATATCGACCATCAATCCTGCCGCACTAAGGACATCCGTGGCAGACACGATCACGTATCCGAGGAACGGGTTCAGAATGGTTCCTCTCGCCGTCCCCGGCTCCAGGATGATGCGAGACGGCTCATACTCCGAGGCATAGCGCATAAGGGCAAGAGAGATGCGGAGAATCTCCACGGCATGATTCCGCATGGTGTGGATGTGCCGCTCGACGGTCTCCGGTCGGTGATTCTGGTATCGTGCATGTCTATTCAGCGCCATCAACGTTGCATGATAAAGTAGATGGATAGACATGAATGAATCCGCTTTCTTCGTTCGGATGCTTCGTTCCATATTCACGGCTGAGAAGGTCAGATGGTCGGGAATCCGCGCGGCCCATTCATCAGCGCGTCCGACCACAGTCGTGTAGAAGTCCTCGAAGAGCTTGTTATATACTTCGGACGGCACCAGGGACAAGCGGAAGACATGGTCCGACACGTCCCCCCAGAGTGACATGATTTCAATCAGTAGTGCCATCGCACTCAAACTTGCGGTATCGTTTTCAGGAGAGGCGGGCACTTGGTTCAAAAAGCTCTGGAAGTAAGGCACTGTGGTATATTCCTGCGCCTCGTAGACCTCCTCTCGGCAAGGAAGTCTCAAATAAGCTGCTTTAGCCGAGATGAAGGTGGAGGACGGAGTATAGAAACACGACATGCGCTAGGAAGCGGATAGTTAGTTCGGGTTCAGGAACGGTTGAAGGGACGAAACACTCACATCCATGAGAAATGCGACCCAGAAAGTCCGCCTACGACACTCGATCAACGCTTGTGGGTGCAAGCCATATTCGCAGGGGCGACTCTGATCTACGATGACACCCCCAGACTCAACATTATACCGTAGGCCACACACAGTCCGGACAGCCGCTCCGACGATGTCCCAACCTCTCACCAGGGCACCTATGGCGTAGTACCAAAGACCGATGATGATGCGGCTTTGAGCGAGTTGCAGCGAAAGGGAATGTCGGCTATGTTCCACGGCATACCGGGCCGTGCGTGAGTACTTCTTGAGCGCCGTCGCTCTGTCGGGCCGGTCGGAAAACACCGACCCTAGCGCCATCATCGAGTACAGGAGCATGTTGTCTTCCAGGGACTTCGTATGGCACGATCGCAGCCACAGGATAAATCGCTTCCGGGGAAACATGTAGTACAAGCGGTCATTCACGTGGGTGAAATAGCTCTCCACATAATGCACCGTGAGCTCCGCGTCCGCTTCATACGGATCGGTATTCCAGTCGGATACGAGCGGGTCTTGGGGATCCAGGTCCTTCATTTCCATCAATATATCGGCGTAATCATGGGATGTGGACGAAAAGTCATCAGTTAGGCGTCTAGCGGTATCCTCTGCTCCGGCAGACGATCGGTTATGATGGCCCTGCCTCCGATAGCCGTATTGCTCATGATCCATGATACTATCTTGAGGGCCTTCCATGGCGGATGGAGGCAACATCGATACTTCGGATCTCGGGGACTGAGAACTGGTGTTCGGAAGGGATGCCGAACTTTCTGACGCCCGTAATGCCGAGTATGGAGAGTGGGACGTGGTACCGTAAGCGTAGCTTCCAGGGGGAAAGCTCTCTCGAGGTTCGTATCTGCTAGCAAGCTGGGTTGCCTTGAGTGCTGCCCGATGGCCACGAGGTCTAGAGTAACGGCAGAACAGGTTAATCACAGTACCACGACGAGCTAGACTCAGGTACTGGGCACTTACGCGCTCTCAAACCTGCACTCCCTCCCAGATTTCTGGCATTGGTCACACTTAGGAAGATTGGGTTGGCATTTAATCTTCTTCTCCCGGCAAGTCAAGCAAGCCTGGGCGAGTCGCTTTCTCGGTTTGCCGGCCTTCGTGATCCCCCAGTTTGCATTGACCGCAATCCCATCGATAATCTTAGGGCAATGCGAGCCGTCCGCGTAGATGTAGCATAGGCCTTCGCCCTCGACGTACCTCTCATCTACCACGTGCGGACGCACGTTTGCTGTCTGAGATTGGCTACCTGTTGTCGTTGTCGAGTCGGGAGTCTCGGAGGGCGAGAAGTCTCTACCGTACTCCTTCTCCGGAGAATGAAATCCATGATATGGATATGACACGGGTTGACTGGATTGCACAGGTGATCCACTATGAAGGGGATGTAACGAACCCTCATGAGCTAGCCCGGGTGTGGAGATATGAGACAATGGCGGAAGACTCCTGGAGTGTGCGTGTGGAACGGCCTCCGGATACGCCCGTGGGCTGTCATGTATCCCAGGGCGTGGTATGGAATCGCTCCGGCGAAAAGGTGTAGGAGATGCCGTGGTCCCATTTGGGGGGGTATATATGCCAAATCGGTGGGGCTGGTAGGGAGATGACGGGCGGCTCGAATGGGCGGTGGGCGTCAGTAACTGGCTGACGGGGGGAAGCTGCTCATTCGCCGTCTGCTGCTGACCAGGAATCATAGAGCGGCCTTGGGCTATCTCTTCCGGGTCGCGAGTCTCTGCTTGATTCCGTTGATGTAAAAATGGATCCGCTCCAAACTGCAGGGGGGCTGAAGTGCGAGGCGGTGGAAGCTGATATGGGTGGGACGCAGGAAGTGAATGGTTAGCTGGGTGATCCGGTTGTCGCTGTGACATAGCATCTATAGCAGATGGCATGCGCCTAAAGGAGCCTGCTGGAAAGGTTGACATGATGAGAGAGGGACTGGTGTTCGAAGTCGATCGGGGGCACCTAGACTAGGCTGAACCGCATCAGAGTTCCCCGACTGAGCTCGAGACAGAACTCCAGGCAGTAAGTCCTTCAGCTGTTCCGAGTATTCTCGGATTCCAGGGGGGATAAAGAGCAAAGAGGAAAGACTATTGGACAGTAAGGGGATTAGCCACGATGTCATCGCCTGCTGGATTCTGGTTAAAGCACATCCACCCACCAATTTCTCTCTGGCTATCCCGGTTGCTGAGCACTCTATCTGGAGGTAGACAGATAAGGCTGTTCTGGTGCTAACGGGTGGGGGAACCAGTGCTGGGGCAACTTGTTTCTAGGTGTCGGATCCGTTCGAGAGCGCGATTGCCCCTCCGTCGTAGGTCGATCACTGCCCGGCCGGAGAGGGGAGGACAGCACGGGCTGAGTTGATATTACAGTCCCGGTAACGGCTGTTCGAGACCAATGTTCTGCGACGAGGGTACGAGTCCGCACCATGCAGGCTCACGGGCGAGTTTCTATGCACTCACTGTGGGTAAACGGGAAGAGGGAGCGTCTAACAGATGATAGTCATGGCGAAAACAGCTGGAACACACTCTTAATTCGAAGCGACCTCGCCATTCCAGGATTGAGTTGCTTCCAGGTCCGAGGTGATTGTCGCAAGACGCATCGAACAATGGGGGGGTTAGGCTAGGTTGCTATTTTGTTGGGTTTCCGCCGGGCTACGCTCACTTGGGGGGGGTTGTGTGCCAGACAACAAACCGAAATGCACCACGGGCTCTGTTTCAGAACGGACAGGAGAAAGATGGGGGCGGAAGGAAGTGCGATTGCAGGTGGTGGCAGGGTTGTTGCTGGAGTCACCGCAAGGCAGGCATGGAAGGCCAGGCTGCTTGTTGTGAGGTGATAGGGTCCGGGGACCAGGTAGGACAATAATAAAGTCCTGCAGAGCCCGAAGACAGCCGGCCAAAATACAGATCTTTTGGGAGGGCAATATCAGCCTGTAAGAGCCGCTCCGAGGCCACTGGGTGTAAGTGGTCAAGCTGGCCTGATGTTGGCCGAACGGCTACTGCCACTAACGAATAAAAAATGGGCCCTGACAGGATAGCCTGTTTGCGCCAAAACCTGATGGCGCGGGGCACTGGATGGGAGAATAAATTGTGCTAATGGCGCTGCTGCTTAGTCGGGCCAATGTGGGAATGCCCCTGTAAAGTGTACGGTGCTAGTAGGAGTAGTCGAGGAGCGGAGACGCCTGGTGAAGGATAGCGGGGAGGGGTCGGGGATGGGAATGAGAAACCGAATGTCAAATAGACAGGGGAGGCGTAAAAAAGGAGAGGCAGAGAAAGTAGAAGTGGACTTGGAGTTGGAGTTGGAGTTGGAAGTTGGAGGGAGAAGGAAGGCGGAAGAAGAAGAAGAAGACGCAGAGCGGATATGGTGCCTGCTTTAGCTGGGGATCCTGACAAGTGCCATCCCAGAATTCCCAGCGGATGCATGGGAATGGCAACTTATGACCGATCCAGATCAGGATGATCAGAGAGTCCTGATTCAGAATTCCAGACGGGTTTAGTTCAACGCTTGCCCATCCACTCTTGCAGCAACCCACCGGGCCAGCCAGGCCATCTAGATGCTATACTCTATAGGATATACTTCATGCTAGAGAGCTACTAAGAGAGGGGACTGGGATAGATACTAATCTGGACTGCGGGACGGAGTCTGCCATGATCCCTCCCTCCTTCGGCATTCACTCCTGCTCCGTCCTCGGTTCAGCTTCGACAAGCTCCACTCCAACGGGGAGTCGAATTGTCCGTCCCTGCTACCCAGCAAGTACCTCGACCACCACCACCGGACCGGGGACCGTCGAGCATAGCCGTCGGGCGCGGTTAGCTTTAGACGCAGGCTAGAATCGAGCTACCGAGGGGAGTTGATCGTCTAGATCCAGCAATCTCCAATGTTCCAAACATAATGATCATGCCATGGATGGAGAGACTGGCACTTAGACTTTTACCCGGGTCGGCATCAGATACTTAGAATCGTCAGTCCTCGACAACTTGTCTGCATCTGTCCTTTTTGGGGGGTTGCAGCGTGGGAGATTGTCTCCTTTTTTTTTGGCCCTGGCCGGCGTGATTCTTTAATATGAACGTGATTAGGTTTCAGAACCGACGCCCCGCAGGAGGATCCTCGTTGGTGTTCGGAACGTTCCATTCCCAGCTCCATGGCGTTAGTCATGGCTTCATTGGCTTGAGGCGCTCATGCGACCACCGACCACGGGACAGCACAGTCTGTGTTCGGGACGGCAGTTGCAATTAACCTTGTTTCTTCTGGTCGGGACAATGCATCGTCTCCCGCCTGCCATCGCCTGCAATTGTGGCCTCCAAGATGTGCACTGTGCAGCGGTCGCGAGGCTCATCTCCTAGTCTACATGCAAGTGGATGAAAGAGAGAGGGAGGAGATGATGCCTCGATTTTGGATCCCAGCAGCATAGTAGTGCACACTTGGCGGGTATTTTCTGGATGGGGAGCGGTTAATCAATGGCAATAAAAATTTCCATCGTCAAAGAATTGAAAATTCCACACGCAGGGAAAGGGCCAGCCTGGCAAACTCCATATGCCGACCTGTTTCGGCCGGGCTGCCCAAACTCGGACAAACAACCTCAGGAGTGACCACCACCACCATGGTCACCACAACCTAGTACCTAGGCAGTAGTAGTAGTACTGCCATCCAGGGCAAGAAGCGCTCCAGACTCCAGCCCACCAGCTTATCGCCAATTTAGTGGCCAGTACGGAAACCTCCGTAGTCCGTCCTTACACGGGTGGAGCACTACTCCAAGCCGGGAAAATGATGGAAAGCGTCCCAGGGGAGGGCGTAGGGAACCGCCTCCCAGATCCCAAAGTCCCAAGTTCGCAGGAATCCCTCGGCCCATCGAGCATCGCCGGCCGGTTATTCGTGGGGACTGGCAACCAAGTGGACGGGGCGCATCCGGAAAACGGACAAAAAGAGGGTCTGCTAGCCGGAGGGCGGCGGTTTTTCCTGAGAGAGTTCTGACTTGTCGCTGGACTCGCTGGAGCGGCTAAGGTAGGTGCGTTTAGCTTGGAGTGGTGGTTGCTAACTTGATGCTAACTTGCTGGTGCGGACGTGCTGGAGATTTGAGTTTGGAGTCTCCTGTAACGGTTTGTGGCCCGCCGGGAGCAGCGCCCGTTTGGTCTATGGGAGTCGGATTTGTCTCATCTTGGGGCGATCCGATCTGCACCGTCAGGCGTTCCAGAGCCAGGCTTGCCAGGACATTCTGAGTTCTGACTGCTTTTCTCGCGGGGTGATGCCGTTGTGACGGGGTGTCTCTTTCGACCCGTGTGACGTGGTCTCTCGATGGAGATGTTCTCTCTTCTCATCATCATCATCATCATCATCATCATCATCATCATCATCATCATCATCATCATCATCATCATCATCATCATCATCATCACTACCACTATCACCACCACCATCAAACCCTGTTTCGCAGGAAATTCCCCCTTTGAAACAAGTGTTCTCCCCTTCAGCCTGTGAGGGAGGCTCTCACCCTACGGCCGTGCTAAGCAAAGTCTAAAGTACTATCATACGATCTCACCCACCGATCCCACATTGGCGCCAACCGGAAATGAAAAAAAAATTAGATAAATCCGAATGAGCAAATGAAAAAGGAAAGGAAAAAATCACGAGCAATCTAACCGGATTGTCTCGAGATTGCCTACTCCAAAAACCAAATCTTCATATGCCGAGTGCCCAGAGCAGGAAAAACCCGCACCAGAGCTGATTGGTGCGATTAGATCAGATCTTGCGGTTTATCCGAATAAATACCGAGATTTAGCGGAATTGACATTCTAGCGGTGCGCTGCACGCAACTTGCTCTTCTCGAAGGTCAACGGGGCCCTCACGACTGGATGCGGATTGGGGACCACCACCCGATGCACCTCATCCTGGGACCTGGAGATGGTCCCTAGTAGATACTAGGTAGGGATGACAGCAACCGTGCTCTCGCCCTGACCTCCCGCCTTGCCCGCTTAATAAAGAGGTACTAAGGGGGCACACGGCCTATCCCTAGCCTGAGCGGAGTTTAATGGGACTTGGCCTCCGTCCCCGTCGGAACCACTCCCTCCTCGCACCACCTAGTACCTAGATTGTAGTAGCGGGATAACGGACGGAGATATAGCCAGAACTCCATAAGGCAGGTCACGGCAGTGTGCATTGGCGAAGGTTACCGGTCGGGGGGCACCAACTGCCCAGGACGACTGTCGGCCGCGACTAGCAGACAGACTCCAACGTCCTGCACACTAGGTTCTATCTAGTGCATCACCGGCATCCTTCGGCACCAGGATCTGGCAATGCAATCTGCTCCGCCGTCAAATTCGCCACGACCAGACCCCCATCGCTATGCTCTGGGGCCCTGGGCACTGAGGCCAGGTACGGAGACCGGAGGACGCCCTATGTTCAGCGACCGGCCGTGATGGTCGGAGTCCATATCCGGAACCCCTGGGTCTCCTCCGATAGGATCAACTAGCGCCGGAGGGGGTGAGACACTGTGCTATATCGCAGTGTTGGGTCTCCTGGGCGAATAAATATCGCATCAATGACAATCACCATTGTCCTCGTCGCCCATCCTTCCAGCTCCCATGCGAAGTAAGGTTGCATTCCGTGACCGTGTACACCACCTACCGACCTAGTAGTAGCTAGTCACTTGTGCCTTCCCAGCGGCAGCGGCATCTCCGGCCGAAGACATATCCACCCCACCCCGACAAAACCCGTCCGTTGATCCCACTCCCCCCGTCGTCAACAGATGAATGAAGGCCGGCCCAGATGGCCCAGATGCGCATCCCACCACCGCGACTCTGCAGCATACGGACTTGCAGTGGTGCGCACCGCAAGACGTCCATGACCACCACCGGATCCTCGCAGGCTGCAGGCGACAGCTAGCCCAAAAGCTTGTTGTAGCCGCCGCGCCAAAGTGGGATGAGGTGGGGGTGGTCGAGGATCAATAGTCCATGGTAGCGTGTCTGGCGTCCTGAATCATGATGGCTCGCTTACTCCGGAAGTTAAACCGGATCGGTCGATAAGGTGTGTTTTATTCCTCACTAATTGGATTTCTGGTGTCCACGAACTACGGGCCCTGAGACTGGCAAAGGGTCACCTCGGCTATCAGCGAGCATGGGCCGTTACGGAGTATCTATAGCTTGTGACAATAAGATCACGGCGGCCGGCTTGGCCATAAATCATCTTCGGGGATTAGTGATGGAAGCTAGGCAGGTCGTTCCTGAGCCAAGGCAGTTGGAGCCAATTTCCTCCTTCCTTAGGTAAGATTTGGGAATCCACCGTAATATCAACGGATACCACCATCCTAGGTTCTACTATAGAGTATATTGAACTAGTTCAGATCCGTCCACGGAAATCCCTGAACAGTGAAGAACACATGCACCCATCCTCCGGAGGAGTCGAGAATCCCTCCCTCGTAACCGTCCTCGACTCCGTCCGAGAACGACAACAGCAATCAACACTAAAGTGGACCGGCCACGTTCGCAGTTGCGCAGTGCTGATCTCATCCAATCCCTGGCCACATACGTAACAAGGACTTGGCGGGTCCCCGAAAAACAACGAAAAATTGAGTCCGCATCCACGGAAAAGCCGAAACATTGACCAGATTCCAGAAATTCAATGCCGCTGGCCAAATGCCGATTCTTCACCGTGCGACACCAGACTGAACTCCGACATACTGATTATCGCTCTGGCCTGATCATGTCTTCCTTCCGTCCCCTTTCTCTGAGAAATGTGGATACTCCTGGATAGTACAACAACGGTACCACCAGATACCGACCGAGGTACGGGGATGAATTGATCGAACATAAACCCACCACTTATACATAAAATAATGACACTATGCTACAACCCATGGAATAACCCGCAGTAACCCAATATTCAATTTCATTATATCATCAATCAAGCCAACCAAGCCAGCATGTAACACTGATCGGATCTAACCGGTCATCCGCCATCCCACCGAACTAATCAGACGGAATCAACCCAGCAAATACCAAATCCAGATGAGATGAGATGAGAGGGCGGAGATGACTACCCCCCTAGTAAGTAGTAAGCATAATAAACGAAATAAAAAAAAAAGTTTAACGGTGACATCCGACGGACCAACGGAGTCGAATCCCTGTCTAACAAAAGCACGAGACTAACCGTTCTGCGCAAATGCAGACGCCACTGATGATTTGCTGGGGGGAATTAGAGGTTTGTTTAGGGCGGGCTTTTTTCTTAGTCTGGTGGGTTTTTTGCTTTTTTGTGTGCGGACTGCGCAGCGAGATAGGTAGATAGATAATGATGAATGGATGGATGGCTTTGCTTGTTCTGTACTGATTAGGGCGGGTGCGCATAATGGTGCATTCGTTCCATTAGCACGCCCCCTCGGGCGTCATACATCACATCCTTACTTATGGACTTTGCTCACAGGTTTCAGTAGCCAGGTAGCTGAGATTGCTAGATGGATAAATTCCAATAGATGGATGGATGGCCGGCCGGCTGGCTGGATGGTGTGGCATGATACTTACATATTCGATAAATCGAACCAAATCGTTCTTTGTCTGGTTTCATATAATGGAACTCTAATTTTCCAGGGCACCGGTGAGATGCAGACCTCTATATTAATGTATGCGCGATGCACATGAATGTCATGGGTTCTCCGTACTAGTAGTATATATTCCGCGGAGATCCCGAATCATTCATGTGCACCCCTGCTCCTTCTAGCTCCCTCCCCCTCTCCCTTTCTGCCTCTGAGCAACACAACACCTGCAACGATATGTATATAATTCTTTATGATATAGTAGCTACATACATGCCACCGTATAACCATCCATTCTACGTTAATCTTCAAACTCACTGCTAATCCTCCCCACAACCCACAATCCTCAATCCTCACATAATGACACTATGACACCATCCCCAACCTACTAACCAATTACTACTTACTCCATATTATACCAAATCCCCGTCTTATAATGAACATCCCCCGGACTGCCCTGTTTTGGGGACTCGCCTCCCAATAAGCCAGCCACCTAGGTAAACACTATGTAGATAACAAGGTACATAGACAAGTTAGCACTGACCAGCCCGCAAAGATCAACAAAATTACTCGGTTCAGTTCGGCGATGAAAGCTACCTAGCTACCTAGCTAGCTAGCTAGTTAGGCGGGGGGTAGGTCCGTTTGCTTGTTTGCTACCTACCTACCTACCTACCTACCTATTGCTTGTTTGTTTGCTTTTAGGTGGGTTCGTGGTTTAGTTGTTGGGCTTGATCCTGGGGTATAAGAGGGGTGGGATATAGGTCAAGCTTTGTTTTAATTGGTGATTGATGGTGATCATGGGGATGGGGGTGGTGATAAGGGGGTATGCGTGTTAGCTTACTACTTTTGTAGTACGGAGTAGTGTTTAAGGTGTGGATGTGGATGTGGATGTCGTTTGATGAGTGAGGGGATTAGGCTGGTATTATTGTTGGGTTGAATATGGGTTGGAGGCATGTTGGTGGATGGGGGATGGGTAGGGTAGGTACTGAGAAGTAGTGGACGTAGTCGACTGTGCTCCGTACGAGGGAGGAAATTGGGATGGTGTTGTGAAGGACTGGTGGTTGGTTATTGGTGGGTTGGTGGTGGTGATGATGATGCTGTCGTTTTTAGAGAAGACGCAATAAGCATCTCGAATTGTTAGAAATAAAGCTTGTCGGATTTGAATGCGAATGCTGGCACCGCCGTCTGTGATGGATGATACAATGTGCATGTTGTTAGTATCTATATCTAGGAACGGTAAGTACTAGTACTAGTATCCAAAGGACAAGGGCATGGAGATGCGGACTGGAACTGGGATCGGACTAGAATTATACATGGAGCAGAACGCATGGGCAGAATACATATCGCATCTCCACTACATATAAGTAGTGAGATATATCAGTTCGTGTTGGTAAAGGCCTGGAACGGTCGGTCTATCCCCCGTTCCACAAGCTATATTCTCTCCATTTACATGAGCAGCTACTTGAAAAAAACTACTATTCATTATGGGTATTCAACCTCTTCATTGGTGCTACCTTTTAACCGAAAACAAACTCATATCATACCCCACGTTACCCGGACCACCAACTTACGCCTCCTTGAGGGTGTTGAGGAACTCCTTGGAAGCGCGCTCGGGCTTGCCAGCCTCAAGGGACTTCTGGCCGAGCTTCTCCTTCGAGAAAGCAGCAGCGTAAGGGTTGAGGCGGAGCATGACCTGCTTGTTGCGCAGAGGGTTCTTCTTCTGGACGTTGACACGCTTGGTGCGGGCCTCACCCTTGGGAGCGCGGAGGACGGACTGGATCTCAGAAGAGTTGATGAGACGGGCCAGGTCGGCGTTGGCAACAACGTTCTGGGGCAGGAGGAAGTCCTTCTTGAGGGCGGAGGCGGTGGTGGTGGTACCGTAGACCTTGTCGAGGGCCTCGAAAGCGGCAGAGGACCAGACGATGAAGCGACCGAGGTGACCACCGGGGGCGAGCTGAAGGAGGTTGAGGGAGAAGACGGAGGAGGTCTCAACACCGGGGATGTTGCGGAAGGCACGGACGAGCTCCTTGCCATCAACCTCGGGGTTGTAGACAACGAGGGGACCGCGGCGCTGGCGGAAGCGGCGGTTCCTCAGCTTACCCTTACCGGCACGCATCTTGCGGGACTTCTGGACCTTGACGAGGTCGGAGCCGGCACCGACGGCCTGGAGGAGAGCGACGGCAGCCTTGGTCTTGCTGATAGCGGCGTTCTCGAAGGTCTTGGAGTCAACGACCAGAGGGACCTCGGGAACGTTGGCAACGCGGTGACCGCGGGCGAACAGGAGGGAGGGGACGGAAGAGGCAGCGAGGGCAGAGGCGGTAGCGAAGCGTCTATTTCCATCAGTTTTTGGTTCATTGTCTTGTCTCCGACCGGATTATCACCATACCTCTGGCCAACGTTGACCTTCTGGTGCCACTTGCGCCAGACCTTGGTAGGGGCGAACATACGACCGGAACGGCACTGGTTACCGAAAGCGGCCTGACCGGCACGGTGAGTACCACCACCGGAGACACGGGGGATACGAGCGACAGCACGACCTGAAGTTATCCATCAGCCTTCCCGATTCCCTCAATTTCTTCCCGTTCTTCAATTGTGCACGTACCGGTACCCCAGGACTCAGCAGAGGTCTGTTCACCAGCCTTCTCGCTCACGGCGTAAGGCTGTCTCTTGTTCTTGGCCATACCGGTGTGCACCTGCCTGTAATCGTAAACCGTCAGCCATCCTCCGTGTCCTCCCTGCGAAACCGGCTCAGTGTCGAAAAAACGTACTGGACAACATCAAGACGGATGGGCGAGGCGAAAACAGCCGGGAGGGGGTAGGTAGCCCCCGTGGGCTTGCCATCAGCGCCGGCGATGGTGACGGTAGGACGAGACGCCATTTTTGTCGACGGTAGGGTGGTCGTTGTCGTCGTTCGAGGTTGGAGATCGAACATCTCAAGATGAGCGCGCAAATTTTCGCTTAGTTCAACCCGCCCGTCGTGGGTGCGGCAAAGCCCTAGCCCTGTTGCCGTTTTGGGCGGGTACTGCTGCCTGAGGCGGCACCGCTCTTATCGCATACGGGGAACATCTCCATACTTCTGTCTACATTAACAGCGATCTGTTGCGCAATGGTCTTTTTTTTTGATTGGGTTTATTCATGTTGCCACGCCAATCCGGCACAATCTATGCTGCCGTTGTACCTAACAAATGCTTACTCTCACAATGATAGCCACCCTTTTCGCATAGTTCGTCATAGTTCTCAGAATCTTGAGTACTATTTAGTGGCGATAACTAGTTCACACCTGACACCGCATAGATCAGCTGATGCGCAGTACACATTGCATTGACTTATCACTACGTTGCACAGATTTAGAGTTGTTCTACCAAGCAATACTACTCGCTTATAAGCAAGTCATCATTCGTTGGCCAACGTTAAATTCAGATTGGTGCATCCTTTCTAAGGTACAAAGGTAAAGAAAAATCTCAAAAGGGTCCTAACACCACGCATTGTGCAAGGAAACGAACATAAATATCAATCGGCATGGACTAGCCATCCGTATCGCATTGTGCAATGCATATTCATGCGTGTACATGGCCGCCGTGACCGTGGCGCCTGGAGCGGCCTTCCTTCATAGTACGCGGCATCAACTTGATCGCAGAGATGGCCAGGTTTGAGCTCTGTCCCGCAGTGCACTGGGTACCCGTGGCCATTTGTTGAACCTGAGACCACTGGCCGTTGGCGCAACGCTGGAAAGAAGAGCCATTGATGCAGTTCCACTCGCCCTCCACGCTGCAAGATCCAGTAAGGGAACCGGAGCTGGAGCTGGAGCTTGCGCCGGAGCTGGGGCTGGGGTTGGGGCTGGAGCCCGAGCCGGCGCCGGAGCTGGAACCAGAGCTGGACCCAGAGCCTGAGCTGGAACCGCTGCTTTCCGAGCTGGAGGGGGCAGTGTTCACTGCAGGAGCAGCTGACTTGGTGCTCGCAACAACGCCCGCCGCTGTAGTAATCAGCTCGGTGTTGACGTGGGTCGTGGCAGGAGCAGCGGTGACAATGGCAGAGGTAGAAGATCCACCAGACCCGGAGCCAGAGCCAGAGTAAGAGCCAGTGCTAGAGTCACCAGCCGCGGCGAAAGTGGGGGTGCCGGTACAGGCGGCAGCACCAGCGGACGCCAGGTTGCTGGGCTCGCCATCATATTCGACGTCGTCACCAGGCTGGGGAAACCGGATGTCGACACCCTCGGAGGTGGTGCAACCGTTGATGTTGGCGACAAACATGGGAGGGAAGCTGGAGGAGCGCTTTTCGACCTTCTTCTCGACAACGGACCGCTTGGAAGAGGAGCCACTCTCGACCTCGAGGGGAGCACAGTTCATGTACATCTCGCGGTTTCCAATGCGGTTGAACCAAGTCCAGGCGAGTGTATACTTTCCAGGACTAATACCATCCGGGATCGTGTAGTTGAATGAGTAAGGATCGGCAGAAGTCGGACCACCCGAGAGGTTTCCGTCAACGTTGGCGGGACATCCACCTTCGAAAGACTTGATGACCATCCATTCGGTGTCCTTGGATGGTTCCAGGTCTGTGGTAAGACTGATCTGGCAGGAACCGCCGCCGTGGGTGGCGCTGCCCTCAAAGGTCAAGGGCATGCTCTCACCAACCTTGGCCTTGTTCCATTCGCTGATTTCGTAGGTATTGGACCGCAGCTTGCAAGGGAAATCACTGCCGTCGGCCGCGAGGGGCGAGTTGTTGAGAGTCGATTTTCCGTAGGGGACAGGGTCGGTCATGATCATGTGTGCCTTGACAGCCGAGACGCCCAGTATGGCGGCTGTCGCAAGAACGGATTTGGAGAACATGGCGGCGAAAGAGGGTCGTTACACACTGTTTGACAGTTGAAGGAGTGTTTGCAGTTCTGACCGTACCAGACGAGACAGAAACAGATGTTGCGTTGAGCAAAGAAAGCCTGATGATGGGTTAGCTCTATAGGGAGAAGAGATACGAGAAAAGGTGAGTCCAAGCAGTGGGGAAGCAAGTATATATCTGGCATAACACATCATGTTATGTTCTAACGCATAGAAGCAACAGACGGAGATAGCCATGTAATTGAAGCAGTTAAAGAAAATAAGGCTTTGAAAGACAATGAAAGTCGCGTTGGAAGGATCAGGGTAGTTGCATTGTGTAACGAAGGGCCATGACAATACCTTTATGGGAACAAGATGCCAAGCAAGCTTGTTCCAAGGTCGACTTTGTCTAATGAACCAAAGTGTCTGTGTCACAAAGGACGAATGCAAGAGGGAGGAAAAGAAGGATGGAGTCTGCCGCAGGCAAACAACAGAAGATTCGATCAAAAGGAGTGTTGAAAGAAAGCAGGACTGGCCTGTGAGACTGTCAAACAGCGGTAGAAGAAAGGACTGAACGCTCCAGCGTGGTTGGAAGAGAAGAAGAGAAGTGACCAGCACCGGCACCGCGGGGGGGTGTTATATACTAAATAGTTGGCGGGCCATGAGTGAATCGCAGAGGAATTGAGACTGCCTCTGCCAGGCGCGCACCGACAGCGAGGATAAGTGGGGGTGGATTGACAGTGAATCCGGTTGGTATGGGTATGCATATGGGTATGACGGACCCTGTGGTCCCTGGGCGAGTAGGTACAGAGGACAGGGGAGCTGGCTGGATGGATGGAGGCGCGCGGAGGTGAAACACGCCCGCGGCGGACCTGACTTCGGCTAGCGACGCCCCCTTCTGTCGCACCATCCATCCGCCCCGCTGCTTCATTGGCCGGCGGCACAGCGGTTGGCGCCGGGACTTGCCAATCAGGCACTGCAGCTGACAGTGCCCTTCTGATTGATCGGCTTCGAACTATCGTCGCCGTTGTCCGACCGGCCATCTTGCCTGTTCCAATCCTTCCGATGGATATCGCTCGACAAATGAGACTCCGAATCCCACCATTCGGCTTCGTCAAAGTTCAAGTGACTCCCGCCGACTGAAGAAGTACCAGCCCTTGCTTTGGACATCCGCGGAAGCTGAAGCCGACGTGGGGCGATGGGCATAGCCTTTCAGCCACTGATACAAAGATGTTCCATTTTCATGACTCTTAGCTAAGGCAACAGTGAGTTCTGAGCAAGGCCAATGTACATTAACGCCTGTGTGCAGAGTCTACGACATTCCGTAGATATACTGCGTCGTGAGAAGTCTCCTGTCATCATTCCAGAAGCTGAGTTCATCGACGGGAGGCCTCATCATCGGCGAATCGTAGTAGGGGATGGAATGAGCGAGACCGCCCAACGACCACTCATTCGACCCAAAAGCCTTCTATGAAGCACTCACCTCCATCCCCAAATGACCCATCACCCAATCCCAGTCCCAATCAGAGCTACTTAGGTAAACGATCCATCCTCCCAGCCATGAAGTGGCCCGACTTGGCGCTTCGGTGGCGAACCAAAATCCCGTCCATGTCTTACCGGTGAATCTTCTTGCAGAGACTTCTCCCCTAGGTACAGTAGTATCCCACACCTTTCAAAACTCTGAAAATCCAAAAAAAAGTCTCTGCATCCAAGGCGGCAGGGAATGTTGGAATCCTCATCCACCTAATTCGACCTAACGAGGCTGCAAGTATACGCCCAACCTCCTGCACCATGGTTCAACAGTGATCCCCGCATGGACGGACCCCGTCGGCGCAAAAGTTTGGTTGGATCGGTGGAGTATTTTCCCATCCGACCTGACTACCACAAAAGCACATCATCCTCGGGATTTTTGTGGGCTGCTACTGTCGGACGCCGGAGGGCTCCGTGACTCACTACACGTATCAACACTTTACAGGGTGTGCGCTGGGTTCATGGATCTAGGTTCCTCCATCTGTGGGCTCCTCACGAAGCGACAATTTCTTTGTTGAATAGCCGCCGACTGTGAGTTATCATGGGGATTCTATGCATCATTGGTTACACCGAGTCAGGGCGGCGGGATAAATTTAGGTCGCAGCAAGTCAGGTACTGCGTCACAACCCAATAAAAGAAGAAAATCGGGAGGAATGTTGTGCCGCTGTCTTATGACGTCTACTTTCGCCTCCCGTGCATTTTATGCCTCCAATTCTGTCTCAAGTCGGTAGGTATCTGCATCCACCACAATAAACCAAGCCACCCGAATACCACCTTCCTGACCACGCCAACCAACACCACCCATCCTAAATATAATAACTACTCCGTCACTCACATCATTATTAAAACACGAACGGGACCCAAAAGCCCAGGCTCCGGAGCCCTACGGCTCGGCATTTCGAGATGAAATGCGGGGACGGTCACAATCAATCTGAAACAGGGACTGGCGGGAGATCGCGATTGTCAGCTAAGCGAAGGGAACAACCATATCGGAGATCCGCTTAGGGGTCTGAAAATTGGGGTTGGACTTCAGAAGTAATTTTGACTAATGTGGCTGCCTATGGCTGAATGGAATGGGTCTGGATTGAGCAGTTGCTCTATAATATTGGAGACAAGCTAATCAATCTCCAGATTACAGAACAGAGATATGTTGGGTTTGAGATTAGTATGAGACTTGGCGCTTCACTCGTGATGTTGATTGGGGCCGGGTTGGTCTCCTGATATATGCTTTGACGTAGTATATGGGCTTCGTTGCTGTGGATTTTTCTCTGGGGGGTCAGTAGTAACGGTTACATTGGTATTTTGGCACTTGATCTAGACTCGAAACTCTCCCACTGGGCCTCCGAAAGGGGGCTGTCTTTTGTCTTGGTATGTCTGATGTTAATTTCGGTTATTGAGCAATGTGGTGGGCTAATCTAGACCACTGTTGCCTCCCAGGCCAAGTATTAAGGAACAACACAGTGAGATAACTTCCTCTCCACATAAATTAATCTCAGTTTAATCCTTTGCGGCAACAGAACTAAACGGCTTATAGTGACTGGGTATAGACATCATGATTTGTTTGGGTTAGATCTGATCCTCTTCTCTACGCTATACAAGGTATCCTCCAAGCAACTCCGAGCCGACACGTCCACTTTCGAAGACGGAATCCTTCTACGCACTGTCTCCACTGGTCGGAATGGGAGGATCTGTTTCCATTTAGAAATTTCGGTCTTATTGAAAGGCACGATCACATCCGACTTACTAGGATCTTCAGTGGTACCGTCATGGATTGCCGTCGTATCCACACCCTAGATAGTCCCATCAGCACACTTGCAGAAATACTCGGTCTTTCTGAACCTACCAAGGTAATGTACCCAAGAACCCCATTCTTGTAGTCCTGGCCATCCAGGGGCTCTGTATCCATAATAGCCATGGCCCCCGCTGCAGAAACAATAACATCAGAATCTCAACAGATCCACAAGGAGCAGGCATGCTTACTCAAGGACTCTTCAAAGTAAACCCCGTCCTCCGCTACTGGCTTCCGAGCGATCTGCGTGTGACTGGCATACGGCGGCACTGTCATGACCTCGGCAGCTACATCTTCATCGAAAAACAACTGGGCCGTATTGACCGTACTGCCTGCGCCAATGGTGCCGTTACTGGTTATACTCCAGTTCGTGTGCACTTGCACATGAACATGGATGGCGCGGTTGGTCTAGAAGATATCAGATCGCTTCCACATTTCTCAGCAAAACAGAGCATTCTTACATAGAACCCCGGAAATATCGACGTGAAGCTAGTAACCCCATTCTTATCGGTTGGCCACATGCCACGGAGCCAGGTTGTATTGTCTGTTGCCAAGAACTTTCGTTTTCTGTCAGTCTTTCCCGGTGCATGCTTCAGCGTATCCATCGAAAAGGGTGGTATTACCGAGACATCGCCCATGCCGTTCTCCGCATCGATTTCCTCGCCCGTACTCTCAAGGTACTGATCCGGGAACGAGATATCCGGATCCAAACCGGTGAAAGAGCTGTATGAGCCAGTTGCATTGCAGTGCTAGACCCGACTTAGCGGAACATTCACTATTGCCTCCTTCGGGACGTAGGGGGAATGCACACACCCAGACATCTACCAACGCATTCTCCAGGGGCTCGCAGGTATGAATATCCATGAGGCCAATGTCCATGACAAAGGGCACTCCAAGTTGATCCTCTACCAGGTCCTGACGCAGTATCTGACTCCGCGGGTAAACATAGGGCCCCGTACTGGTTTCCGGCGTCAAGATACACGTGTCGTTCTTCAGGAAGTCGTAATTGGGAGCATCGGCGGTGATGGTGTAGGTGGTGGTGCCATCGGATGGTGACAAGTCGCGCCGGCGCATCGCATGTCGGTTCCTCTTCATGAGGCCGACCGAGTCGGAGCATCGCTTCGCCAGTGCGCCGCGACGGGCCAAGTGGACGGGATCAGGTTGCGCATGCGGTCCCGGATGCGCTGGTATTGTTAGGTTAGCAACGACTCCGTTGACTCAATGGGAGAACAACTGACCCTCGATGATGGAGGCGAGGAAGAGGACTGGGGCCAACAAGACGGACTTCATTGTGACAGAGTTCCGCGCAAGTGCTACTGGTAGAACACCTGGAAGAACTAGAGCTTAAGAGGAAGAATGTCCAATACTTTAGTGGGGTGGTTGTTATCTTCTCTGCAACTTGGCCTTGATCGGCCTCCATTCCACGGAGACAGACATTGTTCACGCGCACATGCCTGGCACTTCAAATCGGGCCATTACTACATCCGTGGGACACACATGCTCTTAAGATAAGGGGTATCTCCGTTTCTGTCTAGACCCGACTATTTCCCTGTTTTTCCCCGTCAGGGCATTGGATCATGGAAACAGTGCTGCTCTATCTGCCTATCTGCCTGTCTACTTCTCAGTGGTAGACATACCCGCTTTCGATCATCGCCTTGGCACGCTTGGTGCACTCATCGAGATCCTCCCTGGGCAGTCCCAGGGTGCCGTTGGCCAGGCCATGTTTCTCCCCGGAGTTACCGTCCCCATTCGGGTAGAATTGTCGTGTGTAGAGAATCTGCACATACCCCATTTTATCGCCTTCCTGAAGTCTTTCCTGGCCCCGTTCATACCGTGCCCTACTAGACTCATAGTTAATCGTCCATTCCTCATCCTTATCGCCAGTAACCCCTTTCCAACTCTCGAAGATGTCTTTCTGGTTGATTGTGAAGCTGGCGATATACAGAGGCTTATTTTTCCAGGTGCTCACTGTTGGGCCCGTATCGTCCGGGCCCTCTGGCAATTCCTTTAGGCTCAGAAGTCCTGCGACCGCTCGACCGCACTGGTCCCAGGTACTGATATTGGTTTTTGTTTTCCCGTCGTCAATAAAGGCGAACGTTTTGTTCGTCACATCGAGTCCAAAGCACTCTGCGCCCCGGGCCATACTAAACTTATACCAGAAGCCGCAGACAAGTGTAACCCACGAGCAGACATTCGTTGCCTCAATCTCTCGAAGAGACTTGCGAATCACATCTCCCCTGCGCGTCTCCTGGGCGAGGGCATCGTTCGTGAAGTCAGACCCGTAACCATTGGGCATTATATATGGAACGCCAGCCTTGGCCGCAGCTCGAAACAATTTGGATTGAGTGTCCGGTGGCGCCATAACTGACATGGTGATTACGAGGAATTGCTGGCCTTGTAGGGCCGTGACAAGGGTAGATTCATCATCATAGTTGATGTAAGCAGGCTTCACCCCTGCCGGCAACTGGTTCTTGCTATCTGCCCGAGTTAAGCCGGTAACGGTGTGTCTGCCTGTCTTAACAAGCTCAGTGGCGATATGTCGGCCGATGGAGCCACCAGCCTACGGGGACACATCTGTCAGTAGAGAGGCAATCGCCGAAGCTAGATGGCGACCTACACCAACGACAGCCACTCGCTCAATGCGGTTGGTGAAGCCTGCAGGCTGGTCTTTGGCGTACTCGGGGAGCATGGGGCCGAGGAGTAGAGTATGATGTACGGAGTATACGGTTCGTATTCGAGAGTCAAGCTAAGATCTGTATGGTGCACTGAATGACAGAGGATACCTCGTAGGTGACTGAGGCAGGAAGGCCGCCAATTAGATTACGTAGTCAAGGGGGAGGGGCAGTTCCTTGATCCTTCACACATTTCAGCCATCATTCATCATCCCTTGCATCAACCATGCCCCAGCCCCCAACATCATTATTATCTGTCGCTACTCTGTGTCGAGTGGGTCCAATCATAGATGATATAATGAAATGGAACCAGCGGGCAAGTTAAAGAGGGCCAACGAGAAGCGGCCTCGTTCTCCCTGGAGAATAAGAGCCGCTCCAAACATGGCCGCAGCCGGTAAAATGGGAGGAATGCGATCGGCCAGTTCCATGGTTCAAGACGGCTTTAATCCTGTTGAACGGGCCCGTACTGATGACAATGGATGCAGATGCCATACACCATCAAGATCAGGACACTCGAACCTATATCTCACTGTCGACCCTACAAGGAAGATCAGACTAACATGAGGCTGATTACAACTACCCGTACTCATGCGCTTCACATGGAAAATCCTGGTTTGTTTAACGTCCTGGCCAACGTCCTGGGCTCTTTACAACCAGTCTACCGGGTTCCCTCAAGAGGAAATTGATAATGGCGTTGCCTTGCAAGAAATCGCCAGCCAGGCCCTCGGGCAGATGAAGCAAGAGTCCCAGTCATCGAATGGTTGTCGTTTTGAAGAAGCTCAGGTCCGCAGAGAATGGTATGTTCAGTATTCCAATGCCTGACAATTCTAGCTATCCCTCATCTGGAACAGGCGCGACCTATCGCTAGCTGCACGGAAGGAATTCACCGATGCTGTTATGTGCTTGCAGAGCCTTCCTGCCAATATCTCAGCAGATGCGAAGGGGACATTTCAGGGTGTGCAGTCTCGGTATGACGAGTTTGTAGCAACCCACATCAATCTGACAGAGTATATTCATGTGACTGTAAGTGTGAATTCATAATTGGAATCGCAAAACAAAACTTGAATTGGCTCTGACTTCACATGCCTCAGGCCGATTTCCTCGCCTGGCATCGCTTCTTTATTCATGCATTTGAAGATGCTCTAAAAGTCGAGTGCAACTATACGGGCACCCTTCCGTACTGGGAGTGGGGATACGATGCAGAGAATCCCCAGGATTCTGTTCTCTTCAATGGTGATCCCTACAGCATGGGGACGAACGGTAAAGACCTGAACCAAACGTCTCTTTATTGGGCATCCCGGAATTTGAGTATCCCTGCCGGAACTGGGGGCGGGTGCGTATATGGGGGCCCCTTTTCGAATTACACTGTCGACATGGGTCCCATAGATGCCCCTGGGCAGCAACCAGTGCAAGACGATTTGGAGTACAATCCACGCTGCTTGTCGCGAGATGTGAACCCGACTGTCTCTAAGGCATCGATCACCTTCCGGAACACTACGAAGTTGGTTCTCTCGTACGATACAATTGATTGGTTTCAAGGTGTCATGCAGGCGGACCAACGGTTCATAGATCCCACTGCTCCTCAGTCATTTGGGGTCCATGGTGGAGGCCATCTCACCGTGGGGGGCGTCTTGGCGGACATCAATACCAGTCCTGCTGAGCCAATGTTCTGGCTTCACCATGCACAGATTGACCGTATCTGGACGATCTGGCAAGGATTAGATCCGGTCAATAGGCGAAATGCGATCTGGGGCACTCACACTCGGAGCAATGATCCGCCTTCATCAAACATGACGTTGGACGAGAAGATCGACTTTGGGTTTATCTCCCAGCCCCTACAATTTGCTGACCTGATGAACCCACTTTCTGGACCGTTCTGTTACTACTACACGTAGCAGATTAATTTCAGTTCTTTGGACATTAGTCACACTTCTTTCCGGTTCTTGGACAGTCGCTTGAATTCGAGGATCTAGAACTATCATGACCTGTTTTTGACCGGCAAATTCAGCCGAAGCTACCCTTGCTCCCTGTTTAGTCTTTTGTATACTCTCTTGGAAGAAGTCGGGACCAGTCGATGATGTATTAGGCCATCCGGTTTCATGCCCAGTTCAGTCGGTCCGTTGCCGATCAGCATTCCGTCGCTTTCGGCCCTTTCGGGTCGATGTGGGTATTTTCGATCGTGTCCGGAGGACTCGGTACGAGATCGATCTCTCGGGGTTACATCGACCGTCGGCACTTCCGACATAAGCCCCTTGAAGCCTGTTTTTGCAAGAGCTCCGATTGCCGTCAACTTGCGTAAGCCTCGTATATTAAGGTTTACCGCAATGTCGCACCGAGTATTACCCCAAAGCGTCGGCTTCATTGCATCAAATCTATTTATAGCGATAATCATCAGCAGTCATGACTACATGACGCAAGATGCATTCCGGTTGCCGAAAGGGGTACCATATCGCTATCAATACCATGGCAATCTTCCTGTCAATAGACCAGCATGACTTGATTCCCTCCAGAGGGCCCCTTACGAGCTGTGGTTCCATCAATAACTACCACTCCCCGCCTTCCTCCGCTATCACCCAAGGTCATTGCTACGTCGTCTTCCCCTTTATCACCTTTTCACTTTGCCCCGTAGCGTCTATGTGGGGTGCCATGTGCCTGAATCAGGCGCAAATCCCGGTCGCTTCAACGTGCCGAGAATGGATTTCTCCGCTTCAAGATCTACGTCGGTCCCAAATGTATCAATTGTTGTCGTGGACAGAGGATCCATACCCCACAGAATGCTTTCTGTTTGCGGGCTCCTAGACCCGTTTACAATCTGAATGCATTGATCACGGCACCCAAACACACCGCGTGGCATGGCAGAAAAAGAGTTCGAATATCATGTTCACTATCTATATATCCAATGCCTACCTTTTGGGAGGCTTTCTTATCCGAGGTCCAGCTATAGCTCAGAATGTTTCCCTCGGCCTTCCTGCCGTTCGTTGCGGCCGCATTGTTCCCCACCCCAGCTATCACGCAAGGGGTCAACACAACAACAGCACCCACCGTGCAAGTCCGCAATGGTACTTACGCCGGTCTATACAATCCCACTTACGACCAAGACCTGTTCCTCGGCATACCCTACGCACAGCCTCCAACCGGCGAACTACGCTTCCGCCCTCCACAATCTCTCAACACCACCTGGAACGACACCCGGCCTGCAACAGCCTACTATAATGAATGCATCGGCTACGGCAGCGATGATTGGCCCTGGACTGATGTCGTCTCCGAAGACTGCCTCGCTCTCAGTGTGATCCGACCTCACGGTATCAACTCGAGCGCAAACCTGCCCATCGTCTTTTGGCTTCATGGCGGCGAGTTCGCACAAGGAGGCACCCGTGACCCGCGCTACAACCTCTCCTACATCGTCCAACAATCTCAGGAGATGCAAGCCCCCATAATCGGCGTGACCGTTAACTACCGCCTCTCCGGTTGGGGCTTCCTATACAGTCAAGAAGTTGCCGCTGAAGGCTCCGCCAACCTAGGACTCCGCGACCAACGACTAGCCCTGTACTGGGTCCAAGAGAACATCGCCTCCTTCGGCGGCGACCCATCACGGGTCACCATCTGGGGTCAGAGTGCTGGTGCCAACAGCGTCGGCCTTCATATGGTAGCCTACAACGGTCAAAACGACAACATCTTCCGCGGTGGCATCGCCGAGAGCGGCTCCGTTCCCTCCCTCGCAGCATATATGAACGCCTCCGAAGCTCAACCCTACTATGACGCCGTTGTCAACGCAACAAACTGCACCGGCGCCTCCAACACCCTCACTTGTCTCCGCCAAGTCCCCACCGCCACTCTCAGCTCCATCTTCAACAGCTCCCTCGTGGCAGGAGCAGGCTACCACCCCGTCATCGACGGCTCCTTCCTCACCACCTCCGGAATCACCAATCTCTACACCGGCCAATTCTCCAAAACTCCACTCCTCATCGGCACCAACTTCGACGAAGGCACCAAATATGCCCCCCACGGCTACAACACAACCAACCAATTCATCTCCCTTGTCCAAGCCAACGGGACAAACCACTCCAGTGCCCTAACTATTGCCTCCCTGTACCCGGATAATCCCGCCGTCGGCATCCCGGGAACCCTCCATGGCCGGCCCCCACCTTCCTACGGATACCAATGGAAGCGCGTGGCTGCCTTCTTGGGAGATCTCCTCATGCATGCGCCCCGCCGGCTAACGACCCAGATGCTGGCCCAATGGAACGTACCTTCCTACGTTTATCACTGGAATGTGATGACACTAGGACCATTAGATGGGGCCGCGCACGGTTATGAAATTCCGTTTTCGTTTCATAATTACGATTATCTGGGTGACGCACAGGGAAATGATAACGTGACTTGGCCACAATTGTCTACTATGATGTGTCGCATGTGGGTGAGTTTTATTAATCATTTGGATCCGAATTATAATAATAGTGAGTGATTCTCCGCCTGACTCTTCGCGGGGTTGCCCCGCAAGGTTTGGAGAAGAGTGCTAATCGGGGACAGTGACGAATGTGCACTGGCCGGCTTACACATTGGACAATCCGCGAAATATGGTCTTTGATGTAAACGTGACGGGTTTGGCCTATGTCGAGCCGGATACTTATCGGGTCGAGGGAATTGGTTATATCACCAGTATCTTGCAAAGTGCTTTTAATCGTTAGATAGTCTCCGGGACTGGTGTTTTATTGGCCAGGCTAGGAATATTTAGATAGAAGAAAATGCATGATCTTGGATGACTTAATGCTTTCCATGGAAATAGCATCCGGGACGATCTAGTCAGATCTATAAACCCTCATTGTTTGTTTGTTTGATTTTTCAACGTTGCATCAAAGGAAGTTTGTCGGCGGCCGTGCCAAGGATTCTGTCAAGTGCTGCCGATGCAACTTGATAAACCTGATGGTTCTTCCATCTCCCGTTGGTTAGGTTGCAATCTTGCTCATCGGATTCCTTGGCTCGGCAACGCCGGGGAGGAGCACCTCAACGGCTGTCACAGCGGGTGGCTTGGCAAATGCCATGGAACCACGGATATCCAGCATGAACCGGGCAGTAGCTATCTCAGACTATCGCAGGGGATGGAGCCATGAGTTTGCTACACGCGATCTGACCGTTCTAGACCACCGGCTGGGGGGCGGCGAATAGGCGAGGCGGGCTGAGGAGTCCAGAAGCGGCTGCCGTCATCCGCTTTGCTTGTTCCCTTTCCGTTTCCGGGCGTTGGTAATCAGATGGGGACAATGCATTGGGGGCCGAAGGAGATCCCGGATAACCTTATCACGCTTTACCTCACGCCGATACAACCCTGTAATCGATGGACCGGGCAAGCGAGTCTGTTGATCGTCACCACCCAGCGCACAATACAAATCCGCCAAGGAAACAATAGGAATGTCAGCTCCGAGGGTTCATCTTGACATAATAGTCCCAAGATCTCGTATCGCAAACTATAGGCGGAGGGCCATTGATGCTTGCAGTACTGCTCCATGCCAGAGAGTGTAAATCTAGATGTCGTCACGACTTGGGTCTCGCACGATAGTGTCAGACACCACTCCAGCTGGCTCTGTCGTGCTTGTGGAGCATATTTTTGCGAAGATGCGAGCAATATCCGGCATTTTATAAGAACTATGGCATCCTGCTGAGTCCCGCCATCTGTGTCTCGAATATAGGCATAGTCGCGATAAGAGCCAAAGTTCATTTCAGTCCCCTTGGTCTTTTCATCGCCCCCAATGGCGCCTGGAATTTTGACCTTTGTGGAGCGGGCAGCGGAGTATTCGCCAACCAAAGGGTTCGTCTTCTATAGTGTAGGCAGTGACAAGCCCGAGACGATCCTATATCCAGACTTTTGGCGCCTCGTCAAGGTAACATATCCGCACCTGGCCCATGCGATTAGCGGAGATCTTTCATGCTAACAGCTTTGGTCATAGCGCAATGCTCAAACTCTTGTCGAACGCAAGATCGCTGAGACTGACCGGATCATTCTCGTCCATTTTGACTCTCACAAGGAGAACATTATTTGGTTTTGGTCTGTCATCGCAGCGGGATCCGTTCCAGCTGTGTCTACTCCTCTTGCGGTAGACCCCGTGGCCAGAGAACGCCATCTAAACCATATCCAAAGACTCCTAGAATACCCCAATGTCCTCACCAGTAAAAAGCATGCAGGTGACCTGAGTCTCATTGATGATTCTCAGATGTTCTATATTGAGGACCTTTCCTCAAGTGAACAGCAAAATGTATGTTACAAGCCAGCAGATCGCTCGACCGACCTCGCACTGCTGCTCCTCACCTCTGGCAGTACGGGTAATGCCAAAGCCGTGATGTTGCACCACTCGCAAATATTTTCCGCAATTGAGGCCAAATGGAAAGCGCTTTCGAGCACGTCTGAGAATATCTTTTTGAACTGGATCGGTAAAGATACCTCCTCTTTGCGGCGGCTCCTGAATGAAAGAGTAGCTGACATACTCTGGTAGGTTTCGACCATGTCGCGTGTCTGATGGAAATGCACATGCATGCGTTATCCAGAGGCGCTCATCAAATTCATATGCCTGCCGTGACGGTCCTGGAGAACCCTCTACTTTATCTCGAGAAGCTGGCAGAGTACTCGGTCACCAACGCCTTCGCTCCCAATTTTCTCGTGTCCCTTGTTGGAAAAGCTATCGAAACCCGACAAGAGCAGGATCCTCGCCCACTGGATCTGGACCTGAGTCGTCTGCGCATTGTGCTGTCTGGAGGTGAGGCCAATCTCGCATCGACGAGTATCTTGTTCAATCGTAAACTGGTCGAGATGGGAGCGGCCAAGAATGTGCTCCATCCATCTTTCGGTATGACCGAGGTAAGTTCTGCTCTCTGATTCATTGTCCGACTTCCTCATTTGACAATGGTCGTGTCTCGGTAGACCTGCGCTGGAATCCACTACCACTACAGCTTCCCCGAGCTCGAACAGAAGGCTAAACTGCAATTCTGCTCCGTTGGACAAGCAACACCCACTCTGCAGATGCGGGTCACCGATGAGCATGGGGAAGCTGTGAGAAGCGGTGAGAACGGAAACCTGGAGTTGCATGGCCCGATGGTCTTCAAAGGCTATTACAACGACGACAAAAATACCAGAGCCGCCTTTACTGAGGACGGTTGGTTCAGGACTGGCGATACTGGGTACATCGACAACCGTGATAACCTGGTGCTGTCCGGGCGGTCCAAGGACAGTATCATTATTAACGGAATTAACTTCTATTCCCACGAGCTAGAGAATGCCATCGACGCATCCGGACTTGATGGGCTTGTCCCCTCGTACACAGTTGTGGTCTCATCCTGGCTTGAGAATGCAGATAGTGAGGATGTCATTGTCCTCTACCTCTCAAGCCAGAAGGGGACTGAAGATGACAGAACTTTCCTCGAGACGGTCAATTCAATCTCTAGGGTCACCGCCCTTTATTGTTCCAAGCAGCCGGTGGATATTATCCCACTTCCGGTAGAGCTACTGCCTAAAAACTCCCTGGGCAAGCTCCCTCGCACAAAGCTGAAGCAGCAGTATGAGGATGGTCGTTTCGACTCTTACAGAGACCTTGCCGCCCAAAGAGCTTCCTCATACCGTGCGCGATCTAAGCGGGCCCCGCAGAACAGCATGGAAGAAACGCTTGCTGGGATTTTTGCGGACGAATTCGGCCTTGATGTGTCTGAAGTCGGTGTTGATGACAGTCTTTATGATATGGGAGTGAACAGCGTCCGACTGATTCGATACAAGAGGATAGTGGAGACTCGCCTTGGTTTGACAGAGGAAATCCCAATGATCACGATCCTGCAGAACCCAACAATCGAAGCATTGGCTGTCATGCTCCAGAATGCTCAAAGGGGTCCCAAGGCGTATAACCCTGTGGTTGAACTGCAGAGCGGCCCTTCAAAATCTCCCCCGATCTTCTTCTTCCATCCCGGAATGGGAGAGGTTCTCGTGTTCCTCAACTTCAGCAAGTATTTTGCTGACCGCAAAGTATATGCTCTTCGCTCCCCGGGATTCAACCCAGGCGAGAAGATGTTCACATCTGTGGACGAGATGACGGAGTAAGCATCCTAGAATCATCTAATAAGAGAGTCCCATTCGCTGATCGATGCAACCCATAGCACCTATCTCAAGTCCATCCGGGAGCTTCAACCGGAAGGGCCATATATTTTTATCGGCTATTCTTATGGAGCCATGATAGCATTTGAAACGGCCAAGAAGGTCGAGGCTGCTGGCGATAAGGTCGGATTCCTCGGCAGCCTGAACCTTCCGCCGCATATCAAGAAGCATATTCGGGAAATGGACTATGTTGAGTCGCTGCTCCACCTGGTCTACTTCCTCGGGTTCATCACGGAGGAGGATGCCCACCTCATGTCCCCTGACATGCACAAGGTGAGTTATGCCCCATTCCTAACTTAGAGACTCAAACCAAGCTGATCCGTGATTCCCATTTCTAGCTTCCCCAGAATGAGGTTCTCCCAGCCATCATGAAAGTCTCGGATAAGGAGCGTGTTGATGAACTGGGTATGGACGAGGGAAAAATTCGTGACTGGGCGATGTTGTCATCCAAGCTCCAAGAGCTAGCCCACACATACGACCCTTCTGGAACCGTGCAGTCGATGGATGTCTTCTATGCCATCCCATTGATTTCCGTTGGCAGGGACAAGGATGTCTGGCTCAAGCAGCACCTGATGAGGTGGAAAGAACATGTCAAGTCAGTCAAGTTCCATGATGTCCCTGGGTCCCATCACACGATGATGGCGGAAGAGAATGTCTTCGCGTTGCACAAGATTCTCCGGGCGGCTTTGAACGAGAGGGGAATGCTCTAAGGAAATGTCGGGTGAGGTTTTCCAGTTGCTTGAGTGAAGACGCGAATGGTGGGTGTAGTTAATGTTCGGCGAGACCGATAAATGCTAAGTTCACTTGTAATGTACTTAATAAGGTTCAGCACCTAATCTATATCAGACATGACTCTCAATTATCGAAAATTGCAATGGTATTGTTGATCAGAATAATAGAGTAGCACTTGAAAAATGATTTCGTGAGAAACAAAAGAGAAAGCAGAGGGAAACGATGATGACGCCGAGGGGAGACCCGAGTACAGGAATGGCGACAAACCATCAGCGCAGAACGAAAGTGGAAGGAGCCCTGGATGCCATCTTCCCTTTCTCATTCAAGGACGGCTAGAATATATGAGGTACTACTTAGGACTAGATTTGAACTCTTCCTCTGTCTATGTCTGATATCCAAGTCAAATCAGCCTACGGGCCATCCAAGGTATAGCCATGTCTCTAGGCGAAACTAGAGGAAACTCCGGGCTGGAGAGGTACTCCCAAGCCTCAGCTTCCAGTCCCCATGACGATGTCGCCGGAATCTTCGGATTTATTCGAGATGGCTAGCCGTTGCGCGCGATGATTGTGACCGGTCCAGATGCGTAGGCATCAACCTCGCATTGCTAATCACCATACGCTTCTGCATATGAGTGCGCAGGTCCTGCAATCCGTCCAGAGCCACCCTCCTTAACCGGAGGCATTAGCCCAGGGCGCATCACGAACCGGATATTTTCAATCCAGCCCTTGATGCATAGCGCTCCTCCAAAGGAGACCAGCCAGATCAGTATGCCCCAAAATCAACCTCCATGATCATTTCTTTCCCTTCTTCCTCCCCTTCTCCCCGGCCTTCTCCCTCACGAAACCCCCCTTCATCAACGCGTCCTTCCCCGCCGCATTGATAATGCGAAACCGATCCGGCCCCAACAACACCCCCCCATACCACCTCGTCACGACAACCACCACATCCCACACATCCATCAACTGCATCAAATGCAACAATCGTCCACCCGCAGCCGTCTCCCCATCATCATCACAATCCTGCACAATCATCTCCGTAGCATCCCCGTTTTTCCCTCCGCCATTACTACCGCCAGCAGTAGATTTCACCTCACGTATCCTCCATGCACTGATATTATGTGTCGCGGTCGCGACCTTCTTCTCTGTCGCGAGAAGATGATCCAGGAATGCCTTGGCCTGGTCCAAACTCGTAACATGTGCAGCGCGTCCCACGAATACGGATTTCTTTTCGGTGATTATATCGGAGAGGATCCATTGCGGCGGGCTGGTGAGGTTGAATGTGCGGTGGTCGGGGACGGTGGATTCTGGTGTTAGTTGGTTTTCATCTTCAATCGCGGTCTCGGCGACTGATTGCGCGTGAGTATCATTGCTATTGGCGCCGCCAATATTCAACTCCGTAAATGCCTGGACAGCGTCATTGATCAAGTCGAACAGACATACGGCGCCGACTTGGTATGTCCGGCCGAGAATCTCTTCTAATACATCGACCGCGAGTTTACCCTCTCCTCTTGACGCGGTGGATGCTGTGCCCAAGATTTTAGGCGGGGTGTCGGGGTACGTTGAATCAAACCCGAGGAGGAAGGACAGGTGAGGATGTTCGGGGAGTTGGAGTTTTATCGTGGTCGGAGGGGAGTCTGAAGAGGATCCTCCCAGATCGAGGGTTGGTCCGGTCGAGGTAGTCGTCGTGATGGTGAGGGTATCCGGATCGTAGATGGCATTGATGGCTTCTATTTCTTCGGCCAGATCGGTATTCTGCAATACCTCCAAGGGCGATGTCATTTTCATTTCACTGAGCCCGGAGGGTGGCAGCCTCGGCAGTGGTGACAGCGGTGGTGAACTGACGCCGGCGGGGGTTGAAGGTCCCGACCGCATCGCGACTCAATATCATCAGTGATGGACTTTTTCCTATTAAAATTTAGTTGCATCTAGTTATAGGACAAACCTAAACATGTATCAAATTGGCCTTATAGCTCAATGGTAGGGCGTCAGTTTTCGGTACTGAAGATTCTGGGTTCGAGTCCCAGTGGGGTCGCTTTTTTTGGAGGTTTGTCCGTCTTGTCTGTGTAGCAGTTCGTACTACATGCATAGGTCTAGTCTACTATTGCTGCTCGTTCTTTTTCTTTGTTTTTTTTTTTTTTTTTTTTTTTTTTTTTTTTTTTATTATATATTTCTCTTTCTTTTGATGGTTTCCTTGACTTTCTTATGTTACATGGATTTCTTCAAAACTTCTATAATCTACGATCGTATTGGTTTCATTCGATT